ATGACTTGTTAATAAAACAACTATTAAAAATAAATACAAAAAGAACTGGAAATATTATAATTGAATAATATCAACCAAATGTTGTCAACATTTGAATTTGAATTTGAATTTCATACTAAACAAGAAGAAAAAAAGAAAAAAATTGATGAAAAATAACTTTCAATACCTGATGAGTTTAAAATAAAAAAAAAAAAAAAAAAATCTTAAATTTCATTCTGATTTCCTTTATAAATTTCATTAGAATATTGACCTACTATTAGTTTTTTTTTTAATCATTTTCAGTCAATTCACTAGTATATTTTACATAAAAAATCACATCATGGAATATTTTTGTATCAGCACAACCAAGTCTTAAATTATTATTCCCAAATTTTTTTTTTTCTTTTTTAGGGAAATCTTTTTATTATTATAATTTTTTGCCTCCTAGGTGATTCTTTAGAAATGAATAATCATCACCCATATTTTCTATTTTTTCATTCACTATTAATTAGAAATTATGGAGTGTCTCGAGTTAATATATTGTTATGTACTCTTACCACAATATCCAAAAAAAAAAAAAAAAATTAAAATAAATAAATAAATAAAAAAAATCAAATATTTTGACCCAAAAGTTAATTTTATCGTCATTTCCTTATGGTTATGTAAATTTCGAAATTCATGTAATAAGCTTTTTTTTTAAAAAAAAATTCTTTAGTTATTTTTTTTAGTAATCAATATCTTGTTTTTTCAACTAACTTTTATTTTTGTTAAAATAATTAAAAGTTTAGTAATAATTTGTATAGAATGCAAATTCATAATTAATAATAATAACTTTTATAAAATAACAATCAATATTGTTTACAACTAAGCTTTAAATTTATATAAAAAAAGATTGCAAATTATATACCTAATGATACTATAATCATTAATTTATTTCATAATACATTATGACCGAGCTTCTAATTTGATTTATCTAATCATTTGGCTTTAATGAATTACTTTTTTTCCCATCTATATTCCAATCGTATAATGATATTATTTGTCTTTATGAACAAAAAGCATTTACAAATTAAAGACATTTTTTTTTAAAAAAAAAATTGTAGAAAACATAAATGGGTCTAGCAGTTTATTTTACCCCTTAATTCAATTTTTTTTTTTCCCCAGTATTTTCAAAATGCACGGTATATAGTTGAAATGATTAGCTTGGCGGTTATAATGACCAGCATAAGTAGATTTTCTTAGACAAGAAAAAGAAAATGGTATAAAATCATATAGGGAATCATACTTCAAACCACTTGATTAGTTTAGTAAAACGTTTCACATATATATAAATATAAAACAAATATAAAGAGCTTCATGGTATGATATTATAGATAGTATATGGGTATGATATTTAGTATAATTGCTTTTCTGATGATGCTGTGCAGAGTAAGTTACATGAAATAATACATTTTGAGTTGTGGCTATTATTATTACATACAGTTGGAATATACATATGATACTAACAAAAAGAGGCAGATTCGGTTAGCAGGCCAGGGTCTCAGCTGTCAAAAGATTTTCAAGAGAAATGTCAAAATATATATATAAATAAATAAATAAATAAATAAATAAATAAATAAATAAATAAATAAATAAATAAATAAAAAAAAATAAGCCTCATAGAGTTTTAATAAATAAATTTCTTTTAAAAAAATAAGCAGGAGGAAGGTGGGACAAAGTGGAGGAAAGACATCATCCATCCATGTTACTGAGTTAATATCGGACCCAATGACCATAAGTGGATATATATATATATATATATATTTAGTATTTTTGAAATGGGGTTTGGTCAGCATTGTAGAGAAAAAAGGATTGATTGCATATATTTTAAATAGCAAAAAAAAATAAACAAACAAACAAACAAATAAAAATATTTAAAAATAAAAAATAAAAATAAAAAAAATAAATAAATAAAAAGAAACTAAATATTTCAAAAGTTCTTTATCTGGTTTTAAGACTGTAGTTGCTTTAAGCTTTCCTGTGCCTGAATTTGCTCATCGGTGCTTTAAGCGTTTTTGTTTCAGATTTTTTTCATTTTTTTCTTCTTTTTTTTTTTTTTTTCTTTCTTACAAAGAACATTACCAGCTATAATATACTTGATAAGCCAAAAAAAAAAAAAAAAAAAAAAAAAAAAAAATTAGAAGATTAAATATTTATTATGTATTTTAAGGCGGATCAGAATATATTTTTAAAATGAAGATCTGTTAATATAAACACTCTAGTTAGCAAATTGGTTTTCTAGATAATGTTGGAGTTAAAAAAATAAATAAATAAATAAAAAATAAAAAAATAAAAAGCCATTTTTTTTTTCTCGCAAAACTAGTACAAAACGGGGTATTGGATATGACAAGGATACAAAAAAAAAATTAATAATCTCAACCAGGGGTTATTTAGTAAAATAAGATTGATCTAATAGCAAAGACTGATGATGATGATGATGATGATTACAATAATAATGATTATGATTATGAGAATACAACGGGTGGCAAACAAAGCCATCAATGAACTTTTTTTTTTTTACAGACAAGAATGAATCAATTTTAGAGTTAAAATGGTATGTCAAAAACGGAAAATAGATGGAAGCATTTGCAAAATATTAATAAAGAAATAAAATAAAATAAATCAATCAATCAATTTAAAAAAAAAAAAAAAATTGAAACAGGGGTACTTGCTGCATTTGAATTCCACAATGAAAAAAAAAAAAAAAAAAAAAGAGATAAAAAGAAAACTTTTGAATTTTTTTTTTTTTTAAACCATCATTAGATTCGCAATTTTACTTCAATTTAAATCGTAAAAAAAAAAATAAAATAAAATAGGCGGAATTTTGACCATCATTAGAGTAATAAGCCAATTAATCTTTAAAGGAGATGCATGGCGACTTTGTGAATTTTTTTTTTTTTTTTTTAAATTATAATATAATTTTTTATAATCATAATGCTATTAATTTTTTAACAATGTCTGAAAAATCCACAAAAAGTCATCGAGAACCCTCATTTCGCTAAAAGCCTCATCTGGGACAAAACTAGAAAGACTGCAGCAAACAAAAAAAAAAATAAATAAATAAATTAGGACTTTAAGAATATATATATATATATGAACGCCCTTGTGTTTTTTTTTTCTTTTAATTCTCATTTTTGCTTTTATAAATGTAAAAATAAATCCTCTTTTTTTTTCAAAATATCTTTCTTTTTTTTTTTTTTCTTTTTTTGTATGTCTTGTATACTATATAATACTCATGGAAATCTGATCTCTTATCATAATCTCATAATCTCATAATCAATCAGCCCCCTTAGCCCTACTATTGAAAACCAAAAAAAAAAAAAAAAAAAAAAAAAAACCTCTCCGGTTCACCTTTCATTCATTAAAAATAAAATGTGCAAATCTACAACAATTCTCTGGTCATGTGGATGCAAGAATGAACCCAAGTTCATCTACTGTGGTGATATGTTTTGTCAAAATATCGGAACTGGAACAAAGTCTAGAAACCTCCAATGTCCCCGGTGTTTTCACCCCATCCACCAACGATTACAACAAACAAGACTATTGTACCGACGAAGTAGCAGACGATCAAGACAACGGTTATGAATATTCTTGATTCTTGATTCTTGATTCTTGATTCTCTAGAGAATAAGGAGGTTTCCTTTTTTTTTTTTTAATAAGCTCTTAAAAAACAATGGTTTCAGATCTTAACAAAATATATACAATACAAGTTGACTTGATTAAAAAAAATAATATTAGGACAATAAAGGAGAAAAAGAATATATATATATATATATATATATATACTGGGCCTAACGAAAAAGATGAAATTACCAAAATGTACAAAGTTATTATATGGAAGCGAAAAAAATAAAAGGACAATAAAGGAATTCCCAACTTCTACACACTTAATGATTAATCGAAACGATACTTTATAATTTTTATCTTTTTTATTTTTTTTATTTTTATTTTCTGTTTTAAAAAATGTATCTTATCACATATATCCTTATTTATATAAATAATAAATATATATATATAGAAATGATAGTAATGACAATGTTTATATGGTATATCAGCTCTATTTTCCAACCCTAAAAAATATTCCTTGATTAAGAGTAGACTGGACATATCAATAAAGTGACAAGTAACCCAAGTTATTTAGAAATTCCTTTCTGTAGCTTTGATAGGTGATTGAGACAATACCGGGTAATTTAATATCACGTGAATTACTATTATCACATAGGGCAAGAGTTACCCGGATTTCACTCATAAAATTTTTTTTTTTTTTTCCAACAAAAAACTATAAATATCTGGTTAGTCCCACCTCTTTCTTTTCCTTTTCTTCTTTTTTTTTTTCCTCATCATCAGTAGGATTAATCTAATACTTATTTAGTTTTAATCTTTTAACGAGGCTTTAGCATTGGTCTATGCATCTCTTGAAGAGTTATGTTTTTCCTGCTATCAGTTGAGGGTTGATCCTGGGCTTTGAAAGGCCCCTTGGGCTTTCCTCCGTTCCCTGCCTCTGTGAATAATCTCCAGTCGCTATCCGTCTATGACTTTTTTGTTGCTACCATTTGGGCTCTTGAGGCTCTTGGGATTTGACTGAAATCTGACGAGATGGCGATACAAGCTATCACGATATTATTAATATAATTATATCGTAGTAAACGTAAAATTTAAAGAAGTAAATTCTTAATCTTCTATGATTTACTTTGATTTTGTGGGTTAGGGATATAATTTAATTCCGAGGTGAAAATTTTTTAACATGATTTGATCTTCCCCACCCCCCTCATTTTGAATTTTATTATTTGAAGTTATCCAACTGGTAGTGATAAAATATATAAATAAGAACTGTTAACCTGAAGTTTTTTGATATATACTATTTTTTTTTTTTCAATCTTGTAAAAAAAAAAAAAATTTAAAAGAACCGTTTCTTTAATCCTTTCCTTATTCTCTTTCTTCTAATAAAATCTACCATTTACTACATCTCATCTAAGCTTACCATGGGCGCTATGGATAAAATCTCTGAAAACATCTATGTGGGATCCGTTTGGGCACTGTCGTCCCCCCGCGATCTCAAGGCTGCAAATATCACCCACATTGTCAGCTTATTGCGCGGCGATGTCACAGACATGTCTGCCTTAGGCTTCAAGCAACTGCACATTGAAATCGATGATGACGATGAAGAAGACATTATGCGCTTTTTTGCTCAAACTAATGAGTTCATCGATGCGGCCGTCCGTGAAGGCGGCAATGTCCTGGTCCACTGTATTGCTGGTATCTCACGTTCCGTCACAATCGCCACCGCATATATCTTAACTGAAACTACAAAACCCCCGTCTCCAGAAGATTCCACTAAACCTGATCACGGTTACTACATTGCTCAAAAGGCTAAAGACAATGAAGATCTTGCAACCACATTTGTCACGAAAACAATCAATAGCATCAAACAAGGCCGCTCTATTGCAAACCCAAACGACTCATTCCGTTCCCAGCTCGTTATTTTCTTGCGTAGTGGTTGTGCTATTTCTCTCGAAAAGCCTCTTTATCGCCAATGGATTCTTGCAAAACGTGCTGAAGGTATCCCTCTCACAGGACAACCTCCAAAAGATATCAACTACGTCTCTGCTTCAGATGGCATGTACAAACTTAGCTCCAATGAATCTTCCGGTCAAGTCCCACCTACATCTACACTTGCTCCTGGACCAAGGGTTCCAGCTAGTAGACCAGCCCTGACTGATCTCTACGCCAGACTTCAAAGAGCTCCTGAAGCTTCTAGTCAAACTTCTCTTGGTGCTCAACCTGCTCCTACAAATACACCTATACAACCTAGACTCACCCAGCTTCGCTGCAAAAAGTGCAGGTAAGTTTCCCCTCACTAATCATTTTCCTTTTGAAGGATTTCTTTAGTCCCTGGCTAACAAAAACCCAGACTCTAACTTTGATTTTTTTTTTTTTTTTTTTTTTTTTTTTACCTTTAGAACCCCGCTGGCCAGCTCCAAAGCTTTTATCTTACACACACCACCATCCAATGCCCCCGGCTTAAAAAATGCTCCAAGAAATGGTCTTTCTGTTCACTCTTCACTCGACCGCGCCTGTATGCAATACTTTATGGAACCTGCCATGTGGATGAAACCTGAACTTGAAAAGGGTGCTATTGATGGGAAGTTCTGCTGTCCAAAATGCAACTCCAGAATTGGTTCATACTCTTGGCAGGGGAACAAGTGTAGCTGCGGTACTTGGGTTACTCCAGCTATAGAGCTTCAACGTGCTCGTGTTGATGAAGTGGTTGTCAGACAACCTCTTTGATTATAAAAAAAATTTTTTTTGTTAAACATATTAAACATAATTAGAGTTAAATTTTTTTTTTTTTGAAATAGACTATTCAAGCCTCATGTTACTGAATTAGGATAATGACATTTCTTATGAAATCTATTCCTTTTTTCTTTTTAAAAAAAATATTCTCCCTTTTTTTCTTTCTCACTTCTTTAATAAAATAAAACAAAACAAAATGAGTATTTTCACAGAGCTTGGTTCTACACAGCAAAACTTTCGCTTTCAATGCGAAGAGATTGTTTCAATTTTAATGCCTAAAAACTTCACTGTATACTTTAATAAACCCGGCTTTACCCAACTTTCTAAATTGTTTTGTTTTCTTCTTTTCTAACTTTACTAGTGTTGGTCTTTTGATAAAATTTCAAATGCGATTGTAAAAGTAAGAATTTTTTAAATCCTTTCTATTATTTTGTTGAAACTAACTTTTATAAATAGCATCATCATGATCTAGATTCCAAGAAATTAGGTCAAGAACTCCATTTACTTTTACTAGAGTCTATAAATCGAGGGAAGGAAGAAAAAAAGAATTTAATTTTTAACGTCCGTGTAAGTACTCCAAAATTAATTTTTTTTATTTTTATTTTTGATGATTCTCTCAAAACTAATTTCTTAAAGCATGTGGTTATTAAAATTCTAAACGAATGGATTAAAAATTGGACACAATATCGAAGCAATAAAAAGAAAACGAAGAAGTCTTTTCGGAGAATTCTTAATAGACTGGCTTTCCTCGTTGACTTGATATACAATCAAGTAAAACAGCAGTTTTTACCAGATGCACTTAACTTGACACTACAAGAAAGAGAAGTTGCTATTAATATAAATCTTAAACCTGAACTTGATTTAGACTCAGATTTTGATCAAAGAAAATATTTGGCTTTTTACAATGATCAGAAACAATCACCAACCCCACAAAAGGTGAAATTTCCAAAGATCAAATACCAAGACAAAGAATTGAAGTTTAATGAAAGAAATATTATTTTCGGCAAAATGGTTCCAGATTTAGTATATCTTCCTCCCCAACCTTGGAGCCAAGTACCCATGGAGAATAACTTTTTAAAAATTATGAAAGACATAAAAATATACCCCGGGAAGTCTTATTCCACTAAAAAGCAGTTTAGCTTGGAAATGCAAATATACCATCATTCACATAATCTTGCTATGCAATGGGACACAACGACACCAGAGGATTCCCTTGAAAATGTCAGTTGTTGGTCAGTCAAATGTCATAACGAGTCTTGCTCTTATACTATCAAAATGCGAAGTTTTCCAACTTTTATGAACCATTATGTCTATCGCATCACAAAAGTTGTCGACCACGACTGCGAAAATAACGGTGCATTGGATTCCGTTTATGAAATTGGTGATCAATTCTTAGAACCGCTTTATGACGTTGGTTATGTAGTTGATAAGTTCAGGAGTGACCATTACGTTCAACTCTTTAACTTTTTTAGGACATTTTATAATATGCCATTTTATGAAGGAATAGGGCTTACAGATGAAGAAATAAATCAATCTCAAAAAACCGTGGACCGCGTTTGCAGTGCCATGGAAACATACAAAAATGATTTTTTGACTGATCGTTCGTCTGTAAAAAATTGCTTTTTGGTAGGATTGCTGATTTACTGTGAGATGGGGATAGAATCAGGCGTTTTTATTGACGCTGAAATGGATAAAAAATTGTACGTATACCCACGATATTCAAATGAACCACCCGTTATCCCTACTGTACCGACAACCACATACACTGCTGCAATCACAGAAATAAGTCTTGCAAACCACCGAACATTTCATCGAGTCAATGTTTTCCCTAGGTCCCCCCCAGGAAATTTTATGACAATTTATCTCGATCAATTTGAAGTACCACCGTCTGCCAAAACCATAGATGATATGATCTATATCAATGCTACCCCAGAAATACGTCACCGTCTTATCAATGCCCAAAACTTGGAAACTTGTCGAAAAATTACCTTTGGAGCTGAACAAACTTTGCTGACAAAAATCCTTACCCAGGACGATATTGCGGCTATGAACAAATCAAAATTTAAAGGAATGTTCATTGCGCCTTTAGCTTTGAGAAAAAATAAAAGATTGCTAAAGCCAATAGTCCGGCTTTTAGTCTACCCGTATTGGGAAAAAAAGTGGAAAAGAGATTTAAACCTATATTTGGCTTCTGGTTATACCATCACTGATACACCTGTAATACTAGCATTTGGGGTGTATGGCCCAGAAAATAAAGAAAACTGGGTTCTGTTTTTAAAAAAACTTAAGAATGTTTTTACATTTGGCATTGAAACCGACCCCACTTTTTCTATGGTTTCGTTTTATATAACACCCGTCATTGAAGCCATCAATATCGTGTTCCCAGGCTGTCATCATTTCCCTGACTTTGGAATTTGGTCGTACATTATTCCGACTCTTGTTGGAGACGAGGATACAAAGCAAAATATTTTATATTACCTAAACCTACTGAATGAAAAGTCAAATAGGCGAACAGCGGTATACATTTACCGGGAAATGATGCCATATGTTCTTGAGCTAGAAAGAGAAAACCCAGATATGAATCACATTTGGGCTGTTTTGAAGTCGCTGGAAATACTCAGCCCTGATTTTTCTAATATTCCTCATGAAGAAGTTTTCAATGCTAATGATGTCAATTGGTTGGAGAATCTTAATGGTCCTCCAAATATGATTCGGACTCTAATGGAAATTTACAATCTTTGTTTACACCACATGAAAATTGGTCTCAAAGCAATGTTTCCAAAAAAAATATCTAATATTTATGAATCAACTCCACAGTTTCGCAAACTGACATGCAGCAGAATGGAGATGTATGAGATTGCTGAAATGTTTAGAAAATTTGGGTTCCAAAACGGAGGTATTGAAAGTTTTCCACTTGATTAGGTTTTTCTTTCAAAAAAAAAAAAATAAAAAAATAAAAAGCATGGATTTTCTTAACAATGAAGTAATTTTTATTTAAGGGTTAATAATATTCAATAAATTGTTGATCTTTTTGTGTTTTTAAACTATAGTCAGATTTGAGAAGCATTGGTAAGATCATTTAAACGATTGCGGTTCCATTCAATATAAATAAGAGGGTTAAGACCTTCAATTAAATCATCGACAGCCGTCAAAGAATTGTTTCCAAAACCAAGATCTTGTTCAAGGTTTAAGATAGGATGGCTGACACGGAGGCAGATACGGTGGGTTTTAAAGTAGACCTCAAATTCTTCAATAGAAACAGAAGTCATAACAGCTTTGCGAAGGTATTGTTTAACTTCATGACTAAATTCATATGAATATGAATATTAATGCTAAAAAAAATCATATTTATATCGGCCTCAGGATTTACCAAAATTAGTAGGGTTTAATTTCCAAGCTTCAGCATGACGTAAAACTTCACTTCACCAGTAAGAAATTTGCAAATGCTACGAGGCCAATCGGCAATATCAACGTTATAACTAAAAAAAAATAAACTGAGTAGCAAAATAACGTTGATCAAGAACCCTCCGATAGTTTTTTTTTTACCAGCGTAGATGATAAGTGTTGGGTTTGAAAGAAATATCAGTATTGTTAGGAACAAAGAAAAAACCCTTCAGGAGCAACAAATGAAGTATTAAGGGCAGCCATTGGAGATGGTAATAAAACAAAAATAATAAAATAGGAAATTAATAATAAATTCAAAATCAAAATCTGAAAAATAGCTATCAATATATTTTGGTAAAAAGGGTTTAAATAGAGTCGGAGCCTCTAAAGAAAGAAGTAAGCGAATAGTCTACGTGACCTTAGTAGTCAGGAATATATCTGATAACAACTAAGATGCATCATACCATTATAAGAACAGTATAATAAGTCTAATACGGTTTGTTTTTATTTTTACGATATATTTATATATATATAAATTTTATAATGATATTATTATAGAGAAAAAACCTTAATGTTTCATAGTAATTTTTTGGGACTTAAAAAAAAAATGGATTTAGTCAGTACAAACAATCTTATTTTTGCCTAAAATTTTAAATTTAAGAAATAATTGGCTTATTTAAAATTACTTTTAATTAAATATATATATATTTAAATGTAAAACAAACCGTGTTAACTTTTAAAACATTAGAAAATCCACTAAAAAAAGAAATGTGAGAATTGTTTTATCAATTGATGTAGTTTTAATATCATATTTTTTATTATAACAATGCGGCTTAACTGGCTCGATGGTTTAGTGGTATAATTCTCGCTTAGGGTATTCTAAGCAATTTGCGAGAGGTCCCGGGTTCAATTCCCGGTTGAGCCCAGTCGTTTTTACTTTCTTTTTTGATCCTAATAATGCTACTTGAACTGGTGTTCCTAAGAAACAAACTGACAAAATAACAATTCAGCCATGTCTGAGTTATTAGACAAAAAAAATAACGTTTTTAGTGCCGTTGCCCAGAATCGAACTGAGGTTTCTTCGGAATTGTTCGATTTTGAAGCCACAACGAAGTGTACTAACCACTATACTACAACGGCTTTTTGATAAACTTGCCTGGGAGTCAGACTTCGCAAAATAAATCCTCATCTAATAGGTAATGGATAATAAAATATCTTGTAATCGGGAGGGAGAGGGGAAAGGGCTGGATGGTGTAAAGGGTAACACGTTCGCTCGATAGCGGAAGATACTGGGTTCGATTCCCAGAATACCCCCTTTTCCTGAGGATGTGTACGGGAGTATACACCTAAACTTAAAACCATAGGCTACCCTGGTTACAGGAATGCCGACTCTTCCGTACAGTCTAAATAGCCTGCAGGTGATTGCGGACCGTATCTCTGACGGAAGAGATTAAGAAATACATGGGCGTCCGTGAAGATAAGTGGAAATGGGTTGGGAAGGTTTTGGGACCGACAGACTGGTTCCCCCTGTTCCTCGTAAGCTGGCATCAGGGCCCATCTTCCGGGCTACCGGAGACGCACAGAACAGAAACCACCCGTACTAAAAAGGTACAAATGAAAACCGGCAAGTCACATAGTCAGACAATAAAAGGATAGCGCAGATGCTGATGTTATATAGTTCTATAACCCTTGAATAAAAACAAACAAACAAACATAATCGGGAGGGAAAGGGGAAAGGGCTGGATGGTGTAAAGGGTAACACGTTCGCTCGAAAGCGGAAGATACTGGGTTCGATTCCCAGAATACCCCCTTTTCCTGAGGATGTGTACGGGAGTATACACCTAGACTGAAAACCATAGGCTACCCTGGTTACAGGAATGCCGACTCTTCCGTACAGTCTAAATAGCCTGCAGGTGATTGCGGGCCGTATCTCTGACGGAAGAGATTAAGAAATACATGGGCGTCCGTGAAGATAAGTGGAAATGGGTTGGGAAGGTTTTGGGACCGACAGACTGGTTCTCCCTGTTCCTCGTAAGCTGGCATCAGGGCCCATCATCCGGGCTACCGGAGACGCACAGAACAGAAACCACCCGTACTAAAAAGGTACAAATGAAAACCGGCAAGTCACATAGTCAGACAATAAAAGGATAGCGCAGATGCTGATGTTATATAGTTCTATAACCCTTGAATAAAAACAAACAAACAAACAAGTAATCGGGAGGGTTTGGTTATTGTTAACCTCCTGTTCCTCGTAAGCTGGCATCAGGACTTATTTTCGGGCTGTTGGAGATGCAATATTGAAGGCAAAATTAAAAGTTTATTTTGAAAATGAAAAGATATATAGTATGGACAAGAAGGATAGCGCAGATACTGATGTTATATAATTCTATAACCCTTGAATAAAAACAAACAAACAATATCTTGTAATCCTTTCTTTAATTTTTATATTGAAGTTTCGGCATATTGTTGTCTGACGATTTACCTATGAAAAAAAAAAAGTTTCGTCGAATAAATTTTATTTTTTTATAATAAAAAATATATAAAAAAGTAACTCCGACACGGGGAATCGAACCCCGATTTCCACGGTGAGAGCGTGAGGTGATAACCATTACACTATATCGGACTAACTTAAAAGTTTAAAGGAGTTATCGTATTAATGTAACAAAATATATCTTCATAATGATTGTATTGACATTTTTTATACTCAAAAACGATAGCGCAGATGCTGATGTTATATAATTCTATAACCCTTGAATAAAAACAAACAAACATTATACTCAAAAATTGTATCTAGGGGATGTAACAACACTTTTTTATTTTCTGTAGACACACAGAACAAAAATACTTGTATTAAAAAGGTAAAAATGAAAACAGACGCAAGTCACCTAGTCGGACAATAAGATGCTGGTGTTATATAATTCTATAACCTTTGAATAAAAACAAACAAACAAACAGGTAATTAAGGGGTATATGGTTTGAAGATAAATTTTTGGTCGGTTAGGGCTACCTGATAAGAAAATAAATCATATTTAATATATTTTTAAGCATAAATTAAGAAAACTAAACAAATATACATTACATCACTAATATGTTATTCTGATACACTTGATACATTTAAATGTACTTGTTTTCAACAAGCCATTGCTTGACTTCCTTGCCGTCACGCTCAACCCACTCAGTATTTGCCTTGATAGTGTCAAGAGCCTGGCCCAAGGAGCGCTCAAAGCCATGTGTATTTTTGTCGCTATAGAATGTTTCAATTTCCTTGTATGCCTTCTCAGAAGCAAAATTGGTAATCATAAGACGCACGAGACGGTCCAAAACAACCATGTTGGTGGAAAACTTCTTGTAAATGGCATCCCAGTTGGCCTTGAGATACTCCCATGACTTCCAACGGGCAACAACATTGGCAGCAAGTGAGCCACCAATAGAATGGGTATCTTGAGAAGGAACTTCATCAGATAAAATATAGTTAAGACCGCGGTCAATCAAAGCAGCATCAGTCACAGAGCCGAGAGAAGAAAGAGCAATCTCAGCACTGTCAACACTAGAAGGCTTAACAACCTCCTGGAAAATTGCATCGTAAGCTTCGGTAAGCTCAGAACCAGTGGTATACTTAAGTACAGCTGTGAAAACAGCGTGACGAAGAGATGGATGGATAGCAGACTTGTCGCCAGTCTTCCACTTAGCAAAACGAGTCTTGGCTTCGGAAATCACGCTCTCAACACCAACCTTAACAGAAGAGCCAATGATGAGAGTTCTCAAACGGCCAGTGCGGTAGCCCTCATCCTTAGCAAATTCCCAGCCAAGTTGTTCCAGATTGTAAGAAAGAACGTCCCTAGTAAGAGCAGCAAGACCCTTTTGAGACTCTTCATCTTGTTCAAACCAAACAGAACGAAGAGCACCGAGACGCTTAAGAATCTCACTCCATACCTCAAAGCTAGTGTCTTTCTTGAGAGCCAAGATCAGAGATAAAAGACCAGAGGTAGAGCCGCTTCCAGCAATGGCGAGAGAAGCAGCATCAGCAACAACACCGATTCTGTCATTGAGAGAAAGTTTCTCAATATTGGAGGCAATGTTTGTGAGCTGTTCAGCAGAGTAATTAACGCGGTAGACGTTAGTCTGGTTTTTATTTAAAAGGAAAAAGTCAACTTCGTTAGCAAGACCAAGAAGAACAAGATCCTTGGTTTCCAAAGTGGTTCCAGAAGAAGATGTGATAGTGGCATCAGCTTCAGCACCGCTGGAAAGCGACAGGGGGACCCACCAGACAGTCTCATTCTCTTCAGGTTTAACATCACCACCTCTAAGGAAACGATCCTGCTGAAGAGTGACATCGCCGGTATCCTTATTAACAACAACAGTGATAACAGGGAAACCAATCTTTCCAGTCCAGTTCTTCATGGCAGCATCAACATCGATACCTGAGACATCAGAAAGCGAAGACCAAAGGTCGATAGTGTGGGCATTACCATAAGCATGCTTTTTAAGGTAGTTGGAAACACCCTTGAGGAAGGTTTGAGTGCCAAGCTGGTTACTCAGCATGCGAATGGTAGAAGCACCCTTGAGATAAGATATACTGTCAAAAATCTGATCAATATCGAGAGCAGACTTAACAGGAACTTCAATGGGATGAGATTGACGCAAAGAGTCAAGGCCAAAGGCACCCTGAAGAGCCTCGGTAATGAAACGGGAAAAGACCTGCCAATCAGGGTATAGGTGGTCAACTGCCAGCCAGCCGACATAAGTGGCAAAGCCTTCATTAAGCCAAAGCTCGTTCCACCAGTCCATGGTGACGAGGTTGCCGAACCATTGATGAGCCAGCTCATGGGCAACGACGTAAACTACCCGAGTCTTGTAAGCAGCATCACTAGTTTCCTCATCGTAAAGAACAGCGGTAGTGCGGTAAGTAATGAGACCCCAGTTCTCCATGGCACCGTGTGAAAATTCGTGGACAGCCAACAGGTCGACTTTAGGAAGAGCATAATCGATATCAAAAATTTCAGAAAAGTAATCAACAATCTTGGCAGCGCTTTCAAGAGCCAATTGACCCTGGCTGGAAAGACCCTTAGTGGTGTAGACTCTCACAGGCAACTTGCGACCATTGTAAGATTTTTCGGTAAAGGCTTCAATGTACTCAAAATCACCAGTAGCCCAAGCAAGCAAGTAAGTGCTCATGACAGGAGTGGTATCAAAAGTAACAATCTTGGTGTTTGAGCCGTCCTCACCAGACTTCTTACCACTGCCTGGGGTTTGACTGGAGACAATGGGCATGTTGGAAATAGCAGTCCATGTCTCTGGAACAGCAATGGAAAGGTCAAAGGTGGCCTTAAGATTAGGTTCATCAGCACAAGGGAAAGCACGACGAGCATCAGTAGCTTCGAACTGTGTAGACAGCATAAGGGTGTCCTTTCCGGAAGAAGCCTCCTTGTACTTGGAGCGATAGAAGCCAGCCATGTTTGTTTGGATAATACCTGAGTAATTGACAGTGACAAGAACCTTACTGACAGCCTCCCCAATAGGAGTAGCCAATTCCAAAGTCACAACCTCTGTAGGCTTGTCATATGAGATGGAGGTCACATCAATGACCGACTCGGTTTTTGTGGAAAAGGTGGCGACAGTTGCATCCTTGATAGTCAGGTCGCGTGCATTGAGGTAGACCGCGCTTGTGGGAGCGGTAACAGCATAATGAATGACGACGGTACCGTTGAAAGTAAGAGCTTCGGTATCAATTTCGTAGATCTTTAGATTGTAATTAACGGGCTTAAGGCCCTTAGGCAAAACATCGCGGTCTTGAGAAGACATTAGTGGTGGCAAATTTTGGTTGTTTATAGTGGTTGATGGTGGTAGTGAAGAAAAAAAAAAGTTGGCTGGGGAAAAAGCCTTACCTGAGTGGAGTATTTATATCGTCATCAATCACAACAACAACAACAACAACAACAACAACGACAACGACGCATCCATAAAAAACGGCGGATATCAAAGGAAAGCGCCGTGTACACTAATAATTCAATTAATTAAAAAAAATAATTCCTAAATGTATATCTTTATGATTATTATTATGATTCCACTTCAGTCGTCAACGCTCATATCGGATTCCTCATCTTCCGAAACACGCAGACCCCCAGCTGAGTGTGTTTGCTGCAAAACGCCGCCTGTAGCAGGTCCCAAGATGGGTGTAGACTGCATCTCGACCGAAGCATTGCTTGTCATGTTCCCAATGCTCAAGCTGTGAGATCCAGAATGCTCGTCATGTCCGGCTCCCAAAGAGTTATCATTGTGATGTCCAGATACGGCATCATTAGTTATTATCGCAGCCGTATTATTATTGTTGATGGTACTAGTTGGTGTTGTGCCGTTGCTATTATTACTCCACCCATCATCACCATCCCCACGCCGGTACGGATTTGCAAAAAACAGTCTACTATATCGTCGATGTACCGCTGCACCAGGCGGCGGCTGCGTTCGCCCAGGTGTTTCTGGTGACTCGGGCCCTATGCCATACTCAGAATCGAACCGCGAGCTTACCCGTCGACTGCCGCGTCTTGATACCGTCGTGGGAAACCCCAGTGCCGCTTCAGCGCCGTTCGCGCCCAGCAAGGCTGGCTGGCCCGAGGACGCCGCTGCAGTCACTGCTACTTCCGAAGCTGGTCTGTTGGATGTTGATGGAAACACTGCAGCTGCAGTCACTGCTGCTGCAGCCACAGAAAGAATTGGAGGGGGTGTGAGCGACCCTGAGCGAATCGTCAAGGAGTACGGCGTTTCTGGATCTGCGCCAGACGACTGTCGCAGAGGCGGAGGTCCAAGTGGTGGTACCGTTATCAATGAAGGTCGAGAGTATTGCACAGGTGGTAGCATTCGCGGTAGCATTCGTGGTTCGGCCGCCTCTGCCGATGCATCTGGGTGATCAGAATCAAGCGATTGATTAGCACTGCGGGTGCCTCCTGGGAGAAGAGACCGAGCCGTGCTCTCCGCAATGAAGTCAAACCGACTACTGCTCAATGAATTGGAGAAATCGAACTCCATTGCCGAGCTCTCGCGCGTATGGCTATTTCCGTTACTGCCAGTGCCACCACCCTGATGGTGCATAATTGGTCTGTGTAGCGATGAAGATGATGACGAAGATGGAAAGTATCCGTGGTTGGCTGCTGCTGCTGCTGCTGCTGCCGCCGCTGCCGCTGCCGTTGTACTACCCCCAGCACCACTTGCGTGACTCCCATAGAAAAAGCTGCGCTCTGTATCTTCATCAAACGAGTATTCTTCTTCGTTAGGATGGTGCGGGGTGTGCCGTATGAAACTTGCGTTAGCTCCTGTAGTTGCTGGCGTCATTGACGTTCGTGGCTGTGTTTGCGGAGTACGATGTGTTTCTTCAAAATCATCTTGTTGGTAATCATCGTCGTCAAATAGGGGGCCCTCATACTCGCCTTCGTCATATTCATCGTCGGAATAGTCGTAGTTAAATTCCTCTGCTTCCTCAATTTCTGCATCTAAATCTGCCTCTTCCTCTGCATCTTCTTCCTCTTCTGCATTAGGTTCTTCAATACCTTCATCTTCCAAATTATTCAGGATAATATTGTTGTTCATGCCGGGTTGTCGCGCATCGTCAAATGTTATAGAACCTCTGCTTATGTCCGGTACTACTTCCATGGCCTGGTCCTCCAAAATTTCTGGGCCTTGCACAAGTCCATCAGTCGGCATGTCTCCAGGTACTTGCATCATTCCTACATCTAGATCCAAACTTTCCTCGCCCATTTCACTCATTTCTTCTTCCTCCAGCATGGTCTTAAGTGTTTTGGGTACTCCAGGAGGCTTCAAGTAGTCAAATCCAAACGTCCGTAGCGTAGCCATATAGTACCACCGGTTGAACCTGCTTTCAGTTATTGCTTGAGCACTTAATCCACAAGCATTGCGCGAAGGGGTCCATAAAACTAGAGGAGACCTACGAGCTTTGGGAGCACCAAAAGCTGACCTTGTCACAGACCCATCTAGTCCAGGAGGTGCAATCAAGCCTTCGAGCTGAGGACCTGGCATTAGCGGCTCTGGAGGAACTTCCTCGTGAGGCAAAACTTCATCATTTTCGTTATATCCGTTAAACATGTTGAACGATTCAAAGTTGTTTTGGCGGTTATTTGTTCCATGGCCAGAAGTGCTGCTGTTATTGTTGTTGCTGCTAATGTTGTTGTTGTTGTTATTATTATTGTTTGCTTTACGCATGCCTGCAAACGGTGACTGCATTACATGGGGAGTATGCCCTTTAGACCCTCGAGCCTTGTAAATATCTGTTGGCAAAATCAATGGGAACTCCATTGTTTGGATTGTCTAACTTGGTTCTTGTGGTGGGAAGAATGCTTTTTTAAAGGCTTGGAAACCCCAAAGAAAAAAAGAAAATCGGTGGATCGTAAACAAAGTAAACACAACAAGATTCTCACCCAAAACGTTATTTCAAAAAAAAAAAAAAAAAAAAAAAAAAAAAATTATTATATTTTAACTTTTTTTTTTTTTTTTTTTTTTCAAAATAGATAAAACATTCCGTCATTAAGAATAGAGATTATTTTTATATAATATAATATGTGTATATACAACTAGTTCAACAAAAGACAGTCTATACAAATCTGTCCATATCGTTCATAAATCATCATAAAAAGAGGAAAAGAAGAGTTGGTCGTAGGGTACAAAAAAAAAAGCACCAGGCTTCCTATGAGCTCTGAAGCACGCTTTGACCAGACTCATTAAGTCTAACAGTACCATCATCCTCTTCCTCTTCCTCACCAGACCCAAAAAGCCAATCCCATTGCCCCTTTTTGTGGATCATGGCCAGAAGCAAAATAGCAGGCAAGTGGATGACACTACCCCAGAAAAGCTTCCGTGCAAAGCCGTTGCACTTTGCAGAAGACGAATACGACCCTTGGCCACTGCCATTTGTGTTCATATTAAACGGCAGTCCTGTTTGGTAAAGAACGCCGTTACGGTTGGCAATTGGCTTGACAGAGCGCTGCTCCAGCCAAAACTTATAGGCCCATAATGTAAGCCAGCCATTGACAAGCGAACTGTCAAAGGCAAAAACCCAGTCTGTGATGTTAAAGTAGCTCATGCCAATACAAATAGGAAACATTAGGAGCGAGTAACGTAAAGCCACGCGCGCATTGAGTGCAGGGTTAGTCCACGCTGCCATGACATACCCAGCATTCTTGTACTCGTCACGAATGCTATGACTGAGAGCATTAAAATGTGGGAATTGCCATGTGTAAAGCAAGGCTGCTAAACACCACGCACCAGGATCGGCAAGCGAGCTGGAGGCGGCCCAGCCCATAAGGGGTGGAATGGCGCCAACAACAGCGCCAACCCACGTGTTTGAGATGGACTTGCGCTTGAGAGTTGTGTAGATAATACCGTAAAGGATAATGTTACTGGCGCCAAGGTAGGCAACGGTAGGGTTGACTCCCCAGTACAAGGAAGAAACACCAACAATACCAGAAATAGCAGCAAAGCTGAAAGCCTGATTAGGGGTGATAAGACCACGGACAACGGGACGAGTACGGGTGCGCGTCATGAGAGCGTCGTACTGGTACTCGCGACCCATGTTGATTGCGTTTGCCGATCCCGATGAAAGGGTCGTACCAATTGTAAGAAACAAAAGCTGAGCAAGCGTAGCATGGTTTGGCGTGAGGGCATAGGCAGACATGGCGGAAAGCACAACCAGCGCGGAAAGACGGGGTTTGGTGAGTGCAATATATGGAGCAAAAGGAGATTGTGTTTTAGCTTTAGAAACAGACTTTTTGGTGGTAGTATCAACAGGAGTCACTACAAATGGTGTATTAGCAGAGGCTGTTGCCGCTTGGGAAACAGTATCTGTGGGTTTAGTGATACTTTCGTCCTTATCAACGCACGAAAAAGCCTTGGTAGCAAAATCGACTACAGGCTTTGAGTCTGGTGACAAAGAAACACGGATAGGTGTGGGGAATGGGTTTAAAGCTGCATCTTCTGCAGAAGTTGCATACTTGGTAGCAGCATCCTCTGTAGATGTAGCAGTTTGGGGTATCGGTTTTTGGGAGCTCTCTGAGTTGTTTGGTGTGGAGGAAGTTGATGAAAGTGCTATCTGCAAAAAAGAATTTGAAAGGAAATCAAAAGGCTTAGAAGATGAAGACGAGTGAGAAGAAGCAAGTCCCGAAGATACAACGGAGGCCAGAATACCCGAAGACGAAAAAGTCCGTCGACGAACAGGTGATCTGTTTTGGGAGACAAAAAAACGCCGGGTACGGGCAAGAGGCTCAATGTCAGCAAAAACCACGGCAGAGTACCCGACAGAAAATGACAGCAGCTGCTGGTTGGCGAACCCCGTGGCTCGGGATTTCAGCAGCATTGGTTATTTTTGAGAGGAATGTGTACGTTTGTGTTTGTGTTTGTTAGAAAAAAAAATATTGGCTTCCGTTCTTAAGTCAGCATGTGAGCGAGACTAGGCTGAGACGTATTGAATAGAAAGGTATTTTGACGGCCCCCCCAATAAAAAAAAATTGTGATCAAATTTGGAGCGTAGATCAGCACTTCAAAAGTGAGTTATCGGATCTGTAGAATATATAAGATGCTGGTTAAGCAAAAGGATGATGGTATTTGTTAGGGAGGGGGTGGTTGTGGTGATTGTGAAAAGGGAGGATTTTTTTATGTCTGTGCCTACAGGAAATTTTTCTGACTGGAGCAGGCTGTAACAAATGGAATAAGTCGGACTGTAACAAGTCCCCGGCCATTGGACGGCCTTTGCGCGCGGAGAACATAGAAAAGCCCTTACCCTGATAAGATTAGATCTTGTTGGCCAATCGAAATTCCAAAGAAGTAGAAGATTAGATTCAATTATATTATTGGTCCTTTTGCTCTTTTTCTTCTGTTTTTGAACCTACAATGTTCTCTCTGTCTTTCCCTCTTTCTTTCTCTTTTTCTGTCTTTCTCTCTTTCTCTTTCTCTCTGTCTCCTTTTTTTTTAAAAAAAAAATCTAAAGTCCTATTGTATTGTTTTGTTGAAATATAAAATCTATAAAACTGTCTTTTTAAGCACATAAACAAAATAAACTAGAGCGGCTATGATTACACTAATCATACTCACAATAGCCGGATACTTAAACTCTTGGGGAGTGGACCACTTCATTGTCTGTGCAAACGATACAAGCTCAAAAAAGCTCTGGCATGCTGCTTCAGCTGAAGAAAACCGTGCTCGGTTTTCAGCTTCAACACCATTTTGAATGAGGACTTGTGCTGAAAGATCAAATCCCCAGAGACCTATACGCGACAGAATGACGCCAACAACAAGATAAAGTGCACCACGAGGATCAGTTCCTAATTGAGGCCATGCAAGCGAGAGACCAGCAACAAGGCATGTTACTTGCCACAAAATGAAAATTGCACCCGAGTAAAGAGGGCCTGTGAATCCCATGACCCAGGGAGAAAGAAAAGTCGTGCTGAGCTCACAAATTACCGAAACCGTACGAAGCAAACCAACTTCGATTGGGCTACGGCCTTGGAAAAGCAAAAAAGATACCATTTGAGGACCAAAAGATAGCACTGTGAGATATAAAATAGACAAACTGAATGATACCAGTACCATTTTGTGATCAAAATAAAAAGTAAATGGTGAAACAAAGTTGAGGTATAACCATGAGATTAATTTAGACAAGATACCTACTCGAGATCCCTGTGTTGTAGCTGGATTTGGAAGATCTGTGGTCGGTTGAAGTGCTGGTTTGTCCTCCTGCAATTCATCAAAAGCCTGGTAGACTTTCTCAATGGTAAAGTACTCGATAAACATGGATCCAAAGTTCCAGAGAAGAAGTATCCAAATAAGACCCACAAGTGGTAACCATGCATCAAGATAAGAGATGGCAAGAGGTCCGAGAAGTTTGCAAAATAGATCGATCCGGCGCATTCGAGCATTGAGAATCTGCAGAAATCGCGAATCATTGCCTGCAATGACGACGACCCAGTCCCGTTCAACGGAAACAAGGTTCATAGTTGCACAAAGACGTTCTACGCAAGCACAAATGATGAGAAGAGCCATGAGAATGTTGAACTTTGCAGAATACACAAGAGGGTTAAGCTCCAACGAAGACTCGAAGGTCATTGCTATCATTTCGGCATTGCTATCGCCGCGCTGCGGTTTAAGAAGCAACGCCATGAGCCATAACAGAAAACATGTGGTTACGACGGCTATACGTTGGTGTACAATGGATGTTCTTACGACTTCGAGTCTGTTTGTGTGGTCAATGTAAAGGCCTAGCTTGTGTGAAAAAATAATGGCTGTAAGGGAGCGGAAAAAGGCGTATAGTGAGAGCGGCAGGAACGTGTTTGGAACCATTTCTGCGAGAAAGAGGACTGCACCATATTCCAGCACTCGTGCATTCCATGTGGAAAGGAAATGTGAGAAGTAAAGGTAATAAGATATTTTGTGGGCTGGCTGTTGTTGTTGTTGTTGCTGTGATTCAAAATCTTGGAGACTGTTTTCGGAGTCGTCAGTGGCCTGTGATGTTCTACTGACCGTGGAATCGCTCAGTAGCGCAGTTTCCTCGGTAGCCTTGAGCTTTCCAGTATCTTGTTTGCTTGATAATGTGACCATTGAACAGTTGCTTGTAAAAAGAAAGTTTAAAAAAAAGAAAAAGGAATGTTGCAAAGTCTTTTATTAAATATTTATAAGAAATCAAAGTCTTTTTTGATTTGGGGTGCGATCAGTTGTGTAGTAAGCCAGCATGAATCATAATTGCAGGCTGAGTAATCTGAGTCCGGCAGATTGTGATTGGCTAGGTGGGATTATGTCTAGAAGCGTGTGTATGTGTTTGTTTGCCAATGTGATTAAAATAGGCAAATCTCCCAAGTTCAGCCGGTTTGAAAGAAAAAAAAAAAAAAATTTGTGGTTTGTGTGTATAAAAAAAGCAAGTTGAAAAGCTTGGGCGTTGTGTGTGTGTATTTTTTTGTTTTTTTTGCCAGGTCCAAATAAGAAAAAGTCTAGGCCGCCAGTCTAGATGAATAGACCAGTTGCTACAAATGCACCAAGATAACTCCTACCATTAAAATAACTAGATTCACGTGCAATAACAGAGATTGATAGACACCGAAGTTAAACCGAAACGTTGAAATTTTTATATAAAAAACAGATATAAATACAATAAAAAGAAAAAGAAAAAGAGACATTAAATATATACTTAAACAAAGGCTTGGATGCCAGTGATTGCACGACCAAGAATCAGGGCGTGGATATCGCTCTGGCCTTCGTATGTCTGGACAACAAACAGGTTGTGTGCGATACGGCCAATGTGGTATTCATCACTGACACCGTTACCACCAAAGATCTCCATAAGCTTGCGAGCATGGTACAGAGCGCGCTCAACGTTTTGACGCTTGACAACAGAGATCATCTCAGGGGTGCCCTCACCAGAGTCTTTAAGGCGGCCGACCTGCAGCGACGCGAGTTGGCCGTAAGCAACATCAGTCAGAGCCTCAGCAAGCTTCATTTGGATAAGCTGGAATGATGCGAGGGGCTTGCCAAACTGCTTGCGGTCGAGAGCATACTGGCGAGCAAGGTTGAGAGACTCCTCAAGAGCACCAATAGCACCCCACGAGATACCGTAACGGGCACTGTTGAGACAGGTGAAGGGGCCCTTAAGACCGGTAATTTCAGGGAACATGTTTTCGGCAGGAACCTCAACATCGCTCATCTGGATCATACCAGTGATGGAAGCGCGCAGCGCAGTCTTGTGCTTGATCTGAGGGGTAGCGAGGCCACCAGAACCGCTTTCGACCTTTTCACGTTCAACAATGAAACCACGAATCTTGCCATCGAGCTTAGCCCAGACAACAGCAATGTCAGCAATAGGAGAGTTGGTGATCCAGTTTTTGGCACCATTGAGCACGTAAACACCTTTCTTTGTGGGGTGGGGTTTGGCAGTGGTTTCCATTGAACCAGGGTCTGAACCATGGTTAGGTTCAGTGAGACCGAAGCAGCCAATGAGTTCACCAGTGGCCAGCTTAGGAAGGAAGCGCTCCTTCTGTTCAGCAGTACCAAACTCATTGATAGGGAGCATGACGAGAGAAGATTGGACACTCATAGCAGAACGGTAGCCTGAATCAATGGCTTCGACTTCGCGAGCAATAAGACCATAAGCGACAGTGGAAACACCAGCGCAGCCATAGCCCTCAATAGTAGGACCCAGGAAGCCGAGTTCACCCATCTCACGCATGACCTTCTTGTCAAAGTGCTCATTGCGATAGTCTTCCAAAACACGGGGGTAAAGCTTGTCGCGGCAGTATTCGCGCGCACTCTGAGATACAGCGAGCTCCTCGTCGGTAAGCAGAGTATCGAGACGGAATGGGTTTTCCCAGTTAAACTGGGCCTTGGCAGCAACGCGCGAAGTAGAAAAGCAGCGAGCTGTAGACGAGGATGCCAGACGGGGGATATTTCTAAGGGTGGAATTGATCATTTTATATAGAGGTAGTATATTGGGATGGGATGTGGTATTAGAATAGTTGAATAATTTATAAAGATATAAATAAAAGATGATAGAGAAGAGAAAGAGTAAAAAGAAAAAAGAAAAAAAAAGAAAAATTACAGAGGGGGGAATGTCTGGTTTTTATATATATACACAAAAAAAAAACTTTTATGAGAAACTCTTTGACCAAGCTGTTATTGAAAGAGAGGGGGAGGGATTGAAAGAGATTCTTTGAGTGGTGGTGATCTGTGACACCGCATTTTGGGAGGAGGTTTTGGTGTTTTTCGGCGAGTTGGCGGCTAAAGCGGCTTTGGGGGGGATGGGTTCTGTTTACTTGGTGTGTCAAAGTTCGTCTGGCTTCGTCTGGCTTAGGAAGGTACATTCGGTCAAACAGCCGCTGAAACCCTAGCCCATTGAGGGTCCATGCTCCCGCTTTATTGCGCCCACGAGGGTCCATGCTCCCGCAACACATCTTTAGCGTTACCCCAGATTTTCCAGCTGGTCTTTCTTCACCTTCGATAACAAACGTCTCACCATAATATATTGGGCTATCTATATACAACTATATAGACCTAACACTACTGCAACTACTACTACTCCAAAGATTGCATTTACTCGAGATTCTCTATTGTCCTAAAGGAAGAATGCTTCCAGAAAACCCATTTAATCCGAGGAATTTGAGTGAATGAAAAGATTATCCTTTCATTATTACCACTCGGCAAATACTGCAAACTTATGCCGTGGCTCAACCTTCTTGGGCTTGAATATCTTTCCTCCAATTCCGCGCGACGTATGTTTAACCACAGACTTGACTGCGCCCAATGTTCTTCGGCGGCCTTTGTGTCGTTTTTTACCATTATACCGCCCGTTTTTTTTGTTTAGCCAAGTATCAGCATATTCATCAGACTCTCTCAATTCCATGCCATATCTATTGTTGAACAAAGGACAATCAAAGAGATACGCATCGCCTCGACCAAAAATGCGCCCGTGCCGCAAGTTCTTGAGTCCGCGCCGACCACCACCAAAGTACCACCAAATGGGAGCTTGAGCCGCATCCACAGCAAACTGCACGACGCGCGATACTTGCTCATTGCGGCCCAAAACAAGTTCAATTGGCGCCTTTACTAGGGCCACCACAGCGTCTCGTTTGCGCTTCATGTAGTGCTCTAAAATGCGCGCACGCAACCTTGTCACTGGGTTTAGTGAACTTCGTTTTTTTTGAATATAAGATGCCGTGCTGATTGTTTTTTCCACATCCTTGGCAAGTTCATCTACAGTGGGTGGTACAAGGTTTGCATTATTTTTGTTAATATTGTTGTTCAAAAGGATTGCATGTCTATTTAGCCTTTGATTTTTGCGAAACCTGTTGCGCCGTAAAGACTCTTTTTTGCTGCCACGTTCTTCTTGGCGGCGACGACGATGACGCGCTAAAAATTGTCTAAATATTGACTTCTTTCGCTCAATGTTATTACTAGTAATATCATAATCAACTTCAGAGTCCAAATTCTCTGGAGCACCCAGTAAAGCACTGGGTCTTTGAGTTTTCAGTGCATGTCTTCGCACTCGTTTCCCTTGCCGCAGCCTGTCCCGGGCCCGTCGTTCTTGTTTTTGTACAAGTTCAAGTCGCCTTCTGTTTTTCTTGTTCATTTTGGCATTTTCAGATGCAAGATAGTAATAAGATTGTTTCCTTCGTCTTCGTCGTCGTTGACCAGTTGCTAATTGACCTTGTTGCAAAAATAGTGCCACAGGCGATTTCTTTTTAGAAGGTTCTCTTTTTGAAAAAACTCTCCTAAGCCTGCTTTTATGCATATTTTTCTTGTCTCCTAAATGTTGGTGTTTGTCGGTTGGATCTTTACCTCGAATGGCATTCCATATATTTCGAAAGTCCCGCTTTCTGCTTTCTCTAGCAATAGGAGGAGAATACACTTCCATGCTTGATTTTTTTATATATTTTTTACTAAATTTACTTGATCTAAAGTCAGTGAAAGTTACATTTTATATTTATTTGAATACTTTTGTTTTCCAAAAAAAAAACTATAAGGGACCCGACAGTTGTCTTGTTGTTGGTGATGAAGAAAAAAAAAACTGAAATCTGGGGAAACTAGTCCACTCTACAGCTTGTTTAACTTGCTCTATTTTCTACCAAAAAGTAAGACGTAAGAAGTATAATTATGAATCATTCTGTAATATACTGTGTATTAAGTAACTTTCAGAACATGATTATATCAGAAATGTTAAATTTTTTGTTAATTTAATTATCGTAATGGAGAGTTAATTGAGTGGCTAGTTAGTTTTTAATAACTTTCATGTTTTTCATAAAGAAATAAATATTTCTTTTTATTTAGCTTATCTTCTGATAATTTTTTACTAATTTAAAAGATCCAAGTATTTCATGTAAATAAAATTGGTTATACTAACAATGTATAACGGTTATTCTCAATCTCAATCTAATTACGGCTTCGTTTAATTTAAACAGTCTTATTGTTTGTATATACTCTGAAATTAATTATTACAAGCAATAACGCATATGCGTCACACTTAATATTCAACTGGAATGGAAATAAATGAAATGGAATGGGATGGGTTCCCAGCCTGTTTGCAACAATTCCTAAAAAGGAGAATTTATCACCTAACCCTGGCTTACTGTGACAAGAAAATTTCTCATTTAACAATTTGATTTCAACCTGCGGGCGTTGAAATTGTCTTACAAAGTCAGATGTGTGGGATGTATTGTCTATTTAGGGCATTGACCTAACCCTAGCACTAAAAGAAGCCTTACCCTCTAGGGAGTATTGCCCTTTGCTTAATCGGCAATTTAAAAAAAAATAAAATAAAATAATAACATACAGACACCATTTAACCATCGCAGTGATAAATCTTGAAAAAAAAAAATAAAAGAGGAGACCTAATTCCTCGGCACTATGATTCCGTCGCCAAGGCCTTGAAATAACCCCTAACCCAGATAAACCATAAAGATTTTAATAAATCTGCGCAGACTAAATGCAGAAAAGGGGCACCTTCCATGGTTTTTTTGTCAAGTCCTTTAAATAGGAGAGGCTCTCTCGGAAACTTTTCGTTTTCTTAAACTTTTTTTTTTTTTTTTTTTTTTTTTTTTTAATTTTGCAACAAAAATATTATTCAAATAATTGAACCTTTTTAAATTTTTTTTTTCTAAAATGTCTTTAAAACTCCTTTCCTATACAACTTTTGTTATTTTGATTTAAAATTTTTTTTAAAAAAAATCACTCAAATGTCGTCTATAAGTTTTTAAAGACCCTGAAACTCATCGCAGACCAGCAGATAACCAACTGGTTTAGCCTTTGTGGACCCCCCTGAGCCAGCTGCCTCGTAACCAACTAAGCACAGACGTTTCAGCATCACTATTTTGAAATCATTACAGCGACCTGCTAGTTGTGATAAAAGACCACTTCCAGGGCTAGGGCTGGACTTACCACGTGTGGTAATTGCTTACTGCTTCTGATAATTTACGAAAGGGTTAGGGCTTTTTTATCATTATGCTTATATTCTGCGAGATCGGCGATCGGATCTTTTTTTGGTACGTTATAAACGCTATTCTGCCAGCCTGCCAGCCAGCCACCAAATTTTTAGCTTTTTCATGGCAAGTTGACAATTTTTAGTATTACATCAGCATAAAATAAAATAAAAAAAAAACCTTCAAAACCACCAATATCACCACAATCGCAACAACACCTAGATATCCACACACTGTCTAGGGATCATATCCAACTTTTCCGTTCTTTAAGTACCGATCTTCTCTCAGTTTTAATCCAATACAGGTGTCTTAGATCGATTCTTCTTTGTCCTATTCATTACCCTTCTTTTGGACTTTTATTATTCTCATATAAAAGTCTTCTTGTTTGATGCTTACTCGCACTTACTGGAAGGTCATAACCAGCAGACAGGAGCACTTGTCCCCCCTGGCCGAGCTCATCTCCAAGCTCTGCCTTTCCTTCATTTTATCTAGCGCCCTCCGCAAATTTATTTTTTCCGCCGGGTCTATTATCCCGAGTATATTTTTTGTGTTGATGGTTGCTGCCGCCATTTCCAAGTCCTTTGCTAAAATGTCTTCTCGCATTTCACCCTCGGCCACTTCGTCATCAGCCACTCCTACACCCGCCTCTACCAGCCCGTCCACCGGTGCTGGTATCACAACACCACTGGCCTCTTCCGATTCACGAACCTCTCTTTTGTCTTCCTTTTACGCTCACGCAACCGGATCCTTTTATGCTGCTGCCTCGGCTGCAACATCGTCGGACCGAATGTCCCTACTCAACGCCATTGCAGGAATGGATGCTTATAAGGAACGCACCATGTCTCTTGTACGTCGACGATACGCTCTCTTTTCTAAAATGCCATTCCACCACCGCCAGCTCGCATCCGAAACCGGTTACCTCGACCGCATCCAAGCCCTCGAACCCAAAGTCCTTGCAAATGCAAAAGTTCTTGCAGACATGTCGCGTTTTGCAAAACAGTTTTACAATGTAAAACCTGCAGAAATGCGCGTCGCTAAACCAACATCAAATGTCCAAATAATCGAGCTCCTCCACCATTTTGTTCGCGATTGGTCCCTTGACTTACAAGCACAGCGTGCAGACCTCTTTAAACCTATTCTTGCCTCCCTCCATTCTGAATTCCCCTTGGAATCAAACAATAGCATACCTTCAAACAATAGCATACCTATACCAAGATCCCGGCGGCGCATTTTGGTTCCCGGGTCGGGTCTTGCGCGCCTTGCCTACGAAATTAGCCGTATGGGATTCCAAACCGAGGCTCTTGAGTACTCTAGTCTCATGGACATTGCCGCAAATTTTATCTTCCATGTTCCGGAAACTACCAGCTCTGCTTCCTTTTTGCTTTACCCTTATATCCATGACTTTTCACACCAAGTTTCTGGTGCAAATCAAGCACGGCCCGTGGCCATTCCTGATACTACACTGTCATTTGATCAAGATCCCCAATCTCCATATAGCCACACGAACCAGTTACCGCTCGTACAGCCTCCTACGCTCAAGATTGGATACGGCGACTTTACACATCTCGTCAGTAACATTAGGCAACCACGCATGATTTCAGATTCTAGCAGCAGCTTGTCTACTGGGGACGATAACTCAGAGGAAACCCCTTACCCAGACCAGTACGATGCTGTTGTGACTCTCTTTTTAATCGACACTGCAGAAAATGCCCTAAAGTACCTTGAATCCATTCGTGCTCTGCTAAAACCTGGCGGAGTCTGGATCAACTACGGACCTCTCAAATGGGGTACCTCGCCACAGGTCGAGTTTACCCTAGAGGAGCTCGAAATTGTAATTGCCAAACTCGGCTTTGCTGTCGAGCACCGTTTCCAGGGTATCAATGAGTACAACGGCGACTCACAGTCCCTCTGGCAGGGCATGTACAAAATTCGCGGCTGGGTCGCTCGCAAACCATATTGAATAATAATAAAAAAAAACAATTTGTATTTCTTTCACTTGTATTTTTCTTTTTTTGCTTTTCTATGAGTAGTACTGGGCAAGCTCCTCAACTACTGTCGTCAAGTGTTTTTGCCACCGATCCAGACTCTGCTGGTATACATCATTTCTGCGTGCGGAGTCAATTGTCTTCACTTTAAGCTTATACATGCCCAGCACAGGTTTATGGTCAGATACACGTGCCGCCAGAGATATGTAGCACGACGGCTCCACACGATCATCGTTGCGGCTTCGGTAGTAAATTCGATCGCACCATGCTGGCACACGCTTCTTTTCACTTGTGTCGTAATTGTCTGTGCCCACGTCAAACTTGTATGTTGGCGCAAATGTAATTGTAGGTTCGTGAAACGCGTGTAACCGATGCCCTGGGTTGCGTTTCAGTTGTGTCAGTAGCTGGTCCGATTCCAGCAAGCGAGTCAAGTCCCCATCCACAATCATGGAAATGGCCGTGGGCCGATGCAGGTTGATGCGGTAGTTCATGTCACCGGCGAAAAAACAAAACTCGTGGTCTAAAATCATAGTTCCGTCACCGCCATTCACAAAAACTCCGCGACCCTTGTACTTGGCATTATCATCAGTCCCTAGCATTGGTGTGTACAAAATCGTCTCAATGTCACGGTTCCGGTGCATGACATGGTTCTGTCCGGCTGCCAAATGACAGTTCACTAAACATATAGTGGAGTCATCAACCATCATCCGCACAGCAATACCGCCCTTGTTGCCATGCAATCCTCCCAGTCCTGTCTTTGTCTTGCCACTCTTAATGCTATGTAGTCGATGTGCGTGAAGAGCCTTGACGAATACACATGTAAACAAACCAACCATGTTGCTTGAATGCACAAGCGAATAGTTTTCTCCAAAATATTCCACCAGCTCGTACCCGAGCCGGTCCTGCCAGTCCTTGTACTGTGGAGAAATATGCGTTGAGGTGGCCACCTTCTGGTCCCGTTCCTTCTTGTTACGCTTAGAAAACATTGTTTTTGCAGTTAACGACTTGTTTTCTAAATCAACAAGTTCTTGGAATCCAAATGTGATAATCTCAGGACCGTCATTCGGGTCACAGGCCCGATTAAATGCATTATTGAGAAACAACCGGTCGTGCGTCGTTCGATCCAAATCAGAAGTCTTTGCCGCACCAGCGTTCCAAGTCATGTATAACAACCGCATATTGTCAAAGCTGCAAAACTCGGCATCGTGATCTTGCATATCGTTCTCAATCCAGTCAGCTTTAAGAAGACCATCCCAAATCAACACACCTTGTTCATTGCTTCCACTAAAAGACACCACTGGCATATGGCGCATTTCAGGTGACGAAAAAAAGGACGCTTCATTAGAAACAATTCCTCGCACTGAAGAATCGTGTGCACGCCACTCCTTGACAATGCGCCAGGGTCGGGATCCAATCTCAGCAACGTACATTGTGCCTCCGCTTGTGCCAATCCACAGGTGTGTCCCCACGCCAGTCAAGCTACTGATTTTATTAACGCACAACGTCACAGAGTCCACAACAGCCGCACGCGAACGAGACACTACAGAAATCACCCCGTCTTCGTGCCCAAAAAAAACCCAGTCTGGATACTTTTTCAAGTATGCTGCACAAGTAAAGTCTGAACCAGCACTAGTCTTTCCTGAAGGCAGCGCTGGACACAGAATTGGCCGGTTTGTTACTTGGAAAGCATCGCCTTGGCTAAGCGACGGGTGATATGCCGTGATTTGACGGTTCCGACCGATCCACACTTGATCTCCAGGAGACACCACACATAACGCTTTAAAGTAAGGCGTCATGCGGTATACCTTGGGAACATCATTAATGTAAGATTCCCAGACGCAAATCTTGCCGTCGTCACTAATGGTCCAGATAGTATCACCTACAGCATGGATTCCTACTATAGGCGACATGTGTACGTTGGTGCGCTTGTGGGTTACGTCACCACTGGAATTATAAATGTCTGCTTCCCACAGGTGTCCGTCGCGGGTGCCGAGCCACACGAGACGGCCACGCAAGTTAGGGTCTTGTGCTGGCTTGAAGCAAATGGCTGTGACACGCGTTTCAGAATGGCTAATGCCCCATATGCGTTCGCCAGTTAAAATATCAATGGCATTTGTGACAGAGGATGATGAAATGCATGCAATCGTTCCACAGAACCCTAAAGCATCCACCTTACCCTTTATGGGTAGTTCATGAATTGGCCCGCCAAAAATGGGTGCGCGTCGGTTACTCTGAGACCAGTCTACAGATTCAACAGTTTCTTGGCTGGATACGCCCGCGGGGCCGTTATCGTCTGAGTCGTAAGCACTGTCATCATCATGCGCAGTACTTCCGGTACTTGTAGTAGATGCTAGTGTGGTGCGACGGGGTGGAGGTACCAGTGTGAAGCTTGATGTTGAAGTGTTAGTTGATCCCAAAGACTGTAATGAAGATGGAGCTGGAACCCCACCAGGGGAAACAGGGGTATCTGAAATGCGTCTTCCTATCCCTGACGATTGAGAAAAATAATCCCCGCGCTGCGGAGGCGGGGGGAACGATGCTGGGTCTGGGAGAGGAGAAGTTACTGAAATTGGAGTTGGAGAAGAAACCGGAAGTGATGCTGGAGTTGAAGATACTTTTGCAGGGACCGGTGCAAAGTATCCTTGACCGTTAAACTCCATTGGTGATGTTGACGGGCTTGAACCATTAACGTAGCCTTCGAGATTTGCGTGTGAGCTCGAAGACCGAAGTTTGCGAGTGGGGGGCGGAGGCGGTGGTGGTGCGTGTTGGTGATGGCCTGACCCGAGCGGGAGTGGCATGAGCTTGTCAGACTGAAATGCGGATATTGCGCGTTTATGTACATGAATAGAGGTATGAGTATGTTCGTTAGGAGATGCTTGCGTCAGCGTGAAATGACGGGGAGGTGGTGGAAACATTGAAGGATCTGGCATCGAAGACGATGGTGTTGGAGGGGCTTGTTTGGGATCCAACACATCTCCACCAGAAAGGTGACGGCGGGGAGGAGAAGTTGACACATTAGAAGTGGTTGTTTGGTAAGGGATGTGTGGAGTAGACTGCGCAAAAGCCGGATTGACTGGCGTAACAGGCCGTGACGGGGGAGGTCGTGGGATATTTAGTTGCGCGGATGTTGCCGGACTCGTGGTAGGCTGTTGTTGTTTTGGATGAGTACCAGTTGGCGTGGATTTGCGGAGAACTGGCGGAGGTACCGACGAGCTGCGATTATCAAGAGCTGGAGGCAACGGCGGTGGAGGCTGAAAAGCTGTAGGATCAAAAGCTGGAGGTGCCTTTATTGGTGGCGGCGGTTTAGTTCCAGTTTTTATTGATAATGTTTCAAACTTGGGCGCAAGCGTCTGCTGAGACGGTGCGGGTCCGGAAACTGGCCGGTTCGTGGTTGGATTTATTGTGACCGACACAACCGTTGTAACCTCATCAACAGAGTCTTCCTCATCTGGCTGGACTTGATACTGCTGTTGCTTCTGCTGTTTAGGAAGTGGCGGTGGCAAAGCAGGCGGAGAGGGATATGTAATCGATGGATTTAGAGGACGGGCTAGTGCGGCAGGCGGTGGTTTTGTTGGCGATGTTGATAGTGCGTGTGTAGAAGTTTGTACTGCTGACGAGGACTTCAAAGGCTTTTGTGGGCTTGGGACAGCAGTAGTAACATTACGAGCAGCTCCAGGAACCGCTACCGCTGCGCCACTACCAGAGTCGCTAAGTTGGCGTTGACTTATGGTTAAATGCGCTGGCTTCTTAGCGACAATCGGCCGAGGCTTATTGGGTTTTGAAGCGGCCAAGCTTTGCAGCGAGACTGTTGACGAATATGTAGAAGAAAGAGTTGACGCAGAAGGTGTTGATAAGGCTAGGTCCACTGGGGGACCCGAGATAGACCTGATAGTCACGCTGGGACTATGGCCATGTTGTGCTGACTGTGGCCGGGTTGGAGGCGGTAGTAGTGTGGAAGAGCCGCTTGGTATTGACGGGGTATTAATTGTAGTGTTAAGCTTAGCAATAGCGGTGGTCTTGACAGGACTGCTGCCCGAGTTCCCGGCAACAGGAGTAAGACCAGACATGTCTCTGATCGACGGTTTCTCAGTACCCCGCCTAGATTCAGATAGTGCACTGGTTCCTGCAGAGTGGGATCCGGAATCCACATTGCTGGAGACAATTTCTGGAGCAGCAGAATTTTCCGAAAATTGATGGCTATTATTGTTTTGGGCCAGTTGCTCCCAACGGTTGCGGGCCTCCATAGCGGAAGGCAGCGGCGAATGGTCCGTCGAAGACATGGTGTATATAAATAGATGCTAAGATACTGGCACAAATTGACAAAGCACGACAAGCCAATATTAAAGAGAAAAAAAAGGAGGTGTTTACTAGAAAAAAAAGTGAATAATAGAATGCTGGGAGGTTGAATGTTTCTGGGTGTTTGTTGGCGACACGAGAGAGGTTTAAAAAAGGAGCGACATTTCTTAACGGAGGAGCAGAAAAAATTAAAAATAGAGAGACTTTGTGACTGTAGTATTTGTTTTGTTGCAATTTCCCCCAAAATACAACTGAAATGTTACTATCCAAGGGGAGACCTAATATTTAGACCCAACTGTTATTGGTATCAAACAATTTACCTCCGACGTACAAATCTTACAGACCCGGGTCCGGTCTGTTTGCATGCATGTATACACTGTGTATGGATGTCAAAATTAATAAATCTATTTCAAGGCCGTTTGCTTATTATTATTATTATTATTATTGCTATTTTTTTTTTCTTCTTCTCTATATAGTCTTGTTAACTACCAGACATCCTCCTGGTAGAGGTTCTGTGTGCGCATGTTCTTGACAATTTCCTCAGCCTTAGTCTTGGAAATATTACGCTCCTTAGAAATAATGCGTACGAGCGCAGCCTGTACATCGCGGGCCATCCGGGTGGCATCACCGCAAACATAGAAGAAAGCACCCTGCTTTAACAGTGCATTGACCAAAGCAGACTGTTCTTCCAGACGATGTTGAACATATACCTTCTCGGTGCTTTCACGAGAAAATGCAGTCACCAGCTTCAAAAACGACTTGGGACCCAAAAATTTTTTCTTTTCAAGGTCCTCCTCAGCCTGCTGGGCTTGGACAAACGACAACAAGTCAGCAGGAGTCTCACCCGAGTATTCCTTCCACTCGTCACGATACAAAAAGTCCTCCTTAGAATTGCGGCAGCCGAAAAACAGCAAGGCAGGACCCACAGGAGCACCTTGGGCAGCCAAATATGCACGTTCGTGCACAAAACCACGAAAGGGCGCAACACCGGTACCAGGACCAACCATAATAACAGGCTTTTTTGGATTCGACGGAAGCTTAAAGTTAGAGTGGCGTACATAAGCATATACGCTGTTACCTCCAAGAACACCACGAGGACCAGCAACATCATAGTGAACAGCTGTCGGATCAGGATTGGTAGTCTTGTTGAAAGTGTGTTTAAGATCCAAAATGTAGTTAGTGGCCACACCCTTAAGCACATTATCGCCAGTCTTGGGCTTGATGGACTCCACAACAGCAGTAATGGAAATATTAGAGGGTGATTCTTTAGAGGAAGAGGAAATAGAATAATAACGGGGAACCAAGTGGTTGATGGACTCAACAATAAAGGAAAATGGAACACTGGACCAGGCTTCTTCTTTGGAAATCTTGGACAGCGCCTGCGCCGTATTGAGGTATTCAGAGGCAATTTCCTTATGGAAGTCTTCCTTAGACGAACCAAGTCTTTGTGCAGTCTTTTTGGCTTCTTCAGAGGGAGCAAAAGGTGCAATCGAAAACAAAAACTGACGTGAAACAGGACCGTTAATCTCCAAATGGTATCTCACAATGGCATCATAAGTGGTGGGCGTGGGAAAGGGAACTTTAGCAGTAGGATCCAAAAACTTGACATCAACTACGGTGTCGCTCTTCTTCTCCAAGTTAAATATCTTCAGAAATCTTGCAACCTCTTCATTTGAGTTGGGTGCCAACAATGCCAAATGATCACCAGTGTTATACTTGAGACCAGTAGTATCAAGTTCAAGATGGATACAATTGCGGTCAGTAGATTCGAAAAGTTCTTTGGCAGTAACAATAGGAGCAATAAGAGGGTTAGTAGCAGAGTATGGGGCCTTGACAGTACCTTCCAAGTGGGCCTTGTTAGGCTCGCCTTCGTAAACTTTGGCACCTTCTAAATCAGAAACTTCAAAAACATCCAAAACAGGCTCGTAGACGGCTTCGCGCTCTTCCAGACCTTCAAGTTCCTTCCAGATCTGAAACAGTTCGTCTTTCCACGACAAATAGTCTTCTTCCATAGTTCCAGATCCGTCGTCACCCTCGCCATAAGGGCCGATTCGCTTAGCACCGAGATCTTCAAAAATTTTATTCACTCTTCGACCAACAGCATTGTAATGCTCGTAGGTGCTGTTACCGAGGCCGAAAACAACATACTTCAAGTTTTCCAATGAACTTTCTCCTTGCGAAAACTCAACGCCATCGCTAGTCAAAAACTCGTAAAACTGGAATGCAGTATCAGTGGGTTCACCTTCGCCATAGGTGGCCATGACAAAGCCAACAACCTTATTTTCAGGAATGGCGTCAAGATTTTCAAAGTCGTAATCTTCCAAACTAGCAGTCATGGTCTTGAGACCGTAAACAGCAGAAGCTTCCTTGGCCAAGCGCGAGGCATAGTCTTCGGCAGTGCCAGTCTGAGAACCATAAAATATAATCACATCCTTATCATTTTTCTCCAAGGCAGCAACAATGTCGCGAGTATCAGCCGATGAAGATCCAGACCCAGATCCAAATCCATTCTTATACTTTTCTTCTGTGCTGGAATCTTTTTTGCCAAATATAGTGCCCCAGCCAAAGTACAGCGTCGTGCCGACAATTGTGGCTAACAACACAACCACGTCTAAAACGTCGAGCTGAGCCATTTTAACTGATCAAGATTCTAGAATAGTATTGTGTGATATAAATAAAACGAGCTTTGAAAATCTCTCTTTAGTTGGTCAAAAAAAAAAGTGGTTCGATGATGTTAGAAAAAGAAAGAAAAACAAGTGGAAGCCACCAAACTTTTACGTGTTATGTGTTTAATTATACAAGTGGTTAGGGTTATACATTGCCGTATATACTCGCACATTTAAAGCTTTAAAACGGCTTTTTTTTCCCATCTCACCGCAACCACCCTGAAAATCCATGTCGGGCCACTGCAGCCGGCCCATATCTTATCTTGTCCCAACCACGATGCCAGGCTATTGGGATATTTCCATTTCCATGTACCAAGGGAAACGTTCGCAAACAACTATTTAGTCCCCAGTCATTTAATGGAGGGTGCTGGCCAGACTGAGTATTGTTGTTGCTGATGCTTCTGGTACTTCGCATCAAAAGCTCCACATCAAGAACATGGCTTTCGTCTGGAAATTTCACAATAAAATCACCGAGATCTGACGTTTCCATAAAAGATTTATCTTCTTTTTCAGGTGAAAATAACACCTGTTTCAGTGTTTTGGTAGACTTTAACATACTTCTAAAGTTAATACAGTTGCGCAACACATAGTATTCAGAAACAGCCAGGTATTCTAACACCGGCAGCTTCTCGATACACGTGAAAAAGTATTCCCAGAGCGAATGCATATAAACAATGGCGTCAATGTTGGGGTTACTGGCATTGATCAAGGGGTTTGCAATCATATTTATTAGCGGCGCAACAGGTACATCGCTTGAAACAAACTTTGTCTTGCGCAAAACTTCCTTTGTAGAATCCCAACGGTCCACCTTCCCATCTACCATTGCCTTGTAAAACCGTTCAACCTCAGCGGCAATCTTTGGAGCTGCCCATGAGCGGCTATAGTAGTTGTAATTGAGAGCAATCGGAACAAAGGTCAAAGCTTTTAGGTTTACACACTTCGATAAACACATAGCAAAACGAAATGCATCAGAGCGTGTTTTCGAATAAATTACTAGCTTTGTTACCGAATTAAAAATTGGCTGATCAAAATTGGTTCTTCTATTAGATATGCAGCACCGTGTGGTTGTAAAAGAAGTGAGCCGCGGGAAATGCGCAAGCATACTCAACATTCTGGGATCTCTGAGATCCTCAACTTTCAAATGAGTTACCTGTGGGAGCTCCAGTGGAGCTATATTGGACCGGCTTTCGCGCCATAGTTTTCGACATGAAAGCTGAACTTCACAGTATTCCAAGTCAGTCGGCAAAAGGGCCAGAACCCCTACTGTATTGTGAGAAAGCCCCGTCAAATAATGCAGCGTCTCGATTTGACGCAGTTTCGGTAAACAGGCTACTTTCTCCATAATTTTCATGTATTGATTAATTGGAAAGTACTCAGGCGGCTTGAAAACAAAGCACTCAAGATTACAAAAGTTGGGGAAGCTGCAGTCAAATGGTCCCATACCTTTGTCCCATTTAATCTCTAAACTTTGCACCACCTCTGGACGCTGCATTTGGCACACTAAACTGATATCTCCGCAAAGATTTAAATTTACAAATGCTGGGTCAGCAGCAAAATTAAACAGTTGATTGAGCGTCAAGCTTTCCAGTTCTTCTGGGGACATTTTGTAAAGAGAGTAGTCAATCCGCATACAACTTAGTGCTGGGTATGCTTCACAAACCCACGCAAAGTCAAACTTTGCGTGTACAATCATGTACCGAAGACAATCTTGTTCTAATACTACTATTTGAACATGGTTCTTGTGGAACCACTTAGTGTATCTTTCTGGATATAGAAAAGTTTTTAATGGTACCATTCGACTCCAATAAGGGCATTCAATAACCGAAATTCCATTGTTAGGAGTTACTGTGCAATGTAACCATGATGCTGCAGAATAAATTGGTCTTAAAAGTGAACATGTACAGCTGAGATTAATGAGATCTTCTGGAGGCAAGTACTGGGAAACCTCTCTGTGAAGTTCGCTAGGTAGAAGGTAGAACTTTTGTTGAAGGGAATTTTCTAAGGAATCCATTTTTTTTAAAAAATTAAAAAAAATTTAAATGTCAAAAGGGGTTTCACATTGATAATTTATATAAAAAAACTGAAGAAAGATCAAGGTTTTTTAAATGCAGTGCGATGAGGATCGGGAAACTAAAAGGCTGGACAAGTCTTACTTAATACACAAAGCGTCACACAAAAGATGCATATATTGATTAGTTAATTAATAATAGAAAGAAAACATTATCAAGATATCGAAATAAAAAAAAACATTAAAGGAATATGTATGATAAATAGTACAATCGTTTCTATAGGATTGGTTTAAATTTATTCTTCCCTTTTGCTTATCCCAAAGATCTTTTCACACTGGGGTTCCAGTCTAATGTTACTGCATTAAAGTTTGCTCGATTGTTTCATCGAAAGCTTTTACGCATAAACTATTTCAGCAAACAACAAAAAGGATTGTTGGATATTTATAGAATTATACTTGTGAAACTCTCCGGGACTTGATGTAAGCACCGATATCTGCTCAAGATGCTTCTAATCAGTGTTCCGCACTTACCTACGACGCCGCACGACTTGCGCAACTATTCTTTATCTAAGGTTAGAACCAAACTAAATGTTACAAACATATGTTACAACATATAGCCGGGTAACCAAATAAACAACAATTTTCTATTTTTTTTTTTTTTTTCCAAACCTCCTAATTTTTTTTCACTCTCCACCATCAAAACAAATCCATTTTCAGTGGTAGCCACTATGCCTGCTGTCATTGAAACCTCCACCACAGAACCAGTGGTTCCTAAAAGTCTTCCGCCTGCTGCCGCCTTAATGGCTGAGCTTGTGGAGTCTTCTCGAAATCTTCCAAACTCGTCTTCTAGTCTGGGATCTATCCGTTTGGGTCTCGGTGTAATTCGCAAACGTGCTTCGGAGTTGCGCAAGAACCTGCCTGTGGGCAACAATACCAAAGCGTATGTGTAACTTTATTTTTTCACAAAAATAATCCTTCTCATTACTAATTTTTGAAATAGTCACTATCTTCTTGCTGGAAGCGGTGTTAATGCTGAAAACATTGAAACTGAGCTTAGATCGATAAAATTTCACCATAACCACGATTCTGATATTTCAGCCTTGGATATTGGTATCGATGTATGTTTATGTTATTTTTTTTTAAACACCACTCTAACCAAATATAGAGCTATTTACGTGCGCGTAAGGAAGAAAGTATTCTTGCTTCTATTGAAGAATCCATTCAATCGACCTCAATTGACTTTGACAATTACCTTGCTAAAAATATCACAATGGACTGGAAGCAGCGTAAGGAACAAATTTGCCAGTACTTTGGTCTTTTACCCTCTACTGGCCAGTCTCTTGACTCTGTGACTGGAGTTTCTGATAAGTCAAAGCGCCTTCAGGAAGACTTTGTTCCTGGCTGGAACAAAAATTCGGTGGGACGAGCTGTTCTTGGTCCTATTTCTGGCCCCGGCGAGTTTACAGACGTTGAATTTCTCCAAGGAACTACAAACCAGATTGTCGTTACTCCAACAATTTTCGGCTCTTCCAACAATGTTCCTGCAGCTCAATCTCGTATCAAGAAATTCACAGAAACTGTTTGCGACTTGAATAGACACAGGCTCAGCAAGATGGCGTATCCTATTTCACACAAGTTTCAAAAGTGTTCACTACCCAACGGCAATGATATTCGTACTCAACAAACCCAGGATATTTGGAAGATTTTAATTGAAATTACCGGAGAGTCGGAAATTTCTCCGATACCGGAACGCAAATTTGCCAAGGCATATCTCAGCAGTCCGACAAATTCCAAAGAAGCCATTGGCATTCGAAAGCAAATTACGCAAGGCGCCAAATCTTTTTTGGAAAAACAGTTTATGGAGCAACTTGAACAAACTATAGCCAAGCACCCAGTCGAGGCTCAGCTTGGAGGTATTCCTTCAGTTCAAAGCAAGATTCGTGCCTTACTCAATCTCAAGTTTGCGGAAAATGGCAAATGGGTTTACCCCTCGCTTGAAATCATCAATAATATACCTGTTTGGGCCATGATTTACTACATGATTCGTGCTGGCTATCTGAACGAGGCTGTTAAATTTACATCCCTTCACAGAGAAGAGTTTATGAAGCTCGGCAGCGCATTCCCTACTTATCTGAGTGCTCTCAACGACTCTCCTAACAAGGCACTTCCACAAACGCTTCTTGATAGTATACGACGGGAATTTAACGAGCAGGTTCGTTTCTTTGACCTGGACACATCAGATCCATTCAAGTATGCATTGTACAAGATTGTCGGTCGGTGTGAGCTGTCTAAGAAGAGTTTCCCTGGTGTCATTGACACTACCGAAGACTGGCTTTGGATTCACCTTTCTCTTGTTTACGAAGAACCTTCTGATTTAAGCGCCAGCTTTGACAATTACACACTTAAAAACCTGCAGTTGGCAGTGACCAACTTTGGAGCCAAGTACTTCAACCCAGATAATAAGACGCCTGCTCTTTACTGTCAGGTGTTGACCATGGTTGGTCTTTTCGAAAAGGCCATTCACTATGCATATTCGTTTTCTCAAATTGATGCTGTGCACCTTAGCATTGCTCTTACTTATTACGGTCTTTTGCGGCCAATTACTAATGTGCTTAAGCTGCAAACAGAGCTGCTTTATGTTAACAGAAAGGAGGAGTGTGAGATTAATTTTGCAAGATTGCTGGGTTTCTATACTCGTGATTTTCGCCGCTCTGATCCTGTTGACAGTGTGGAGTACATTGTGCTTATTTGCCTTAACGGCGATTTGCCCCCACCTGAGGGTGCGGAGCATCTTAAACTGTGTCATGAAGCACTCAAGGAGCTTGTTTTGGAAACACGTGAGTTTTCTAAACTTCTTGGTGACATTCGCGCGGATGGATCGCGCAAGCCTGGGTCTATTGAGGAACTTATGCCTTTGATCCATTTGGACAATCTAAATGAGTACTTGCGGGCCATTACTGAGCAAGCAGCTATCAAGGCCGAGGAGGATGGCCGTATTTCGGATGCTGTATTGCTTTATCAACTGTCTGAGGAGTATGACACTGTAGTGAACATTGTCAACAAGTCATTGGGCGAAATGCTTGCGGTGCAACCTTTGGGCCAGGCGATTTCTCAAGGACTTGGAGAGAACTCAATGCCTCTTGTTCTTGCAACTACAGAGAACCCTGCCCAACTTGCTCGCCATGTGATGGATATTTACACCAGCAACATTTCAATTTTCAATAAGGTGAAACCACGCAACCGGGAAACGTGCGTGACTCTTCTGCAGATTGTGGACGCAAGAGACCTGTACGCTATTCGAGAATACGAGCGCTGTTTACAGGTCGTACATAGTACCAACATTTTGACGCTTGATCCAAACGCTAACACGAGTGTAGTGCGGCGGCGGGCGCAGGAGTTTGTAATGCTGCATCAGTCTGTGGCGCGCAATGTGCCATCACTATTGGTGATGGTAATGGAGTGCTGTGCCAATATTGTGGCAGGCATTAGGGAAAGCTACTTTACGAACGAAGGTCGGGAGGCGCGAATTAACGAGATGCGGGGGATAGTGCGCAACTGTATGGTGTATGCTGGCATGATTCAATACCGCATGCCACGCGAGGTGTTTATTAGACTGTCTACACTAGAGACACAGATTTAAAATAGCAAAAAAAAAATGTATTTTAAAGTATATAGGATGTGAATTAATTAAGGCTTTGTGACGGACGATGGATATCTGTGATATTGGTAAGCTTTACTGACAGTAGTGATTTCAGAGACTTCATCATCTGAAAGAGAGAAGGAGAAGATGTCTAGGGACTCTTTGAGGCGGTCAGTTTTGGAGGAAGTGGTAACTGGAAGAACATTTGTTTGGTAGACCCATCTGAGAGAAATTTGGGCCGGGGATTTGTTGTACTTTTTAGTCAAGCGTTCAAGAACAGGAGTGAGAGGAGCGGTTTCGTAATTTTCAACAGTGATTGCACCAAGTGGTCCGTAAGCTTCAATAAGGATATTGTTTTTATGAAGATACTCAACAAGACCTGGAGTAGGGTCTTGCTGATAGGGCGAGTACTCGATTTGGTTTGCGTGCGGAGTGACTTTGGCAAAAGTTCTCAGGTACTCAAGATCTTTAACAGAAAAGTTTGATACACCGATTGCTCTAGCCTTGCCCTGCTTGTAAAATTCTTCAAGTTTAGGCCAGACAACTTCGATTTTGGCGTTGAATTTTGGAAGGTCGGGAGAGTGGATCAAGTAGAGGTCAATGTAATCGACACGGAGTTTGCGAAGGGATTCTGCTATAGCAGCGTCAGGGTCTGCTGCGTATTTCCAAACTTTGGTAGTGATAAAAATATCTTTGCGAGAAAGCGAGGGGGTTTCTTTGAGAAACTGTTCAATAGCCAACCCGACTTCCTCCTCAGTTTCGTAAAACTCGGCAGTATCAATATGTCTGTGGCCAGCTCTTAGGGCGGCCAAAACAACGTCTACAGCGGGCTGGTAAATTCCAGTTTCTGGAATGGCAACACCACGAGTGCGAAGGCGCCATTTAGACCAAACGGTACCGACTCCAAAAGCTAGAAAGGGGATTTTGACGCCATTGCTAAGGGTTCCTTCAGGGATTGCAGTCATTTTGTAGATATGATTTTTTTTTTCGTTAATAAATGGTAGATAGTATTAAAAAATGAAATATATTGAATGATAGAAGAAGTAGTGGATGAAAGAAGTAAATGCTAGTATAAGGACCAAGATGTTTGTTTTTATAGTTGAAATTAGTAACTTTTTTTTTTTTTTTGAATTAGAAATTGCCAAAATGCTTTTAAAATGTCCTCACGTAGGATGAAAGTTAACAGAATTCTAGAGCGATGCGTGTTACGCCATTGTGATGAGAATGTCTGTTTTTTTTTTTTTTTTTTTTTTTTTTTTTTACCAATGAGCATTATTTAAGTATATATATCGGAGTCCGTAGTGAATCATCATCTATTTTGTATATACATTTCAAAAAAAAAAAAAAAAAGAAACTAAATAATTCTAAAATTACGTTTTAGAGAAATAAAAAAACGTCAAAAATTAGTACTGTTTTCCAAACAAATAAGTCACAAAATTAGAATTTTTTTTTTTTTTTTTTTTTTGACTATTTTAAAAAAATAAAAAAAAAAGAAAATCTCAAAAAAAAAAAAAATAAAAAAAAAGCAATCGCCAAAATTGTTTGAAGCCTAAAAACGATTTAAAGTTTTGCATTAATTTATTCAAAGAATTTCAATCACTGAAAATTCATTCTTCATGATCAATGGGATTCGGTATTTACTTTACTTTACTTTATTTTTATTTATTTATTTATTTTTATTTATTTTTTTTTTTTTCAAAATCTGAAATCCAATGTCCATGACATATCGCGATCTTCTTTGAAAATTTCCCCACAAATTCTTAAAAAATTCTTACGGAGTCCGTGTGCGGCGTCAGAGTCCACGTAACCAGTGGTTTAATAAATAATTATTTTTCAAACCGTCTACATAAATAAGCAACTTTCTTTTTTTTTTTTCTTAATTCAATTTAACAAAACCTTAATATATATTATCTTGTTACTTTATTTCTTACCAGAATCCTAGCTCTTAGCAAAATCTTAGCTCTTGGTAGGACGTTTTGCAAACTTTAGTAACTTCGTCACTACTCAACTTAAAGCTTAACGAGCCAGGGGGTCTCAATTGAATGTGGCAATGGCGGTGATAGTCAGCATTGCGGCCTGATTTACCTGATTAACCTGCTTCAACCAACATGCAATTTTTCCTAATAAAAACTTTCAAAACCCTCCTGAAAAGTGCCTACTAGAAGATAAGGATAGTACGCTATCTGGTTGGCGTTGAAAAATCAACACAGGGCAATGACCTCTGCCTCAATGTTGTAATTTTCCGTAGTGTCTGTGGCCAGTTTAAAGAGCTCCAAATATAATGACAAAGACCGGTATATGGATAAAAGAAGTTGATTAAAAAGTTTTTGACATGTTAAATATCTATATTTCAAAAAATAATTTATGATTGAATATTTTTTATATTGATTGATGCAAGTATTGAAGTTTAAAAGCCTCAATGACGCAATCTGAGCACTGGGAAGAACTTCGATATGATAAGCTCCATTGCCTTTTTTCTTTTTTTTTTTTTTTTTTTTTTATTATTATTATTTCCCACTCCCGTACTGTGCTTCCTCAAGCTCCTTGGTAAGTGTCACAAACTTGCGGTACGCAAAGGATTGTCCGACTTGCGAAATCTCAGCTACTTCTGCCGAAGTTAACTCAAAGTCAAAGATGTGAAGCGGGCCAGCCACACGCTCGGGCCGAGAGGTCGTGGTAACAGGCAAAATGCCATTTTGGACCGTCCATCGCAACGAGATTTGGGCCGGAGTTTTGTGATACTTGGCAGCAAGGCGGTCCAAAATTGGCGTTAGAGGAGCCGTTGCGTAATCTGGAAGAGTGATAGCACCCAAAGGCCCAAAGGCTTCCAGTAAAATTCCGTGGGTTTTTGCATATTCTACAATCCCTGGGGTACGTTCTTGGAAATATGGGTGGTGTTCAATCTGATTGACGGCTGGTTTAATTTGAGCAAATGATACCAAGTTGTCGAGCTGCTCTGTTGAAAAGTTGGACACACCAATTGCACGGGTCTTACCAGCGCGGTAAGCCTCCTCAAGCTTGGGCCAGACCTGATTAACAGAAGTTCCAAAGCGTTCGAGTTCTGGTTTGTGGATGAGGTACAAGTCCACATATTCGAGTCCGAGTCTTTTGAGCGATGCGTCGAGAGCAGCCGCAGGGTCAGATGCATGTTTGAAGATCTTTGTTGTGACAAAGAGATCTTTGCGCGAAATGCCTGGTGTTTCCTGTAAAAACTGGGCGATTGCAAGTCCAACTTCGGTCTCGGTCTCGTAAACTTCGGCCGTATCAATGTGTCTGTGACCAGAACGAAGAGCTTCGAGAACTATGGTCACGGTTGCTTGGTTAATTTCGGGAAGATCAATACCAGTGAGTCTTTTGACGCGGGGCTTGTTCCAGATGGTGCCTGCACCAAAAGCCAGAAGGGGGATTTCAATTCCGTTATTTAGGGTAGCTGTAGGTATTTGGATAGTCATGATGTTGATGTTGATGTTGTGAATGTTGATAAAAAATATAGTTCTTGAAGAGCCGTTCTTGTCAATTTTATATGAGCAAAAGTGAATTTCTTTTTTCATTTCGACTTGTTGTTTGATTGCATTATCAGCAGCCACAATCATCCCGCTTTAAGCGCCGTTTCGGGCTCCGGGGACCTGTACTGAAGGAATAATTTGTCGGAAGCTTTCACCCGCCTCTGCAGTTTCTAGCGGCGGTGGAGCCGTTTGTTCATAGTAATGATGATATTGCTGTGCGGCAGGTGCGGCTTGAGGCCACCCGGTGCCTGGCAAAACTGCGAGGCTTTCGAGCGATGGCTGAGGCCGCAGTCCGTCGGAAAAGGTTGAGCGGTTATATGAAACCATATCTTGGGGGGTTATAGGTGTGAAGCCTCTATAGGAAGTTGAGCCCAGCACTGACTGTTGCTGTTGGAATCCAATATTTTGGGAAGGTTCCGAGTTTTGGGATCGAATAGATGCAAGAGAAGGTTGGGATTGGAGAAGATGCTCCGTGCTTTGAGAATGTGCCAATTGCTTTGGGGGGTAGTGATGCTGGAGTAGGCGAGATTGAGTAAGTCCACGAAATGAACGACGCTTGGAGTTTGGTTCGGAGGCTTCTCGATAGGCAGGAGAACCTTGAACAGTCACTTGTTTACGTGGAATGCGGTAAGAATTTAGGGGGGGATGCTGCTGGAGTGCTTCGCTAGCCAAACGCTTATGTGGAGGTTTAGGAATTCCAGGAGGCCAGTTAGAACCAGCTGGTGAAACTGTCCAGTAAGCTGTTGTTTCTGAATCAACATCCTCATGATGACTTGGAGCTCTTTTATGAAGGTTTCTCTGGTTTCTTTGGTTTCTAGGAGGAGGGGGAGGAATAGGAATTGTAGAAATGGATGAAGAATCTTCTTCTTCTATTTCTTCTTGGTTTATATCAAAAGTTCTGAGCTTTATATTGGAGGAAGTAGAGCCTTGGGTTTTGGCGAGTAACTGAGCGAGTTTTTTGTTGACCCGAACACAGCAATACTCTTCCAAACCGGAAGCTCCTAATTTTTGGACGTTGAGGTAGACCGGAAGTGTAAAAAGAAGAGCCATGATGAACTCAGCCATGGAAAATGCCCAGATGGTTAAAGAAAAGGCCATGAGACCCAGGGTAAAAGCCTCGAGGCTGGAGGATGTGGCGATTTCTGTGATAGAGGTCTGTCTCAAGGTTGCGACAAGAGTTGCAGTGTTAATGATTTGACGCGGGGTTTCAGCAAAGATGAGTCTGATCCACCCATGGTAAGCAAAGAAGACAAAGAAGGCCATTGACTCTTTAAAGGGACGAGATTTTGATATGCGGACAAAGAGACAAAAGTGATTATAATTTTTGATGGAGTGGTAGTTACGGGCCAAGGTGTTTGTGTATGCCATGGAGATATTGCGTCTGCGGATGATGCGCATGGCGATGGCCAGGTCTATGAGCAGGAGCAGGATCGAGAAGAAGATACATCCAGCAAAGAGCCATCGTGAGACGAAGAACGGGACGACAGGCTCAACTATGGAGGCCCAGCGGTTGTATGCTAGTAGGACAATGGCGGTGTAAAGGTCAGATCCAAAAGCAGCTAACGAAAAGCCGATGCCGATCCACATTGCGGTGTAGCGACAGAGGAAGGAGATGCCATTGGACCTAAATGGGCTTGTATCCTATTAGGGATGAGAGCAGGAAGAAACATATTAGTCAAGGCTTATATAAATAAGGGTGATGAAAATATTGGGAAATGTGCTTGTTATATATATTATTATTATGGATTAGTCAACTTACGACCCAGTCAAAGGTAGATTCTTCAAACTCGCGAACCCACTTACGGTTGAAAATAACCATTTGGAGGAGAATAAAGGGTGATGGGTTTATGGGAAAGTTTAATTGTGGTAGATTTAGATATATTGAAGTTATATATAAAAAATAGAGGTCATAGCGGAAGCGGACCTTGACTGGAATGGATATAACTAAGGGGAAAGCGAGAGGTCTAGTATAGCCCAGTCAGTGACATAGTAGTTATGAATCGGAACTGCGGGGTTTTAGTGAAGCTATTTATATAAACCAATCGTAGAATCGATGGACATGCCAATTGACAAGACCTAGACATACAATCAGATAAGATAGATGGAGGTTTGAACGATTGATAAGTAGTTAGAAAGAATTAGGGTGGTAATAAGACACGTAGCATAGGAAATAATATATTCCTTCTTCATGGACAAAATTTCAGGGGAGAAGTTATATTCCGGAACCCTAACCACAATATATAAATGGTGCGGTTAAGAAACCAATTTTAGTAAGAAACGGCACTAGAACATTATTGGGTTGCACAGATGGGTACAAGCAAATGCTCTATGCTCTGCAACTAATCGTCAGGTTCACCCCCCCTATAACATCAAGATAACGACATAATCTAGTTACTACTTGTCGACATTTGAAAGGGTGGTAGTTGTGGGAAAAAAAAGTTGGATAATAATTCTTATAAGCATTATTAGATAATTATCTAAGGGATATCCCTTGGTGGCCAAATATTTATATGGTATATATATAAAGGAAATCTTTTATTGTCAAAATGGGATTCTAGGGCCGATTAAGAAATAATTATCAAGATTATTCTCAATCATGTAAATGGCTGAAAAAGAGTAAATAATTTTAGTGAAAAAAAAAAAAAAAAAAGAAATGATTTTTTTCTTTGTTATTTATTCAAAGTATTAAACAAAAAAAAAAAAAAGATATATCTGATAAGTGAAAAGAAAAAGGGGGGGGGGGAACGAGGAATAAAGATTCCATCAGATTGGGGATTTCCAATAACAAGCAAGAACCCGTGCTACTGCTATTCGCAATTAAATTAACACTAAGAGATTATTTGATTTGAAATATCCTGATAATCGGATTAATTAAGAAAGTGAATTTTTTTTTTTTGCTTGATTTGGCGATTTCCTAAAGAGATTTTTGGTGTTTTTGTTTATTTATTTTTGAATATTTGCCTCAATAATTAGGTATGTGTCTCAAAATATGGGCCATGTTTCTTTTGAGCCACCTGATTTTGGGACACCACACACAAAACAAAGTCCCGTCGATTTTTATTTTTATTTTTTTCAAAAATACGTGTAAAAATAAAACTTTTATTTTTTTTTAAATAAGAAAAAATTAAATAAATAAACACTTCAAAAGGGTCTTGCAAGAAATAACAAGAAAAAAGAAAAAAGAAAAAAAACCCATTTGAGAGTGAAGTCATTTGAATTAGTGGGGAAGTTAAATATTAGCAAAAATGACCTATTTCTCACTTTGTATTTTTTTTTTTTTAAATTTTATTTTATTTTATTTTTTCAAATTTATAAAAAAATAAAAAAACTTTTAAATCCGCGCTTTTTTTTTTTTTTTTTTTAATTTTTTTTTAATTTTTTTTTAATTTTTTTTTAATTTTTCTAGACTAGCAACTTTACAACAATAGCAATCACAAAAAAAAAAAAAAAAACTGCCCATTAACGGAATCCAGCCAGATATAATTATAACAACACAAGCGACAAACAATTGTACTTTTCGATTTCTAATTTGTTATTATCACTTTTATTATTATAATAATTATTAATATTGTTATTATTATTTTAACTATTACTGTTATTATTACTTTATAAAGTAATTACGTTCTTACTATTATTATTATTATTATTACTATTATTATATATATATCTTAGCACAATTTGTATATCAGTTCATCCATCTTATTCTTCTTTACATTTGACTTTTCCATTTTTTTTTTTTTTTTTTTTCAATCACACTACATGTATTTTTTTCAATCATGGTACAACGACGATCTGAAAACTCAGACCCGCCGCAAGAATCTCGGTCAGAACGACCCAGGCTCCGAAATCAAACCCTCCAACAACATATTGATCTATCGAACTCTTCTTCATCAGAACATGCTAAAATCCTACCATCTCCATCACAAAACACACCCAGTTTTAATGCTTTGGGATCCACTGGTGTTGCTACTGCTACTGGTAATAACTCTATTGTTTCATTAAGCTCTTTCTCCACAGAAACTTTAACCGAGGCCCGACAGCAACCTTGGGAAAATCGCAGTGATCAACACACAAAAAGCCCAGGTAGCCATTTTGAGGATAAGAAAAGAATGAAAGGCAAATACAGGCAAAAACCTCATGGAAATGACATTAATAAACACCATAGTTCGATTGGACTCGAAATGCAAAAAATGGACATTGAGGACGACAACAATAGGCAGAATCATAATGTCAAAAACATTAATAGTGATGATGATGAAGATGACAAGGAAGAATATAACGAAGACAATGAAGAAGATGGTAGAACATCAACCGTTGAAATTTCCCCATTTTCTCCATATTCTTCCTCTTCTTTCTTGCTTTCAAACGACTCCACCACATCTTCTTCCAACACAAGCCTCAGCAACATTCACAAAAAGCGTAGAAACACCTACGTGATACCCAACATGCCCGACACTATGCGACAGCAAAAACATTCGGCTGCTTTGAAAGCATACGAGCACTGGAAGGCTGGGAAAAGTTCGTTGCGACAAGCTGCGCTCAAGTTCCACGTGGACAAAAACATGGTAGTCCGCGCCCCAACCTTGGGCCAGAAAAAGCTCCATAGCAGACGCTTTTTCGAAATTGAGGAAGAAAACGCTATTGAGCATGCTATTTGCTATATTGTAAGTCTTGAAAAGTATGGCATGCCAAGGCTCATTAGAGAAATGGCCGAAATGGTGTTGCGTAAAAGACCAAATGTTGCGTCTTCATCATCATCAACACCAACATCAACATCAACTTCTCCTTCTACAAAATCATTTGAAAATCATCATACATCACCGTCTTATTGTGAACTCTCCCGTGGTTGGGCAAAACGTTTCATTGAACGTCATCCTCATGTGGGCCGTGGCCTCATTTCTTACAAAGAATCAGGGCCTCACCCTTATGGACCCTTTAACCTCGCTCAAGCTTGGTTCACTCTTTATGCAGTGGCCATTCAATATTTTGGCCCTGTATCCCCAAGTAATCTTTATAGCATAGGCGAGCTATCTTTATCCGAAGTCCTTTTGCAATCACCTCCAGCAGCAGTAGCAAGTAATACTCAGCAACACTATCATTTCATTCCAACAACTCCCTTTTTCAAGTCTTCTAATTCATCCTCATCATCATCATCACCCGCATCATCTTCTTCTTCACCCTCTAATTTATCTTCATCATCTTCTCCTCCTCCTAGCTCATTTTCATTGCCTTCTTTTTTCCCAAGTGTCTCTAAATCCACAGAGTCTACCATTCTCATTGAAGCAATCTCTGGTGATGGCTCTATGTTGCCATCTTTTGTTATTCCGTCTCCTCGTGGAGTTTCTCCAGATGTTTACCGAAGAATCAAATCTCAGTTCCCTGATGTTTCTATTGCAAGTTCCTCTTCGCAAACTGGGAAAGCTTTCCGTAACCACTCTATTGACTTCCTCATCAACCATTTCGACCGCTGCACGGCCGCAAAATCAAACAACGGTGCTTTGCCTCGAGGTCTCATCATTGATGGTGCTGGAAAGCTTGCAGGGTCTATTACAGGGACTCCCAGCAGCTTTACCAATGCAACTGGAGTAGCAACTGGTGGTTCGAATTCTGGTTCTGGTGGTGACGATCCTTTGGCAAGTGCCAAACAGTCAATAGAATCAGAATTCATTATGCAAGCTGCAAAACGTAATATTGTGGTGTTAATTCTTCCAAAATTGCCCAAGGCTTGCCCCATCAAGCCCTTTTCTGCCTCTGGATTCAAGTCCGCTGTGAGGACCAGAGTTAAAGCTAAATTAAAGTGCCCAGGCTTGTTACCGTCTCAGAAAGTCCCTACGAGACCTGGAACTGCAAGTCTTAGCAACCTGCTAAATCCGAGCAGTAGCACAAGCAGTAAATCTTTCCCATATTCTCATTTTCCCTCGTCATCTTCTTCTTTTTTGCCTGCAAATAACTATGGAGAGTCTAATAGTAACCATGGAAGTAGTACTACTAGTGGCAGAGATAGCTGTTCACCTTTTTTCCCAATAAGTTCCACGGCCTCAACAGGTGTCAGTGGTAGTGGTAAAAGCAGAAGCTCCACTGTGACACCCCCATCTACTACAGGCACAATAACTATAGCGACTGCAGCGGTGGTGCCTGCTATTGGAATGAATACATTCACTAATTCTACTACTGCTACCACCACTACTACTACTACTTCTTCTTCTTCATCATCATCATCATCATCATCATCATCATCTTATCCCTCTGCATCTTCCTCGACACCTTTTTTTACTTCAGCCACTGCCATTCGGTCTGACGTGGAGTTAGGGCTCTGTGCATACTTTGAGGCCAAACAACAGGTTCCGGTTGAAGACATCCAGGATGGGTTTCGTCGTTCTGGGCTTGTTCCGTTTGCACCCTGTGAGCTAAATGCAAGTTTGGCCTCGCCAGCCATGGTTGCAGCAGCTGCTGTTGCTGCTGTACCCCATTTCCCGTTGACCAAACCAGGAGATGCTACTGCTTCTGCTTCTAGTGGCGGTACAGTTAAAAATAACCGAGAAGTTAAAAGTGGTGTTGGTGGCAATCTTAACATTAGCAACAACAATGGCGGTAATAGTAGCAGTTGTAGCAGTAATAATTATAAAACTACAACTTTGGGGGGGATGCAGGCAATTGTGGAAACCACTAATAGTCTCCCGCAAGCAACGGCGTCGGCATCAGCATCGACTGCCGAGCCTGGTCACACTCTTGTGAGTTCATCAATTATTGGGACTGGAGAAAATTCCAATGATGAAAAAACCCAATGCTACCACAGAAATGAGAAAGAGCTAAACGAGGAGCGGAATGAAGAAATTTATGGGCAGCGTCAATTTGTTGCCCCTCTTCAACAACAACAACAACAACAACAACAACAACAACAACAGCATTTTCATAATCTCAATAATAACAACCATAATAATAATCACGAATCTTACCAATCTTCTGAGGTTCGTGACCATCGCATGGAAATCCAAGGTTTGTTGGACTCAAGTCATACGGCAGCGTCCACTCCTCATGACTCACATTCTTGGAAGCCCACTCCTAAGACTGGAGCAGGCACTAAAGTGCTTCAAAGTTCAACAAGCTCTACATCTCAGACAGTGTCTGATAACAACATCAGGAGTGACTCGGGTAATAATAATATCTATTACAATGAAGCCAAGTTAACAAGTTCGGGTTCTGGAACTCTTACACAAACGAGTGTAAGAGGACCTGTGATAGCACAGTCTACAACAAATAGCACATATTTGGGCAACCCATGGGGCAATAACTGCCACAATAATGAAAACAACAATACTTCCAATTCAGTTCTACCTCAAGTCTCCGTGAGTGCTAAAGCTTCAAGTTCTGGAGCAGGTTTCGGGTCAAGTTATAGCAGCAGCTGGGTTTCTGCGACAGGATCGCATGCTCATGCAAAATCTTCTGGAGCACGCCATGCTAGGTCAACAACAAGTGCTGGGCCTCTTCTCATTACTCCTAGACGCCCCCTTTCTTCAAATGCTGGTGTAAATAGCATCAGTAGTAATAGTAGCAGCAACAGCAGCGGCAGTAGCGGAGACAGCAAAAACAACATTACTGGTATTAAAAGTCTTGTGCGTCAGTTCCCCGAGTTCCAACGTGAGGAATATCCCTTAGAGCGACAGATATTAACACCAGGAACTGGTGCATCGGTGCTTCGCCCTGGAACTCTCATTTTATCATACGACGAGTTGCTTGCACGCTTAGGGACATCCCCTGCTGAATTTGAGCGGATTTACGAAACGTTTGCGCGGGTCAAATGGACTCTGGAAGAGTTCAAGGCGAGCTTTTAAAAAAAGCCCGTGATATAGGGTGTAGTGGCCACAGAGAAATTTTCACTAGGCTTGTTGTAAATTTTTATTGGATAAAAAAGATGATCTGACATTTCATTGAGAACAGAATGAAAGAACTTGACTTGTAGTGACAAAGTATATATAAATGCTGAAAAATAATAATAAAAATAAAATAAAATAAAATAGAAAAGAAAAGGAAATAAAAGAATAAAATAAATATAAAAACCTAAAAATTAAGGTAACTGTCTAGGTTTTCATCAAGAATTATGGGCTGTGCAGAAGATGAACCCATAGAATTATCACCAGGCGGCTGCTGTGGTTGTTGTTGTAGATGCTGCTGATGCTGACTTGCAAAAAGTGCCGGTTGGAATTGCTGCTGTTGGACAGTCTTTATTGGCAACCCTGGAGACGGTACACCAGGGGCAGCCGACGCCGGCCGACTACCAATACCTGGGTTATTATTATGGTTGATTCCACCAATACCCATACCACTATTATTATTATTACCATTGTTGTGTCCATTATTGCCAATCCCCATACCAATACTATTGGTATTGTGCATCATTTGGGGACTTAACCCATTCATGCCAGCCTTTTGGTTTTTAAGAATCATCTGAGCCTGTACTTGTGCTTGTGCTTGTGCTAGTGCCTGTGCTCGAGCTTGAGCTTGTGCTTGGGCTAGGGCTTGGGCTTGGGCTTGGGCTTGGGCTTGGGCTTGAGCTTGAGCTTGAGCTTGGGCTAGGGCTTGAGCTTGAGCTTGAGCTTGAGCTTGGGCTTGGGCTTGAGCTTGGGCTTGGGCTTGAGCTAGGGCTTGAGCTTGAGCTTGAGCTTGAGCTTGGGCTTGGGCTTGAGCTTGGGCTTGAGCTTGGGCTTGAGCTTGAGCTTGGGCTTGAGCTTGGGCTAGGGCTTGGGCTTGGGCTTGGGCTTGGGCTTGGGCTTGGGCTTGGGCTTGGGCTTGGGCTTGGGCTTGGGCTTGGGCTTGGGCTTGGGCTTGGGCTTGGGCTTGGGCTTGGGCTTGGGCTTGGGCTTGTGCTTGGGCTTGGGCTTGGGCTTGTGCTTGGGCTTGTGCTTGTGCTTGGGCTTGTGCTTGTGCTTGTGCTTGTGCTTGGGCTTGTGCTTGTGCTTGTGCTTGTGCTTGAGCTTGGGCTTGTGCTTGGGCTTGAGCTTGAGCTTGTGCTTGAGCTTGAGCTTGTGCTTGAGCTTGAGCTTGAGCTTGAGCTTGTGCTTGAGCTTGTGCTTGAGCTTGAGCTTGTGCTTGAGCTTGAGCTTGGGCTTGAGCTTGAGCTTGTGCTTGTGCTTGGGCTTGGGCTTGAGCTTGAGCTTGTGCTTGTGCTTGTGCTTGGGCTTGAGCTTGTGCTTGGGCTTGTGCTTGTGCTTGTGCTTGTGCTTGAGCTTGAGCTTGTGCTTGTGCTTGAGCTTGGGCCTTAGCCTGATGAGCTTGCACTTGAGCCTGTTGGTTTTGGGCACGCGCGTACTTGTGCATAACTTGCTGTGCAAGCGCTGGACTCCGTAGGGTTTGCACAGGACTGTTCCCGCCAGCCGGTGAAAACCCAGTAGCATTACCTATGTTCTGCTGCAAAGGAATTTGCTGATGTATTTGTTGTTGCTGCTGCTGTTGTTGCTGCTGTTGTTGCTGCTGTTGTTGCTGCTGTTGTTGTTGTAGTTGCTGTTGGAATTGTGGTCCTTGTTGATGAGCCTGAGAATTTAGCTGATGAATCCGTTGATCCTGTTCAAACTCAGTCCCTTCACCGGTACCATTATCCCCTCCCTCTATATGGTGCGGTGGTGACACCCTATGTACCCCAGGCCCTCCAGCCCCTGCATTTGGATTTAGATTTAGATTTGGATTTGGATTTGCGTTTGCGTTTGGATTTGCATTTACGTTTACGTTTGCACTGGTATTAGCAGCAGAAGCTGCTGCAGAGGCTTCCGAAAGTGCTCGTGACATTTTGCGAATGTATTCTAGTAATGGAAGGTTTTGGTTATAGCATGCCAGTAATGTATCCAAGCTGGCACTCACCCGTTTTGCCTCAAGTGCAACTCGTGTAAAGACCGCTTGAGGACTTTCATTTTCAGCAACATTGTGCGCAAGATGCTTGTAAACATTGGGGGCATCAAACTGGAGCTCGCAAATAAGGGTTTGAAGTCGACTTAGCTCTTCGATATACATGTCGATGCTTTCAATGCTTTGCAGAGAGATTGGCGGGTGTTGTTGTTGCAGCAGCTGTTGCTGCTGCTGTTTAATGTTCATATTACTATTATTATTACTGTTGATACTTGGCGATAGTGCCGGTGATGAGCCCATGGCCACATGTGATCTTGCGGGTCCTCCTCCGGGTCCCATTTTAGTCAGATTAGATGAATAGGCCGTTTAATGATTAATGAAAGATAGGGTACTTTGATTTGTGTGAGTGTGTGTGAGTGTGTGTGAGTGAGTGTGAGTGAGTGTGTGTGATGGAAATCTCCTTATATATTTTTATTATATTTATTAAATAAGTGAGAAAGAAAAAAAAAAAAACACCAACGCTTAAAAAATGCCCATAATCTACAGACTCTAATTTACACATGTTACTTGTAGATATCATCATGACAATCATCATCAATCTCTTTGCAAATCATTGAAGGCATCGACATGTATATCGAAAAGCCAAGTCGACTCCAAACCCTTTATTTGGTCTTGCGAATCATCACCACATCTCCTTCAAGTGCCCATTCACAATGCAGATCATTAACCAGTCGCGACCAATCCATTCCTAACACAGACTCGAGCTCGGTTCGGTCCATGCGCAGGTAGCTACGGCCTACCCGGGCGAGTGCTTCCTTAGCCATGGTCAGTTCGCCAAACGCCATCATTCGGTGGAGAGCGGGGTCACGCTCGGCATCAAATGCGCGTCGCCACTGGAAGTAATCGCGGTCGACCCAGCAGCCAATAAATTCATACAGCGGAGATTCCGGCGAATAGTACTGGCCCAGAAGTTGGAATGCGCTGGCACAGTCATCTGCGTAGTGGACGAGGTGATAGATGTAGATTGTACAAACTCGTTGGAACTCGTCTTCACGATAGTAATCTTCTAGCTGAGCAGTATCCAATAGCTCGGGAAGTATATCGTTCAATAGTGTCAGGAATGCCGGAGTATAGGTCTGGTAATGTCCGTAGACGGCTGAAACAAGGATGGAAAAGATGAGAACATCTTTGTGGAAATCTGTGGGTGGGAGTGAGAGGATGGCTTCGCGTAACACCCGGAGCTGCATTAAAATATTATCAATGGTGATAACATCTGCAGGAGCTTGTAGATCTTGATCCAGCAGCTCCTTGTTGATTGTAATGTCGCGGGCGTAGTCAATGACGCGCTGGGTGCGTGTTGACAGCGTTAGCTGTAGAAATTTTTCTTGGATATTGTTGAAAAAATTAATTCTCTCTGACTCGCTTGTCTGCAGGGGGTTTGAATGACCGCGAGACACAAGCCCATATGACTGGGAGGAGGTAGAAGCGGTTGAAGAGATTCCCGTGGCTACGGATGATGAGGTGCTCACGGAGACTGAAGATGCAGTACTATTTTTGCGGGCCACTTGATCAGAACCCGAGTTGCCTTTAAAAATTGACCGGTTAAACAGTAAACTACTTTTGCGATTTCCTTGAGTGGATGACAAATGTCTGCCAGGGAGATCATATTGAGAGTTAAGTGCATCTCCAAGAGATGATCCACGTCGACGGTCGTTTCCCTCAGCATGTGTTTGGGGCGGTTGTCGTTGAGAATACTTGTTAGGGGTCATTACGGGTTCTTGAATCTGACGACGATGAAAGTCAAGTTGTTGCTGGTGGAGCTGTTGCTGATATTTTACCTGTTGGGTTTTTTGCACATTTAAGTAGTGCTCCTCCTGTAAGGTTTGTGTGCTGCCGGCAAAACTACTTTGTGTGCTTACCGCACTACTGGGGGGGCCTCCACAGCTGCCACTACTAACTGCGCTGTGTGCCATGTTATAGTGCTGTTGGTGGCCATCCAGATCTAGCCGCGGCTCTACTTTTCGCCCATATACAGCCGGCTTCATCATGGGTGTCCCCTCTGTGGAAACTTGTGTTGTTACTGCTGCCTTAGATCCGATTCCATCCCAAAAGCCATTGCTTCCGCTACCCCCTGGACACAAGTTCTCGCTAGTGGTTGTTGAGTAGATGGAACTGGCTGTTGTCGATTCGGTCCCGCCAGACCGCATACTGAATAGAGATCCAGACGAAGATGCTGTTGATGCTGCAGATCCTCGTCGACTGAATGCAGACCGTAGCGACCTCCAAGGGGTCATCCGGCCTCTGTTGGAAGAGGTAGGATTTCCATTATTATTATTATTATTATCGTTATTATTATTGTCGAACGCCACGCTTATATCTGTAGAACCTCTCCGTTTCATGGTCAAGGTCTAAGAAGGAAGGTGTTATATACTAGATTTGGCTACTCTAATTAAAGATCTTCTGGAACAGATTAATACTCGGACGAGATTTTGTTTAAAAAAAAAAACGACGTAGGATTTATATCTAAAGTGGAAGAAGATATAGAATATATGAAAATAAAAAAAAGGTGATATATATCAAGTTAAAAATGAATATTAGCTTTTGAAAAGAAAAAAAAAAGAAGAAAAAGAAGAAAAATCTCATTTCAATTGAAGTAATCCCCCCTCTTCTAATTAAGCTTCTTTTCATCCTTCAGTCTACTTTTGATGCTGCTTCTGCGTACTGATGCTGCCGCCTCTGCCGCCGCCCATAGATTAATTAATAAATTATATTTGCAAATCTGGCAGTACCCAAAGCATAAAGAATCTTACTCGATTTGATTTTTTCCCTTTTTCCATGCTTTTCTTTTAAAAAAAATTATAAAAAATTATAAAAAATTGTACAAAATTTATTTATTTAATTCTTTCTTTCTTTCTTTCTTTCTTTCTTTCTTAAGGGCCTTTTTTTTTTTTTTTAATATGGTGACACCCTCTTTTTGTTAAAACATAGAAATAAACCTTATAAGGTTTATTCATAATTATGAAAGTATATGGAAAATGACCATGGCATAGTGCACTGGCAAAATTTTATGAAGAAACTCTGGACGCATAAATCTTTACATAAAACGAAAGTTAAAGCCATTTTATTAAGTTTTATGTTTTTAAAACCAAAAGGCACTCCTTTCGACAATAATTGAAACTCACATATGTTGAATAAGTGCAGAGAAACTAAATTTCCTCTAAAATATTTTAAAAAAAAAACATTCTCAAATGCTGAACCAGAAAAAAAAAAAAAAAAATAGAGAAGTAGTATTCGTCAATTTAATACCACCAGAGCCTTAGACTTGAAGGAGTTGGCTAAATCTCTTTCATGCTAGCCTAGTAATTAGTATATAATATATAATATATATATAGTGGATAAAGCTTTTCCCCTTATTTATTTCTTGCATGACTTTTTTCAGCCTATTTGAATTCCTCAATCATGAGGCTTATATATATAAAAGACTCAGCCATTCATAGAAAAGAAAGAGGAACAGCTTTTAATATTACTATTCAATTTCTTTTGAATTTTTTTTTTTTTTTTTTTTTTATAATAGTAAGAGTAAAAGTAAAAGTAGAAGTAGAAGTAGAAGTGAAAATATAAATATAAATAAATATAAATAAATATAAAAAAAATGAAAACAATCATATCCTAAAATATTCTCATTCTTTCTGATCTTGTGATCATCTTTATATGAATACCAGTCAACCCACCTTCCTTTAGATCCTTTTATCATGTTAACAAAATTCTTATCCTCAATACTGCTTCGCGAACCACACTAAAAATTTATATGCTTCGTGAACCCAAATGAACAAATTTATTTATTTTTTTTTCTTACTCATCAAAACTTTCAAAATATCAAACCCGTCTAACGCAGCATCCCTTTATCGCCAGTCCATTTTTACCAACAAACATATATAAACTATGTCGGTTTTTCTGCTTTCCCAAAGAACTGCCATCAACTACTTTCATCAAACATCCCATCTTTTTATTTCTCGCTCTTTTTCTTCAAAACTTTTGAAAATCGCCTTCTGTGGTTCAGACCTCTTTTCAATCCACTCATTTAAAGCTCTTCTCCAGTATGCTGCAACTCCTCAAGCTATCCAAAGTATAGATCTCATCACCCGCAAACCAAAACCAGCAGGCCGAGGCAGGAAAACAATCGCAACTGTTCCAATATTAGAACAGCTTCCAGAACTACAACAAATTTACTCTTCCACAGGCCCTATCCAAACACATACCCCGGAATCCACTAAAGAGTTTCTCGACATTCAAGCTGCCCGAAACTTTGACATAGTTATTGCTGTATCTTACGGTAAACTTATCCCTCACCAATTCATCGCTGCATTGCCCTATGGTGGCCTCAATGTTCATCCATCGCTTCTTCCTAAATACTCAGGTGCATCGCCTCTCCACATGGCCCTTCTCAATAGAGACCCTTATACTGGTGTCACTGTGCAAACTCTTCACCCCACAAAATTTGATCGCGGTGATATTCTTTTCCAGAGCCCAGAGTTACCCCTACCGCAACTATTAAATCAAAACCATCTATCCTCACTAACATCTGATGAAGCCATTTTGGCTGCTGACTCCCCTCTGGCTGCAATCACAGACACTTTAGGTGTTGTAGGGGCACAAGCGCTTGTACATGTCATTAAAAACGGTCTCTACGAATCCCCTGCAAACAACAAACTGACTCCAAAATATGATTACTCTTACGCTCCACGTATCCCTTCTACCGCGGCTGAAATTCATCTCTCATCCATGGATACTACTACTATTCTCGTCAATAACAAGGTCCTCGGACCCCTCTACATATTTCAAGAAACTATTCCGCCGCTTTCTAAAAAAATGAAAAAGAAACTCGGAAATGAAACCTCCGTTCCAGTCCCCAAGCGTGTGCAATTGCACTTACTAGAAAACGCTTCTCAATCTTTCCCAAATGAATTCCCAGAACAAGCTACCCAAATGGCTCTCGGAGACTACTTTCTCACACACATAACCGACAAGTCCACTGAATCAGATTCTGCTCTTGTCTTTAAAACAAGCGACGGCTTCATCGCCGCACGTCAAATCAAATCTGAAGGCTATGCCGCATGCTCTGCTTATCAACTTGCTCTTAGCATGAAAAAGCGGGGCATCTTTAGAAACTCATTTATTCTTTAATATTATCTCTTGCTTCTTTTGTAAATAAACGTAACGAACAAAATTTTTTTAAAATTAAAATTAAAATTATAAAATACCAAAAAAATCAAATCAAATCAAATCTAAGCTACCGTTTGATACTTGCGGTTATATTCTGTCACAGCAATTCCAATCTCTTTGTACAGATACTTGCGACTTGATGCATCTGGAACAGGAATAAACGGGCCCTGGACACTACCCCGCAAAATTAGGGCTAACCCTGTGCGTTCCATTGCAATCGTCTGCAAATCTCTAAACATGACTTCCCACTCCGTCGTCATAGTGCTTGTGTTAAGCAACATGATGCGCAAAAACGTCACCATTACAACCATTTCACTTTCAGCAAGTGCCAAATGTGCCAGGTACTTGTCATTAAAAAAGTCACCATTGTTGCACATTTTCAACCATTCCTGACCCTGAGCATTCCGCTGATTGTATGGACGAATAATCCCATCGTATGAAATGCTTCGTGGGGGTCGAATACGCTCAATCGCATTTCCATCGAAGATCGTCGTCGTGTTTTTCACGCCCTCACTCAAACTGTTGGCAAAATCAAAAATGCCAATCGCCGTCTTAGTAGGCAATCCAATCAAACCCTTACCTAGACCTTTAAAGAATCCAGCAGCTCCCTCCTCCGTAGCTCCACGCACAGGCGCCAAAGCAAGTCCAGTAACACCGCTTGTAATACCTTCTACAAGAGAATTGGCAGCAGAAGTCAATCCATTCAGTGCGTGTTTAGGACGATTGCGGCCCATCTTGTTTCTTCGCTGATCTTGGAAAGTCCGATCCATTGTTGCAGCAGTCAACCCCTTAGAAATACTTCCTGTCATTTTGGAAATACTATCACTGAATCCAAAGACAGACTTCTTCATAAAACTCAAACCACCCTTGGCAATACCAATACCAAGCTCTTGTGGACGATCGTTCAAAATATACCCTTGATATGGCTCATAAAACATATCCATAAATCCAGAACTCAAATTGTTGAACAATCCAACGGGATTACCCAAAAAGTCTGCAGACCCCAAAATTTTATGAATTTGGTTCATAAATTCTTGACGATAGTGTGCAGAAATTGACTGCAGCAAAAGTGGGAATGGAGTTCGAACATTAGCCATGACAAGTGCATTTAGCTGAACAGGCGCATCGTTAATGTTGCCAATAGCCATTGTAAGTGCATTCAAAAAGAAACCAAGCGCTGTTTGCGAATCTGTCTTCTCCTCCGCATTGACATGCTCAGTTCTTACAAATGACAAATCCATCTGAGCTGGTTGCAGATTCAAAATCTCAAAGTAAAGATCAAGACCTTCAGTGTCATTAAGCGGCTCAGGAATATGCAAGTCATTATCGCACAAAACATCAATATTCTTCTTCTGGCCCTCCATATAAGAGTTGTAAAAGTCAATGGCTGCAAACAAAAAGTCTTCATCCATCTCCAGAGTGATTTGCTGAAGCAAAATGGTAAAAAACTTAATATAAATCACACCATGATTGTTGTCTCGGACTCTAGTGACAGAAGAGGAAAATGTGGGATGCGCTTCCATCTCCTTGCCGGTCTGGGGAACAACACTGGGGAACAAAATGATGGGATAAACTCCACCAAAAAGCTGATTGTCAATCTGAATCCACTTGATCTTAATATTGAAAGTGTCATACAAGTCCGATGTCTTGAAGTTAAACTCAATACCACGCCAAGTCATGTAGCAGAGCTCCTGCATTCGACGGTTGATCAGTGACACACCAATGCCCTCAAATTTGACATTGACATTAAGAGTAATGTCACCTTCATCATCTTGGACACTGAATGCTTCAGTTGGTGCTGTTGTAGAAGCAATACTGGCTTGTGAAGGGTTGTTCTTCAGCTTGTACAAACTCACTTCAGGGTCGTAGTCAGAAAGAACAAGAGTTTGCGTAGGACCATCAGCAACAACGTTTAGATCAACAATGCATGGAGACTGATTCCGGTCACCAGGAACCTTCATAGGAGGAAGGTTTCCAATTTCTGCAAGCTGAACACGGCGTTCTCTACCATTGGCTTCAATAACAAGCTCTTTCAATGACTCGGCAGGATAATCCCAAGCATATGGCATGACACTTTTTGCTGGAATGAGATAAACAATCGGCGTAAACTGAGGGTGCTTAGGAAGCTCAATACCTGCTTCATCGACATATGGATTTGCCTGATAAAACTTGAATGGCCTGTCTGTGAAATTGCGAATAGAGTAGGGCCAATTGTTTCCTGCTTCATCAATATGGATGTACAAGGTGGCATCCTCCATCAAAATGTCAATCTTGAGCAAACCATAGCCTTTGCCATGTTGATAAACACGCAAGTGAATTCGACCAATGTTAGAGATGACAAATGGTGCAGTCCACTGAGATGTAGCACCAAAAAAGCAGGCGCTAAGCTGCATGTTGCTTGATCTGCGCAAGAAGTGTACAGGTTGAACACTGTTCGACTTAACAACAACAATATCTGAAGACCCAGTGTCACGGATCTGAATGTCATCTTTAAGTTTGTTGTGCACAACAAATCTGGGAGTCAAAGTAACAATCTTGGTAAGCTTATAAATGCCTTGTCCCTCAGTAATGTGAACACCAACGTGAATTTCTGATTGACGGGTATTGGATTGGATGACAACATCAGAATCCTTGCCAATAGTATCAAAACTAATCTCTTCACTCCACTTAGAGTCCCCAACTTTGATAAGAGCACGCTTGTTCGAATCACGATCAAAAGACCACATCTTTGGCACAGCCTTTTTATGTAGCACTTCTTGTCCATTGCGTGTTGCAGTGTCATTAAACACTCGAGAAGTAGCTGTGTTGAACTTTTCCAAAATCTTGACATCCAAACCGGTCTTGTTTAAGATTATATATGGAGAATAAACCATAACCTTGAGACCTCTTCCCTCTTCTTCAATAAAGTGAAGCTTAAGTGTCAATCGTTGACCATCAATAGATCTTGTGACCAAAGTATCTTCCCTCTTAAAATCGCCAGTCTTATTGGTATTAATGACTGCAAAATCAGTGTTCTCATAATCGCCCTCCAAAGGATGGACGTTAAGCATAAGAAAATGAGACAGTTGTATAACATGCATAGAGCCTGTCTTGCCTTGCTTAATAGTATTGGTCCACTCTTTCTTGACAGTTTTATCATAAACACGATAAACAAAGTCAAACGGCAAAAGATTTACTATCTCTAAAGGTGCTGCTAAAACAACTTTCATATGAGGGTAAACTTTGGGAAGAGGAAGTGACTTGTCATAGACAGCCGCTGCTTGCACATAAAAATATGTCCCCGTAGACTCGTCCTTGGGAGGACAAACAACAGAGCAAGATCCCGCAAGCAAATCTTTCCAATAAATGGGTTGCTCAGACCAATTAAAGGGAAGATGATCAAATGGCTTTACATCAATGGGGTTGTCATACATGTACTCAATTGGAATAGCACGAGAATCTCCAGGATTAAGCTCCCATGTAAGAGGGGTAGTAAGTTTTTTACTTGGATGAGCAGAAATGGCACCAGTGTCATTTGGAGCATCAATGCTGCCTGAGCGGCCTATTGAGATTACCATTGGCGCTTGAGTATTATTGACGAATGTAAGAGCTGATCTCAACACAATACGTTTAATTGAATGATCCATTGAAACTTCACATAAAAGTCTGTGATTGATGCGACGAATCCGTGGATTAAGTGTGTAGAGATGCTCTCCCACAGTGGTAACAGAAATGTTCCGGATGGGTTCATAAGGTGAGTTCAACAGACGAACGCCTAAATTAACTTTTTGGGCATCAGTGCTCAGGTTCTCACGTACCGTATTCCAGTCGTAAAATCGCCAAGGGATTTCTTCATTATCTGGAATAGTGGCAGAAGTCTGGACTTCATTTTTGCTATTACCATCAATCCAAACTTCGACACTGTATCCAGTTTGGTTCAAAATGCGATAGGGGGCAACATCGTCGCGAGGACGTAGCAAAAAATTATCATCAATATCGTCGGAAATAAACTCGACAGCATGGGAAATTGAGCTAATAGTTTGAGAAGTAATTGTGAGCTCCATAAGCTTTCGCGAAAACAAATTGACTGTAGTATTATTGTTTTCAACGGAGCGTGCAACATGAAATCCTAAGTCCCACGGTTCAATAAGGGGCTCCCATGCAGACTTTTCCGAATTGTATATATTCACAAAAGTCTCAATGGATGTTTCAACAGTAAGATTGGAAGACCAATCTCTGACATTGACAGTAAAAGCCTTGGCACACATATCAAGCATGGGAAGCTCATTAAAAGTGCCAATTAGAACAAGACGAAGACCATCAAATTCAGCACTGAGGCGCTGACCTCGGACTACAATGTCAATATCGTCAGCAACTCGAGTGCTAGAGCTAGTAACAGGCGCAATAGGCTGTTTTAGAACGCTGATATCGCTTTTGCGAGAAATAGAGCTCCGTCGAATTTTTCTTCTTTTAGAAAAGCGAGAATATCTAGGTGCCTCTTTAAGAGGCTCAACATTCTGTTTAGCATCAATTTCAGAAGACATAATGTTAACTCTTTTGATAATATCCAGAGCAAGGATAATGTCGCGCAGAGCAAGACGCAAAACCAAGGGTTCAACTGTGATATCAATCTTGGAAATCTCTGCGGTTGGTGATGAACCACGATTGTCAATGGCAACAACCAAAGAAAAGTCATCTAAAATACGAAGTCTGTTGCGATCAAATGCATTCATTTTGCATAAGAAAACCCCAACTTTGCTTACAGACATAACCATAGTCTCTTCTTGAGACAACACAAAGTGTTCAGCCTTGAGAACAATAGCTTCAGAATCCACAAGCTTAGGATTTGCCAAAAGAATAACTGAGGCATCAACGACATTCACATGATAATATATCTTCATCGAAGAAGGCTGTGTGGACTGTGAAGTAGTATCTCCACCCTCGTCTTCTATTAGCATATCCTCTGTAATGTCTTCTGTAACAGGATCCTCAACAGCAGGTGGAAAGCCATAAAGAAGGAACGCTTTAACAGCAAATAAGTAGTCCATAGCTAAAATCATTCTTGGGCTGTCGACTGTAAGAACAGCTTTTAGAATTCTGTTTTCCACAGGGCCTGTCATGGTCACATTGCACATAAACTGATACTCTCCATGTGTAGCTGATGGAATAATTTCAGAAAACTTGTTGTCCTTTACTGATCGGGTATCATGAACAGTGAACGCTTTCATGTGAACATCTGATTCTAAATCACCAGAAGCTTTCATGCGTAGCTTAGCACCCAAATCATCCACGGTAAATTTAGAAAGGCTAGTGGATTCCAAGTCTTCCGAGGCAACATTTGCTGTATTTGTGTAAAGAGATAACGCAAGCTTGGGAACTTCAAACGAAAGATCCATTTTGCTGACTGTGTAATTAGATGTGTTAGGTGATATAGGACGTGATAAGCCAACATTACCGATATGCTTCTGTTGTTTAAGCTCTTCCTCCAAATTAATCATTTCATCGTCTGGGATTCCACCATCACCGCCAAAGATACCAGCTACACTAGTACTCATCTCCATCAAAAAACGGTATTGAAGTTCTGTTATGCGAACTGTGGTTTCGGATAAGCTTCCTGTAACAATTGTGATCGGACGACTGATGCCATCATATGGCTCAACGTATGAAACATCAAACGACATGTCAAAATTATCAATAATTTCCAGTTTTTGAATAGTATTAGGGAAGTGGAACTTGGAAAACAAACGAGTCGAGCGAATACCAAATTGAATGTGGTTGGCAAGAGGCCCATCTGGATCTTCTTGAAAATGAATGTACTCATTGTTGGCATACATTTCACCAAGATGCGCAACAATAGTGTCACAAAGAGTTTCTCCATGACTGAATTTAATTTTAGGGAAAACAAGAATAGGAGTACTAATATGAAAATCGAAATGAATCTTGTTTGCATCCTCAATTTGATTTGCCTGGTTATAGGCAACTTGTCGAGCAGAGTCAAATAGTGCCTTCATTTGAGCAAACTTGGACCCAAAATTCATGATGCGAGCAAACGGCTCTTCCACAACATTAAACTTAATCGAGCCAGCGTGAAACTTGATTAGACTATTGTAAATGTTTGATGTCGTACCAGGCGCAAAGGTTTGATAATTGAAGTCGGCCAAGTCACTTCCTTCAATGCTAATAAGTTTGCGAAGCATAGATTCACGATTAATGCCATTATTAACTTCATCGTGAAGTGTAAATTTTCCTATGCGTGCTTCAACTTTCATAGTCTCTGGAACCATAAATACCTTGACAAATGCACTATCCAACTTGGTTGTTGCCAATTTAATACCATCATCATTAAGTAACAATATAATACCATGTAGATCAACAGTGATGTCAATCTTTGCCACAGAATCGTGATCTTCTTCAGAATTTGAAGAACTTGTAGGTGATGGAAGCGTCAACTGGGAATTATCTGGAGTTTCTGCTGGAGAAGTGAATGTAGTAATAATGAAATCTAGAATAGATAGAAAGCTCTTTGGGTTAATGACAAACTTAATAGTAGAAAGAGTAACATCAATAAGCTGATCATTAATGTCATTTCCCAGAGTATCCACTTTGCCAGTGTTAACACGCTTATACTTGACTTTAAAAAGCTCGTTCAATCCGGAATCAGCATTTTCCAAAGAAGTTGCAAATTTGCGAAGCTCAGAATCAACATTATTTTGCACATAGTCTTCAATACAAAGGCTCTTTAATACCACATCGGCGAGCATTTCGCCATCCTTGTAGTAGTAGTATAAGTCAAAAGATTCTAAAATCATATCAACTAGAGGTTCTTGTTTCAGTGAAACTGGATCAGTGCAGCGATGCAAAAACATTTCAACACGATCAACCCGGAAATTGAACTCAAATATCTTTTGATCAGAATTCTTTAAAGTTGGTTCGGGAGGTGCTGGTTCTTCTTCGGTATCACTGTCAATGTCAGGAAGAATAGGGATTGATGATGGTGCAATGGAAAATGCGCGTGAGCGACCAAGATTATGGGAGTATGAGTCGCTTTCCTTGTTAGAGCCATCCTTTGTGTCATTTTTCTTTGGACTTTTGTTTCCATCGTCTTCAGCATCAAAATTAAAGTTGGGAATGCAAACATCAACAATTTGCATCATAATTTTGTACTTTGCATCAGACATGGAGGCCACAAATTTAGGCAAATTACCAGAAATTTTAAACTTCGTAAGACTGTGTGCCTCTGGCAAAATAGAAACTTCTACCAAAAAGTCCATATTAATTCTATCCAAGACTGAAGAAGGGTCGTCAGACACGCCATTATGAAGCTGGCGCATTGTGTCACGAACATTAGACCCAATTAAAAACTGAGTATTGTGAAGTTGAACATTGAATTTGTCGTACATAAGAGACTCCAGGCGCTTCCAGTCATTATCAGTATAAACCATAGTCTTCTTTTTCTTAACTTCTTCAATCACTTCTTTGCCAACGAGATGACTGATAGCAGAAATATGACCAGCATCTATGATGGCACAAGGAGAGGCCCAACTGGTGGGGTCGAGGGGCATAACGATAAGGGGTGCCTGCATATCAATTACAAGGTTTACAGTCTTATGTTGCTGTAAAGCATATTCAAGACCAATTCTTGTTTGGTCTCTGATCTCTTCGACAGTTGCACCAGCAGCATTCATAATGGCACCAATTGTTTCCAAGTGATTCTTTGGAGGACGGAAAAACCGCGCAATGTTCTCCAAAAACCCTGTGTTATAAAATATGGTGATACTCTTCATTTTTATGAAAAGATTTGAATCAGCACTACCGTCCAGCGGATTGCTTTCAAAAGAGAGCCAAAAAAATGCGTCTTGATCAACAGAAGATTCAACATCTGTAGAGCATTTATCTGGGTGGTCTTCAGAAAAATCTGGTATAAAATGTGTTCCAATAGACTTGACTGTTACAATCTGCTTATAGAGTGTGTCTTCAGAACCATCATCAACACGAAGCTCATGAAGAGAGAGATTTGCTGTATATGAATCAGGTCTGTTATAAAATGAAGAATTGAACCCATTGAAAAGAATTGTAACCACATCTCGAACGTCTCCATGTGGATTTGTGCGAAGTCTGAAACTTCCAGACTTAAGTGCTGCTTCTATTTCCATGGTGACAGTATCTTTAGGAATATCAATAGCATCAATGATTGCCTTCTTTTCATCCCACTCAATGGCTTCATAGAGTTCTTTCCGCTGTTCCTCTGTCATGACAACTTCGTTATTATCGGTGGAGCCATCAGAGTTTGCAGTGCTGATTGCAGCTGCATTAGTATTCTTGTTCCAAAACCAACCAGACCATGTATTGTTTTCTTTAGAAGCTGGCTTCTGTGGTTTTAAAAGAGCCTTTTCTTTTCTAAGTTGAGATTTAGCAATTGTTCTGTAAAATCGCAAATCTTCAAATGACGTTTTGGTTTCAATGTTATTGAACTCGTCAATCTCTTCTAAGGTAAGTGGTGGTGATGCAACAGTACGCTTTTTAAATAGCTCAACATATCTTATTCTTTCTTTGCGGTGTTCAAGAATATAATCCCATGACCATTCCTTGCGTTTCTGATGGATTTCGCTTAACACACAATTTGCTGCATATTTAAACCAGGCTTTAGGATCATCTTTAATAGCCATCTTGGGTCTAAATCGTTGAAATTCACGCGAAAGTTGATATACATTAAATAACTCGGCTGTCCAAAGCATGTCACGGTACTGATCGCTGTCAAAAACAAATGCAAGTTCGTCGAAAAGAAGTTGAGCCTTGGTTTTTGGACCTGCAGAGGCATCTTTGTTAAGAGTAATATGTCCAACACCAGAAACAGGGCGGAGAATATATTGAAAAGAATTAGTGAGGGTAGGGTCTGACTCAGCTGCTTTTTTCATGTATTCGATAAGTTCCTCGTGAGAAAAATCCCGGGTAGATTTGCTATCAGTATTCCAATACAAAGATAGTGACCCAAGCGTTGCCAATTTATGAGTAATGACTTTGGTGTCGGTAAGAAAACTTGGCTCCCAGTTTTCATTAGTTGAAACAGCAGAAATCTCTTTAAGGGATATACCGATAGAAAACTCGTGGCCCGGAACGCTGCTATTGTCTTCGTAGCGTATGTGAATATTGTTAATTGTAATCTGTAAATTGTCAATAATTTTTGTGACTAAACTGTCAGTGAAACTTTGGTTTTTGCGGATTTCCTCAGGCGAGAGATTCTCTGTATCATGAATTCTATCTGCTAGCTCCAAATCTTCCAATTTGTTTCGCTTTAATGCTAATTCTCTACGTTCTTCTTCGGCCGCATCATAAGCTTGATCTAGCTTAGGAACTGCAACAAGGAAAACATTGTTAATAAGAACCTTTACTGGCTTATTCTTGAGATTAGACCATGGAATTTGAAGGACAAGTTCACCAAGATGACCTTCAACGACATCAATAGGGAGCTTTAGTTGATCAAGAGCCTAAAGATTTGTTAGTCAAATAATTTTTTTTTTTTTGTAATAAAACATACCTCGCGTTTAAGACTGAGATTTCTAAGTTTTACATCGCCGCTCCAAATTCCAATATTTAATTGTTTCGGATCGAAATTTTTGACCTAAATATAGTTAGAAAAATGCAATTATTGTTGGAGAAAAAAAAAGCATACATATGATCCCTAAAAAAAGGTTGGTTAGTAAAGGCGCATTAGAAAGACCAATTAGGTTGTCGATTATAAAAAAAAATATCATAACATACAAGAAATCTATTCAATAGCGATGCCACCAAGGATTCCAACATGGCGGGCTTTAGTTATTGAAAAGAATATCAATTATCTTTTTTAAAGAAAAAATAAAATAAATGGAATAAAAAATTAGAGAGAGGGGTAATTAAGAGATGACAAATGATTGGTGCCGTTTCTATCCCAACTTTAAGAGTAGAGAACAAATAATGAATGAGAAATAGATAGGCAATTGTCGAAGAAAAAAAATTTAATAGATAAATGCTGATTTTAATATAATGCTTTAAATTGTCATGAGAAAGTGTATAGTTGTAAAACTTTGGCGTTGTAGAAGAAAGGGAGAAATGGTGACTGCAAGGGGGAATTATGGAGGTGGAGGCAAAAAAAAAAAAAATTCTAAATTCCGGAGGAGTATACGGACCGGTTACATTGTTACTTTAAACCACCCCGCCACTTTATGATATCCCGCAACCAAAACATTGATGGAGCAATTTAGCAATGATAGAAAATGTTTAAAGTTTTTAAAACTTTCAGAAGAAATTGATTGTAAGAAAACTTTCTATATATATAGTACTTTACAAAGAAATGAAGAATCGATAATGGAGCAAAAAATAAAAACTTTTAATTTATTTAAAATAAAAACTTAGGTCCATTTACCGAGGACACTCATAAGAATCATACCCCCAATAAGAGATGCCATCGCTAACAGGGAAGTCCATACAGAGGCGTCCTTAAGACTTCCAATAATCCAATCCATTGCTAACATTTCCACAAGACCAGTCCATAATAGGATACCTGCTGATAATGCATCTATTGTACCTAGAGCAATAAGAGTGGATCTATCATTTCCATTGAACTTGTTAATGACACCCAGGCCGATAGCCATGCCAATTGGTGTAATCAGAGCAAAAACTGTACCCATTATAATCATTTCTACCATTGATGCGTTTCGGATTCCAGAGATGCGTGCACCCACGGCTAAACCTTCGAACATTTGATGAAAGAGAATTACAATAAAAAGTGTGATGACGCCTGAGTCACCAGCAACAACAAGAGTTATACCAATAAGGATAGAATGAAATACGATACCTGCCTCCATAATCATGACACTGAGTTTGTCATGAGGATCTATTAGACTATCAGAATGATTATGGCCACCATTTGGAACCTGAGAAACTTGAACTTGGTGCTTTTCATTGTTCATATTTTCGTTGTCTGAACCAGTGGTAGGCTTTTGTTCCAACACTTGACCATCGCAAGAATTTTTTCGTTGAAGTTTCTTTTGTCTATTGCTGAGAAGTCTATTAAAAGTGTACTCAATCAAGAATGCAATAAACAAGCCAGCAAGCATTATAGAAGTCGAAACACCTTCATATGAAAGTGTTCCAACGCATTCACTGCTAAACATGAGAGTTGCATGAGTTGAAAGATGAATAAGAGAAGTGGAAAGTACAACACCGGTACCAAACTGTCGTATAATTGTAAGAACAGGTCCATCAAGGTCAAGATTAGCAAATCGTCTCAAGAATATAGGACTAAAAACTGCAAAAGAACTAGATGCTAAAATTGCAAAAAGGAGACCCACACGAAGACGAATATTTTTTTCTGTGTTGACTTTTTCACATGTACTTTCAACAGTATTACCATCAGCATCGACGCAATGCTCTACGCCAGCGTGGAAGTGGCAGGAAATACCATCTGTAGATGTACTTGATTCTGTGGAAGTAGAAGTGGCGCTTATTTCTCCATCTATGACAAACTGTACTTCTTCTAAACCATTCATACAAAAGGTGCTAGACCCATGAGTATGGCAACCTGTATATTCTGCTGGTGTACTTTCGGTTGCAGTAGGGGCTGGGACAATGTAACCTTCCTGACCATCTCCATTCATGCAATTGTAAGCTGTACCATGATAATGACAAGCTGTCACAGCTGTGGTTTGGCCTGATGCACTATTGCTAATTTGCGATGTAACAGTAGATTCTTCATCGTGATCATCATGTTCTTCAGCAATGAAAAATTGAACTTCATTGGATCCATTCATACAATAGTAATCTTCACCATGATTATGGCAAGCGGTGTACTGAGCTGGAGCTTCTGCTGTTGCTGTAGGTGCTGGAGTGACATAGCCTTCTTCACCGCTGCCATTCATACAGTAAAAAGTACTTTCATGAAAATGGCAGGATGTAATGGCAGTAGTTTGAGCAATTTGTGAACTTACACTTTGTGCTGTTAAATATGTACTCATTGAGCTGGAAATCGCTTCATCAGCATTAGCAATAATAAACTGAATTTCGTCAGAACCATTCATGCAATAAAACTCATTGTCATGATTATGGCATGCTGTGTATTGAGCGGGCGCTTCAGATGTGGCAGTTGGAGCAGGAGTAACATATCCTTCTTCACCATTACCATTTTTGCAAAAAAGAGTACTTTCATGAAAATGGCACGAAGTGATTGCAGTTGATTGCCCTGATGAAGATTGAGCAAATGCATAAGCTGCCAGTGTAACACTTAAAAATAAATTGTTTTTTGCTGTAAATTTTAAATTCATTTGATTCTGTTTTTTTTTAAATTAAATTAAATTTATTTATTTTAAAAAAATGATTTGAACTATGAGAAGGTATTTTTGTAACCTGAACAAAAACAAATTAACCATGAGAAGGGAAAAAAACGAAGGGAAATCCTTTCATTTTAATAGAGAAAATTTCTTCTACAATGATCTCTACCAAGGTTCTTTTCAAGACTTCTGCCAAGACGGTTTGAAATCAAAAATATTGGCCTGTGACTAAAAAAATTATCATCTTTAATTTCGAATCATGAACAAAATGAATTATAGGGAAACAATTTTTTTTTAATTGTCAGGAGAAAAAATCAAAATTTTCGCTGAATCGAAATCAAAAGCCGGTTTAAAATTAATTATAGGATTTTTAAAAAAAAAAAAGAAGCAAAAGAATAAGCAGTTAGGTTATTTAAAATGTTACTTTTGAAGAAAGAGAACCCTATCGGTTGTTTAAAGAATGCTGGAAAAAAGTATCTGTGTTTATGACATCAAGAAATCACAGAATTTATAACATGAAAAAAAAAACTGTTTTGATCATTCATCATGATGAATAATATTGAATCAAATAAGTATTTTCTTGGCTCAGTTTTTTTTTTTTTTTTAATTGTTATTTATTATAATAGTAAATACTAAGAGTTTGGGTTGTCATTTCTTTGCAAAACCATTATCATGATCCTGACAACATTTTTAATATTGCTTGCAAACAATTGTGAAGGTTTAAATGTGTTATTATGTAATAAATATTTATTTAAAGACTATTCAAATAGTCTTTTATTATGTTTACCAAATGTCTTACTAATCATTTATAACACATCCCATCCCCGCTTCTAAGCTTATTTACGGGTGTCGTGGGTTTGTGATTCGGCTCGGTGCAACTCATGCCGGACACGTTAAACATTTGACTGCCGCGTAATGTCAAGTATTTTTTTAGAATAATTTTTTCTATTTCCTTTTTTTTTTTTTATATACTCTAATTTTGTTAAAAAAACTTCCTTGTCAAAGCTTTTGATAATCATTATTAGCCGTTCGGGTATACCCACCGCGTTTTTTAGTTAAACACGTCCTTTATCAGCCAATCACCAGCTGTATTTACTAAAATAAACATTAAATTTGGAACTGTAACGCGCATTCCATCTTCTAACTTTTCTTTTCCCTGTTCATAGACAATATCCAGCTTTTAATTAAAATTAATCCTTTTTTGAATATAAATTATTGCTTCATAATTTGCTTTACAAGCTTTATTGTGACTATTTTTGTACTTATATTCTTAACAGTTTCTAGTGCTAGCCAGTGTCCCCTTATCAGGAGCCCACATACACACGGCTTCTTCCACTTCCATACAAAAATAATAACCACAATCAAATAATCATGTCTAACCCGCAATTGCTTTCTGACCAGCAGAAAAAGAGCTTTCAAACTACGCCTAGAGATCTACCATCACCCGATAGAGACATGCCATTAGAAAATTATCCAAACTTGGACGCAGACCAGAGCATTCATGGTGATAATATTAATGACTCCGTCGAAAATAATAATGGTTTATCAGCTCAAATAAAAGGCGAAGAAAACGAGGAATACTCTGAAGGTGCATATAACGATGGACTTTCTTCGTCAAGATTCATTATTAGAGAGCAAGATCGCTGGCTTCCAATAGCAAATGGTATGTTTATACTCTTCTTTTACTCTTTCTTCTACACTTCTTCAGATAAAAAAAAATAAGCCGTTTTGTGTAGTACTAAAGCTTACACTGGAAAAAAATCGTTTACATGCAAACTGATGGGCTGATTAGTGCCTGTACCCAACCTCTTTTTTTTTTTTTTTTTTTTTTGCTGCGATGCTTCACCATTGGAAGCACTACTCAGCCTTTCTGTATTGAAATCATATTTTTGTCTTTTCTAACGGTAATGTTTAGTTGCTAGGATAATGAAGTCAGCGTTACCTGATAACGCTAAAATATCTAAAGAGGCCAAAGAGTGTATGCAAGAATGTGTATCCGAGTTTATTTCGTTTGTTACAAGCGAAGCCACGGAGCGGTGTTCGGCTGAGCGAAGGAAAACAGTCAACGGCGAAGATATCTTATTTGCACTCATGTCTCTAGGTTTTGAAAACTACTCTGAGGTCCTCAAAATTTATCTCGCTAAATACAGACACGTGAGTATATGTTCAAACTTAAATTTTTCTTGCTTTTGTTAACTCTTTTACAGAGCCAAAATGGAAAAAATATTAAACAAAGGTCTAATCAAGATGACATTCAAGAAGGCGAAGAAGATGATGATGATTTTGATAATGCTGCAATGGTTTCTTCTTAAATGTCTTATTTAATTAACTCTATTATGGCTTTTTTTAAGCATTAGACTCTTTCTGTGTAATTACTATTCTTTTAAAAATTCAGTGTTTTATTATTGGGCTAAACTAAATTATAAATTAAATTAAGAAGGAAATAACAAAATTAAACCATTGAATAAGTCTTTTGTTTGGTTGAAATCAGAAACATAACATTTAAATAAAGTACTTTTTACAACAGCAAAACAATTCCAATTGCACCCAAGGCAACAACAGCAACGGCAGCAGCCCCAGAGCGATTGCCACTGTTAGTTTGTGCCAATGTTTCGCTTGCAGTAAGATTATTTCTGGCAATTGAAGAGACAGCAACCGCGGTAGAAAGAGTTGTTTGAGAAGAAGCTTCAGTCTCAACAATAAATTGAACCTCATTAGTACCATCTTTGCAGTGATATTCAGTACCATGATAATGGCAGCCAGTATACTGAGCTGGTGCATTTTCAGAAGCAGTAGGAGCAGGTGTGATTGAACCCTCTTGACCATTTATGTCCTTGCAATAATAAACACTACCATGGAAATGACAGCTGGTGACTGCGGGACGGGAAGATGAAGAGGTAGTGGCAGCAGCAGGTGATGAGATGACAGAGGTAATGGAAGATGAAGACGATGAAGACGATGAAGACGATGAAGACGATGAAGAAGAGGTTTCAGCCTCAACAATAAATTGAACTTCATTAGTACCATCTTTGCAATAATACTCAGAGTCATGGTAATGGCAGCCAGTGTACTGAGCTGGTGCATTTTCAGAAGCAGTAGGAGCAGGTGTGATTGAACCCTCTTGACCATTTATGTCCTTGCAATAATAAACACTACCATGGAAATGACAGCTGGTGACTGCGGGACGGGAAGATGAAGAGGTAGTAGCAGCAGCAGATGATGAGATAACAGAGGTAATGGAAGATGAAGAAAAAGTAGCAGATGATGAGGCAATGGATGAAGCAATAGCAGAAGTTTGATCAGAAGTAGTAGCAGTTGATGCAGGAATAGCTGAGGATGAAGAGGTTGTCACAGCATGACCCTCGTCTTCTTCAACAATGAATTTTACTTCATCATTACCTGACATACAGTACATTTCGCTTCCATGATTGTGACAAGAAGTATACTCAGCAGGAGCATTGGTAGTTTCAGTGGGTACCGGGGAGACATATCCTTCTTCACCATCAGCATCCTGGCAGTAATAGGTTGAACCGTGATAATGGCATCCAGTGATAGAAGCACTTTGAGCTACAGAAGATGCAGCAAAAGTGATAGCCAAAGTAAGCAAAGTTGAGGTTTTCATTTGATTAAAACGAGTGAGTAAAGTTGGATTTTCTTGGTGTATTTTTTTTTTTTTTTTTGTTTTTTCAATAATTTTTCAAATATTTATATTTAAGAGCATAAAGAGTAATAAATCTTTAAAATACTTTTAAACTTATGTTATGTTCAATAAACCATTGCTTTACTTTTTTTATAACTGGTTTGTTTCAAAAAAAAACTATCCAACAAGGTCTGTAGTTTTTTTTTTTAAATGCCAAGATTAAATTTTTCAAATGAAAAATGGACTTTCATTACTTTTCCAAAAATTAGTATATTATTAAAACTTTTTGAAATCCAATAATTTATTTATAATATAACCTTGATGGTTTGGCTAAATATTTACTATAGTTATTTGATTCCAATAATTTGTATGCTTATATTATTTAATCATTATTTAAAGTAAAAAAAAAAATATGTCACATATTTGCACTAAAGCAATAAAGCAATACCAAAAATACTTGCACCAAGAACAGACCCAGCATAGATAATTTTGGCGCCAGCACTATTGGCAGTGGGTGCACTTGATGTTCCATCAGCTTTAGTTGATGTAGCAGTGAAAACAGAATCAGTAGATGAGGTACTTAAAGAGACATCATTAGAAGTCCCAGAGATATCAGAAGCAACAGAAGTACTAATCAAAGAGCTAGCTGTATTTACAGCGCCACTAGAATATTTAGATTTATTGTCTTTAGAGGAGGTCAAAGTCGATAAATTTGTATGTGCAGAAGTAGCATGATTATGATCATCATCACTCTCACTTTCATCCTCATCATTTTCCAAGTCAAATTGAACTTCATCAGAACCATTCATACAGTATAATTCTTCATCATGAATGTGGCAATTAGTGTATTGCTGAGGAGCATCACTAGAAGCAGTGGGAGCGGGAGATACTGTGCCTTCGGAACCGTTTGAGTTAAGACAATAGTAAACAGTTCCATGAAAATGGCATCCTGTAATTATATTGGAAGATGATTTTGAAGCTGATGAAGAGGCAGCTGAAACTGAAACTGAAACTGTTGAAGTCAAAGAGGATGATGCAGTAGAAACAGTAGCTATTGTTGTATGATCATTGTGTTCGTCTGTATCATCTTCAACTTCAAATTCAACTTCATCTGAGCCATTCATACAAAAATATTCGTCACCATGGCTGTGGCAATCCGAATATTGTGCAGGTGCATTTGAAGTGTCAGTAGGAGCAGGTGAAACTGTACCCTCAGCACCATTACCATTAAGGCAATAGTACGCAGTTCCATGAAAATGGCAAGCCGTAATCGCCGTAGTTTGAGCGGAAGAGCTTTGCGCAATTGTTATAGAAGTAGCCAAGGCGACAAGAAATGGGGTTTGAAACTTCATTATTAGATGTAAGTATGAATAAAAAATGACCTTTTTAGTTATATAAAACTTGAGATTATGAACAACCAAAAAAGTGTCTTGGTACCATGAAAGCAATATGAAAAGAAGGAAAGAAGGGAAAAAAAATTTCGGGGATATTTATACTGCCCTGAGTTTTAAATCCAGTAATTACTGTATTATAATACAGTCTAAATAAATAAAAAGAGAACCAATATCAAGCCGGCAAGGTTCTATTACAAAATGCCAAGAGCATAAGGTCTTGAAGAGCACTAAATTAACCTCAAAGGTTCTATTTTTTTAAAAAAAATATCATTTAATTTAAAGTTTATCAGTTGTTAAAAAAAATAAACGGGATGAAAGAGTATGGATAATCCCCGATGTTTGATGAGATGAGGAAAAAAAATTTAAAGTACAGAAAATAAACTAATAACATGCTTAAAATAAGCTTTCATGTTAAAATGTGTATTTAGAAAACTACACACTAAACCAACAGATAAACCTGTTTTGGGAAGCAATTTTTTTTGAGCGAGAACCCTTAAGGTTGGAAACTTTAGGTCAAAATATGTGATTTACACATAGATAATTTGTTTTACTTTCTTAATCCAAAAGAAAATTGTTGATAATATTTTTAAAAAAATCTCTTGCCGAGGTTTAAAAAAGAAAAGATAATCTTAAACTCATTACCTGTATCCGTAGACTTTATTCAAATAAAAAATAAATAGAATATACCTATCCTAATAGCAGCATTAATTAATGCGTTTTTAGGGATTTTCAGTAATGGCTTTGTTTTAGATACTTGGGTTCTAAGTTGTTTAAGTGGACAGAGTAGCCTCTACATCCATTATGAATGTTGAAACAGTAGTTGTGACGTTACCAAGGCCATTACGACAGCTACCATTACAGAGGAACAAACAGAATCTAAAAAAAGAGATAAATAATTATTGAAATCATCATAGCATTTAGTTTTTTGCTGTGCCATGATGCAGTTTTCGTGATTAGAGGTATCAGCCTTAGTTGTGGGCAGCAGCAGGACTATCATTTACCATGAATACAAATAAAAGTGAACAGGTCCAAATGGCAACGGTTTAAATCATTGTCTGTCAAAACAAAAGCAACAAAAAGAAAATCCGCAAATTAGCTTGAAATCTCATTAAAAATTTACGGTAAATTAAAAATACTTTAAGTTTTATATAAAAATTTAAATTACTTTTAAAATAAAAAAGAGGAAAAGCCTGAAATCACTCATTCAATACAATATTTTTTTACAGAACATTAAAGAAACGGTATTCTAGTTAAAACCTGAAATTAAATTTCTCATTTTGGAAGCTGAGTGGTAATTCTAGTCATGCTTATGCAAATTTAATCATGATTAAATGGTATTATAGGTTTCTACCTCTAAATTCATATTAATTCATAATCATCAATTGCAAGAAACTATCAATAACTTGAGCAGCGGCAGTAACAGTTATGTCACCGTTTGTATCAAAAGCTGGTGCAACTTCGACCACATCAGCACCAATGAGATTGATACCTTGCAATTCGTCCAGAAGCGTAAGAATTTCTCTTGTAGAAAATCCACCAGGCTCTGTTGTACCTGTACCAGGAGCATAAGCAGGATCAATTACATCAATGTCAAATGTAATATAAACTTTGGCATCACCGACATGCTCTTTTATTTTACGTGCCATTGCGGCAACACCAATGCGATCAATATCTCGTGCCGATAATTTGGCAAAACCACATTCTTTGTCATGCTCAACATCTTTCTTTCGTCGAATATATGGTGCCCGTAATCCGACATGTATGTTATGACCATCTAAAAGGTATCCTTTTTCATGTGCAAAGTGTAGAAAGGTGCCATGGTTGAGATGCGCATAAGTAGATATATTGCCACCAAGAACCTGAGGATCCCAGGTATCAATATGAGAGTCAAAATGAACCACAGCTAAAGGGCCATGAATCTCGTATGCTGAACGCAAAGCTGAAAAAGTAATGGTGTGATCACCACCAAGAGTAATGATTCTTGGGGCTGTTGTTGTATTAAGTTCCTTAGCCTTGCTTGTATTAGTAACAGTAAGATTGTGGATCGCACGATGAGCACGATAAAGTTGATTAAGAGCAATGCGATTGTCGAACGGTGTCATAGGTGCATCACCACAATCAACAACTTTAGCCCAGTCATCATATGGGTTAAATCCATTATGAAAAGCACTATAAGATCCAAACTTCCCCATACGCCTTGATCCTGAGCGAATACCTTTAGGACCAAATCGAGCACCTCCTCTGTAAGAAACGCCAGTGTCAAAGGGCGCTCCTACAATTGCAACGTCAAACGATGGTTTGATGGCATCAGGATCTAGACCAAAACACTGGTATATCGGCAAATGGGCAAACCCGTCAACCCCAGCAAATTCTGGCATATTGTCTGGGCCCAAGTCGGAAACATAATCTGGAGAAGGGATATTAACTTGGGCATCATGAAATTGTACACCATCATTATCAGGGTCATAACGAGCAAAAGGGTGCTGTAGGTGACCTTGTATTTGTGCTTGGTTATTGTTTGAATTCAACAGCGGACCAAAGTATCTGTCCATAAAAGTTTCCGTCGGCAAAGCCGACACTGTATAGTAAAAAGAGATTAAAAAAGCTGAAGATAATTTCATGGTTAAGTTTGCTTTTAAAAAAATTCTAATTGAAAAAAAAAAAAAAAAAAGACTATCTTAATACTAATTTAAGTGAATGCTTGGTTTAAATAGTCCTTGACTGTCGGTGTTAGTTTCAGATATTTCAACCGTCTTTTCGCAAGTACTTTCCAAAATTACAGAATTTGGCCATATTAGTATAGCAGTAAACTTTAAGTGAAATGAAGGGTTCCAAAAAAAGTTTTCCAAAAATGGATTTATTTACGAAATTGTACTTTTCAATGGAGGTTTAAGGACCCCTTATAATATTGTGAAACTGAGAGCGAGCATCGACCCAGTCTTGTTTGTCTTTTGTATTTTTTGATCCGTAGGACCCGAGGGCAAAACATCATCTCGATAAGAAAAAAAAAACATAGTATTATCTTTAATAACTTATAAGTTGCAACAAACACAAAAGTTGCACATTACATTTTTTTGTTACAAATTTGTTGGTTTTAAAATGTGTAGCAATCAAGCCTGGAACCGGCTTATGACACACCTCCAGCGAATGAACAGCGAGCGGCGATGGTGGGTTCATCCCACTTCAAGTTGTTTTGAGCTTACACACGACCAACAAAAAAAAACTAAAATCACCACACCTACCGCTTTCTTTTCGCCACTTTCCATTTTTTCATTCACCCAACATTGCCACCGTCAAATCATTTCTATCACCCCGTTCCCTTCGCACTTTGTATATAGTTTTTTTTCATTTAATTTGATTTTGCTTTAGTTGAGAAGTGTATTCTCATAGAAGATTTCCAAAGAGAAACGAAATATAAGAATTTTAATAATTTCATAAAAAAATAGCGAAAAAAGCGAAAGAAAGAATTATCTCATCACCTATAGCTACACACATACAAATCCAGTCCCATCCATCCATTCAATGCTTTCATCATCCCAAGTTCTGAAGCGGAGCGGATACCAGCAGACTCTTCGTGTCGTTTCTTGTGCTCGGACTCAGCTGCGCTCTGCTTCTCATTCTTCTAAAACCGATGCTTCTATTGCACGTATTCTCGCCGAGAAGAAGCTGAACAATCGCGTTCAAAATGTACCGCTACACCTTCTTCCAACTTCGGAATCCAAAACTGGCTCGTCACTAAGCTCTCTTGTTAATTCATCATTTGTCTCGTCTTTGAATAACCAAAACAGCTTGAAGATCCTCGCCAATAGTGATAATAGTGATAACTCGCCACCCAAAGGACCCCCCACAGATACCCCAGCTAAGCCTAAGCGTGAACGCAAGAAGAACGATGATAACTCGTCCGAAAAATCCAAGGATGAAAAGACACCTGTTACAGGTGGAAAGGAGCCTTCTAACGAGACACCCGATGCGGGTCATTCATCTTCTTCCGCCACCAAAAGTTCAAAATCAAATGAATCTTCTAAAAAGAAGGATTCAAACAAGTCATCATCTAATAACAAGCCTGAGAATACCGCCTCTGCTTCCTCCGCTTCTTCTGAACCCACTCACCACCGCAGACCCATCAACGCCACCGATCCCACTCGAACAAACACCGAAGCTCTTTTCTCAGTAGCCTCTGCTGCTGAAAAAAAGCAGGTCTTAATTTTACCTATTAACCGACGTCCTTTAATACCTGGTATGTTATTATTACTTATCATTATTTTTTCTCGTTTTTAACACAAATTTTCATAGGCTTCCACAAAGCTGTTGACGTAAAGGATAAGAATGTCATTAAAGCTCTCAAGAAAATTCTCAAGGAAGATCTTGATGATAAATGCATCGGTGTCTTTTTATTAAAGGAGGAAAAGGCCGATACAGATGTCATTAATTCTCTTGACGAAGTTTATCCTGTTGGTGTTTATGCCCGCATAGGTGGATCTTTCCCTGGCAAAAGTCCTGATGGTGGCGAAACTTTCATTTTGTATCCCACTCACAGAATCCAGATTGGTGACCTTGTTGATGCCAAAAATGGAAATAGCGAAGCTGCCCAAATTTCAACCGCATCTGTTTCTGAGCTTCCTTCTGAAGGTGAGCTTGAGCATGAATCAGAAGTTGAGATTGAACCTGCTGCTTCAACACCTGATTCTGATGTTACCAGCTTTGAGCGAGATACACTTTCCGAAGGTGACAAGGCACACCAAGAGCTTTACAGTATTCCTGCTTCATGGAGCAAAAATATGCTTGATCTGGAGGATCTTCCTTATGACCACCACTCTGATATGATCAAGGCTCTGACAGGTGAGATTCTCAAGATTCTTAAGGAGCTTTCTGTTTTAAACAGGCCCCTTAAAGACCAAGTTGTGAATCTTGTTCTTGCTGGAAACAAGTTTTCTTCTTCCAATGTATACGAGGAACCTCACATTCTTGCTGATTTTGCTGCCTCTGTTTCTGCTGGCCGTGCCAGTGAGATTCAGGATGTTCTGGCTTGCTTAGATATTGAGGAGCGTCTGCAAAAGGCTCTTGTTTTGATTAAGCGTGAGCTTATCAACATTCAGCTTCAGGAAAAGATTAGTGCGGATGTTGATAACAAGATCCAAAAACGCCAGCGTGAGTATTTTTTGATGGAGCAACTAAAGGGGATCAAGCGTGAGCTTGGCATGGATGATGGCCGTGAACGCATCATTCAAACTTTCCGTGAACGCGCTGAAAAGCTCACAATGCCTGAAAGCGTGTCTAAGGTTTTTGAAGATGAAATTAATAAGCTTATGACTTTGGAGCCCAATGCAGCGGAATACAACGTGACCCGTCAGTACCTTGATTGGATTACTCAAGTTCCTTGGGGTAAGTATTCTAAGGATTCTTACAACATTAAAAACGCTATGAAAATTCTTGATGAAGATCACTATGGTCTTAAGGACGTTAAGGACCGCATTCTTGAATTTATTGCCGTTGGTAAACTCCTTGGCACTGTCGACGGCAAAATCATTTGTTTTGTTGGACCACCTGGCGTTGGTAAGACCTCTGTCGCAAAGTCTATCGCAAAGTCCTTGAATAGAAAATTTTACAGATTTAGCATTGGTGGTGTTTCTGATGTTTCTGAGCTAAAGGGTCATCGTCGTACTTATGTCGGCGCCCTTCCTGGTCGCATTGTTCAAGCTTTGAAAAAGACTCAGACTCAAAACCCACTCATCTTGATTGATGAGATTGATAAGATTGGCCGTGCTGGCTATCACGGCGATCCTTCTGCTGCACTTCTTGAGCTGTTGGATCCTGAACAAAACTCATCTTTCCTTGATCATTACATGGATGTTCCCATTGATATGTCCAAGACTCTCTTTGTATGTACCGCCAACTCTCTCGACACCATTCCAGGTCCTCTACTTGACAGAATGGAGGTTATTGAAATCTCCGGCTATGTTGCTGAGGAGAAAATTGCTATCGCCGAAAGATACCTTGCCCCTCAAGCCAAGAAGCTTGCTGGTCTTGAGGATGCACATGTCACTCTCACTCATGAGGCTATTCAGGGAATTATTTCCAAGTATGCTCGCGAGAGTGGTGTTAGAAATCTCAAGAAACAGATTGAAAAGATTTACAGAAAGGCTGCGCTTAATATCATTAAGGATGTTGGTGAAGACAATTTTGTTGAAGAGAATGTTGAAGAACAGCCTGAGGCCAAGACCGAATCTGCTACTGCTAAAAATGAGGGCACTGAGGAAGTTGCTACTGAACTCGAGTCTGCTGTAGCGCCTGAATCTGAATCGAAAGAACAAACTTCTGCTGAGACTAACTCCGACAAGGTTATTGTTGACGAAGAGCCTCAGAAAATTTCGCAGCATAAACCTCTTAAGGTTCCTGATAGCATATCTATTGAAATTGCACCTAACGATCTCAAAGATTACATTGGGCCCCCACTTTACACTGAGGACCGCATGTACGAGAAGACTCCTATTGGTGTTGTAATGGGTCTTGGTGTTACCAGCATGGGCGGCAGCACTTTATACGTTGAGTCTGTTTTGGAGCAGCCTCTGACAATTGATTCTCATTCTGGTATGTCACAAACGGGTCAGTTAGGTTCCACTATGAAGGAATCTTCAAGCATTGCTTACTCATTTGCTCGCATGTTTATTGGCAAGAACTTCCCAGAAAATCGCTTCTTTGAGCGGGCTAAGATTCATCTGCATTGCCCTGAGGGAGCTATCCCCAAGGATGGCCCATCAGCTGGTATTACTATGGCTACAAGTTTGTTGTCCCTTGCTTTAAATGAGGCTTTACCACCGACTATTGCTATGACTGGTGAGTTGACTCTTACGGGTAAGGTTTTGCGCATTGGTGGTCTGCGGGAAAAGTCTGTTGCTGCTAAGCGCTCTGGTGCCACCACCATCTTCTTCCCCAAGGATAATCTTGCTGATTGGGAGGCTATGCCCGATAACATTAAGGAGGGTCTTGAGCCTGTTCCTGTTGCGTGGTACGGTGAGGTATTTGAGCGGGCTTTTTCCAACCTGGACCACAAGGCTGCTAATCAGCTCTGGAAGACCCAGTTTGAGAAGATCGATATGGCAAAGCATGATATTTCCTCGTCCCCATCTTCTGCTACTGTTTCGGCCACTGCCTGATAGATAAAAAAAAAGTTATTAATATTATTATTATTGTATAAAAAGATTTTATTACCTAGTATTTTTGCTGTTTTTGTTTTTTGTGTATATGATAAAAAAAAATGAAAAAATTTAAATGAATTATTAGAGCCAAATTACTATTATGGATCTTTAGGAGTACCCTTTAAAATATGAATTAATATAAATGATAGTTAAAAAGTTAACATTTAAAAAGAATAGCAGGTTTATTCAAACTGTTACGTGAAACGAATCTGACAATTTAATTTTTTGCTAACGGTGGAGTTGCCGCTAGTGGTTTACTTTTGAAGATCACTAGGCGGCTATTATCGCTTAAGCATCTTCCTGCCCCACATTTAATAAGCGCACAAGGCTACTCAAAGCGGTGGGCGGGTCTATTTCGCTCATATATCGTATGCTATTTTTTTACCCGCCGTCGGCTATAAGCCGCTGACATTTTAAAGTCCTTCACATTCGCTTGCTTTTCTCTCCACATCCAAAGACCTTTTATTTTTCAATCACAAACTTACATCTCTAACCGCCAGGCTGCTTTTATTATTATTATTATTATTATTATTATTATTATTATATTTCAAATCAATTATTCAGTAGTTGACACTTTTCATATAAATACGTTAGCATATCCTCAATTTCCCCCCCTCCTTTTTTTAAACTTTTGTTAATTATGTCTGTTCTTCTTAACTCGATCAAATCCCTCAAACACTCCTCAATACTCCCATCTCGCTCTATTCTTTTCAGATCAATGGCTTCTCATACAATTCCTAAGCTTAAGAACCCTGAACTTCTTCAGGAATATTCTTTCATTAATGGCGAATTCGTTAAAGCCAAGTCCGGCAAGACTTTTGATGTCTTCGATCCCGCAACCGGCTCTAAAATCGCTTCCCCTCCTGAAATGTCCCTCGATGAACTCAAACAAGCCATTGAAGCTGCTCACGATGCCTTAGCTGTGCTTAAAAAGACTACCGGTCGCCAACGTGCTCGCTGGTTGCGTAAATGGTACGATCTCATGATTGAGAACCAAGAAGATCTTGCTACCATTCTTACTTGGGAAAACGGTAAAGTTTTGGCTGATTCTCACGGTGAGATTGCTTATTCTGCTGGTTTTTTTGAGTGGTTTTCTGAAGAAGCTCCTCGCATCTACGGTGACACCATCCCCTCTGCTGTTCCTGGTCGTCGCATGTACACCATCAAGCAACCCGTTGGTGTCTGTGGTATTATCACCCCTTGGAACTTCCCTTCAGGTATGATCACGCGCAAGGTTGGTGCTGCATTAGCAGCTGGTTGCCCTGTCGTCGTTAAGCCTGCTGCCGAAACACCATTTTCTGCCCTGGCCCTGGCATACCTTGCTCAAAAGGCTGGCATCCCCGCCGGTGTCGTCAATGTCGTGACTGCTGACAAGGGTACAATTGACTTTGGCCGTGAGCTGTGCGAGAACCCTATTGTTAAGAAGGTTTCCTTCACCGGCTCTACTCGCGTTGGTAAGATCCTTATGGGTCAATCAGCCAACACTCTTAAAAAGCTTTCTCTTGAGCTTGGTGGCAACGCTCCTTACATTGTCTTTGAAGACGGTGACATCGATGCAGCCATTACATCTGCTCTTGCCGCTAAATACCGTGGCAATGGGCAGGTGTGCGTTAGTCCCAACCGTTTTTATGTCCATGAGAAAATCTACGATGAGTTCTGCTCTAAAATTACGGCTAAGGTTTCGTCTATTTACAAGCCCGGTGCTGGCTTCAACCCTGACGTTAACCTTGGTCCTCTCATTAACGATGCTGCTGTTAAAAAGGTCAAGTCTCACGTTGAAGACGTAGTTGCTAAGAACGGTAAAATCTTGACTGGTGGTGAGCCTCTTCCTGGTCTCGGACCCAACTTCTTCCCCGCTACTGTTGTTTCTGATGTCACCAAGGACATGCTTATTAACCACGAAGAGACCTTTGGTCCTCTTGTGTCCATTATCAAGTTCAGCGGTGAGGAAGATGTCATTGCTAAGGCTAACAATGTTCTTGTTGGTCTTGCTTCTTATTTCTTTACCAAGGATGTTGGCAGAGCGTACCGTGTTGCCGAAGCTCTCGAGACTGGTATGGTTGGTGTCAACACTGGCCTGATTTCTGAGCAGGCTCTGCCATTTGGTGGTGTCAAGGAATCGGGCTTTGGCCGCGAAGGATCCAAATACGGTGTTGAAGAATACTTGACCATCAAGACTGTGGTCGTTGATGCTACCGTTTAAGAAAAGAAGAGACAAAAAAAGAACAGTGCATTTATCAGCATATCATCTCCTCTCCTCGAACTCTCTTATGAACTAATGACTTTTGTATTTTTTTGATTAATGATAATTTTTTCTTTACATATTCCTACCATTTTTCTTTTCTTCATCCATGTGCTGGAAAAATCCAGTTACATCTTCTTCTGTAACTACTCTGCCTTCTTCAGCAAACGGTTTAAAAAAGTCACTCAATCGCTGCTTAATCATAGCATACGCTTCCAAACCTTTAATAGCCTGTTGTCGGGGAATAGAATTCAAAGCACGTTCTCCGGCATCTAGCAATGAACTATGAGCATCATCATCTTCAGGAGGTTCGTAAATATTCTCTTCTTCCAAAAGAAACGGAAATTTAGTCTCCAAAAACTTGCGCAGCCCGACCGGCGGCGGTGCAGTTTTACTGGCCATTGCGTGGCGAAACTTGGTCCGAAACTGAGGAGAAAGAAATACAGAGAATTCGTACTTCGGATTTACCTCCTTTGACAATGGCATGTCCAAAGTAGAGTCATCAATAATACTTTTAAAATTGTTCTTGTCTGTTTTGATCCTTTTGGAAGGTTGTTGCTCGCTTGTAGCTCCTGGTTCATCATCTGCAAATCGTTTTCTTAGTGCATTGTTGCGTTCTTCAAGCGAAGCCCAGCTACTGTGAGGAACTATGGCAACAATTGCAGAGGTGTCTAGTTTGACTAACAGCTCAAACATGGCACGATTCTTCTCCACGCATTTCCAACAAATAAAAGAATCAAATCGATCTGCATTTGGTAATCCTGGTAAAGTTAAGTCGTCAACATCCTCTTCTTCCTCTTCGTCTTGATTATCATTTTCCTTTTTAATTTTATCTTTAACGTTATCTTCTGACGCACTCTGCAACTTATCTAGTACATTTTCGCCTTGAGGGTATACCCGTGATGTGACTGGCTTTTGTTCACCCTTGTAAACACTTCCAACTTTTAATCCCAAAATACATTCTTCGTGGAACCAATCCTCATCGCAGACATCACCAAGTAAACACTGAAACATGGCCCCTTTTTGTTCTTCTGGTACAAACGGTTCATCACAGTCGCAGAATCGACCTTCAAAGTTGTGATTATACATATTTGTGACAGACTCAGGAGGATCTAGAGAACTAAAATTTTTTCGTAAATTGCATCCACCAGCACTTTCCATCCTGGTAGTTCCACAATCACAAGTAAAATTCCGCTTCGTAAAAAGCTCAACCAAATCATGATCGCCATGACACTGAATGCTGCACGAGTAACAAATTCCATTTCTCTGACCTTTATTGCGAGGATTTTTAAAGCATGTCAAGCATGCATAAACCTGTTGCCGGCCAATCAATTCAATAGGGTCATTGAATGTGCATTTGTCAGGTTCATAAGGCATGCTCTCGCGCGCATGTTGTTCTCTATGTATGCCGTTAGAATAGCCTTTTATAAGGACTTTAAATCATAAACATACAATCTAAGTTGATTTTCAATGTAATCCAAAGCTGTGATAGACGATGTGGAGCAGTCAGAGGTCGTCCTTCCTGCCTTAGCTGGGGTTTCTCCTAGCATGATTAGTTTTGTTTGTTTTTTCTTGGTATGATGGTTTCAATGCGACGCGTTGCCACCAAAAATATATTAATTTTTAAAAATACCATTATATAATTGCTGATTAATACGCGCGTAAGCATTTATTTGAAATTACTCTTCTTTCGCCCTTTTTTTTTTTCTTCCTCTAACTTTGGTCTTGTCCATGACTGATATTTACTCAAATTTCCCAAACTCAGAACTTCCACTAAGCGAAGAATATGAAGACTTATTTGCTGCATTTGAAAGAACAGGGTTGAATGCCATGGATCTTCTTTCTATGGAACCTACTGAAATTGCACGTTCGTGTAACAGGTCTGTTGTTGAAATTCGCAAGTTTCTTGCAGGAATGGAGCGTGACATTCGCGCAAGTTTAGCTTCTGGTCCAGAAACTGCTGAAGATTTATTAAAACGCCAGTATGATGTTATCAACATAGATGTTCCTTTTGAAGATATGGGAATTTCTAATCCTGGGTCTAATACTACCTTAAATGATGTTATTGGTGGTGCTGCTTATCGCGGCATTCCTCTCGGCACTCTATCTGAAATAGTAGGAGCTAGCAGTGTAGGTAAATCGCATGTCCTGATGCAGCTTGCAGTTACTGTACAACTACGTTATAAAAAAAGGACAGCGATATACATATCAACCGAAGGTGGCGGATTGGAAACCCGCAGATTACAAGATATTGTGAAGCGGGTTTTGGATCAATGCAACGCGCGAGGACAAACAGTTAGGGGAAGAAAAATAAGCACAGACAATGTACATACATTTACTTGTTTTGAAGGTGAGGAACTATTGCACGTTTTGAAATACCAGGTGCCTGTGATCATTGATCGGTACGATGTCGGACTGGTAATAATTGACTCTATCGCAGCACATTTCCGTGGTATGAGTAAAAAAAATCTTCGCCAAAACGAAAATAAAAATAAAACAAATTGGAACAGTTCGACTGATGAAGAGGGTAATTACCAGCTACTTCGATCTGTTACAAAATGTCTTAAAGATCTCGCAAGAACCAAGCAAATTGCAGTGGTTGTTGCAAATCAAGTTGCTGACCGCTTTTGGAAACGATTTAATTATTCCTCTGAATTTGCACCTTCAGAACGCAATCCCCATGCAGCAGATTTTAATAATAGCTTATCATCATTTGCTATATCAAGTCGTGGAATTGAAGCATTGATGGCAGAGCACCAAGTACGCTGGTATAGTGGCTGGACCAATATCTGTTTAATGGCTCAAGGTGTCCCAATTCATCACTCTGAAGTAGCTAAAACCCCGCCACTCATTTTGCATAATAATATACCAAAACTACCTCCACCACCGCCTATTAATGCAACTCGCATTTCTTCTGCTAGCGAAGTTTTTCGAAAATCTTTGCAAGAGTTGGAAGAGCAGTCTTTAGGTTCTCAGTCGCAGATACCTAGTAGACCTGAAACAACTGCCACAGAAGAGGATTCAATTCATCCAGTTCCAGCAAAAAAAAATTATGGAACTACAGCAGAAGAAATGGGATTTCAGCAGAGCTTTGTCCATATGTCAATGGAAGAAAGATTCGAGGATTTTGATGGTGAAGAGGGTTTAATTGCCTGCACTGCTGTTGTACCGTTAAGTGACGAAGATGAAGATGATGAAGACAATGAAGATAAAAATGAAGATAAAAATGAAGATAAAAATAAAGATAAAAATGAAAACGAAAATGAAAATGAAAATGAAAACGAAAACGAAAACGAAAATGAAAATGAAAACGAAAACGAAAAAAATAAAAAAAATGAAAAGGAAGATAAAATTATTGAAGTTTCTCCCGATACCCATTTATTTTCCAAAAATGCTCAAAACGATAATTTTTTGAGAGCCGAAACTACTGTGGCCGTTAAGATTGATTTAACGAAAACCATAGAAGAAGAGAGTAAAACCCCCATATCGAGTCCAAAAGAAGAAGAATCTACAAGAATGATATTCACTCAAATTAACCCGACTGGAGATGCCCCGAAAATAAAAAGAAGGCGTATTTTATCTGTTCCCTCTAGTCAGCAATTGCAACAATCACCCATACATTCAAATGCTAGTCAGATGTCTTCTTATGCCACATTTATTGAAAACGATGAAGAAGGGCTAAGTCCGGATTCCCCGAACTCAAAAATGGACACTGAGCCCAATGTTAACCCAAGTAATCCTCCTTTGGGGCTCTCATCCTATTTTAATGCCAATGATCCAGCTGTTCACACTAATAACACTGGAAAGGTACCTGCTTTAGGTCTTTTCTGGGCAAGTCAAATTGACCAGCGTATTGTATTGAAAAAATCGCCTGATGGTCGGCGGTATCTACAGGTTGTTTTTTCTTCCTGGACAGATGGTAATCGATCTGTGGAGGAGGCCGAAGCAGAAGAAATGCTCTTTAATTCAAGTATAAGGGATGATGATGATTTTTTAGACAAAAATCCAGATCCTTTTGTGACATTTAACCCAATGATAGCGGTTGACCCAAGTATAGATCCAACAAAGGACGTTGTTGAGTTTGAAATCTACGAAGGTGGCGTGTGCGCCAAAAAATGAAGACGTGACGTGTTTATATAAATTATTTTAATTGGCTGGTATTTAATAGCGTGTAATTTTCGCGATGTTATGTTATAGCCTCATATATATGGTACTTTTTTTGGCAATTTTTATTTTGTTTTGTTTTTGTTTTTTGTTTTTGTTTGTTTTGTTCGCTTCAAAAAAGGAATTAATTTTCATTCTTTTTTCCTAACATTTCAAAATCACTGGAGTATACAAATACAAATCTAAAGGGAAAATAATTTTATTTAAATATCTTGGATATACATAATGCCATCATCGTTAAGAAGAAAAAGATCTAATTCTGTTGATTCTGATGATTCTGACGGTGATAATGGCATCCGCCATTTACCCCCTTCGTCCCCACAGGGTCAGCGATATCCCCCTTCATCACCACCAGCAGCTTTTTTTGATGATTCAGAGAATCGAGAAGATGAGATTAGAGATGAAGATGATATTGATGAACTAGAGGAACTTGCAGAAGAAGTTGAAGGAGAAGATCTTTATGGAGATAACATGTACAAGTAAGTGCTATTTAAAAGTAGTGATAAGGCAATGCATTAACTGTCAATATAGAGATTATCAAACACGAGATGACGATAACTACGATTTAAATGATGACCAAATCGATGATGCCAACTATGACGATGATCCAGAAGCTCGTCGAAAAGCTGAACAACAGCTTGAGTACCGTGACCGATTGCTGCAGAGAACTCGCCAGGGTCTGCCTGATGCCTTTGTTCCAATGGAAGAAGAAGAGGAGGATCTATATGGTGGAGCGCTTCCTACAACACGACGTCATAGATACAGATATGAAGATGACGGTACTGATGGACTTGATGAAGAAGGATTGGCTCCACAACTGTTATCATTAGAAGCCATTGCCGATGTTAAAGCAAATACAGTTGCTGAGTGGATATCAATTCCAATAGTCAACAATAGTATTGCTCGGGAGCTAAAAAAGTTTTTGGTAGAACTGACAGATGAAAACAATGAATCAGTATATGGCTCGAGAATTCGTACTCTTGGAGAACAGAACTCCGAGTCTCTCGAAGTCGATTACAATCACTTGATGGAAAGCAGAGCTACCTTGGCTATTTTTCTTTCGTTGGCCCCGGCTGAGATGCTGCGCATCTTTGACGTTGTGGCTATGGGCGTCGTGTTGATTCAATATCCACAATATGCTTCTATTCACTCTGAGATCCACGTGCGCATCACAGGATTGCGAGAAATCTTGACTCTTCGCGATTTGCGCGAAGCCCATATCAACAAGCTTGTTCGTGTGACTGGTGTTGTGACTCGCAGAACAGGTGTTTTCCCTCAGCTTAAATACGTGAAGTTCAATTGTGTCAAGTGCAACACCGTTTTAGGTCCATTTGTTCAAGACTCGAATTCTGAAGTCAAGGTTTCCTTCTGTCATAGTTGTAGTTCACGAGGTCCGTTTGTGCTCAACTCTGAAAAAACCCTGTACAGAAATTTCCAAAAAATCACACTACAAGAATCCCCTGGCACAGTTCCAGCTGGTCGTTTGCCACGACATCGAGACGTTATTTTGTTGTGGGATTTGATTGATTCAGCAAAGCCTGGTGAAGAAGTTGATATTATCGGCATTTATAAAAACTCATATGATGGGTCACTAAATGCCAAAAACGGTTTCCCTGTGTTTTCCACAGTTATTGAAGCTAACTCTGTGAAACGAAGAGATGCTGGTCGTGTTGGAGAGTTTAACCTGTCAGGAGAAGAAGAGCGCCGAATTCAAAACCTGAGTAAGCAACGGGGTATCATTGACAAGATTATAACTTCGATGGCACCAAGTATCTACGGCCATAGAGACATCAAAACAGCAATTGCGTGTTCTCTTTTTGGTGGTGTTTCAAAGAATGTGGGCAACAAACATAGCATTCGTGGCGACATTAATGTATTGCTTCTTGGTGATCCCGGTACGGCCAAGTCACAGTTTCTAAAATATGCAGAAAAGACATCACATCGAGCGGTATTCGCCACTGGTCAAGGTGCCTCTGCTGTCGGTTTAACCGCGTCTGTACGCAAGGATCCTATCACACGTGAATGGACTTTAGAAGGTGGTGCCCTCGTGCTGGCTGATAAAGGTACCTGTTTAATTGACGAGTTTGATAAAATGAATGACCAAGATCGCACATCTATTCATGAAGCAATGGAACAACAGTCCATTTCAATCTCTAAAGCAGGTATTGTGACGACGCTACAGGCGCGGTGCGCCATTATAGCTGCAGCCAATCCCAACGGTGGTCGGTACAATGCCACTATACCCTTTTCACAAAATGTAGATTTGACAGAACCTATTTTGTCACGTTTTGATATTTTGTGCGTGGTTCGTGATATGGTCAACCCGGAGATTGATGAGCAGCTGGCCTCCTTCGTTCTGGATTCACATATGACTGCACACCCTGATGATAATGATGAAGATGATGGCGATGATGATGATGATGATGATGATGATGATGATGATGATGATGATGATGATGGAATTGCTAAATCTAAAGATAAAGCTATGGAAGAAAATGAAACAACTCAGCCTTCCCAGCGTTTGGGTTCTACTGGCCCAGATTTGTCTCAAGATCCAATGAATCAAAAATCCAAGTATGCTGAAGTTCAAGAGAATGCTATTCCTCAAGACCTTTTATGCAAGTATATTTATTATGCTCGCACAAGAGTAACACCGATGATGTACAACAACAGCTACGAAGATAAGCTCAAGGATTTATATGCTGCGCTTCGTCGCGAGTCTATTGCCACTGGTTCTTATCCCATTACTGTTCGACATTTTGAGAGTATCATTCGTATTGCTGAAGCTTTTGCAAGAATGGAATTACGTGACTTTATAACTGAATACCATATTGAGCGTGCTATCAAGGTAACTACGCAGTCATTTATTGGCGCTCAGAAGCTAAGTGTTAGACGATCGCTGCAGCAAAGCTTCGCAAAGTATACTTTATAGGAGATTTAGAAATTAAAATGTATTTGTATTTGTATTTTATTTATTATTGTTGACTATTGTCAAAAGTTGAGTATGAAGGTGGAGGTCCAAGGTCAAATGTGGAATATTTTGGTAATGAAACTGGCTCGCTTTCTTCATTCGCAGAAGAAACTTCAGACTCAGATAGTGGTGGTACCTGTGGCTCTATAGAAGTTGGAGAGGTTTGAGATGATTGTTCTCTAAGTCTTTGCAATGCTCTATTAATTTTTTCTTTTTTTAATTTTGAAATTAAAGTTGAAAATGAAAATACTAAGAAACAAAAGGAAAAGAAAAAAAATATAGCAGTGAAGAATGCATTTCCACCAGGTGTATTTGGCCTATTATAAGTTGGGTCATTGGGGTCATCATAGTATGGATCGTTATGATGATGGTGAGGCGGTGGAGGTGGAGGTGAAGGCGGAGGCGGGGGTGGAGGCTGGTCGTTTGTAATGTAAATATAGAGGGCATATGCAAAGTTGGCCCCAGCCATAATATTAATAAAAGTGATCAATACTGAGCCAATAACCGCTTTTCGTAATGTAATTTCTTTGGATATTTCTATATTTGAATTCTCTAAGACATTAGGAGGACGAATATAGTTGCCAGTAACATCAATGTTCCAAGGGTCGTCTTCAAGTTGTGGAGCTATGTCCTGCAATCTGGATCTAGTGTAGTAAGAATCAGTTGACTGAGATGGAAAGGTGAGAAAAAACGCTGAATAAAAGACAAGCCAACAAAACGTGGTAAATAAACCTATTAGTACAACAGGATTCTCACCATTAAGTCCTGTATACTTGTGGTTGAGTTGATAAAAAAACTGAACAATCAACACACAAGTCATAAATAAAGAGAAAGCACCTGTTACGAGACGAACTTGGAAAAGAGATGGGCTGCACGATTGCTCATAGCCATGAGTGTGATAATTAAAATTTGTGGAGAAAGGTGAAGAACTTCTACGTCGGTATGACGAGTCCCAGTCGGTGTAATGATCACGGTGATAATAATTGTGATCCTCAGAAGCATGTCGCAATACACTTTGCCTAGAAACAGTATCTTCATTTTCTTGCTGTCTTAAAGACATGATATAATATAATAAGGGTTATATGATGATTGTTTAAAATAATTATAATTTTAAAAATAAAAATAAAGTATTAATTAGTAGGTTTCTTGTAAACAAAATCAAAGATGGGAGAAATAAATATTAACATTAAAATTTGAAATCAAAGGTTCCCAATAGTCTTTTATATATATAGCTTGTTTAGAATTACACATAAATAATAAAAATAAAAATAAAAATAAAAATAAAAATAAAAATAAAAATAAAAATAAAAATAAAAATAAAAATAAAAATAAAAATAAAAATAAAAATAAAGGATTTTGAAAAAGGTCCCACGAGGCTGAATAGACAGATACACTGCAAGCATTGAGCTGCTTCTAATGTTTCAGAACACTTGACTAACACATGAATAATTTTTGGCACCAGGTTAAAGGGTAAAAAAAAATAATAATTTGCTGAAATCTCGGCGTCAGGCTAAAGAAAATAAAATAAAATAAAATAAAATAAAATAAAATAAAATAAAATAAAATAAAAATTACTTAATGTGCTAAAAATCTTATGGAGCAACTACTCTATCTGGGTCCTCAGAAAAAACTCCAGAAAGAAGAGGAGCATTTGAATATCGGCGGAAAAGTAAATGGCGGCGCACAGCGCGAATAAATGCGTGAAAAGATATAAGAAAGACAATACTAAAAAATATTGCCATATACATGGGCGTTGATGCATCTGGGTCTTCAAGCGAAGGTACAAAGTGCACCCAGCGAAGCCCAAACATTACAGCCAAACTGAACCCGACAATTGTCAGAATACCTGTAAAAATAAGCTCACCCCAATTGGAATAATTCCCTGGAAGATCATTTTCCTCTTGCCAAGCGACGAACCCAGCGCCAGTGCTTGTTTCTTCGAAATTTATTGCGCCTGAGGTATTCCTGTATTGATTATAAGAAGTTATGGATACTACCCAAAGCATAATGGAAGTAAATCCTAAAAATATCAGCAGAGTCCCTACATCTTCGCCACAAGTATTATCTTCATTGCCAGGAAATGAATCTCCAACGCAAAAAAACTGGTTAAAAAAACTATAGATGAAATATACTGAAAAGCAAGACGCCAGGACAGTCATGAAAATAACACCACCACGGTTAGAAGAGTGTCGCGACAAATACGCATTATAAGGATCATTATCAACGCGAGAAGAGCGGTCAATTAGAGAAGTGTTTTCAGGGAATGCATCTTCTCTAGTCCAGGACATTTTTGTTGATTGTTGTTTGTTTGAAAGCTTTACTTTTGATGGCTTTGTATAAAAAAATAATAAGAATATATTCTTATATATAAGAAGCGGGGGAAAATTGCTGAGCCGCGTTTTGCAAGGCAGCAGCAACCCAGTCCTGAACTCAGATCTGCTGTTACGTAAATATAACTTTGTTACACTTTTAAATGTGTAACAAAGGAACCCGTTACAAAGTTAAACTTAAACACAGAGTCTAACTGAGAAATCCTCGCCGCATAGACCCGCCACTGTGCCCTACTAATAACCTCCACCCAAAAACAATCTAAGAATCTTATCAAGCAAGATATAATGACTTCCAGTAGCACCCCAACACCTGTCGGAACGGGCCCTGGGCCCCGAAAACAGTCATCACCATTTCAATGTCAGAGATGCCGTGTTGCACTTATTCCACACAAGTCACTCCTTGATCTAAAACCTGCTCAGTTCAATCTTCTCACTTCATCACTGCAACTTGCCGTTAATGCCAAAGAAAAACAGCAACTTCAAAATGCTGCTTCCGGATACACAGTTTACGGCATTGGAGCTCCAGGATCTGATCCTTCAATACCTCATGTCCCCTGGGGTTTATCAACTTTACCAGAAGAATCCCAAAGCTTGTTGTTTGGTCGCGGTGGTGCTGTTGGATCATTCATTGCACTTCCAGATACCCGCGTTCTGCAGGCAGAACAGCAAAACAGCATGGCTGCACGCGAGGCCAAAAAATATACAGCATCATCTTTTGCAAACTCTGGAACGAAATCATCGGCTACATCAAGGCAAGCATCACCTTTAGAAACCCCTACAGGAAGATCACCGTCACCATTTTCAAACGGAGACGGTTCTAAAAAACCAAATAGCAGTGGAACAAATGGATCCAATTCAACAGGATCTGTTTCTGCAAATATAAGTCAACTAGAAGCTCGCTTTGAAATTATATCTTCTAAAAGTGAAATAGACTACCCCGTGTGTATGGAGTGTGCTGAGATACTCAAAGAATCTCTCAAATCCAAATACGAAGAAGAGTGTCGTGAACGTGACGCTTATATCTCATTTATGAGTACTCTTAAGGCCGAAGCTAATCCCACTGAAGCCGAAATCAAACAACTTACTGAACAAATAAAGCAACTGGAACTTGAAAACGAAGAAGCTCTAAAAGAACTGGAACTGGCAGAAAAAGAGCAAGAAGAACTAGATAAAGAACTTGCAGATCTTAAAATAAAATATAAAGAACTGGAGCTTCAAGAAGAAAATTTTTACAAGGACAGAAACTCATTCATTTTAGAAATGGCTGAAGTAGAAGCTGAAAAAGATCGCGTCGAATCGATTCTTAACTTTGAACTTACAACACTTACCCGCTTACAAAAAGTCAATGTATACAATGATGTTTTCTACATTGGGTCTGATGGATGCTTTGGCACAATCAATGGTCTGAGATTAGGCCGCCTTAAAGATCGCATGGTTGAATGGTCTGAAATAAATGCTGCCTGGGGTCAAACGTTGCTCTTACTCTATACAGTCATCAACAGAATGACTTTAAAAATTGAAGGCTATCGCCTTCGGCCACAAGGTTCTGTTTCTCATATTGAAAAGTTTGACAGAGATCCAAAATCTGGAGAATATACTAAATCAACATTTCTCGAGCTCTATTCTTCTGGTGACTACACTTTTGAACGTTTCCTTAACCATAAACGACTTGATGCCGCTATGGTGGCATTTCTTGCCGTGATGAAACAAGTTGGTGATTATGTTGAAGCAAATTTTTCCGACTTTAGACTTCCTTATGGTATTGTTGGAGACAAGATTGGTGAGCATAGCATTCGGCTCTCTATTAACGCTTCGAACGAAAAGTGGACTGCTGCTTGTAAATATGTGCTCATCAATTCCAAGTGGCTCTTGGCCTATGCTTCACAAGAAAAATTTAATTCTAGTAATTCTAATTAATACTTATTGTTATTTTATTGTTAACAACTTAAACAAATGTAAAATACATTTGTTATTACCGCTAATATCTATTGCTCTCATAAAAAAAATTATCTTTTGAATTGCGAGTTGCAAATTAGGATGTTTGTTGTAAATAAAAGTTTTCAATATATCTTTCAAGGTGTATTTTTTGAAAGAAGAACATGTGACTGTTTTGGCTGGTTGAAATCACTGGCCTTAAAATTTTACTTGTGCAAACTACACCATGCCGGTTCGCCCACATACATTTTATCTCTACAATGTTCGTCATCAAACGAGGTATGTATTCAACAACCAAACTGATTACCACTGCTAAGAAATTTTTTGAATAGATGGACAAAAGGAGAGAGTCCAGTTTGATAAAATTACAGCGCGAATATCGCGTTTAAGCACCGGCCTTGCTCCGCATAATGTCGACCCCGCACGCGTCGCTCAGATTGTTATTCAGGGAATATACCAAGGTGTATCGACTGTCGATCTTGATAATTTGGCAGCAGAGGCAGCTGCTTCTTTAACAACCTTGCACTCCGATTATGGAGTGCTTGCTGGACGTATTATCGTTTCAAACCTTCACAAACAAACTGAAGAGCGCTTTTCTGAGGTAGTCAAAGCACTTTACCATTACTATAATCCACGGGCGAAGGAGTTGTCACCTGTAGTTTCTAAGGAGCTTTATGACATTGTTATGGAGTATGCTGCTGAGCTCGATGCAGTTGTGGATTCTGATAGAGACTACGACTTGACATACTTTGGAATCCGAACTCTAGAGCGTTCTTATCTTTTGCGCATAAACAACAAGGTTTCAGAGCGCCCACAACATTTACTAATGCGCACTGCTTTAGGAATTCACGGAAATAATATACCTCGTGTTTTGGAGAGCTACAATCTTATGTCGCGTCGGTTTTTTACTCACGCCTCGCCAACTTTATTTAATGCCGGAACGGTGCGCCCACAAATGTCTTCATGTTTTTTGGTGGCTATGAAGGAAGACTCTATGCACGGCATTTACAATACATTGACTACATGTGCACTTATATCTAAATATGCTGGCGGTATTGGATTGCATGTTCACAACATTCGCTCTAAAGGGTCATATATTTCCGGAACAAATGGTATATCAGCCGGTGTGGTTCCCATGTTGAAAGTATTTAACGCGACAGCCCGGTACGCAGACCAAGGCGGTGGTAAAAGACCCGGTGCGTTTGCTATTTACCTAGAGCCGTGGCATGGAGACATTTTGGAATTTCTGGAAATCCGAAAGAACCATGGCAATGAAGAAATGCGGGCGCGAGACTTGTTCACGGCACTTTGGATACCTGATTATTTTATGAAAAAAGTGGAGATGAATGAAATGTGGTGTTTGTTTAGTCCCCATGATGCACCCAGACTTGCTGAAACTTTTGGCAAAGACTTTGAAGAACTGTACGACAAGTATGAGGCTGAAAGCCGCTATCAAGAGAAGATTAGCGCACAAACTTTATGGAAAGCGATTGTGAATGCACAAATTGAAACTGGAGGTCCTTTTATTTTGTTTAAAGATGCTTGCAATGCCAAATCTAACCAAAGTAATCTAGGCACCATTAAGTCGTCGAATTTGTGTACAGAAATTATTCAATACTCATCACCAGACGAAGTAGCAGTATGCAACCTGGCATCGTTGGCTTTGCCCATGTTTGTGGACTATAATGAATCATCCGCTTGGTTTGACTTTGCAGCACTGCACCGGGTAACCAAGGTAGTTTTGCGAAACCTGGACGCCATAATTGATAAAAATTGGTATCCAGTTCCAGAAGCTAAAAGAAGTAACAAACGACATCGACCCGTGGCGGTTGGTGTTCAAGGATTTGCAGATATGTTATTGGCACTACGATTGCCATATGAATCAGAAAAGACGAAGCGTCTTAACGCAAATGTTTTTGAAACAATTTACCATGCCGCTCTGGAAGCATCCGTTGAACTTGCCAAAGAACATGGTCCATATGAGACCTATAAGGGTTCACCCGCTTCCGAAGGTTTTCTTCAGTATGATTTGTGGGACCATAAGCCTTCTGGATTATGGGATTGGGAAAAGTTAAAGACTGACATTGAAAAACACGGATTACGCAATTCGTTGGTAACAGCTTTAATGCCTACAGCATCAACATCTCAAATTCTTGGATTTAACGAATGCTTCGAGCCGTACACATCCAACATTTACGTGCGACGAGTGCTAGCAGGAGAGTTCCAGATGGTTAACCCTTGGCTTCTTAAGGATTTGACAAAGCTGGGGTTATGGAATGAACAGATGAAAATGACAATTTTGCGGGACCGCGGGTCGATCCAAAATATTCCGTGCATTCCCAGCGAGTTAAAAAAGTTGTACAAGACAGTTTGGGAGATTCCTCAAAAAGAGGTTATAAATTTGGCGGTTGGCCGGGCACCTTTTATTGACCAGTCGCAGAGCATGAATCTTTATCTTAAGGAGCCAACCTTAGCCAAAATGTCAAGTATGCATTTTTATAGTTGGAAGCAGGGACTCAAGACTGGAATGTATTATTTACGGACCGGAGCAGCAGCAGATCCAATTCAATTTACTGTGGCCCAGGAATCTGCAGAAACCCAGCAGATATTCCGAAACATTGAAATTCCGAGTTTGGATTTGCTGGAAATGAAACAGTATCTTGAGATTGATCATACCAACGGTCAGTCACATGAATCGCGAATCATTACAGTTGATAGTAAGACTGGGCTTTTAGATGTGTTACGACCACGCGGAGATATGCTGGGTATACCTGGGTTTTCCCGTGAAGAGCCTCGAAGTCATGGTCGTCACAGTCGCGGAGGCAGAAAACGAACTCGGTCAGAGGAAGGTCTAGGAATGAGAAATCCGCACCGGCGAAGCAATGGCGGTAGTGGAAGTAGTGGTCTAAAAGTAGGAGGAGGAGGAGGAGGATCACATAAGAGACATAGTGCTGGGTCGACGCATGAATTTAGGAAGAAAGTTTCAGAGCAAGACAAACATAATGATAACGTTGAAACGGCTGGGAATGAAGGTGTTGACAGGTTTCTAGAAGGTTACAGATCTTCAAGAAGTTCCGTTCAAGAAGACTTGGAAAAGAAACGAAGCACAACACCAGAATTTGTAAAAAACCAGAGCATTGAGGATATCAAAGACCAAGATGGTCAAAGTTCGCAGTGCTCTCTTCAATCTTCTCGCGAAGCTTCGTGTGACATGTGCTCAGGATAGGCCTTTAACCCACTCTTGTATAGTTTTGAGCGTGGAAATTCATGCTCACAAAGCATGACAAAGAATAGCAACGACCGATAAGCCGTTTCAGGATATAGTATAAATAGTAGATTTTATCAAAGAAAAAAATTTTGATCTTTGACTTCTCTTGTTTTCACTTTTCAAGACACCGAGCGCGGATTTTGCAATACACTTTAGCCATGCAGGTCTCCTGGTACGCACCTTATTTATAGGCTTAAATTTGGCTCAAAGAGACTACCACCAACAACAATCCGGTTTTAGCGCCGACTTGGCTGAGACGCCTGATCTTTAAAAAAAAAAGAAAAAAAAAGCCATCATCAACAAACAATATAAATCGTGGTGATATCTTATGACTAGATGTTTTAAATACTTGAAAGAAAGAGAGATGCGATTTTTTTTAAGAAAGTAAAACAAAAAGCAGCTGAAATAGCTTGTGTGTGTGTGCAATAAAATATTCGGACCGATGGTTGCCAAGGCCGCTGGCAACGTACATATAAATAAGTCCCGGCGTCCTTTCCTTAACCACCTCTTTTTTATATATTTTTTTCTTCTTCTTCTTCTTCATCTTCTTCTTCTTTTAAGAAATTCGGATTATTTAGACGTTTGCTTTTTTTTTTTTTTTTTTTAAAAAAAATACATTTAATAAAAAAGAAAAAATATAAAAATGTATGAACCAACACAAGAGAGTCATTCACTCATTAGAGACTCGTCGTATGGTGAAGACCCGGCCGGAAATGTTGCCGAAGAACCTTTAGAGACGCATTTATACGACCGAACAATAGAAAATAGATCACACAGCTTCGAAATTGAAGACGATCACGATTCCTCGCTTGACCCTTATGTCGACTCGCCAATCTATCAGGGCTCTTTTCTTGGGTCAACTTCTCCCGCTTCCGATCCAAATATTTTTCCTCCGCCACTACCTTCAATGCCTTCTTTTCATGGCGGATTTTTTTCCCGGATCCTAGCCCGGATCTCACAAGGAATGGATGGTCCCGCCAAACTGCAAGAACCACATGTTACCCCCGTGTTCCGAAAATTTCAATATTTCCCAAATGAACTAGAAACCCGGTGGCCTGGTCCTATTAAGAAGGCAGCTGTGGCCACATTTTTGGGTCTCTGGACTTTGCTTTTTTACATGATTGCACAGCACTCTGTATTGGAGATCCCCCGAGTGGACGGTTCCTCTGTCGACATTTTGACATGCGGGACGACATACGACATTTGGCTCGGTAAGAACGAGCGATGTGGGCTTAATGCAACGCGATGTAATGCCATGGAGCCCGGAATCAAAGACATGGTGTTCAAGTGCCCTGCAGGTTGTAGCGAAGATAGTCATACATGGAGTTATACACCGGTCGGTGACTACGAATCTATCTATCGACCTTATGTCATTGGCGGCGGCAATAACCTATACCGACCTGATTCTTATGTTTGCGCATCATTGATTCACCATGGATATATGTCTAATAGTGTTGGGCGGTGTGGTAGAATCACATTCCAAGGACCTCAAGACACATTTGAGGGTTCAAAGGGAAAGTCCGGGATTGAGAGTTTGACGTTTTCTTCATGGTTCCCTCAGTCGTTTAGTGTCGACGATAGCTTTGCGCAAAACTATTCATCTTCCGGGTGCCGCGATCTTCGATTTCTGATTATTTGGATGAATATTTCGTTATCAGTTGTGTTTGCATACTTTACGACAAATGGACTAATTTTCTTTTGGGTGATGATGGTTCTTGGATTTTGGACCGTGGCACTTGGCTCTAATCCACCATGGACATATGATTCCGTAATGACTTCTGAGGAGGCTATTTCTGAGCTTGTATCTGCAAGTTTTAGAAGATTTTTGCCATTCATGTTAGGTGCATATGTTGTGTGGCGCGCTAGTGGTCGGGGATTATTATTAGGGCTTAAGGAACATTTATCAAAGGCTATTTTTTGGGTCACCGGATTTTGGGTTGCAGTATTGGAAAACTATACTTTCAATAACCTACCAATTAATCGGTTAATCATTTCAGATATTAAGCAACAAAAGGGAGGGTTTCTAGCTCTCATTATTATTGTTGGTATTATTCTTTCAGCAGCTATAGGTCAGGCGTATATTATCTGGCGTTTGGGCAAGTTTAAAAAGTATATCTCGATATACTTGCTCATGATTTTGGGACTGGTAGTTTTGGCAACAATTCCGAATCAGACATTAAGACTTCACCATTATATTCTGGGACTAGTACTACTTCCTGGAGTCGGTTTCAAAACTACACCAGGGCTTTTGTATCAGGGCTTACTTTCTGGGTTGTATGTTAGTGGAATTGCACGATGGGACTTTGACAGTATTGTGCAAACCGTTCTTCAACTGAACCGTGGCGATGCGTTAAATATTGGTGGGCTTCCTGAGTTGCTTGCACCAGTAATTGGTAACTTGTCTAGCGTCGCTAGTAACGTTACACTGGAGTGGAGTGATCTTGGACAAACTGCTATTGAGGCCGGCGTATTAGGACACCATGGCTGGAATGGATTTAGTTTGATTATCAATGATATTGAGTATTACCGCGGCGCAGCTACAAGCTTTGATTTGGCGCGTTGGATCGCAGAGGTTGGTGCGCAGAGCGCAGCCCGCTTATATGTACGGCTAGCGTTTGCCAATACGCTTCCAAACGTTGATTTCACTGGAGATTATACCAAAGCTGCTGTGTTGGATCTTGTGACAGGTTCATGGACTCCACCAGCGCCGGGACCTGCTTAAATTTAAAATACCATAATAAAAGACATTAGAGGCACATAAAAAAGGTTATACAAAATTGGACATTTGTGCCATAGAATATTATTTTTTTATTTTTATTTTTATTTTTTGGTTGTTGATAAGCGGTGATCTAGAGTAGTAGTTTAAATCAGCCGCAGAGATTTTGAGATGTTTGGTATGATGATAAAGATGATTGTTGATTGTTGATGATCAAGATTAAGAAATCAAGACAGTGATCAGCATTTAGGAGGGTTGGTGTCAATATGGAATTAAAAAAACATACACTTTTCAAATAACCTTCATAAAAAAACTTATTAAAAATGAGTGTTGGGCCGCGGGATACCACGGAAAAGCCGAGGAATACCAACATACTCGAAACGGTTTCTTTCACTATGGGGTAATGTAAAAAAAAAAAAAAAAAAAAAAATTATAAATTCAATGAGCTAATGAAATTTTTTTCTAAAAAACGGTCCTCATAAATCATCATCATACCGTAAAAATACCAGAGATACCAAAGTGTACCCTAATTCACTACGGCTTTTCCGGCGGGAGACCTTACAACCACAAGCAGAGCAAACTTGAGGGCTAATAGGTGCACAGAAACAAAGCATTGAAGCCCATCAATTCGCGTTAGACACGATGCAAATCCGGGGGAAAGAAAGAGAAGATGAAAAGTTTCAAAAAAAAAAAAGAAAAAAGAGTAATTGTGAAAAATAAATAAAATGACCCTCGCCCTAAGTTTTTTTTTTCTTTGGTTAATCGGATGGTTCCGCGGAGTTGTTAATTGGGTTTTACAGACTTAGAGATGAAATTTCTGAGTCTTAATACCTAAATACATTGGACGTATTTGCTCTGTGATTTTAAAGATCTCACATGTTTTATTAATTATATTTTTAATTTTCTCTCACTAGTTGAGTGAGAATGATGCCCAATATGCTTATAATAATAATAATAATAATAATATTTTTTTCAAGTTTCTTGTTTTCTACATGACTGAAAAAATTGGCAAATGGAGGATTATTATTATTATTTTGTTTAAAGAAATGAAAAGATTTTTTTTTTGTGTACACTAGAACTTCAACTGAGAGCATTTTTCACGTTTTAAGTTTTAATTGCAGCCGACCCCGTGGAAGTCTAATTGACCAGACATAATTGAGGCCACTCATCTTAATACTCTATGCTATCACTTTTTTTTTTTTCACTCCACTAGCTACATAGCATTGAGTCTTTTTTTTATTTTTTTTTTATTTTTCTTTTATATTAAAAAAAAATACATTTCTTTTTTACTCTGCGGGGCTCTGCCTCCCTGAATCTATCACATCTCTGCTCTCTCAAATTAACATTTGCTGGAATGGGGTTCAGTGTGTACAGTAGGTTTTGTCCGTCTGTCGGAAATGACCGAAGCACTCCTAACATACGGAGAAGCCCCGCGTAGCATATCCAAATTAGGAAAGAAAGCAAAAATAGTATGCAGAATCAGCCGCAGCAGCCAGCCATTTTAGATTTCCTCGGGCTCCTCCATCTTTTGATTCAATTTCTTTTTTTTTTTTTTTACTGTAAAGGTCGCGCACACTTTCAACAATGATATATACAACAAAGACTTTTCTAATAAATAGATAATAATAAAAAAAAAGAAAGTCTATCGCTAAAGGGCTTTTCCATTAAATTTAGTATAAATAGGAATGGAAATCTTCAATTATCTCAATTTTTTTTTTCTTTCCCTTCTTTTCTATCATCATCATCAATTGTTTCTTATAAAAACAACATCCACACAGCTTGATCACCATTTTCTTTACACGAAAAAAAAAACCTACATAAAAAATGCGTTCCACTACTACTGTCGCCGCTTTGGCCGCTCTCTCAGCAACTGAGGCTTCTTTTACTTCCAACCTTAAGAACATGTTTTCGCTCTCTTCCAGCGAAGAGCAGCAGCAACTCTTGGGCGCCATCGACCTTGCCTCTGAAGACCCCGCCTACAAGCGTCTCCACTGCCCTGGCAACTCTCCCTTCTCTTGCTCCATCCCTGCCGCTGCTGACTCGTGCTGCTACGAGGCCACCAACGGTGTCTTTGTTGCTTCCCAGAAGTGGGAGTCTGGCGTCGGCCCCTTCAACCTCTTTACCAACAATGGTCTTTCCGCCCACAAGTGCTCTGGTGGTGCTTCTCAATACTGCGATTCTTCCCGTGAGATTGGCAATGCTACTGAGGTCCTTGAGACTCTTGGCTACAAGTCTTTGATTGCTGAGCTTGCCAGATCTTGGTCCACTGATGAGGAGGCCTGGACTCATGCTTACAACAAACACGCTACTTGCATGGCCACCCTCAACTCCAACTGTTACGGTGAATTTGAGCGTGAGAACCAGAACGTTGCTGACTACTTCACTGCTTCTGTCAACCTTCAGCGCCGTCTCCCCACTTACTACTTCCTCCAGCGCGCTGGCATTGTTCCTTCTTCTACCGAGAAGGTTTCTAAGGATGCTGTCCTTGCTGCTCTCAAGGGCTTTGGCTACGGCCACGATGTTTACCTCAAGTGTGAGAATGGTGCTCTTTCTGAGGTCCGCTACTACTTCACTGTCAGAGGCTCTGTCTCTGCTGGCAGATTTGTTGCCATTGATGCCGATAAGGCTTCTGACTGCCCTGCCGAGTTCTGGTACTCTCCTAAGGAAACCGTTGCTGAGCCTTCTGAGGGTGAGGAGGAGCTCCTTAACCTTGCTGCCACTCCTGATGCTTTCCCTGGTGCCCCTGAAGCTCCTGGCCTTGCTCCTACTGGTCACCTCATCACTGATATGATGCCTGGCTGCCTCGACAACAACGGTACTTGGTTTGTGGGTGGTCTTTGCGGTAACTTCACCAAGACTCTCCTTCCTTCTGGCAACATCACTCTTACTACTCTTACTGGTAACTGTGCTCTCAACGATACTGGCTTCTTCTCTTGCGGTCCCCAAAACATTGAGGCCACTTCTTTCAACTTCACCACTTTTGGATTCTTCTTCAAGGAGCTTGGATTTGTTTCTGGCTACTACGATGAGTTCTGGAGCGCTGTCGACAAGCCCAGCAGCGGCAAGAAGGCTCTTGTTCCTCCTACTTCTCAGCAGATTTCTGTTGGTGCCAACTCTTCTGGTACCATCAACTTCAGACTCAAGTACGTCCCTCAGAAGTTGGCTTCTCTTGATGCTTAAACGTCTTAATTATTATTATTAAATTAAACAATTTCCGGTGGCTATTTTTAAGCACACTTGATGTCCATTCGTTTCTTCTTTCTTTTCCAAATAAAAAAAGCTTATGAAAATTTTTTGTATTTTTTCGTTATATAAATGTTAATGTGTTTTATGAATAAAAAAATGTTTTTAAAATTTTTTTTTCTTTTTTTTTTTCGATATCGCTTATCAGAGATACCCAAAAAAATTCCCCCACATGCAGCCTTAATGAAAATGTGTTACCCAATTGATCACAACGACTTACTTAAAACGTTTATGTAATGTGTAAGTGACGTCCTTTTGAAGAATTTCTACATTTGAAGGCGCACCTAAAATAGGAAAAAAAAAAAGAAAAAAAGAAAAAAACTTGATTGAATGCTTATCAATTTAGTGAATTTTTTTTTCTACATTTTACTGCTACTATATACAAATATATATATATATATACTTTAATATAAATTTTTAAAAAAAAAAAAAATTCAAATATTCTTAAAAGAAATTTTTGTTTTTTTTATCTCTCGAGATAAAGCAAAAATTCAAATCCAAGGCAGCAGACAAAAAACTTTAAAATGATATTAAGAAAAAATATAACACTAAAAAGAAAAATATAAAAAAATAACCAGCCGCATAAAATATATATATTTTTTTTAATAAAAGGTCTTAAGTATTAAACATATATTTTAGATTTAACAACATTTGTAGAGTTGTTAATAATTTTCAAAAACAAAAAAGAAAAAACAAAAATCTTCATGATAATTTTTTTTTTCATTAAAAGACTTAATCAATTATATTTTCATTAATCAATTAATCAATTAATTAACATCGCTTTGTAATGAACTTAGAAAATGAACAGCAACAGGCTAGTGTGCCACTTGTTTCCCCCTTAAATGCTGAAAAGTTTGTCTTCAACAGACTCTTTGCATTTACTCGCACAAGTGGACTAACCCATACTAAGGAAAGATTTCCAAGAATAGGTAAAGACGAAGGATGGAATAAAATAGACCCAAATTATGTTTTAGAAGAAGATAGAGAACTAAAATTGCAATGGCCCAGCGATATGATTGGCCCAGAACAGAAGAACCATTCAGGTCTCGAAGTATCAAATGTGGACCATTGGAGCAATTCAAGTGATTCTGATGAAGGTAAATCTAACTAAAGTAATAATATTAATAATGATATGCACTGATAATAAATGCTTTTTTTTTTTTTTTTTTTTTGTTTCTAACTTTATTTAGAAATGAGATATGCAAATGGTTTGCAGTTGGTATCACTGGAGAGAATCCCTAAAAACGATGATGACATGCAAGAGCAATATTTTGGGTGCATTAAATCAGACATAAAGAGCAAACAGCGTGAAGGTGAAGGAGAATCATTGTTTTCGGCTCACCGTAGCGCTATCTTCCGGCGGATTTTCCGTACCTTTTGGCCTGTGACTCATAGATTGACTGATATATCTAAAGTGCTTTCCCAAATGCCTACCGAGTTGCAAGCCAAGGTTGAAAAGGCATTGAGTAAGGAAGATGTGCAAAAAGTTTTAGATGAACATTTGAAACGACCACAACTTGTACTGAATGGAATTCGAGCAATTGTTCTGGAACAAGGACTGGACGTGCGGCTACGGTTTTTGGAAATTCTTGAAAATAGCTATGACGTTGTAAGCCTGTTGCGGGGAAATACAAATTTGGAGTGGAAGTTTGAAAAAAATGACCAAGATGAATTGGTGAGTCCAGAAGAAAGTTTTATGATGGATGATGCTTGTTTAAAATTGTATCAACTTTCGGAGAACTTGAACAAATATTCAGGAACCGAGTTGCTCGGAACAGTTTACAGTAATAGCTTTGGAACTGGGCACCAGGATTACATGTATTGTGAAAAGGGATGCATGGCATATATGGGCGAATCCCTTCTTCCTGATGACTCAGAAAGCGATTTTGAAGATGAAACCCCTTCTAAAATCCAAGCGAAAACTTGTTCCCTTTGCAATGCACAACTTTTGCGAGGCGCATATGCATCTCCCAGATTAACACTGGCTGACCAAATGACTAACCGAGCAATGCGTGTGAGTATGAGGCGACACTGCCTTGTGTCTGTTCGTCATGGTGTGATGGATTTTTTCACAAGTCCACGCTATGCAGAGCTGCGCGAAACACCAGTGACAAATGCTGGATATGAGCCGAGCGGACAAAAGTATTTTGAAACGGATTATGAGTTCCCGATTATGTTATACTTTAATTATAAAAAAAGTAGCGAAACATGTACGGTTGTTGCAATTAATCTAGCACTGCCTGCAAATGACAAAATGGCGGAGGGTAATCGGATGGTGCTAATGGTTTTCCCAATGAAGAGTAATGGAACCGTACCAGGAGATATTAACAGTTTTTTGAGGCCGATTGTTGATGATTTCAAAGAAATGAGCTCGCGCGGGTTTTTGGTGGACGTGGGACACACACAGCCTATGCGAGTATATGCCCACATTGTTGGGATTGGAGGATCAGCCAAGGTTGCAAGTAGGGTGTTTGGCATGATGGAAGAGGAGGAAACTGAGTTTGCATGTTTAAGGTGCTTTACTCCAAAATCAAATAAGTATGGGTTTAAGTTTCACAGGAATACAGATTATGGGGTTCGAAACGATGAGTTTTTTTCGAAATTGAAAGACAAGTATGATGAAAAAATACAGCAAATTGGTCTCAAGGGAACACAAATGGAGGGTTATGTTGATTGGACAGATGCTAAGGAAGAAACGTTTAAAGAGCACGGTATGAAGGAGTACTCTGTGCTGTTTGAGATGGGGTCAATAGGGAGTACACAAAAGGCATATGTTCCAGATTTGTTGGAGATTGGGTACAAGACAATTGTAAGGATGATTTATATGGAGCTTATCCATGGTCGGAATAGGACTAGTTTGAGGCTGGATGAGAATGCACGCAAGGTATTTTTTTCACTGGCTGAATTGCAGTCATTGGTTCAAGAGCAGCTTGGGCTTGCTGGGTTTAATGTTGCCAATATGAAGAAGGATCCACAGACCAAGATTAAAAGCACGGCATTGATTGCAGTGGTTGATTTACTTGCCATAGCGCTTGATGTTTCCACGATGGAAATGGGGAGTAAGGTTGTGTTGCTGGAAATGTTGATGCTTATTAAGGCTATGACAATTCCAGTGACTACAAAGAAATGCGTTTCGCGTTTTCATGAATCTTCACGAAGAGTGGTGGTTATGTTTGCCAGGCTAATACGCCAGAAAAGGATCTACGGATCACTTAATATCCACATGATGTTACACTTGACTGAATCCATGTTGCTGGTTGGGTTACCAGTATATTACTGGACGCTGCCGATGGAGCATGCTTTTGGGTACGTGGCTAAGGTTGCTGCAGTTCGGCCGGTTGGATACACTGTAGCTAAGATGGCGCGTGATGCACAGTTAGTTGCGCGAGTTGCGGGACTTCGACGCGCATGGACTGTGGGTGCAATTGTTCCATGTCGTAACGAAATTGTAGACGAATATATGATTGAAGATGTTCTTCCGCCAGTTGTTAGATCAGCAGAAAGCCGAGAGAGTTTGGCAAACACTGGTGATAGAACCCAAGAAGAAGAAGAAGAAGAGGAGGAAGAAGAGGGCAATAATGATGATGGAAACCTTCGTTTGCGAATTGCAGAGGAAAGAAATATGGAACGTGATGCACTTTTACGATACTTTGGGACATCAGATTCATACAATTTATCGGTTAACCGGTATCGTACACACCGTGGACTTGCATTTGTTGGTAGTGGATCAGGAGGGGTTGGAAAGGGATCCTTTATACGAGTGCGAAGGAAATGTACAGATTATTTGAGGCCTGAGGAGGAGGATGAAGTGGAGATGGTGAGCAAAAGATACTTTTATGCACGATTTATTAAAGCAGTGACATATCAAACTGCACAGCAGGTGCCTCCAGGAACATCCATGCCTCCGATTTCACCATTTCCAATGCACGCACGGCACTTTGCGATTGTGCAGCGAATGCGAGAAAATGTAGTTCATGAGCGGGCATTTGTTCCTGAGCAATTGTCACTGGGATACTGTAAAATAAGAGGAGGAGAAGGCAGAAGGCTTAAAAAGGCAGATAAGTTTGTTTATGGGCATTACACTGAGGGGAATGTGTTTTTGGAGCCCCAGTATGAGGTTGTACCATTGGACTATGTTGGTGGACCTGCATATGTGTTCCCCATACGTCCGTGGGGTCGTCGGACTCAGTTTTGCATTGTGGATCCTGGGCTTGTTGGGTACAGGTTGAACGGGTTGAACGGGTTAAACGGGTTAAACGGTGATGCTAATTACGGGACAGTACTTTCACGGGGGGAAGAGAAGGTTTATGGTAATAAGTTTGGGATGCTTGTTTGGGGGGAAAGAGCCAAAAACTATGCGAGATTTGGGAATAGTGTGCCTCCTTTAATGGAAGTTATTGGTGTAGACACTGCGATTGCACGAGAGAATGCGGAGGAAGGAGATGTGAGTAAATACGATGATTTAAGCGAGTGTTCGACTCAGGATGATTGAAGGTTGGCTAATGGGAGGGTTTGAATTGAACTTGTGGGGATTTGAGTGTGTGTGTGTGTGTTTATAATTTTTAAGGTATGGATGTTTCAATGAGTTCAAAAAAAAAAAAAAAAAAAAAAGAAGAAGGTTTTGAAAAATTGATGAAGCGGAAATCGCCGAGTGGAACTTTTTTTTTATTTTTATTTTTTTTTGGGTTCAGTTGAGAACTTTATTTGACGATAAATAATTTAGCCAGACGCAAGTATCCATTAGGTTCCAAAAAAAAAAAAAAAAAAAACTGAAATTAAAAAGATTTTAATTATAAATGAATTAACAATATTTTAATATATATTGAAAAAAAAAAAAAGAATAGAATTTTTTTTTTTAATAAATTTATTAAATGCTTTTGAAATCATTTAGAGATTGAAGATATTTTTGAATAAAAAAACAAAATTTTTTTTTTTCCACCAGTTGATGAGCCGCAGTTGTTATCAGTAGTTTCCCGATATGGATATAATGCGGCGTTTACCTAAATAGGCAATATATATATATCTACTACTGCTTTTGTTGTTTGCGCCTTGCCAGCCAGCCAAATTTTCTTTTTTTTTTTCTGGTTGAACACACAAAATGATAAGCAGCAATTAAATTCATTCTCTCTGGACATAAATAAAATATATCTTGCAACTATAAAAGCCCTCAGAATTCTACTCTGAAATCTTTCTTCTTTCCCTTTTTTTTTTTTTTTTTTTTTTTTTTTTCTTTCTTATCACTCAATCTTTTTCTTTAACCATTTTTATTTTGAAATCTCAACCATGAAACTCTCTTCTTCAAAAACACTGGCTTTGGTGCTTATACTAAATTCCTCTGCAAATGCAGCTCCATCGCCCCACCCTGCAGCGGCTTATTCGACCCCCCGCTTTTTGGATTATCTCCCATCATCGCTTCGTCTGCTCTTTGAGTCGCCAGATTCCTTTCTTTCTCCTCAGGATTATGGTTATGATTTTGCTGGTGATTCTTCATCTTCCTCTTCATCTTCATCCGTTGGACCCTTTTCTTCCAGTAATCATCACACAGTCTGTCCTATCGATACACCTGTATCGTGTACACTGCCTGATGATCCTACTGGCGATACCTGCTGTTACGAAAATAACGGACTTTTCCTTGTGACACAATTTTGGGATTACAATCCTGCCACTGGACCTGCTGACTTGTTCACCACCCACGGGTTGTGGTCCAACAAGTGCGGCGGTGGCTACGAACAATTTTGCAACAAGAATATTGCAATTTCTAATGCAACTGAAGTTCTCCTAAGCCTCGGTAAAGAACACTTGCTTCAGCGCATGAGCTATTCATGGAAGGATATTTCAGGACGAGACGCGGATCTCTGGGAACATGAGTTTAACAAGCATGCAACATGCATGGATACTATAAATCCAGACAAGTGTTACGACTCAGATGCACCCAAGTGGCAATATGTGGGAGACTTTTTCGAAACTGTTGTTGATTTCCAGGCCTCTCTCCCAACATATAAGTTTTTACAAAAAAGTGGAATTGTTCCATCTACTGAAAAACAATATGCTCTTTCTGACATTTTAGAAGCTCTGCGCAAACATGGCCGTGGAACTTACCCCCGTCTGGGGTGCACTCGTAGTGGTGCTCTCCAAGAAGTTTGGTATTATTTCCATCTTAAGGGGTCTGTTGTCCATGGACATTATATCCCTGTCAATACCACTGTTGCTCACTCGTGCCCTGATCAAGTCTGGTACTACCCCAAGGGCTCGGGTAATACTACTCCTGGTAATGGAGGTGGTGGTTCTGGAGATCCCAATAGCGGATACCTTAAACTTTCTGGACAGCCTGGGTGCTTGATTTCTACTGGTAAATGGTTCACGTCGGGCACGTGTGCCACATTCCATAAGAAACCCGCAGCTTTTGGTGGCATCACTCTGACCTCTTCTAAGGGTAACTGTGATGTTGTGAATGGCGTGTTTTCTTGTGCACGCTCGAACTCTCTCGGGCAGTTTACCGAGGACAGTGATGGCAACATTGTTTATGGTGGCATATCAGGTTGGAGTGCCCCTAATGTCCCTGCTTCCAATGAGCAAGTCTCAATTGTGAGTGGGTCTGATGCAACCATTTCTTTTCAACTTCAGCTGGTCTTCAAGTAAATAATCACTTATTTCACTCATAAATAGTATACATAGTAAATCATTATTATATCATTATCATAATCATTAAAAAAAAAAAATTTCAGAGTATATAAAAGTAATATCATAAAAAAAGAAGAAGAAGAAGAAGAAGAAAAAAAAACGTTCAATAGTACCGTAAAATACGATCCTTTTCAGTAGAAACCGTAGACGAAGATGTCCCTCCTCGCGCAACCACATGTCTATTCTGTGAGAATCCATTGACAGATTGCACAGTGGGCCGCAACAGTCCTCCATTATTTTTGGTTGGTACAGGTTCTCTGCGTCTGCTTTCAGCCTGTAACCGCGCAGCTTCACGCGAAACCACCGGCATTTGCGTCTGTGCCATGCGTGTTTCACTTGTCGGCCCCACCAAAGTGGTGCCATCATTGCTACCAATTGGTATATCCGACAATGCCCATCGCTGGACCTCATGCCGTACTGCTCTTGCTGTCCGTGCACGCTCTCGCATCCGCACCGCAGCCAGCACCATGTATGCCAGTGCCAGGAATTTGGCCCGCATTCTTACTATTTTTTCTTTCCGCGATTCGTACCCCATAACCATTGCTCTGCTACCAGCTCCGCATCCATTAGTTCCTTGTTTTTTCGTCATAGTCGTAGTCGTAGTCGTAGTCGTAGTCGTTGTTTTATTCATCATCATCATTTTCCGGTTAATCAGTTCGCCAGCCCGCGTGCCAGCTAGTGCGGCGCTCAGCACCTCTGCTTGTCTATGTGCACGCGCACGGTACCCCGCCAGTTCTGCACGTAGGTATGCCGCCACGCAATCGTAGTCAATGATGCGAGAGCTTTGTACAAGTACTGTAAGGTAATAATCGGCCAGCGCGCGGCGCATTTCAACCAGTTGTGCAGTCCGCTGAGCGACTGCTTGTTGTTGTCGTGCCAGTTCGGCAGCTGCTTCGGATGCCACAGTCTCTGCAACTCGGAGTCGTTCTTCAGAGTCTTGCGAGTCTTCGAAATTGTTATTATCAGCCTTGTCGTAGTATACATTGCTGCTGCGTGTGATGCTACGTAGCCGCCGTACATAGGCTTTGTCAATCTGCCTTCCTTGTGATAATTGCTCGAGACCTTCGACTGCATAGTCTATTGCGCGCGTAATGCTTACTGGAAGTTTATATCGTGCACCAAGAGTTCCTGATATTCTAGTTAAGTGAGTTATAAGATTTTTCAAAATGGCATAGTCATCTTCTGGATCTCTATCTTCATCGTCGTCCAATGGTCTATTATTTATTTGTGGTTGTTGTTGTTGTTCCTGTTGTAGTTCTTGATGTAGTTCTTGTTTATGCAGTTTCTGTTGTTGTTGCTGTTGCTGTAGCTGTTGCTGTTGCTGTTGCTTAGCAATCACTTCGTTTAACCGCTGGTTTTCTCTATTAAGTGATTCAATATGATTGTTTCGTTGTTGCAGCAAAATTTGCATTTCTTGTAGTTGGTAATTAAGCGACATGATTTCCTCATTGTCATGCGAGTGGTGATGATGCTGTTGCTGTACTGGAATAGGTGCAGAACTTGGTCTGCTTAAAATAGGATCATGCGAATAACTATTTCTTGATATTGGCGATGGTGATTGATTTTCATTTCTGAATCTACTTGGAGGTATTACTGGTCGATTGTTGCCATTATTATTGCCATTATTGTTATTGTTATTACTATTGTATAATCTTTTTTCAGTTTCGTGGAATTCTCGTTCAATTTCTGAAAGGGATTGTGCATTTGTGGTATCAAAAAAACTAGAATCTGTAAGCATTTCATCAGGGATATTTCCTAAAGATGCAGAACGAGTGCGATTTAATTGTCTTTTTTGTTTTTTTTTTTGTTCTTGTCGAGCAGCCCGTGCTTGTTCAAAGTTTTTGTCAGCTAAAGCTGAAGCTTCTACAATTTCACATCTTATACGTTCAAACTCTTGAGCATATGCCCGCTCTTCTGCTTCAAGTTCTGAGGGATTAGCTAATGGGTTTTTGCGTCTGGTATCTAGTTGTTGTTTGAATTTCTGGAGTTGGTGTAGTTTAAGTTTGGATTGGAAAAGGTCATGATGGAGTTGTTCTGATCCGAACGAAGGAGGGCTTGTTGTGGATTCTTGTAGATTAAAGATGGATGTATGTTTATTATTGTTATTATTATTATTATTATTATTATTATTATTATTATTATTATTATTATTATTATTTTCTGAGATCGGAGGGTCGGTGTTCCTAAGGGCACTCGAAAATCCGGAGAGTGGGTTGGTCATAGGTGGTTGATTTCAAAGAGTATTCCATGTGTATATCGCGTGTTTAGTATATATATTGTTGAGCAACGGGGGGAGTATTGAAAAGTAAAAAATTAAAAAATTAAAAAATTAAAAAATTAAAAAATTAAAAAATTAAAAAATTAAAAAAAAAAGAAAAAGTATTATTATTATTATTATTATTAGAAACGCGAAAAAGCGTGTTTATTAGTCATGATTAATAATATATTATTTTATTATAATTATTTTAAGAACTTTTCTTTTTTTTTTTTTTTTTTATTCCGCAGTAACGGATTTTAGAAATTTCCGATAGAATTCCTCATAATAAAAATTATGTCATCTATTGCTAAATATTATATAATATATTTGTTGTCTTTTCTTTTTCTTCCTTCCTTTCCCCCCCTCCTTTTTGTTCTCGGCCTGTTAAATTTATATATATTTAATTAACTATTTATAGGAATCTGTGGCGCGTGGAGAAAAAAGAAAATTTTAAGTTTATCTCCTCCTCCTTCTCCCCCAATTTAGGTCTATGACGCAATGGTGCGTATTTCCATTATAATTATTTTTCTTTTTTTGGCATCGCATAATAGCAAATTTTTTTTTTTTTTTTTTTTTTTTTTTTTCTTGTCAAATTTCTTCTTCTTCTTCTTCTTCTTTTTTATTTTCTTATATATTTTTTTTTTTTTAAAAATTCTAATTATAATAATTATTATATTTATTATATTTATTACTACCACCACCACCACACTAAATATATATATATTTAAAATAAATATCAATCAATTCACCTATTACTATACAAACTACTATTATACTATTATACTAATACTATTAATAATATACAACAATACAAACTAAAACTAAAACTAAAACTAAAACTAAAACTAAAACTAAAACTAAAACTAAAATCTTTGCTTCACCACCAAATCTTCACTTTTTTTTTTCTACCTACCATCATCAACCCACCTCCCCCCCCATGTTCTCCTCAATACCCTCGGCTTCAAGCCCCGGAAAGCCCCCACCGGCTATCCAGTATGACCCGGGCACCAACAATCGACCTAAAGCTCCGATCACATTAGAAACCTTAGTAAACCCCCCAGAAAATGTCCCGATATTGTCTTCTTCTCCACCTCAAGCTTCAATTCAAGCTCCAATTCCAGCTCCACCCAAAATGTCCATTTCGATTCCACCACCGCTACAACAGCAACAACAACTTCCTTCTCTTACTTCAAACCTTCCTCCAAACTCTCCTTCCTACTTTTCCCATCATGTCTACCCTCCTTCCACTGCCACTACCATCGCCACTCTTCCAGGCTCTTCCAGCATGACCCCATCTGGCTTAGCATCCGAAGCCACAGCCACAGCCACAACAATATCAACAACAATATCAACAAGAGAATCTTTGGCCTATGGCCACGCGACCTCAAACAATAACCAAATAAACCAGTCTGCCAGTCTGATTGCACCAACAACTCCAACCTCTGTCCCTGCTATCCCCTCTGTTTCCAGTGTCGCATCCTCTTCATACTCATTTATGAACAACCCACCTCTCATGACTGCCTCTCTTCCACTCCAAGGACCACCATTGGCCATGGTTGCTGCTGCTGCTGCTGCTGCTTCAAGTGTCACAGCTGCTTCAATCTCTTCATCTGTTTCACTAGCTCCTATTCCATCCACTGCCACTACATCCACTACATCCTCCTTATCATCATCCCTGTCATCTTCAACAGTAACAAGAGCCACTACCCTTCCAGTATTCTCTTCCAATGCCTATCTCGACTTTCAAGGACAAAAACCAACAGTAAACACCCCCAGTGGTGGTGCTACCACCCAAAAATTGGTGGCACAGTCATCTACAAATCCCCAGCATTACCCATCAGGATCTTATACTGTGCCCCCAATTACAGCATCCACCTCAACAACCACTCCAGCCATTCCATCTCCATTCATCCCACCTCTCTCGTACCATAAATTCAGATCCCCATCTCTTCCAGCAAACTCGCTTCTGGATCAAAATACTGATCTTTCCTCCTATCTCAACTCTTTAAGCTACACAGATCTCCAAAACATGCTACACTCAGACCCATCTTCAGAATCGTCAAATGCCCCCTTTGAAGATGAAAAAAGAACCCTCATTGTAGACGTGCGGCCCTACACACAATATTCCAAATCAAGAATTAAATCAGCTATCAACATTTGTATCCCCTCCACTCTCTTGAAAAGATCAACATTCCCACTCTCTCGCTTTGGTGAATGTATGGTACCATCCCAACGCACTTGCATCGACAACCTTGGCATTTACTCTTCAATAGTTATTTATGATCAATCAACGGAAAAAGTATCAACCACAATTTACTCGCCAATTGTCTACACTATCCTCAAGTTTAGTCAGTCAAAGTCTCTCAAGGGTAAACTTTACTACCTCCATGGTGGCATTTCTCTTGTTCAGGAGAAATATCCTGATCTTATAGAAGATAATGTGATTGAGTTTTCCGACATGGCTGCTCAAGGACAAGGCCAACGTGCAGCTCCACCAAACTCTCTTTCTCTATCAAGTGAAAATAATAATGACGCTGCTAATAATAATAATAATAATAATAATAATAATAATAATAATAATAATAATAATAATAATACCTCCTCAACGAATACCACACAAACATTTAATTTCCCTCCTGTCCTCACCGGCTTTAGTCTTCCCTTGAGCTCAATCAAAGATGATCCCATCAAGCCCTTTGCATCAAAAATAAACGGTGGAAAAGGAAATGAAAAACTTTCAGATTATGACTTTTCACCTCTAAAGCTCCCCGCAGACATGAGCTCTACGGAAATTAACACTTATTTCCCCATTTGGTTGCGTGACATTATCCAATCTGACTCTGGAACTCAAAAAATTGTCCGTCGCTTTAATCATATTGAAGAGGCTCAAAAAGCTCGTCTACAAAGTGCCTTTTCTCAAGGATTTAAAAAACCTTCTAATACATCGCCACACCCTCCTATCTCATCATCATCATCATCATCATCATCAGCTGAATGTACAATAACTAATAATGCACCATCACCACCACCACCACCACCATCAAATCATAACAACATTAATAGCATAAACACTCCCATCAATAGCATAGCCCCTAAAAATGTCCTTCCTTCTTCCTCGTCAACACACCTAACCCCACAGCATGTTCACCTCAACTTCTCTAGCACTACTGTCAAGCCTTCATTGGCTCTCCACAATACCATCAATAACTCAAGCCATAATAGTGATGAAATCACTGATGACTGCTGTGAGCCTGTCACCCCAGATGACCTACAAGTCAAGTACTCATTTTCGGCTGGAGTGGAACTTGGCGCCAAAAACAGATATACCAACATTTGGCCTTACGATCACACCCGTGTGCGTCTCCCCGAGGTTATGCCGGAAGATGAGAAACCAGACCCATATAACGATATTAACGACACTAACGACACTAACAATGCTAACAATGTTAAAAATTTAGCCCCCACCGGCACAAGTAATGAAAATCCATCCAATACCAATGAAAATTCATCCCTACAGGACCCCCTACAGCAGCTCATTCTGAGTTCTAAACCCTATAAACAGTTTCCAATTATTGAGGGCAACACCACTTCCGATGTGACTTCCAGCAACAATAGTAATGACTACTTTAATGCTTCTTATATTTCTCCCAATGGCTCTTTAAACCGCTACATTGCAACCCAAGGTCCTCTCCCAGACACTTTTAACGATTTTTGGAATGTTGTATGGGATAAAAAAATTCCTCTCATTATAATGCTTACTGCAGAGGTTGAAGGTGGCCAAATCAAGTGCCACAGGTATTGGGAAGATGGGATTTATGGTAATAATACCCCAGTAGATGGGGTGAGCAGTACCGGCCACCAATTCAAATTGACGCTGATTTCTACCCACGAGGAAAAACTTTCAAAAAATACTGGAAACTCTGTTATTGTTCGACGCTTTAGGTTGGTAAATACAGGGATCACATCATCAACAGATAATGCTGGCATGCCTAAGTCACATACTATTGTTCAGCTCCAATATACCTCATGGCCAGATTTGGGGTCTCCTGCAACTCCAGAGGACCTCATAGAGCTCTGCAGCGTCAAAGATAAATATCTTAAAGAACTTATTGGAAATAATAGCTCCAGCATTGGAGCTTCTTTAAGCCCCAAAAATTCCTCTTCTAAAGCTAAATCGCCTCTTCCATGGGTTCTTGTCCACTGTTCTGCTGGATGCGGCCGCACTGGCACTTTTTGCACAGTAGATAGCGTCATTGATATTCTCCGTGAATACGGCATGTCTTCATTGCCTAAGCGAAAAATTCGTCTTAGACAAGTTTCTGGAGGTTCTTCTAACCTCCAAGTTTCTTCTGCCACTTCGCAAACCTCAGAAGCATCGGATTCTAGTTTAATAGGTGAAATATCTAGTCCTACACCTCTCACTACCAAACAAGTTGATTTCGAGAACTACGACCTGGTTTACCGTACAGTGCATGATTTTAGACGCCAACGACTCAGTATGGTTCAGGTTTTGCGCCAATACATGCTATGCTATGAAACTGTCATTATGTGGATTCATAAGCAATACCTTCGAGAGCATGGTAAACCGGTATCTTCACCGAATTCTGAAACTTCTCTTACAAATGATTATGTTCCTAAAACAGCAATTGGTACAACAAGTATTAATAGCTCAGGGTCCATTGCTGGGGATGATCTGCTTAGTCCAACCATTAAAACCAGACGCCACTACTCAACTCCAGCAGTGGTACTCAGTCCTATTTCTAAAGATTCTCGAACCACAGTTAATGGTGTCACAGCCAAAGTCAAATCACCTGTGCTAGTGAATGGTAACAGTGGCGCATCTTCACCTGCTGTTATTTCACATACTGGTGGATCACGGTCATCCTCTGTTGGAAGTCTCTTACCCACTACACCGGTGCGCGAATCATTGCTGGTCAAAACACATAGACAACATCAGCATCAAGCTGTTGATGGTGGCAGTGGGTCACATGTGCACCTCAAGTGATTCTTTTATTCTTTTTTTTTCCTCATTTTATTTTTATTTTTATTTTTATTTTTTGTTGTATTCCTTTTCTCATTAGTCATTTATTTTCATTTATTTCTCTGGATGTTATTTAAGTTACTAACGTATCATAATTAGATTAAGTCGCTATATTTGTTTTATTGCAAGTTTTTATTTCAATGTGGTTTTTTGATTAAAGGGGGAATAAAAAATTTTAATTAGGGGGGGAAGAAATGCTAACTAACGTTTTCAATACTATTTATATATATATATTTCATTTCATTATTAGGACCATGAGAAAGCTCTAATTATCTGTACTAATATAAACCTCATTAACAAACACGAATATATAAAAAAAAATTAAATTTTTTCTTAAAAAAAAAACAAATAAGAAAAAAGGTAAAATGTCAAGAAACTTTTAAAGGAAAACGAATATTAAAAAATAAGGTCCTACCCGGATTCGAACCGGGGTTATTGGAAATTTATAATCTAAGAATAATCAGAATCCAAGGTGATAACCAACTACACTATAGAACCGTCACGTAATCTGAAAACAAAATCAATAAGGCCAATTAAAGCTGTTAGTTAAGATAATATAAATTTGAATAAAAACAAACAAACAAACAAAAGGGGAAAGGGCTGGATGGTGTAAAGGGTAACACGTTCGCTCGAAAGCGGAAGATACTGGGTTCGATTCCCAGAATACCCCCTTTTCCTGAGGATGTGTACGGGAGTATACACCTAGACTGAAAACTATAGGCTACCCTGGTTACAGGAATGCCGACTCTTCCGTACAGTCTAAATAGCCTGCAGGTGATTGCGGGCCGTATCTCTGACGGAAGAGATTAAGAAATACATGGGCGTCCGTGAAGATAAGTGGAAATGGGTTGGGAAGGTTTTGGGACCGACAGACTGGTTCTCCCTGTTCCTCGTAAGCTGGCATCAGGGCCCATCTTCCGGGCTACCGGAGACGCACAGAACAGAAACCACCCGTACTAAAAAGGTACAAATGAAAACCGGCAAGTCACATAGTCAGACAATAAAAGGATAGCGCAGATGCTGATGTTATATAGTTCTATAACCCTTGAATAAAAACAAACAAACAAACAAACAAACTTTGTAAGTGAAAGAGAAGCTAGTATGCTCATGGACCGAAGAAAAGGATCAGTGCAAAAAATTAGTACTGGAATTCCGCAAGGCTCACCTATTTCACCACTACTTTTTTTGATATATTCCATACCAATGTATCATGCCATTAAAGAATGGGGTGGAACTCCTTTTGGCTTTATTGATGATGTGACTATTACCGTTGAAGGTAAAATTGAAGAAAATACCAAAAGCTTAAGCAACATATTAGAAAAATGTTGTAATTGGGCTAAATCAAGAATGACCAAAATTGATTTGGGTGATAAATTGGGTTTTATTCATTTTACAAAAAATGTGAAACCTAAAGATGAGAAAGTGCAACTTACTTTACCTAATGGAGAACTTCGTGAACCCCAGAAGGAAGTTAAATTGCTTGGAATTACTTTGAACAATCTGCTTGATTTTAAATCTCATATTTTGAATAAAATCAATAAAGCAAGAAAAGCTGTTGGTGCTATTTGGCATCTTGGAGGCGTGCAAAAAGGTATGCGAGGGTCTGCAGTCGGATCACTGTATATTGCTTGCGTGAGACCAATTGTCGAATATGGCTTAGAAATTTGGCATCACAAAATTTTGAAAGGAGAAATCCACAAGTTGGAAGTAATGCAGAATATGGCTTTAAGAAGAATTGTTGGTGCTTATCGCACAACTCCTATTGCGGTACTACAAAAGGAAGCTGGTATTATGCCATATAGTATTAGGCTAAAATTTATGGTGGCACGAAAAGCTATTCGTTTACACCTAAATATTAGCAAAATTAATCCTATTAATGGTCATTTGTTAACATTGATTGAGAAATCTCCAATTGCAAAGCTAACCACGCTTTACATGTTGGCGAAAGATGATAGAGACTATATGATTAAAAAGGATGAAAAACGAAAATGCAAGAGGGTTGAACCTCTTACACTGAAACAACAACAAAATCAGACGATTGGAATTTTGAAAAAACAAGCAATGGAAGAATGGCAAGAAATGTATTGGAAAAGCAGTAAGGATCTGTGGTATCATAATATCACAGTGGAGTCGAAATGTACTGATAATCTTTCCAAAATGGTTACGGGAGTGATCATGAAGAAAGATAGTCGAAGGATCTTGAGTAATATTACTCAGTTTCGCACAGGCCATGGCAACTTTGGCGCATGGTTTAAAAAGTTTGGAATTGAAAAGGATAGTTACAACTGCAAATGTGGAGAGCTGGAAACAGTTCATCACATTTTAGTTGAGTGTCCTTTGCTTGAAGAGGAAAGAAAAGGACTGAAACGGATATCTCCAGAGATGGACATGTCGACTCTCTTAAACAGTTTAACTGGCTTACAAGAGATTGTAAGCTTTATCTCTGCTTGGAGGGATTAAGAAATACAATTACAGCGTTGATGAAGACAAGTGGAGATAGGTTGGGAAGGTTTGGTTATTTTAACCCCCTGTTCCTCGTAAGCTGGCATCAGGACTTATTTTCGGGCTGTTGGAGATGCAATGTTGAAGCCAAAATTAAAAGTTTATTATCAAAATGAAAAAATATATAGTATGGACAAGAAGGATAGCGCAGATGCTGATGTTATATAATTCTATAACCCTTGAATAAAAACAAACAAAACAAACAAGCATCTGCGCTATCCTTTTATTGTCTGACTATGTGACTTGCCGGTTTTCATTTGTACCTTTTTAGTACGGGTGGTTTCTGTTCTGTGCGTCTCCGGTAGCCCGGAAGATGGGCCCTGATGCCAGCTTACGAGGAACAGGGAGAACCAGTCTGTCGGTCCCAAAACCTTCCCAACCCATTTCCACTTATCTTCACGGACGCCCATGTATTTCTTAATCTCTTCCGCCAGAGATACGGCCCGCAATCACCTGCAGGCTATTTAGACTGTACGGAAGAGTCGGCATTCCTGTAACCAGGGTAGCCTATGGTTTTCAGTTTAGGTGTATACTCCCGTACACATCCTCAGGAAAAGGGGGTATTCTGGGAATCGAACCCAGTATCTTCCGCTATCGAGCGAACGTGTTACCCTTTACCCCATCCAGCCCTTTCCCCTCTAGTCACCTATTTTAAAATATCAAAATTTATATTATCTTAACTAACAGCTTTTATTGGCCTTATTGATTTTGTTTTCAGATCACGTGACGGTTCTATAGTGTAGTTGGTTATCACCTTGGATTCTGATGTTCTTAGATTATAAAATTCCAATAACCCCGGTTCGAATCCGGGTAGGACCTTATTTTTTAATATTCTTTTTCCTTTAAAAGTTTCTTGACATTTTGCCTTTTTTCTTATTGTTTTGATTAAATTGTCTTTTTTGTAACTTTTTATTTGATTGAATGTTTCAATTGTAAATAAAAATTCAGTCAATTGAATAATTTTTTGAACGTTGTAACGTTTGTTTTATTTTTTTTTTTTTAGTTTTGCTAATTAAGCATATTTTTTTTTCTTTCTCTCTATTTGGAGGTTTTAGGTCTTATAGAAAAAAAACTTTTGATTCAATTTACAAGAACATAAAAATTGAAAGAAAAAAATAATAAAGTAACAAAAATTTAATTAAATTGTTTAATTAGCTGTAAATAGTTAAAATTTTTATTAAATTTCACTTTTTAATTTATAATTATTACTGCTGGTATAGTGTAAATATGAAAATTAAAACACAATTTTAAAAAGTGATATGGTTCTATAGTGTAGTTGGTTATCACCTTGGATTCTGATTAGTCTTAAGATTATAAAATTCCAATAACCCCGGTTCGAATCCGGGTAGGACCTTATTTTTTATATCTTAAATACTGTTCATAAGAACTAACTAATTAGTTTTAAGCCTTTTTAAAAAATAAATTTATCTTTTAGTAAACCCCCAAAATAAATAATTTACTTTGATATAATACTATTTTTTTTTTGAATAGACTATGATTACTGTGACATTGCGTTGATCCTATCGCTTAAATACGAATATTATATATATTGTTACAAGTTTTGTACATATTTTGTTCTACGTAATTGCTATTAAGTTTTCGAGGCAGATTTCCATTTCATTTTTTTTATACCCCATTATTATTACTACAATATTCAATCAAAAGTAGTAGTAGTCTACGTAATTTTTTCATAAAAAATACTTTTAAATGGGATAAGTTAGAGTAACTGCTAAAATTATGGTTATGAAAGAGCGGTTTCATAAATAAAAAAAAACAAAAGTTTTTGATAGCATTTCAGGGACATAAAATTAGTGTATAGTTCTTTTTTTTTTTGTTTAAATAATGTTTTACAAAAAATGGAGAATTGGAATGGACTCCGTGAAAAATACGACGAAGCATTATACTCTATGCACAAACAAACAATTTTATATTTAAAGAGAAAAAGTATACAAATATTAAACAATAGATACTACAAAAAAAAAGAACAAAAAATATATACCTTTTTTTTATAATTTTCAAGCTTAAACCATAGCTGCAATGACACCTGCAATGGCAACAAAGCCGGAGAAAGCATATGAGGAGGCGTCGTTTTTACTGGAAGTAGCAGAAGCCGAAGCAGAACTTGTTGAAGCAGCACCAATAGAGGCAGTAGAAGTACTTCCTGCAACAGAAGAGGCAACCGAGTTGGCTGAGGAATCATCAACGCCACTGGGGGTGTCAGAAGGAGCAGTTTCTTCCTCAGTAGTGTTAAAGCAGAAGGATGAGTAACCATTCTGAACAAAGTTTTCAAGCTCAACAAACTCAACATCAGCACAGGCATAATGGGAAATGTTGGAAGTACCGTCGAGAGCATTGTACACAAGCTGAATGGTACCGTAGTCACCTTCCTTGACAGATGATAATACATTAGGTGTAGAGTAACACATGTGGGCGGTGTCCAGGTCATTGGTTAAGTTAGCAGAGAACCAGTCCTGAAAGTCATTCATAGAAGTGGGATTGGACTTGTAGGAAATAGCAACTTTGACATCCCAGGCTTCATCCTGGGCAACTAGCAAAACGTGTCCACCTGTCAGAGGGAAAATGGTACGGTTAGTGATGCTGGCACCGGAACCGCAAGGTGCTGTGTTTTCGCTAGCCTCAGTCCAGTCTCTGTCAGGAGGCCACAGGAAAGCAACCGGGCCCATTGTTTGTGCATACTCCTCACCATGATCTTGTGCAGAAACTAAGGAGGTTAAGAAGGGGATTGATGCCGCAATAAAGGTAGAGGAAAGTTTCATTATGATAAGATGTAATTGAAAGAAAAAATATAATTATGTGTGAGAAAAGAAAAGATAATTATAAAAAATAAAAATAAAAATAAAAAAGAGAATTCTATGAGTTTAAGTAGAAAAAAATATATTTACACCAATATTATATATTCCATATGCTTTACGAATGCTTGAAGAAAAAAATGATCAGATAATCTTTTACGAGAAAGAGAAAGGTTTTTTCGCTCACCAGTAAGCGGACACGGTGAGATCTTGCAGGACTGATAACTCCCGAATGGGAACATTCTGCCTCTATTGAGTTCTCCCCTCATTTTCAAGTGGTCAGCTCCATTGTTTTTTTTTATTCAGTTTGTTGTCGCTTTGCGTGCTCGGGCGCCTATTCCCTTTTCCGGTTTAATCTAATCCATCTACAAGAAGATATTTTAATATTTTGCATGAATAAGCTCTAAAAAATTTTTGTTTCTCGTCTCAATGGGTACGGTCCCCCTTTTTTTTCTCGCTTTTTTTACAAACTTTGGCTTAAGTCCTTCTACAATCAAATACGATTGAAGCATAGAGTTATATATATTTCTAAGAAAAAAAGTTTCATTTAAAACCACCTCTTTATCAGATGGTCCGTTCTTTTGTGCTATCAAACTATCATCATAACTTCAGCTTTTTCTCTTCCATCTTAATAGTTATGCTTATTAGGTATGGAAGGCTACACGAACTTCAAAAGGATTACGTAGAAACCTTTAGATAGCATCATGGCATTCAAGATTAGCTATTTCCTTGGTTTATTTTCAGCACCCCATCTTAATGTAATTTAAGCATAGCACAATTAATCCCCACCTTTTTTTTTCTTTCCATCCAACTTCATTTTCAACTTTTCATCCCTCCAAAATATTATCAATTTTTTTATAACTATTTCTCAATATATGCCAAGCAATAAGTAACTCAGTAGACAATAATAAACCTAGTATATAACACCCTGAGCTAGTTATCTCTGGCTTGGCGTACATTGGCATCTCACATATCTAGCATTTGATATTGGAAAACTCAACATTCATTTTCGGAAATAACTTTTTTTCTTGTAAAAATTTTATATATTTATATATATGTGGGAATCTTTTTCCTTTTTTTTTCATCATTAATTGCCAAATGCAATTATTTCATTTGATTTTTATCGGCATGCTATGTAACTAAATGGACTCGACCGGGTTGAGTCTGGTGATTCTTCGTATACTAAACGACATAAAGAAATTGGTTTAAAATAAATAAAATGGAAGTATGGATAATAGTATTTACCGCAATTTTTTTACTAAATTATATTAAAATCTATTAAAATAGGGAAAAAACTATTCATAGTAGTAAATCAATTGAAATTGGTAATTAGATCATGTTCTTTAGACGGAAACTAAAAAAAAAAAAAAACTTAGAAATAATTTGGAAAGCTGTTGGCCAAAAAAAAATAATGATAATATGGTTTTTTTTTTTAATTAACCATTAAAATTATTTAAATATTAATATATATATATATTTTTATTATAAAACTTTTTGGTTTGCTTGTTAGATTTTATTCAAGGGTAATAAAAGGATATACCAACTTCGACACCATACTTTTAATTGCCTAATTTTGGTAGCTTTTTTTTTTGAATGTAATTTTTGGTACAGAATGTTTTAATCTATGGGCCTATAATGACCTAGGTTATGAACCCTGGTATCTGCTCACAAATAAGCTTAAACGGAGGAGCAGTCTGTCGATTCTAATGTACCCGGTTCACTCCTCATTTTCACAGAAGTCAGTTTATTTCCTAAATCCTTGTGTCAAAGATACAGCATTTAATTGCATGCAGACTAATTATGCTGAACGGAATAGTAGGCATTCTTGTTCGCTAAGGTAGCCTGGTGGTTCAAATGATGTATGTACACCTGTAAACCCTCTCATGGAATAGGTAGCAGCAAGAATTAAATCCATTTACTTAGAGAAAAAAAATCTTTGTATTTTAATTTTATCAATCAAACCTATTTTAACTTTTTTTTTCAAGGGATAGAAGCACTTCTACATACTAGTAAAACATCAGCATCTGAGCTATCTTTCTTGTTCTTACTATATATATATATATATATATATATATATATATATTCGTTTTCATAATAAACTTTAAATTTGACTTCAACATTGCATCTCCAACATTCCGAAAATAAGTCCTGGTGCCAGCTAATGAGGAACAGAGGGTCAACAACCTAACCTTCCCAACTTATCTCTACTTGTCTTCATCAACGCTGTAATTTTATTTCTTAATTCTTTCAAACAATGATAAAGCTTAAACAAATTGATTTTTATGCCATCATAGGTTTTTCGTTTAACACTATATGGCTTAATATCAGCTTCCTTTCGTGATATCGTTTTTTTTTTCAATTGTTTGTATGTTTGTTTGTTGTTTTTATTCAAGGGTTATAGAATTATATAACATCAGCATCTGCGCTATCCTTCTTGTCCATACTATATATTTTTTCATTTTGATAATAAACTTTTAATTTTGCCTTCAACATTGCATCTCCAATAGCCCGAAAATAAGCCCTGATTCCAGCTTACGAGGAACAGGGGGTTAAAAATAACCAAACCTTCCCAACTTATCTCCATTTATCTTCATCAATGCTGTAATCGTATTTCTTAATCCCTCCAAGCAGAGATAAAGCTTACAATCTCTTGTAAGCCAGTTAAACTGTTTAAGAGAGTCGACATGTACATCTCTGGAGATATCCGTTTCAGTCCTTTTCTTTCCTCTTCAAGCAAAGGACACTCAACAAAAAATGTGATGAAGCGTTTCCAGCTCTACACATTTTCAGTTGTAACTATCCTTTTCAATTCCAAACTTTTTAAACCATGCGCCAAAGTTGCCATAGCTTGTGCGAAACTGAGTAATATTACTCAAGAGCCTTCGACTATCTTTCTTCATGATCACTCCCGTGACCATTTTGGAAAGATTATCAGTACATTTCGACTCCAATGTAATATTGTGATACCACATATCCTTATTACTATTCCAATACATTTCTTTCCATTCTTCCATTGCTTGTTTTCAAAAAAACGTTTGGAAAAAGAGGCATTCCTGCCCAATACATATTTATAATATTATTTAAATTTTTTCTAAGTAAATCGAACCAGTGGCCTAAAGGTAAGGCGCTGCCCTCCGGAGGCAGAGATTGCGGGTTCGAGTCCCGTCTGGTTCTTATGTTGTTAAAGATTTATTCTTTTTTTTTTGAAGTATAATTCTTTGATCAATGTTTTACACTATTCCATTCAAGAGTACCCAATGTAGAAGGGACAAAGAAATTTACTGTTTACAAGTCATATATTGTCTAAATAGTTCTCATAAAAAACGCGAAAGACAACAACATGGCGCAATTTGATTAACACAACATTTCGTTTCTTAAAATTGAAATTACGGCATATTATCCCAAGTTTTCTACATTAATGTAAAAATAGAAAATTCACTGTTTTTTCAGTCAACTAAACTTAGCAATTTTCTTCTTTTTTTTTTCAACATTTCAAAATTTATTTACATTTTTTAATTGAAAATACTTAAAGAGTACCAGACTTGGTAATTTCAATCTTGGATTTAGTTTTGCCACTAGAGGAGCCTAGAGCTTCAATATCCTTGACAACATTGAAACCTTCAATCACCTCTCCAAAAACAACATGCTTTCCGTCCAACCAATTGGTCTTGACAGTCGTAATAAAAAACTGAGAGCCATTGGTATTGGGGCCAGCATTGGCCATGGAAAGGAGACCAGGCTTGTCGTGCTTGTGGTTAAAGTTCTCATCAGGAAACTTTTCGCCATAAATTGACTTGCCACCAGTGCCATTGTGATTAGTAAAGTCACCGCCTTGAAGCATAAAGTCTGGAATTACTCGATGAAAGGTTGAACCTTGGTAGCCAAAACCTTTTTCACCGGTGGCAAGAGCACGAAAGTTTTCAGCAGTTTTTGGGACATCATCGTAAAGCTGAAAGACAATGCGACCCAAGTTTTTGCCTGTGTAATTCAATTAGATTATATGAGAAAAAAACCCTTTAAAAAAACTTACCGTCGGCAGCGACATCGAAATAAACTTTGTTGCTCATTGTGAATTATTTAAAGAGACTTTGAAAAAAACGTTGAATAAAATAAAGAAGTAAAAAAATTAATTGAAAAGATATATATATTTAAGCAATAATTTCATAAATATAAATAAAAAATAAAAAAGTAAAAAAAAAAAAAAACTATGAGATATTCAGCTCTATTTATAGTTTTTTTATTTTTTTCGAAGATATCTTTTCTATTGATTTTCCTTTTTTTCTTCCCCGGAAACTTTGTGGGAGGGTTGTGACGTTTAAAAATATATACAAAGAAGGTACGCACAGCCGTTATTGTTTCTACATGATGAAGTGAACTTTATGTGGGCCAGAGGTTTTATACATTTGTAAAAAAAAAACAGCTTAGTATTTGTTTATACAAGGTCCTCTTTTTTTTTAAGATAAAAATATGATAATAATTAAAAAAAGAGATTGAAACGTGCGTATTTCAAGACTTTTTAAAAGAGAGAGAACAAAAAAGAATCATAATGTCAAAGGAGAAGGACAAAAGAGGGGGGAGATTTCCAATTCATAATTATGATTAATGGATTAATGGAATAATGGAATAATGGAATAAAGTTTCCAAGGTGTGCGCACCTTTTTCTTATTTTAATTGGATAGACTTAAAATTGAAAAATAAAAGAACAAGGACTTGGCCAAACATTTTCCATGGTGATGAATAGATGTGGTTGCACCTTCTAGACCCTTTTTGTTAAAGTAGGCTTATGCGGAGCTTTTTCTTTTTCTTTATTTTTCATTTTTATACTTACAAGTAAGTAAGGAAGGCATAACATTAAATCTTGCTTTTCTTTTGACGATTTTCTTTTCTCAAAAAAATTTATAAAAAAAATATAAAAAATATAAAAAAACAACAAAAATAATTAGAAAGATAATTGATTTACCTCTTTATGTATTAATTTACTAATATACTGGTTATTCTTACTCAATTGAGTTTTTTTAAAAGAAAAATTGTGAAAAAGAATCTCGTGGTGCATGACTTTCTCCATTGTTATTATTATTTCTTCTCAATCTAGAATCTAAATTTGAACTACCAAGACACAAAAAAGAAATTAAAAAAATTACTCTCAACTGTAATTTTTTTTTTCTATTTTTAAATAAAATTTAACTTGAAGAATAGAAAATACGCAGTGCAATTGTTAAGTACTGTAAACTGTAAAAATAAAAAAAAAATGTATGAATGACGATGGTTGCTTTTGTTGCTGTAAACTTGGTTTGGAAATCAGAAAAAAAAAAGGCCAGCCGTACTCTTTAATTCCTTTAGTAACTTTGGAACATGGCAAAGTACGACCCTCTCTAGGTCAATTAGTCTATTTCAGTGTCTATTATTTGGTTAATTTTACAAATAAACTTCTCCCCAAATACCATAAAGACCTTTATATATAAACTATGTTGAATATGTATATACTTTCAAAGGTATCTCGAAGAGAAAACAAGAGAAAAAAAAAAGACCACAATGGTGTCGAATGTAAGACCTTCAAAAAACTTGTTTGAAGTGTAACGGTTCTTGGTCTTTTAATGTTGAAACTAGCGATGACATGTGCCCTGACCTCTTTGTGCAAACATGAAAAGTTAGCCTTTAACCGGGGATAAAATATATACAAAACCCTAACAAAATTTATATACAATATATATATTTGGACTTTTTTTTTCCCAATCACTAAATACTGGCTTACCATTTCATTTTTATTTATTTATTTATTTATTTATTTATTTATTTATTTATTTATTCATTAATTGCTATTAGCAAAAATTTACATCGTTGAATGGACCTGCTTTAAAATAAAAAAAATATAATAGTAACAAAAAAAGCGCTCATAAAATGTGTCATCATTTACATAATCATAGGATTCGGATGTGCCGCATTAAGGCACTTTCAAAAATTCCACGTCAAGGGAAATCTCTCACCCTCCGCCCGTCCAAAATTAACAGCCAACTCCCACCACCAAAACTTCCAAGAAGCCGCCAATATTTTCTTCATTCCTTTTCCCTCTTTTCTCTTCCTTTCTCTCTTCTCTCCAAGTAGGAATAAAAAATATACCATTCTTCAGCAGCCTTCTTCTCTGTCTTTGCTGACACCTTTTTTTTTGGAATTTTTTTTTGAAATATTTTAGCTACTGTTTCCGTTCCGACTGGGGTTATCTATTTGTAATATACGCCAAGCAAAGAATACAGCTCAGCAAAAAACAACAATAACAACAAGACGAAAAAAAAAAAAATGGATTCTATCAAAGACAAATTGTCCAACATCTCTCTTTACGACGTCAAGGCTTACGTCCGAAAAGCTCAGAATGGTGTGTTTTAAAGTATTATTTGAAGCTGAATGTAAATAGCTAACCAGAATTTCTCTTTTAGCTGTTTTCAATTATACTGAAATGGAAGCCAAGGTTGGTAAAAAAAGAACGAAATTTTTTTTTTTTTTTTTTCACTTGCGAAAAATACGACAAATCATTAGAACTCCATATTAATCATTATTCTTTCTTTTCGATAGGTCCGTGAGGCTACCAACAACGAGCCTTGGGGTGCTTCCAGCACTTTGATGCAGGAGATTGCCGAAGGCACTCAATCCTAGTATGTAGCAGCACAAATGTTTCATTTAACCTTGAGTACCCCTTAAACACCGTTACTAATGTTTTGATACCAGCTCTCAATTCCATGAAATTATGCCTATGATCTACAAGGTATGTTTGTCATTTGAATTTGTTTTTAATGCAAAGGCTAATACGCGTCTGAATTTAGAGATTTACTGAAAAAAGCGCTGAAGAATGGAGACAAATTTACAAGGCTCTTCAGCTACTGGAGTTTCTTGTTAAGAATGGATCCGAACGCGTAGTGGATTATGCCCGTTCCCACATTGCTGTCATTGACATGCTTAAGCACTTCCACTACATTGATTCCAACGGCAAGGACCAAGGTATTAACGTCCGCAACCGTGCCAAGGAGCTCATGGCTCTTCTGAGTGATGTTAACAAGATTCGCGCTGAGCGCAAGCAAGCCAAGTCCAACCGCGCCAAATTCGGTGGCATTAGTTCTTCTGCTAGCGGCAGCTCCGGCGGGTTTGGAAACACAGGCAGCAGATATGGTGGCTTTGGCAGTAACGATTCGGAATATGGTGGATACGCTGGTGGTGTTTATGGTGATGGTGGCGGTTTCGGCGGAAATGAGTATGAAGGTCCTGGATACACACGCGGCAGCCGGACCACGGAGCCCAGCTATGGCTCGGATGATTTTGAGGAGTATGAAGTCGAGACTACTGCAACTACCACCACTGCTGCTTCTTCACGGGCTTCCCGGCCATCTCAGCAACAGGCAGCACCCCCTGCCAAGGAGCCTGCTAGAGATCTCTTTTCTTTTGATGATGAGCCCACAGCCACCTCTCATTCGGCATCTTCTGCTACTGCTGCTCCGGCTTCTGCTGTTGAAGATGATGACGACTTTGCTGATTTTCAGTCGGCTACTGCACCTACATCCACACCTGCAGCTTCTAAGCCTCTTCCACAACAACCTTCTGACCCCTTGGCTGGTCTTTTTTCCAACGCAAACACAACCACAACAACTTCCAACACTAATTCTTCTCTGAACTTTTCATCTTTCCAGCCACAGTCATCTTCGACATACACACCCTCTGCTTTTAGCAGCAACAACCACAATGGTTCTTCGGCCAATTACGATGCGTTTGGCCCATTGACTAGCGCTTCTAATGCTCCCACCACTTCACCTACAACTTCCACATCTTCTGCTACTGCTGCAAAGGGTAAGGCAAAAGCTGATGATGCCTTTAGCTCGCTATGGACATCTTCCAAGTCAAAGACAACACCGGAAAATACTTCTGCTCCACTTGCAGCTCTGGCCCAAAAGAATGCTGAAAGCAAGATGTGGGGTGGTGCTCCCTCTAACGGAAACAACAACAACAACCTCAATAACAATGGCGGAAGCATTGATCTTCTTTCTCTGTAAAAAATACCTAATATTTTTTCTTGTGTGATAAACCTAGTTTTTTTTTATATAAAAAATCCTTCTACAATCCCTTCTACCCCTTTGAAATTCTAGTTTTTTTTATTTTTATTTTTTTTTATCATTATCTTTCAAAGTTACTTTTATTTTATACAGATAATTTTTTAATGTTTTCTGCCAGGTCCTCACCACCTTCCATTTCACCATCATCTTCCTCATTGCCATCTATGAGACCTCTCTCAAACATTTGGCGACCAGTAAGTTTTGGCTGGCCATTCTTGTCCAGTACAATGTATTTATTGAGAAGTGCATCAATATTCATTTCCTTTCTAAAGCTTGCGCGCCATTTGGCAAATGACTCTTTGGTGACCTCTGTACCCTCAAACTTTTTGCGCTCTTCGGCCTCTTGCTCTAATCGTTCCTTGTCACGATCCTCATCAACCTTGTGCATCTTTGCTTGGACAACCTCCTCTGCATCTTCCTTTAACTGACTGACTACTGTGAATACTGAGGGCATGCCCATGTTTTCCTCAGCCACAGTCTCAGCTTTAAGTTTGAGATCGATCATGTCGTTATTTGTCAGTTCTAGCAGTGCTGGTGGGTACTCGAAATGTGCTGCAGACTCGTCTTCTTCTTCATCTTCTTCATCGTCATAATCTTCTTCCTCTTCATCATCTTCGTCGGCTTGGCCTCCGCCAGTCCATTTCTCTCCAACCTCTACTTCCAGAATTGGCGTGATCTCTGGGTATTCTGGCGGGTACTCAACTCGCAGATCCACATATTGGACTGGCGTTGTTTCCAGTTTTAGATGAATAATGAATTCAGTATTGCTAATTTCTGGGTATCAAAATAAATAAACAAATTAATAAATAAATAAATAAAAAAGGTGGGGAAGAAATAATAAAAGAACAGAGCCAACTGGTTAGAATTTGACTGTTTTTTAATATAAATATTTGTGAAATATTTTTACATACTTTCCAGCTCATCTGGATAAATCGATTCTAAGACCTCAATTTCCTGAGCCTGCTCCTCTAGTGGGTCCATATTTGCTTGTCTTTGTTTGTTTGTTGGCGATAAATGGGTAAGCAGAAATGGCTGGTGTGTGTTCCAATATCTCTATTGAATTTTTTTTTTTTAAAATTACCCTGCCTCAGATACAATTATTTTGCTTCAGGGTAACGATAATATACTGCGGCGCTTACCAAAAGGCCACACAGCCGCACATTATACACACATGGCGTTGACCCGAAGATTTTTCTTTCTCTTCCTTCTTTTCCTTTAATACATGACTTTTTGATATAGAAAAAAAAAAAAAAAAACAAAGGTTATATACATTAGGATATTATAAAAACTGATAATATACAAGCTGTATTTGTGTTTGAAATCCATATTTAACTGAATTTTTTTTTTTTTTTTTTTGAATTTTTTTTATATTCATTTTGAGAAATTCAAATATTTATATAATCCTAGCCAGCCCTTTAAATTGGATACCCCTCCAAATTACTAATTTAACAAAAAAAAAAAAAAAAAAAAAAAAAAGCACCATTAATCCGTCAGTCACATCAAACCACCCGGCCTCAAATTTGACAAAATATTCTCGAGAGGTATTAATAAATAAATAAATAAAAAAAACAGCCAAAAGAAGTTGACTTTTTTAAGTAATTATATTTTCATCTCAATGCAAATATGAGTGATCCATGTCTATCAAACTCATCAGACCAGTCTTCGACTGCTCTTCCACACCCTTCCTCTGCTATTTTCCAGCTGCCGCTCCCATCGCATCTTAACAAATACTCAAACAACAACTCTAATGGTACTACCACAACCACTCAACAATTGCCACCACTACCCAATTTCAATACTGGCACTCAGAATTCTTCATCAACCTCTTCTAATTCTCACTCACATTATCTTCCGCCACCGCAACTTGCTCAGAATTACCCAAAGTACCCGGCAATACCATCATCCGCTATATCGGATATTCCGACACCATCGGGTAGCACACTTCCGCACAATACTACAACGGCACCAACAGTAGCAACAAGACAGAATTCCACGCTCCCCCTACCACAAATCTCCTATACAAATAGTGCCCCCCCTACTTCCAACACAAGAGATTCTGAAATCGCATATTCGGCTCACCCGAAACCTTCTGATGACCCACAAGTAGATGATACCACTGAGGACAAGGAACAACGTATCACTAGTGCACTTGAAGAGTTTAAGAACGGTACAAATAGTATCAGAAACCTTTCAAACAAGTACAATGTTCCCCGGTCTACGCTTCGTGATCGTATAAAACGTGCACACCTGGCGAACAATAACAAGTCTGGTGAGGAACGACGTATAAGCATTCTCAAGTCCCGCTCTAAAAACATCATTGACCGCCAAACTCGAGACTTTAAGCAGCGCGAGCGTGATGCATTAATTCAAGAAGCATTGGATTATTATCATTCTTCAGAGCTGGAGGGCACTAAACAAGGTATTCGCGCACTTTCTGCAAAATTTGGCATCCCCCGCTCAACTCTCCGAGGTCGTCTTCAGGGCTCAACAAGTAACCGCTCAGCAAACCGTGTTCAAAAGGGCCAAAAACTTTCATTAGAAGAAGAGGACACTCTTGTTCAATGGGTTAAAGCTCTTTGTCATTCCGGTGAAGAGGTCACTGCTTCACGTATACGCAACATGGCTAACTTGCTTCAGCAATACCGACCCTCCAGTGATGATAATATGTTTCTTACAGGTGACTCAGACCCCGAGTCTTTTGCCGATGGGACTGGTCCAAAAGTTTACCGCAAGGCTGTCGACCCCCTCCTCGAGAAAAAACACCAAGTTTGCCTTGGCTGGGTAAGGGGATTTCTTGGTCGTCACCCAGCGCTTATTGACGCCAACGGTACCATTCTCAATGTTGACGATGTCAAAAACTTTACAAAGGATTCTTTCCGTGACTGGTTTCAACTTGTTTGCGAAAAAATAACTCTCCGCCACATCCCGCCAGAAAACATCTTTATTGCAGGTGCATCTTCCTTTTTTGTTTCCAACTTGATTGTTGATAATCAACGCCAAGTCACCCCAGCTGACTTAGCACCATTATACCTCCTCCCATCTGCTCCGCAATCCGAACCTTTCGCCTCTCTAGAGTGCTTTTCTTTCAATTGCGATATTTTAAATCCCTTCATTGTACTTAATGGCGACTCGGACTTAAAAATCCCCGATGACTTAGCCGCACAGTGGTCTTTTAATTACTCATCTTCCTTATTCTTACCTTATGAGGAGCGCAGACAACAACAAGACCACAATAACAATGACATTCAACATATTCGAGTTGAAAAGGAGCTTCTCTACAAGTGGCTTACTCAATGGTTTGATGTTACTTCTAAAAAACATGCAAATCCTGAGTACCCTCGTGTACTCATATCTGACTCGGACTGGGCCGATCTCGATCCAAACTTTAACAATTATTGCAAAAACAACGGAATTGACTTTTTAGGAATCCCTGTCAACAAATTCCACGAATTGTTCCCCTTTACTGCCGGCATCTTTGGCAAGGTCAAGAAGAACTTTTGCTCTAAAGTAGAGTCAATGATGAAAACAACAACAACTGGCGGTCAGGAATCTGATGATGGCAAGCAGCTCATTATTGGCGACAATCTATTTTTATGCTTTCATGATGCTCGAAAACAAGCCATGTCAAATTCGACATTGTCAAAGGCACTTAAGCAGTCTGGCCTTTGGCCTCTTGATTCTAATCTTGTCATTAATAGAATCTGGAACACGTCGGAAATTAGTAGCATCGGCACTACAACCGATTCAAACAGTCTTCCCTATGGGCCAGCTCTTTTATCTGCTTTAGAAACCAGCTGCCCAATAACAAAATCTTCATCGACTTCTACCAGAAAAGAAAGTTCAGATGAAAGTCCCGACGCTTCTCCTCCTGGAGACACATATCTACAATCAATTTTAAATGATTATAGGAAGTCACCCGAGCCTTCATCCGTGCCCACATCATCAACACCTAACCATCCTACCAGCTCTATTTTTCGCATCATTAATCCCTTATCACCTGAGCCGGAAAAACATAAGCTTGATGAGCCACAAGATAATAACAATGCTAAACGTTTCAAAACAAGTACACTTCATAACTTGCTTTTAAGGGACGATGCAAATATTTCTGAGCCTTCAACAGATGTCCGTACCCAGCCCCTACATACAGAATTTTCCCGACAGGATATTTTACCAATACCAAGTGCTCTCCAAAATTCTTTGCCATCCGAATCTGAAATGCGTTCCAATAATGGGGGGATTCTGCAGTTACCTTCGCTTCCAGTAGCTCTTAACAATGCACTACCAAATGCAAACTCAAATGTTGTATCTGTGACACAGAAACAGTTAATACTGGATCCCAATACGACCAACAACTCCCCACTTTCTTCAGTACCTTCCCATACTCCACCACTCTCTGCGTCACCGATGGGCCGCTGGCGGTCTCCTAACGATGCTACCAGCAAATCCACTAGCCAAACCAGTTCGCCTTTGGGATATGGGCCTCCTCCTCTTACCCAAAATTTGTCGTTGTCATCGTCTACCTTGAATTTACCGCTACAGGCGAGCGGTGCTTATACAAACGAGCACGAATATCCTTCTTTGAACCAAGCTAAACACGCATCAACGGCCCAGCAACCAACACAATACATACCACCAGGTGGTCCCGCCACCCCAGCACTGGCACCAAATCATACCTCTCACCAGGCACTTCCGTCGCTGTTTGATTTGAATCTAATTCCGCAAACTTTTTCAAAAACATATCAGCACTAGTTAAAACGTCCTGCTTTGGGTATAATTTTTTTTTAATTTTTTTGTAGTTGTATTATTAAGGTAATTTGATTTTTAGAGATAAACATATTAATTTTTTTTTATCTTGTTAATATTACATTTAGGTAATTTATTTTAAACATATAAAGTTATGAGTACATAATTTTACCAATCATCTTAAGAGTTGAAACAGTGTTTTAATTTCAAGTTTTGCAATTATATCTTTTAAAACTAGTATGGATGGTTAAAAAATATTGAACTATCAAATAGAAAGAAAAAAAAAAATCCCCCAAAGTTTCTAGAAATGGTAATAATAGATTTAAAAAATGGACCGTTTTGTAATCAGGGATAAAAAATATTTCCTTCTCATCTTGTTAACTTGCACTGCTTGACTTTCTTGTTTAATCAGCTACGTATGTTTGAGACTTAAAAAAACTTTGTTTTCTTATTTCTTTTTTCTTATGATTCACTACTATTTACGATAAAAGTTACTATACCACCTTTTTTTTTTCTACGATTTTTTTTTCTCCCATATTCTTTAATATACCTTTCGAATAATGATTTTAGAAAGAACTCAAAGTTTAGGTGATTTTAAGGCCACACTTTCAGATTTGCCTTTTGATGCTCTATATGATGTTCTGGAATGCCTTCTTCTTCCTGATCTTACTTCGCTTTCTCAAACATCAACGAGACTGAGAACAATCACAAACCCTTACATTTGGAAAGAATGCGATATTGTTGATAAATCATTAATTAAAGCACAATACTCAAAAGATCGATTAAAAAAAACCATTCCTTGGGAAGTGATTGTAGAACCTTTTAAATATTCTTGGTTTGCAAATGAGTATGTCGAAACAATCGAAATTAGCACACATTTGATTCAACAGATAGTATCAAATCAGAAAAATCAATTTGTTACTCCTCAAAATTACCCAAAATTAAGGATTATTTTCACAACCTGTTTTTCAGAAAGACGTTCATTCTTAAACATTAAACAGTCCATAGTTACTTGTAATGTTTTTCCTGAACCTGATGGCATTGTTTCGTGTTCCATTAACGAAGCTGAAACTAAAACTCTTTTTAAGTTTTTTAAGCCTTGGAACACTTATTATGACTTTAATGACAACAAGGTTGAAATTTTTAATAACATTACCATGATTGAACTTCAAGCAAATCAAAATTTTCTATATCTCAAAAATGCATTAACCAAATTCACTTCCCTTAAAAAAATTTTAATCAACTGCATTTTAAATGGTTATTACGTCCCACCTCGATTACAACCATTTGATGAGATTTTTGAAGACACTCCAAATTCCGTGGAAGATATAAAACTCGTCTTTCATTTATCACTAGGATTCCCCATTCATGGTGGATTTCCTATGGAACCGCCAGGAACGAGAGTAAGCTTTACAAAAGTCACAACTTTTTATTGTGAACAAATGGCTATTCTTTTATTTATTTTGCTTCCTAATATCAATAAACTTGAATTTGCCCCATTCATGGCTCCTGGTTTAGGTGATTTACCTTCTTACCCTCCTGATGACCACATTACTAAAATCACTAAACTCGAAATCAAAATTGATATTAGTCAATATAAAACAAAACAACTTATTTGCATGCAACTATTGAATTTCAAAAATTTGAAAAAGCTTTCACTAGAAATAAGATGCGCTGAAACGTCCATGGAAAACTCTACAAAGACATTACTTTATTATGCCGCTTTAAAGGCATTTACGAGGTTTAAACCCCAAAGCAGGGATCAATCACTTGAAAAACTTCGATTAAAGCAATTTATTTATGATGCAATTTCGATTGCATTTAATGGACTGAGCATAATAAACAATCTATCTACAAGTGGTGAAGAAGATATTTCAGATGAAGAAAGGTATATAATTTTTACAGTTGCTTGGATGGTTTATACAAAAGTTTCTCCGGTAATTACCAATGAAAAAGTGGATTCTATTTTTAGGGCACTTAACATTACTACCCTTGAACAGTTTCTTTTTGTTTTTCAAAAAATCAAAACATTGGAGTATTTGGAAATTATTGTTGATTGTTCTATTCCTCACTTTTTGACGCTAAAACACTTCAAAAAAATTACTCAAACTCACTCAAGTTTAAAGCAGATTTATATCAAGCGTCAAATGTTTGGCGATTTGAATAACTATATGCGGACTGCGCACTATGTTAGTCAACTGCCTTTCCCAAGAAGTGCAGATCAACTTTCTCACGCTTCCAAGGTTAAGTATATTATGCAGTCAGAAGTTGGGCCAATGTCAAATGCTTTTTACTCTTTCTATAGCATTAAAAATGCTTTTGGGGAAAGAGATTATTTAAATGCTTATGAAATTTTCATTGATTTAAAAACCACTAAAAAATATGTCCCTTTGGACCTTGTTGAGTTGGTTAATACTAGGAAATCCGGGGATTATGACTGGGCTGACGATGACATGTTTAACGGTTGGTTTTAAATTATAATTTAAACATAATTATGATTAAATCATAAAATTTGAGTTATAGTTAAATTAATTTTAGAAATTAAAGCTACACGTGACTACATACGTTTTAGTGGGCCGTAAAATCCTTTTATTTAGGTCTATTTCAATTAAAAAAGTAACTTGCTAATTTTTTTTAATTTTTTTATAAAGTAACTGTAAAATATTTTTATAAATTTATTTTTTTAAATAAAAGATGTTTGTTTTCAGTTTTATTCTAAATTTATTTATTTAAAGATAATTTGATTTTTTAAAAGTTGTGATCAATTACATTATACCGGTTAGGTTTTCTTCTACATTTTTTTTGTTTACCACCTAAGCTCCTATCCCTGCTTTACATTTCAAACATTTATAAACCTTTATATATATATGTATATATAAACCATCACTATCGAAAACCTTCAGTTCATTATTTTTTCGATGTATTTGATAAAATTTTTAATAATATAACAAATCATGGATATTGAGATTTTGAGAGGCGAAACTACGTTAAATACTTCGACAGCACCTCTGGTTCAAACAGCAACACAATCATCGATAGCTTCGGACAATGAAGATGAACAATCTGACACAAATAACAATAGGTTTCAACAGTTTATCTACGATGGAACCAGTGAAAAATCAGCTTTTGATAAATCTTTCAGTGATAAATATCCATCACCACTTGAAAGGAATATTTCACCGGATTTTGATAGTAAGGAACAACTAGGGGATAAGCAGACTGGTTCAAATTCTTTTAATAAGCGAAGAAACCAAGATCCAGAAGATTCGATGCAAAAATTATTGTTTGGAAAAAAAATTAAAGGGAGAAGGGCAAATATATTATCTGAGAAATTAACCGAAAAAAAAGTTCAAACTCGACTTAACCTTGGGCCGAATAGTGATTCTTCTGGAAAGTCCACAGGAAACAAGTTAACGCTCGATTTTATTGATCCTGTGGAAGAACTTGACAAAATTCGAAAAAACTCACCGTTTCTTTATTTTTATGATAGCAAACTTTTCAAAGAAAGCAGCAAACTTCTATTTAAAAATATTTTAAGCCCAGAAGAGGCTGTGAAACGAATAAAACTCGCCAGGTTGCGATTTCCATTTATAAAAATTTCTCGATCTTATTGCGAACGGCAAATAAACAAAACATTACCCGAAATTTATCCAGGTATTTTGTTCAATCAAGACGTCAAAGAGGAAGATGGAAACAAAACCAAGCTTTATTCTCAATTTCGACGCACGCTATATATTGCCGAAAACTCTAATAAGCGAAAGTATTGCTATTTTGAAAGACCTAATGTTACAATGTGCGAGTACGATCACTTACCACCAAGCAGCTTTACTATTCAAGATGTCGAGATTTTGCATGGAGCAGACAAGGAATATTTCGAGTCACAGTTAAAAACCTTGGCTAAAGAGGAAGAAGAAGCAAGAGAATCTAAGCATCGGTTGGAAGAACAAAGAAAAATGGAAGAAGAAACTGAGATTGAAGATTCTGAACCTGAGTATTTTCAACCGCTCTCTTATAATCTCAGCAATTCAGATGATGAAATAGAACCAATCTCATCATCTGTCTATGAGCCAGAACCACTTGTTTGGCCCAAACGAACTAAAACAGAAATTCAAAACATGCAAAGTGATGGCGATATGGTCGAGATTATCGATTACACTTCTGATGTTGAAATTATAGATTGTGCTCCAACTACTCGAATTTCTGTACCAACTAAACAAATAGAAAACAATGCTACTTTAATCGACAGAGACGACGACGAAAGCATTGAAATCATCGAAATACCCGAATCTCCCATGGCTTTTAAAATTGATTCATTATTTTCTGAAAAACAAGTTAATGATTTAATAAAGGCTCAACTAGCTGATGGTTGTGAAACCCAGCATGTACCAGAAGAAGTTGAAGAGGCAAAACAATCCACAAATATTTTACAACAAAAGAGCGTCAATTTGCTAACACAAAAGCAACCATCTAATAACAATCAATTATATCAAAAGAAAAAACGAGACTTCACAAAGATGACGACTATAGAACTACGCAAACAAGTCGACGACTGGGGGTTCAAGCCTTGCCGTTCACGAATGGAGATGATTAAGCTGCTGGACAGCTGTAATGTATATTCTCCTATTCCTGGAAGTGTATTGGCACAAACTATGAGCCGAAAGGAAAATGTTCACTTAGATATAGATCATGGATTTCAGTCAAAATCTTTTAGTGAAGATATGGTTCAGACTATTAAGCAACTACCAAAACATAAAAAAGACTTAGAGAACTTATCAACTGGCGATTTGAAGGAGCTGCTATATATATACGGATTCAAGCCTGTCAAAGGACGTTCACGGATTTTAGAAATTCTTCGAGAATGTTATAATACTAGTGACGCAATTACCACTAGTACCGAGACAACACCTGAGAATTTTGAAAATAACCCGTTAAATAAAACTACAGTTTCAAATATCGATAATAAAGAGTCTAATACCACATTGACTAGTATCGATACTAATACATATCATGAAACTCCAATTGAAGTTTCAATTCCTTACAGCAATATATCGACCAATATTTCTATTTCTAATTTTGGAGAGAAATTTTCTAATGCAGCTTTGATCTCCGATGATTCTTCTAATGTTTCAGCTATACAAGAGAATATAGAGTCTGAGGGCGATACCCATATTAGCACATTAGAAAAAATTCCCACAAAAGAGTTGCGGGAGCTTATTAAACGGTACGGGTTTAAACCTGTACGAAATCGTTCTCGGATGATTGAACTTCTCAAAGACTGTTATGGAAAATCTCCTACTCCAGCTTCTTTTACTGAAGATAAAATTACGTTCAATTCTAACTCAGACAAAGCATTGGATATTGAGATTTCACGCCGTATATCTACAGCATTTTTGACAGAAGATTTTGCAAAGGATATCTGGACAAAAATTTTAACGTATGAGCCGTTGAATTTAGACGAAATATGCGGATTTTTGGAGGAGAAGTTGGGAATGAAGCTTGAACATAAATTTGTGCGCGAATGGTGCGACCAGCATGGTGTTACCACCACTGTTGCCGAAGAACGAACATAGGAACAGTTCTTGTAATAAATTATATAAAATTTCTTCTTTTTTATTTATGAATTTATGATAGCATTTTAAACTGAACTTAAATGATAAAATTAATTAAAGTCTTTTGTTAATTTAAGAATAACTTTGACATGACTGTAAATAATTTCTGAGGGACGCTGTCACATAAGTTTCACCGGAAAGACCGTCGGAGCCGAGGAATTTCCGCGGAAACTTTTGGAAGTTTTTTTTTTTTTTTTTTTTCACTTAGCAGAAGCATAGCAGAAGCTTTGAAGAATCTTGAGCGAACGGTCCTTGATCATCACCAAATCATTCCAAGGCAAGATCAGTCATTCGGATTAGCTGTTTCTTTCTCCGCGGTGTAACGTGCTGTAATTTTTTTTTTTTACAATATTCTATGATGCCTGGCTGCGAACTTCGGAGAAGTCCGCGGGAGTCCATCGGGACTGTAATTTGCACACAGATCCATTTTGGGTTCACGCGTTCTCACGCAAGATGGTGAATGTAAGAGCGGCAAGTGCAAGTTCGGTGATGTGCGTGTATATGGCTGGCTGGTGGCTGCTCTCTTAAAAAGCGGGCATTTTCTCATTTTTTGAATTTAGTTCTTTTTACACAAAACTTTCTTTTCTTACCATATTATCAACTTTTACAGTCTCTACCATCACCATCACCGCCACCACTACCATTTCTAGATAACAATGACAGCATCGGAAACACAACCTTTGCTGCCGACTCACGGACCCGGCCCTCATGTTTCTATAAAAACAAGAAAGAAACGCGCCGGAACACCTTGCACTAGATTTCTCAGCTATATCGTCGTTGGTGCTCTTTTCCTCTTTGTCTTTAATCTCGTTTTCTTCCCGCGCACGTCACTACACCGTGATTGGTTCCGCTTGCATCATGTTTATATGACTGACGCTGATGTCGAAAGAAACCTTTTTGAAGCTGTAACTGATGATGAGTTGCGGTCACTGGCAAAGGAATACACACGCGGCCCTCATCTTGCAGGCAAGGGTCTTGACTTGGTCAACTATACAAAGTCTAAATTTGAAGAGTATGGACTTGACACTGAAGTTACTCCATACTATACTTATCTCAACTATCCTCTCGATCATTCCTTAACTCTTCTTGACACTGACGGATCTGTTGTATATCGCGCTTCTCTTGAAGAAGATGTCCTCAAGGAGGACCCCACAACAGGTCTCAAGGACCGTATTCCCACTTTCCATGGTTACAGTGCTAATGGAAATGTGACTGCTAAGTTTGTTTACGCTAATTATGGTCGAAAGGAAGATTTTGATGCTTTAAAGGCAATTGGTGTTGATGTTGCTGGCAAGATTGTTCTTGTTCGTTACAATCATCTTTTCCGTGGTCTTAAGGTTAAATTTGCTCAAGAGCTTGGTGCTGTTGGTGTTGTTATTTACTCTGATCCTACTGGCGATGCCGGAATTGACTTTACCAATGGATTTGAAGCTTACCCTGAGGGACCCGCAAGAAACCCATCTAGTGTTCAGCGTGGCTCTGTTATGTTCTTATCTTATGCTCCTGGTGATCCTACCACACCAGGGTATCCCAGTACTAGTGATGCAGTTAGACAAGATCCTCACCATGCCATTCCAAGTATTCCTTCTTTGCCCATCTCTTACAAGGATGCATTGCCTTTGCTGAAAGCACTTAATGGTCTTGGTCCTAACGCCACTGAACTTGGTAATGATTGGGACGGCATTCTTAAAGATGTCGATTACAATATTGGTCCTTCCGAGCTTGAACTAAACCTTTACAACCTTCAAAATTACACTACAACACCTATTCATAACGTCATTGGTACTTTTGAGGGCATTTTCCCTGATGAAGTAATTGTTGTTGGAAATCACCGTGACGCATGGATTGCTGGTGGTGCTGGAGACCCTAACAGTGGTACTGCTGTTCTTGTTGCTTTTGCAAAGGCTCTTGGAAAGCTAAAGAAACTGGGCTGGAGACCCTCTCGTACCATTATTCTTGCAAGTTGGGATGGTGAAGAGTACGCACTTCTCGGTTCTACTGAATGGGGCGAAGACAAGGCTAATTTCCTCGGCAGAAAGGCTTTAGCTTATATCAATGTGGATGTTGCTGTCTCAGGAACTAGATTCGAGGCTGCTGCATCTCCATCACTCAATCAGCTTTTGCGTGCTGTTACAGCTCGTGTACCTCACCCTCAAAGTGACGATAAATCACTTTATAAGGTCTGGGAAGAAACTTCTGGTGCCCGTATTGACACACTCGGAACTGGTAGTGATTATACTGTTTTCATTGACCATTTGGGTATTCCTTCGATTGATTTTGGCTTTGGTCCTGGAAAAGATGATCCTATCTACCATTATCACTCCAACTATGATAGTTTCCACTGGATGGATAATTTTGTCAATGACTCCTGGGCATTCCACTCAGCTGCGACCAAGACAATTGGGTTGCTTGCTATCACACTCTCACAGCAAGCTGTTGTCGACCTCCATTTTAAGGATTATAGCACTGTTCTCACAAACGGTTTAGAAGGATTGGTCACCAAGTACGGCGAATTGTTTAACTTGACAGCCTTAGAAAATAAACCTTTTATGATTTCCAACTATGGAGATCGCGATAACAGAAATAGACATGAACAAAACCAGGACAACCGTGATCACGATAGACGTGATAATAATAATAATAATAATAATAATAATAATAATAATAATAATAATAATAATAATAATAATAATAATAATAATAATAATAATAATAATAATAATAATAATAACCGCAACAATCATGATAACCGTGATAATAACAATAACAATAATCACAATAACAACCGCAATGATAATGATAATGACCGTCATCACAACCACAGAAATAAAACACCCAAGACGCCTAAGGAAGCTCTTAACCTTCTTCGTCATGCACTAACCACTTTTGATGAGAAGGCCATTAAAGTCGATGCATACACTAAGTGGCTGCAAAATGAATACGACACCGACTATCCTTGGTGGCGATACTACAAGAAGTTCTCTCTGCTTATCAAAATCCAGCTCCATAATTGGAAGATTGCCTACCTGGAACGCCTGTTTTTGCACCAGGATGGTCTTGATGGTAGAACTTGGTTTAAACATATTTTCTTTGCTCCTAATCGCTATCTGGGTTACGGTGGTGCAGTTTTCCCTGGCCTCTTAGAATCTTTCCAGGATAGCAATCCAGAGAATTTCATTCGTTGGGCCGTTATTAGTCGTGATGCTCTTTACAGAGCTACGGATGTGTTTAGAAGATATTAAACCTCGTTTCTCTCTATTTTTAAAAGCAGATCACATTTTTTTAAGTAATAATTGTATAGTAATGTTTAGTTTTTGTCGTTTTTGTTTGTAATTTGTGTACTATTTGAATCCATACTTATTGTATGAACAATGTTGGAGTGGTATACTACTGCCCGAGACTTGGATCTTATAGCGGTCGAGCAGCCCTAAAACGCACTCCGTTGATTTCCCTGTAAAATGTAGTCCTGATGAGCCGCCAGATCATATATAAAAGCACATAACTATAGTTATAGATCTGACTCATAAATAATATATTCTATATGCCCATAACAATAAGCAGGTGAAGTTTTGTTGAATCAACCAAACAGCTGGTTTAAAGCTTTAATTTTGGTGGTAATTTTTTAAAAATAAAAGTTTTATTTTTTTTTTTAATTTGGTGTTGCAAAAAATTTTTTTGTTTTTATTTTTTTTCCCTTTCCTTTCATCACAACCAACACAAAACAATGGAGCAGCAGCTCACTCTACAGGCCCTGGTGCAGGCTCTTGAAGCCTCAAGCTCGCAAGAAAGCGATACCCTTAGAAAACAAGGTGAGACTCAGCTTGAGTCCTACGAAGCTGCTGAAAACTTTCATTCACTTCTTCAGGTATGTTAATAAATACACGTTAAGGTTTGGGTATACAATTAGATGAAAAAAACAAAAATTAAAAAACCAACTAACGCCAAAATGCCTTAACAGACGGTTTTCATCGACCCCAATATGACTCTTCAAAATCGTTGGATTGCTGCTATTTACTTCAAAAATGATATTTTAAAATATTGGCGCAAATCTTCATCGCGTGTTATATCTGCACAAGAGAAAAATCTGATTAGATCACGAATTTTTGCTCTCACTACCGAAGCCAACAAACAACTTAATTCACAAAATGCTATTGCCACTGCACGTATTGCACGTATCGATTTCCCAGGTCAGTGGCCAACTCTTTTTGAGGATATTGCTCAACTAATTCAAACAGCTTCTGCAAGCAACAATCTGATCCAACTTAGCAATCTGCTTAACATTCTTAAGGAACTCGTCAAAAGTTTTTCCGTTACCCGCTTTGGCGCTGCTAGGACTGCATTTCAGGCTGCTGCATCAGGCATAGTTCAACTAATTGGAAATCTATACATTGCTATCAGTCAATCATGGATGTCCCAAAAGGATAACCTGAGCAATCACCTTGCCCTAATGGAAGTTGGATACCTGGCCCTAAAAATTACAGGGAAAGTTTTTGCTGAAGGCTATCAACGTGTCTACCAAGATCCACAAGCTGCAAAAATTTTTGAAAAAATTACACAGCATTTCCAGGGATATGTCATGGTATACAATACCTTCCAGTCAGACATTATTGCAAAGCATATAAAAGGTCTTGGTAAGATATTTCTTAATATTTTTGAGCGGCAGCCAGTATCGTTTATTTTACTTCCCAGTTCTATGTCCGTTCTCCAAACATACATGTCTATAATGCAGGAAAAAGCGCAAGTGATTCAGTCAATTGGAAACGAAGATGAGGAAGCTGTTTCTGAAGAAGTAGCTGAGTTTTGGGAAAAAACTGTTGTTCAAGGCCTTAAACTTTTTAGCAAACTAATTAACTACGCTTACCATAATGGTTCGGTGTCAATACGCTACCGTTCTGTTGATGATCGCGATGACACCAAAGCTGCACACGCTCTTTTAGAAAAGGACCTTTTTAATGAACAAAATATTCGGGGCATGCTTGGGTTGCTTCTCAATAACTACCTTAAACTTACACCTCGAGATCTTGAGTCTTGGAAAAACGAACCTGAAGAATGGATCGCTGAAGAAATGAAGGAGAACTGGGATTACCAGGCCCGATCATGTGCACAAATGGTTCTTGTCAATATGCTTAAAAACTTTAAGGCTATTGTTTCACCAATTCTGATTGAATTCATTCAAACTACATCGAGTGGAAATGACATTTTGCTTCAAGATGTAGCTTATAATGTTTTTGCGCTTGCTAGCAGTGCACCATTTGAAAATGTGAGCTTTGACCAAATGTTGAACGATGTCTTTTTGCCAAGAGGGTATTCTCAACCAAAACCAAATACCAGCGAAGGTGAATATCTTAAACTTGTGCGCCGACGCATTGCCATAATAATTTCGCAATGGGTGTGCGTCACTGGACAATGCAGCGCTCAAAGTAGGATTAAGATTTATGAGTTTTTACTTTTTTGTCTTAATCCCGAAGACCCTCTTAACGACATTGTTATTAGACTCGAAGCATGCAATGCTCTTAAATTTACGATTGATGAATGGGATGTTAGTATTGATGACTTTTTACCCTTTTTGTCTACATTCCTCACACGTTTATTCACATTTATTTCCACTTCTCTTTCGTCCATGGAATCTAAGGAGATTGTTCTTCAAGTGATTAGTGTAATCATTAATCGAGTAGAGAAGAAGATTGTTCCCTTTTCCGAATTAATTCTCCAAGCACTACCTGCTCTATGGGACGAGTCTGAAAGCCATTATCAAATGCGTTGCGTTATCTTACAAACACTTGCTAATTTTGTGCAAGCAACTTGCGAAAGTTCCACTCAGACATACTCAATCTCTGTTCCCATGCTCAAGGTTTCGGTGGACCCTGAATCTCCGCTCAATACATTTTTGTTTGATGATGCTCTGCCACTTTGGCAAGCCTTAGTTGAATCTGCGCCATCGCCAAACGATGAAATCTTGTCTTTGCTTCCTGGCCTTGTTCAAATTATTAAGCAGAAAACTGAAAATCTTCCAATTGAACTTAAACTTTTAGAGTCATATGTTTTTCTGAGTCCTGAATCGGTTGCAAATCTATCATATGAATTGTTTAAGATTTTTGTCGATTATATTCCTTCTATGAATACTGAATCAATGACATGGGTAACTACAATCCTTAATCTTTTGGCGGCACAACTTCCTCTTGATGCCTATGTTAAACCGTTATATGATACTGGCCTTTTGAATTTACTCGTCACTTCTTTAGCTGCTGCAATTTCTCCTATTACAAATGTTGAAATTTTGTGTTTTTTTTCACGCATGGCTTGTAATGATGTTAACACATTTGTTCAAATGCTTGACGCTACCCAGCTCCCCTCTTTAGAAGTGATTAATGAACTGCGCCAAAAAAACACTTCTCGTTCTTCCTTCATTAATCTTGATGACGATGATAGTGCCTACGCTGTTCCAATCCACATAACGCGTACAGTTGTCAATCCTGACTCTCATTTAACTCATACTCCCAAGTATACTACTGTTCTTGGCCTTGTGATTTCGCAGTGGATTTCGCGGTTTGATAACATGGGTCAACCTCGTGATCGCAAACTTAATGTTCTTGGTACAGCTGCTGTGCTGCGCACAGCGCGACCTGAGTCATGGAGTGTTCTTGCAGATATTTTTGTCATTTGGCAACAATTACTTGACGAGGCAACAGAGACTGATGTTGGTGATGCTGAAATTTATTATTGCTATGACGATTATATGTCTACAAACGAATATCTTACTAGAACAAGTCGCGGTCGTGATCCTGCCGGACCTTCTGGTACAGGTTTAACGCCTGAGCAACAGGAGGAAATTCGGCTGGTACATGAAAACGCATCTCCAGAAACTAAACGCCGACGGCGCCTTCTTGATTCGGACCCGGTTCATTCTATAGTTCTTAAGAACTACCTCAGAGAGTCGTTATTCATGTTTGAAAAGTCCACTAGTTCTGAAACTCTTTCTACAGTCGACCCCGGAATTCTTCAAACTCTTTCTATGGTTCTCGGGCTATCCTAAAAAAAAACATAAGTTTTTTTTTGTTTTTGTTTATTGAAGTTTTAAAAGGGGTAGATAATATAAAAGATAGATTTTATTGATTTTGAAATCAATACTAAAGAAATAATTTTCTTTTTTTTTTTGTAAGTAAAAACACTAAAAACATTTGGGACTTGGTATGTTCAAAGTACGTAGCAGCGTTGTTTAAAAGCATGGTTTCAAAGCTTTGGAATTTCTGGTAATGAAATATGGTAGTTAGTTTGGGAATTTAATAATAATAAGGTGTTTATGAGATAATAATGCAGTAAAAAAACTACAATAAATGTTAATCGAAATAAATAAATTTCTTAAGTTCAAAAAAAAAATTTTTTTTGTCTTAGTAACTTGAAAGTACTAGGGTTGCTAATTTTGTGGCAAAAGAAGTGTGTAACATGGCAAAACGTTAATTTCTATGAAATTCGATTTCAAATATACCTTTTTGCAACAACTGTTGCTATTTCAAAATAGAAAGACTTGCCTTTTCATTGGGTTAGGTATTAATTTCCACCTTAACTTGTACATGCGCGTACTGCTTAAACATATAATTGTTGTGCCTATGGCAAATATCCAGAAAAGAGATCATCACTATTCTGGGTAAAAAAAAATTTTTTTTTTTTTTTTATGTGGCTGTAAGGGAAAGTTAAGTTCTTTTGTTGTTGTTGCTGTTGTTGCTGTTGTTGCTGTTGTTGTATGTTTTAAAGTTGCAAGGGTTAAGGCTAATTCTATAAAATACACTTTCACAGACTAATATTTGCAACGCATGTTGCATTTATCGATTCATAAGGTGGATCTTTCCTTGGGTTAGGTGTATGATTGTTGCAAAGGATTATCATGATGGCTGTAGAGACTGGCAGGTATAAAAGCTTTGGGTGAAATTAGTGGGACGAACAAAAAAATATTTTGAAAAAAGAAAAAAAAAAACTTTTAGTGCTTGAAAATTGGCCAGCTTACAACGTACTGGCAATAGACCGGGGAGTATTTTTTTAAGCTGCTAAACTGTTTAGATTTTGAAAATACTAACAATCCATCAATAAGAAAGGAAATTATCAATCAAAATTTTGTAAGCTTGAGTTTAAAGAAAACAATTTCCTTAATAATTTAATATCATTTATATGGATGTCTATATATCGAAATAAAAAATTTAATTCTTTTTTCATATTTTGTTAAAGAAGCATTCTTTGTTTTCTCTTTTAAGCTCATTATTCGTTACTTTCTTATTATGCGTAGAAATCGCGATTTCTTAGTGTCGCCTGGAGAGCTTTTTCCTGATGCTCTTGCTGTGCGCGCAGCGCTCGCAACACACCATCCAAGCTAGTCTCTAACGCAGTAACCACGTCATTACGGTCCCAAGAAAGACGATGTTGCCATGCAATATCAGTCAGTGTAGAGCTAAGTTGTTCCAGACGTTCTACTGATAAACCCGCTGTCGAATTTACCAACTTCTTGACAAATGCAGCTACCCGTGCCTCATCAAGTATAAGCTCAGGTTCAGGTTCAGGTTCAGGTTCAAGCTCTTTTTTTTCTTTATCTTCTTCTTCCGTAACAACTGGAGTCGTCTTTTCGGCAAGTTCAATTGACCCATTAGAAGCAGAAGACCCATTAACATTAACACTTGTAGCAGTATCATTCACATTATGCTTAAAGGAGTCTGCCTCAGTGATTTTTGGAATAAGTGGTGGAACATCGACATTACCAATTGGAGACGATGCACGTTGAACTTGACTGTTAAGTTCCTTATCCAAATTTTTGGCAGTTTCAAGTGAAATTTTTCCTGGAAGAGATGGAGTTAACTCTCTAACATCAGCACTAGGAACACTATTAATTCCCGATTCCGTAACACTAGGCTCAATGGGAGCATCAGGCAAAGACACATCACCATCAATAACCATTCCAGTATCAAACTCAGGTTCATCACCATCAACTCGAACCACTTGTAATGAAGTGGTACCATCAACAGTCATTGCAGTAGCAATCTGGGATGTGGTGTTTGTTCGTAAATGTGGGTCATCTTCAATATTCAGTGGCTGGTCACTAGACCCATCAGCTGGTTGGCCGGAAGAATCGCCTCTATTCTCAGCTTCTTTTTCCAAAAGCTGTCTCTTTTCACGTTTTTTGCGAAGATAAAGCTCATGACAGTCAGCAACAAATTGAGCATCTTTGTTGATATCGTCAATAAAGACCTCCACATTGGTAAGCATCTCAGATGCTTTAAGAATGCGCTCGCGGTCTCCAGATGTGATGCAATCTTGATGAATCATCCGGAAGTCTTTTAAGAACTGGCGAGGCTCTAAATAATAACCATTCCAGATTCGTTCCTCAATGACATCAAGATCCATATTATAATAGACTCTTCCTGTAGAAACCTCTAAAATACGGTCATCGTTTGTCTTGAGATACTGGGGCGGAACTGTGCTCAAGGCAGCATACTGTGGCTCAAACAAGTGTATCAGGTATTGTTCCTCAATTATAGGCTTTCGGAAACGCTTGTATCGATTCTTCATAAGATCCATCAAAGAGCTGAATCTAATCTTGAGCGTGTTTGTAAGTTGCAAATCTTTGCGATGCTTGCGTTCTATCTCTTCCTCAGTAAGTGGCTTGATAGGTTCTTCAGGAGCTTCCGGAAGTACTTCAAGTTTTCGCTTCTTTTGTTTTTCAGGGAAATCTGATGGTTTGCATTTGAGATAGTTTGTCAAGTTCTCGAAAAACTTTTCACGTGCAGAAGGTGTTATGGGCTCGATATATTGAACATTTTCTGACGAATATCCAAATAACTCTTGAATGCGAGGATCAATTTCCTCTTCATCGGATTCTAACAGACCCAAAACTAAAACAGCATCAGTGGGGTTAAGATTACGCAAGAATCCAAAAAAGGCAGAAACAGCAGCAGGACTGAGAGTAGAAAACCAAGTGTCAATATTGGGAATAAAAATGACACTAGGAGTATGACGCTTGATTTCAATCAAAAGTTGAATCGTCATTGCCTCTGGCGTGCGAGAAGAATCACTAAATAAAGTTCCCAAATCAAAAGGCTGGACATGAAATCCTTCTAGATGATGCAGCGCAGCCGAACCCAAATATTGCTGACCCATTCCAGACCCACTACGAATGAGCAACCGAGGACGAAAGATCCGTGATGTTTTAAACTCCTTGAGAGCTTGTTGACGAGCAAACCCGCCATCAACTAGAGAATTATCATCAACACTTCCTTCATATAAAGCTTCTTCAAGTGGTGGAAGTTTTTTGCTGCGAGGAATAATGCGGTCTAACTTTTCTTTGATCAAGTCTAAAGTATTAGATAATAAGGGGTCAATATGCTTAGGAAGAGGAGAAGCTAATGATGATGTAGAGCGGGCTGAAGATGGAATGATTTTATCGACAGCTCGCAAAAAGTCACGCGCACTAACTTGGATGGATGATGGATCGACTAATAGTTTTTTAGTGGACTGATATATTTGGGGGTATCGTCGCTGAATAGCAGTAAGAGCTGCTTCAGTGCAAAGGGCTCGAAGGTCGGCACCACCATAACCCTTTGTCACTCGAGCAATGTGCTCAATAAATTTGGCATCAAGTGGAGGGTCCCACTTTCGTGTATGAATAGAAATAATTTCCTTGCGAGCATCGAACTCCGGTAATGGGAAGTAAAACTCGCGATCGAAACGACCTGGACGCCGCAGTGCAGGGTCAACAGAATCTGGACGATTAGTCGCACCAATGACAATTACTTGACCACGATTGTCCATGCCGTCCATGAGTGCAAGTAATGTCGAAACAATGGAAGCGTGGATTTGTTCCTGTTTTGACGAACGAACTGGCGCGAGACCATCAATTTCATCAAAGAAAATGATGCTCGGTTGTTTGTTTTTGGCTTCTTCAAAAAGAAGACGAAGTTGCCGTTCAGCTTCGCCAACCCATTTTGATAAGCAATCTGCACCTTTTCTCATAAAAAAAGTCACCTTTCGGTCTTCAGTTGAAAAACTAGCAGCCAAGGCACGAGCCATTAACGTCTTACCAGTACCAGGGGGGCCATGAAATAAAACACCTCTAGGTGGAGTAATTCCAAAACGCTTATAAACTTCAGGGTACATTAACGGTAAGGATACCATTTCTTTAAGCTGATTAACATAGTGATCAAGACCACCAACAGCAGAAAAATCAATATTCATATCAACACCAAGAGGATCAGAATCAGAAAGTGATGTCTTGCCTCGGGTTGTTACACCTGTGGATGCGCCAGTGATAGCATTTGTTGGTTTGCGCAACTCATCATCAGAAGACTCAGTATCACGAACACCTCCTGCAGCAGTAGGTGCTGCGTTCCCTCCAGCACCAATAAGAGTAGGGACATTAGCATTGCTGAAGACAGAAAGAAGATCATTGCCTCCAAAGGGACCACCAGTAGGGAAAAGCCGTTTGATTTGAGCACCTCGTCGTCTCGATGTAGTTGATGAAGAAGCAACAGCGGATACAGAAATGTCCTTCAAAGGCTCTTCATAAGGACCGTCTAGGGGCGGCGGAGGAAGGATCTGATAATTAATTTCTTTTCTTGCCCGAAGATGTTTACGCCGTGGAATTGGCGATACAGAACCTTTAAGGTCCGCTAATTCTTGTAAAAGTTCATCATCATTATTATTGCGTCCACGAGTACGTCTTGGGCCGATATTGAAGTCATCGTCATCATCATCATTGTTTGCATGCTTACTGCTGCGAGTATTACGGGTTGATGTTCTAGCACTGTGGTTTCGTAACTTCCGGGTACTTCGTCGAGTTTTTTTGCCATAAGCACGGCCATATTCATCATCGTCATCAGAAGCAACGAAATTGTCGTCTTCTTCAGGTTCTTCAGCTGCAGCTGACTCTATTTCTGAGTCGCTTTCACTGTTTTCATCGGCATTGTATTCTTCTTCATCAGTGACTTGAGTAGCACGATGGCTTCGAGTTCGAGTAGCTGGCGCTTTTTTGGCGGTTGGTGGGGGATCTCTGGTTTGGTTTGGTTCTTCTTCTTGTTCTTGTTCTTGTTCTTCTTCGTCATCAAAAATAGATTTTTTGGACAACTTTCGTCTTTGTGATTGTGCAGGTGCACTCTCATCTTCGTCAAAAAAAGCGTTACTGCGAGATTTAGCCCTTCTGCGATTACGAAGATTAATTATACTGTCATCATCTTCCTCTTCTTCTTCGTCATTGATTTTAATATCTTTAGTCTCGTCACCTAAAGTAAGACAAAAAAATAAATGTTAAAAAAAATAACTGAATATAATTGATTTATCCATGCCTTTATCTTGCTCATCATCACCATCCTCTTGGTCCGGTGCTTCTGATGATCTAGCCGTACCTGATCTAAGTTTAAGTGTAACAGTAAATGACTTGTTGCTAGGGTCAGATCCTGGTAAATCTTCCGGAGTAGAATGAGCGGAGCCATTTGGAGCAACGCCATTTTGATTGGGGATTATGTCGTCATCACCTGCAGAAGCTTCATCATGATCAGTTGTGTCTTCAGGGTGATGATTACCGTTACCGTTAGTAGTTGGTGTTGTTAACGATGGGTCGAAAATGTTTGTACTAGTATCAGGTTCCACTTTGTCAGATCTCTTGGGACGTTTGCTGGGTCTGCGCTTTGATGGCAAAAAATCGGATCCATCTGAGTTATCATTGTTATTATCTTCTTTTTCTTCTTCTTCCTCGTCCTCTTCTTCTTCTTCTTCTTCTTCATCTTCTAGATTTCGTTTTGGAGTATCTTCGCTAGAGTTGTAGTCATCGTCATCAGACAGTTCTTTATAGTTTGTTTGTTTCTTTGCACGGGAAGCTCTACTTGACGTATTAAATGCATAATCATCCGTGGAGTTGACATTGTCACTGTGTCCTCGCTTTCGCTTGGATACCATGGTGAAAAAAAATGCTCGATTTATAAAAAAAAAAAATTAGAACAGAAGAAATAATTTACAGTAAATAATGGGTATTTTTATAGCTTTGAATCAGAGCTTTGTCAAAAATTGCAAAGTTGGGTTGGTGGTGAGGAATAGAATTTAGATTTAAACTTGAAAAAAAAATACACGGTGTTAGTGAAGAAAACCCCTCTATTACTTAAGAAATGATTAATATGTGACAGATTTTCTTGTAATATAAACAATAAATTATGTAATGTTTTTAAAAATATTATGTAATTTGGACCATTCATTCCAATATATGCTGTCGCCAAATGCTGTTTTTGTCCCATTTTGACTTGCAAAAAAAAAAAAAATTACCAGCTGGTTATCGCTGCCGAGCGATGAGCTTGATCTGCCCAGCGAAAAAAAAAAAAAAAAAATTAAGTATTTAGTGGGGAATAAAATCTGGGGTAATCCTGATTTGGGTTTTGGATTTGGCACGTATTTGAGCACTATTTTGAAATTAATATGAACGAGTCTTTTGGCCATTTTTTCACTTTTATGTTTTTATTAAAATAAACATAGATAGCCTTAATTTAACGGTTTCATTACAGGGAATGGCTGATTTCATTGTTAAGAAAAAGGATTTCAAATTGATTTTAATTATTTTTCTTTTTTTTTATTCTTTGGAGACTTGATATTTTGTGGTCCCCTCACACTCCCACGCAAAAAAAACAACCTGCCACTCACAAATTTCCACCTCGAGTTTTTTTTTTTTTTTTTTTTTTGTTTTAGCAGCCCGTTTTGCTTTCCGCCTGATGTTTAAACCTTGTATGACATTACATTATTATGTAATTGTAATATATTGTTACCCTGACGTAAATCAATGCACGTGATTTTAACGTACTGTGCAGGCGACGTATCCTAATTGAAAAATACTAAAGGGAAAAAATAAAATGCTCTGTAAGCATTAAATTGATTCCTGGCAACGACTGTGAAGAATATTGTGAAATCTTCGTGCACAAAGCATCATCAACATAATAGGAACATCCCCTTCAAAAAAAAAAAAAAAAACTTCATTTTCATGCCGAAATAAACTTGAAGCGTTTATCAGTAGCATATAAATACTTTTGTTTTAATTTATTTTTTTTTATTTATTTCTTCTTTTTCCTTCATACTCCAGCATTCATACTCTCTTCTAATTCTCACAAATGTTTGAATTATTTGAAATATTTACTACAGGTGGAATCGTCCTGTGGTCCAACACCAAAGCCAGCAGCCATCATCCTGCAATTGATGGCTTGATATCCGATGTCCTGATTAGTGAAAAATCAGCACCCGGATCATCTGCTGATATTGATGACATTTACCGCATTGATACCCATACCGTTCGTTTTTCACGAGTCAATAACCTTGGTGTTATTTTTGTCTGTGTATACCAATCCATCCTCCAACTCACATACGCTGAAGAGCTCGTCGCCAATGTTAAAGCTATTTTTCTTTCCCTTTTCAAATCACAGATATTACAAAGTATTGAACACGGTGATCCGTATCCACAGCTTTCGGACTTTACGAAATTTAACAACTATTTTGATTCCCGCGTGGCTGAGTTTGAGCAACTTGAAGCCCAAAAACGGAAATCTGTAGCCCAACCAAAGTTAGAGCCTATTGAAAAGTCTCTTCCTACATTATCATCTCCAGCCGAATTAAAAAAAGTCGCAGTTATTTCACCCTTTGAATCATCAGATGATGAAGATACACCCAATACAGACACATCTACCCCAGTAGGATTTCCACCAGGGGCCAAGAAGAAATCTAAAAGAGGAGGCAAAAATAAAAACAAGAATAAAAGTTCTTTAACAGGAGCTGGTGCAGCCGGTGCAGCTGATTCGAAAAAGAAACCTGTCAAGAAGATGCGCAAGTGGGGTGCTAATGGATTGGCAGAAGAGATTGATGATGAAAGCGACGATGTTTTGGATTTTTCGAGTAATAAACCTAGCAAAAATGCATCTGTGGATAATGATGCTTCCATTGACATGAGTTATGGCAAGGAGAATAGCCAGGGTAATTTTGTGGTCAAGAGTCTTGCAGAAGACATGCCTGAGCTGTTAGACGATGATGAGGATGAGGATGAAGAGGCAGACAATGAGTCAAGTGCCAGCAAGTTTTCATTTGGATTTTTAAAGAACATTGTTGGAGGCAAAACAATGACCCAAGATGAATTAGACAAGACCCTTGATGCCACCCGCACACACTTGATGGAGAAGAACGTTGCTCCTGAAGTTGCTGACGGTCTTTGCGAAACAGTAAAGACAACACTGCTAGGATCTAAGACAAAGAACTGGACCTCGATACAAGCCACAGTCAAGTCAGCAATGACGGATGCTCTGCGACGAGTGCTGACTCCAAATTCATCCGAAGACTTGCTTTTTGAGATTCGCAAGAAGGAAAGAGAAAACAAGTCATCTGTTAGCCAATATAACCCCTATGTGATTTCTGTCGTTGGTGTTAATGGTGTGGGCAAGTCGACCAATTTGTCCAAGATTGCCTTTTGGCTTCTACAGAATCGGTTTAAAGTTTTGATTGCAGCCTGCGATACGTTTCGCTCAGGAGCTGTTGAACAGCTACGAGTGCATGTCGACCGACTGCGAGAGTTGACAGAGCGCAACAATGCCGGGAAAATTGACATGTTTGAGGAGGGCTACGGTAAAGATGCAGCGGTTACTGCTCAGCATGCTATTGAATATGGTCGCAAAAACCGATACGATGTTGTTTTGATTGATACTGCTGGTCGACGTCACAATGACGACCGACTCATGTCGTCGCTCGAGAAGTTTGGCAAGCTTGCAAACCCAGACAAAATTGTAATGGTTGGCGAGGCGCTTGTTGGCACTGACTCTGTGCAACAGGCTCGCAACTTTAACAATGCTTTTGGACCTAACCGAAACTTGGATTTTTTCCTTATTTCCAAGTGCGATACTGTTGGAGAGATGGTTGGTTCACTGGTCAATATGACATATTCCACTGGCATTCCTGTTTTGTTTGTGGGTACAGGCCAAAACTACACAGATTTGCGAACACTCTCTGTTGATTGGGCTGTGCAACTCCTAATGAAGTAGTTATATACACATATTTTTTGTTATCACATTAAGATATTTGTCAATGAAAAGTATATAGTTTTGTTATGTATTTTAAAAGTTGAATTGAGTTATTGTTGTTTTGATTGATTTTTATTAACAATTGAAAAATAAAAATTTAGGCCAATAGCCGTAATTATCAGTCACGTGAAGTCTTTCTCTTCCCGGGAAAACTTTAATGTTGCACACCCCGAAATTTTCTTGTTTCTCCTTTTTCACTGATCATCTATAGATAAAATAGAATAGACAATAGACCAAACGATGCTCAGAAATCAGATCCAGCCAAAGAGCTATTGCCAGCTTATCTCTTCTGGTGCCTTTTTGCGTCAGCGTGGAGGAATGCGGCATCAATACGGCACCAGCGCCGTAGGAGCAGCAGTAGGAGCAGTAAAAACAACCGCCGCCACCCTGGCCCAACGTTATTCTTACTCCACATCTTTTTATTCCTCTTCTTCTTCTTCCTCTTCTTCTTTTTCTTCTTCTTTCACCACTACCACCAAATCTATTTCCCCCTCCAAATCATATCTCAAACCACGATTTTCTTTTCAATCTCAAAATTTTTCTACCATGGCTCCTGCTGCTCACTACTACGCTGATACTAAAGCCCCTATCACGCCGCTTGAGGTCAAACATCACTTTGAGCTGCTCGCTGATAATGATAAGCACTATGCTCACCACATGAGCCGAGCCTCACACTTTGGCACACGCGTTGTTTTGCGTCAAGTTAGCCCTGAAAGCGAGACTATCTACGACATTATTTTGTCGCTGCATGCCACTGTTAAGGGTATCTATGATGAGACCACTCTCAAGGATGCGTCAGCACAAGATGTGCAGTACTACCTGGAGTATGCATCTCAGTTTCTGTCAAACCTGGGTAACTATAAGTCGTTTGGCGACGTTAAATTTGTTCCTCGACTTACTCCTGAGGCCTTTAAGAGTATTGTAAGTGTTGATTCCAAGGCATTGGAGTTGTACAATACGGTTGAAAAGGCCATTTTCTCTACAGAACCCGAGGCCGCCAACTTGTTGGGATACGCCGATAAGGGTCACGTTACCTCTTATTACTCTCCTAACGTCACAAAGGAAGAAATTGACACCATTCAGGGTGCTTTGGCGGCTAAGGGCGTGCTTCCTGAAAATACCCGCTTGTTTAAAGATGAGAAGGGATTCAAGCTACTGATTGCTTCAGCCAATACTTTTGCTGATTCTGAAGATAAGACCATCCCTCATGAGAGCATTGAGCTTCCAAACGGTCTGGGCACCTTGGAATTTGTTTATGGCGACCATAGTAAGGAGTTTGCCAAGATTGTAGAAGAGATGGAGGGAGCTCTTAAGTACGCTGCTAACGAAACTCAGGAGAAAATGCTTAAAGCATATATTCAATCTTTCAAGACTGGTTCTATGGAAGAACACAAGGAATCTCAAAAGTACTGGGTCAAGGACATTGGTCCCAAGGTTGAAACCAATATTGGATTCATTGAAACTTACCGTGATCCTGCTGGTATTCGTGGTGAATGGGAGGGACTTGTTGCCATGATTAATACTGAGCGCACCAAGAAATTTTCTGAGCTTGTGGAGAAGGCTAAGGATTACATTGGACAACTTCCTTGGCCTAAGGCGTTTGAAAAGGATGTTTTTACACCCCCTGACTTTACCTCTTTGGAGGTGCTGACATTTGCTGGGTCTGGTATTCCTGCAGGTATCAACATTCCTAACTATGACGATGTTCGTTTGAATGTTGGTTTCAAGAATGTTTCTCTTGGTAACGTACTTTCTGCCAAGGCTCCTAACGAGAAGACTACATTTTTGAAGCCCGAGGATGCTCCTTTGCATGACAAGCTTCGAGGACCTTCGTTTGAAGTTCAAGTTGGTATTCATGAGCTTTTGGGTCATGGTACTGGTAAGCTTTTGAGTGAAAACAGTGATGGAACTTTCAACTTTGACAAGGAGAATCCTCCCATTTCTCCCATTACTGGTAAGCCTGTGACTACATACTACAAGAAGGGTGAGACCTGGGGTAGTGTGTTTGGATCTCTTGCCGGGTCCTACGAGGAATGCCGTGCAGAGACAGTTGCCATGTACTTGGCGACTGACAAGTCTTTGTTGAAAATTTTTGGACATGGTGAGACTGGAGAAGAGAATGCCGATGATGTTTTGTACATTGCGTACTTGATGATGGCTCGCGCGGGTCTTCTCGGGTTAGAGTTTTGGGACCCGATTACCAAGAAGTGGGGTCAGCCGCACATGCAAGCTCGATTTTCGATTCTCAAGTGCTTTTTGAATGCTGGGGAAGACTTTGTAAAACTTGAGACTAGCAAGGAGGATTATTCTGATTTGGTAATTTCTCTTGACCGCAGCAAGATTCTGAGTGTTGGTAAGAAGGCAGTTGGTGATTACTTGCAAAAGCTACACATTTATAAGACGACTGCGGACTATGCCAATGGATCTGCGCTGTACAATGAGATGACAGAAGTTGGTCCTGAACTTGCCAAGTTCCGGGACATTGTGATCAAGTCCAAGTTGCCTCGCAAGCAGTTTGTTCAGGCTAATACCGTGATTGAGGATGGCAAGGTTGTGTTTAAGGAGTACGAGTCGACTCCTGTGGGTATGATTGAGAGTTTTGCTGCTCGTGCAGTTTAAAAGAAGAAGAAGAAGAAGAAGAAGAAGAAAAAAAAAAGGGATTTGGAGAAAGAGAGAAGGATTATCCTTCTAAATAATGTAAAGTTAATGTATATTTTTGAAATTAGTGTGGTAAATGTATAAATCTTCACAGCTATTTTTTGACCCATCATCACAGACATGTCAGAACTCGACTCATCACCAAGCCCCAGGCTTTTCCCCCATCTTGATCAATATTTACACAAAAGTTCTATACTTTAAACTATCTGAGATACTGAACATTCAAATTTCCAGCTTCGTAAACAACGTGACAATCTATTTCCAGAACTACACATCAAACTGGAAAAGCCTATCCCGGAAATTAACCTACTGTTTCCACGACCCCATAAGAATACAATAACACACAAAGACGACGCAGTTAAAACTTAGCTTTTGAAAAACAAGGTCAGCAACTGTCAAAAAAAAAAAAAAAAAAAATTGAACAGAGTGAATCAGCCAATTTTAAATTGGCACGACTTTTTCCTCAAGGCGCAGTATCTTTATCTAATGGCAGTTAATAAGTCTGCAAATAGTTCCCATTAAAACTGGTACAAAAGTTGCTGCCCAAAAAAATTAAAATAAAAATAAAGCAGAACTCGACAACAGCAAACTACGACTTTAGATGATCATATAAATGAAAACAAGACATGAATTTTGTATTATGTAGACATGAGGAAGATATGAATTACAATCTAAAAAGTATCTATTTTTGGAGTTATTATCTACACAAGGGGAATCAAAAGGAGTGTATGAAATCAACTAAGTTAATAACTATGATCGATTAGTAAACTTTTAACATTTTAAATATAACTGGTGATGCATTTTTTTTAAACAGCATAAAAGAGATCAATGTCATTCATTAATTGGATAAACATATAGATTTTTTGTTTTCTGGTATACTATTTGATTTTGATATGACAGAGCATCAACGTTTTGTGAAATTGATGTTAATTGGCAGAGTCTTGTACTACTTGAGGGGACAGGAGGAGGAGGGGGGGAGGTCAGTGGTTAAAAGGTGCTATTACAAACAGGGTAGTTAAAGAAACCATAAAAGAGTATTTGGCATCATCACATGACAAAATAAGGGTGCCTCGAGGTACTTTGACCACTACTTTAATTACGGCACGAATATATGGATTTTTTTTTTTATTTAAATATTATTTGAATATATATGAATATTCTATTATTAGGTCGATATTATTAGGGGATTACCAAAGGAGAGAGGCAGTTTGGTTAAACAAAAGACGGTTCTAACAATAGTTATATAATGATTGCTACTACTACAGTTGTTACACATGGAACTGACAAAGACCATTCTGCAACTGGTGCAACAAGTAAGAATATAAAAAATAAAAAATAAAAATAAAAATAAAAGGTGTAAGTTTTTTTTTTTTTTTTTAGACTTCATCAAACTGAATAAATGGCTCAGTGGATTCTTATAAAGTGATAGTTCATATTATCATACATAAGGAAATTCTTAATTGAGAAAAATGATATATAAGATGTATTTTTTAGTACAATTGTACAAATGGTTTTAAGAGATTCTTAATTGACAAAGTACTTTAAGAATTGACTAACGACTAACGTTCTCTCTCTTCTTTCTTTTTCTTTTGTTATTTATAGTTTATAATTTTTTTTTTTTTTTTTTTTTTTTGGTTTATTAAAAGGGAGGAAAGGTCAAAACTAAGCACTGTGGAAAGTCTTTATTTTTTAAAGAAAAATCTGTTGTCTATGAAATATTTTGAAACGAATAAATTTCTTTTGTCAATTCTGTTTTAAGGTTTTTTTTTTCAAGCTATTTAATATATATATATATATATATAGTGACTAGTCAATTACTAGTCTAACTTGGACTATTATTACTGATAGTTAGATAGAGAGGCCTTGATTTCATTCTAATATTGAAATATATCATGTAGAATTAAATATTGTCGTCGAATGGAGGTACATTTATTTAGAAAAATATTTATAAATACTGTTGCCTGATTTTTCATGAATCTACGTTGATTATGAAAAAAAAAAAATGAAAAAACTTGAGATTTGTAACAAAATGGTCAAACTAATTGGTAGAGATGTTAATTATCATAATAATTATGGTAATTATATATGACTTTACTTACTGCTTGTATATGTATTTATTTGGTCTGCGACTTTTTTTTTTGTTTTGTTTCTACTAGACAGACAGTACTGTCTGGAAATGTGTTTTTAACTATTCCGAACAATAACTTTTAATTTTTATTATTATTATTACTAAGTTATTACACATCGTTTAGTACCTTTATTTTATTTTATTTTATTTGTATTTGTATTTGTATTTGTATTTCTTTTTTTCTATTCTGCAACGTATACTCGATTTTTGAATATTCTAAATGAATCTCGCTTAATGAAATGTTTTTGAAATGATTATTTTCTCATATTGAATTGGTATTAAAATAATACAAAAAGTATATATTTATTATTATTTGTAAATGAATTATTCTAATAAAAAATTATGGTTTTTATTTTCTCAAAACTAGCCGTTTAATACCATGAAATTTTTTCTTTTTAACGTAAGAAAATATATATATATATACTTCATTCAACGATTAATATTAGAAGAAAAGTTATAAATTACAAAAAAAATGTCTGTCATCTTTTTTTCTCTTCAAAAGGGTCAACGACGCCTTTCAAAAGTTCCATTATTATGATAGAGGCTTTAAATGTTTTTTCAATGATTTTTTTGTATTTTTTTTTTTTCTTTCTCTCCATCTTTTTTTTTTTTTACTCCCCTGTGCTTCAAGAATGCAAATCCCTTTTGTTTGAAGAGCGCGCTGCTCCTTTTTTTTTTTTTTTTTTTTATTATTATTAAAATTTCTATGATGTAATGAAACAAATCTCTTTCGTTAGTATTTTACCCGTTAAAACTTGAAAGAAAAAAAAAAACTTGAGATTTTAAATATTTACATTCAAATGACCATAATTCTTTAATTTTGTAAAGTTTTTTTTTTTTAATAATAATGATTAACTGTTGAAAGGGTTTTCTCTCTTTTTAAAGTCCAAAATCTTGAAAAAGTTCCGAGGCAAATATTTTTACTAATTTAATTTTAAGACGCGTTAAATAAATAAATAAATAAATAAATAAATAAAAAACGCGTTAATGCATTTCTATGGAGAAAAAATAAAATAAAATAAAATACGTAAAATAAAAAAGACCCACTTATTTAACATTACACGTAAAACAACAGCATCACTTTTTTAACGTGTGTCATTCAATACCATCCCATTGTTTAGCCACTCGTGTTTACTAAAATGGTTAACGTCAACATCATGATGAAAAAGAAAGACCTGCGCCACTAAACTACCTACAATAATAATAATAATAATTATTATAATAAAAAAAAAGTCCTTGTTCCAGGTATTTGGAGGAAGAGAAGAATCAATTTAAAAAAAATAAAATAAAATAAAAAAATGGAGAAACCAATTTGATATGCCCAACTTTAATATTAAAAAAAAAAAAAAAAAAAAAAAACTTCTAAAAAAAATTCATTGGGATTTTTAACATATTAAAGTGGAGATATATATTCTTAAAAAAAAAAAAAAAAAGGTTCATTGATTAATAATTTCAAAATGATAAAAATTCCTTGGCCTGGAATGCTTTACTTGTAAATTAATTCTTCCATCTCAATTCCCAAAAAAAAAAAACAATTAAAACTCCGCCCTTTTTCACTTAAAAAGCTTATTTTCATATTTACATTCTCTGGAAAAGACAAATTATTTTAAAATAAATAAACAAAAAAACTCTCCAAAACTCTTTTTGTTTCTCCGCTTTCCTTAAAAAGCATTTTCGCATAAAACTCTGCAATAGGTTCCTTATTATTTATTTTTTGTTATTTGTTTTTTAAAAATCTAAAGTCATGTATTTCAATAATTTATGTATTGTGAAAATGTATAAGAAAAAGTTTATATATATACCCAAAGGAAGACAAAAAAGTCTTTTCTTCCCCAATTTAATAATTTTCATAAGCCCATTTTAAAATTGTCGTAATCATTTGTAATTTTTTTTTTCTAAAAAAAAAAAATCTAATTCATCATATTCGTAACAGTTTTTTATTTTATTTTAATTTTTATTCGTCGTTTACTTTCGCTTGTTGGCAAAAACGTTTTCAGTAAAGTATCCGATAACGTTACCAGCAGGATAGTATTCGCAAACAAGGAAAGATCCGCTAGAACCACAGTCATAAGTGGCACAGCCAAGAGCAGTGGTGCTAGTCCAAACAATCTGAGTAAAGTGACCAGTAGAAGAAGAGTACTGACCAGAAGAGTAGTCGTAAAGATCTTCCTCATTGTACCAAGCAGCAATGGCATCAGAAGCAGAAGAATAGCCCATGGCAATGTTCTCACCGTAAGGGCCACCAGAGTGAGCAAAGACACAGTTCTGGCCATTCAGATAGTTTTGGGCGTAATCAGAAAGAGTCGAGTTCCATGTAAGATCAGGAGCAGAGTGAAGAGCACGGTACTTGTTATGGGTAGAAAGACACTCAGAAGCAAAGCTGTCGAGATTGGTGCTAGAGCCAGTGTCGGAAGCAACTGCAGCAGCTGTAGAAGTAGAAGAGGGAGTAGAAGAAGTGGTGGTAGGAACAACAACGGGTGTTGAAGTGGTTGTGGGAACGACAACAGGAGTTGAAGAAGTGGTGGGAACAACAACGACTGAAGAAGTTGAAAAAGTTGAGGGAACAACAACGACTGAAGAAGTTGAGGGAGAAGGAACAGCAGCAGCGCTGGAAGAAAGGGTGACAAATGACGAAGGAACATAGACTTGCGATGTAGAAGAAGCCTGGACACCATTGGCCGAGCTATGGGAGTGAATATGGTTCCAAGCACCGGCAGAGTTGGGGGTAGCGACTGAGGCGGTGGAAGAAGCTGTTTCGGCAGCAGCGGCGGTAGCGGTAGAAGGAGACTGAAGAGTAACAATGTTACCATTCTGGTCAACAACAACAGTCTTTTCAACAACAACAGTTTGAACAAGAACATTGTTATCGGCATTGGCAGCATTGTCATAAACCTCAGCAGCTTGGGTGGTGAAAGTGTTGGAAGCCTGAGTCACAGTCTGTTGGGGGTTGCCGTAAACAGTGACGGTTTGAACATTTTGAGGGCTGGGAGCGGCCGAAGCAAGGGCGGCCAAAAAGGCAGAGACTGATGCAGTTGAGAACTTCATTGTGAATAGGGAATGTATGCTGGATATATATATATATATATATATAAAACTTTGGAGAAAAGACAAGAAACTGAAAGGAGAGTGTGATATAGACAAATCGAAAGAAAGAAAGAAAAAATCAAATAAGAAGAAAAAAGGAACGGAACAAATATAGACCAGCTATATTAGATAAAATTGATTTTTTTTTAAGGAAAGTAGATTGAACGGAGTCTAGATGAAAAGCTTCGTGTAAAGAAAGGAAGAAAAAGAAAAGGAAGAAGAAATCTTTTAAAAATTGAGGGAATCTCCGCTCTATTTATATCATAGGAAAGGAGGTTTGGCCAAGAGTACTCTGTACATTAATATTTGATATTTAACAAGGCTGATTAAAAAAATATAATAAATTTGAAATAATAAAAGACTTTTATTGATGGTCATTCATTTATTTTTTTTTTCAATAAAAAAGAAAAAAAGAAAAAAAGAAAAAAAGAAATTATGTAAGAGAATGCCGCAGATAACCAAATTGGGGTGACAACGACAGCTGCCTTTAGGAGCCATGCTGGGACACACGCGTAGAATTACATAAGCAGTTTTTTTTTTTTTTCTCTTTTAAAAAAACAAAATAAAGAAACTCCGCCGCGACTTTTTTTTTTTTTTTTTTTTTTTTTTTTCGCTAAATTTTTAAATGGAAAAAAAAAAAAAAAATTATCTGCACACGCTGAAAAAGCTTAAAACTTAGGCGTTTTCACATTTACGCTGGAATTCTCAAATCTGCGGCCCTTTTAATATTTTTTTTTTCATATCACCAGGTATATTTGATTATTATCAGAGTGAAGTTGAAATAATTTCTATGCTTACCTCTTCTACTCCAAAATATATAAATATATAAATATATATATATATATATATTTATATAAAGTAAGAAGTAAGAAGTAAGAAGTAAGAAGTAAAATAAAAAGGTCTCACACTTGCTTGGTATCAAAAGTTACCAAGAAATAACAAGAAACCCGCGAATCTGAGCGAACAAGCAAGGACTGGTGCATGTGTGTTTTGAAATAAGGAAATGTTTGGGCGGTTGGGCAAAATGTTTGTCACTTTAAAAAAAAATTAAAAAATAAAATAAAGAAAAAATATATTCGCCTGTTTCTTTTTTTTTTTTTGAAATCTTTTTTCCGAGTAAAAAAAAATATTCTTAATAATTATAGCCAAACTCTTATAAACTACAATATAAAGTTTTTTCCTTCATTCTTATGAATGAAAAAAAATAAATAAATAAATAAATAAAATGTCAATAGAACTGGAAATTTCGAATACCTTTAATTACATGAAAATATAAACAACCAACCTAAGAAAAACTGTGACTCTCCTGCCGTAATTCAAAATCTAACAATACTAACAAAAAAAACTTCTTGTCTTTGATCTTAAATTCCAACATCTGAAAAGCTTTATAATGTCTTACATTCTCGTAGCTCTCTCCTCATCCTTACCCAAGAAATGAAAAAAAAAAAAAATTAAATAAACGACTTTGGTTGTTTTTTGTCGTTTCAATAACTTTTGATGAATTTCAATTCTTGAAAAGATAAAAAAAAATTTACAATTTCAACGCGTCAAAAATTGATAAAAAAAATTCCATTTTATTTATTTATTTTTTTTTTTTTTTTTGACTCTTAAAAAACAATTCATTCACAGTTGCAAATCTTTTATCATTCTGCGCGTAAATCAAACGATGACAATAGTCAGTAACGAATGTGTCTATTTTCACCAAAGTCCTTCTTTTTCGTTCTGTTTCCTCCCTCCCTTCCTCGTGGTACAAGTTTCCATACAATTCTTCTTCTTCTTCCTCTTCTTTTTCTTCTTCTTCCTCTTCTTTTTCTTCTTCTTCTTATTCTTTCTTTTCTTCCTCCCCCTATCTCATTCAGCCTTACATTCCAGAAATATTTTTCACCAGGAAAAAAACGTCCCTTAACAAGATGGGTTTCCCTTTTTTTTTTTAACCTTTGGTCTATTTAACATGAAAATATATAATAATGTTTATATCATTTGAGTTTTTTTTTTTTTTTTGACAATGGAAGTGAAAAAAAAAAAAAAACCTGTAAACTCGGCATTTGATAATAAATATGTGCGCACCAGGTTCTTGTACTTGTTTCCAATGGTATTAAATACTTACGATCGTATAGACTTCGTATGTGACTTTTGAGTATTTTTTAATTTTATTTTTTTTTTTTGTTACTGCCAAATTACGACTTGTAAGCGGTTACTTTCTCATAAAAGAAAAAAAAATATCTTTTTTCCAGTTTTTTTGATCTGTCATCAAGTAGTGCACACGCAACAAGAACTAGATATATACGTACTACATAAGTTAATTAAATAACGAGCATACAGTTTAAACCCTCTTGGCTAAGGCCATGCAACATCATCAACGGAAATATATCCTCCTGAGTCCTTTATTATATCTATATTATTTTTTTTCGTATATTATCAAGTTCATATATAAAAAAAATAAAAAAATAAAATAAATTTCAACAACCAATAAAATTAACCTTGCATCTGTGACTTCTTTGTTTAATCTCTTGGTTTTAACGCCAATATGTGATATGCCGCTTTTTTTTTTTTTTTTTTTTATGACCAGACTATCAAATTGCCATTTAAATGCCAGATAAAAGGATGTTTTTTTCAACAATAGGGTCCATCAGAAAAAAAAAAGATCTTTGTTTTTGTCTTTTTAGTTAACAAACTAGTACATAAAATGAAAAAAAAAAAAAATAAGGAAGGTTTTTTTGCTAGCTTTTCAACGTTTATAATTTTTTTGTTGTATCTCTCCAATATAGTTTGTATTCTTACTTAGTTAGCTTTAATAATATTCTTATTTTTTTTTTACATGTCGGTTATTTCGTTTTAGTAGAACTTTTTTTTTTAAAAAAAAGACTTTATTTTCGCTTTTATTTAAACAATTTCTTTCAAATACACAGCAGCAGCACAAAAAAGATAGGATTTTGCTCATTTACTTGGGAATAATTAAGCGGTGTGTATATACTAATTTTAATTTTTTTTAAAAAAAAAAATATTAATAATAATGATATCAACCTCTATAACAAAGCTTTGAATATTATATCTTAAAACGAATGTTTCTGATACTAGTTTCGAGTAATTACTCGAAACTAGTATCAATGGACCAGTTGGATTTTATTGATAAACAATTTCCTTTTCCAGTTAACTGCTTTTGAAAGAAATAAAAAAAAATAAAAGAACAGAGTTTTTACACTTGATAAGTATTATTAATAATAATATTTTTTCAAACAACCATACTGACTGCGCAAACGGTTAAAGTCTTTTGGTATCCGCGAGGTTATTTTCTTTTTTTCTTTCTATAACAGTGTTAAGAATGACATCTTTAAAAGCCTCCAAAAAACCTTTTCTTTCTTGTTTAAATGAACGTCATAGAGAAAACAGAAATAAAGAAAATGTAGGGAGGTTTGTAATCATGCATCAATATCGGCTGTTAAGCATATCTTTTTTGTGTTTACAATATCTCCCTAAGACTTCGCTGGACCCTGCTGATCTTAACTGTAGACTTTTAAAACCATTTACAACCTTACACAAAAAAAAAAAAAAACTAAAAATTTCTTTTCTCTTTTTTAAAATATTTTTTCTTTTTCTATTACTCTTGGTTACTATTTTTTTTTTCATTTACTCATAACCTTCTTTTGAATTTTAATGTTTCTTTTCTAGTTTTGTCCTAAGACACTTTTTCATTTTTCAAATTCGTTTTTCAAAGTAAGCTTCTTTCTTGCTATGTATTCTGTGTTTCCTTGGGAAGTTATTTTTCATTTCATTTCAAAATCTTTTTCAAACACTGGTGTCTCTCATTTCCAACATACACATTGAGTTGAAACATATTCCAACGGTTAAACCTATGAAATAAATGTAGTATTAATCGAATCTTTATAGACTTATCTTTTTAATAAAAAAAATATGAATCACTCTAGAACAATTAACAAACGAACCGAGCATCAGATTTATGAATCTACCTTCTACTCTCCTCCGTATATAATATACTTTAGAACTATGAAACCAACGGGTTTCTATTTCATTGTTAGAGAAATACTATCTGAAAGAGTATTATAGACATTTAATTGAGTTTTGTAACTATGTATTATTTTATTTCTCTTTCTTTTCAGAAACAATTTCCACTTGTGTTGAAAAACAAGCATCATGAGATCTTTACTTTCAAATAACTCATAGATGCTTTTAATTTGTTTTTGTGAATAAGCAGGTAAAAAAAATAACACTTTATTCTTACCTTGACTTGTTCAAATATTTGGCTTAGTATTTCATTGATATTTCATTAATAATTTATTGTATGATGAAAAAAAAAACTTACTAAGCTACCTTCCTTTTCTGAAAATTAGCTATGACATTAACAACATACAATTATTCAAACAGACCCACCAGATAATGGACAAGGAGTTGTTGTCTCCATCATTATTATCCTCCTTTTTTAATTTTGGCCCCCCAAAAAAAGTAATAAAATCATTGTGAGAATATTAAATTAAAACGGGAACCTGAAAGATGTCATACAATATATTGTCTAGATGTACTTTATTTTTTTTTTTATAGCTCTTTGAAAAAAAAAAAAAGGGGAGAATAAGGGTTTATGACGTCAAGACGTTGAAAGGCTTTTGCTCCACTTAAAAAACCCCCCCTTTTCCCCTTTTCCCAAATTTGAAACTAGTTCTGTATAAGTTGATGTTGTCAAAACAAATAAAACAAGACACTTGAAGAAAATGACGGAGAAATAAAAGTAAACTAGCTCTAAGGTGTTTTCTTTACCGCCCTCCAAGAGCAGATTTTTGTTTCATAGTGAATTTAGGTGGTCAATGGAAGAAAAGCCAAGATTGATAATCCTTTTTCCTTTACAAACACACTTTTAAAATATATATTTAATTATAAAAAATATGTATAATATTAAAAAAAAAAATAAACAAATAAAAAAAAAAACAAACCATTCATCAACATTGGAATGTAAACTGATCACCGAGTCGGCGATGCAAAGGGGTGATGCGTACCTTGCATGAATCTCTCTCTCTACCTTCATTGTGGGCTCGTGTAAAGTGGCTTTATGCCCAATTACATGCAATCCACCCTCTGTGTTCCTCCCTCCCCTTTTTCCTGCATTGTATGGCCAGTCTAAAAATCGTTTCAAATTCATGTATATTGGTATTACCATTTATGATAGTAGTATATTATCTGATAGTTAAAATATTAGTAACTTGAATTTCAGGAGAAAAGAATAATCTAATTTTCTTTTATTACTCCTTAAAATTTACCTTCACTCTTCTGATTTCCATTTAGAAGGGTTTTCTTGATTTAAATTTATTTGGAGTTTGCTATTTTTTTTTTAACAAAACATCATTATCTTAAAGATACATTGTATCTTAAAGATCTTTTTAAAATAAAAAAAACATTCACCTTAAAATGATCTTAAAATTAATCCAATAACGTTTTCCTTTATAAAAATTGTATATTTTACAATAATAAACCAAGAAAGAGATCTCTTTCTTAACATCTAGATGTTATTTCTCACCAAATCTATAGATGGTTTTATTCATTTTCTAATCTTTTCGATTGAACAAATGGCTATATATATATACTATATAGTCATTTTTATTCCACCTTTTGGACTTTGATAGATTTTAAAATATACTTTCTTCTATTGGAACCAAATAATTTTTTTTATTTTTTTTTGCAAACAAGACATTTCATACGCAGGAGATTGGTATCATGATTTTCATCCTTCGTTTCCATCCTTTATTACCAAAATTTTTAATATATACATAACGGGTTATAAGATTTAAAATTTTTTTATTTTATTTTATTTTATGCACAAATCTTCTCTGTTCCCACTATTTCACTAACAAGAATGAAAATAAGAGAAGAAAAAAGAACTTTTTTTTTTCTTCTTATAGATGGCATGTGCTCAAATTCAAATAAAAATGTTGATCCTTTTGATTTATATTACAACAACACCCAGTAGCAGCTATTGGACTTATATAAAAAAAACGACAAAGGGGGAAAAAAGCTTTACTGGACCAATTTGTAAAATCCCATTTCACGCCTAGATGTATATTAATACTAAAACGCAGAAAATACATTACAAAGAGCAAAAAAAAAAAAGACCTCTGGCGCAGATAATAAATCTCTTTTTTTTTTTTTTGATTTTGAAAACGAATCGGGCAGTTGACACTGTTTTTGGATTGATCCGCCATACCCTTGTCTATTGGCAATGTGGATCACCTCTTTTAGCTTTAATACAACAAAAAATCTTACGGTGTCTCTTGTTCTTTGGTGCTTCTTACAGGCCAGCCTGGCGATATCTTTATTAAGACCCATACCCAACCATGTGTGAGCGATATCCCAGTATATTAGAGAGCTTGCTTTTCAATATAAGGACATATTAGGTGGTTAGGGCCAAAATAATAATAATAATAATAATAATAATAATAATAATAATAATAGTAGTGATAATGAAAATAAATATTAGCACCACTTGCGCACCATTACTCTTCCCTCCTCCTTCCCTCCAATACCCTCGTCAGCTTTTTTTTCTTAAAAAATAATCTTTATTGGGACTAAACAATTATTATATATAAAGCACTCGTCAACCTGGCCTGAAGGGTTTGCAAAGTGGCAAATCGGCACCGGTTGTAGTGTGTAACTTTTTTTGTTTTACGTTTTTCGCTTATTTGTTGTTGATTGTACTGGAACATTATTATTATTATCATTATTTTATTTTTGCATGTTTTGACAATATCATATACCCAAAATGTTTATACTGAAAAAATAGACAACAACATCATCCATTTATCTTGAACAATCTTGAATAAATTGAATATTCCAACTTTTGACCAATTCTAAAACTCAAACAGCATTCAGTGCCTCGGGTGAACCCTCTATAATAATAGAAAGGAGAGTAAAAAATAACACCAAAAAAACAAAAACAAATATTCTAGGTTCTTTTCCCTTTAAAACGTTGGCCCGAAACCTAACCCACAACTAATACAACCTTCGTGGGGTTACAGCCTCTTTATATTTCTTTGCCTCCTCCTCTTCACACCCCTGTCACCTCTTTTTTTTGTTCTTGTTCTCTTTTTTTTTTTTTTCCTTCTTCTTTTTTCTTTATTCTTTATCGTCAAAATGATGTCCTTAAAATTCCATAAGCTTCCAAAAGAAACATATCTCGAATTGGCTGAGTATTTGCCTTTGGAAAGTTGGCGGGCTCTCAGTCAAACATGCCAATCACTTCGTGATATCTACTTGGTACTTTCTTGGGGCAGCTGCAGAACGACTTTTAATGAAGCAGAATCATCACCACAGGTTACCACCAGAGAGATTTCTGAAAAACAAGTACTCAATCCCCAGAAGTATTCTTGGTTTCTAAACGGGTCTGTTAAAAAAATACAGATCAATCCAAGAAACATTAGAGAAGGTGATTCTGACACGAACAACTTTTTTGATGAAAAGTTCCCATTAGAACTCTATCCGTCACTTACTTCATTAAACATCTCTCTGTCTTATGGCGAACTTACTTTAATTGCAAATAGGAAATTTATGGAATCTCTATCAGGGAATCCCAACTCCCCCTTAAAAGTCGATCTAAATATTCAGGATCTTCCTGATGAAACCGATGTTGACGAAAAATTTACTGAGTTTTGTAACACAGTTCTTTCTAGACATGTTGTGGATGCCAGCATTATTGAAGCTAAGCGTTGGCCATTCCCCAATACAAATTTTGAGAATCTTTTGCAGCTCTCAATTTTTTTAGGTCACTTACCAAACATAATTGACCAATTTGATCACTTCCCCAATGTCAAGGAGCTGGAAATCTATTGCCCTTATGCATCTGGATCAGATGGATTTTATGTACCTTCTGATTTATCTCTTTTAGCTAAATTCTCTGATTCGAGGTTTGAAAAATGTTTTATTGACCTTTCCAACCCTGGTCCGTTGGATTTTACCCACATTTTACTAAATGAACATACCACTGAAACATACACACTCCCCTGTGTGACAAGTTTAGATTTAATATTTGATGATATATTCAATCTTGATCTGTTTCTAAAGCACTACCAGCTTCCAAATGCGAAGACAATCTGTGGCACTGGATTTGATTTTGAAGGAAGGTATGAACCTGGATGGTACTCTAAGATTACAAGCATTCAAATTCAACTTGATTCAGAAATTTCACAGATTCACTTTGAAAATTTGGGAAGAATTTTTGAGCTTTCAGCAATCACTGATGTTGTTATTGACATTGAGTGTTATGACTCATACATTAACCCAGTCATCAATGTTTTATTGGAAGGTTGTCCATGCGATCCTACTACCCCTAGAGAAGAGTTGTACAATTATTTTTCTTCAAAACTGAAGATTGAAAATTTTACAGACATTAATCTCTATAAAACAAGAAGAACAATAAATAAATCTTCTTTATCTAAAAATAGCAACACTGAAATTAAAAACTACTTTGAAAATGTGTACAGAATGAGAGAGTCTATTTTTGAGCAAATGATTATGTTAATCAAGTCACCCGAAAGTATTATTGAAGACACAGACTCTCTTATGATGGAACTTTGCTTTATGTCAGCCTTAATTGAGTATATTTTGCAGAGAATTGCTGATAGCACTACAGTGACTAAATTGTTGCTTCTTTTTGAAGATAATATAAATTGGTCACCAGGTTTACGACGACTTTGTTATGGCCATAAAAGCCTTGAAACAATCACAGTAGAAATGAGGAAAGATCCTAAGAATATGCAAGATTATAAAAATTTTCGTGTCCCCAAAGTTAGGAATAAATTCCTCCTAGGAAGAAGAGGGACACAGAGCGTTATTTATGATATGAAGCACCCTGATTATGTATACGCTCAAATTGACACGTTTTACAAGGAAGATCTGCCAGGTTCTTCAGAAGAATTAAGTGATAACGAACTGGATTCACAAGATTCTGATATACTTCGGTTCGGGGGTTACCACTCTGAAGACGAATCTATTCACTCTGGCGAATCTTATGGGGTTAATGAAGATATGTGGAGTGATGTGAATATTCATCATTTTGGCGATGAATATTACAATGAATACTATGATGAGTAATAGAAAAACTCTGCTTTTTTTTTTTTTTGGGTTTTTGAAAATGAAAAAAGAAAATATATATATATATATATATTTATAGTATTAATGATTTATTTGATTTATTTTTTAAAAGTTGATTTTTTATTGAAGTAGGCTAATGAAAACTGTTTATGAAAATTTACCATAAAATGGTTGACTTTTTTTTAAAGGAACATGGACGTACACCTGTATTTTGAAATAAACACTTTTTGGAGAAGACCAGACACTTGATTAGAATGTTTCTGACTCCGTTGACATCTCTATCAACAGAAATTTCACACGAATCACAAAGGTGGACAAGCTCACACAGAGCACAATTTTACTTTCTTTCATTTTTCCGTAACGAATGCATGTCTTACTGGTTTACTCTTCTTCACTAATCCTAGAGAGTCTTGTGTTTGTCTATATACATTCTAAGGAAAGGAACTAACTGGGTAAAAACAAGTAGTGCAAACTGGCCATCAAATTTATTTGCTCATCATTCTGTTTCTACTAATACCAACCAACTTTTGGTTTTCATAATTAAAAAAAAAAAGCTAAATAATCTTTAGAAAAAGGTCGAGTTTTTTTTTTTTTTTTTTTTTTTTTCTTTAAAAATCGCTTTCACTTTTGAAACGTCTAGTTAGTCATTTGTTAAGATACTGTGCAACAAGCTAGGGTTTACAGAAATGGAAAAATAAATAAAGAAAAATTTCTGTTTTTTTTTTTTTTTTTACTTCTAGATCTGTTTCTATTTCTTTATCCTTATCTTTTATCTTTTATCTTTTATCATTGGATTTGATTTTGCCCATATATATATACTTTATATTTGTATTGTACAAGTAGGAGCCCCACCTAAACCCTGACATTTTGAGCTGCAGGTGTCTACAATGGCTAATAGACATTTAAAGATGCAAATAAATAAATAAATATAAATAAATATAAATAAATATAAATAAATAAAATAAAAAAAAACACTAATTCTAAAACAATTTATACAAACAAAAAACAAATAAAATTACAGCAAATGCTCAATCAAATTGCGGTTGCTAGTAAGATCGAGTTGGCACATTGGACAAGTAGCTTTGCAAGTGCAAATCCATGGTGTAATGCATTCATCGTGAAAGATGTGGTGGCATGGGAGTACACGAACAATGGCATCGCTTTCACCAGATTTCCCTTCAAAATCTTCTTGACAAATTGCACAACATGGCTTATTTTCTTCATCTTCAGTGTTTCTATCAGATGTCTTTGTGCTTGATTTACCATTTAATTCAGTGTTATTTAAAGAATCCGGCTTTATAGTTGAATCTTCGCCATTGGTTGAAACGTTATTAAAAGTGCTGATGAATGAACGTAGCATAGATTCGGTGCGTGATAAAGTGGGTGTTATCAGATCGGGATTTTCGGGATTATATGAACCATATTCTAAGTCTAACCAATACAATGGATCGGTTGAGCTTGAGGTTCTAATGTGTTTGGTAATATTACCATTGTTATTGGCAGTTGGGGTGTTGTCATTATTTATTTGTGGGATTTCAATATGATCTGAAACATTATGTGTTAAGCATCCTGTGGAAGATGAACAGAATGAACGACCAGAACCATTTCGAATATGAGCTTTTTCTGGAAGAGTGATTAGTGTCGAGTTAGAAAGAACACTATTTCTTTGTGTGTGGTTGGAGTTATTTTCCGCATTGTTGTTATTATCGGTGCTTTGTTCCGAATTGTTGCCATTATCGGCGGTATTTTCTGTGTTATTGATGCTTGTGTTGGTTATATCTTTAAAACTCTCTGTACTTGGCTGTGCAGATATTGTAGGCAGTGCCTGTTGTTGTAATGGGGATGAAGTATAGCGAAAGGTATTAGCGAGAGGTAGTAACTTCTTAACATCACTGTACTTTTGAGGAGGGAAAGTTTCATCCAGCTCACATTTCGTAAAACATGGGACGTTGTAATAAGGATAATCAATTTCAAAAGGTAAGTTTGGTTCTCCTGAGTGGGTATTGTTAGAACCACAGCAGCAGCAGAAGCAATCTGAAAAGTAATAGAAAAGACATATAAATGGGAAAGCGATTACAACTCCGATGATTTGAATTGCCAAAAACAAAGGGTCAATGATATATTCTCTAATATAGTACCAAAGATTCATTATTGATTTTTGGTTAAATGTAAAGTATCATAGATAGAACAAAAAAAAAAAAAGAAAAAAAAAAAAGAAAAAAATATTTGAAGCAGATAGATCAAGGGTTTAATTTAATTGTTTATATCAATAATAATCGAAGCTTAAACAAATAATTCGAATTCAAAGAGCAAGTATTGCTTTTATATGTATCTTTGAAATTTAGAAAAAAGAAGAAGAAAAAAAAATGAATCTGAAGAAGATTAAAAGCAAAAAGAGGCGAGGAAAACGTTGAGCTGCATAAATATTGTTTTTAATAACTTTTGGGTTAAATTGCTGGAGATAAATGGCGAGATACTTGTATGTACTTTTATTTTATTTTATTTTATTTTTTTTATATATATATATGGGGGTGGCGGTGCTTATATAATCTCAGCCTCTTGCAGACCTCGGGGCTTAGGATAGGAATAGGAATAGGAATAGTAATAGAGATTGATGGGGTACGCACAGAAATATTTTTATGGGTTTTGTGTGTAGTAAAATGAGTAAATGAATGAGTGGGCGTGACTCGATATATACAAGACAGACACTTTTGACCACTTCATGTGACTTAAACTAAGTTAACTTTAAAGAAAGAAACTACTACTGGATATGAGTTTTTGAAAAGAATTGAAAAGAACTGAAGAAAAAAAAAAATTTTTTTTTTTTTTTTTTTTAAATAGAAAATTTATTGAACCCATGTGAAAAAATCAATTTCAAAATATTGGAAAGGCTGTGTTGTTTTTTTATTTTATTTGAAATGGTGACTTTAAAAAATCTAGAAATCCCCCAAATCATGATATATTTCATAGACAAACAATTCAATGCCTCCCCCCTATTATGATTATGCTATTTCATTAAAGATCTGATAAGCCTCGAGATCAAAAGTATCAACAAGTATCAATGCCTTATTTAATAGTTTAATATATATATATATATATATTCAGTACTTTCGAGGCTCAGAATTACTTTTTGGTCTCCTATGATTTTGATCCATTCCAGTTAAATGTACTTTCCCAGTATCAAGAATAAAGCTCACATTGACAATAAAAATTGTAATAAAAAAAAAAACAACCATTCCTAAACTTAATACTTACGACATACTCAAGAAGACATAAAAAAAAATTTTTTTTTTTTTTTTTCGTCATTTACAAATAAATTTAGTTGTCATCTTAATTCTGTTTAAGTTTACAATTATCAATCCATTCAGGGACAACATCAGTTACGGGTTTAACTAACTATATATATATGATTAAGGTCTTGCGTTTTTTTTTTTTTTTTTTTTTTTTCAATACATTTTTCCCCTCATTCGTTTTAAATTCTCTTTAAAGTTAAAGAGAATTGATTGATTTGATTTCAATTGAGGGGAAAAAATAAAAATTCAAAGAAAGATATGATTGAATGAATAGAAAGACTTCTTACTCTTTTTAATATATGTATTTTTTTTTTAATTCAATTAACGTAGTAATAACGTAGTAATAACTAGCATCAACTAAACTTCAATTGCATGAGTTCCGGCTTTTGTTCCTTCAGAATCATCAACCCCACAAAGAACTCGGAAAAAACCAAGTTAAGAAAAAAAAAATATCCTGTTTGATTTTCTTTTTTTTTCTTTTCTTTTTTAAAATCATATTTTAATACTTTTTTTTTTTTTTCACCATTGTTACATAATATTAACATAAACCGTTGTATTTTATAAGTGAATGTTAACCACATATATTAAAATACAATCCATTTTGTAAACTCACTATTGGAGTGAATTCCTCAAAATTATGTAGCTTTAAGACTCTTGAAGAGGGGTTTTCATTGAGCCTTTTTATTTTATTTTTTATTTATACTTTTTTTTCAATAAAATTTATAATTCATATATTGGCTGTTAAACAGTTCACTCAATGCGGGGATTTAATTAATCAAAATATAAATGCCCCGATTAATGTCTTATTAATTCTGCTCAATTCATCATCATCATCATCATCATTTCATAGTTTCTTCTTTTTCAATTGTTCTTTTTATTATTATTGTTATTATTTTTTTCAAACAAAATTTTACAATTCTTTAGCAATGGTCAATGTTCTTCTTGTTCCTTATTCTGGTGGTATCCATGCCAAAGACGAGCCTAAATTGCTTGGGTGCACTGAAAACGAGCTTGGACTCAGAAAATGGCTTGAATCCCAAGGCCATAAATTAACTACTACAGATCAAAAAGATGGATCCAAGTTTGAGTCTCTTCTTGAAGATGCTGAAATTGTCATCACGACCCCATTCCATCCAGCATACTTGACTCGTGAACGATTGCTTAAAGCTAAAAACTTAAAGCTATGTGTCACTGCTGGTGTGGGGTCTGATCATGTGAACCTGGATACTGCCAATGAACTTAAGATTGGCGTATTGGAAGTCACTGGTTCGAATGTCACATCTGTGGCAGAGCATGCTGTCATGACAATGTTGGTACTTGTACGAAACTTTGTTCCAGCCCACGACCAAGTCCGTGAAGGCAAGTGGGATGTGGCCGCTGTTGCTAAAGACGAATATGACATTGAGGGTAAAGTAATTGCCACGGTTGGGGGAGGCCGTATTGGTACTCGTATTTTGGAACGTGTCAAGCCTTTTAATCCTAAGGAATTGCTTTACTTTGACTACCAATCTCTTTCTGCTGATCGTGAAAAGGAAATTGGCTGCCGTCGTGTAGAGAAACTTGAGGACATGCTTGGACAGGCTGATATTGTAACAATTAACACCCCATTTTATGATTCAACCAAAGGCATGTTCAACAAAGAACTTATTTCCAAGATGAAGCGTGGTGCATGGCTCATAAATACTGCTCGTGGTTCTATTTGTGTCAAGGAAGATATAGCTGCAGCTCTCAAGTCTGGACAACTCCGCGGATATGGCGGTGACGTGTGGTTCCCGCAACCTGCACCTGCCAACCATCCTTGGCGCACCATGACCAACAAGTATGGTGCTGGGAATGCCATGGTTCCGCACATGTCGGGCACATCGCTCGATGCTCAAGGATGATATGCCGCAGGTGTCAAGAGTATTCTTGAATCCTATTTTTCCTGGAAGCATGATTACCGTCCTCAAGATATGATTGTTATTAATGGCCATTATGGCACCAATGCATATGGTGAAAACAAAAAATAGGTATTTAGCCAAATGATTTTTAGTAATGAAAAAAAAAAAACCTTGAAATGTAAATCTGCTGTGTTTCTTTTTTTTTTTTTGGTTAATGAGAAGCTTTGATCTCTTCTATTTTTTTTACGCCGTGCAACACGCGCCAACCGGTTGACGCTAACATAGCCTAAAACTCAAGTCAAGGGAAAATGAAGAATATTAAACAGGTATCCAGCTTTTGCAAAATAGTTCTCATAATCTATCTTAAATTTCGGAATCAACAACCTTCAAAGTCAAATCACGACGACATGTAGGGCATACACCATGAAATCCAGTCAGCCACGCTGCAATACACCCTGCATGGAAAACATGCCCACAGGGTAGAACTCTAACATCCACAGCCTTTCCCTTGTTTTCAACATTTGTTTCCTCCAAACTACTCTTATTTGTATCTGTTTCAGAAGATGGGGCACAGGCTTGTGCAGTGGGAGAAGTTGAAGTCATGGGTTCAGTAATAGGGTTTTGTGATGAGGCCGATGTGAATCGCATCCAATTAACCTTGAGCTCAGGTGTGTTATCTGATTCTTGCCCAAAGGTTTCCAAGCAAACTAAACAAGTTCCAGAGCGTGTCCCAAGAGGTTGAGCAGGATATGACGCGTCAAGCTCAGCAAGTTTAAGAGGTGGAACCACTCCTTGTTGGTTGAGATGAAGGTTTGCATCGAGCTGTATCAGCACAGACCTTCTGGGCTGTCGCGGAGGGAAGCTGCTAATGCAGCAGAAAACCGAGTACCGTACAAATATATAAAACCCGTCAAGAAAGTCTTCGTAAAGATCAGATCCAGAAGGCATGGGAAATTTTGGAATTTCTGTTTTTTTTTTTTTTAAAAAAAAAAAAGTATTTCACAAAATTGTAAGAAAAAAAAAAAAAAAAAAAAAATGAACAAGATGAAAAATAAGAGAGGACACATCCAACAAACGGTTTTGACAACATGTGATAGGGCCTCCTATTTACAAACTTACTAATAATTAGAGCTCGGTGCAGCCGCCATGCCCCTAAACCACAGCCTCAACCACATGGCTTAGTACCTGCGGCTTAAGCCCGGGTCACACACCCAATAAACCGCCGAAACCCGACCGAAATCTAACCCGGAATAAAAAGTAAAATTGGACTCGACTTACGAAAAAAAAAAAAAAAAATTAAATATAAAGTATAAGAAAAAAAAGAGAAAAAACGAAGTTAATAACAATAATAATGATAAAAATAATAATAAAACCCCCTTATCTAACAGCATCCACCAGCAGTACCTGTGCTAATGCCCTTGCCGACATCGACAGAAGGCTTATCGTTGTTAACACCGCCAATGCTACCACCGGTTCGTTCCTTGATCTGTCGGGCCATAGTCAAGAAAGCATCCTGGACATTTGTGGACTGCTTGGCCGAAGTCTCAATAAAGGAAATGCCCATTGAATCGGCAAACTCCTTGGCAACGGCGTACTCAACAACACGCTTGTCAGTCATATCGCTCTTGTTGCCGACCAGAAGCTTGTTAACACCTTCGGTAGCATATCTGTCTATTTCCTGGAACCATTGTTTAACATTATTGAAACTCTCTTGCTCAGTAACGTCGTAAACAACAATGATGCCGTGAGCACCACGGTAGTAGGAAGATGTGATAGTTCTGAACCGCTCTTGGCCTGCAGTGTCCCACTAAAATAATAAAACATAAGGATTAGTCAACGGTGCAAATGACGTGTTATTAACAAGTGTTTACTTACAATTTGAAGCTTGACAGTCTTGCCATCCAGGTCAATAGTCTTAATTTTCTATAAGGTCTCATGTTAGATTGAGTCAATAAAAGAACATCAGGTCACACTTACAAAGTCGACACCAATGGTGGAAATGTAGGATTCGGTGTAGGCATCCTCAGCAAATCGAAGCAATAAGCAAGATTTACCGACACCGGAATCACCAATCAATAAGAGCTTAAAGAGATAGTCGTATCTAAAAAAAAGTTCAAAGTTAGTGTGTCGGAGCTTATCTCTTAAAGGGATAAAGTAAAACTCTAGTAAATAAGATAGTTAGTACAAAAGATCCGAATATTTAGGTGACACGTCAGACCCGAGAAAAATGCAAAATGAAAAAAAAAGACCGAGTGCCGCCCAAAGCTCTTTAAGTACATCGCTGATGTGGAATAGTGATGATGGATGCAATTTTAATCTGCGATAGAAATCTTAAAAAAGTATTATACCATTTCCGTAAAAACCAGCCAAAGTTTTTTTTTTTTTTAGAGCCGTTTATTAGCCCTAGTCAGCTTTCTGTCCCTCCTCCTCCTTTCCCCCTTTTTGGGTAGCGTATATATTAATATATTTTGCTCATTCCAAGAGTTTCATATTTTTTAAAAAAAAAAGGAGAAGAAGTATGCTGCAGTAGGAAGAACAATATATTGAGAAATAAAATACATTCGAAAAAAAAAATGTAAGGGCTGTAAATGTTGATAAGCTGGGTTGTGGTGCGGATATCACGGACGGGTGGCGTTTTAATTTTTTTTTTAAAAATAAAATCAACAACAAAAGCCATCAAACAAATATTCCATATAATAATACAGTTATAACTTCTTCTATTGAAAAAGCATAAACAAAAAGGAGGAAGAACCGAATAATGCATTACAACAGATCATAGGCATCAACAAACAAAAATATTAAAAGTGTACTGCTTATATTCGAGGCAACAAGGGCGACTGTAATGGCAAGAAAAAGGGTTTGACGCGATAAGGCAATACTATTGCACAAATGAAACATAAACTACTTACCACTCAGCGTTCATTGTGATTTAGAAAAGTATGGCAAGGGTTCGGATGCAAAGGAAGTTTGAACGATTATTAGTAGATAATAAAAAAAAAATTGATAGAAGATCAATCAAAGTCGCTTCAAATAAAAAAAAAACGGGTATAAAAGAAGGCGAAAATTAAAAGAAAATAACGATTGTTTATTGATGAATTTGGTGTTTATTAGCACACAGAGTGTATAAGCGGTTTGATTTTGTTATCGCTAGTGATGATGGTGATGATAACTGTAGTGGTGGTGGTGGTGTTGAAGGTAAAAAAAGCAGGAAAAGGGGGGAGGTAGGAGGGAGGGAAGAAGAGAGGGAAAAAGAGAGAAAGGAAGAAGAGGCGGCAGAGGGTTTTGGCGGCGGGAATTTGTGCCTGCTAGGTGGCAGATGGCTGAGCTGCTTGAAGGGCCTGCCACGTCCTCTGCTCGCAAAAAAAAAAAAAAAAAAAAAAAAATAAATAAATAAATAAATAACCTGGTACCAAAACTGCTCACTCAGGATAATAATTACTCATAAACATTGCACCCACAATCCTTGACCTTCCCAAGGTCACACTGATCGGTCGCGCGATCCAGTGTGCATCAATCATAAAATTAAAGCCTACATCTATAAAACAAGCTCTAAATGTAAATGTTTATTTGTTTGAAATTTGTTTTGATTTATTTATATATGAAAGAATTTAAAATATTTTGGCAATAATAACTTTTATTAAAATCCTCCTCCATTTTTTTTTTTTTTCCTGTCCATCCCTAAATCAAGGGGTTCCAGGCTCAAAGCGAGGTGTTTCTGCATCATGCGCAGACCCCCAAGCAGCTGGTGTTGGCGCAGCTCCAGGTGTTTTGGCATCAAATACACCAGGTGTTGGAGCAGTGTCAAAATCATTTTGAAATACACCAGGAGTTGGTGCACTAAAGGCACCAGGTGTCTCAGCAAAATGTGGCGTAGCGGCCGATGCGCCGGGTGTAGGAGCTGTCATATCAGCACCGCTGTGACCCCTACCGTGACCACCGTGGCTGCCATTGCCCTTAGATGAATCATACCATGATCTTGCACGGTCATTACCGTAATCATTATTCCGATTACTGTTCATAGAAGAGTTAGCATCCCATGTAGACATAGCTCCACTGCTACCAGCAGCAGGCGTTCGAGATCCAGCATCCCAAGTAGAGCTTCGGCCACTGCTCGCGTACCCAGGAGTCCGTGAACCAGTGTTCCATGCTGGTGTACGACCACCATCATTGTTACCACCCCACGATGAGTATCGCCCACTTTCACCATACGCAGGAGTCTTGTGCCCACTGCCACTACCACCCCAAGATGGGGTCTTGCTGCCATTCCAATTGGGTGTTGCACCACCAGCTCTGTATCCTGGAGTCCGACCGCCTCCTGCTGCCGGTGTGCGACCACCATCGGCCCAGCCTGGTGTGCGGCCGCCACCACCACCTGCGTTCCATGCTGGTGTACGACCACCAGCCCAACCACCTTGTTCGCCACCACGTGAAGGCTGAGTAAGATGTCGCAACTTGGCAGGTACCACGAAATCTGTGTATGACACTAACTTTCCGTGTGCATCTGAAAACAGCAGCTGCTGCTTCTTTACTGTAACAACTTTGTTGCGTGCATGAAGCTCAACACGCGCTGTATCTTCAGTCGCATCCTTGACAATACCCTTGAACCCTTTATACTGCGAACCCGCACCAATTGTCACGGTCTTTCCAATGACACGATCACGACCACCTTGTTTAATGGGTACACCGGTGCCATTGCGTTGGTTGTTGCCATTGTTGTTACCACCACGGTTAAATGAATATGATGGGTTATGGGACTGTTGTTGGCCAAACTCATTACGCTTATTAACGTCAACACGAGCTCCCTTAACAGCAACTGTTGTCACACTGTTAATTGATGCCACAAAGACACCCAAGTTTTCTGTAGTGTTGCGGTCTTGTAAAAACAAAAACCTTCTGTGAATGTGTAAAATCACACCAGTACGACCTTCACCATACATCTCCTTAACAGTATCGCCCACACGAATTTCTTGACCATCACGATCAGTGGCAAACTGGCGTTTATTTGTAATCTTCATAATGATAGATGAGGTCGGAACAGTTTTAACAGCTCCTTCCTGGGTTAGTACGCTTAATGTATCGCGATCAACTCGAATAATACAACCCACAGTTTGGGCGTTGAGCTGAACAAGATTTAAAAGCTCATAGTCCTCGCTTGTGTTTGAGCTGCCACCAATGTCGGATGCATCTTGGAGATCGCGAGAAAACACAGTAATTTCCTTTTTAGATGAATCGCTAACAATTGTGACATTATCTTTACTAATGTCAACCACCATACCAGTCTCGCCACTGTAATTTCCTGATGCGACACGGACGTGTTCACCAATTTGAAATCTTTTGCGCAAATTGGATGCGGGTGCATCAAATGTTTGACCCCTGAGGGGGCCGGTAGTAGCCTTTAGTGTGACAATTTCACCTTGGATTGACATAACACGTCCTTGAACACCAGCCTGTTCACCAGTAAAAAGCTCGACATTATCACCAGTTTGGAAAGACACATTACTTCGATCATTCTTTAATGTTTGTGAAAGTGTACTTAAATCGATACCTTCATCACTTGCGCCGTTAAATCGTTGAAGTTCTTCCAGTGAGGGCATGACGTTTTCAGTAGTTAAAAATGTGAGTTTATAATCTTTAATCAAAAAGCCATCCTCATAGGTTTCATTGTGGTAAATAAAGGACTTGAGACCGCGCTTGGAAAGGTTTCTTTGGTCGTGTTGAACAGCATCTAATTCAGAAAACAATCTAGGAGGTGGTCTATGCTTCGCCGAATTAATATTGGGTCGTTTTTTACCATCTGCGTTAAGAGCTGCTGTTCTACCGTAATCTAATCGAGGCACCACTTTAAGACGGGCTTCAAGACCATTTTCACTCAAATTCTCGACAATGGCCAAATCACCTTGGTATTTTCCACGTTTAATGCGAACATATGTTCCAGGAGTTAATTCCTGTTCTTTAGATTTGTTGACGCGTAACAAATCAGTATACTCTTTGATAGGAACTAAGATTTTGCTTGAACCATAAACATTGACTAGACCTTTAAGAGCATGATCCACAGCTGTGACTTTACGCGCTTCAATATAAATATAACCCATAAATCCATCACGCTGGAACACGGAAAAGATTTCAAGAGGACTTTTTGTATTTTGTAAATTGATTTTTTTCTTTAAAATCATTCGAACAAGTTCGCGTTCCTTACCTGGCTTGCAGCGAATACCCCAAATATTAGGGTCCTGGACTGACGGAAGAAGCAAGTGCTGAGGTACATTTCCCGTGTCACCACGATATTTGGATGCGGTGGAACGACCATACTTTTCCTTATATTCAGATGCCAGTTTTTCAGCGTCTTCCTCGACAATTGCCTCTCGGCGACGATCAACTTCTCGGTGTAATCTGTCATCAGTAGCAGAAACTTCGTCGTAATCCGCATGATCATCTTCCTGGATAAATCCGTCTAATTAAAAATGTTAGATAAAAATAAAAATATGATGTTTATTAATGAATTACCTTCACGAAGTAAACCCTCTTCGTCTTCTTCATAGTCTTCTTCGTCTTCATCAACTTCGGCTTCAACATCCAAAAACTGGTTGCGGGCTTCTCTTCTTGGGCGTTTTCGTCGGGACTAAAAAGAGTCAGAAATTATAATTATAATTATAAAAAAAAAAAAAACAATATCAATATCAATATATTCTAACATACAGGACCAATTTCTTCTTCCTCTTCTTCTTCCTCTTCATCTTCATCTTCCTCCTCATCTTCCTCTTCATCCTCATTCACATCGTCTTTGATTTCTGGTTCTTCTTCACCGTCACTATGGGAACGTTTTTTATCCTTTTTCAAAGTCTCCTGGACTTCTCCATCGCTGTCGTAGTTATCCTGCTCGTCGTCACGGGGCATTCTGGAAAGTGTATTAACCGATTGTTTGCTGTTATGAATTTGAATAAAAAATTAATATGCTTATTTGTGAAATGGATGGAAAAAGGTGGTGCTGAAAAAAAAAAAAAAAAAAATTACTAGCCTGGTGGTTGTGCTTCTGGTCACCCGGCCCCTGTAAAGTGTAGATAGTGGCGAAATAGCAGGGTAAGGGTTTCACGTAAATATCACATGATAAATTTAATATCACATGACTTTTAACAAATAATTTCACGTGATTCAGTTTAAGTTACAATGCGTTAACTAACCACTTCCAGACCCTTTTTTTTTTTTTTTTTAAATATAATTATAATTATGTTTAACTTTTATAAAGTTTATTATAACGTTAGAAATTTTTTTTTTTTTTTTTTTTTTTCTCACAACTAGTATCAAACGGTTGGTTGTTGCCATTGTTCTGGTGACATTTCAAGAAAAAAAAAAAAAAAAAAAAAAAAAACTAGAGAAATAAATTTCTTTGGAAAGCAAAGTGTGGGTCTTAATTAATTATAATAAAAAAAATAAAATAAAATAAAACAATCACAAATCGGACAAAAAATTCAATGATAAATAACAATATATTAGGGGGAGGGAGGACTATGAAATGTCTTGATTACATGGACTCCATTCTGTGGCTGCTTCTTGTTAGAGTATTAATTCATGCAAAGCTCGCTTGCCTTTTAATTAAATTCTGAGCTCAATTTTTCTGTTCTTAAAGAAATTTTTTATTTTTTTATATTTAATTTTATTTTATTTTATTTTATTTTAATTTTTTTGCTGCGTGCCTGACTACGATGCATGAGCCCTGTACATACAAAAATATTATAATATTTTTATTTTCATATTATTTTCATAAAGTAATAAAAGTTGTGTTTACAGAATACCAAGTTTGGGATTTTTTTATGTGAATCCAATATTATGGCAGAGTCTTGCAAGAACCACTTTGATCGAGTAAAGAAAAAAAAGAAAAAAAAGAAAAAAAAGAAAAAAAATAAAAAAATAAAAAAATAAAAATAAAATTGTAGTATTAATTATATGTTCTTATATATAAAAAATATATATATATAATTTTTTTTTTATATATAATTAAAGTCCATTTGAAATGAATTGTCTGGAGTTTGATACATGCGGATTTCACTGAAACTTGTGCGCTAACTTAGTTAACTATATAATATAGTAAGACCCTCAACCCTCAAATTTTTTTTTTTTTTCTTATACAAATAAAAGAAGCAGGTTTCGCTTGTTTGCAACAAACAACTTTAAGAAAAAAAAATAAATAAATAAAAAAATATCTTTCTGAAAAAGACGGGTGCGCGTTCTCCAGGTACTTTTTTTAAATAGGTTTTACTGCATTTGGTCAATTATCTGCTGCATTTCTTTTGCAAAGACAACATTTGGCTGCTGCTACAATCAAAAACCGCTGCTTCCTAAAAAAAAAAAAAAAAAAAATTTTTTTTTTTTTTTTTTTTTTGCTCGATCACCATTCTTCTTTTCTTAACCACCACTTTACCATTTACATGAAATTTATAGTCCAAAATGACTTTCAAGATGAGGAAGCTACTTGAAAGCTCCCATCTGCCCTTTTTATCTTCCACCTCATCCTCTTCTTCTCCAAATTCTTTTTCTTCTTCTTCTTCTTCTTCTTCTTCTTCTTCTTCTTCTTCTTCTTCTTCTTCTCCTTCTACTCCTTCATTATCATCATCTTCTTTTAATCCTTCTCATAAGTCCGCTACTACTTTGCCTTTTAAACATCCAAAAAACGCGTCATTTCAACCCCAGTTCTCAGCACGATCAGCACCATCTTCTCCAAACCTTAAAAAACACAAAAAGTCAGCAAGCTCTTCTTTCTCACCATCACAGCACTTTACTCCCAAGCATTCATCTTCTCGATCCTGTTCAACTGATTTGCTTTTTTCTAACAATAACACACTTAAGTCTCCAATGTTTACACCTTCAACAACTCAAACGCGTCCAGAACAACAACTTAACGACAATTTTTCTTTTCCACAAAACACATTCACCGTTCCTCAACTGAGGCCGCCAAATAATGGCGATTTTAATTTATCAACACAACCAAACCCCCCATTTATTGACCGTGTTATAGCAGAGCTAATGGTTGAAAACCCAGATGATTTAGAACTAAAGAACCAGTATCAGCAACAGCAACCTTCCGACTCTGTGCTGATGGTTGAAAGAAATTTAAATTTTATTCAGCTTTACTTTTATCAAATAAAGTTAGCTCTTCAAGAAGCTTTTACAAGCCATGACATTGAGTTTGTTTATACAAAACGTCAGCAACTAATAACTGCGCACAAATTATTAGAGCTTTGTAACACAGAACTAGAACGCTATATGTCTATTCTTGAAGTAGAAAAAACAACATCACCCTCCACTGATAAATACAAGCCACTGTCACGAAAAAAATCCAACAATACTAACAAAAGACTTGTTAAGGCTGCAGACAAGATTGGAAAAACAATCCCGGAGATGCGCGAACTCTACATCTTATCGCAGAATTTTCTAAAACGCTTGGATCTTTCTGCCGAGTGGAACGAGCTCTACAATATCATTACAAGTGGCTTGGAACTAGAAACCTGTAATCTCGAGAAGGACCTTGTCATGATCAAAGAACAAATTGTTTCCTCTGGCCTTTCAGCAGCACTTGGATCCAGTGCTCGCTCGTGTTCATCTACTTTATTATCTGCCAGCTCCAAGCACAATCTTACTGAAATGGAGTTTTTACTTCAAGCTGTTCTCGACAACCCCATCACTAGCGGGTGTCGTACCATTCCCTATCTCAACGGTGCTCAAAAAATTGTAGTCACTAGGTAAGCATCAGTGCGGCTCAGAACCACACTCAAAACAAAAACAAACAAAAAAAACAAACAAAAAAAAAAAATTTCTAACAAAATATTATTTAGATTTTATGCTGTCCAGGCAAAACTTAGACCTCTTGATATTGCCATAAAATGCTTGCCTGATCGAATTGGGCTTTTTGAGGCAAAGGCAATCAGTGTTTATCCCCGATCATTTATTCAGCTCACAACACGTTATGCTGATCTTCGTGAGCGATTCTATGGCTTGTCAAAAGAATGTCTTAGATTATCCGAAGAACTTGGGGATGAACTTCATTGGAATGAACTTTTTGTTGGGTTATGCAGCAATGCAGAGCGTGCTATGATTGACTATGAACGGGCTTCTAGTGACTCCAAAATTGGATTTAGATCAGTTTCTACTTCTTCTACAATGTCTACAAATTCAACAGTTTCTTTATCTTCTACAACTTCAGCATCTTCTTCTGTATCATCTTCTAATGGTGGATACAAAATTAGTATACAAACTAAAAATGCTGCCGCCAAAACAAATTCTCTTAAAGACTTGAATAAAATTATGTCTTTGCTTAATGGAATGGTGAAACAAAAGGCAATTAAAAATCCTCAATTAATTCGCAAGCGAGACATTCTTCAAGAAAAACTTATTGAACTCAAACATTCCAGTAATTCCTCAACTTTTCATATTGTGTTTGATCCCACACACAAGAAAGCAAGCATTGGCCCCAAAGCCTCTCCTAAACCTTGTATTAATGCCTCATCATCAAAGTACTGCTTACTTCCTTTACCGCGCAAGAATAAACCAAATTTTTCAAACCCGTCAACTTATGCATCGTCATCACGAAATGTTTCAGGTGCATCAACCAATTCAACTGTTTTGTCAGAAGACTCTTTAATGTCATCAACACTCTCATCTCATTGCCGCACAATTTCCTCCTCTTTAACATCACCATCGAGCTCACCTAAATCAGTGCCAATCCAGCTCAAAACGCCAAATTTTGACCGTAACCCAGTTTGTAATGAATCAGAAGTACCAGCACCTTTATCATCTTCTACAACCAGCTCTGCGGTTCCAACAGTTTCTCATGTGCGCAATGATAGCGTTTTGCATGAAACCGCCCTCACAGCTTGCAGCCATTCTAGTGGTAGTGGAAAGACGTTGACGCCGCCTACACCTCCATACATTAACAACACTCCACTGCATGAAGATTCATCACAGCCATTGAGCAATACTGCATCACCAGTGCTACCACCACGGCTAAACCCCTCATTTAGTACTGCATCAGTTTCATTGCAAGAGGAAACTAAGGACGGATCGCCGCGACGCAGGCTAGAATCTGGTGTTGAGTTTTCAGATCCATTTTCTACTTATAAAGGTGGTACTGTTGCTGCATTACTTTCTATTGGCGAATTTTCTTCGCCTCGCTTGACACCAGTTCCTGTATTTTCTTTAGGAGTTGAGCCTCAAACACAGCTGCCTCTCAAAAACAAACTTCAACCTGGGTTTGTCCCCGAAGAATTATTTTGTAATTCTCCTACACTTGATCCTCGTGTAATTGGAAGTTCAAAAACTGATTCTAGTTTGCCACTGAAATCTGATATTCGCCAAGAACTTTTACCAGAACTGACTATTAGTCCGAGCAGAAGCAATAAACGCAAATCATGCGAACTTGGATCACCTTCAAAATATAGTGTACAAATTGTGCGAAACGGTCTAAAACAACAACCGGTTTCTGAATCTTTGACCATAACTAAGTCACCTTTAGTACGTGGAGGAAATCAAATGTCATTAATCTCATCACGGAAAGCTTCTCAGCGTGCGCGCAAAATTTCAGATAAAATGAATACTGCAGCGATGTCTCCAACATTTTTCCCCAATGATGTGACGACTGTGACACCTGGAAGAGTGTCACAGATGCATAGATACAATCCTAGCACAGCCTCCTCTTTGACTGAAGAATCTCTTTACAAGGCTGCCATTGTATCATCAACTCCTTGCTCGAATTTAGGCTCTGCAAAACAACACAAGCAATCTTATAGTGGCTCAAGTCGCATATTTCATATTCCTCCACCTCAACGTTTGTCCAGTTTGTTTGGGAATGAACTATGGCCAGTATCCCTCTCTTCATCTCCAATGGCTGAGCGACAAGTATTAGGAGAAAGCAGTGGGAACATTGCAACACCACCACCATCACATAAAAATTCTGGTAAAACCAAGTCGCAACAATTCGTTCCAACGCATGGGAAGCGTGCCAGTACATCAGGATTCTTTGCACGGTTATCACATACTTTTTCTCCTGAAACAGAGTTTCACGTTCCATCCACTTCTGTTTTAGATAATAGTGTTGCAAGCACCCCTGGGCTTTGTATGTCTCCCTTTATGCTTGATGACTCTTTTGAGTCTCGCATAGATAAACAGCGAAGCTATGGAAATGCAAACGGAAGTAGTATTAGCATTGGTAGCAGTGCAAGTGGAAACAGCAGTGGTGGAGGATCTGGAGGATCTTGTGATGAATCTCAAGTAATTGACAGACGGTATCGTGTTATGCCATCTAATTTGGTGATTCATAAACCTTTTCAGGTAGGAGATGATAGCGAAAATCATGTTGCTACTAGTACACCTAATACGGACACTTTTGAAGAGCAAAAACCATTTTCTGCTGGAGCATATCATATCCTTGAAGTGAATCCAGAAATAGTGGTTCAGGATCACATCAGTATTACTACAAGTCGTGGAACAGTCAAAGATGGGCAGGAAGGCATAAATTTACCTTCAGGAAGTACACCATCCATATCTTTTATGCCCTTTTCTCGTGGAGGCTCTCGGCCATCATCTATTGCTAGTTTCTCATCAGTATTTTCTTACACGTCTTCACTTGCTGGAAACACAAGCTCAGGTGATAACTCTCAGTCTTCCTCAGGCTTGACCCTTCCTCAATTTCAAATTCATGGTCAAAATCAGAGTCCTCAACTGCAAATCCAAATCCAACAACAGCAGGGACGACCACAAATATATGACAATTATATCATTCCGTCACCAACGGCTCCAACAGTGTTTTTCTCCAACCTGGCGACGGAGGCACGCACTAAGAAGCCTAGAACAACTAGCACGTCAATGACACGATCTAACTCTAATTCGAGTTATGAATCGTTGCGACAGTACCAGCGACACGCACGTGTTGCTCAGGCTGCGGCACAGGCTGCGCTGGCGGCACAGTCGCAGCGCGAGTAAGAATTTAAAGTATTGACATTGAAATCCTAGAGCGGACTAGGACACAAGATGGAATACTTTATGTATTATTTATTTATTTATATTTATTTATTAAAGAAGATATATTCGTTCAACAACAAATGTATCTTTCTTTTGTTTGCATATTTTGTTAACACTTTCTTGCTTTTAATATAATGTTTAATTTTGCTCACTTGTTTATTTTATCATTAACTCTACGGGCTTCCCAGGCAAACAGGCAAGCCTACTCTTCCGTACAGTCTAACGAGTCTGCAGGTAATTTATACAGGCATTTGATTTTTGTTTTAATTTACTTGCGAATAGAGGAAGTCCAGCTTTCCGAACCAAAAATGCGGGTGAAATAGGATTCCTTTTCGCGCTCGATTATCTCCTCTTCATTAAACATTCGTAACTGGCCGTCTGGTGTCATTTCGCCAACTTGCCTTCGCTTTTCCTGACCCATGATAACTAAAAGAAGTTTTTTTAGAAACAAATCTTTTTTTAAATAATTTTCTCGAAAGTATACTTACGTCGCTTGTAGAGGCCATACGAGGACACAACCATAAGAGGAATTCCGAGCAGAATCAAGTGAATGCTGATAGATTAGCGCAATGCGCCTATGAAAAGATTTTAAAACAAAACTTTGAAAAAACTAATTACTTACCTGCGTTGTTTATTAGGATCAATTTTGGGAGCTGTTTTCTGAGCTTGTTTAGCGGCAGCAGCTGCTGCAGAAAGTGGTGGTCGGGCCATTTTGCTTTCAAAGCCAATAATTTTGGTGGGATTGCTTGTAGATTTTTTTTTTTTTTTTTTGGGTTATGAAGTTACTGGTGAATTTTTTCATGGCCAAGAAGCAAGTTTATCCGAATCAACAGTTACACGGGATTTAAAATATTTCACACGGTAATTTATTCTTTTACACGGTATAAATTCACGTGCTTAAAAAAAAAATAAAATAAAAAAAAATTTTAAACCTCCGGTGATAAGAGTCACTAGCGTACCGATTTGAGTCCTTGCACACAAAAGACTATTTAAACCTCACGGAATCCTGGAAAACTTTTTTTCTTCTTTTTTTTTTTTTCCCCTTTCGTTTCTATTCATCACTTTTAAAAAAGTTTTCCTTTTGCCTTCCATGTTTTCATCATCTTTAAGGTCACTGCGCGCAGTTCGTGCAGAGCGTATTGTTCCTAAACTGCGGCATCTCGCAGCAACTAAACCCTCGGTTCCTCTCGTGTTTTCGGCAACACGATCCTTCAGCAATGCTGCCCGTCTCCTTGATGCTGAAAAGATTGACGGCAAAGCAATTGCAAAGTATGTTTTCTTTGATCGAAACTTAAAATCCATAACTAATATAAAATTTTCAAAGGTTGATCCGTGAAGAAGTCCACACTGAAATTGATTCATTGAAAGCTTCCACTCCTTCTTTCAAGCCTAACCTTGTCATTATTCAAGTGGGAAGTCGTCCTGATTCTTCTGCTTATGTTCGTATGAAGCTTAAGGCTGCTAAGGAGGCTGATATTCTTTGCGAGCACCGTAATCTTCCTGAGGATATTACCGAGGCTCAACTTTTGCATCACATTGAAAAGCTCAACGATGATCCTTCAGTTCATGGTGTTTTAGTTCAGCTGCCTCTTCCTAAATCAATCAACGAAACCACTATTACCAATGCTGTTATCACTGAAAAGGATGTTGACGGTTTCGGTCCCATCAATGTTGGAGAGCTTGCTAAGCGCGGCGGCTCCCCCCTCTTTGTTCCTTGCACCCCCAAAGGTGTTATGGTCCTTCTTGAGCGCTCTGGTATTGATCTTCGTGGTAAGCGTGCAGTTGTGATTGGCCGCTCTGACATTGTTGGAAACCCTGCTTCGTATCTCTTGCGTAACGCCGATGCTACTGTCACTGTCTGCCACAGCAGAACACAAAACCTCCCTGATGTTGTTCGTGAAGCTGATGTTGTCGTTGCAGCCATTGGCAAACCAGAATTTGTCAAGGGTGACTGGATTAAGCCTGGCGCTATCGTTATTGATGTTGGTATCAATTATATTCCTGACGCTACCAAGAAGTCTGGAAAGCGTCTTGTCGGTGATGTTGAATATGAATCGGCCGCCAAGGTCGCCTCCAAAATTACACCTGTTCCAGGTGGTGTTGGTCCAATGACTGTCGCCATGCTTATTAAGAACGTTTTGGACTCAGCAAAGCGTTCTCTTGATGCTGAGTCTCACCGTCATATTACTCCTCTTCCCCTTGAGCTTAAGACTCCGGTTCCTTCTGATATCGCCATTTCTCGTGCTCAAGAACCCAAGCATGTCCGTGCTGTTGCAAAGGAGATTGGTATTACCGAGCACGAGTTTGAGCCTTATGGAGCTTACAAGGGCAAGGTCAGCCTTGATGTTCTCGACCGTCTCAATGATAGAATCGATGGTAAATATGTCCTTGTAGCTGGTATCACCCCTACTCCCCTTGGTGAAGGAAAGTCTACTACTACCGTCGGTCTGGTTCAGGCTCTTGGTGCTCATCTCAATAAGATGGCCTTTGCAACTGTCCGTCAACCCTCCATGGGCCCTACTTTTGGTATCAAAGGTGGCGCTGCTGGCGGCGGCTACTCTCAAGTCATTCCCATGGATGAGTTCAATATGCATTTGACAGGTGATATTCATGCTATCTCAGCTGCCAATAACCTTCTTGCCGCTGCCATCGACACCAGAATGTTCCACGAAAACTCACAGAAGGATGCTGCCCTTTACAAGCGCCTGGTTCCTGCAAAGAATGGTGTCCGCAAGTTTACTCCTAGCATGCTCCGCAGATTAAAGAAGCTTGGTATTGACAAAACCGACCCTAATTCACTTACTCCCGAAGAAATCACTAAGTTTGCCAGACTTGACATTGACCCCGATACCATTACATGGCGCAGAGTTGTTGACTGTAACGACAGAATGCTTAGAACTATTACCATTGGTGAGGGCAAGGCCGAGAAAGGTCAGACCAGAGTCACTGGCTTTGACATTTCAGTCGCCAGTGAGTGCATGGCCATTCTTGCGCTTTCTTCTTCCCTTAAGGATATGCGTGAACGCCTTGGCCGGATGGTTGTCGCTAGCAGTAAGCAGGGTGAACCCATTACCTGCGAAGATATTGGCGCCGGTGGTGCTCTTACTGCTCTCTTAAAGGATGCTATTAAACCCAACCTCATGCAAACTTTAGAGGGAACTCCAGTGTTTGTTCACGCTGGTCCATTTGCAAACATCAGTATCGGTGCTAGCTCTATCCTTGCTGACAAGATTGCTCTCAAACTTGCCGGTACCCACGAAGGTGAGAATAGAAAAGAGAAAGCTGGTTACGTTGTTACTGAGGCTGGTTTCGACTTCACCATGGGCGGTGAGCGTTTCTTTAACATTAAGTGCCGCACTAGTGGTCTTAGACCCGATGCCGTTGTCATTGTGGCCACAGTTCGTGCTCTTAAGCTCCATGGTGGTGGTCCTGACGTCAAGCCTGGTGCCTCTCTTCCTGAAGAGTACCGCACTGAAAACATTGAGCTTGTTAGAAACGGTGCTCGTTCGAACTTGCGCAAGCAGATTGAAAACGCAAAGTCTTATGGCAGCCCTGTAGTTGTCGCTATCAACCGGTTTGTGACTGATACTGATGCTGAGCTTGAAGTCATTCGAGAGGCTGCTCTTGAAGCTGGTGCCTTTGATGCTGTTCCTACTAACCACTGGGAACAGGGTGGTCTTGGTGCCATTGATCTTGCTCAGGCAGTTATTAAGGCTACCGATGCTCCCAAGACCACTGAGAAGATTAACCTTCTCTACTCTACCGAAGGCACTTCTCCTGAAGAGAAGCTCAATATCATTGCCCAGAAAATGTATGGTGCTGCTGGTGTCGAGCTCAGTGAAGTCGCTAAGAAGAAGGTCGAGACATATACTAAACAGGGCTTTGGAAACTTGCCTATTTGCATTGCTAAGACTCAGTACTCTCTGTCACACGATCCCGCTCTTAAGGGCGCCCCAACTGGTTTCACTGTTCCCATTCGTGATCTCCGTGCATCAGTTGGTGGTGGTTATCTCTATGCTCTTGCTGCTGAAATTATGACCATTCCTGGTCTCCCCACCCACGCTGGTTTCATGAATGTCGAGGTCAATGAGGATGGTGAAATTGAAGGATTATTTTAAAAAAACGATTGGAAGGAGAATAAAATAAAATATTCAACATTATAGAGGATTTTTTTTATATATATAGATAGGTGTATTTTTAATATTAAGCGGGTTCAACACCGTTTTTAGTTTATGTTAGATTTTTTGGCCCACAAAGTTAAGCCCATTTTCTAGAATTTCGGACTAGGGGAAAATTTTTGGAAGTTGTCTTCACCACCACTACACAACCACCTGCTTATAAAATTTAAATACCCCGCGAAACAAATACCAACGATGCTGAGGTTCCACACAGCCAAAGTTTCTTCACCTTCTTTGTTAGCTGGAAGATATTTTTCTACGACCTTTCTTTGCCGTAATTCAGAGTCACCCAAGCAGCATATTCTCCAATATTTACGCGAGCCCGGCGATGATCCTGACCGCTACCTTGACGAGAATGGAACCTTTGGCGGCCGCATAATTCGACCTCAGGATGAGCGTTTATATTCACATACAAATGTCCTCGAGCTTATAGACCGTCCTGAACCAGCTTTGGATCTTATACCAACTCTTAAACGTCGTCAAGCCATTTCCGAACCGGGGCTCTTTGCTTCTCAAGCTGACGCAGACCGTGCAGTCGCTGTTCTTGACCGTGTTAACGAGCTAGGCGCTTTGCCGACATGGCATCAAGTCACTGCCAAAGAGTACTACAATGACTTCGATGACGCTCAGTACGATTTTGAAACACAGTTGACTAAAATTCAGGAACTCAAAAGCGGTGATAGCGTTGTTGTAATTGGCGCAGGTATCTCAGGTCTTTCACTGGCATGGTTTTTGGGTCATGCCAGACCAGATCTTGACATCACTCTCCTTGAAAAAAACGAAAAAGTTGGTGGCTGGATGCGTACCGAAAAAATTACGCTTCCGCCATCTCAAAATAAGGACCCATTAGATGACGAAGAGCCAATGGAACGCACTGAATACAATGAATGGGGTCCTAGAACACTACAGGGTGGCCATTTAGGTTCAGCCCTTGTTCGTATCATGCTCACAAAACTTGGAATTGTTGACGATGTGCTCAAGGTTGTGCCTAAAACTTCTGCTGCTAATCGCAAAGGTTTATTGCATAAGGGCTCTCCATTCCAGCTACCTTCCTCAACTGGCGAGCTTTTTGCTTTTTTATCACACCCATCCATTACACGTGGTATTAAGCTTGCACCTTTTCGCGATTTGATTGCGCCTTCTCGTGACCCTAGCGTTCGTGACGAGTCGGTTGACTCTTATGTGACCCGCCGTTTTGGTGCTAAAGCTGCCGAACGTTTTGTTTCTGCCATTATGCGCGGTATTTATGCTGGTGATTCCGGCAAACTTTCTGCTCGCTCAGTTGCACGATTAGGCAAAATGTACCCTACTGAAGTTGATAATCCTAGTATGTTGTCAAGTATGATTTCTGGCTCAGGTCGTCGCAGTGAAATGTATTCTGCTCATGCCCAAACACTTCTTGCTCATGCAATGGTTGATTTGCCCTTTGAAGAAGTCCTTAAGGAAATGTCTAAATACTCTGTCGGTGTATTCAAAGATGGGATTCAGTCATTGGCGGAACTACTAGAGAAAGATCTTGCAGAAAATTTTAAAAATGTGCATATTCTTAAACGAAACACTGTCCTGGGGCTTAAAAAAGATCCTGAATCATCAACAATTACTGTTAAATCAAAAGAAGATACAATTGGTCTTGAAAAGGAAATTAAGGCTAACTGGGTTGTTTCAACAATTCCAGGTTATCATGTCTCCAATATTCTTAAGTCTACAGACCTCGAACTCTCTGAACAAATTGACAAGTCTTTGACATATTCTAGTGTTGGCGTTGTCAATGTCACAATTCCTAATAAGTTTATTGGCAGAAACTGGTTTGGATATCTTGTTCCTAAAGAAGAGGATGCTCTTGGAAATAATCCTCATGGTCTTCTTGGTGTCATTTTTAATACAGCAGTACGAACAGCTGCTCGTGATATTAACAGAATACCCCTCCCTCACCCCTTTGAAGCTATGACTATCCAGAAAAAGGATTCCCCTCAGGGTGAATCTTTCCTTGATAATTACGATCCCCACCGCTACGAAGACGAACACTTACGCAAGGTGTTATTTACTGATGCGCCTGAGTTTGACAAAAATCAAAACCCAGTAGTTAAAGAGCCACCTTTACCTGACCACAGCAACATCACTCTTATGTTTGGTGGACACCTATGGTCAGATCTCTCACCAGACCAAATTCCTACTGCTGAAGATCTTATCGAATTTACTAAAGACGTTTTCAAAGCTCACCTTGATGTAGATCTTGATGCGGAACAAGATGTCGATTTCAAGGTTAAAATTCAAGAAAAATGCATTCCTCAATACACTGTGGGTCATCGTGAACGCATGCAAACAATTAAAGATGCAGTTTCTCAAAAGTATGATAATAGGCTGACGCTTACGGGTATGTCGTTTGGTAGAGGTGTAGGAATCGGTGATAATGTTCTCGATTCTTTCTGGTTGGCTGCTAGACAAACCGAAGAACGTAAATTGCTCTACCCTGCTTTCTATCTCAACCAGTGGCTTTCCTTGAGTTATCCATCGCTGCTCAAATAAAATGTATATATTATTTGTAAATATTACTGATTTCCATTTCATAAAAAAAAAAATTAAAAAATCTAACGCACGAACAACAGAAACAAGATACAAAGGGTGATAATACCAGCCAAAATCAAACTATCTCTTTTCTTACGTGTATTGACTTTAGAAATGAGAGTATTAATTCCAGGAACCTGCCCTAGTGTATTTTGCAACCTTCGTTGGACATTAGAAAGACTTTGTCTTTGTCGTGCAAATTCTTCTCGTGTTTCATAGGCTTGTGCTAAAATTGAATCAGCCATACTATGAGAGTTATCTATTCTGTTGCGCTCTGAAATCATGTAATCTGAGTCGCTCATGCCTGCTTCTCTTCCGCTTCCATTGCTCTCGCGTGCCCTATGCAACTCAATGTCTGTGCGAACAGACGATAGCAGGTTTGTGCGCACTCGCTCCTGTTTGATGCTGTTGATTAGTCTGATATAATCTGCTCTGTTTTCCGCCAAAGTTTCTTTGTGGCGTTGCAGCTGGTGATCTTTTGTAATTGAAGGTGTGTCTTCAGAGTTTACAGTCCGAGCAAGCGTAGCTATGGTTTCCTCTCTCTAAACTAAAATGTTAAAATTCGTGCTCAGAAATAATGATAAATTACGCACTTTTGCCAAATTCTCTTCAATGTCCTTGCTAAGGCGTAGCTCTTCTTCCGTTGCAGATGAACTTATACTTTGAGCAAAACTGGAAAAGTCAGATAGTAAATGCTGGGAATCAGTCTCCAGCGATCGGAGCTGTGCTCGGAGTTGTGAAAATGTGGCCATGATAAGATGGTAAGAGAAAAGGGGGTAGAAATGTGATCCGGGGTAATAAAAATGATCAAATGGTAATCGGAACAAATTTTTCAAAAAATTTACTCCTTAAAAAATAACTCAGTAAAACCAAGCGTAATTTTTTATTTTTTGGTAATGAATACTTGTTCGCGTTGCTCTTGGGTAGATACGATAGTCGTGGGGGTCGGAAACGTAGAAAGGCAAAATTTCTGGACGCGGTTTTGTTGATGAGGTGTTGTTTTCTGTAATTTCTGTAAAAAAAAGTGTTCACGTGAGCAGGACTTAACACTTAAACTAAAAAAAAAAACACCCAAGCCCCCTGACTCATCTTCAATATGAAGTCACGTTATTTATAATGTGCTAATTAGGAAACGTTTATAACTTAAATTTACAACACTAGATTAAATGCATTTGACTTTGATCGAAAGATGTTTTCATATCTAAATAAATTTCTTAAAATAAATTAAAATAAGATGAGAGAATGACGTTGATACCCTTGTAGGATAAAAAATTATATATCTTATCCCACTGTCTAACCATATCTGATACAAGAAACATGAACATCATGTAATAAAAATTATCTTCAAATTAGATACCAAACTCATTAAGCTATCGATTATACGAAACTTTTTTAAAAAAAGTCGATTTAGATGATATTACATAGGTTTCGGTCAAGCTTGAAGTTTTTCTATTATTATACCTTAAATGAATTTTAGGATTTGTAAAATAGAAAATTTGGATGGAAATAATAAGCTTGGATATATTAAGCTGAAGTTTATTTAGTTGAAAAAAAATATCACTAAGTCAAGTTATCATTCAAGCAATCTGTCTAATTTTTTGAAACTGAAAATCAATAAAATTATTTTTACTAATATTTTTTTTTTTCATTTCTGTGATAGATTTCCATGATTTTGTTTTTAATATGTATTTGGCACATATTCCAATTAATAATAATCCACAATTTTAACCTCGGGAACCCGATAAGCAGTAGCAGGAAAAGTTGCGTTGATTTTAAATACTAACCAATTTCCTGAATAATTAAGAATCTGGAATTGATTGTTGTTTGCAAAATAAAATGTACCATTTTTTACATCAAAATTTTCAGGACCAACTTTATTAGAAGAAGCAACAAGTTGATTCTTATCAATAGTCAACCAACTATCAACTCCTCTAACACGAATTCTGCCATTTGGAAGTTGAAATTCTACAAAATGCTTGCTGGATGTAAGATACCAACCTAAAGGACCATCTGTTGCAGAAAGAGGGCGGTTTAAAAAGTACTCATGTGTTTCTGTTAGAGAGAATTAGACAGCTTTATAAGGCTCAATAAGGGCTTGAGAAGCACCAGCAGTAAAAAAAAAAAAAGCGAAACAGTATATATTTTCATTGTCAAAAAAAAAGGATGATATTTTTATATTTTGTTTTTGGGGAAATCACAAGGAGCTTTTTTTTTAGTATTTAAATACATATAAATTTATAGATTTTAGAAACTCAGTATTAATTGACATTTTTGGAAATTTAAGGAAAGTCATAATACACAATTATCCGATTCGCTAAAGTCTATGAAAGAGGTAATTACCTCTTTATAAAGAGTATCATGCTAATAAAAATTCGTTAGCATCGATCTATTAAAACTGCTTAATTTTTTTTCAATTTTTTTTCTTTTGTACTCGAGTTTATTTTTACTGTTAATATATATATTGCATTAACTAGGACTAAAAAATATAGTTAAAAATCCTCTGGCCAGTAGGATTTCCTTCGTATATTTTTCCTTTCATTTGACATTTGTGAAATTGTCAAAAGACAACTCAATAGTAATGGACAGCAATTTTAACACTGGGTCCAATGTAGGCTGTTGCAGGAAAGGTAGCATCACTGGTATAGACAATCCAATTTCCTGACTCATTCAAAATAGAAAAAGTATCAGAACCATTAAAAACAAGGTTACCTTCTGAAGTGACATCAAAGTTGGCAGGGCCAGTAGTTTGAGCAGAAACAACAGCAAGTTGCTTTGCACTATTAATTGTCAACCAAGTGTCGACACCTCCGACACGAATACGACCATCAGGAAGTTGATACCCCACAAAGAGAGTACTAGAGTCAGGGTAAAATCCGATAGCATTTGCAGGGGATCCAGAAGAAAGGGGACGGTTGACAAAACGTTCATGTGTAGAGGTAAAGGAAAGTTGTACACTTTTAGAAGGTTGAATTTCTGCCTGAGCAAGGGCAAAAAAGGCAGACGCAAGAGCAAAAAACTTCATTTTGAATTGTTAACAGATTTAGTTTTGAATTATAGAATAAGTATGAAAATAAAAAATAAAGAATATTATAAAATAAAAAATGTTTCGATATGATAATGAAGAAAAAGAATTAAAAAGTTTTATTAAACTAGACTTATTTAGATATTTATATTTCAACTTTTAAAAAATAAAAATATTTTAAAATATTTAATATATATTGATCTTTTTCAAATTAGCAAACACAATTATCCCATGTTAGTAAAAAGGCTCAGTGTTTTCTATTTTTACTTTTATTCATATTCATATTTCTAATTTTGGCTCTTTCTGATGCAATTAAAAGAGTTTTTCGATCACTACTAAAATATATTTTGCTTGATTATTAAAATAACAAGGGTTTGATTGATCGTCGGATATAGAAAGTTCGATATATTTTGAATGACGATTTCAAAACTAAAAATACACTCAAAAATATGGTGTAATTGTTTTTTTTTTCTCCACCTTCTCTACCAAATTTTAAACCAAAGACCTGGTTGAAGTTTATTTCTCTTGCTCCCGTGTTAATTTTTAAATGCTATTTTGCCGTGAACGGCTCTAATATTTATCACAGGCCTCATGACGGTGGCGATTTTCAAGCTATGATTTCATAAAGTTAATCTGATGATGGTAAAAAAAAGTAACAGGTCAAAAAATTGCTTTTATTATGCAAATTTTAGTGATATTCTTTCTTTTTTGTATGAAAGATATAAAGAATCATAAAATATGGTATATAGCATATATGCTATTTTGTAAAAAAAAAAAAAAAAAAGGAAGGAAAATAGAAGCACATTTTTTTCTTAGAAATAAAAAATTTATTTCATGTTCTTTGGAAAAGCTATTGAGCCTTTTAAAATGAACCAGTTATTTCAACCGTTATATTCTTGAGTTCCTTTTATTGAAAATTAGACAATAATTTTTAGGGGAACTGCCACTTGCTTTGTTTTTTTATGAAATGACGCACTTGGCAGCAAAATATAATTAAAGATAAATTATGCATGAAATAAACTGTTGTTTATTAAAATTATGTATTCAGTGGGTATGATGGGTATGATATTGGCACAGATTAAAGTTTTGAGAGTTGTTAAGTCTCATTGTTAATCAACTGTTGAAATATGAATCATACCGGTAATAATTTCACAAGTTTTGCTATAAACAAATATTTTCAATCTTTGGAAAATCAAAAGTCTTGATTCAACTGTATTTAAAAATTGAAATTTTATTACAAACACAAATAGCACAATAAATTAAGTTTCAATTGCTTTCAGCAGCCCATGGAAAAAACTATTTCTTTATTGAAGTGAATTATAAATTCGATTTGTGATCAATTTACATCTGGTTTTGTTTATTTAAATCTACAAATTTTGTAGATCGTTACCATCCCCAGAATTTAGATGTTCAGATGATTCGATTTGAATACGCCTTTTTTTACGGTTCAATGGAAAGTTCAAAAATTCTACAGAGGCAGATTTGAAAGAATCTAATTATAGCACCCGTGAGTTGTTAAAGTTTTAATAATTGTAATACCGAAAAAGCAGAAATTAACCGACGGTTATTGCTATTTTTTTTTCGTTTTTCACTTTTATCTAGAAATTACAAGAAAATACAACTGAACTTGAAAAAAACAAAGTTAAGTTTGTTCATTCGCATCAATATTATAAGCTTTTTTATATAATTCTTTTTTATGCTAGATTGAAGATCAAATTGAAATATGATTTTTATTAGAATCAAAATCTTTTTTAAAATTGTAAAAAAAACTATTTTTTTTTCATAATTTGCAAATCAAACATTAAGGCTCTATGTCTAATTTCCTTTGCACTATTTCAAATAAAAATGGTGAGCATTTTTAGTAAAAAGCAGTATAAATAAAAGGCATATTTCTTAATGAAAATATTTTTAGTGGTCTATTTTATTTATATTTATTCATCATGATGATAATAAATGATCATTTATTTTAAAAACAGGCCAATATATTAAATAAATAAAATGAAGTTTTCAGCAATCCTTACTGTCCTTTTTACCATAGGAACTCAAGCAGCCATTATTCCTAATAGAGGTGTTCAATTGAGTTTTGACACTACTGATTCCTATCTTGCTAACAGACCTTTGTCTTCTCCAAATAACAATTGTCCTATTGGATGGTATCCTAGTGAAAATATTCTCTTTACAGGCTTTTCTCTTCCAGATGGTCGCATTAGAGTTGGAGGTGTCGATACCTGGTTGACTTTTGATTCTGCCGGACGTCTTGTTGTTGCATCAGGAACTGGTCCTGCTAATTTTGGTGTTGATGAAAACTATCATCTTAGATTTGACAACTCTGATTCCTTTAAGGTTGGAAATGAGGGTGGAAACTATATTGTTTATGGTCCTAGCGCAACCCTTCCTTCGACTTCACAGCCTAGTCCTCAAGTTAAAATCCGCGTCAATTACAGTTAAAAACCATCAGTTCCGGGTTATAATTAATTCACATTTATTTATCTAATTAAAAATAAATTTGAACTTTGTTTAATAAAAATATTTACAATTGTAACAAAATAGTCAGATTAAGAACTCCCTTACTATTCTTCTTGTTTTAACTGTATTTTTTTAATTTAATTAGATGTGGTTTCCAACAACTAAAAAGTAATCTAACAAAAAAGAATTCTTGCTTTTTTATTTTAATTTAAAGGTTATAAAAATATTTGGCATCAGTACCAATTCTATCCTTTTTTCTCTTACTATATATATATATATATATCTTTTTGATTTTGCAATAAACTTTCATTTGGACTTCAACATTGCATCTTCAACTGCCCCAAAATAAACCCTGATCCCAGCTTGCAGAGATCGGGGAGTCAAAAACCTAATTTTCCCACACACTAATTTTCTTTATCGACTTTGTTATTACTCTATGCAAAATTTCTTCAACAATTTTAGCTTAGTCATCAATTTGTTCTGTCTATTTCAGAGCCTTATGCACATTAAACTCTTTAACAGAATATAAAAGATATTTGTCAAACTTTTCCCATTCAACCCTTTTATATATTCAATCTTTACACAGAAGTTAAATTTTCATCCTCATTTTTATTATAATAATTATGAGAAATAAAATTGTCCCACTCCACGATTGAGTGATCACTTGGTGTATTTTCATTAACTCCACTAAATGAACTTCTATAAAGTAAGTCTACAAAACCATAAAGCAAATTAATTTTGATTTATGTAATTTGTCTGTATGCTTGTTTGTTTGTATTCAAGGATCATAGAATTGTTCGATATTAGTATCTGCGTTATCCTTTTTGTTCTTACTATATATGTCTTCTTTTTCATGATAAACTTTTGATTTGACTTCAACATTGCATCTGCAATATCCCAAATAAAATCCTAATGCCAGGATTACAAAGTTTAAAAAGTTAGTTACCATACTAACCTAACTTATTTCCGTTAGCAGCATTGTTTGTTTGTTTGTTTTTATTCAAGGGTTATAGAACTATATAACATCAGCATCTGCGCTATCCTTTTATTGTCTGACTATGTGACTTGCCGGTTTTCATTTGTACCTTTTTAGTACGGGTGGTTTCTGTTCTGTGCGTCTCCGGTAGCCCGGAAGATGGGCCCTGATGCCAGCTTACGAGGAACAGGGAGAACCAGTCTGTCGGTCCCAAAACCTTCCCAACCCATTTCCACTTATCTTCACGGACGCCCATGTATTTCTTAATCTCTTCCGTCAGAGATACGGCCCGCAATCACCTGCAGGCTATTTAGACTGTACGGAAGAGTCGGCATTCCTGTAACCAGGGTAGCCTATGGTTTTTCAGTCTAGGTGTATACTCCCGTACACATCCTCAGGAAAAGGGGGTATTCTGGGAATCGAACCCAGTATCTTCCGCTTTCGAGCGAACGTGTTATCCTTTACACCATCCAGCCCTTTCCCACCCCGTTAGCAGCAAAAGTTTTAATGAAAATTATCATTTCTTATCGGTTTTGTCTTTTAATTACTAGTGAATATATTTTCATAATTTAAGGCAATCTGGCCGAGTTGGTCTAAGGCGTAGGATTAAGGTTCCTATCTCTTCGGAGGCGAGGGTTCGAATCCCTCGGTTGTCAATTTTTGCTATATCAATTGTTATATATATATATATAAAATTTGTATAGTTTTATTATTTTTTGCAAATATTTGTAAAAAGGTAAAGATTGAAAAATCTGTAATAGTGATGTGTTTTAGTGGATTTGGGTAAAAAAATTGTAAATTTGAGAATTTTGTGGCAGTTGTTTTAAAAGACTGGATAAGAAATTGATGCTGCTCAATGGCAAAAAAAAAAAAAAAAAAAATGAGCATCAAATTCGTTACCCATCTTCTATCATCAATAAAAATAGTGCATTTAAAACAGGTTGCTAAGACTTTTAAACATTGTCTAAAGTCCATTGTAACTGTTAATTTAATATTGGATGTCTTGAAAGTATTACATATTATCAAATTCATCTATTTTTTTGTTTTTAATAGTATATTAAAAATATTACCTATCTTAAATTAAGATCTATAAACTCATTCCTTAACTAGATGTTTTGATTTATTATTTTGTAATCGAATTTTCGCTTATTTGCTATATATATATTCAAATGATCATGATTTCAACTATGGAACAATATATTCCAAGTAATTGCAGTAAATCTATATAATTTTTGAATAAGTGTTACAAAATATATTACAATTTACTATTTGTAATAAATGAATGTAACGATACAAAAATGTAATATCATTATTAACCTCTAAAAAAATACAGTAAAATCAATTTTGTAAAGATTTTTCATGATAATGTAAATCTATGAATTCAAGTACAATAACCTATGTGAAAATAAAACTGATTTTTTAATGATAATCCTGCTAGTTTTAATATTTTTCTAAGTTTTTTGTTGTCGTTGTTGTTGTAAATTTTTTTTTAAATTTTACAAAAAAACATTTATTATTATTGTTAAATGTTTTGATTTAACAAAATTGAATCTACAAACTTTTCTAAAATGATTTATTGTAATCTATGGTAATAGTATTTATCTAATGTAGACTTTTTAAATACTAAAAATTGCTGATTTATAAAAGTTTTGCAGATTTGGGGTATTGTTTAATAAGTGACTTAGCTATTTACAAAAATTTTGGAAGAGTCTTATTTTCCAATCGTCTAAATTGTAGCAGTCTAAAGAAAACATTTATAAATTATACTATATACATACTTCAAAGAATCTTCATTCTAACATTACCCTTTAATCAATATCTGAAAGAAATACAGCTTAATTACTTGCTCGTTATTGAGACTAAATAATAAAATTAAAACTAAGTACTTTGGAAAAAATCTAGTCCTGATTCAAAAGGTCAAACAAATCAAATTTGATTTTAAGTCCAAGCACTTCACGATATTCAAAAAGTAAAATTAAATAATTTGAAAATTCAAATTTTTAAAGTGGATCATAAACTTTTCAGTAGTCATCAAACATTTATTCTAAGTCATTATAAAATCAAATACATAAAGTGAAAGCAAATAAAAACAATTTCTTTTGGGTAGGTTCATTTGAACCTCAAATTAAAAAAAAAATCAATGTTTTTTTTAGCAGCAACAAGTTTTACTTGGCTTTGCTTCACCAAACTCTCCAGGACAAGCTGGCTTGAAGGTATCACCACCAAACAAAAAGTTGCCCAAGAACCCACCAATGAAGATGCAAATAATGACGTAACCGTTGTAGTACATAGCGAAAAGCATAATAAAGTAAGCTCCAGCATATTGAAGAAGATATAATCCAGCACGAATTGCTTGCGAAAAGATCGATGGTGTGTAGTGAACGGCATTAGGGTTGCTTCTGAGAACTGGGAAGATGGGATCTTGGAGAACGTATTGAATAGCGGGAACATTTTGCTTGAGATTTTGAGAGCCATCGGAGCTGCCATTGTCACGGAATGCAGAGGACTTTTCAGTCCATCTACGAAGAAGGTATCTGTCGTATTCTCTCTGGATGCGTCTAACAATTTCAACAAGAATGCAAATGCAGATGACACCAATACAAGTACCAGCAAACTGACCTCTGGTCTTGACGTGCCATGAACGGGCAAGGAAACATGAGTTAATGGTATACCAGTTCCACAACATGGAAATTTTGCAAGAAGAACCAGAGCTCATAGACATGGACATTGAAGAAGAGGTAGAAGAAGCTGAAGCGGCAGCAGTAGATGCACTAGCACTCATACCAGACATTCCAGACATGCCAGACATTCCGGTAGCAGTAGCAGAAGCTGAGGAAGCCATAGACATAGCGGCAGTAGCAACAGCAGAGGAAACGGTAGAAGCCATCGACATGCCAGACATGCCAGACATTCCAGACATGCTGGAGGCAGTTGCAGTTGCTGAAGAAATGGCAGAAGAAATTGTTGAAGCCATTGACATGCCGGACATACCAGTCATGCTAGCCATGGTGGAAATTGCAGATGCGACTGAGGAAGTCGTAGTTCCCATATCCATTCCGTCCATTGTGAATCACTAGTTGAATATATTAAGATGCAAGAAAGTTTAAAAAAGTGAAAAGAAAAACAAAAAAAAAAAATCAGCAAAGGTGGGCAATTTGTCTATTGAACAACTTGTCTTTTGAAATCTATTGTATATATTTATTTACAAGATCGAAATTATTCAAAAAAAAAAAAAATTATAGAACTAGCCACGATATTTATATGTCATGTACGTTTAATTGCATCCCCTCCTTGGAAAAAACTTTGACTGAACCTGAGCCTTGGCTGATACTAGCTGCGTATAGCAAATTGTCAAAAATCCCAAATTGGGAAAATTTATTTGCTCATGATGGTTTAAAGAAGGTGGTGTAATTTGCTCATATGCAGGACACCAACCGCCAAACCCCACAGACCTGCGGCGTAAGGCTACCTAATTCGTTCAAACACCCGAAAATATCATCCTCGAAGCTTGTCCATCCGAACATGTAAGCTTGAAAAATAAGAAAATTTTTAATTATTTTTTTTTTCTATTTTAATAGTGGCTGCAAAAAGGGATTTGAATCGGGATTATGGAAACCATTTTTATAAAAATCATTCGAGTTCAGAAAGTTTAACAGATGATAATTTTTTTTTTCAAGCTTTGTTGAATGATTGGTTGGATTTCAAGTGCTTTGTATGGGAAGATTTTTGATATTACAATCTAGAAATAATGAAATCTCGTTGGTTAAAATTTTTTAACAATATTATATTAGTAAAACTTCTAATGTACATTGTTACATCCAATTAATAAAAGAAATCTTCTTCCGAATTCAAGATATCTCGAGATATCTCAAGATAAGCAAACTCATTTTGAAAAGATATCAACTTTGAAAGCTTCAAATTTATGGGAAATTGTTTTAGTTTTTTTTATGGTATATCTTCATTTAATATGAATAGAAAGAATGTCTCTACAGCTACAATTATGATAATAATAATGTTTTCAACGAATTCCAATTGACAATTATATGTTTTCAATATCTTCGAAACAATCAAACAAACCCCTATGTTTTAGAAATTTAAAATATAGTTTTCAACGGTAATATCAACATTGGATAATTAACTAGTTAACTAGTTTACAGATGATAATGCCCATATTATTTCTGTAAAATTAAACTATGTTCTTCTCATCTCATCTCTTACTTGAACCCTGTATTTCTTAAAAAAGGATTTTCAAGTCAAAAAAAGGAAAAAAAACATGCTCACTGTTACTACAAATGACAACGGATGATGATGGCGTAATTCTCACACACCCTATTGTAGGGCTAAAGGTTAATTAAAAGTGTTATACTTTGGTTAGAAATTCTTAAAATACAATAGCCCATTATTTTATTCCATGGATTTGATACCAAGAGCATGGTCTTTTATGAGAAATCATTGGTTATGGTCTATATTTTCAGTTTCACTAGCCGGATATCTTTATGTAGATCATACTGATGTTGAAACTAGATTCAGTGGACCTTCATGTGTTTAATATTTTATCAAGTTTAGTCATTTCATCCCATTAATCTTCAATTATAATTACCAGCTCAACGTATATATCAATTGAAAGAATATTATATCATTATATTATCTTTTAAAAAAAAAAAAAAAAAAAAAAAAACAGTCCTTATTCTGTTATACTATACTGTTATCCTGTATCTCCTATTTCCACCCTATTCTTAAACATAGCCTTAACTTATACGTTTCATTTCTTTGCCCATATTTATATAGTGTCTGTATCATCATAGTAATGCCATGATAGTTTTTACAATCATTTATATCGTATTTATGTTTATACATCTGTATATGACTATCATCATAGTAATATCATGATAGTTTTCACAATCATTTATATCTCATTTATGCTTATAATTTACTTTATTTTTTGAATATAAACTCTTTAATTGTTCCAATTATTATCATGGTTTTAAGTGCCAGAGAGTGTGTGGGTTGGGTGTAGAGGGGGGTGCAAATGAGCTCATTATACTTCCGTTTTGGGAAACAGTATCAACTCAAAAAAAAAAATTCCTTCAATTTGTTTGAATATTCTATATAAATGAATATAAGCATATAAGTAGTCTTTTCAAATCCTTTTGTTCAAGAATTACTTTTTTTTTTCTATTATTATACTCATTAATAAGAAAAAATTTTCATTTATTTTTACTCAAATCTACTAATTATACTTCATAGCCCTTTGTTTGTCGGCACTTTCACTCCTCATTTGTTTTTTTTTCTAAACAAAAACCTCTTGACCTTGACTACGTAACCGCTTTCGAGTTGTATCTGGGTTGCCATCATCTGCAAGTTTTGCAAGAAGTTTTGTCCGTACGATGAGCGGACCAGTAAGTTCTGTCTCAAGCTCAGCAGCTCTAGCAGCAGGCCACAGTGCGTAGTTTTGTTTCGGTAAACTTGTTGCAGCAATAACAGCACTACTACTTGAAACTGCGACATTATTGCTTCCACTCAAAGTGCCGCTTTGTGGACCCAAGCGAAGCATTTCTTTTATTGGCGTAGCTTGAGAATCAACTGGAATACGAGCACGTTTAATGAGTCGTGTTAACACACTCTCGGTGCTTGTTTCCTGAACTCGGAAACGTCGTCCAATAGTTCCCATAAGTACATCATCCACATATGTTCTTACCAAATCGTTAATTGTAGTAGGAGGAATGCCAACCTTGCTCAATAGCAAGTCTACCAAAGGATCCATATAGGTTTGGATTGTTTTGACCACCAGTGCATATGCATCCAAATCGTCTTCGTCCACAACCTTACGTTTAGTCTTATGGGAAGTGGAAGGGTTTTTACGTTTTGTAGATAAGTCAAACGTGTCATTTTCTAGAGCCCGCAAAGATTCAAGCGACAGCCGGTTTATTTTCTTAACCACGAAAAGTTCAAACTCAAAGTACGAAACCCAAAAGTGAGGGAGTGTAGAGAGCAACCCAAACCCAGCAGCCCCTACACTGTTTAGTGATGGAGCAGCAGAAGAAGAGGCAGTCTTGGCCGCAATGATATGATCTTGAAAGTACTTGCGGGCAAGTGCAACGCTTTGAGCAAATAATTGCAACCGGCCAGCTGGATGCTTGGAATGGTTGTAAAGGTGGGCCACAAGTAGAGCCTTAGTGGCCACCAGGAATGTAACAATCTCTGGATAATCTGATATAGGCTTGCTCAGTTTGAGAAGTATTCCTTCTGTTTCTGTTGAGAGATTTGTTTCCCCAAGTAAATTCTCAAGCTCTTGGTCGTTTTCGTCGCCAAGCAGAAACTGGACATACCTCAGAGCACTTCCGATACCACCAGCACGCTTTTCAAGCTCTATCCTATAGAAAAAGGGTTCTGTAAAGTCAACATTTTTCAGCGTTCGTTTGAGTGATGCATCTTTCCATGGACGCGCCCGCTCAACTCGTTCTTTCTTTTTAATTTTTTCTCGCAATAACGATGCTGTCTTGTCTTCATTGTATGTGGCTGCAAGTGTCATACCCTCGCAAGCTTCTTCTTGCATGGCTTGTAAGATATCACGCGCACGAACTATTTCTCCAAGTGATTCTTCAAACATTGAGTATTGGAATCGAATAAATGGTCTTGTGACAGGGACATAAATGTTAGATGCACGTCGATACACGTTGCGAGTGTCTTCATAAAGTTGTTGACTTTGTTCCTTGAATTTCCCCTCTGGTTGCGCATAAGCTCGAGCCAGTGAGTAAAGCCAGCGCACGTAACGTAGCCATATAGAGTCATAAAGAGCACATGGGATTAAAGCACGCTCATAAAGTGTACGGGCCTGTTCCAAAGCATCCTCGACAACATCCTCAGTAATGCATTCTTTCCAATACAGCTCTTCTTGTTCAAGGGAGCCGTCATTATTTCTGGAATTTGTGAACAATTTCAGTATTCTCTGGTACTCATTTTCAGCCCAGGTGAGATATGACTGCCAGTTTTCAAGTTGGTCGGGTTCGAGCTCTACTACATGGAAGTACGAACGCGAAATAAGTGACTCATAAGCCCAACGGTCAGTAGTTCCTTGTTGTGTTCGTGCAAAAATAATGTTTGCAAAGTAATCGAGAATGGCTTGTGGTGTTATAATTTTTTTGGTAGCCTTTTCCTTCAGGTAAGCAACTTCCATAGGTCGTAATACAAGTAATGCAGTTTTTTCATCGACAGGAGCAGTATCCAAATCATCATAAAGGGAACTTAAAAAGCTAGAAAGTTCTTCACTGAATTGTTCATAATAACGAGCATACTGATGAAGTGGCAGACGCACAATTCGTGAGAGGATCTTGAGAGATGATTTGGGTATATTATCGGGTGAATGTGATACCTCAAAGGCCAAGTACTCGTCCCAAAAAACGTGCGACATAAAGTCGCGGCCAATTACAGCAGCTGCACGTTCAAAAACGGAATGTACGGTGTCAATTTGTTTTTTTCGTTCAGTGTTTTTGGATGTGGATGTGGATGTGGATGTGTCATCTACAGTCAAGCCTTCGACCAGAAATGTAGTATAGGCCGACCACAGGTCGATCGACATGGGGAAGGCAGCAACTGCACGCTCGTGAACAGCCAAGGCAGTGGCAGAAACGTTAAGAAGAGGGTTCCACCATTCGGATTTGTCAGTGTTGTTGTTGTTGTCAGATGTTGTTGTGCTTTCTGTAAGTTTGTGTTCTTCAGTGAACCCGACTTCTAACGCCACGTACTTGCTCCAGTAAGCAAACAGTAACGGGAAACGCTCAAGAAATTTGTCATAGACTTCACGGGATGTACTTTTTATGGTAGTGTATATCTGCATAAAAGCAGGGGTATGATTTTTTTGTTTTTCAGATTGTTGTTTGGAGCGAAGATAATGCAGGACCTCTTGCGAAGCTTTGGTTTGGACGCGCTCTGTATGCTCAATCAAGCGTTCCCAATAGTCGAGATTATCTGGGTCCGATTTGACTGCTGCATAGGCCTGATTCCATTGCGCATCGTCTTGGTTTAAAATCAAGTTGACCATGAGGTTGTGGATGGAAGTGTGAGACTTGTTTAATTTGTTGTTGATGTTGTTGTTTTCCAATAACAAGATCAATAATGTTGAAATAAAAATGTTTTTGGTGGAGCGGCGATATACGTTTTGTTAAATTTTTTGTCACATATTTATATTTTGTAATAGATATATTTGTTACAATGAGATTTTTCAAAATTTGTTACATCTTTATGTTAAAGTTTATGGGATTGCAGTTTGATAGGTGAAAGAACTTTTTTTTTTTCATGTATATTTTCAAAAATCTGTAATGTTATTATTATTATTATATTAATTATATTAGATCAGATGGTTCACCAGGTGTCTTTTTTCAGAATAAATACAAAAAGTAACTATTGATACCCATGAGAAGTTTATTGTAAATAACTGGTTTTCTTCAACATTACAAAAAACACGAGGTCTGCTCAATTTTTCATCACCAATTTAACATCTACCAATAGTTTAAAAGGAAAAAGGAGGAAGGGTGAGGGGAGAGGAGAGGAGAAACCCCGGGATCATTAAAATCAGATGCCAAGCTGAAAGAAGTGGAGTTTATATTTCATTCTTAATAATGGATCCATCAGTTTAAACTGTAAATAAATGGGCACAAATTTTGAATTTTTGACTTTTTTTTTTTTTTTTCTTTTTTTTTCCAAAATTGGTTAAACGATACTATTCAAGACAAGATAAGATTTGAAAAGTCTATATCAGTCTTAAAAAAAAAAAAAAAAAAGACCTCACTCAGCTTTAATAGCTTTAAATTTTCCTAGAGCAAATGAACTCGGGAAAGATAATTTTATATTTTGTATTTTAAAGAAATAATTACTGATCATCAGAATATTATTATGATCATAATATTTATGGGCTTACAAAAGGATCATTTCTTCAACACTGTTTATAAGCTTATTTTAATAATTTATTCCGCAATTTAAAAATCAAACGAAACGTCTTTCGGAGTTTTAACAAATTGTATCAAAAAGAACAAATATGTTTCTTGGCTCAATTATATATATATATACTTTTTTGTCTTTTTATCTTTTTTTTTCCCTAGTCCCTTTTTATATTATATGAATTATATAATTCTAATTTGATCAATAAGTGGAATAGCCGCATGTTGATTGTATGTTTATCAATATGGTTAATTCTTTCAACGTTGGTAGGTTTATATTGAAAGTAAGATAAAAAAAATTAAAATTAAAAAAAAAAAAAAAAAAGAAAAAAAAAGGAAATTCAGGACTAAGAAGACGCACATTTCTTTATTTAATAGTCATTTCAATGATTAACAATATAATAAACAGAATCAAATTATTTAAAGTATAAAAAAATTGAAAGATCTAATTATTATCATTTTATTTCAAACACCTGACGCAACAATAAGACAAATATATAGGTATAAGTGTTACCGATTTCATCTACAATATTGGTAGATTATTAATGACTAAATAAAGAGGGAGGGGGAGGGATGAGAAAAAAAAAAAAAGGTTCTATTGTTTTATATTACTATTATTTCATTTGTTTCTTCTTTTCAATTTTCAATTTTCAATTTTTTTGGTTGCTTATATACAAAAATAATAATAAGCATGAATTTCATTTCATTTCATTTCATTTCATTTTGATAACAAAAGTATTGTTCTAAAAAAGATGGAGAAATTCAAATAAGGGGTGTGGCGAAAAAAAAAAAAAAAAAAAAAAATTTCTTTTATTTACAAATGAAACTCGCTTTTTAAATAAAACGGAAATTGAAATTTAAAAAACTGTGTAAATCGAGTCCTTGAATAAAAAAAAAAAAAAAAAAAAAAAACGTAAATGGTGTGGGGAATGTCCTTTTTTTTTTTAAAAAAAAAAAAATAAAATAGACTTTATGAAATTAATTTCAATTCTAATGATTAACCTTTTCCCCCTCCCCTTCCCTTCCACTCTATTGTTGAGTGTTGTTGTTTATTTAGTATTTGCCAGCACGTTTAAGGTCCAATATCTTTATCAGTTGAAGAATTGATGCTATTATATAAGTGGTGCTTACTACTTTATATTAAAAAAAAAAAAATATTATACATTAATGGAAAAATTGTTTTAAAGATGTGATTAAACAAAAAAAAAAAAAAAAGACATTTTTTTTTATCATTTTCAAGTGCTTGTTTTTTTGTTTATTTTCTTTTTGTGTTTCTTAAGAAAGTAAACTTGCTATTTTAAGCTTCTTATCTTCAGCTTCCTCAATTGTGGCAGGGGCACCGGTAGAGGTACTATTGGTGGTAGTGGTAGTCGGAATTATGGGCAGCTTTTCGCTTGCAGCAGCGGCCGCAGCAACTACATCCATGCCATTCATTGCTCGAGGATCCTCGAAATCGGCACGAGAATGAGATTCAGTCATTTCAGTATCTTCGTCGTAGCGAGAAGGAGGAGCAGCAACAGAAGCAGAAGCAGAAGCAGAAGCAGCGGAAGGAGGCACTGAGCTCGATCCTGCCAGTGATTTTTTCCGAGAAGAATCAAAGTAGTTACCCTCGTTAAATCTAAGCTTAGGTTCAGAACCGTTGTTGTTATTTCCACCATTAGTGGTGCTGCCTGAAGCATTATCAACCGGAGATGAAGAGGGGAAATATGATTGAGTGGGGGTATTTTTCGTAGCAGGGTCTTCTGAAGAAATAGAAGATTCTAAAAGAGTTGAATTGCTACTATTTCCAGTCATGTCTGCGAGTCTCAAATTTGCCTGTTGGCCATTTTCTTTAGACTCCATAAGACCCAGACCCACGCCATTGGGTGTCATCTGGTTCGGAAGGTACCCGGAAATACTGTGGCGGTGTTGGAAAGGAGAAGCAAGTTTGAAGGATGTAGAAGAAGAGGAAGATGAAGATGAAAAAATGCCCTTGTTAGAGTTTGGTCCTAGTGGAGACCCTGGAGTTGTGGAAGCCATCGAACCATTGGGATAAATGCTGGAAATGGCCGAAGAAGCAGGTTGGGTCAAAAAGGTTGGAGGTGGAGGAGATTTAGAGTATGCGGAAGATGAAGATGAAGAGTTGGAGGTTGAAGAAGAAGAAGTAGAAGAAGAACCTAGAGGAGGAGAGACTGGGAGTTTCCCATTAGATGAAAGAGACGAGACAGGGGGTAAGAAGGTGCTTAAAGGTTTCATTGTGTGTGTAGGAGTGGTAGATATCGAAGAAGAGGCTGTGGAGTTTGAAGAAAGAGAAGAATTGGTTGAAGAGGTAGATCCAGAGGAGCCAGCAGATGATGGGGCAGTTATTGGGCCAGGAGGGACTGAAACCTCTGGGGGTGGTAATGGAACGACATGAGAATTTCTGCGTGAAGATGAGTTGCCAGTGAGAGAGTATTTTGAAAGAGAATGAATAGAGCCTGAGAGTGGGTCTTCATTATCAGATGAGTTTGCCATGCTACTATCGATAGAAGATGTGCGAGAAGAGGGATTATAGTTTGCAGAAGAAAGAGCAGTTGCCGAGAAACGGCGAGTATAAGGTGTATTTGAGTAAAGTTCATCTGCAGGAGAAGAAGTAGCCAACCCCATGGCTCGCTTACGAACAGAAGATGGATGTTGGTAAACAGAAGCCGAGCGGGTGTGCTGGGGAGGGAACCGTGGTCCTCCATTAGGCGGTGAGGGGCCTGACGAAACAATAGGATAGAAGGAGGGAGGAGGAGGTGGACCTGAAGAGTTGATATTGTTTTGAGAGGCCCAAGATGGAGCAGAAAGATCTCCTGTGGAAGTAGGGCCAGAAACTGAGCCATTAGCTCCAGTGGTGGCGGCAGCGGCGGCGGCGGCGGCAGCTGCTGCTGCAGCAGCAGCGGCTCCATGAGGAGAAGACTGGTGAGGATCGATATTACTAGAAGGCATAGCAACAGATGAAGATTTTCTAAATCCAGAAGAGTCGGAAGTGTAAGCAGAGTTGAAGATAATACCGGAGGAAGGAATTCCTCTGCTTGGAGATGCAGTAGGATCGTTTTGAGCATATGGAGGTTTTGAGAGGCCCTGGTTTGTAGAAAATGGAGAAGGGGTATGAGGAGCATGTTGTTGCTGTTGTTGTTGTTGTTGCTGATAAGCAGAGTGGATATTTGGCATCGATACTCTATGATGAGAAATTCTTGGAGCAGAGCCAAGATGGGAGGATGATCCTTGGGGGTATTGGTGGTGGGAGTCTTGAGCCATTGAAGATTGGTGGCTTTGTTCATAGTTTTGTTGGTTTTGGTGTTGTGATGGTGGTGGTGGTTGGCCTGACATTGAATAGTTAGAGTTGAAAAGGGATGATGATGCAGGAGGCTGTGATAATTGTTGGGACGAGGGATTTTGATGGTTCGGGTAGTCGTAAGATTGTTGATAAGATGAAGGGTATTGAGAAGGAGGAGTTGATGATGGGGAGGCATGCTGTTGAGAAGGTAGAGGGTATTGAGATTGGATAGAGCCATTGTAAGAAGGTTGTTGTGAAGGCGAAGAAGTTGATGAAGATTGTTGATGAGAAGAATAATATTGAGATGGGCCCAAATCATGCTGGATATGGCCATTTATAGAATGGTTTATACCATAAGAAGAATTGTGAGGTTGTTGTTGCTGCTGTTGTTGCTGTTGTTGCTGTTGTTGCTGTTGTTGTTGTTGTTGAGGACCCGATAAGGGCTGTTGAATGTTTGGGCCAGCAGTTGGAAGTCCTGGAGGTCTATTTGCTAAAGAGGCCCTTCTGCGGCGGCTAGCACCACCATTCCACCAATTTTTGACAGCATTATCGGAGCGGCCATTTAAGCGGCGCGAGATTTCAGCCCATTTTTTACCATGGATAGCTACGAGTTGTTCAATCATGGCACCTTCTTCATCGGTGATTGGGGTATGGTTAAGAGAAGGCTTGAGATTTTGGTGATAGCGTTCACGACATTGTTTTGCGGTGCGTGTTCCGAGGAGCTGTGAGAGTCGGACCCAGTTGTTGGGGCCATGTTCTTCAATTAAGCGAAGGAGGTCAGAGTCCTCAACGGCAGACCACGGCCCACGACGGGTCTGCTGGATGAGTTGGGAGTTTGTTTGAGATATCGTTGCGGTTTGTTTAACGTGTACGGAGACACCAAGTAGGTCTGGGCTTGTTTTTGAAAGGGGTTGAAGTTTGTGGTGGTGGTTGTGGTGGTTGTGGTGGTTGTGGTGGTTATGGTTGTGGATATTTAATAAAATGGTGGTAGTAAATATGACGGGAAAGAACAAAAGAAAAAGGAAGAAAAAAAAAAAGAAGGGCAGCAGGAAGGGTTTTATATATAAAGTAAGCACATTCTACATATATTATTATTAAATAGTAAATAATAACAACAACTTCTATCCATATAGTAAAAATTCACACACACACAACAGAAGAAAAATTTTCTTTTTTTTTTTCTTTATATATATATATATATATATATATTCATAGATTTATATATAAATTCATAAAAAAAATTTAAATATTTTAAATAAAAGTTCTGCCAAATTAATTTGTCTTTTTTTTTTTTTTTTGAAGGTTTATTTTTTTTTTTCTTTTTTATATATATAAAATAGCCGAGTCCTCATATCAAATTAGATAATTAACATAAAACGGGCGAGACCCGCCACGGACCTGCTAAGTATTATAAGTCCAACCCTTTTTTTTTTTTTTTTTTTTTTCCCATTCAGGGATAGAAAGATAGAAAGAAGGGACATCGGTCCAATGCTTCAAACACTACTTGTGTTGATTAGTAAATGAAGAAGAAGATGATGAAGAGAGAAAGGAAATGTTATGCTTATAAACGCGCGCATATTGACGATCCGCGACATCAGCATATGCAATCTGGGACATTTTTCAATAAACACGGTAATAGAACTTTGATGAAGAGAAGGAGAAGACACTGAGCTGTTTTATATTAGTTTATCTTCAATTAAAAATAATAATGATATTATTATTGTGATTTATTGGACTTATATGGCCCATATTTATATATTTATCTATCTATCTACATATTAAACGTGTTTCTTTCATGTGTGTAGACCAAATGGTTTTTGCATGAAATTCATTTGCACTCACACTTACGCAATATTGATTGTTATTGGGATAAAAGTCATTCATTTATTCATATACTGCCACCTTGTATATATATTATATATAATATATATATCAAAAAAAAAAAAAAAATCTCAAATCTGAGTGTTACCATGTGGAGAAAAATTTTTTTTTTTTTTTTTTTTTTTTGGTAGAAGCTGCTGTTTCTAAAAGTTGGCCATTGTCAAAATGCAAACAATGAATCGGACATCGGCTGCATCAAAAGTTCCGTATCAACAACTGCAACAGCAACTGTAACTATAACTATAACAGTAGCAGTAGTAAACCATTGAACATGCCAAAATATATATATAATACCAAGACTCAAGCATTTCTCTTTAATCTCTCTTTAATTTTGTATTTTTTTTTTCTTGTATATATATATCTATCTAACCGTTGAGAACACTTAAGTGGAAGTAATAATATCTCAACGAAATGTTTGGCTGCCGTTTTTGCTGCCGTTTGGCTTACCGGTGGTGACTGCGGACTCAGAAAGCCGCAGTTGCCCATAAACGTTTAATGACTCCTTATAAAAGTATAGCCACCTAGCACCTCAGCTATCAGGAAAAGACCGATACAATGGGAAGTCAAAAATAAAAATAAAAATAAAAAAATAAAATAAAATAAAATAAAATAAAAATAAAAATAAAAATAAAAATAAAAATAAAAATAAAAATAAAAATAAAAATAAAAATAAAAATAAAAAAAAATAAAAATAAAAATAAAAATAAAAAAAAAAAAAATAAAAATAAAAATAAAAATAAAAAAAAAAAAAAAAAAAAAAATAAAAATAAAAATAAAAATAAAAATAAAAAAAAATAAAAATAAAAAAAATAAAAATAAAAAAAAAAAAAAAAAAAAAAAAAAAAAAAAAAAAAAAAAAAAAATAAAAATAAAAATAAAAAAATAAAAAAAAAAATAAAAATAAAAATAAAAATAAAAATAAAAATAAAAATAAAAATAAAAATAAAAATAAAAATAAAAATAAAAATAAAAATAAATAATAAAAATAAATAATAAATAATAAATAATAAAAATAATAATAATGAACGCAGTAATACATACAGATGGTGAAAATAAATGGCAGTTGACTGCGCGCACTCTGTAAAGGAAGCAGGGAGAAATGGATCAAAAAAAATAAAAATAAAAATAAAATAAAATAAAATAAAATAAAATAAAATAAAATAAAATAAAATAAAATAAAATAAAATAAAATAAAATAAAATAAAATAAAATAAAATAAAATAAAATAAAATAAAATAAAATAAAATAAAATAAAATAAAATAAAATAAAATAAAATAAAATAAAATAAAATAAAATAAAATAAAATAAAATAAAATAAAATAAAATAAAATAAAATAAAATAAAATAAAATAAAATAAAATAAAATAAAATAAAATCTAAAACGGTCTGTATTTGAGATTCGTCCAATCAAAATACAACAATGAGAAACTTTTTTTATTTTTTTATTTTTTTATTTTTATATTTTTTTTTTGGCCCAACATTGCCCAAATGGCATTATTTCCTCACTTCTTAGTAGTGTTTTGTTGATACTAATCTAATGTATATAGATAGATAAGAAATGAAATAAAATAAAATAAAAATAAAACATTTTTCACTATTTTTTTTTCATTTTTTTTTTTTTGCAATCTTCATAGATATATGTTTCAATTTTGAAAAAAAAAAAATTTTGGATATTAATTAATAGATTATAATCTTCTTAGAATCTTTTGATATCCATTTTATTTTATTTTATTTTTTTAGAAAAAAAAAAAAAATTCGGTCTTTGGTCACCCACTGGAGATTCTCGTGACTGTAACGGTAATGCTAGCAGTAACAACAGAAGCAGCAGCAGCAGCAGCTTTCCCTTCTTTCAACACGAAATGGAATGGAAATTTCTTTGGCACGCGCAGAGATGTGATATGATGAGTTTTGAATGATGAAGAGTAAACATTTCAATATTCAATCATATAATCATATTAAATCTTTGTGAAGATAGAAAGATGAATTTTCTTTTTAAAAGTCACAATAGTCTTTGAAACTCCCTCAAATGCAATATAGAAAATAAAAATTAAAAAAAAAAAAAAAAAAGTTTATAAATTCTTTTTAAAGAAAAAAAAATTATTTCTTTCTTATAAAATTCTTCTTTATGAGCCTTTCTTTTATTTTCATTTCATTTCAAGCCCTAAATAAATTTTTGTTACGGAAGGTCAAAAAAAAAAAAAAAAAAAAAAAAAAAGAAAAAATTTATGTAATTTCAATTTGGCGATTTTGAAAATAAGCTTGGAACCCATAATCGAATCTCAGCCGTTTTCCATTGGGTTAGGTTTTTTCTATTCTATTCTCTATTTTTTTTTTTTTTTTTTTAAATCTTCTCCCCACAATAACCACCACCACCACCACCATTATGATGGCTTCGCTTTAGCCGAGGTTGTCCCACATAGTCTGCCTCCTCCTCCTCCTTCAAACACTCCAAAAAAAAATCTCCACCATAACAACACAATCTCAATTAAACACACACACACACACACACCCCTCCCCCACAATTCAATTTCTCCAAATATGTCTGGACTATAAAAATATGTCAACTTCCCTCATAGTCCCTCTATTAACCTTTTTTCCTTCATCTTACTCATCTCCCAATTCTTCCCCCTTCCTCCTCCTCCTCCTCCTCCTAATCAAACACCATGTCTGACATCACTTACAAGGTTGTGGGTAAAACCGCAATCATCTCCCTAAACAACCCAAAAAAGTTCAACAGCTTGACCCAGGCCCAATACCGCCGTCTCGAACAGCTCATGCAACTTGCAGCCCGTGAACCCTCCACCACTATCACTCTACTCCAATCTTCTGGTAAATTCTTTTCCGCAGGTGCAACCGTCGACCCTAAAGGTGTGGACTCTGACAAAATCGTTCTCAAGTTCCTCGAAGATCCCACCGACCCAGCCATAGTCTCAAACTTTCTGCGCTCCCGTGTCAATTACTCATATGGATTTGGCGCTCGTAACTTTACAATTACACATACCTTCTTCTCTCACCCAAAAGTCTTTGTCGTCGCCCTCAATGGCCCTGTCATTGGCCTTTCCGCTGCAATTGTAGCCCTCGCGGACTTTGTTATTGCTCGCGACTCCGCTTACCTTCTCACCCCTTTTGCTAACCTCGGCCTCCCCCCAGAGGGTGGCACCTCCTACTCTCTTCGCAGCAGACTCGGTCATTCTCTTGCAAGTGAGCTTCTTCTGGCCTCTTCCCCCGTCCAAGCTGCTGATCTCTACCGTGCTGGCTTTATCAACACCCTCGTTTCTACAAAAGAATACTCGGATGTTGACAAATTTAACGAATACGTTCTCAAGTGGATTGAAGGAAAGTTTTACTCCCTACACGATGAAAGTCTAACAATCTCAAAGGCACTCATGAAGCGTGCTCAGGAAACTGACTTTTTAGAAGTCGAACATGATGAAGTCATTGCAGGTGTAAACATGTTTGCAAAGGGTTATCCTCAAGAGCGTTTTGCTGCCTTGGCTTCTGGTAAGCTTAAGCATAAGTTGTAGTAGAAGAAATATATATATATATACTTTATTGTGAGAACAACAAAAAAAAAATTAAAAATAAATATAAATATAAGGCTATTGTTCATTCATCATTGTCAAGTAAGATACATAATCTGTATATAACCGGTTAGTTTAATCAAAAAGGCAACAACAATACATATATCAACCGTTTACATTAGTAGCTTAAAATATCCTGATGATGCATTTTCTGGTAGACTGTGACTAGGGACTAATGTCTCTGTTAGGGCTTGTCAGAAACAGCTAAGTTTATATAACCATTGTTTACTTCTGTCCATTATTTATTATTATTATTATTATTATTTACTTTACAAGCAAATATTTTGCTAGTAACTTTAATTTCTTTAAATCCTTACAATAAAATGCTAGTAAGAAATAAAATATTTGATTCCTATCTGATAAATATATTTCTCACAATTCTAGTTATTGGCTTTCGTCAATTATTACTGTATATAATCTTCGAAACAAAAATATATAAAGGTAATTAGATTAAAATAAAATAAAATAAAATAAAATAAAATAAAATAAAATAAAATAAAAATATCAATTAAATTTATGTGGTTGATTAAATCTGTTCATATGAACGTCTTTGCAAAAAAAAAAAATAAATAAATATAAAAATAATACAAAAAAAAATCTGTTTGTTTGTTTTGTTTGTTTTTATTGAAGAAAAAAAAATCTGTAAAAAATGGCTTATGTAATCGATTCAAAGATTTAATATATAAGCTCTATCTTTTTTTAAATTTCAACAATCACTAAAGGTTCTGTAGTGTAGTTGGTTATCACCTTGGATTCTGATTCCAATAACCCCGGTTCGAATCCGGGCAGGACCTTTACTTTTTATCTTTGTTTTCTTAACATTTTTTTTTCCTCCCTCTTCCCTCCCAGTCTATAGTAAGTACTTGCTTTACTACACAAATGTTCCAACAGCAGGTTTTCATCTTTTTTTTTTTTATTTTGTTCTTTTTTTTTTAAAGGTCGTATATATATATATATACATACTCCCCTAAAATGTTCTAGTTGGTTGGTCCTATCATATTCCTCGGTCAGAATTGCCAAGGCGTTTTCTGACATGAAAAAAAAAGCCCTCATTGCAACAAATTAAAAAAAAAAAAAATAAAAATAAAATAAAAATAAAAATTTAAGTAAACCCCAGAAGACAAACTATGCGACAAAAAAGATGGCATCTAATACGTATTACCTGATAACTTTTTGGCCCGCTTCTTATTTGTCAATATTTGACAAAATGCCGATATGATTTTTTTTTTTTTTGAGTACATGAGAAGTTGTTGAGGGTGTGTCATCAAACCCACATGCTTATATTCAAGTGAATGTTCTAATATATTTAATGTCATTCTAAACAGCCAAAAAAAAAAAAAAAAAAAAAAATTAATAATGTACAAAATATATTTATAAAAGAGAAAGAAAAAAATTAATAAATAAAAAAAAAAAAACCGAAAAGAAATCTATGCATTAAAATTCTTTGTAGTGACATCGTAAAATCGAAAATCACCCTTTGTTTTGGAGCTTCGAGGAGGTCGTTCATCATGGACATCATCATTTTCTGCCCCACTATTGGCAGGACTTCCATCTATGTCCTCAGCGATAATCCAAGGACCTTCAGAGCGAGGTGGCGGAGGAAGAAGTTGTTGTTTTCCATAATACTTGATGGCAATCGACAAAACCCAAAAAGGACACTTGTAGTAACGTTTACTCCCCAAAATCTTATACCTACTAGCACGGTCCCGGTAATGACCTTTAGACAAATTCCCATGAGCAAAGCAAAAATCAATAAGATCTATAGCATTGGCAGGTGATACTGCAATAAGATTATGGTCCTTCCGTAACAGACTCTTGCCATCAGATGTATAGTTACGTGTGTATTTGGGAGGCCATTCAATTGCAGACAAAAAACATTCCCGATTGGAATCCAAAGCTTCAATCACACGCGTCTGAGCCTGCTCAAGAGTCTTCACATCTGCTCCAAATATCTCTCGACCATGTTCACGTAAAAAGGCCTCCGGGAAATACACCTTGTTTATGAAAATGTCTCGCAGACACTCAAAACATTGAGCTGGTGTTACCCAAATGCTATCACTAACCTGCCTCGTTGCCAGTTCCATATACTCGATAGGCATAAATGTTTTCCCCATAATGTTAAGTTCCATGAGAGCAATAATATCTGGAGGAAACGTGTTGGTCCATTGGCGCATCAACCGCCTAAATCGCACCTTGGAAAGCTTTGAAATAAATTCATAATGAGGTGCAGTCTCCTTGGCCATATCCAAAAATGTTTGGATGGTGGAAAGAATTAAGTTTTCCGTAGCAATTGCATCGATAATTTTGGGGAAAGCCTCTCGAAACTCATAACAAAACTTGACGGCAGGCTCCGGTCGTTTGTCTCTCTCGGGTATCACTATGTCATTGGCTTTAGTACGAGAAGGAGGATTGGTTTCTGTAGTAGTTAGGGTTTTAGGAGGTGATGGGGTATGTTCAATTGTTCTTCGTTTTTTCTCTAAAGGCGGTAATCGAGGTGGTTGTTGATGCTGTTGCTGTTGTTGTTGTTGTTGTTGTTGCTGCTGCTGCTGCTGCTGATGCTGTTGCTGTTGCTGATGTGGCTGATGTTGTTGTTGTTGGGGTGGCGGTAACAATGCTGACGTCTGTATAGTTGATAAAGGTTGTAAAGTCGATGGGACTTCATGGTTTATTGCCTGCCACGAATTTCCTTGAGTGATTCCGTTACTACTACTTCCACTACTGCTATTATTTTTTCTATGGCTCTTGATCCCTCTTCCGTCTGCTCTGTCATGAGATTTGGGTGCAGGAATTAAAACTGGAATGGGAGCCTCAAAGTTATGTTCGCGGAGGGTAAAGTATACAATGAGATCTTTACGTATATGTTCAGCTTCCTGGTTAGAATTATGAAAATCCACAGGTGGTATCAGTTTGGCGTCGATTTGCCTAAAGCATACGTTAGATAATACGTGTATTATATTAAGAGCTGTGGATGGCCCACTGTTGTAAGGAGCATCCGACTGTTGGTAAAAAGTACGCCGAGACACTCTCATGGTATTTGCATCCAGCTGTCTGTCAAGCATAAAATTGTAAACAAATCCAATACACTCGTAGTAGTGTTTAAAGACAGAATATGGTATCACTTCAGTCAAGGGGGTAGGACCCATGTCAATATGATTTTGGGCCGGATCAAAGTAGAAAAATTCAGCAGAATTGGTCGAACTTGTACAAACCATCCAAAATAAGGTCCAGTGAGAGCTGTGAGGAGAAGACATGGGGAAAAAAAAGTGAGCATCTAAGTTGGTGCCGGTGCGACAGGCAGATATGAAATTGATGTTCATTTGTGAACTGCGAAGACAATGCTCGAGATGTGGTCTTGTTTCAAACCAAAACCCTCGATTTGAATTATTTTCGGAATCTTCACCTGTGGTCGGGCTATTATTGTTGGTAAGGCCATTACTAATGTTGCAAGAAAGATTTGCAGGGACTACCATTGCATTAATGCGCTCATGTGTTGCTGAAGGCCTAGCTCCAGGAACAACGAATTGAAAAACCATTTGTTCACGAAGGTAACGAGAGTATCTAATTTTCTGGTACAGCATCATGATGAGATGGGTATTGGATATTAAGCCGCTTGTTAGCAGTGAAAGATAGGAGGTTGGGCTGGTTCCGAGGTCATTGTACTCGGAGAATGTTGGGCATTCAAGCCGAATCGGAGACCTCATGGTTGATTGTCTTAAGAAACCCACGCTGGAGAAAATGATAATTGGTTGGGGTGGTCAGAGGTGATGCAGAGATATGAAATGAAAAATATTAAAAAAAAAAAAAAAAAAAGAAAAAAAAGAAAGAAAGGAAGAAAGAAAGAAAGAAGATAAAGATATATGAGTAAGTGACAAAAGACTAAGTTTGAGCCACGCACCACTACCATGGAAAGAAGAAAGAGGGAAAATGAAAGAGTTTATATTATATTATTATAATTATTATAATTATTATAATTATTTAATTATTTAATTATTAAATTAATTAATTAATTAATTAATTGTTTTATAATAATTATATATTGATAACTACTGTTTATTTGAAATAAAAAACATCGAGGTTCTTGAAGATCACTTTCGATATCATTTTACAACATTAGTCAATGCAACTAAATGCTACTACTTAGTACGATGGACCCCATTACAATTAAAGACGTCAAAAATAAATGTGAACCCTAATACCAAGGTGTTTCTTCTCCACATTAATCGAGTCTAACTACATTTTAGCACGGGCCGAGAAAGTTTTTTTTGGAATTGAAAAAAAAAAAAAAAAAAAAAAAAAGGGGGGGGGGAGGAAGGAAAGAACGTTAAGACTTGACAGAGAAAGATCAGCGTTTCAAAAAGGTTTCTCGGACACGCAAAACCTCCAAAACAATTGGTGACAATTAGGGAATGATTAGTAATGTGACCTCTTGCTATTGGGTGGATTAAATTATATATCTTTTCCGGAAGATATAGTTTAAATATATATATATATGTAAACTCTAATTAGCATGCGCAAAAATAAAATAAAATAAAGTTATTGAAGACGTGATTCTAATGCGGCTATAAATATATAACACACGCGTTTATTTTATATTTTATATTTTTTTTTTTTTTTTTTTGATTTTGAACGTGTCGCAACCACCTAACTAGTTAATGTCGTAAACCCCTCTACGCAAGTTACTTTTTGGGTAGACCTATTACTACTATTTATGCTATTAAATGAAAAAAAAAAACTACCACCTGTTATTCCCCTTTTTTCTATTTCTTCTTTAGATATCTCAGTATATACATAAAACATTCTCCCCCTCCCCCTCTAGCTCAATTCTCATAATGGAAAACTCAGAAATAGTTTTAGATAAAATTATCGACAAGCTTCTACAAGCCATGTGGCAGACCGAACATGAAGTGCCGCATTTTGACAAGGCTTTTGCAGACTATTTAGATCCAAAATCAGGGCAGATAAAAACCGAGCCCAGCCCCCCAAAAACAGTTGAATTTCTCGAAGCAAACACTTCAGCTTTAAACAACATGACCAAAATCCTTCATCAGGTAGTCGATGCTAGTGCCCAACGATTAAAATTCCAATTTTACGAATCACTTGTCGATAAAGGACTAATAACATGGGCATTGTGCCAATTCACTGCTCAATTCAGTAGTAGTAATAAGAATAAGAATAAGAATAATAATAATGGTGATGGCAGTGATATTATTAATGATTACCTTTCGGCTTCAACCCCACTTGCATTAAATACCCCACAAAAACAGCACCCGTGCTTTGACTATCCACTAGGACCTGATCCTTCTTCTGTGTTCTTTTCTCCAGTCCCAATTTCACGCCAGCGACACGCTAGCGTCAGCAGCGATGGCAGCTTATGGTCTCCACGCTTGCTTGAAACCATCAAGAATGAAAATCATCTCGACTCAGACATACATTCCAGCCAATGCGACACTGAACAAACGCTAATTGATGAACAATCTCTTTTAACAGAACTACCACCCTTGGCTAAAACTGCTGACCATAAATCAAACTTACTCTTCAAATCCCCATTATCTTCTAAAACGTTATCACAAGCCGCTCGCCGAACAGCATCTGCTGCTGTTTCTTCTTCTCCTCAGCTTAATACAATCCGTATCCACTCTAGTTGTGACAATCTTCGCGATACCTCTAAGACCCTCCATCGTGCTCAACCATCTTCACTCACATATAAACGTTCATCCACACTTTTGCGACCAGAATCTGGAACTACCCCAGGATACTTAGCACCTACAATTAGCTCAAGATTGTCTTCGCGCGATTCAATTAACGTTAGCGAGGAACTTTTGGCACAAGAACGTGATCGTCAGCGTCGCATTACCATGACCTCTTTGGGAATGTACCGCACCAGCACGTCTGATAATACAAATTATTTAAGACCCTCATCATCGCTTAACCACCACAGCACTAAACAATTTATTTTTTCTGATGCAGGCACAAATCACTCTAACAATTCCCTAATATCATCACGAACAGTTCCTGCGGGAGGTAAAACTTTACGGATCCGCCCATCTACTTCGATTCTGCGGGACCCAGACTATTTTTAAACAGAACCACTCCGCTGGCCGGAATCACTTTCAAAAGCTCGCCCACTTTCTGACTCTTCTTAGTTCATTAGTTAGATTTTTTTTTTTGTTGTAAACCACCACTCAAATATAATGCACTTCTTGACATATATATATATATATAATTTTTTTTTCAAAAATCCAAGTCAAAGTGAAAAATAAAAAATGCCCTCTCTCTCGGATCCGATAGCTAGTTACAGCTTTTTTTTTTTTTTTTTTTTTACTGTTGTAACAAAATTTTATATAAAGTTTCACCGGTTTCTTCAACAACCTAAATTTTTTTTTTCTTCTCTTGACTTCTCCTTTTTTTTTGTCATCCTTGAGAAAGGTCGCAAATATACTGCCTTATTTCCTATTAATCATTAGAAGACATTAATAAAAAAAAACAGTTCTCCTCATTTGTCATGCCGTCTCAAGAATCTCCTTACAAGTTTCTCACCATGCTTGTCGTGGGTCTAGGAACATACGCTCTCTACAAGTTCCTCAAGACTCAGGGCAATTCGCCTGCTGATATCTCTAACGCCACCAAAACTACACAAAAGACCGCAACTCGCGAAGATCTTATTGCAAAATTTGGCGAAAAACCTGAGATTGTCAAGGACGAAGATACTGGCGAGTACTTTGTCCAGGATCCCAAAAATCCAGACAATATCACCCCTATCACCCCTGAGGAAATCAAGATCCTTAACCAATACCCCCGAGATGCACAACAACCCCCTACCGCGCCACATCCACAGCAACAGCAACAACAACCACAACAACAAGAGCAACCTGCCGCTGTCCAACCACCTGCATTTGTTGGCGACGGTGTTATTGGCCCCGAAGACTTTGAAGATTTTCAAGAAGATATTGAGGACCCTGAGCTCGAAGCGCTCAATCGCGGTCTGGCTGACGAGGAAGAGTTCCGACAGCACCAGCAACAAGCCGGTTTTGGTGCTGGTGGTGCCGGTCCTGGTCCTGCTACTGCCAATGCTCGTGCTGCATCCGGCACGAAGATAATTGGTACCAAAAAGGCTAAATCTCTTGAACGCAAGGATCAAAAGCGTGCTTTCAATGAATATGTCCGTGAAATGTCTCTTATGCAAAAGGCCGAGAATGAAGAACAAGAACGAATGTACGGTGATTTGATCCAAATGGAACGTGACGAGCGTAAGCAGCGCAACGAGGAGGCCGAAAATGAGCGCAAGGAACGTCTTCGCAAGCAAAAGGAAATGGAGGAGGATGCTCTTGCCGCTAAAGAATATTCCCGAAAGCGTCTTCAAGAGCTTGAGCCTGGACAATACCACGCCATCCTTAGCCCTGATGAAATTGGCATTGCCCACGGACTTGCCGACGCTTTTGTTGTCAATGAAGATTCCTTTGTCGTTAAACTCAGCCAAGATGACATTGAAGCTTTTGCTAAGGCTCTCCAAGAAAAGGGAACGGTTTCTTACGAAGAAATGGCTGATATTCTCACTCAAATTAAGGCATAAACTGGGGATATCAATTGTATATAAAATTTTTCAAAAATAAAAATGTAAAAAAAAAAAAATTTGAATATGGGATATTGATGTTTGATACGCGAATACACCAAAAGCACAATTAATTGAACACTTCGACCCCCACATAATGGTGTGTGGCAAAATCTGTATAGCTTATAAGCTAAAGAACTGGAAAAAAAAAAACCTTCTCCCCCCTAATTTTCAACACCAAATATCACAAATATCACAACACAACTCTTTGCAACAAAAAAAAATCGAAAAGTAAATAAAAATTAATAGATTTTGCTTCAAAAGCAAAAAAAAAGTAAGCCCTACGGGGGGCTCGAACCCCCAACCTTGAGATAACTGCTATCTAAGAGTCTCACGCTCTACCGATTGAGCTAGCAAGGCTTCCTTAAAAATGTAAGGATTAAAAGAGTAGAAATCACAATTGGGCATAATTGATGATTTTAGAATTGGATTAGCATTGATGAAGGCAAGTAGAAATAAGTTGAAAAAGTTTGGTAGTTGACTTTCCTTTTCTGGTAGACTGCTGTAATAAATTATTTTGGGGCTATTGGAGATCCAATGTTGAAGTCAAATTAAAAGTATATTATGAAAACGAAAAGATATATAATAAGAACTAAAAGGATGGCGCAGATGCTGATCTTATACAATTTTATCTCTTGAATGAAAACAAATCTCTGAAATAAGTTAGTGAAACAGAAAAGATCTTTTTTTTTTTTTTTTTTTTTTTTGACCGCAAAATATCATGAGCTTGACTCACACTTTTCACCCATCCCTGAAGGAAATGTAAGGGAGTGCATATCTGAACTGAACTCTCAGGCTACCCCGGTGAATAGGAAAGTAAATTATTCTATTCAGTCCAATTAGCAAGCAAGCAAACAAAATTTAAAGACAATGATATTCATTTATAAAAAAATACTTATTATATAAAAGCTTACATGAATTAATCGCGAAGCATGCGTCTTCCAATCTTACTTTTCCATCCTGCAGCTCTTTCAAACCCATTTGTCTTTGATTGGTAGTCCATAAATGCCTTGTAAATTCTATCGCGCGAAGTTTCAACAAACGGACCATGTTGGACAATTGGCTGGTGAAGAATTTTTCCAGCAATAACAGCTAAACGTGCAGTAGCTTTTGCATCCTTATCTACTGATAATTCGATACCGTCGCCTTCCTCTCCAAAAAATACACTGGTAAACTTGGGGATGGTTTTGTTGCCAATCTTAATTTCGCCGTCCATAACATACACAAACGTGTTAAAGCCGTGCGGAATGGGTTGTGTAACTTGACCACCAGGCTTAACAACCATGTCTAGAAACCACACTGGAGTATAAGCAAGATCTTTGATCGACTCAGTGCCGTAAGATTTGCCAGAAATAACCTTGATTTCAACATTAGGATCTGGATGGATTACTGGGATCTCATCTTTACGCAAGTCTCGGTAACGAGGCTCACATTCCTTGAGTTCGACAGGCAGATCGACCCATAATTGCAGTCCCTCAATAGCATCAAGATCACCATCCTCAGTCTTGTTAATTCGCGGCATTTCTGCATGCATGATTCCACGACCAGCAGTCATGAACTGCAAATCACCAGGTTCCAAAGTTCCAGAGTTCCCGGTAAAGTCCTCATGGTCGACTTTACCCTTGAGCATGTATGTGATGGTTTCTTGGCCACGGTGAGGATGATCAGGAAATCCAGCCTCGGGAGTGACACGGAAATGATCAAGCATAAGAAAGGGTGTAAAGTTGCGAACACTCATGGTGCCAATCGAACGGCGAACTCTGGCACCAGCCCCTTCAGCCTGCTCCAGTGCAGAAACAATTTTGACAATATTTTTTGATATAAATGACATTTCTTCTATTTCTTCTTCAATTTCCTCGAGTTCTTCTATTTCGTCTTCTAAGTCTTCTTCGAGTTCTTCTAGTGCCTCTTCTCGTTTAGTTTTCTCGGATTGAACGGTCTCGCTAGATAATGGTTCTGAATATAAATAATTTGATAACGCTGACTTGGTAAAGGTTGTTAAAGGTGTGAAAAACACTGAAGCTATTATAACTGTCAATAGTAAAAAAAGTAAATGTTTTTTGGAAGTGATAAACATGATTAAGGTAGAATCCAGTCGACTTTTATAGTTTTTCCCTCTTTAAAACTTGTAAAAGTAAATGGTCAAACAAGTAAAGAGAAAAAATAGAATTTATCAAATAATGATTCTGGTAAATTCTCAGCTTTTATCATTAAAGATTGATGACTGATGATTGATGACAGACGATTGACGATACATTTCGAGGAAGAAATGTTCAATTTTCGAAGACTGATGTTTACAAATGAGCAGAATTTTGGTCTTAGTAAAAGAGTAGTAAAACGCCGCAGATAGTCAGTTAGTAAAGAATTGGTAAGGTAAGATATTATTTTTTTTTTTTTTTTTTTTACACTGGCCAACGGAAAGAACCAACTATTGGTCACCTGACATATATTACTAAACAGTACGGCTATAATGATATCCCCCGGATTTGAAAAAGTCAAGGAAATAAACAATTTGATAATTACCCCATTTATAAACAACCTTCGATAGTAGGGGGGGGGGGATGGCAATTATTAATAAATTGGTAAAGCAAATGATAAATGTAAAATAGAATTAAAATTAAATTAAATCAAATTTATAATTTCTGATTAAATGAATAAATGATAAAATTATTTTTCTATGAGGGTTTATTCATTTATTAATTTTTTCTAATGAAGCAAGACTTAATATTAAGAGTTATGACATGAAATTAGCATTCACAAGACAAACGAAGAGTGTAAATCACTTAGATATCAAAAGTATTTTAGCTATTTAATTTCTACTTAAAAATTTATCAAAACAAATTGTTTTCATTTTACTTAATTTATCGTTAATTTAAGCATCATTTTCTTTTAATTGTTTGAATAATCGATTTATTTATTTTTTAATATTGAATTGAAAGACAATAAACGTTATCTTCTATCTTTTCAACAAAATTTCTATTAAGACAAACTTACTTGAAAATTTAACTATAAGGGTTTAGCCCTAGCGGTTTGATATATTCACATAAACAAACATAAATAAAATATTTCAGACTGAGTGGGTTAATGTAGATTAGACTCTGAAAATTTAAATTCACGTGATAATAAGAATTGTTACAAGAACTTGAAAATTTTTATTTTTGTAACATTTAGAAGCATTTGGTCTGCTGACTTAAAAGCTGATACAATATATTACATTTATTTTTTAGCTAGCCGCACAGTCCCTTACTAAAAGTGATTTCTCCATAGTAAATATTTGTTACACACTATAGACTTTTTTTTTTTTGGCTGGCGACTCACACACTCACACTAAAATTTTTTTTTTTCCCTCTCAGTTCCCGCTCCCCTCCCCTTTCCCCTCTAGACCTGAGTCGACTGTCCTAGCATCACCAGTACCCTCACCTTCGACACGTACATCCAAAATGGCCACTGAATTGTCTGTCCAGTCTGAGCGCGGCTTCCAGAAGGTTAGTTGAAACCAAGCTGAATGGGAGTTATTGTTTGTTTCGGTGTTGATACCTTCTTGACGATTAATTTCAATGAAAATACCTACATGATACAGAGAACAACTCCTTTTAAATGATGATTTTTTGCAAATATCATGAGTCTAACATGTTAAATTTTTTTTTTAGCAACCTCACATTTTCCAATACTCCAAGACTAAGGTCTCTAAGGAAACCAAGCGTTGGTACAAGGATGTTGGTCTCGGTTTCAAGACCCCCACTGAGGCCATTACTGGTAATTATATTGACCACAAGTGCCCCTTCACCGGTATTGTGTCCATCCGTGGCAAGATTTTGACCGGCACTGTCGTCTCCACCAAGATGCACAGAACCATCATTATCCGTCGTGAATACCTCCACTACATTCCCAAGTACAACCGTTACGAGAAGCGCCACAAGAACTTGGCTGCTCACGTTTCTCCTGCTTTCCGTGTCCAGGAGGGTGACAAGGTCACTGTTGGTCAGTGCAGACCTCTCTCCAAGACTGTCCGCTTCAACGTCCTTCGTGTCCTTCCCACCTCTGGTAAGGGCAAGAAGCAGTTCTCTAAGTTCTAAACTGTGTAATTGTATTTAATGAGACCATATGACTGCACTTAAAAATATAAAGAGGAAATGAAAAACAATGACTAGAGGAAGCACTGGTGTTTTAAAGAAAAAAATTTAATTCATTAAGCTGTTTATTTTTTGTAAAAAAAGTTTATGGGTGAATAACATTTGAATTTTGAAAATAAAATAAAAAATTAAAATTATGAATAAATTAAAATTCATTAAATATCAAATACATATTATACACTTTGTTGCATTGCTGCAGCGGCTACAGCCATTAGATCTTCCTCTGTATCTTTTTGCGAGGGAATGTCATCTTGGGCGGCCCGTCGTCGTGATCCATCTTCATCTGCATTATCGTTACCAGTGTCCACATAATCATCGTGGTGCTTGGTAACCTGTTCTTCTTGGCCAGGGGTATGGGACTTTTCTTGCATTGCAGTTTCCGTTAAACTCTCGCGTTTATCCTTATCAGCATCTTTTTCCAAGTGGTGGTGATTGTGAGCAGTATTTATGTCGTAGGCGTTGTTGAGTCCAGCTGCTTCTGCAGCCTTGGAAGAAGAGGTCAAAAGAGAATCATTCAGTGTTTCTGATAGCTGCATCGGCATGTAAGACGCCGACAGGGACGAAGCAAGCATGTCATCAGTGTTATGCGTATCACTCCGAACCTGGGATAGATCCTCGCCATGCTGATGGTGATGTGGAGATGCCAGCTCGTGTGAAAGTTCGTGATGGTGGTGATTGTTTCTGTCATTATCGTTTCCAACACCAATAACTACACCACTATTTCTGCCAGCAGTGCTAGTGCCATTACTGGTACCATCTTTTTGTGACTCTGTTTGCATAGCTAGGTCTTCGAAAAGATCTTGGACTAAACTGCGGAAAGGTCGGTTAACTGGGTCAACAGTATTATACTTAAGACGATCAAAAGCCATTTGAAGTTCTTTACCACTCCAAAAACCGCGTGAATCCATGGCTGCAAAGCCTTCCCAATCAACCTGAGACTCATCTTCGTAACCATTTTCTAAAATGTAGCGTAAAAGAGAAAGCTTGTCGTCATTCATCATGGCCTCAATCTTGGCTGTAGTAGCACGCTTCATAATCTTATTCCACTTGTACCTACATTGGATCCGCGAGCGTGTACCACCCATATGCTCGGAAACCAAAGTCCAGTTGATATCTGTGTCTGTTGATTGGGACATGACTTGCGACACGGCTTCGCGTAAGCGCTGCTCTTCCAACTGACTCCATTTGTTTTGAACACGGTTAGATCCACACTTCACGTAGTTGCGCCAGCGGTCACGACAATCCTCAGGCATGCGACACATCTCGATACCTATAACCTTCCATTGGGCGCCCTTTTCCTCGTACAGCTTGGCCAGCAACTGTTCTTCTTGCGGGGTCCATTTCCCTCGAGCTTGAAAGACGTGGTATGCGCGTCGAATGTGCTTGTAAACCGATGCGCGTGAACGATGTGGCAGAACCACCGAGACCTCATCCCAAAAGTTATCCTTTTTACGCTCGTTAGACCAGACTCGTCGACAGAGCGCTTCTCGTGTCATATGGTTCTGCACACAGTATCGGCTCATAAAGTTATCAATCTGTGTCATTTCGTGGGGTGAAAAGTTACCGCCACGCTCAGGAATTATAGGTTGTGACCGCCAGACCGCTGAGCCTTGTTCTCCAATAATTTCAGAGCCAGGAACTGATTGCTGCGTATCATGCTCCATTTTGGCAATAGTTTCAGAAAGCCCGTCAGTGAGTCCAGAGTTTTCAGCCAATCTTTTGGAACGACGCTGTCGAAGCATTCCGTGGCTCGTACTGCCTACCACCTCATTGTCTGCTGCAGAAGCAGCCACCACAGCAGCGGCAGCGGCAGCGGCAGCAGCAGAATCTCTTGTCATTCCATTTGAGCGCTGAGCTCCGCGCCGCCGTCGTCCTCTAACGACTGGAGACAACTGAACTTCTACTATAGCAGTATTAGTGATAGTAGTAGAAGTAGTAGTACCGGATTGATCATCATAAGAATTTTGTTGTTGCTGTTGTTGCTGGGTCCAGTAAAATGTAGATGCATCAGCTCCAGGAGCACCAGAGAGCTTCTCGTTTTCAAAAGCATTTGCTACTCGGTCATCCCCTTCCGCAGTGGACTCACGATATTTGATTTGGCCTGATATACGTAAAGCCTCGTCAAAAATATACCCAGTGTTAGACTCGTTAGACGCGGCTGAAGTGTTTTGGGCATCTGCGTCAGTTTGTTGAGCAGAAGAGGAAGAAGATGAAGAAGATGACGAGGGTGCATTTGAGACTGAAATATTTACAGTTGTTTGCTCACGAGTCGTAGATTGAGGGTGTTTAGAAGTTCCTCGTTTGGGCTTTTCATCTTCGCTCATGACCCTAGTACTATCATCGTAGATTGACTGAGATCCAGAACCAAGCGTGCGCACTATGGCGCTAGCATGCATCATTGCATCTTCTAAAAGAACTGTTTGTTCTTTAGTAAATGGTGCTTCTTGTATATGTGAAGTTGGTTCCTTTGCAAATTGAACAGCAGCGGCAGCAGCGGCAGCGCTGATGTCTAGCTGAGCAAGGGCCGGGTCAACATTGCCTGTGGATGCAGAAGGAGCATGATTTTTAGCAGGTAATGGAGGAAGCGGGGTTTTGCGTTTCCTTCCACGTTTTTTAGGAGCTGAAGCCGTTAGGTTAGGCTCTGAAGAAAGTGTGCCTGGGATATTGGGAGAACTAACCGAGGTAGAGAGTGGGCGGGATGCTGAAGTTGCTTGAATGGAAGTTGAGTTGTCAACAAGCATAGGAAGCGAATCCTGAGCTGAGTCAACTGTAGTGCCTAGTGAGTCAGCGTAGAACCGTTGCCAGTTTGTATTTTCTGGGTTAGTGAGCAATTCATGGAGGTCAGCTTCGATCTGAGATGGCGCTGAAGATGATGTGACAGTGGAGTTTGCAGCAGCAGCAGCAGCAGCCACGGCAGCGGCAGCAGCAGTGGCAGCAGCAGTTGCAGGGGTAGAGAGTGATGAAGATGAGTTTGAGCGACGTTGTTTCTTGGAAGATGGTCCAGAGATGACTAAATCATCATGAGAATAAGCCTGCTTGTATGCTGAATCTGAGGTATCTGTCAATGGGATTGTACGAAATGAGTTGGTACTGGCATCTTCGGAATATACCAGATCAGCTGAGTTTTCTCTAGGTTTATCACCATCTTCAATAGGTTTATTATCTTCTGTCATTTCTTCATCGTGATCGTTATCTTCTTCAATGTAGGAAGCATTTTGTTTGCCGAGGTCCAAGAGAGCTTCAGCACCAATCTGGTCACCACCAGCACTAGGAGTCTTTTCAACAGATGCAGAAGCAGCAGCAGCCGCTGCAGCCGCAGCAGCGACTGTTGCAGCGTCTATATTGTTTACTTCTGAAAAAATGGAAGTATCGTTATCCTCATCATTTTCTTCTTGTTCTTGGTTGTTAGTGTCTGCTTCACACGGGCTATGCTGAGTTTGTTCTTGAGATTTGTTTCTTTGCAACTCGACTGTTGCCTTTTCAATTGTGGTCCAGTCAAGCTCAGATATATTTTTGGGGTCGTCGGGTCTAGGAGACGACTGTTCAGAGTTTATATATCTATCAGCTGTGTCGTCTTCATTGACATTCTGGTTCAAATCATTGGTGGTATTGTCGATGTGATTGACTGATGGTACTAGGTCGACTATATCATCATCATCTTCTTCTTCTTCTACCGTCGTATCTGGGTAAACTGTATCCTCAACTACAGCCTCAGATTTGATGATTGAAGGAATCTGGGTATCCTCGATCTCATTGTCAGTGCTATTCAAGGTTTTATCGACACCACTAACCTGTGAGCGTTGTTCTTCGTCTTCTGGATTCTGGACTTGGTTGTCGTTTTCGTTCTCAGATTCAACATTTGCCACCAACTGAGGGCTTGGAGGGGTCTGAGATTTGAGCCTGGGCATGGAATAAGAAAAATAATAATAATAATAATCGATAGCTTTCTCCACACAATAAAAAAAAAAACGCGTCTGTGGAGCGACGTGACGGGAGGGTAATGTCAAAAGGATCTTTTTTTTTTTTGTTTTGTTCTCTCACGTTAAACTGGCGATTTACTAGGTTTGGTTTATTGAGGGAGGGTAAGTGGCAACTTTGAAGGTTTTTTTTTTTTTAGTCAAAAAAAAAATTACAAAAAAAAAAAAAATTAAAAAAAATCTTCAAGTTACCCGGCCGTGATGAAATATTTTCAGACCACATAGTACGCATATGAGCGCGTCAGGGACCTGTAACAAAACACGTGACAACTCACCCACTCACATTTGGCTTTTTTTTTTTATTTTTTTTTTTTTTTTGCCTGCCGTGGCCACAAAGAATCCCCCCTCCCCCCCCAAACCTCCTAAACCCTCCTAAACCCTCCTAAACCTTCCCTCAAATTATCCACCGGTCCGATATCACCATCACCACTAAACTTACAACCACCACAAAATGGCCGCCCCAGCCCTGGACCATTTGTCCAAGAGACGTAGAAAGCTTGAACAGCTTCATCGGAAAACTCTAGCGTTCTCTGGAAATCTGCCTCCTGTCGATTTAATCGATGTCCAAAATGGAAGCTCCGCATCTTCCTCTAGAAACAATATAGGCAACAGCATTAGTAGTATTAGTAGTAGTAGTAGTAGTAGTAATGGCAGCAGCAACAACAACAGCAACAATAACTCAGACACTAGTTCTACCAGCTCCATTGGTTCTACGGGCTCTTTATCTAATGGTCATGCACGATCCAAACATGAAACCGCTTTTTCTTTGGCAACACCGTCGTCGCTCGCCTCATACATCAGCATACCATCTTCCACCCAGACCAAATCTTTATCTCACCTTGCATCTTCATCACATACATCCCAAGACGCTAAACGAAACAATCACCATCGATCACGCCTTCCAAAAGATTTTGACAAAGTTCAAGTCCGTCGTTCATGCACTGCACTGCTTAAGTTTGCTCATGCAAAATATACTGCCTTGAATTCTCACAAACCTCATTTTCAACAACACACATCTATAGAAGATAGCTTATCAGCTGATGCCTTACCAGCAGCACCCTTCCCATATGGAGAACCAATTTATCTTACCATCCAGACCTTTTCCGAAATCGCTTCACTCCGTTCTATTGTCCCTTTCCTCATCCCTCTCCCTAACCGCATTAGGCCTAAACTCGCTGATCTCTCCATATGCCTTATCACCCGTGATCCACGCGCTCCTATAGTGGCTGTTCTAGAGGCTGATAAGAATTCACCTACCCACGGCGTTTTCACAGAAATTGTCTCAGCTGGGAAACTTCGCAGCAAGCTTATCAGCTTTAGCGATGCGAAAAAGAAACAACACCGTCGTAAGCATCTCGATCAAGACGAACCACCCAGCAAAAAAACCAAGCACGCTGTCGACAATCCTCATAAAGCTGCGCCTGGTTATGTTAAATCTTTTGACATTATCGTTAATGACTCTGAAATCACTTCGGAAAAACTTACAAAAATTTTTGGTCCTGGCGTTTATCTTAAGGCGCCGGGCCTTAAAATCACAATTCCAGTTCCCATCTCCCTTCAGCCTCCTGTTTCTGAGGATGCAACCCCAGCACAGGCTCAAAAGATTAAAGATACTATTGCTGATCCCCTTGTTATTAAGAACCAACTTAAGTATATTGCTCGTTCTTCTGCAGTAATCAAAGCTCCTGGAAAAAACCTTTCTATTCTTGTTGGTCTTTCATCTTTTACACCAGAACAGCTTATGGAAAATATTGCAGCTACAATCTCTACTGTTCTTCAGAAACAAGGCGGTCTTATTCAGGGCTCTTGGGAAAATGTCAAGGCAATCACAATCAAGACTGCCAAAAGTGCAAGCATGCCCATCTACCAAAACACAGCTGCACTGGAATTGCACCAGCCTTCCATTGCTGATCTTAAAAATGGATCTGCCGTGGCTAAAGCTGCTAGCAATAATAATGATAATGACGATGACGATAATAATGATGACGAATAATATTAATAGTTTCGCATCAATATTCTTTTTAGAACCAAAATTAATGACCCCGTTTCCTTTTTTTTTTTTTTTTTTTTTTTTAATAATAATAATAATAATTTGTAAATAAAGATATTTCGCTTTTTTTTTTTTTTTTTTCTATTTTTACCACTCAACATTTTTACCCCAAATATTTTAATGACAGCCGCGTCAAGTCTGACTCTTTAATTTCCATATGGGCTCCAGGCAACGTTTCGTATATCAACCCTCCTCGGTCACCAAGTCTCTTAATTCCAATCCAATCTTGGATATAAATCGGGCGTTGCTCTAATGGAGTCAATGCACCTGTTGTTTTGTCCACTTCTTGAAACCATGCAGATTCTTTAGGCACCACTGTCACATCGGCATCAAACATCACCATCACCAGCCGCTGAGCCTGTGCAAAGTTGGCTGCAGAAGTCTTGTTACGTACAGGCTCAACAGCACTGCGCTCTTGCAAAACCAACGCATCAACTGTGCTTCCACCACCGTGATAATTAGCCCGCTCATTGTTAAGGTCCGCAAGAAACCCAGACATTTCAATATACTCGCTATACCGCAGTGGATCACGAAAGTATTGTGCAGGGATAATAGTGGTTTGTGCACTCGCAGTGTAAACCCGCGCTTCAAACAGCTCGTTACGACGGCGGCATATAAAGTTATTATTCTCGCACTGTGGTAAACTTGCAACGCCTATAAAAAAAATTCACTTCGTTAGTGGCCTGAGTATCAAAAATTCGCACCTTTTATACTCACCATTATGGGGGGAACCAAACGTTATAAGGTTGCGGATAGGTGGATCGTTGTACTGTTGCAGGTATCCTCGAAGAAACACACCACCTTGTGAGAATCCAATTGCATCAAATCCACCTTGCAATTCAGGTATATTTTTAATCTCTTGAGCAACCTCCTCCAGCTATATTAATCTATTAGTTAGTGCTCAAACCACTTTTCTTATTCTACTTACCTGATCTTTAATCTGCCCCACAAATCCTGCTTGACTATCATCACGAGATGAGTTTGACACTCGTACAGCATAAACAAATGTTCCTGGACGCGCCCGCCGCAGTGTTACTCCCACACGGTTTATTCCGTCCGAATCATATGAGTCTCCTAGCCCGTGCCAAATCACCACGGGCCGCGGGACTGGATTTCCAGGCACTGCCTCTTGAGGAACATCTTCAGTCTGTGGGAGATTTTCAGAGGAGCCAACAAGTCTCCCGGATAAAAAGTTTTTAAACCCTTGGTACAAACCACCACCATCATTGCTGCTTCCACCGTAATTACTAAAAGAGGAGACAGAAATATCGGGGATAAAATGAACAGCACCGTTGAGTTCTTCAGTAGCACCCAAACTTGCCAGGCATAATGCTGAAAACAAAGCTAGAATACAGCGACTAGATGTGTTTCGGTTAAAAGGTACTAAGTGAACCATTTTTAATATTAAAAAATTATTTTGTTCAGATGAGTTAAAAAAAATATTTCGCGTAGAGTGTTGTGGAAAAGAGAAAAAATAAAAAGAGTGGAGAAAAAAAAAAAAGGAAAGCAGCCGTGACGTCCACAAAATAGAACTGATTACACACCCTTTAACAATATCAATAGTTAATTTTAGTTTAACACAGCCGACCAAACATAACAACAAAAAAAAATGTATAAGTACGAGAGTTTACTAGGTATATTTTTTTTATTTTTTTTATTTTTTTTATTTTTTTTATTTTTATTTTATTTTATTTTATTTTAATTTGATGAACATGCCATAATTTGCTTATTTTAAACTTGGAATTCTATTTAAAATAAAATTTTAATTCCTTGCATGGATCGAAAATTAGAACTGATAAGGTTATTATTTTTGATTATTTGCCTAAATGTTTACTTGAGTATTATTTTAAAGTCTAATACCCCATAATATTCCAGATACCTTTAATAAAAATATCATTAAAACTGAGCTGAAGTATTCAAATAATTTACAAGGTTTAACCAAAACTAATTGGATACGCTTATCGCTTTACTAAAAGTTCTGTTTTTAATACTCTAGCTTATGAGAAACATAAAGAACCAATCTGTCGGTCCCAGACTTACACTTACAATTTCAACTTATCTTCATAGACGTCCATGTATTTCGTAATCCATTTAGAAAAAAAAACTTACAGTTTTAAATTGCTTGCGTAGTAATTAGACTGAGCTAAAAAGTTGGGCTTTTCTTTCTTGTGAGGGTATTCTCGAATCAATCTAGGTGTGTAATCTCGCACACCATTTCCAGGAAAGTGGTGCTTCTGGAGATTAAATCTAGTATTTTTTACAATTAAAATAATTTTCTTTTATCAAATAAATTGTTTTTTAAAAAGATCTTGGTTGTTCAGAAAATTAACTCCACAAATAACAACGTTAAGTACTTTCGAGAGTCAGAATTACTTTTAGGTCTAATCTTTAGGAACTAAAATACATTTTGTTAACTGTAACTTATTTTTAATTTAATTTGGTTTATAATTAGTTTTTTCATGCTTCACCAAAAAGCACAAAGGATGCAGGAGATTTTTCCACTCCACCCATTACAATAGCAAATTCAGCATCTCTTTGTAATGATGGACCTTCTAATTCTTCTCTAACCAAATCTACCTTTTCACAGTACTCGCACATTTCATGATTAATGTCGGCTGATTCTTGTTCAATGTCCATTTCATTTGACTCCAAATCGTCATCACTAAATTCATATAATAAATTAGAATCATCAAAGCTTTTAATTTCTTCAGAGCCAACTAAACTGTTATTATCAGTCCCCGAGCCTGTAGAAATAACGTTAGCAATACGCATAACTCGAAAAACAATAGTAACAACACCCTGAACTCGGGGTAATCTATAAAAAATCTTAACAAGTGCACATGTCTTGTACACTTTTCTGGGCATATCTCTTTTTGAGTCAGATTTCTGGTACTTGTGTATCTTATTGATAAGGGTATTTTCCAACTTTCCGGCTTCCTCATCCTCCAGAATTAAAATAGAATCATTATAGTCATGTGGAACCAAAAACCGTAAAATGTACTTCATTTTGCATCCAGGATTAATAAAATCGTGTTCAGCAATGACTAGAGGTGGTAATAGAGATGTTAAATTAGTAGAAGGGTAGTGTAAGGAAATCTTAACATGACTAATTGGTTGAAATAGTACACCACTTTTAAGAGCTTCCTTAAGCTCGTAAAAAGATGTTGAAAGCCAAGTAAAAGTCCAACCCGAGTTTCTAGGAATCACCGAGCATTCGTCATCTTCAACAAATGGGAGACAAATTGGGTCCCCAGTCAAAGAAACAGTATGGCAAATTGTTTCGGGTATAAATGGAAGCAATGAAATTAAGGGACTATCTAAGGTTGAAATGAGAAAAAGATTTCGAAGGCTTGAGGGTGGATAAGGTAAATTAGCAATGCCATTTTGGAAAAACTCGTATAGTTCAAAATCATTAGTAATTTGGTCTTCAATGGATAGTTGACATGTCCTTTTATCCCTGTTAGGTATATTATTGTTTTCCAATGATTGAAAAAACCCCGAATAATCTTCTCCCGGAACTATATCTATTTTTTGGTAGTTGTCTTTGTCTGAAAACATGTAAATTCTTGGATTGTACTCTTTGAAAGTGGAATAAATCAAACCTGCAAGACTTTTCCCATACTCTAATCGTTCTTCGTTGATTCTTGTTCTAAACTATGGTTAGTAGAGTTATTATTAAGATCTCACTTCTCGCTTAATAAACATACTTGTTAATGTCCAAAAGAATAGAAACAGAAATGGACACATTGGTATCTGAAGGTTCTTCACCACAAGAAGGAGATCCAAAAGGAAGGCTATTGACATTGGTGATTTCCGGGTCCAAGTCCAGTTCAGCGTAAACACTTTTTAACGACATAGAGGCAGAAAGAGAAAAAGTGGCATTATTTTTCGCACTTGTACACATTTCATGACCTTTCATATCGTCCATTTTTTGTTGCATTCTTTCATTCAAAACCGAAATAGTAGCCTTTAGTGAAAATAAAGGGCACGGCGCAAGAAACTGAGTGCAATCAACAACGCTGGTTGATACATAACTTGTGCTATTAGTTAATGACAAACTTTGCATTTCTTCTTTTTCTTCCTCTAGAAATTTGGCATCACTGATTCTAATAAAACTGGTATCAAGAACGGCCGAGTTTCTTTCCCCTGTATTAGTTATGCAACCCTGGGAACCGAGCATCAACGAGTTAGCAGATATACAGCGTTTATTTTTATAGATATTTTTTCTGTAATGTAATGCTTGTTCAAGAAACTCATCAGAACTTGGAAGTATGTTTTTAGTTGGCTGTTTCCCATTTCCACTGGCAAATAACTTTTCACCAATACTAAGTGATCTTGTAAAATCCTTTGAATTCTGGATTAAATTATCAGGCTCCCCGCATTGGGTCACAAATGATTCAGAGATTGAAGATGAATAAGTGCTCTCTTCTTCATTACAGCTTTGGTCTGGCAATTCAGTCACTATAACATCGCTCAAGTCGCCTTTAAGTAACATATAACACTTAGATGATGATGGATGGATCAATGAACCAGATCCTGGGTATGGCATAGAAGAAGAGTCATTAAAAAAATCTAAGTCATCGCGCTCGCTCTTGTGTATAAAGGGGTTGCTTATTTGTCGTTGCTTAATTGAATGAGTTCCAGATGATTGGAAATTATTTTCCACTTGATTATCATTTTGGAATTTCAAAGACTTGAAATCCAAATTACAATTAGATGAAGAAATCGACGAGGTGAAATCAGGAACAACTTTTAGTTTTTCCCTTGAATCAATGGTGCTTTTATGATGGCTAGTCATGTTTTCCAAATCTTCAGAAGAGACAATGGAGCCAAATGAAACAGGTCGTTTTGCAGTGTTGCAATTGATTGAAGAGTCTTTGGTAGGAGTCAGTGCTGCACCTTTTCCGATGAATGTTTCACAGGCTTTTTGAAAAGTCATTATAGATGATAGAAATCCGTTAGGCTTATACGTGCAGTGATTAGTGTAGAAAAAAAAAACAAATAAAATAAAAAGATAAGTAAACAAAGTAAATGTAACTGTCTTTTTAAAATAATTAAAATAAACAATAAGTTAACACTAAAATAAGATATTCCGTAACTAGGCAATTGTCTAGAAATGTCCAAATTTTTTGAAAGCTTGCTATCATAGAAACGTTTTCACGTAACTTTGATGAAGCTAAAAAAAAATAAACATAATATCAGACACTGTATCCAAATTAATTCAAATATTTATAGTAATAAAATTTGAATAGTATCTTAGATGATATTCTAAGATTATATCGCATCGCTGAATATTACTCATGAGCCGTCATGATGAGATAAAGTTAACTCGAAACATTTGTTAGGAGGGGGAGGGGTTTGCGATTGCGATTGACCAGGCTTTTTTAAGCCAAGTGTATAATTCACGTGACCGTACGTTTCCGGTTTGGGCTTCTACAATTGGATTTTTTTTTTTTTTTTTTTTTTTTTCGTTTCCTCCCCTTGTCAGCAGCAAACCTTTGAATAAGACCAACAGATCTTGAAATCTATAAAAGCACATCCAACATCTATTTTTTTTTTTTTTTTTTTTCATTTCTTTATTAAAAAAATTATTTTAATCAGGAGAAGAACATACAGTTATTATATTAACCACATATTAACCACATATTTTATAACTATCAGCATGACCTCGTGGCTACAAGACTTTGACTGGTCGGACATTACTCCGGTGACCCTTAGGGAAGCACCTGGATCGCTTTCCGAAATTATGTATAGTGAAGGCTACAAGACAGCAATTGGGTATTTACTTGCTCTTATGGCTGAAAACGAACACTCTGCACGGGCGCTGGCGGTGGTGCAGGCGGTCATTGAAAAAAACCCTGCGCATTATACTGCGTGGCACTATCGGTTGGAGATTTTAAAGAGCGTGGGAAAAGACATTATACCCAAAGCCAAATGGATTTTTTCAGCACCATTGCCCAACATGGAAGAGGAGGAAGGAGAAGGAGAAGGAGAAGGAGAAGGAGAAGGAGAAGAAGAAGCGAATGATAATAGCGAGTATAAAGATGAAGAAGGAGAAGCAGAAGATAACGATGACAACAAACAAAAAGAAGAAAAAGATAAGCAGGAAATACCTGCTGAATCAGCCCAGAATGAAGGGCCTGAAAGCACATCAAAGACATCATCTGGACTTCCTAAAGAAGATTTAGACATTCTTACTGCAGTTGAAGACTACGAATGGTTGAATGAAACCACTTTAGAGAATGCGAAAAACTATCAGGTATGGCATTATCGCCAGCAGCTTGCGCCATGTGTTACTCCCACATCCAAAGGACCCGAAACTCTGAAACTATATTACGGATTGGAACGGCTCATGGTTGAGCTTGTTCTTGGAATTGATGCCAAAAATTATCACGCTTGGTCACACCTGGTCTGGCTTGTATCATGGTTTGGTGGTGCCATATCAGCTACAGCTGGATCTGATGGTAATGGAGATGCACTAGAAGAACTCCCCGTGGACGCAGAGCTCGCTTTTGTGGAGAACTTGTTGTACCATGACGTGTACAATAATAGTGCATGGTCGTACCGAAATTTTACAGTGCGTCGGGAGTTACAACGGCTTGCTCAATCAGCCACCAAGGGTAGTGCTGATGATGAAATTGCTGTGATACAGCGGGAGGTAACTTATGTTCGGTTCTGTTTGGATAAAGCACCACAGAATGAGTCGCCATGGAATTATGTGGTGGCATTGTTAGACGACGCTAGTTTGACTGCTGAAACTCATGCCAAACAACTTAATGAGCTAGGTGGACTTGCTCTTGAATATGTTCCTTTACAGCTTCAGCAAGAACCTGGAGAGGAGAAAAATGATGAAGATATTGTATTACAGTCGACTCATGCAGTCGAGGTATTAGTTGGAGTGTACACAAAGAAGGGTCAGACTGAAAAGGCTACGAGGGCATTGAAGCTTCTTAAGAAATATATCCCAATGCGTCGTGGTTATTGGACATATTTGGAGAGTACCATACCTAAAGACACCAATGTTAGTGGAGTGGTTGATCAGGCTAGCAAGTTGACAGTAGGAGGGTCGTAAATTGGATTATATTAGTCTATACAAATGAATAAAAAAAAATTAAAAATGAAAAGCGTCAATTAAAAACAAAACAAACAAACATAACGGAAATAATGATAATGATAATAATAATAATTAAAAAAAAAAAAAGTAAATTGAAAAATGATTTAAAATGGGATATCAAAAGTCTCAGAATATCCCTTCAAAATGTCCCAGCTGACGGATGTACCACCACATACAACCACAACAATAGTATCATCTTTAGAAAGATTAGGAAAGGCTTCTTTAATCTTGCCATTATAAAGGGGGGCCAGGGCAGTTCCACAAGCAGCTTCAACCATCATTTTGTGATCATGAGCAAAGCGAATACAAGCTTCAGCTGCCTCACGGTCAGAAACAACAAGAGAGTGAGTTTTGCCAGTAGGAGAAGCATTACTATTACTTGATGACAACAAGGAAGATGAAGAGGATTCATTAAGGCATGGCAAAGGGCCAAAGGAAGTAGGGCGAGAGCCCATTGCATAATCAATAGTTTCTCGTGTCACGGAAATAGTAGAAAGAGATGTGGCAATTGTTTTAGGGGCTGGAATCTCAACCTGCTTCCCGCCAGCGTTAATGCTCTGATTGAGAGTGGCACAACCTTCTGTTTCAACAGCCACAAGTGACACATCAGACCAGCCAGCCAAGGAGAAACCAATACCAAGACCATTGTAAAGACCGCCACCTCCAACGCTGCAAATGGCAATAACTTTGGATGAAAGAGATGGTGATGATGATGAGGGAGGTGGTATATTGTTAGAAGCGAGACACAGTGATGAGGCATTGGGAGAAGGAAGAAGATTAGAGACCGAAGATGACGAGACAGAATTGAATTTAGGGGATGTTGAAGGAGTTGGTAGTGTTGCAGATTGTTGAGGAACTTCCAAAGACTTTGAGGATATTTGAATATTACTTGTGGTTGTGAGAGAGGAGGGGGGAGGAGTGAATTGAGCCGCAGCCAAGTGAGGCTCAAGTTGTTTTACAATCTCGGTAGCTACTGTTGAGTTCCCTTCCCACACCAGAGTATCATTATAAGGGTGACAGTAGACTGCCACTTCCTTACAGCTTGGAATGAGAACGTTTCGAATGTGTGCATCAGCCTCAGCAATGGTAGCACCATAGACCACGACTGTTGCTCCAGTTTTGCGGATGCGATCAACCATAAGAGGGTTTGAGGTTGTAGGAAGACACACGGTACATTTTTGAAGGTATTGACGAGCTGCATATGCAGTTGCGCAGCCAGCATTTCCTCCAGAAGGTGAAAAGAAATGGTAATAATTAGCAGGTGCACCAGGGAAAGATCCAGTAGGGGTGTGGGCCAAATGAGGAGCAACTGCAGTGTTTTTACCAGTAATGGTCTTGTAGACAAGGTTCCCAAGACCACGAGATTTAAAAGAGCCTGAAGGTTGGGTTAATTCGAGCTTGAGATAGACGTTTGCACCAGTGAGCTCTGAGAGGTAGAGCGATGGGACAAGGGGAGTTTCAATGTATGGAAGAGGAGTAGAAGAGGTCATTTTTTGTTTATTGATTTATTGAATGATTGATCTGATAGAATGACAATGTAAAAAAAATAGAAAGCAAGTTGGATAGCTTTATAAGAAAGATTTGAATGAAGATAAAAAAAAAAAAAAAAGGAAATATAAATATTTTTGAATAATATTTGAGAAAAATATTTGAGAAAAATGGCTAGGTATTTATAATTTTGATGAAGGGAGAGAAGACTGAGTAAACCATGAGGCCCATAATGTGATGGATAATTATTGTTGTTGTTTTTACTCGGTTACATTTTAAGAATATATATATATATATATATATATATATATAATAGAAGGTTTTAGTTTGGCCACAACACTAAAAAAAAAAAAAAAATATGTTTCTTTTTTCTATTTATGTTTCCCTTTGTAAATCGATTGAAGCTGATTTTTTTTTTCTTTTTTATGAATTGAGATTTTGAACGATAAGAGAAATTAGTTAGATGCGCAAAAATAAATAAAAATAAAAGTTTTTTTTTTTTTTTTTTTTTTTTATGTATCCCAGCCTCGAGACTTATTTTAAAAGCCACTTTGAATCAATAAAAAAAACATTCTCTTGCTGGATTGATTGATTGATTGATAGATGTCTTATACTTTCTATAAGAATTTTTTTTTTTTTTCATAATTCCATTTGTTTACGGATGAGATTATTACTCTAATTATCAATGTCACCGAGTAAATCGCGGTCTTTTTTTTTTTTTTTTTTAAAGAGAGGGGGGTTTAAATTGTACGTAATAACAATAATAATAATGGCATGAATCCTTTTTATTTACAATCATCATCATCTTTTTTATTTTTATTTTTTATTTATTTTTTAAAAAATAAAAAAAAAAAGTTTACACGGTCAGAAATTTAACCAGACCAAACAGTCTTTTTTTTTTTTTTTTTTTTTAATAAAATGAAACTGTGCGGCTTTTTTTATATCTTTCTAGCCCGGTTTTTTTTTTTTTTTTCTTTTTTACAGAGTGCTCGGTTCACACACATATAACATCACTTATACAATGCCCCAACTCTACAAGATAACCGAGTAAAAAAAGTATATCAGAATAACACGGTTATTATTATACATATATATATATATATAGTTACTTAAGCACGCCGCTCAATGTCAATGCCGCCAGCCCGTAATGACAAAGGTGGAGAAGTAGCTTATTTTTAATTTTTTTTTTCTTCTTTTCTTTTTAGTCACTATATTTAGTATATAAATGAATGTATTTTTATGCACATTAATATAACGATATTGTTAGGGGGCTGGTCTTAATGGGTTGGGATAGAAGAGCCTTCACTTTGTTGTTGTTGTTGTTGTTGTTGTTAGATGATGCTGATAAGAAATAAAAAGAAAAAAGAAAAAAAGAAAAAAAGTCTTTTGTCATGATGGATGTTTGTTTTAGCGCTTAAAACATGGATTTCTACCAACATTAATAAAAAAAAATAATATTTTGATTTTATTTATTAATTTTTTTTTTTTTTTTTTTCAATTCTTGGGATCTGTCATTTTCAAATGTTGTTGACAGTTCAAAACAAATGAAAAAAAATTTTTTTTTTTTTTTTTTTTTTTTTCTTTTAAAAATAAATCTAAAAATTATGAAAACCTTCTTATCTATTATAATTATTATGAACCATTTATTCCATGAAATATCTCTATAGAATAGATGCTTCTCATCCAGCCTCTAATAATAATAAATAGATAAATAGATAAATAGATAAATAGATCATCCATCATATGAGTAGCTCCTTCATGCGAGTTTTTAAAAGCCTCTTTTCAATTTTTTTTTATTTTTTTTTATTTTTGTATTTAAAATTATAATGTTAAATAAAATATCTATAGTTCTATTTAAATATATAAGCCCTACTACCACTATATAACGTTTCTTATCTCTTGTTCTTGTTCTTGTTCTTCCTTTTCTCTCCCAAAATTAAAGCTTATATATAATTTTATATTTAGCTTATTTGCTTATAAGTTTCTAATTAGCGGATATGCCTGGATATCAACGGTTACCATCTACTTTTGGTTTTTTTTTTTTTTTTTTTTTTTTTCTATCTGTCTCTCCAAATTTCCACTTTTGGCCAATTTCTGTGCCTTACACTTAAACGGCGCCTCTCCACTCCCTTCCAAAAAAAAAAATAAAAAAAAAAAAAACCGTTTTATATCTTAACTAGTTGTATATATATTTAATTTTTTTTTTCATTATTATTTTTAATATATAATATATATATATATATATATATATATATATATATATACATATGGATATATTATTATACATTTACATTTATATTAAAAAAAAACTTTTCAACCTGATTAAAAAAAAAAAGAAAAAGTCTTAAAGACTCATGAATTGGCTATCATCTATAGCGCTAAATTTTTTATAGAATCCTCATAAGAATTCTTCTTGAAAAATTATCAGAAACTTTTATTGTTTATCATTATTATTATTATTATTTTTTTTTTTTTTTTTTTTTTGCTTTAAGATTTCTATCATGCTATTATTGCAAAGCAAAATATATATATATATATATATATATATTTAATTAATTATATCAATCATCCAGTTTCTCAGTCTATCTATTTAAAAAAGACATGTGCTTAAAATCACCAGAACCACAATACTCTTTACCTTCCTTTCTCCACTTATCCATTTCCTTAAGACATCATCACAATAGAAACATGTAAAAACCCATCCGGATATAATGCCTCTTGCAACAACTCCAATAGCGCAACACCCATAGGTATCTCGACCCCATGAACCATGGGCCGAGCAACAATGCACGTTCGTTTCGATGGGAAAAGTTGTGGTGTAGCTGCATTTAGAGCAGTCCCCAATGTTTGAATCTTATACCGTATAACCCCAGTCTCCATATCTTTACCAGGACTACTATTATTATTATTATTATTATTATTATTATTATTACTGTTGTTGTTGCTGCTACTGCTACTGCTGTTACTTTTACTACTACTACTATTACTACTCCCACTATTTTCTCCAGACTCTAACCGCCCACCACCACCTGTGGCTGCTGATAATAATCGCCGTTTCATCATGGTTGATGATGATAGTAATAATGATCCACTTCCTGATGATATGCTATTCCCAAGACTAGGTTCTTTTAACACAGTACCGTTATCTTCATAATATGGCTGAACCCTGGGCTGAAGAACAATGCTTGAAATGGGTAAGTATATTTTCATGGGTATATTTTTAATACCAATACTGTCAATACTCAGTCCAGTATTTTTATCAGAACTTGATGATTCTCCTGATCCATTGATATCATTTCGAAGTTCAGATGGGTACCGTTGTCGCATTGGAAACTGTAAATCAAAAATTTTCCAAAACCGTGCTGGGTTTTCTCGTTCATCTAATATTACAAAAAAAAAAAAGGTTAACAAGTTTTGTTTTTAAAAAAGAAGAATCAAAAAAAAAAAAAAAAAAAAAAAAAAAATTAATCAACTTACAATCGTCTATACTTTCCCATAAATTAGTTGTGTCTTCTTTAGATAGGTTCATAATTGCATTTGCAGTTCCTGTTCGTACTACACTGGACTGTATTTTTTTTTTTTTTGGATAATTAAAGTCAGTCAAAAAAAAAAATAATAATAATAATAACAACAAAATTTCACCTCTCCTTTTCTTATTTCACTTTCTTACACTTACCTCCTTGATTTGATTCATCCAAAAGTCTCTAACAGTCGCTGGGCCTTGGAGCGCCAGAATATGCTCCTTTGGATAGTTTTTGTGGTGTAATATAAGGGTCCATGGGATATGCGACGCGTGTGTTTCTGAATCTTTGGTGGGGTCCAGCCCAGTTAAAAGATCGTAGCTTAAGCCTACAGGCCAATTCCTTTTAAAAGAAGAAAAAAAAAAAAAAACAATCACCAACGTGTTATTTCTTATGATCTTAATAATTATAATAATAAAACTTAGGTATTTTGATCCAACCTCTCAAAGACTTACCATTTAACAGGACTACCTTCAAACTCGACCCACCAATCAAACTGATCTGCTAACTCAGGTCGATTCAGGGAATTGCGTAGATACTTGAGCGCAATTGCCGTATATTTAGGCAAGTATGCAACTCTAGGAACCAATATCTATTTTTTCACCAGTCAATAAATTAAAGCTACTTTTTAAAGTAAAAAATAAAGGAAAAGAGATTTATTTTCTCATCTAATACACACTCGATATACATACGTAGTACTCTGCTGTTGCTCCAAACTCGCGTACCTCGTCCTGGCTCATAATAAACCGTACAGGTATGCATCCTCGCCAAATCTGTTTCCGTATACTCGGTTCTTCCTTTTTTTGAGAAAACACAGACACGGCCGCAATATCTGTTGCAGGTGCTACTGGAGCATTGCTCCCGTGGCGAGTCTGTAGGAAAGAAGCCGATACTGATGACGATGACGACGACGATGAAGGACCGCGCGCAATGGCTAGTGGCGAGGGAACAGAGACTGGTGCAGTTGAAGACGTAACACGCGACGATTCTTTAGATGCAGACATTTAGAATAAATAGCGCGTGTTTTTTATATAAATATATCTTGTTGCAATAGTGCTGGTACTATCGGTTAAGTAAAAAAGAGAGGGGAGGAAGAAAAAAAAAAAATAAAGAGAGTTAATAATGAACTAACAGATTATAATACTTAACGATGGGAATAACTACGTTTGGTATATTTTCGGGGGGTTTTTTAAAAGGTTCGCGAACCATTATTATAATTAAAGTCATGTGATTAATTAAAAATTATCACCTCACTGTTACGTCAGCTTTCAATTGCGGCTGTGCAAAAAAATAGAAGTTCTTTTGCTGCTTCTATTTACGCATCCCAACCCCGTCACCTTTTTCCTCGGGAGACTTCCAAACCACCAATATCACGATTACTTGCAACCATCTGTAACAAAAAAAAAAAAAAAAAAAAAAAAAAAAACCACTAACTCCATTACCACCAGGCTAATTTCCCTATAATTTACTATATTTACTATATTTACTATATTTACTTATCTATTTTTTTTATAGCCTTTGTCATTCTTTCTCTTTGCTTATTTTCCATTTCATTTATCTTTTCTTGACCTTTTATTATTTCTTACCTTTTAAAAACAAAATCACCAGCTTATCCTTTTCTTAATCTTATAATCTATCTATCAACCAAAAAAAAAAAACCAAAAAAAAAAAATGCACGCTAGAGACTGGCTTCTTGCTTTCCTTGCTCTCATCTTCCCTCCTATCCCTGTCATTTTTAAACGTGGTCTTTGTACTGTCGAGTGTAAGTAACTTTGTGTACCCTTAGATTCTCATCTATGAGACATATCCTTCTCTCAAACTATTATAAACACTAATATCTTCCTTTTTCTTCTTTAGTCCTAATCTCGATCATTCTCTTGATTTTTGGATTCCTCCCCTCAGTCATTTACTCTTGGTATATCATCTCAAAGTACCCCACAGTCGAACACATCCTTATTGTCGACTGTGATGGACATAATCACGATGGCTATGGTGCTGTTTAAACCAAAATCACCTAGTCACTTGCTTATCACTCATCTAATTTAAACTCTTTGCTTCAAATCTACAAGTTTATATGCAGTTTAATCGTTTATTTTATTTTATTTTATTTTTTAGTTTATCTGAATTACAACTACACATCAAAATACAACATTATTTTAAAAAAATTTCATATTCATTAACTTAAATCATCTATCTATCTAAACACAAATAAAAATACATTCCTTTTTCAAAACAATTTTTTTTTCTTTCCTAATATACATTGGAATCATAATTCCCTTTTTTTCCCTTTCAAATAAATAAAAAAAAAATCCAACAAATATAAAAAAAAACTTTTATCATAAAATTCATTAATACCCAAAAAAATAGTAAGTTTCTTTTTTTAAAAAAAAAAAAAATTAATTGAAAACTCAATATTTGAATAATACTGTAAATTGTTTTCTGTAATTTCACAATTCGTTAAAAAAAATTCTTCTTTTTTTCATTTCCTTCTCCACAAATGCAACTTAATGCTTCATATCAAAGGATAAAAAAAATATCGTAAAATAAACAAAAATAAAAACCCGAACATTTAATCATGCTAATAGTCGTAAAAGTCATTAAAAAATTAAATTGTTGCGTGACATAAAATATTAAAAGGCATCTAAATTTTCGAGTCGTAAAGTCATCAAATATCGAGCGATATTATTACCAGAGTAGGGTGAGGGTTGTCGTAACAAAATAAGAATAGGGTATCATGAATTCTAGTTAAAACTTTTCTTCTTAATCATCAAAAGAAAAAAAAAAGGTCTATCAAACCAAAAAATAATGGTTGGGGGTTATTGCTGGGATAAAAAAAAAAACAAGTCATAAAATAGGAATGCAAAAAGCATAATAAAAAAACCAAATATTAGACAGATAGATTTTAAAATTTCTCGCTGGTAATTTACCAGCCACCATAGCCATAAGAGCTACCCTGATTACCGTAGCCATGGTTAGTATTGTTGTTAGTGGGGTTGGCATTGGTGTTGGTGTTGGTGCTGGTGTTAGTCAAGTTCTGGTGACGTTCATGATGAACGCTGCCAGCATATCTGTCAAGACCACCATTGTATTTGCGGTAATCATGGCTGGCACTGGTGCGGCTGCGGTTGCTACCTCTGGACTTGCCATAAGAGCTCTCGCGAGCAACAGACTCCAAAAATCCGGGAACCTCTTGGTTGGCTTCCTTAAGAATGTCAATCAAGTCACGAACAACATTCTTGTTATTGCGGTTGAAGAAAGCAGTGGCAGTACCAACGTTACCGGCACGACCAGTACGACCAATGCGGTGAACATAGTCGTCAATGTCAGTGGGGAGATCATAGTTGATAACGTGCTTGACATTGGGAATATCCAAACCTCTAGCGGCAACAGCAGTGGCAACCAAAATGGGGGTTTTACCGCTGCGGAAAGTTTCCAAAGCACGTTCACGCTCACGCTGAGTTCTGTCACCGTGAATGGCAGCAGCTGAGAACTTCTGGTAGATAAGGAAGTCGCAAAGCTGATCAGCCATACGCTTTGTCTCGACAAAGACAAGAGTAAGACCTTGATCTGAAGAAGACAAAATGTCCAAAAGGGCAGACTTCTTCTCGTCATCCTCAACATAAACGACACGCTGAGTAATGTTTTCAGAAGTAGAACCAACACGACCAACAGAAAGGAAAATGTAATCCTTCAAAAAGTCGCGGGCAAGCATCTGAATATCACGGGGGAAGGTGGCAGAAAACATGAGAGTTTGTCTGTCTTGAACACCAGGCATGTTTTCGCCTTCAACAATACGTCTAATTTGAGGTTCAAAACCCATATCAAGCATACGATCAGCCTCATCAAGAACAAGGTACTTGATATTCTCAAGAGAGATTCTACCTCTCTCCAGAAGATCGACAAGACGACCAGGAGTGGCGACAAGAAGGTCGCAACCACGCTCAATTTGACGGATTTGAGTGTTGATATCAGCGCCACCGTAGACGACACAGGGGCGAACCCATGATCTGTAAGCAAACTTTCTAGCCTCATCGTAAATCTGGGACACCAACTCACGAGTAGGGGCCAAGACAAGAGATGTAGGGTAGCCAGTTCTGGCATGGGGGTACTGTTGAGGAGGGATAGGAGCAGGGCCCTTCAAGAAGGATTCTGAGAGAATGGGGAAAAGGAAACCGCCAGTCTTACCAGAACCAGTTTGGGCACAGGCCATCAAGTCTCTACCATTGGCAACAATAGGGATAGAGTACTTTTGGACAGGGGTAGGTCTGGTGTATCTGGCCAAGTTGATGTTCTCAATAAGGTGGCTCTCAAGAGGAGGACCAAAGGAGGTAATAGGTTCAGGAACATCATTACCAGTGGCCTCAACAGGGATTTCATCATAGTTATCAAAGTTGATACCAGTGGATTGGAAATTGGGATCCTCGGCGGTACCAAAGATCTCAATTTCAAGCTGGGCATCAGCTTCAGCAGGAATGTGCTTGCCATCAACAAAACGGCCGCTGTTGCCTCTGTTGTCTCTGCCGCCAAAACGACCATTTCCACGGTAATTATTGCCACCGTAGTTTCTGTTATAGCCACCATTGTAACCACCGTTGTTACCAAATCGGTTGCCACCGTAGTTTCTATTGTAGCCACCATTATTGTAACCACCATTATTGTAGCCACCATTATTGTAGCCGCCATTACCATAGTTGTTATAGCGCTTTTGGTAGCCATTACCATTGTTGTAATCATTTCCGCCTTCAGCCTGGCCGTTGGCGCGATGAGGAGGAATATAAGCTGAACGAGCAGTCTGAGATCCAGCGTTTACAGAAGAAGCTGGAGCGTTTCCATTGTTAGAGTTATCGGTCATGATTTTATTTATATTGAACTAATAGAATCTGCAATAAATGACAAAATGTGTCAGTGGTTGATGTGTAGAAAGGAGAAAAAAAGGAAAAAGAAATAGAGGCACATCGAGTTTTTATATATTGCACAAAAAAAATTTTTTTTTTTTAAGCCTAGTAAAAATTTTTCTTTTACAAACTAATTACGTAATATTGGATATTCTGAGATATTCTATAGATCGTTCCAGAATATACTTAGTTTTGAAATTACTATTTTACAAGGAAATTAAAGCTAGACCCAAATAAAATATCATAATATCAATAATAAATCATTATATAATATAATATAATAAAATAATAAATAAAATATTTTTTATTATTGTTTTTTTTATCTATTTATTTATTTATTATTTAAATGCTAGTTAGATTGGAAATATTTGAAGCATATATAAATGTTGATAGTTTCTCGCGTTTTAGGGTGCTGATTTTAAAATGCGTGTAAGCGCGTTTCCAAGCTGATTTTGACATTAATCTACTTTGCAGCGCATATAGGTGGCGGTGGAACATGCGATAGCCACAATTACACTGCCAGTAATTATAATAACAGCTCAGATTTTACAAGAGTAAATATCAGCACAAAAGTACGTTTAGGACCGAAGCTTTTAATTGTTAAAATTTTATAATTATAAGGCAGTTGTATCCTTTTGACAGTATGTGTTAAGTTATCTAAATTAAGACATAGGCCATATCACTTAGGGAAATTGTTAGTAGATTATCCGAACTTATTCAACCCAGGATAACTTTTAAGGTAATTTGATAAAGATGGGATTAAGTTTTATGGGATTTTTAATTTTTGTCACTCTAGTGAATTGACTTGATGAAATTCTCTTTTAACTTAACTTTTATATAAATGATACAGAAGTATAATTTTATTTAATATATATATAGTTTGCAATTGCGTACTTTTTATCTAAGTTATACAAAGAAAAAAAAAAAAAAAAAAAAACGCGACTTAACGTCAAGGTACGGTATCTTGGACTCAAACGAGATTAATAGTACTATTGGCTATTGACGAATTGGCAAGGGACGAATCTTATGAATATGTTTACTTTTAAGATTCCAGCATAATCAATTAATTCTGAAAAATCAAGTATGGTTAAACTGATCCTAAACTGTAAAACGGTTAAATCCTAATAATAAATAGTTACTAAAAAGAATCTGCTCAATATGAAAAAAAAAAATCCTTATGAAAATTTCTAAAACATGGGAATTTTTCACATTTAAAAAAAAAAAAAAAAAAAAAAACTGTAGACTTGGTATCTCACTAACTTTTTGAGTATCCCAAGGCCAAGAGTGGCTGATTGCTTAAGATGTATTGTACACATCACCTTTTTTTTCTGTCTCCTTTTTTCTTCTTTAATCCTGACAACTCTTTTTTTTATTTTATTTTCTAAAGGCCGTCAATTGTCAATCAGTCATGACTTCTTCAGAAATCGTTTTCGTTAAGACACCTCCTCCTCAAAAGCCTCTTCCGGCTTCTACAAAGTCCGGTGTTCGCACAACCGATGTAAGTTTAATCCTATATACTCTTCATCTAGCTTCTTTTCCGGAACATTTATACCATTGGCCATCCGTACTTTTTCATTTTGAGTTATATCACCATTGTTTTTTTCCCACAGTTTCTAAACTCATCTTTAAACAACTCAATCATAGATTTTAATTAGAAAAGCACTTAGCAATTGATATTTTCAAACATTAATACTTCTCAATTTCATTTACTTGAATTCAAAATAACTCTAGACTACAAACACGTGCTTTTGAAATAATGGTCTAACTTTTGATTTTTTTTCTAGTATCCTTCCATCAAGAATGGTACTCTCATCGTCGAAGGCCCATCCAGCCGTCACTTTTCCAACCTTCTTCTTTTCTCTTTGTTGTTGGGAATCCCCTTCTTTTTCACTAAAAAAATTGGCGGTGGTTTAAAGACTTACCTTTTCTTGACTGTTCTTTTTGCCATCCCTATTCTCATGGCCTTCTGGACTGTCGCTTCTTCCTACAGTCCTAATCTTGGCGGTGACAGTGTTACTCTTCCTAATAGAGGTGTCGAGCACTACCTTACCTTTAAGGACCCTGAGTTGGCCGAGAAGTATAAGGGCGAAAACAAGATCCCCATGGAGACTTTCCACGAGCTCTATTTCGATCAAAAGGTTGACTTCAATGGTGATGCTCTTGACGTTCTTGAAGAAAGACATGACTGGGCTTCTTTTAGATTTACTCTGTCTTTATTCAAGTTCTTTTTGACCGGTATGATGCCTGAGGTTATTATGCACACTCGCTCCCAAGATGAAGAACAGGTTCGTGACCATTACGACCGCGGTGACGACTTTTACTCTTGGTTCCTTGGCCCCCGTATGATTTACACTTCCGGTATTATCTCTGATATCCACAAGACTGAATCTCTTGAGCAACTTCAGGACAACAAGCTCCGCATTGTTTGCGAGAAGATCGCTTTGAAAAATGGTGACCGTTTGCTCGATCTTGGCTGTGGTTGGGGTACTCTTGCTCGTTTCGCTTCTACACAGTATGGTGCTCATGTTACCGGTATTACTCTTGGCCGCAACCAGACTGCCTGGGGTAACTCTAACCTTCGCAAGGATGGCGTTCCTGAGTCCCAGTCTAAGATTCTGTGTCTTGATTACCGTGATACTCCTGTTCCTGAAGGCAAATACAACAAGATCACTTGTCTTGAAATGGCTGAACATGTCGGTGTTCGCAAGTTTGGCTCGTTCTTGCGTCAAGTTTACGACATGCTTGAGGATGAAGGTTTCTTCTTCTTGCAGATTGCTGGTTTGAGAAAGTGCTGGCAGTATGAGGACCTTGTTTGGGGTCTTTTCATGAATAAGTATATTTTCCCTGGTGCTGATGCTTCTACCCCTCTTGGATTTGTTATTGATAAACTTGAGGGTTCTGGCTTTGAAATTGTTTCTGTTGATAACATTGGTGTTCATTACTCTGCCACTCTTTACAACTGGTACAGAAACTGGATGGCTAATAAGGATCTTGTTGTTTCCAAGTATGGTGCTAGATGGTTCAGAATTTGGGAGTACTTTTTGGCTTCCTCTGTCATTACTTCCCGTCAAGGTGGTGCCACTTGCTTCCAAATTCTTCTTAGAAAGAACCTCAACAAGGTTCACTCAGTCGAGCAGATTCCTCTCCAGTACGGTCTTCATGTCCCTAAGCCCCCTCAAGGAAACGTTTGGCTTGACAATACCCTCACCGCCATCTCTCAGTTGAGAGCTTCTGCCACTGCCAACGTCAATCCTGAACTTGTCCCCGTTGAAGCCACTGATTAAACTTTTCATAAGATGAAATCCTGTATAATTAAAAAAAAAATCTATTACTAGAAATTAAAATATATATATATAAGCAATTTGCAAAAAATGAAACTATTTCATAGAAACTCCCCTTTTGGCTCTGGGAGGGGTCTTCGGTCGCAAAAGATCAATTTCTGGGTCTACAGGTACTCTATGACCTAAAACTCTCATCTCGTTTAAGTATGTCTGAGGCAAAAAATTGTTAGCCGGTGCCTCTGGAGAAACAATAACCCATCCAGGGCGAGGCCGAACAGGTAAGGAAGATCCAGCATACCCCGGAATTATATGAATCCTGCGAGACATAAGCGTGAAATTTTCAATTATTGAATACATTTGTTCAGGTACAATGCACGCTCTCTCTTTTAAAGTCTCAACAATGATATCTGTATCAACGTTACAGTTGATTAAGTCAGTATCTTCAGAACGACGAAGCGTCCCTTTCAGTCCTAAAAGGCAGTGCCAAGTTGATTTTTCAATAATGTCATCTTCATGCTGTGGAGGGTAGTACACTGATTCGCGCGAGCGACACATGAATACGATATCTTCACTTCTGCGGAATCCCCAGGCCTCCAAAGCTTGTCGTGCAGTATCTAATCCATAACCAGGTACCCATATAAGCGCAATGCTTGGACGAGGAGTCAACTGAGGAATTGGCAAAGATGCCAATGTGCTTAATGATGGTGCATATGGATAACATCCTCCTACCATAACAACATCAAAAATAAGGCCATCGTGCGCAGCCCATTTTTGGAGTGTTGACGGCATATCTGGAACCGGCATGGAAGCACAATATGGTGTACAAGCATGATGAAGAGTGTGTGTTGCCTTTAGTTCGTGAAGTCTTTGAAGTCTGGGGTATCCAACAAGTGGCATATCAGAATTTTGAACATGAACTTGGGGAAGTACTCCAGTTCGTAGGTAATGATCAGAGTAATCGTTGCCAAAATTATTAAAGAGCTGGATTTTCTTAGTATCTACCGGTTCATTAAAATTAGAAAAATAAGAAGCAGAGGAATGAACTGGTGTGCTTTTTTGAAAATGAACGTGGTTTATTTGAGATCTTTGTGCTCCAAATTGTGAAGTATCTTTGAAAGAGGTGTTGTACTTGGACGCACTCAAGCCACTAGCAGGAGCAGTAGGATATTGTTGTTTCTTAACTCCATTGCCTACAGTAGAAGAAGATGATCCCACTGATCCAATAGATGAACCAGAAGACGATGAGGAGTGCAATGTTTGTCCACTACTTCTAGAGGTTGCTAAAGACTCGCGGGAAACCGGGGTATCTGTAGAGCGGAAACCACCCTCTGTGTTCAACATTTTGAATTATCTAAAGACAGAAATTTCTAAAAAAACAAGAAATAGGAATATTTTTTTAAATTTTTATGAAAAAACATGCGGATTTCCAACATTTTAATGCAAAGGCTGGATGGACCCTTGTTGATGAGAATTTTGACATGGTGTCTGATACGCGTAGTGTGTTGGCCACTGAGGGTTTGGATATGTTTTAGTTTGATTGTAACAATGTTGTTAACGCTATATTAAAAAAAAAAAAAAGACCAGCCCTCGCCAAAACTTGTCAAAAAAAAACACACACACACATTAAAACTTAACACCCCAATTATCAATATCATGTCAGTGTTTCTCTCCAGTGCACTGGTGATTCGATATGGAACCCTTATGGAGTATATTTTCAGCTGGATCTCTTAAAAGATCTAAATCTGATAAAAACCTACAAAAGATAACTCCAAATCTTGCCACTACAAAGGACGCCACATACGAAATTTTAGTATGTAATTTAACGCTTGTTTATGAGCAAAAAAAAAAATTTGAAATCCAACTTCTTTTACGCAATATTACGAGACAAAATCTAGATATATATTAATTAACTTTTTTATAGAAACTACTTCGAAAATGTGACCCTGAGACTCGGTCGTATAAGGAATTGCAAACAGCACTAATCAATCTAACTCAGGTTTTCGAGGCTGATGATTATGCCATATGCGTGATATACTTTCTTAGAAACAATGGACTTGTGACACTGGGAGCAAAGTTTAGAGAACTCCCAACTAACATCTTGGTCTTGGTTTTTAATCTACTCCAGATTCTTGTCGAAAAGGTTTGTGGGCATGATGAAGCTCTAGCAAAAGATAGGGATATGGTTTTGGGAATAACGTCGGTTCTCCAATCCTTATTAAATTACCCCATTGTTAATGGTTCTTTAGAGCAAAGTCTTGCGGACTTTCTTCTTTGTCTGGCATCGCTTATGCGACGTACTCCAAGACTTTTGGTTTCTTGGTTTGAAATAATCGAGGCTTTTTGCGGGGCTCCAGTTCTCCAAAAGAAAGAGGACCCCATAAATGAATTTAGTGAAGAAGAAGAAGAAGAAGAACAGAATAAAAAGGATTCTAAAAATCAAAAAGCAAAATCAGTAAATTCTGATGTACAATACAACCGCGAATTCCCTATGTTTTACTTACTTCTAGAGTACATACATCACGGAGGCAAAGTTGGTGAAGTTTCAAGAACAGCATTATTATACCTAATGGAAGTAGCTTCGACATACAAACCAATTACTCAGTGGGTAATTGACAGCGATCTGGGAGGGTTTATGGCATCAGGCTTAGGTGCCTTGTACTCGCAGCTTTGTCGAGCTATGTCAAAAGAAGGGTCAATCAATCACTCTGAAATTACATTTGAACAGATGACTAATGAGGAAAAAGAAATAAAGTTGGATTCTGACAATAATTCTATCAACAGCAATCAAGATTTGAAAACATTTCTTTCTTATTTTCTTTTTTGGCAAGACATTATGGGATTCTGCAATGATATTGATGACCTTGCTGATCATCTTGTCTATAATTTTGACGCGTTATTTGTTCGCCAGCTTTTATACCCATCAATAATTGAAACCACAGATTCAGAGGGTGGGTATTCAGACGTTCTTATTGAAATCCTGGCCACTATTCTCAACTACTTACAAAATAACAGATTAAGTGAACTTATTGTTTGCTATTTTATGGGCCAAGTGGTTGAAAATAATCCCATAATTCTTGCTAGATCAAGGAAACGTCGTCCCAATACTGCTGAAAGTACTAGTAGCTCTCTTTCTTCCAACTCCATTCATCAAAAGCCTCTGCTTACATTGTTTGATATAATGACTACAACATTAGGGTCCTCAGATACAAATAAAAGAGCATGCACTTTAAAACTACTAGCTATATTAATTGCAAAATATTATCCTTACGTTATAAATAAACTGATACCAACAACCAACATAATAACCTCCATTGATGGAAAAGGAAACTTCTCAAGGTTCCCAGCTAGCATTCATCCGGAGGAAGAATTGATTACAGTTCAAAATATGATGAGTCAAGTGGAATTAGATTTTCAAAAGTTACCTGAAGATGAAAATAATTATGTCGAAATAATAAGCCTTGATAGTAATTTGACCAGAAACGAAATTATGAAACGTTCAACTGCTTTGACTGAAACTCTCAAATTTTTTAGTCACTTTTCTTTGAACCCTGAAGTTGTTTCTAACTACCAACGTGAGATTGAAGAAATCTCCAATTTACAAATGAAAAAGTTCACACAGTCACGAAAGGTTCAATTTAAAACAGAGTCCTTAAGTGTCCATAGAATTACTTCAGATAAAACCAAAATATTGTCGAGAAGTGAATGTCAAAGTCGAAACTCAGGAGCTGATTCTGATAACCAATCTTTAGTTATCCACAAAAAAAATGTGATTGAGCAAGTCATTAACGAGCGATTTAGTCATTACTTTGAGAATGGGTTTGCTGAAAATTTGGCTTTGACTCAGGTAATTATTCGTCTAGGAGCTTGGGGCTATGTTGATTTACGAGGTTGGGTTCTTGATGTGCTTGTGAATAATATTGAAGGTCTCACCAAAGTGCTGGTCAACTCTAAGTTAAATGAAATGAAAGAAGCAGGAATAGATGCTCCTGGTAATAATGACGAGATAAATAACAAAAGTGAAACTCTGGATATGTCACAGAACAACTTTTTAAATGCTAATGAGTCTTTAAATTTAACTTCTTTTTCCGATACTGCAAGATCTGTTGATGGTTTAAAAACTGATTTATCTGCTTGTTCAGATGACGATGATAAAAAATCTGTGATTCACCACATTTACCCTAAAACTAAAGAACCCCCAGAAGAAGCTGTACCTTTTGATAAATCAATTTCTATTGACACTTTGAGTTTGACTCCCGAAAATGAAAATTTGGGATCACATGAAAGTTTAAGCAATTTTTCAGAATTTCAAGATGACCAAAGTTTAAAAAGTTTGAAAGCGACGAAAGGTGACCCAAGATACCCTGTTTTATCGGAAACTTCTACTGTTTCATTGGAAACAACTACTTCAATAAAACCAGGAGAATATGATGGCAAAAATCGCAGAACTTCAGGACTTGGACGTTGGGCTCTTGAAATGTCTACGTCACCTTTTAGAGGCAGTAAGAAACTCATGGTTCAATCATTAAACTTTTTGTCTCTTTCTTCCAGTTCAACTTCAAAATATGACAATGTCAACGAAACTAAAGAAACAACAGCAGAAAAAAAAGATGAGGAGGTAATTAAGAGTGAAAAAGTTGATGCTAATGTAGAAAAACGACTAAATGAAAGATCGTTTTATGAATTTTTGCATGAACTAAATGCTCTATTTTATGTTCGTTCTCAATTGTTTGGCAAAGAAAGTCATTAGCCACTAAACCTATTAAGTATTTTAACGTGTATATTATTTGTATTTTAAAATCATAATTTAGTATAAAAGAGAACACCTCTGTAAATTGGAATGTTAGATATTATATCGTTTTTATCAATATCTATCACTATCGATTTTGCTATATATATTTATATTTTTTAGAAATAACTGCTTTTGCAGAATTCAGTGAACATTGTCAATTATGATTCATAATGATACATTTATAAATAAAAGTGTTTCAAGATGACCAGAATTTCTATTTTCAATAGATTAAATATTTATTCATTAAAAGAAAAAAAAAAAAGCCTCAAATAATATAAATAAAAATAAACTATACAAAACAATGCCAGGAACTATTAATTAAAAAAAAATCTAACTCTACCATTTGTTTGAAACAGGAATATTGTTTTCAAGCAAAAATTATTATATTTTTCACATTTATTCATCATAATCAATATCGTAATCAGGTTCATGTGAACTGTTGGAATCATTGTCGCAGTTGATATCATTATCATCATCACCTAGAGAATTATCAGCCACAGCTTGTGATTTCTCTTCATCACTCGATGTTCCTTCATTTTCAAGCTCATTAAACATTTCACCACTAAGCTTATATTCATCTCGGTATGAATATCCTCTGCCTGGTTCATCAATACTTTTGATTTTACGCAGAGAAAATCTGACACTGGGGCTTCGGTCACTGTTGGTGCGACCATTTTTTTTCCCTTTCCAGCTAAGGTATCGTCGTTCATACTTGAGTTCATGTTCTTCAACTTCAATTGCATCTTCACGCTCTTCTTCAGCAATTCGTTCTTCAATTGATAAATTATCGCGAAGATCAATGTTTTGATATTTTCGCCGAGACTCCTTGGATAACAAGTGTTCGAATGGCTTTTGTTGTTGTCGAACATTCCATTTTAGCGTTCTACTGACACTGTCAATGTACTCCGTTGGACTTGAAACAATTGTTGGGAAAGGGAATTGTGATGCTTTTACTGTAACATAATAGCCTGGTTTAAGTTCGGTACGGTCGTGTCCATCAAACGATGCCCAAGCAGTCGACCGTGAGTGTTTAGGAACTGTAACACGCAACACCATTGAATCAGGTAATAGCATAGGTCGGAAAGATAATGTGTGGGGGCAGATAGGGGTAACAGAAACAGCGGAGACTTCTGGATGGACAAGAGATCCACCTGCAGACAAAGAGTAAGCGGTAGATCCAGTAGGGGTTGAAAGAATCAAGCCATCTGCTTGAACCACTGTAAGAAGAGCGTCGTTTCCATATAGTTCAAGCATAGATACCCAGGGGGATGGGCCTCGGTCAATGACAATCTCATTAAGTACTTCATGAGATGCTAAGACGGTTCCATCATAAGAATGAACTGAGCAGGAAAATCGCATACGAAGATTAACATTTATACCATCTTCAAAGATTTTAGAAACAACTCTTTTTGCTTCTTCGATTCTGAAATTAGTGAGGAAACCAAGAGAGCCTAGGGAAAAGGAGATAATTGGGGGGACGATTCGTTGAAAAAGCTTGGAGACATATAGGACTGTGCCATCTCCGCCTAGAGTGATGACAAGATCGAATAATTGTGGAGAAACAATAGCTTGGTCTCTTGTCCAATAACGTAAATTGGAAGCGGGGATATCTTTAGGGAATCTCTTTAAAAGACTCTCAGAGCCAAACCGTTTTGACTTTTGTAACTTAATATCCACGTAAACCACCTTCCGAGCATCATTAATAAGCCAGTATGCAAGGTCACGGGTTAAATAGACCAATGAGTTATCTCTAGCTTTTGTAACAATCATGACAGATTTAGTGTTGACGTTAATAGTAGCACGTCCCAAACGTTTTGCAAGTTCACGAACATCAGAAGCTGTTTTAACAAGACGTTGGTGGGAGATTCGTGCTCCTTCTTGTGAAGCTATAGACAAGGCATTGATATCTTTGTCAACTTCAACAATCTGATCGAATTTTTGATGGACGTAGCAAGAAGGATCTCGTTTAGCGAGTTCTTTAGCACGTTTATGATGTAGAGGATGTATTGTTTTTTTAGTTTGAATTGTTCCTGGAAGTCCAAGTCCATGTTCTCCAGAAACGGGAGAAACTGGATTGCTATCGCTGGAGTTTACAATATTAAGGTTATTTGCAAGATAAAACTTGGAAGTAGACCCATTCATCTGGTTAGTATCTGGTGATGATCCAGTTTCAGATAATGCGAAAGAGCTTGGAAGAGCCGAGTAAGAAGAAGAATAAGAGGTTGTAGGTGTAGACGATGAAGACGATGCAGCTGACGATAAAACCGAGGAGGAGGCCGTGGATGCTGTAGAGGAGTTTGATTGATTTGTTGTACCGTTGCTGGTACCATTTGATAAAGTCTGGTTTATAGAAGAATCGACTATGGGTTTGTTTACAGACATCTTTTTAGATATATAAATTAAGTTCTTGAGATATATATATATATATGTTAACAAGAAAGACACAGAAATAAGGGAGGGGGTAAGTGTGAAAAAAAAAATTTAAATAAATAAATTTTGAAAAAGAGTCTGACAAGAGGTTGAAGTCGGGGAAAAGTGCCGGGGGAGAGAGGGAAAAATAATAATAATAATAATAATAATAATAATAATAATAATAATAATAATAATAATCAGTAGTAGTAGTAGTGACCTTTCGTGTTTGATCTGATCAGAGAGCCGATTGTTTCTATTACACTTTGATGGCAAAAAAAAAAAAAAAAAAATTTTTATTTTTTTTGGTGGGGGTGGGGGGTTGTTACAATGATTTTTAAAATTTGTAATTAACATAAAATTACTAATCTTTTGAATATTATAATTAATTATAATTAATTATAATAATTATTGACCTGAAAAAAATGTTGCTTCAATTAAAATTAAATCTTTATAACAATAAATATGTAATTGTTGAAAGAAAGAAAGAAAGAAAGAAAAAAGGGTTCATTATAATTATATCAATTCAATTAAATGCAACGGTAATTAGAATGTAAAATAGAAGTAGAAGTAGAAGAAGAAGAAGAAGAAGAAGAAGAAGAAGAAGAAATAGAAATAGAAGAAAATATCTTATATAAGAATATATAGAAATTAACGACTCTAAGAATTGGGTTTGTATGAATTTTCAACTTTTCCCTCGATTGAAAAAAAAAAAAAAAAACTTTATATATACATAATCCCGATATCTAAATTCTCTAATCATCATCATAAAATTTTTATCTGAAAATTACTTGAAAGTTAATTCTTTTATAATCAGAGTTAAAATTGAGTGATGTAAAACCCTTTAAATAATTTTTTTTTTTTTTTTTTTTTTTTTTTGGAATAATCACTCTTAACAATCAAATGTTGCTGTAGAATCACAAAAAATCAAAAACTAAATATATATATATATTTTTAGAAAAAAGTGTAATTGTTAAAAAAAAAAATAATATTCATCCTTGAAATCAATAAATATAATAAGCAATCATTTTGAAATAATTATTTCGATCATAATCAATTAATTTGTTCACTTTAAGTTTTTTTTTTTTTTTTAGACCAAATATTTGACGAGAAACTCCATATATATATAATTATTTTATTTTTTTTTTGACGCATACACTTTGCTGAAAGTATATTTTAAAATCTGTCAAAAAGATTTTATATCAATTATTGAGATTAAAAGGGTCTATGTAGTAGTAATAAGCATGCCTTTTGTTCTTTTTAAGTTTTTTTTTTTTTTTTTTTTTTTTTCATTTTTAAAGATAGTTGCAGTGAGCACACTTAACAATAAATTCATTGTTACATTTAAAAGTAATTAATGAGAAAGATATTTGATTTAATTTTGCAACAAAAAAAAAAAAAAAAAAAAACCCTTTTGATTTTTTACATCATCATCGATAAATGGTTAAAGTGAAACATTAAAATTCATTTTTGGTATATCATTTTGGAGTAAAAGAAGAAAAAAAAAAAAAAAAAAAACCAAAGAGGAAAATATGTAACTTTGAATTGAATGAATTGACGTATATTAAATAAATACTAATTATATTATTATAATAATAAAAATTTTAGATTAAATTTCTTTATTCTTTCTATTATTAAAAACATAGTTTACTACAGTTGAAGTTTAATTTCTAATTTTTTTTTTTTTTTTTTTTTTAAATGATGAAATAATCATATTCCTAATTTAGTATCTCCAAGTTTTTTTATAAATTAGGAAACTTTTGAAAATGATATCATATGAAAAAAAAAAAATGAAAAATGAAAAATGAAAAATGAAAAATGAAAAATGAAAAATGAAAAATGAAAATGGAATTTTTATTATTTTTGTTGTTATTGTTGTTATTTTTTGCCAATTTTCAATTTTTAATTTGCTTTTTTTTTTTAACAAATTTGTTAAAAGAAAAAATACTTTTGTCCTAGATTCTTTATTATTAGTTAATTAAACTTTCATATTTTATATTTTTAATATTTTTTTTCTAAATAATAATCAACAATACTGAAAGGTTTATTTTGGTTTAATTTCTTGAGGTTTATCTTGAAAAATGTCTTGCGTTTTATTAATTTTTTTTTAACAAATTATTCCTACACACCATTAGTCAAAAAAAAAAAAAATACCACATGTTAAAAGAAAATTTCAGTGATAATAATAACGTTTGATTCAAAGTAACTTATATAATAATAATAATAATAATAATAATAATAATAATAATAATAATAATAATAATAATAATAATAATAATAATAATAATAATAATAATAATAATAATAATAATAATAATAATAATAATAATAATAATAATAATAATAATAATAATAATAATAATAATAATAATAATAATAATAATAATAATAATGTCCTTGGTTCAAACTTTATATAATTGTCTTTACTGTGCAATAAAGTTATTAATAACTTTAATGAGAAATATGATTTATCAATTATATAATATTTAATGGATAAAATCAATCAAAATAAAAATAAAAATAAAAATAAAAAAAAATTTAATTCCACCCCCCCATGATTTTCTTACATAAAAAGTATTTGTATCAATAAATCAATAAATCAATAAAATCTTGCTGGTTACAAAATAGAATGCTTGATAACTGTCTAAAAAAAAAATTTTTTTTTTTTTTTCCATAAAATTCTTCAGTTAGACTTTTTAATAAAAGAAAAAAAAAAAAATGGTCGTATCATTGAAGAAGCGAGTTTAGACTAACTAATAATTTTAACTTCGGAGACTATATACTAAAGTACAGGAACACCGGTATGCTAAGGGCTATCAACCAAAAGTGCTTCTCTTGTAGAATTATGGAGAAGATCATTTGCATAATTATGGTATGGCTTAACTTCTAGTTACAAACCGGTCATAACTTCCGATTCGGTGATAATATTCTAAAGCTATTGCTACACTTCTTCCAGAACGTCCGGTTCGGTAAACAAAATGTTTTTTTTTTTTTTTTTTCAAAAAACAAGTGGGCTTTGAAAAGAAAAAAAAATATATAGCTTATATGGATCAAAAGGCATGATAAAAAAAAAAATAGTACTATTAGTGAATAGAAAAAAAAATATATATAAATTCCTGCTTGTACATATGTCCTAAATATTTTTTTTTTATATTAACTTAAACCTAGATTTTTTTTTTTTTTTTTTTTTGAGAAAACACATTAAATAAGAAAAAGAAATATATAATAATGGCATAATACGTAGATCAGACGATTTTAAGAAGAATTGTTAATCATAGTAGTAATTACCATAACCCTCAATGTATATATATATATATATATAATGTCTATGTAATATTAAAATATTTAAAAGTCTTTTATCACAAATTGGCAATATTTGGAAATTCATCGGGGTTTTTTTTTTTTCTATATGGTGAAAGGAAAAGTTTTTTGTGAGCCACACCAGTGGTAATAGAATTTTTTTTTTTTTTTCTGTTGAAACGCTTATGAAGACCTATATAGAAGTAATTTTCTCTAATTAAAAAAAAAAAAAAAAAAAAACATAAATAAATAAATAACAGGAGAACTGAAGTTTGGTTGTATATATATAATAATATATGAACCTAAGTAATATTACTTAGGTTCATAGCAATATTAATAAGAAAGAAAGTGATATTTATTATTATTATAATAAATATAATTATAATAAATATAATTATAATAAATATAATACAACATTAAGGATAAAATCAGAATTTCATTTTCTTCCATTAGCTTAAAATCTTGCTCATGAAGACCCATTGGACCTGAACCATGGCTTGCTTCCCCCTAGACTTATCCTTTTCTTTTTTTTTTTTTTTTATTTTTTTTCATAATTTAGCTAAATTTTCATTTCTCTAAGGGCTTAGCGTCAGTTTAGTATCAAAAACCTATGCATTCTACAACTGCTCCAAGACGGACAATCGCATACCGTATTCGCGAGATGTTGACTAATAATAATTTATTACTTGTACAGTAGGATGAAAGAAAAAAAAAAAAAAAAAAGTAAATAAATAAATAAATAAATAAAAAAAAAGAAAATCCGGAATTTACAACAAGATATAAAAGAACCTTTTAAATGAAGAAATAAATAATCTATTGATCCGAAATAAAAATAAAAATAAAAAAAAAAGGTACAAACTTCGGTTATTTACTGATAAAAGAGAAAGAAAGAAAGAAAGAAAAAAAAAAAAAAAAAAAAAAAATCTTGAGGTGAACTATTTGAAAATTCGTTATTTTATTTTATTTTTTTTTTTTACTTTCCATGTTGGTTGTTTATTTTTATTATTATTTTATATTTTATTTTATTTTATTTTATTTTATTTTATTTTATTATGTTTGCCTAATTTTCTTTTTATTTCTAGTACATATTATAGATACTGTACATCACTTTTCGGGTTAACATTTTAGCTTTCTACATAAAAAATTTAAAAATTTAAAAATTTAAAAATTTAAAAATTTAAAAAAAAAAAAAAAAAAAAAAATTAATTTCCTGCTTGGCTTAAACAGATTAATTTTTTACCCCCAAAATTCTCCTTTTTTTTTTCTTTCTTTCTTACTTTCTTTTCTTATATATATATTTTTTTTTACTTCTTCTTCTTCTTTTTCTTCTTCTTCTTCTTCTTTTTTTTTTTTTGTTTACTTTTTTTCTTTCTTTAGCTTTGCTCTCACTAATCGTTTTCACCATTCAAATCATCATTAGGTCTTATCTCAAAAGACTTTGAAATCCCAAATGTCTCTTTATTCCTGATTCTCTTTTTTTTTTTTTCGCTCTCTTTTTACTTTCTCTTTGAGTATTAAAACATTAGTCAATATATATATATATATCAAATATAAATTCAGCAAAGACCTCTACTATTTTTGACTATTATTGTCTATATATATATATAATGCAAAAGTTTCGCTTAAGACCAAAAAAAACCCACCTCTCGCCACTACACCCTATATTCAACCCGTCAATACGACCTCCTAGACACTCCAACTTTCTTTCACTACCAATCCTTATAATCACATTCCTCTCTTTCCTTACGTCAATAGTCAGTGCAGATACTCTTAAAACTGTGGGTGCATACCCATGCTCCGAAAATGATTCCAGCATCATCCATGTATCAAATTTCACCTTTATTTTCGATAGATATACAAACAATGTCACATATTACGTGGAGGGAACTTCCACGGAAACTGTCTCCATTATCGGTAAGTTGTTTATTTTTTTTTTTTCACCTACCACCATTAAATTCGTCATAATTGTTCCCTTCCATATTTTATCTTTTTCGAAATATCAATCTTTGCCCTGTTTTTCTTTTTTTTTTTTTTTATTCTATTCTTTTCTAACTTTTATCTAGCATATATACAAATATTTGCCTACGGTAACAGACTTTTAAACGAACGCGTAAACTTATGCGATGAAAAAATCTCAGAACTATGTCCCATTTCCGAAGGAAATATCATCACCTCAGGTGTTCACAATGTACCCTCTAATTACACAGAAGCAATATCTACGGTGGCGTACAAAGTCCCTGATATAGAAGGTACCGTCACTATCCAACTTTATAATGCATCGAATCCTTCCCAAAATATTGGATGTTTTTCTTCATCCATTTCTAACGGTGTATCAACTGATATCGCTGCAGTTAAATTTCTTACAATCGGCCTTGCAGCCGCAGCTTTGGTGATTTCTGGGGTCTCTAGTGCTGCAAACAGTGCCTCCAGTAGTGCTGGAACCACACTCCCCCACATTCCAGTTACTGGTGCTGAGGGCCATACTGTTGCAGGAGGTGCAAATGCCGCTGCTCCTACTTCGGGCCCTGGAACAAATATAGCTTCCGGTGGGTTTCATGCGCCAGGCTTTGTTGAATTTTTTTCAGTACTGCAGTCAATCGCAATTTCCGGAATGTACTCTGTAAATTACCCTAAAGCTTATCGCAACTTTACTCAAAATATGGGCTGGTCGACTGGTGCCATTACCTGGGCCGGTATGCAAAATTCAATTGACGATTTCCGTTCAAGAACTGGAGGAAATTTAACCGCTTCAAACTATACCAGACTTCAGGAAACAACTTTAATATTCGGAAATCAAACTAATGTTGATATGACAACAGAGAGCTTATTGTCCAACACTACAGATTCATCAAATGCAACCGAAACAACACGACGGTTAGTGAAAAAGTGGCTTGATGACGCAGGTGTTTCAATATCAACCGATTTGTTCAATAGGGCCACTGCAAACATTACTACAGCTTCTGATTCCACTAATTCGTCATCCTCCTCTAATACAACAATTTCTACAAGTTCACAAAGCGAAAAAAAATACGTTTCCATTGTCACAGGAATCAAATCATACATGGAGTCGCTTTCAATTCCTGACACCAATACATTCATGACTTTACTAATTTGGTGGGCTATAATAGTTGCCATTTGCATTGCTTCCATTTTGTCTTTTAAACTTTTTCTTGAAATTTGGTGTTTAAGAACTAAACACCCCTCTCGTTTTGAAGGATTTCGTCAGCGTTATTGGATCTTTTTAGGCTCAACCCTGGTTCGAATTACCACTCTTCTTTATGGTGTTTGGGTTCTTTACTGTCTCTATCAATTTAAGATTGGTGATTCTTGGGGTACAAAGCTATTGGCTGGTCTTACTCTTGGAATCTTTAGTCTTATTCTTTTGTTGTATGCTGCTCGTATTTGTTTCCTCGCCCATAGAGCTCGTCGTGAGACCAATGGACTTGAATTTTTGTTTCTTCATAAACCTTGGATTCGGAAATATGGCCTATTTTATGACCAATTTAAAGTAAAATTTTGGTGGTCTTTTATTCCTGTTTTTTTGGCTTCATTTGGTCGTAATGCCTTTCTTGCATTAGGTTATGGAAATGGCTTGGTTCAAATCATTGGACAGTTGGTCATTGATGTTCTTTTATGCGCATTTTTTGCAATTGCCTTACCATTCAATACTAAAATGGGAAATGGAATTAATCTTTCTATCCAAATTGTCCGTGTTATATCCCTCGTCTTTCTCTTGATATTTACTGTTCAACTAGATATTAATCGAATTGCAGTCACTGGAGTTGGAATGGCTCTAATCGTTATTCAAGCTGTTCTTGCTATTGTTTTGGCCCTTTTGATTTTCACAAATGCTATTATGGGTCTAATAAACATGACTTGTGGGAATAAGCTTCGGAAAAGACGCGAACGAAAGAAAATGGAAAAAATGGAAAAGAAGCGTCTTAAGGCTGAACAAAGTAGCCGGAACCTCCTTAAATATGATAATCGTGCCGAAAAGTTATCTGCTGAATATTCCAGTTATGCTTCTTCAGAGCCATCAAACACAACACCCCAAAGTCCAAAAGGTTTTATTACAGCGGGAGAAGCAAATCAACCCCCTGGTACTGTACCAACCCCCCCTGTTGATTCAACCAGCAAAGCACTCATTTCTATAACAGAAACGCCTGTGTCAAACCCTTGCGATCAAGATGATGCAAGCAACGATAGAGGTTTTTCATTTGTTCACGACTTGGAGTCTCAAAATAATAATGTTCCTGTAACAGCAACAGCAACAGCAACAGCATCATCATCATCAATGGTTCTTCCTTCCGAAATGGATTCAAAAAATGAAAAAATCGGTGGGTGGAAACGAGGCTTATTAATGCTTGGCTCAGTTGGGTTGTCTTCTAAAAGAAAAAATTTACAAAAAAATAATCAAGATGTCGATTCTGAGAACCTTTCGAGACTCAGCGCAACGAGCCAAAACAGTAAAGTTTTTAAAAGCTATCATAATACAGACCCCGTCATTGGTAGCAGCAGTAGAAGTAGCGAAAGTGATAATTACAATGATCACAGCAACTTGAGCGGGAGTGAAGGTACCGGTGATTTAATGAACAATGTTAAACAACGATCAGTGAATCCCAAAACAGTCCGTGCTTCTTTAAGCGGCGCCCCCGCTTCAACTGTTACTCCACAGCAAGCATCTTTCGGTGACGAAAACAATGTGACCATAGACTCAGCTTCGTTTGCAAATAGAAATAGCTATCGAAGCTCTTTCAGTGGTTCTGGCCTGGAATCTATTCCGCAGCATTCAACCACTAACAGATCTAATTACTCAAGACCCTTTTCAGCAGTTTCATCACCCTCATCATCATTACCATCATCATCATCTCAATTACAAAACTTGGGGAATGCTCCAGTCTCTCATGGCAATAAAAACTCGGCAGGTTCTTTTGTGTCAGATACACATAACAACTTAATAAACTCTAATGCTGAGGAAAACCAATACGCATTACTCAGAGACCCATTTGCAGATTCAGCTCAATATGAAGATGATGATTTCCCATTCACCAAGCAAATCAGTCAGCCTAATCAGGGTGTCTTAAAACATACAGATTCTAGCATATCTTTTTCACAGCCATCTGAGACTAGCGGAAGAATAGCAAATCCTAGTACCAACAAAGCAGATGAGATTCCTGGACATGTTGAAAGACAAATGTTTCAAGAAATTGATGACTTGATACTCCCCAAAGCTTCAAAAAATGTTTGTAACTCGTACAAATGCTACTGGAATGTCTAGCGATGCAAATGCTTCATTTTATTCAGTGGAAGATGGAATTGAAAAAGCATGATTCTGACAGCACTAAGTATTTTACGTCAAACCCTTGATTTACTATAATGAAGATATACAACATTTAAATTGATTTACATTGTATAATAGAGAATTATTTAATAGTTTTATTTATATTTTTTACTGTCAAAAATAGAAAGAAAGAAAAAAAAATTTTTAATATTTGAAACCACCATTAAATCAATCGCCTTTAAGTGAAAGCATGGCATTGTCTCACTGTAATGGTTTCTATTTAAAATACTTTTAAAAGTTATTTTTTTTTTTTGTTTCATTTTAGAAACTTTCCATAAATTGAAGTTATTAAGAACTTTTTAAAATGAAATTTGTTATTTTCAATGAAATATATATATATATGTTGATAAATAAAATACAATTGCTAGTGATCAGCGTATCATGATAAATTTATTGATATTTTTTTTTTTTCATCTTAAGTTAATAACATCCAAAAAGAAGAATTCTAGTCCAATATTCAAAAATATAACATACTATGGAAGATTTAGAAATCATATTTTTTTTTCATTTATAAACAAAGTTGAAACATAATAACGAAAAAAAAAAAAAAAAAAAAAAAAACCTGTCTTTATCAATATTTGGGTTTTTATGCATTGATTAACTTAAAATACAAGAACTAATAATAATAAATGATAGTTAAAAAAAAACTAGTATTTAAAAAGAATAATAACGTAAAATTGAAAGAAAATGGAACAAATTAATTATTACGGAGAGTGGAAAATTTATTTGTAAATTATATCACTTTTTTTTTTTTTGAAATCGTAAACAACTATTTAGTGTATAAACAAATATTGTTTTATAAAATAAAAATAAAATAGTTATCTTATGATTATCGTCAATTTTATTACTAAAATAAACTAGTGTTAAACTAATTAGTTAATTTTTAATTGAAATTTTATAAAATGTTAATATCAAGGTTAACTAGGCACTAACTAACTCAAGTGAAAAAAAAAAAAAAAAAAAAAAATTGTTCATGTGCCTTCATGGTTTTAGAATTTTGACAGCTCGGATCCTGATGTCATCCCGCATGTTTTTAATCATTAAAGGAAAGTTGTGACATTCAGCTGTCAATTTCTTATTTTGAAGGGTTGAGGTGACACGAAGGCGTTTGTTTCCCATATACGTTATCTGTCAATATGAGAGATGCACACGCCTCCATTTTTATTTTTATTATTGTAGTATTGAGAAAGAAAGAAAGTAAGAAAGAAAGAAAGAAAGAAAGAAAGAAAGAAAGAAAGAAAGAAAGAAAGAAAGAAAGAAAGAAAGAAAGAAAGAAAAAAAAAAAAAAAGGAAAATAAATTCATGGAGGAGAAGTTGTTATCATATTATCCGTATGAAAATGATAAGATAAAAAAAAAAAAAAAAGACACCAGGTAGGGAGAATGTTATTCGTAGTTTTTATTAAGGTCAATGAAGACTGAAGTACTGCTGGTCACCTTAATAGTATGAAGACCTGGAACTTTTTTTTAATTTTGTACTTAAGCATAGAGGGTTATGTTTTTTTTTTTTAATATTAACAAATATCACGGTATTCAAAATTCATTTTAAAATAAATTTGTAAATTAATTCATCATTCTATATATATATATTTTTTTTTTCACTTCATAATCTCAAGAGATCACCATCATCCTGTTTTGGAAATTAAAAATATTACAAGATAATCAATGTACTGAATAGGTAATATATTAATTTAGAGCGGCTGTGTGTAATAAATTGTACCAGTATAATTTCTTTTAACACGAGAGTATATCAGTTAATAAATATTGGGTTAATGCAGCTGTTTTGTAGATGGAAGATTCATTGTATGAAAAATATTATTATTCTTATTATTCTTACTTTCAATCAAAGATATTCTGGTAAAGCCCCTTTTTGTTTAACTAATTCCTAAATAAGTGAGCCAGTTAATAGTCTCTAACCCTAGGGTAAATCAAGGAGGAGGAGCTGAGAAAATGGAATAAGGCATTGTTTCCTAATACTTTTAATATATGAGAATATCCTGATATTTTGGAACCTCATTCAATTGAATTGGTAAATATATATATATATATATATATATAGAAGCTGGTGGAGATTTATAATACGAGGGATCAAAGGAGGCTTTCTTTAGATAAATGAATTCATGATTGGCCAACAAATATTGGTGAGGTTTTCTTTATTCTCAAGAACAAAAAGACAGAAAGAAGCTATTAGTGTCAATTTTATTGTGATATTACACGTATTTAATTTTAATTAAATTCTGACCCTCGTTTTTTTCCAGATAATTTTTTTTTTCTTTTGTTCCCAAAGAGTGTTAGAGCGAGGCCCTTTACACAAGCTTGAAAATTTCTGCTGCAAAAGAGAACAAGGCAATAAACCAAAAAAAAAAATAATATGGCTGCAAGCTGATCCCCCCTTTTTTTTTTTTTTTTTTTTTTTTTTTTTTGGATGTATGGTCCAAAGCTACAGTTTGCACTGTTTAAATACTTAAGCCAATGGAGAGTAACCTATTTCTTAAGATAAAAAGATATTAAATAAAGTGCAAATAATAATACAAACATTATTATTACTGATAATAATCATTGTACTTATTTTGCATGGCATACATATATGTAGCTTGTAGCCATATAATTCTTCTACTACATAACGTTTAATTAGGAATTTGGTAATAATTTTAAAGCAAGAAGGTTTTAATTTTAATTTTAATTTTAATTTAAATTTAAATTTAAATATAGTTAACTTTTTAATTTAACAAAATATTTGTAATTTAAATTACAAGGTAATAATGTAACAAAAAAGGTTGCTGTGGAACCCAAAAAAAAATAACAATGATTTTTAATCCAATATAAAAGTTATGTAAGCATTATCAGTATGCGTGATACTGTAATAGGAATTCATTTTGCCCAAAACAAAACAAAAAAAAACTGTCCTTCCCTTTTGGGAGCTCAATTTTTTTTTTTTTTTTTTTTTTTTTTTTCAATTCCAAATTTTAGCTGGCGCTTATTGCTCTTAGATTTGGAATTTGAGCAAGGCCTGAACTATGAAATTTTCTGTTGCTGGAAGTTCGGACCGCAAATAAGCGAGAACCGAGTCCATTGAATAAGCTAACCTCGCCAAAAAAAAAAAAAAAAAAAAAAAAATTGGGATTTGTTCAAAAGAACTACAGATTTCTAGTAAATACTTTTAAAAGAAAAGAAAAAAAAAAACGCAATTGACGGTTTTCGTTTTATTTTTTTCTTACTATTCTAAACTTTTAAAGATTTACAAAAGTAAAATGCTAAGATTTTGAAGAAGTATTATCTTTATAATTAAACGATGTACATAATTGAGGCCATAATTTGAAATGTGTATAAACCAAGGTGGATATATACCTGATGTAAAAAAAAAATTATTGATATGATACGATTGTTTTTTTTTTTTTTATTTTTCAATGAATGAATTAATAGAACCATGAAACAGTTAGGTAAATGATTCTATAAACAAAAATGCAGTACAACATTTGTTCTATGACTATAGGAAATTAAGATAGAATTGGTTTTTTTGCGAGTGATTGGATGGGTGGTAGTTGTGCAATCGAATTTGAAAAATAAAAAATTACATTGGAATGCTAATAATATTAGCATAGATATTAAATACATGACTTTAAACTACAGATTTAAGCTGTGATATTTTTTAAGGATTGGATTAGTACTATTAAAGTATAAACATTAGAAAAAAAAAATGACATTTTAAAACCTTAAAGATTTATTTTTTAAACTTAAATAATTATTATAATATTTGATTTCAAGCAGAAAAGTAAATAAACAAATGATCATTTGTTTATTTGTTTATTTTCATTCTTAAAATAATGGTTTTAACCCCGCAACAAAATATAAGATGGGAACAGCTTTTTTTTTTTATTTAATTTATTTATTTTTTTTTTTCACCAAAATTTAATCAATTTATTGTAAAGATACAAAAACAAAAAGAAAAAGAAACACAACTTTTTTATATAAAATCATAACATTGAGCGGCAGTAGCAGCAGCAAAAGTTTCAAAAGGAATAAAACTATCATCAAATTATTGAAAGCAATAATATTGACATAGCTTCTCACATCTAAAACAAAAGCTTAAATTCTTTCATCTTCAACTGTAAGGTAAATAATGAAACCCTCCTCAAAATCGAGAAAGCTTCGACACACCAAGGGTTTTCTAACAACCAATAAAGATTCATATCATCTGAATGAATCTGACCGTAGCCAATCTGAAGTTTGACTGCTCATTTTTTTAAAAAAAAAAAAAAATGGCTCGATCAATCACGATCTCGTGACGAGTACTAAAAGAGGGTAGTGTGCTATTCATTAAAACACACATGGTATTCTACCATAGAGACAATGTGATATCTGAGCAAAGGTTTTTTTTTTTTTTTCAAAATAGTAAGAAAATCAAACTTGAAATGGCCAGGTTTTGTGCAGAAACCTTAATGAGGAAAGTTTTCATAAAAGTAAACAAAACCAAACAGAGAATAATAACCATGAAAATAAAGCCAATAAACTTAGAAAGAATCTAAAAGAAAAAAAAGAAAAAAAGAAAATTGAGGGAAAAGGTAATTGAAATTTTAAGTCATAACGCCATCAGGTATTTTTTATCAAAAAAAATAAGTTAATAAGTTAAAAAAAAAAAAAAAAAAAAAAAACTTTTTTACAAATCAAGCTAATGATTTGTTTAAAGGAAAGCAGCCATCAAAGCAACGGCAACAGCACCTCCAACCATACTGGCACCAGCACCAGAGGAAGAGGCACCGTTGGTTGAGACGGGCGCAGGAGAAGTGCTCGAAGCAGCTGAAGAAGAAACACGAGAGACAGATGGGGTAGTAGCGGTAGCATTAACGGTGGGTTGAGAAGAGACAATGGTAGTAGTGATGGGGGCTGTGGAGTTCTGAGCAACAGCCACATCCGAAGAAGCAGGCAGAGAAGAGGAGACAGGCAAAGTGGTAGAAACAACAGTCTTAGTGATTCTGATGGTGACAGGCTCGGACTCATTCTGAGGAACAATGTAGTTAGTGGTATCGGCTCCAGAAGTAGAGACAGGGAAAGTGGTAGAGTAAACCACGGAAGAAGCTGGAGTAGAGGTGGACTTCACAGCTGAAGAGGTGGAAGGTCTGCTAACGGTAGAGGTGACAGTAGAGGTGAAAGTGAAAGAAGAAGAAGATGTAATGGTAGAAGAGATAACCGAAGAAGTAGTAGGCTCAGCCGAAGAAGAGAGGGTAGAAGTAGTTGAAGCTGAAGAAGTAGTAGCGGCAGCCTCAACAGAAGATTGAGTTGAAATGGTGGAGATAGGGACAACATCATTGGTGTAAGTTGAAATGATAGTACCAGGCTCAGTCAAGATTAGGGTGTGGACAATGGTGGAGTAAATTGTCTGGGCAAGAACCGAGTTGGCTGCAAAGGCAACAATCATTGAGGTAGAGAACTTCATTTTTAAATGTTTATATATATATATTTTTTTTTTAAAAAAAAGTTAAAGGAATGTAATGGAGTTGGGCAAAAAAAAAAAAAAAAATTAAATATAAAAATAAGTTAAAAGGAGCGTGGAGTCAATATCGTATCAATATTAAAGGAGTGTAGATAGTTAGATGAATGGTTTGACTTGGTTTAAAGAAATTTCAAAAGAAAAAAAAAAAAAAAAAAAAAAAAAAAAAATAGGAATATTGGGAACTTTTATAGAAATCATTTTTGGAGGTTGAATATTTCGCCATTTTTGTTGTGTTGTGCGCAGCTCCACAGTTAGCAGCACCCGGGTGTATCCCAAAATGGTATCCCCTCCCCATACCAGCTGGCTATTACTACTGCTGCTGCTGCTGCTGCTCTCACTCACGCCTCCCTAAAGCTGGTGGTGCGCACTATTATTGTGCGTACTACGGATGGTAGTATTGCCTGAATAAATAGAAAATAAATAACTGATGGTTATAACCAAATAATTCAGTCAAAGCTCTTTATGGAATTATGGTTCAAAGAAATTGCAATTGCCCCAGAACCAACGGTAGCAATATCTACAATTATCTAGAATATTTTATAATATCACCAAAAAAAATTATATATATATATATATATATTAAACAAATAAAATAATAAAATAAATAGTTTCAAGTCACTTATTTTATACTGGTCCCGCGGCAATGAGATGAGTCCAAAAGCCTGTACTGGTCTACAACCGTTATGATGGAAAAGTAATGAAGTGGAGCAAACTTAAGCGCCAAAAGTCAAGTAGTGTTTGTTTGGCTTGGCCAGTCAATGCTTTCAGGAATCTTTATTAATGAGTTAATCTTGAAAAAGCCATGAGATATTTAAATTTTGTTTTTTTTGTTTTTTTTAGCTACCTGTATGATTTACTTTTAATTCGGCATCTGTTTAAAATCCTGAGTCAAAAAGTATTTTTTTTTTCAAGTCTTCGTTTTTTGCCATATAAAATTTAAGTTTCGGTAAACCGTTTTTAGATATTTTTTTTTTTTTTTTTTTTTTTTTTTGGGAGGGATCCCAGGATAACCATTTTGGGAATGGTTCAGGCCCAATTGTGATATCTCTCTATATAATGGTTTGGTCCCTGTCCTAGTTAATGGTAGTTGAGTTTCCAGTATATCAACATGTAAAAATGGAACACTTCGGTCCAATCCGCGGGTCCTACGGACTCCAGAAAATGATCATTGCCACCTTTACTATTAAAACGACAAACCTAGTTGAAATTGAAAAAAAAAAAAAAAATTTTTTTCAACGTTTAATCAACGTCAAAATGGAAAAGCGGTCTTGTGCGCAAACTTTTCAAAGAAAAGATCTGCAAAGAAATATACAGAAATGTCTTCAATAAATTTATAATTACAATAAGGGCTTCTAGTATCAAATGACTTTTTTCTAGAACCGTTCAATTCTACTCTTCAATCTTGCCATATGATATTATAATACCAATGCCAATATCAGTATCAGTATCAATAAACTTATACTACTGTCAAGAATCATGATTCAAAAAAATATCAACAAAGAGACTATGTGGTTCAGCCTACTCTCTTCAAATTGTCAACCGTTTTTGGTTTTTTCTTTTTAGATCATCATATCCCGTTTCAAGAATCTCGCATTTCAATCTTTTTCCGGTAAGAGCAAAGTGTTTGGTGTGTGCGCACTTGAAAAAGGAGAATATGAAGAAAAAAAAAAAAACCTATGAAGGTCTTAGGATAATTATCCCTTTATCCCTTTCCTTTTTTTTTTTTTTTTTTTTTTTTTTACATTTTGGACATTTTGAAAATTTGAAAATTTGAAAATTTGGAAATATATCTTAAAAAAGATGTAAGCATTGCAAAAAAAAAAAAAAAAAAAAAAAAAATAGAGCATGCGCCAAACTTAGCTCCCGCAGACTCTTTCCAAACGAGTCAACTGACCTGGTCTCAGGTCAAATTGTGACAAATCGGCATCCCTCGGTGTTTCCTTTTATTAGAATAAACCAAATCTAAGTCACATTGCATAATAAAATTTCACAAGCGACTAACTTCTAAGCTTAAGAATAATTTTCAGTATTTTTTTTTTTTATAAAAAATTTTTTTTTAATTATTTTTTTCAAATATTTTACTTTTAGTTCCACTCAAATAGCTTTGAAACAAAAATTTGTCTTTGTTGCAATAAATTAAAAAGTGGTAAACAGTGAAAAAAAAAATTTTTTTTGCATAATAATTGTAACATAAAATGTAACAAATGTTTACATACTTGCGTTTATTGTACAATGTGGCGCTTACATTATTTTTTCTAAAGGGGAGTATGCTTATTTTCGTTTCTTTTTGTAGTTTTTGCGTACCACTGTGCGCACTCATTTTTTCATATTTCTTTCTAAGAATATTTCAGTGTAGTGTATTTTACAGAACATAATTAACATGTGACCATTTACAGTATTGTAATACATATGGTATTTAATTTTGTAACACAAAAATGTAATATCAAATTGTATTACAAATAAAATACAAATTAAAAAAGTGTAACATAAAAAGGTGACATAAAAAAATCTTTAGGATTTTATTTTGTTACAAATTAGGCAGTAATATTTAGTAATATTTTACTTCAATGAATGTCTAATTCATTCAAAATTCTTTGGTTTTTTTTTTTTTTTCCTTCCAGAGGCTATACTGATTTTTGAATCTATAATTTTTTAGATATAAATATAATTCTTTCTTAATTTTTATTTAATTATTCTGGTAAAAGTAAATTGAAGGAAAAACCAACAAACCTACATTGAATACAAAAATTCAAATATTTAAATGTTTAAATAAGATGGAAAAAGTTTTCAATCTAATCAAAATGTATGGAAATTCAGAAATTCTAATGTTGGGAATTAGTAATGAATTTTTAATGTAGATGAAAATGTAATAAAGGTGAAAACTTGTTTTTTTTTATCTTGTTTTTGGTAAAGTATTTGCGTGGTGCTGAAACTTTGAACTAATGAATGTCCCTAATAGAATAATAGATATCACCAGGTTTAATTTGAATTTTTTTTGGATCCATTTTTTTCAACTTTAAACAGTCTATTCAAAAAAAAAAAAAATTAAAAAAATAAATAAAAAATCCAATTGTTTAGATTTGTGACAGCTCAGAATTGTTTTTTTTCTCACATTTGTTTAATGATAAAAAAATTAATTGCAGTTTTGGGGGAAACGAGTTACGTATATGAACACACTTTTCTTCTTTCGTCAAAATTAATCTAATTCATTATTTGCTTTTGTTTTACTTGGTTTTTTTCTTTTTTTTTTTTTAAGTTATTATATTTCCAGTTTAAAATGGAGATAAACATATGACCTTAAGCTCTTCTATAAAATGTTTTTAACATTGATGAGAGTTTTTTCATACTTGATTTTTTTGAAGTCTCTAAGCATTGAAAAACTAAGGTTTTGATAATGAGATATGTTTTGCATTTTAAATAGGCATAACGGTCTGCATTAATGATTTGAATTTTCCTTCGTAACACTCTAATAGATACCTAGTGTGATTATGGGTGTCTATTTATTTGCAAAGCATGGTCATTATGATAACACTCTACCGTACAAATTAACTAAATGCCTAAATGGGATATATTCTTATTTGAAAAAGAAAAAAATTACTTAACCTTTTCAATTATCCCACAAAATAACTTCACAAAAACTAAACATTTTTATATGGTATTAAGTCAGTTCTGAAAGTTTGCGGATATAAGAATTGTCTTTAATTGAAGTTTATCCGCCAAGGCTTGGTCAATATAGGTCATTAAGATGGAGATGAAACCTCAGCAAAAATTAGGCGGCTAAAAGAATTCATCTTTGTTAAGTCTTGCATTCTGAAAGGTTCTTGGGTTTAAGTCATATGAGTCATTCGTAAAGGGATTAAAAGGTATTATTAGATGGAGAACATCTGGTATAAATCAGTAGGGTGGGCAGAATGTGATTATATGCAGCGGGGTCTCTGTGTCAATTCCACGTTGTGAAATTTTGTCTTGTATGGCTTTTTTTTTTTTCATGGACTGTGTTGGGTTCGCCAATAGCAAGGTTTTCAATAATTAATGAAGAAGTTAGTCGTTGTTTATCGTAAAAAAAAGTCTTGCAAGATTTTGGATTTGTTAACGTTTATCAAGTTTTTCGGTAACACGATCCGATATAGTGCCGATATAGTGCCGATATACAAATGAGACAGAAAAACTAAAGTCAAGTACCTTTAAAGTATAATTTCGTTTAACTATTATTGTTACAGTAAGCATATTTTGGTTGTGCTAACCCATATTGAAAGTCTTGAGCGGCTCTCTCCGTTCCAACTTTGTTACAAAACTTTTTTTATCAGCAAAGGCATCCCAGTGTTATGGTGAATGTGGATTTCTTTGATTAATTTCTTAAAATGAAGATGTCAGCCAATAAAATTATTCAGATTAAAGAATTATTGATCAGGGGTTTGGCATACTTTCCAAGTTGACGCAATTATATGCTTTCGTTTGTAAGTGTTTTATTTTATTTTATTATTTTTTTAGAAATACGAAGTCATGAATCTTGTAACAAGTTGTTACAATTCTCGAGAAAAGAATTATCTTTTTGGACCAATGAACCTAATTTTTTATCACAGTTAAAACCTTCACCAAAACAGGAAATTAATGATGCCTTTTTGTTTTCAAAAAAAAAAAAAAAAAAACATTTATTCATGTTTTTAAAAAATGAAGAAATAAAAAAGAGATTGACAGATACTCCCTGAGCTTACAAATTGAATTTTAGGTGAGATTCAATGAATCAAAAAGGATAGCAAAAGAAAAAAAAAGTTTATAATTTGTAATATTTGTAATATTTGTAATATTTTTTTAAACAGAGAAGGATATTTTAACAAGGTTTTAGGAAATATCCTGGGATTACGTACAAGGTCAAATAGTTCCTCCGATGTTTAGTATAGTATTCCACTAGTAGTACTTAGTACTACAGTATATAATATTGATACTGGAGAAATTGTCGGGGCGAGTGACTTGTGGATTGTTAGCCGTTTATATCTACCCATTTTGGGAGTTCTAGGCATCTACGCCTCGAAGACCTAAAAGTCAGTTGAACGTAATGTTGCTGTTTTCTCCGCCTAATATGAATCTAGACCTATTAACTCCGTGTGTTTTTTTATATGATTCTCAACCAATTAACAAAAAAAAAAGGCCATACAAGAAACACACCCTTATATATAGATCATTGAGGCAGGACAGAGAAAGAGAGTTAGGAATATCCGTGCGGCTACTGTTTGTTGTGAGTTTTGGGTTTCCTCTTTCGTGAAATGTCCGTTAACTCCAGTGATCTTCTTGCGTCAGTTTTAAATAAATAAAAATATTAAGAAAAATCTTCGGTATGCATTTATTTTTATTTTTATTTTTTTTTTTTGGTTGCAAACCTCTTTTTATTTAATTTTATATATAATGTCACTAATCGCTCTTAAGGATTATTATTTTTTATTCTTTATATCAACATTTTAACCTTTTTTTTCGCATCTCCATATACTTTGCACATTAACCTATGAGTAAGGACGATTCGAAAGAAGAACTGGGCTCGCCCCAGCCTTACTTTGAAAAAGACATTGAGTTTTCCTCTGATCGTGATTCTCCCTCAGACACAGAAAAAAATGAAGCAATTACCGAGCTTGCTCGCCAATATACCCATACTTCAACGCTTACGCGAACTCAAACAAACACATCTCAGCTTTTAGCCCCGATTCCTACTAACTTCAATCCGTTCCTAAGCACAGATAATCCCATTTTGGATCCCCTGTCTCCTGAATTTAATCCCCGTGCTTGGGCGCGTCATATGCTTAAAATCAGACACTCGGATCCTGAAAAATACCCCAAATTAAATGCTGGCGTTTCGTTTAAAAATTTAGGCGCATATGGATACTCAGATGGTACATCTTTTCAACCTACTGTCTTTAACACAATTATTCAAAGAGCAAATGATTACTTAAATCTTATTCGTCGACGCAAAGGCGAGAAAGTCACAATTCTTAAAAATTTTAATGGTCTTGTTAAATCTGGCGAAACTTGCGTTGTGTTAGGCCGACCTGGAGCGTATGTTTTTTTTTTTTTAATCTTTCCTTTTTCTAATTTTTAATAATATTTAATACTTTTTAGTGGATGTTCTACTTTATTGAAAACCATCTCTTGTGACACTTATGGCTTTCATGTAACTGACGATTCAATCATAAATTATCAAGGTTTGTGCCATTAGTTTGCTTTTACTCGTCTTTCCTACTTTAATCCTTCTAACTTTATTTTTTTTTTCTAGGCATTACACCTGATCAAGTTGTTAAAAATTACCGTGGTGAGGTTGTCTACAATGCTGAAAATGAAATCCATTTCCCTCATCTTAGTGTCGGCGATACTCTAAAATTTGCTGCCTTGGCTCGTACACCTGAAAATAGACTTCCAGGTGTTTCTAGAGATCAGCATGCTACTCATACCCGTGATGTAGTCATGACCATGTTTGGCCTTCTTCACACTATGAACACACGAGTCGGTAATGATTTCATTAGAGGTGTATCTGGCGGTGAGCGCAAGCGTGTTTCTATTGCCGAAGTTGTTTTGGCTGGTGCTGCAATTCAAACTTGGGATAATGCAACGCGAGGTCTCGATTCTGCCACAGCTCTCAGTTTCGTCAAATCCTTAAAGATTGATGCGGACCTCGGTGGTGCTTCAATTTTTGTTTCACTCTACCAGGCATCGCAAGATGCTTACGATCTTTTTGATAAAGTTACAGTTCTTTATCTTGGTCGCCAAATCTATTTTGGTCCCACAAATGAAGCGAAAAAGTATTTTGAAGACATGGGCTACATTTGTATTGACCGTCAAACTACTGGTGACTTTTTGACTTCTCTTACTTCACCATCTGAACGTGTTATCAAGCCAGGTTTCGAAAATATTGTGCCTCGAACCCCTGACGAGTTTGAGGAGTACTGGCACAAGAGCCCTCAATATAAGAAGCTTATTGAGGAAGTTGACGAATGGAATAATGAACATCCCATTGGTGGTCCTGGCGTAGAAAAATTCAAAGAGTTTAAGACTACTCAACAAGCAAAGTATGTCCCATCCAGTTCCCCCTACTTCATTTCATATCCGATGCAAATTAAGATTTGTATCACTCGCGGCTTCCAACGTCTAAAGGGTGATCCCGCAATGACCCTTACAACGATTTTCGGTAATACAATTGCTGCCCTTATTGTCAGTTCCATTTTCTACAATCAACCAAAGACTACCAGCTCTTTTTACGCCCGTTCAGCCGCTCTTTTCTTTTCTGTTCTTTTCAATACCCTTTCTTCTTTGCTTGAAGTTTTTTCACTTTATGCCATCCGTCCTATTGTTGAAAAACATAACCGTTATGCCTTTTACCGTCCTTCTGCCGAAGCAATTAGTTCTCTCATTGTTGATATGCCAGGAAAGATTCTTACATCTTTAGCTTTTAATTTGGTCTTATACTTTATGGTCAATTTAAAGCGTACACCAGCGGCTTTCTTCACCTATTTCTTGTTTTCTTTTCTGACATCACTGACTTCATCATTTTTGTTCCGTCTAATTGCATCAGTCACCCGCACAGTATCTGAAGCATTAACACCCTCAGCATTGGTCATTTTCCTTATTGTCGTCACTACTGGTTTTGTTATTCCTGTTGTTGATATGCACCCGTGGGTTCGCTGGATCAATTACTTGAATCCAACTGCTTATGTTTTTGAGGCAGTCATGGTTAACGAATTTAGAAGTGTAAATTTTGAATGCTCCACCATGATTCCTAGTGGTGCTGGTTATGAGGATGTACCACAAGATTTAAAAATTTGCACTGTAATTGGCTCTATTCCTGGAAGCAATATTGTTTATGGAAACGATTACGTTATTCAATCATTTAAATATTATCCTTCGCATCTCTGGCGCAATCTGGGTATTCTTATTGGCTTTTGTGTATTCTTTTACTGTCTTTATATGCTCTTTTCTGAATTGGTTAAGGGTCAACGCTCGCGTGGTGAAATTTTGGTTTTCCCTCGTGGTGTTAAGCCTCCAATGCCCAAAGTTCGTGATGTGGAAACTTTAGAAAAGGGAATGGTTGATGACAATAATCTAAACACTCCTGCTATTCGCGTACAAAGTTCTATCAAGCTTCAAAAACAAGAAGGTATTTTCCAATGGCAAGATGTTTGCTACGATATTAAGATCAAGGGTGAACCTCGAAGATTACTGGATCATGTTGATGGTTGGGTCAAACCTGGTACCTTGACTGCCTTGATGGGTTCTTCGGGTGCAGGTAAAACAACTTTGCTTGATACTCTAGCTGACCGTGTAACTATGGGTGTAGTAACTGGTGACATGCTTGTCAATGGTTCCCAACGTGACCGTTCTTTCCAGCGCAAGACTGGTTATGTTCAGCAACAGGATGTTCACTTGGATACTACTACAGTTCGTGAGGCTTTAGAGTTTTCTGCTTTGCTTAGACAGCCTGATGAGATCCCTCGTGCTGAAAAAATTTCTTATGTCAATGAGGTTATCAAGATTTTGGAAATGGAAGAATATGCTGATGCTGTTGTTGGTGTTCCGGGTGAAGGTCTTAACGTTGAACAGCGCAAGCGCCTTACTATTGGTGTTGAACTTGCTGCTAAACCCGAATTACTTCTTTTCCTTGATGAGCCTACTTCTGGTTTGGACTCTCAAACCGCTTGGTCAATTGTTTCTCTTATGAAGAAGCTTACCCATAGTGGCCAAGCAATTTTGTGCACTATCCATCAACCTTCTGCCGTTTTGTTTCAGCAATTTGATCGTCTCTTGTTTTTAAAGAAAGGCGGTCAAACTGTTTATTATGGTGATCTTGGTGAGAATGCTGAGACTCTTGTCAATTATTTTGTCAAGCATGGTGCTCCTCCTTGTCCTCCAGATGCTAACCCTGCCGAGTGGATGCTTGAAGTTATTGGTGCTGCCCCTGGTTCTCATTCTGATAAGGACTGGTTTGAGGTTTGGCGCAACTCTGATGAATATCAAGCCATGAAGCGTGATCTTGAAGCTCTTCGCGAAGAATCCACAATGTATGCTGATAAGAGTGAGTCTAAGAGCATGGCAAAATCTTATGCTGTGCCTATTTGGAAGCAGTGCATCATTGTATCTAAGCGTTCGTTGAAACATACATGGCGTAATCCACAGTACATTTGGTCAAAACTTATTCTTTGTATCACGTCGCCATTTTTCCTTGGTGTTACTTTTTGGAAGGCTAAGAATACTTTGCAAGGCTTGCAGAATCAAATGTTTGCAGTTTTTATGATTACTGTGGTGTTCCCTCCTCTTGTTGAACAAATGATGACACCATTTGCACTCCAACGTATGCTTTACGAGACTCGTGAGAGGCCATCTAAAACATATTCTTGGGTCACTTTTATTACTTCCATGATTGTTTCTGAGGTTCCCTGGCAAACCATTGCTGCTCTTGGTACCTTTTTCACATTTTACTATCCCGTTGGTTTTTACCGCAACGCTATCCCAACTGACGGAGTTCACGAGCGTGGTGCTCTGTTTTTCTTGATGATTCTTTGGTACTTTTACTACATGCTTACGTTTTCGTACATGGCTGTGGCTACAATGGCTGAAGAAACAGCATCTAACATTTCCAACGTTCTTTTCAATGTTGCACTTTCCATGTGTGGTGTTCTTGTTCCCAAGGACCAACTTCCAGGATTTTGGATTTTTATGTACCGGTGTTCGCCTTTCACATATATCATTTCAGCTCTTCTTTCGACTGGTATTGCCCATTCTGAGGTGAAGTGCTCTACCAAAGAGCTTCTTCATTTTGCGAACACGCTTAGTTCCAATATGACTTGTGGTGAATTTTTGGACTCTTATGCAACTGCAACCGGTGGTAAAGTCTATAATCCTGACTCTTATACAGATTGCCAGTTCTGTACCATGAAGTCAACGGACACTTATCTTGAATCTATTTTTGCACCATTGTCTGAAGCTTGGCGTAACTTTGGTTTGTTGATTGCCTTTACTTTTATTAATATGGCATTTGCCTATTTCTTTTACTGGCTGGGTCGTGTTCCCAAGAGCTGGGGTAAGAAAAAGAAAGATTAAATATTGTAATTTTTTTTTGTATATTTATGTACTTTTTAGTCGTTTTTTATGTTGATTTAATTGGATAATTGTAATTTATATATTGATAATACAAACTTGTTTATAAGCTGATAATATATAGATGTACGTACTGGGATGTTTATATATTTTTGATAATTTTGTTAACCTGTTTGCTGCAAGCTGCTCATCGCTCATCGCTCATCGCACATCGCACATCGCACATCGCACATCGCGTATTCCAGAATCTGCAATGCTTGGGCAACGCTGGTCATTGATCTGGTATGAAATTTGTATCAAGAAATTGACGCCGTATAAAACGTGTTTTAAATTAAGAAAAAAATACTATTTAATTTAAAATATTTTTATCTACTATTTAGTTTTAAGTGTCATAATTGCTCTTTTAAAGAATCTACGGTACTATACAGCTTATTTGGATTAATTGATATGTCACGTCATAAAATTATTTTGGATTCATTTATGGAGCAAATACATTTATAGATGGAAAATTTCAGTAAGTGGTAAAGGGGAGTATGAAATATTCTGGTTTAAAAACTAATTAGGTTTAAACCCCCCATTCTTACTATGAAAAAAAAAACTGTAAATTATAGGTTATTTCTTCTTTTTTATTCATTTTCTTTTTAAAAAAAAATTAAAATAAGTTCATTTGTAGATTTCCCAGTTGTTGGAACTAATGTTGCAATTAACCGAGTCCGATGTTTAATTGTATGGGGTCCGAAGAAAGTCCTTTTGGGAAATGAAGTCATCGCTAAACAATTTTTCATGCAATTAAGATGTAAGAATCACGCATATTTTATTTTAATATTATTTCATTACTACTCATCAAGTCAATAGTGCAATGATTTTCATCTCAACCAATTAAAACAGATGAATCTTTTGAAAAATTAAATAAATCAAATATTTTCCAGTATCTATTATTGCATGATGAACAGGTTAAGGTACCGAAGTTAATGACTGGGGATTTTTTTTTTTTTTTTTTTTTTTTCAAAAAAATTTTTTTTTTTCCTTCTTTTCCCCTAACCCAAATTTTGGTCTTGTTTGTTGACTCATCACAAGATTTTTTTGCTAGCGGTCCAAAGTCCGATCAGAAAAAAAAAAAAAAAAAAAAGTAGAGCATCTCTAGACAAAATTTACTAGAAATCTGAGCTTTTTTTTTGTTTATTTTCTAGTTTTTAAAATAAAAAAAAGTCAGATATATAGAAAAAATATAAGACAAGGAGATTGCCTGAAAATATTATATATATTGGGTAGTGCTTATTGAATGATAATGGAGCGCTATATTTATTACGTGCAGTAGTAATTTTTCAGTCTATCAATCACCCCACATTTGACTAGACTAGAAATTTAGCAGTAAAATTGATATAATTGAAAAGCAAAAATCTTTGATGATAAATTTTCAACACCAATAATAACAAAAGGCCTTTAAACTGAATTAAATAAAAAAATACAATAATTGAATAAGTCAAAGATTAACCCCCCCCGAAATTTTAACAAAGATGTCTTCATGTCATTGGTATTTAACTCTTTTTTAAAGGGTGTGGCTTGTGTGTGTGGCTTGTGGCTTGTGGCTTGTGGAAAGAAAGGTTTTCTCAATATAAAATCAAACGAATTTCCGGCCAAATGCGCATTTACTTTTTTTTCTTTTTTTTTTTTGAAATTGCATAATCTTTTCACATTTAAGAAAGATATATATTTCCTAATCAAACAAAAAAAAAAACAAGTTTGATAAACGATTCAAGTGATTAAGTTATACTAAACACTCAACATACTTCAATCTCTTCTTCTCTTCCTTTTTTTTTTTCTTTGCGAAATAAATTAAATTGTAGTGAATAGCTACAATTTTCAAATGAATAACAACTTTTTAACTTGTATTTACCGGAAATTACTGCCACTACCAAGATGATGATGAGCCCCATAATGTCTGCGGATCCAATCGGTTTTCCTGAATTACATAACAAATTCCATAGTCCTCCGAAAAGAATGAGCTGGTCTCCCAAAACTCGGTTAGAATGCGTTCCTGAAGATTCTATCATGGTCCCAAAACCCAAGAGTCGCACTACCAAGCACAAAAGAACAAAGCCTGAATCTGAGCTTGCACCTCCAACCCTTTGTTTTAAAAGCAGTTATCCACGGAGAGATGTCAGTAGCTATCAAGCTCTTCTTAAAGAGCCGAATGCAACAAGTAGTACTACTAATAGTACTAACAATCATAATCATGATGAGAAAAACTTGCAGCAACAGCAGCAGAAAGTTTTAATGAGTTCACAACGGGAGCAGGAATCTAGTGTTGTTGACATTGGCGAGCTTATTGAGGCAGACATTGATGATGATGACATGATTGTGTTTGCAACATTTTTGAATACACTTGACACGCGAGATATGGTCTTGAGAGCTAATAGTCTTATAAATCATTCAAGAAAGCAAAGCGGGAAACATGTTCGTCGCAAAAGTCAGTAATCAGTAATAGTCGATAATTTTTGTTTTTTGTTTTTTGTTTGTTTGTTTATTTGTTTGTTTGTTTATTTATTTGTATATTATAAAGCTTAATGCATGTGATGTAGGTCATTTTTTAAAAAATATATAATATTTATTCAAATTGTGAATGTTCCATGCTTATATATACACTTTGTGTTTTTATTGCAATTAATCGAACTCAATGCACCTAAATCAGATTAAAGCTTAATAATTTAAATGTCTTTATATAAACCTGTCAAATAGCTAGCATACTAGCATACTAGCATATTAACATATACATGTGTATAAGTGCGGCTGATGTTTAAAGCTTTTACAATGAAAAGCCCATCGATTTTGCTTGATTTAACAATAGCAAGCAAGTCTTGGGAAAAAAAAAAAAAAAAACTTAATTATTCAAGGTTCCTGGCTCATAGAATAGCAACCTTGTCATCAACAAGCCTTTTCTAGACCTAAAACACTTTTGTCAAAACATCTATTTAGGAAAGATACCGAGAACCTTAAGATATTTATATATATATAGGGGCTGCAAGCAAGAAAATAAAAAAAAGAACAAAAAGGTAACACCTTAACTTTTGATAGTCTTTATTAGGGATACGATTTCAATATATATCCCGGGGACGTACCACATAAAGTTGCGATATCTTATCTTAGTGGCCAATTACGTAATCCTTGGTTTTTTTTTTTTTTTTTTTTTGTTCGTTTCCCCTCCCCTTTTTTTATTTTTTCCCCTCCAATTTTTTTTTTTTTTCCTTTTCTTCCTTTTCTATATAAACAGTTCAATTCTCCTCCATTTTACTTTCTTCACGACCTTCAATCAATCATCATCTCATTAAAAATTGCCTAATTTTTGTTTCAAACACTGCATGAACGTTTAATTGGAGTTTTAAAGCTTTGATTGGTTTGATTCTTGCACTTGCTTTTTTTTTTTTCTTTAAACAGTTCAATATATATTATACAACTCATCATTTACCTTTTTTTTCGCCACCTTTCTTCAATTGAGAGCTAATTGACTTTAAAATGGTCATTAGCAACGGTAAAGAGTACCTTACTGTCGAGGAACAGCGCCTTCGACAAGATAGAAAAAAGGAAAAGGTACGAAGGGTTTGTCTCGAGAGTATATGGTGGACCTTTTTTTTTTTTTTTTTTAAAAAGGCTCAAAAAATGATTACTGTTACAATTTAGTTTATATACTAACAAACTTTTTTAAATAGTACTGGAAACGCTGGGGCCCTTATCTTTCTGAACGTCAATGGGTAAGTAATTATGAAACCAATTTTTTTTTTCTTTTCAATCTTCCTAACAACTCATGTTAGGCCACCGTTCGTGAAGACTACTCTGCAAATGGCGATGCTTGGAGTGATTTCCCACATGACCATGCTAGATCGAGAGTATACCGATGGGGTGAAGACGGTATTGCTGGTGTTTCCGACAACCACCAACTCACTTGTATTTCATTTGCATTTTGGAACGAAAAAGACGATATTCTAAAGGAACGTTTGTTTGGCTTGACAGGCCACCAAGGAAATCACGGTGAAGATGTAAAAGAGGCGTACGTATTTTATTTTTATTTTTTTTCTACAACTAAAGTCCAACTAACATCGCTATTATAGATACTTTTATCTTGATAACCTCCCTACCCACTCGTACATGAAATACTTGTACAAATATACTCAAAAGAAGTATCCCTATGAACAACTAGCCAAGGAAAACGCCAATCGCAGCCGATTAGAACCCGAGTATGAGATTTTCGATGCTGGGTCATTTGACGATAATCGGTACTTTGACATCTTCATTGAAATGGCAAAGGACGAAGACAATGAAGAAGAGCTTCTTTTTAGAATTACCGCATATAACCGTGGCCCTGAAGCTGCTCCTCTACACATCATCCCTCAGGTTTGGTTCAGAAATACATGGGGCTGGGGAATTGAGTCTGAAAAGGACCACCCTATCCCTTCTTTAGAGGCTACTTCTGAGACTGTTGTCACATCCAAGCACTGGCGTCTTGGTGAACGCTACCTTCATATGGCCCCCTCTCCGGGCTTTGACTACGAAGATGCTCCCACTCCGAGCTCCGATGATGACTATAACCAGAATGATGATTCTGGCGATGATGTCTTCCCTACTCTGTTGTTTACCAACAACGAAACCAACAAGAAGAAACTTTACGGCGTCAAGAATGAATCTCCTTACGTCAAGGACGCTTTCCACGATTACATCATTAATGATAACTTGAAGACTGTTAACCCTGCCAACAAAGGTACTAAAGTGGGTGCTTGGTATGCTTTTGACTCTGGTGATGGTATTCCTCCTGGCGATTTTGTCACTGTGAGATTCAAGTACTCCAACAATAAGCCTGTTAACCCCTCAGAGTTTGACGAAGAGGAGTTTGACAAGATTATGGATCAGCGCCAAGATGAGGCTGATGACTTTTATTGGCGCATCAGCCCTTCCCCTATCTCCGATGATCTTAGATGCATCCAGCGCCAGGCACTAGCTGGTATGCTTTGGACAAAGCAATTTTACCACTTTATCCATTCCCAATGGGCAAACGGTGACCCTGAAAATCCACCACCACCTCCTGAACGAGCCAATGTCCGTAATCAGCATTGGAAACATCTGCACATTGATGATATCCTGTCGTTACCTGACAAGTGGGAGTACCCATTCTTTGCCGCATGGGACTCGGCCTTCCACTGCATTCCATTGGCCATGGTAGACCCGGAGTTTGCCAAAAAGCAACTGGACCTTCTTACCCGTGAGTGGTACATGCATCCCAATGGTCAGATTCCTGCTTATGAGTGGAACTTTTCAGATGTCAACCCACCTGTTCATGCTTGGGCCACTTTTCGAACTTTTAAGATTGAACGCAAAATGTTTGGTAACGAAGACATTGACTTTTTGGAGCGTGTATTCCAAAAGCTTTTGCTGAACTTTACCTGGTGGGTAAACAGAAAGGATGGAGACGGCAAGAATGTCTTTGAAGGCGGCTTTCTTGGTTTGGATAATATTGGTCTCTTCAACAGATCAGAGCCTCTCCCCACTGGTGGTGTTCTTGAGCAGGCAGATAGTACTGGCTGGATGGCCTTCTTTTGTCTCCAGATGCTCAATATTGCTCTTGAACTCGCTAAACACCGTCCTGTTTATGAAGACATTGCTTCTAAGTTTTTTGAGCATTTCATGTTCATTGCTGATGCTATGAGTTTCCGATCTGGAGGTGGCGTTGAGAAGCCTCTTTGGAACGATGAAGATGGCTTTTACTATGATGCTATTTCTTGGGGTGGCCCTTGGAGTCAACAACTCCCAGTCAGATCACTTGTTGGTCTAATTCCTCTTTACGCCTCTCTCACGTTAGAACCTCAGATTTTGAAGAAATTCAAGTCTTTCAGTAAGCGTGTCAAGTGGTTTACTGACAATCGCCGAGGCATCACTGAACGCAATATTGCCTCCATGTCACAAAGAGGTACTGGGGAACGCATGCTTCTTGCATTAGTCGATCGTGAACGTCTTGAAAAGATTTTGGAACGCATGCTTGACGAGGGTGAGTTTTTGAGTGATCATGGTATTCGATCCTTATCTAAGTACCATAAGGAAAATCCCTACTCCATGGAAGTCAATGGCCAGGTCTTTACTGTTGACTATGTTCCTGGCGATTCTAACTCTGGTCTTTTTGGTGGTAACTCTAACTGGAGAGGTCCTATTTGGTTCCCCACAAATTTCCTTCTCATTGAGTCGCTTCAACGTTTCTACATGTATTATGGTGATACCTTGAAGGTGGAATGTCCTAAGGGCTCTGGAAACTATATGAACTTGGCCAATGCCGCTGAAGTTGTTCAGCACCGTCTCATTAATCTCTTTTCTAGAGATACTGGTGGTGAACGTGCTATTAATGGTGGCAATAATATGCTTAACCATGACCCTCATTGGCGTGACTATGTTTTTTTCTATGAGTTTTTTGAAGCTGACACTGGCCGTGGTCTCGGTGCTTCTCACCAATGTGGCTGGACTTCTCTTGTTGCCAAGATTATTCATGATACTGGCGTATCGTGCACTATGCCACAGACACCTAAAACACCCCTTAGTGCTGCTGAGCACTACTTTGATGACGAGGTAATTACCGGCCGTCACCACGCTCGTCGCAAGAGTGCTGTCAGCATTAGACTTCAGCGTCGCACACATTCCTCGGGTATTTCCATGGGCCCACCATCGCGTTCTGACACAATTTCTAGCTACTATAGCGACGATGGTGCTGGATTTGGAGAGGAAGTTCCTCGATCTGAAAGCGAGCGTAAGACCGACTCTGCTGATTTTGAGGATCTAGAGGCTGGCACTATTTCGCCTAAGACGGTTCATTCTCTTAACCGGACATCAAGTCACGTTGACACTAGTGATTCTTATTTCCGCGACATTCGGGAGCTTGTTTCCAGGCTTGGATCTACTAACGTTGTTGATCATGGTAACTTCAATGGAGAATTGTCATGTGATTTTGATTCTTAAGCAAATGGGGTAAAAAATTTTTTTTTTCACAAATCTTATTAGATCTGTGTATGTGTGTGTGTGTGTGTTTTTTTATCAATATCTTTATATATATATTTTCTTTTTCTCAATTATTGTCTTTTATATACTATTAAAATGAATCATTTGGACTTACATCGTTTATTTTGGTATACTTTGATGGGGTTGTTTCCCATTAAAAGGTGAAGTTTGTTGGATAAGTATAGGTATATAGAATCAATGCCGCAGGCCTCATTAGTATTTTAAAGACGAGAGGTTTGAATTTCAACATAGTTATCAAGAAGGTGTGAAAAGCCAGGTCCGTAGGTGCAATCAGGGAAGGGGAATACAGCCTTGTTGATAACAAATCCAAAATAGTTTTTGCTCCACCTAGAGATAGCTGAAAGGAGTGTCGAGGGTGTCTGCAACTTTGTCATTCCATATGAATCAACTATCTTTATTCCACAATGCGACGGATTGTACTATGGGACTTGTAGCCTACAAACTAGATAAAAAAAATACATGGACAATCAGATGGCTGGCTGGCGGCATGCAAACAAACCATTCAAATAGCTAGAAATGAACTTAGGGGTTTCACTAAGTATGTCCTTGAATTCAAAGCTGTCCATGGCGCTATCAAAGAATCGATCGAAAGCACCAGCAAAGTGAATATTCCAGAATAGGCCTTAGAGAAAAAAAAAAACAATTAATTACTGACATACACACAACAAATTCTCATGTGTCAATGAAAAGGCTGAAAATTTTTGCAGACACACCCATTAAGCAGCCCACCATTAAGTTTGACAACTACACCTTCTGCGCTTCTATATCAACAACAACCACTCTTCAATTCAAACGTAACAAACTCACCAAGACCATAATGACCACCATGACCGAAAACAAAAGCCACACGGTCATAATCAGACCAGACCCTGAGTTCATTTCCTTGATCCCCAAGCCTATTCCCGAAGGCCTTGACAAACTAACAGCACAAAAAATCGGAATGGAAAACTTTGACACATTTCGCCTACTTGTAATCAAAGCAGCACGTATCATCCAACAAGGGAGCACCAATCGGAATATAATTGAATACGGTTACATCACTGGCAAGGGAAATCTCAAAATGATAATTGGGAAAAACGCGAGCGTTGACGAAATCACCGACCTCCCTGAAGGCTGGGAAATCCTCGATGCCCCAGGCTGGCTCAATATAGTTGCTAGAGATATTCCCACTGACAAAGTCATTGACAGTAAAGGAAACGTACTTTCTAAGTCCCTTAGAAATGAGATCCAAAGAAGAAACCCTGACCTGATCTTGCTAAGAGATCCCATTCTCATATCACACGATCTTACTCGCCCCTGCCAGTTGTTCATACTTACCTTCAGTAATAAAGACAAGGATATCCTTAAGAAAAAAAAAATCATCAATTGTTACGAAAATGGCACCACCTGGAGTCAAGTTAGAAATAAAACTCCTAAGCAAAAGCAACCCAAACTCGTTTCTGTCTAAGATATGAAAGCTAAGAGATGATGCTTGACACCCAAGCCATACAGAGCTACAACCTAACAAGCAAGATCTGCATGGAGGACGGTCCAAACACCTGCCGACAATGAGGAACAACCTTGTATCCCGAATCGCATACCTAATCCGACACTCCAAAATGTCCAATCATTCCTCCTACTGGTCAACCTTGTGCCAGTACTTATATTTGCAGACTTTTACATTTGACGAAGGAAACTACAAAAAAAACTAAACATTTTTGTAAATTTAATATTTGTGGTAGAGCAGACACTTAAGGAAGAAATTGATTTTGTAGTAAATTTTCAAACATTGGAAATAGCGTATTGAAAGCTTCAACTCTTTGAGAAAACTTTTACTAAATAATTATTCATTATAATAATGAAATCTCATTCTTTACAAGAAGCAAAAAAAAAAAAAATTAAACGTGAATTTTATTAGTGTGTTGAAAGATACAAATCCAATTTTTTTTTTTACAAAGACTTATTGTAAAATTAACTTTACATTAACTTTATATTAACTCTTAAACAAAGGTTAAATTAACAATATTTATAGATGATGCAATTATTTTTTAAAATGATACTTTACATGGACTTATCTCATATGAGTGATATATATATATGGTATCACTGTTGATAAAAGTACCCACTCCATTTTTTCATCCGTTTCTAAATATAACTATAGTTAATATCAAACAACTTTTTAGCCTCATGGGGTTAGTGGTAGAGTTTATTTTTAAAATTCATAAATTTTTTTTTTTTTCACATAATAATACGAGATATGCCTTTTAAATGCCGACAATATGGAGGGCCCTTCAATGGTCCAATTTTTTCTTTTTTTTTTTTTTTTTTTTTTTTTTTGAAAACAAAGCCTTTTTTTTTTTTTTTCTTTTTTTATCTTTGCTCAAGTTTCAATTCAATTATAAATACCCCACAAAATACTTTTAACACTCTGCTAAATATTAATCTTTTATATACCTTTAAACTCCAACTTTTTTTCCACTCGTTTAAAATCAATACCCATATAACAAACTCATAATTCAAATTCTGAAAATGAAATTCTCTGCTATTGCCATTGCTGCCATTGCTGCTCTTGTTGAGGCTACCGTCCCTGTTGGCACCACATTTGGTCTTATTTCAATCCACTCTGCTTCTCCCGTCCACTTGATTTCTGCCTCCATTAATTCCAAAGACGAGATTGTTCTTGCCTCTCTTTCCGATCCCAACGGATACCTAACTGCTGTCAATGTTGGTGATGGTTCAATCGCTATTGAAGGCACCAAACTCTACCTCGGTGTTAGTTCAGATAAGACTCTTATTGCTTCAACCACACCCAGCAAGATTTTTTCCTTTGATGGAGACAGATTACTTGCTGTTGATGGCAGCTCCTCTTTCACTGCTGTTTCTGAAGGCACTTACTATTCCATCTTTTCTGGCAGCGTTACAACTGACAAAACAAGTTACAGCATTTCTCTTCTCATTACATCTGCTGTTACTGGTGCCAGCTCTTCTTCCTCTTCAGAATCATCTTCGGTTGTTGCCTCTGTCACTCAGAGTGCTCCCGCAGAGGTCTCTACTATAGCTTCTAATACCACTGTTGCCCAGGTCAATGGTGCTGGTTCTGCTCAAGGCTCTGTTTTTGCTGCCGCTCTTGCTGCTGTTGGTGGTGCCCTCCTTCTTTAATCATTTTTATTTATCTTCTTTCCCCTTATACCTTACTACAAAAATAATACCAACAACAAGCACATGTATCTTTAGCTCTTCGACTTATTTTCAAACAAACAAACAAAAAAATAGAACGACAAACCGAACATATAATTTTTAATTTTGTAATTTTTTCATTAATGTAGTATTAGTATAGATTTTCAATATCAATAAACAAACCCATTAAACACACTGTACATAACAAGCATATAAACCTAACACAATAACTTTAAAATTGAGTTGCAACATAATTTAGATACAAATATCAATGTTAATGGAAACAATGATATAGTCAAAAGTATTGCTGAAAAAGTTACAAGTTGATTTCAATGAATTGACACTTAAAAAAAGATTTTTTTTTGCTAGGAATAGAAGTACATAATATCAGCATCAATACCACCCTTTTAATTGCCTAATTTTAGTGATCTACCGTCTTATCAATGTATCTTTTAAGTCTGGATTTTTTTCAATCTGTATGTCTCTGGTAAGCAAAAAATGAACTTTGATTCTATTTTATGAGAAACTCAGAGAGCCAGTTTGCCGGTCCCAAACCTACCCGACCCATTCCCAGTCATCTTAAAAGATACTTGTGTATTTTTTAATATCCTCTCCTAGGTATACAGAAAAAAATTACTTCCAGGTTAACTAAACTTAATTGAAGTACTAGTTATATATTATTTATAAAGGTGCAAAAGTCTAGTAAAGATTTAAACAACAGAATGTTTGTTTGTTTGTTTTTATTCAAGGGTTATAGAATTATATAACATCAGCATCTGCGCTATCCTTCTTGTCCATACTATATATCTTTTCATTTTAATAATAAACTTTTAATTTTGGCTTCAACATTGCATCTCCAACAGCCCGAAAATAAGTCCTGATGCCAGCTTACGAGGAACAGGGGGTTAAAAATAACCAAACCTTCCCAACCTATCTCCACTTGTCTTCATCAACGCTGTAATTGTATTTCTTAATCCCTCCAAGCAGAGATAAAGCTTACAATCTCTTGTAAGCCAGTTAAACTGTTTAAGAGAGTCGACATGTCCATCTCTGGAGATATCCGTTTCAGTCCTTTTCTTTCCTCTTCAAGCAAAGGACACTCAACTAAAATGTGATGAACTGTTTCCAGCTCTCCACATTTGCAGTTGTAACTATCCTTTTCAATTCCAAACTTTTTAAACCATGCGCCAAAGTTGCCATGGCCTGTGCGAAACTGAGTAATATTACTCAAGATCCTTCGACTATCTTTCTTCATGATCACTCCCGTAACCATTTTGGAAAGATTATCAGTACATTTTGACTCCACTGTGATATTATGATACCACAAGCAACAACTTGTTTGTTTGTTTGTTTGTTTTTATTCAAGGGTTATAGAATTATATAACATCAGCATCTGCGCTATCCTTTTATTGTCTGACTATGTGACTTGCCGGTTTTCATTTGTACCTTTTTAGTACGGGTGGTTTCTGTTCTGTGCGTCTCCGGTAGCCCGGAAGATGGGCCCTGATGCCAGCTTACGAGGAACAGGGAGAACCAGTCTGTCGGTCCCAAAACCTTCCCAACCCATTTCCACTTATCTTCACGGACGCCCATGTATTTCTTAATCTCTTCCGTCAGAGATATGGCCCGCAATCACCTGCAGGCTATTTAGACTGTACGGAAGAGTCGGCATTCCTGTAACCAGGGTAGCCTATGGTTTTCAGTCTAGGTGTATACTCCCGTACACATCCTCAGGAAAAGGGGGTATTCTGGGAATCGAACCCAGTATCTTCCGCTTTCGAGCGAACGTGTTACCCTTTACACCATCCAGCCCTTTCCCCTACAAGCAACAACCAATTGTTTGTTTGTTTGTTTTTATTCAAGGGTTATAGAATTATATAACATCAGCATCTGCGCTATCCTTCTTGTCCATACTATATATTTTTTCATTTTAATAATAAACTTTTAATTTTGGCTTCAACATTGCATCTCCAACAGCCCGAAAATAAGTCCTGATGCCAGCTTACGAGGAACAGGGGGTTAAAATAACCAAACCTTCCCAACCTATCTCCACTTGTCTTCATCAACGCTGTAATTGTATTTCTTAATCCCTCCAAGCAGAGATAAAGCTTACAATCTCTTGTAAGCCAGTTAAACTGTTTAAGAGAGTCGACATGTCCATCTCTGGAGATATCCGTTTCAGTCCTTTTCTTTCCTCTTCAAGCAAAGGACACTCAACTAAAATGTGATGAACTGTTTCCAGCTCTCCACATTTGCAGTTGTAACTATCCTTTTCAATTCCAAACTTTTTAAACCATGCGCCAAAGTTTCCATGGCCTGTGCGAAATTGAGTAATATTACTCAAGATCCTTCGACTATCTTTCTTCATGATCACTCCCGTAACCATTTTGGAAAGATTATCAGTACATTTCGACTCCACTGTGATATTATGATACCACAGATCCTTACTGCTGTTCCAATACATTTCTTGCCATTCTTCCATTGCTTGTTTCTTCAAAATTCCAATCGTCTGATTTTGTTGTTGTTTCAGTGTAAGAGGTTCAACCCTCTTGCATTTTCGTTTTTCATCCTTTTTAATCATATAGTCTCTATCATCTTTCGCCAACATGTAAAGCGTGGTTAGCTTTGCAATTGGAGATTTCTCAATCAATGTTAACAAATGACCATTAATAGGATTAGTTTTGCTAATATTTAGGTGTAAACGAATAGCTTTTCGTGCCACCATAAATTTTAGCCTAATACTATATGGCATTATACCAGCTTCCTTTTGTAATACCGCAATAGGAGTTGTGCGATAAGCACCAACAATTCTTCTTAAAGCCATGTTCTGCATTACTTCCAACTTGTGGATTTCTCCTTTCAAGATTTTATGATGCCAAATAAGCAACAACCAAGACAAATAATTATAAATGTCTTAAAGATCAAATTTACTCTTATACAATAACTCCACTACATTACAACAAGTAATCCGATATAGTGTAACGGCTAGCACGGTTCGCTTTCACCGAGCAGTTCGGGGTTCGATTCCCCGTATCGGAGGTCAATATTTTTTTTTAATTTTGTGAAATGATTTTAAAGTTGATGCTTTTTGATGGTTTTTTGTTCTGTTTTCAACGACTTTTGGAGTTATTGTATTGTGCATGGTGATATTTTGTGGTGGATCCGCCCCTCTATGAAGGTGAACAAAATTAACCGGCCCACAGTTTAAAAGAAAAAAACTATATAGTACGATAGACGTAAGGTGTATGGCTGTAATAAGTTTCAACTAGGAAAATTCCTTTAATTTCCCAATTTATCTCATATGAGATACTTCAATGCATTGAAGTTTTTTTTTGTTAAAGTAATTTACAGTATTTATTTTTATTATTTATCATAACTTATATATATAACTTTTTGATCCTACACCTAGTCAACAGAACATGCCTTATCAAAGGAACTAAGCTCAACAGGCTTAAAATTTTGTAAATTGAGCTCTAAGAAAAAAAAATAGACAACACTTTTTGCCGATATTTGGTATGGTTTACTTAACTTAAACAAAACTTTTTTTTCTGAAGTTTGACTAAAAATTCTTAAACTATTACATCTATTATTTGGAATATTCTACTATAAGATTTAAGCTGCAGTTATTGAATCAAGTTCCCTTCTTCTAGGTCTCTGTTGTCCTCATCAAACTCTTGGTATTCCTCCGACCGAGTTAATGATGGTGTCATTGCTTTCAGCGAGAGAATGATTCCCAAAAGTATATAAATGATACCAATCAATACACCCTCATTGTCTCTCTCATCGTTCTTTTGTTTTCTTTTTGTTGTTTTAAAACTATCCGGTAACCTTTCTCTAGGACTATTTAACTGGGGAGTTCGAATAATTTCTTGAGATGTCCCATATGATGGTAGCATAGAAGATATGAGATCTCGTTCATTTGCGGAATGTGTATCGAGATGTGTATCGAGATGTGTAACTGAGTAGAAACTTGGTCTTCTAGAATGTGACTGTCTTGGATCGGTGTTTAGTTTGCTGGGGTTTGCCCTTGCTTCAAGGTTAGTATTACCCGTGCTATCATAATTTAGAATCACATTATTAACGGGCTGATCATGATTTTCTAATTTTGTTTTAATATCCTTCTTTGAAGAAACAATATTGGAGGAATGTGATTTTGGGCTTTGGGGAACATTTTCTAAATCTTCTATTGAAATGTAACTGGAACGATCGACTTGGGTGTGTAAACCAATGTCATTTAGGGTTAGCATTATTTTTATTTCAATAAAAGGGGAAATTTTATATTTTATTTATTTTTAAAAATTCCACTTTATTTTTTCCGGCTTCGTGCAATCAAACCTATTGTGTATCTATTATTATTATTAATTTTTTTTTTTGCTTTTATTATTTTTGGGTTATTTAGGAAAAAATCAAGTAAAGTGATTGAGGGAACTTGGGGAAATATATACTGACTTTTCAGTTACCAACTTCAATATGAAATGACTTGTTTTGGGTTATCAGATGAAAATTAGTGCGATTCTGTGAGAAAATAGTTTTTCCAAATTTGTAAATTTTTTAACTATAGGCTTTGCTTGTCTTCCTTTATTCTTTTCTTCTTGGATAAAAAAAAAGGTCATTGTCCTTATACTTTGGAATTAATCAAAATTTATGTAACGTTCTTGTTGCAGTTTAATTACCTGAATTCTAAATAATGAGACCAATTAATAAAACATTAGTGTGTTTGAATATCAAAAGTATGCCAGCAAACTTCTTTCTCTTTCTCATCCTGCAATATTCCTGCCAACTTTACTAAAAATCAGGTTATGTCTTTATATGATACCCAATTGTTTATTGGTTTATTTTTTCATTTAATTCTACTATATATTGATTAAGATAAACTAGTTGGTCTTTTAAAAATGAACAGTTAGACAAAGTTTGCATGAACAGTGTAGGTCAAAAGAATTTATAAATTAGTTTCTATGAAATATAATTTCATAAGTAAAGTCTATTAGGTTTTCACTAAATTTGAAATGAAGTCAGCCCTTTTTTTAATCATATTTTTTCTAATTGTTTTCCGAGTTTGGCGAAGAATGATATTCAAAGCTCATACCCCCTCTTTTTTTTCTTCTTTTTTAAAAGCAAAGGTAAGACGCCATATATAACATTCAATTAATAGTATGATATACTAAAGATAAAAAAGGACATAAAAACATTTAAACTTTCTTTTTAAAATTAATCCTAACGCAATTTCCTTGATGGACAAACAGATTTGAAAACATGGCTTGGCTAATTGTAGTAAATTAAATCACAAGTTTTCTAATTATTTCTTTTCATTGATACATAAGCTTTATTTGGGGTTTATTTCTTAATATATAAACTCTCCAAGATCTCAAATATGTCTTTTTTTGTATATCGCTTTTTTCAATTCGTTCGCTTATCAGTATATCTTTAGATACGTATTTCAAATACATACATTCGTTTATCTTTCAATCATGAAATTCTCATTACTTGCTATCACCACATTCGCTTCTATTGCTTCTGCTGCACCATTTAATGATGAGAATCCAGGGTTTGTTAAGGCTCAACTTACCAAACGTGAATTCAAGGACCCATCGGTTTCACAACTTTTCCGTCGTGGACAGATCAACACACCTCTTTATAACCAAGTCTCCTATTACCAAATTGAATTAGAGGTGGGGAATCCCCCTCAAAAGCTTCAAGCCCTTCTAGATACTGGTTCCAGTGATATGTGGTTTTTTTCCAATTATGTCGGGGCCGGTAATGCTGCTACATTTTCTCCTCAAAGATCAAACACATGGCACAACAACTATACTCAGTTTACTATCTCTTATGTTAGCGGTAGTGCACAGGGTACATGGGGAACCGACGAAGTTAGCATTTCTGGTTCTAAAATTAAAGGGCAAAGCTTTGCCATTGTTACATCAGGTAATGGATTAACGGGTATCCCTGGCCTCATTGGCACAGGCCTTCCAGCATTGGAAAGCACAAATAACAACTTCAACTTTTTCCAGCCGCGCCACACCTACTCTAATGTTCCGCTAAGCTTATTTGAACAAGGTCATATTGGAACCCCTACATACTCTCTTTACTTGGATACTATTGATGCAAAGGCTGGAACAGTGTTGTTTGGAGCCATTGATCATTCCAAATATAAGGGAAAGATGTACTCTGTTCCACGAGTCCACAATAGCCGTTTTAACATCAACATTGACGACATTCAAGTCAATGGCAATTCTGTTGGCAGTACTTCTAGCGCCACTCTTGATTCTGGCACCACACTTGGTTCTCTTCCTGATAGTGTAATTAGTGGGCTTGTGAGCTCACTTGGGCTACAACAGGACTATTCCAACAATGGCATTTACTATGCTCGTCGAAATTCATTTAGAGGTGACACTCCAGTAACATTTAGCATTTCAGGTGTCAAGTTTAATATTAAAGCCAGCGATTTGTTTATTGACTCTGAAAAACTTGGTGACCCATTTCCTGCAGGCCTATCTATTCTTGGGTTTTCACCTGCTTCTCAAACTCAAGGTCAAGTCATTCTTGGTGATGTCTTTTTGCGTAACTTTTACATTGTATATGACTTAAGTAACCCGCAACTGGGAATTGCTCTTGCAAACTTTAACCACACGAGTGTCCCACAGTTTGATCCCATTACTACCTCTGTTATTCCTCGTTCACAAGTCGTTGCTGCCACCAAACTAGACACTACTCAACCAGTTCAAAATACTCAAGCTAATCCTTTTGCAAGATTGTTTGGTCCATTCCGTGGCCTTTTTGGAAACGGTCTCTTTGGAAATAATTTATTTGGTAATAGCCTCCTTTCACCAAAACAGGCTGCTACTGTCCAGGAAAAGCTTGATACTCCAGAAAGTGATGCTAGTACAGAAGAAGCCATTAGAATGGTTAAGAAGTCTATTGAAGACCAGCTTCTTGTGTTTGACCAGAACTAAGATAACATAAAATTGGAATTTTTTTATTTTTGCATTGAATTATTGATATTTTTTTTATTTATACGTTGTTAATTTATTTTTCTAAATATTTCTTGTACACAATAATTAATTATTGAATTGTTAAGAGCCCATTATTTTAATGAAAAAATCCAATTTGATGCTGGCATTTGGTATAATTGGATCCTTAAAAAAAACTAAAGTTTCTAGTTAAATGCTTTTTTTTTTTGTAAAGTTGCATTAATTTAAAAATTTTCAGCATTGATTATATCTTTTTGAAGTCCATAATGACTGGAAATACTTCAAGTTTTTACAAAATTTACCTACAAATAGTTGACTGATAAATTTTTTTAAACCAGAAAAAGAGAAATAATGCCCAAAGACAACATTTTTTTTTGAGAAGGAGTATAAGAAAAGCAAAAATCCATGTCAAAGTAACTTTTTTGGTTTTCTTTTTTTCCTCATTCACAATTCAATTCAAAACTATTATAGTATCAGCTTTATAAAAGTAACTGTTCTTTTCAAGATTTTTTCATTTAATTATTGATTCAATAAAATGACTATTGCTGATCTTTATCCTGAACTTTCCAGACCTGGCTCTCAAGCCAAAAGAGTTGAGGCTGAGAAAATTCCCATTTATCCTATTTTTGACGGCAAAGGTCGTCAAGTCACTGATGCTTGTCTTCAACTAGAAGTGAGCAAAATTGGAGTCCGCAATAAAGATGAGTGGTCAAATGCTAGTGATAGTGATAGTATTGACACAAACTCGTTCAACAACTCAACTTTATTGACTATGTCAACTATTAGCAATTACACTGAGTCTACTGATTCTTCTTTTAACAAAAAATTGGGTAATGGGATCCCTAATAAACAAAAATGTGAAGAAATTAAACTTACTCGGTATCGTGGAGCAGCCGATCCTCAGTCAATTGCTTCGCGCATTGCCAGTGCTGTTGCACACGATCAGTATCCAGTAAGCAATAGTCGTACTTTTGCAGGAATTGGTAAATCTCAACAAGGAACTCGCATGGCACTTAATGGCTATGTTTGCTCTTTTCAAAAAACAACCAATATTCTAACCAAATCTAAAACCTCAGCACCTGAACCTACAAAGGCTTGCTCAGGATTTAAATTCCCTCCCCCTCCCAAAAGAGCGGCACCCCAAAACAAACTCAACAATTTGTCTGCATATTCTTGCAAAGTTTTGCAACTCAAATCTCAATACGTGTTTCGTGCTGGGATGAACGAAGAGATTAGTAGCAAGGGTCTTAAATGGATGGGCACACACGCACACAAAAATGCTAGTGTAGGCGACTACTTCAAGCTTGGAGATTTGACCGATAAGTCGACTAAGGGACTAGGTGATATGTCCTACGATATGGAAACTGTATACGCGAGATTAGAAAAAGAACGTGAGCTTCGTGAAGAGCTTGATGAAGCGTTTAGTCTTGCAATCAAGCAAGCAATTATGAAAAAGTCTACTTCTGCAAAAAAGAGTCAGAAAAAAGGTGGTTTACTTGGAGTTTTTGCTATTCCCAAGTCCAAAAATATGGCTGAGGCTCCTCTTTTGAAAACCAAATCTCACGAAGACCGCCTCTTTTCCTTTTTAAAGGACAAGTTTTCACAAGTTCACGTGTTCAAAAAAACTGGCAGTGGTCGGTTTTACCTCATGTCTAATGGCGATTTTGTTTCTCTCCAAAGAGTTATTGTTGACGAGCAGGAGGAGCTTTTGCGCGCTGGCATTTGTGCCGCGATTGAAGAAGTTGGACTTGCTGCAGTACTGGCTTTACCATATCATTCTTTAACTTCGGTGGAAAGACGAGTATTTGGTGGTATTGTAGCCATGGCCAGAGTATATGGCATGAATGCATTACAGACCATTATTGACAGTGATCAACAACGCATTGCACAGATTTACCGCAATGAAGTTAAGAGATATGGCATTATGCATATTTTGGAAGGAACTCAGCCTTCCAAGACCTCAGACAGGGCCAAGTTGGCAATTTTAGGAGAGACCGAAACCAAGTAATAATTAAGGGTTCAGAAAATATTTATTTTAGTCTATTTTATTTAAGAATTATAATTAATAAACATTACTATTAATACAATACACAAGAGGTGGAAGGGGGGAAAGGATCATTAAAAATTGGGAGTTTTTTCTTTGACAAACCTGTTGCTGAAAAAAAAAAGTTATGCTTTCTTAAGCCGCATGAAGTATAAATATTTACTGGGATTCAGGCTTCTTGCAGACGTAAAGCATCATGGGAGTAAAGATACCAAGCTTAGCACCTTCAACAAGGTTGACAGCGGCCTCTTCAAGAGCAATTGTGACCTTCTTAGAGCCGGCTGGAGCAATCTTAAGCTTTTCCAGGAGACCAGTGGCATTCATAGTAATGGTGCGGCCAATGTTAGAGGTGCGGAGAAATGTAAAAATGTCACCCACGGTCTGGACAAAGCGCCATTCGCCAGAAAGGGGGTACCACCAGGGGATCTCATCACCAACGTCGGCAAGGTCCTTGGAAGATTCAATCTCAAAGCCAACGCTCTTGAGGGCCTCCTCAGCGACCTTGTTGGTAAACATCTTGGGGATACCGTCACCAATTTCAATGCCGTAAGCAATCTCGCGGTGACGGGGGTTAGACTCGTCATACTTATCAGTAAGAACCCACTCGTAAACACCAAAGACACCGCCAGGCTTAAGAACTCTGTAAATCTCACTGTAAACACCAGCAAGGACAGGAGCATGGACAGTGGCCTCAATGGCGTAAACAGCATCAAAGGTCTCATCCTCAAAGTCCATCTGCATAAAGTCACCCTTGACAAAGTTAAGTTGTTTATCGAGTTTATTGACCTTGGCGTAGTGGTTAGCACGTTGGATCTGATAGTCATTGTTGTTGATACCAATAATGTTGGCACCGGTGAAACGAGCAATCTCGCGAGCAGGACCGCCAACACCGCAGCCAACATCAAGGACCTTCATGCCTTCCTTGATGCCCATCTTGTAGGCAAGGTAGTGCTCGTGACGGGCAGTAGCCTGTCGGAAGGCCTCGCCCTTGTAATAGCGGGAAAAGTGGAATGAAGAACCCCAGCCGTACTCGTAAAAGTCAGTGACAAGGTTGTAGTAGTGCTTGGTGAGGGCAGAGTAGTCTTCAAGACGGGCTTGCTGATCTTCAGCAGTCTGTGTCTCTGAAGTCTTATTATCCCAGTGCTTGAAGTAACCGTCAACAGCGGCCTCCTGAGCATCCTTGTTCTTTTTCAGAAGAGCGGTGTAACCAGCAGAAGTGGTATCAGTTCCATGGAGAGCCTTAGCAAAATCGGCGTCAGCCTTAAAGTCTTTAGGAGCGAGCTTGATTGAAGCCATTGTATGATTTAATTGTTTAATGAATAGTTAATTGTTGAATTGATAAGAAGAGAAAGAAAGAAAAGATTTGGTCTGAAAATAGAAGAAATTTGAAAAAAAGGGGGCAGTGTGCTATGCTTTTAAATGCGTGTACCATGGTGGTCCGACCGACTGATTTGGCATCTTTCAAAAGGGCCCTGGTTACATAAGCACTGAAAAATTCCCCGGGGACGGCTTTTCGTCAAAACGTGGAAACGATCGTTTAGTAGACCAATACGAGAAATACGAAAGAATTTCAAGCACGTGACCTTGTGATTACCGAAAGGCCCAGCAAAGGCCTTTTTAGGGCTACGTTTTTTTTCTTTCTTTTTTTAAAAAACCTTCTGGCTTATCAGTTACTAATGGAGCATTTTCTATTCCTAACTTGTGTATGTTTCCATTCTATATATATATATATATATATGAATTAGATTAGCGGTTAGATAATTCGTCATCCTCCTACTCCTCCTCATCATCATCATCTTCTTCTTCTTCGTCGTCGTTGTCGTCGCTAACATCTTTGACTTTCTTGATCTCATCTTCGCCTTCGTCCTCACTACTCGTAGATAACTCACTGAGCTCACTGAGCTCACTAAGCTCACTCTCATCATCAATAGCGACTGGAGCAGTATCGGCAACTAATATTGACTTCTTCTTCAACGGTTTTGTTGTGGCTTTTGCAATCACAGGAATTGCCTCCAAATCGTCCTCCATCTCCACATCGGAATCTTCCGCAGGTGCAGCTTCTGCCGCTGTGACTGGCTCCTTGCTAGTCGTTTCTTCACTTACTTCAGCTTCTTCTGCATCAGATGCGTCAGTTTTTTCCTTGGCTGCTACCGAAGACTCTCTGCTATTGCTGTTACCGTTGTGGTTACTCCGCCTTCTCTCACCACTCTTTTCGTAAATCTTTCCAATCCGTGTATCAAGTTCCTTTTCAAATTTCACTAGCGCATTTTTCAGAAAAGCCTCCTTCACTAACTTTTCTTTAACAATATTGCTGACCAGACTGTATGTTTCTTCCAATAATTTCAAGTCCACAGAAACTGGAATATTGAGTTTTCCGAAACTTAGACACAATGCCTTGCATTCCTCCTTGGATCGGAACCCGCCATCCATCAATCGCTCCAGCATTGATTTAGCCAGTCCCAAATGTATATTGGGGTGGCCACCATTGTTAACAAGTTCACCAGTTTCCTTAGATTTCACAACCACCTTGGCTGGGTTGGTCCAGTCAATAAATTGCGCAGCAATCTGAGTGGGATTAAGCATGCCAGGAACATTTACTGGCATATTGTTATAAGACCGTACAAGCCTTTTCAGTGAGTCTACCGTAATGTCTGCCATTAATTGCTGGTGATCTGCAGATGAAAAGCAAAATACAGGTAAACAGTAACTCAGTTGCTGACACTGTTGTTCGCTCACTGATGTCTGGTTGCTAAAGTACATGAGAACAGCCAGCTGCAAAATTAGCGGGTCATCGAAAATGCCATTGACCATAAGTTTACACAGAGCAAAACAAGCAATTGCTTGCAATTCTCGATCTTCTTCAGAATCTTCCTCATCTTCGTTTTTGTCATCAAGTGATCCAAAGGCCTTGTAGTAAAGTTTGTATAAACTGCGCATGTCGACATTACACTCTTCATCATCCACCAAAGTTTTGCCATGTACCATTAGTATATCTGTTAGTGCCTTAATGACAATGCCCTTGTTATCGTAGTCACCTATAAGAAAAGCTTTTCCAAATAACTCAAGCTTTTCAGCAGCAAGTTTCCTGCTAATTAAACAATAGAGTGCCAGGCACTTTAATCCACCTAATCGAAGTTCTGGGTACATGCTGTGGACAGCGGGAATGACTGTGGAAGTTAGTACTGAACTAAGATAGTTGTTTCGCTCTAGTGGTAAGTTTATAAACTCAAGGGTACTCTGAAGCAAGCACAAGCACCGTGTATGGCAGCCAAGTGTCAAGATAATCTTCTTTTCTTCATCCTCCACGGCCTCAAGATTTTCCTCTAGCCTATCATTCATATCAGAAAGCAGTTCCACAATAACCTGTGAAAAATCACTTTCTTTCACAGAGAGCTTGCGAATAATAACAACTGATCGTGAAAAGAGTTGTGGCGAGCTAAACTTGAGATTTGTAATGGATTCACGAATCACTGCCAGGATATTACGACGACCAATTTCATCACCAAAGTCATAGGTTTCAATCACAATAAAAAGTTGTTCCACAATGAACTCCATGTCCAATTTTTTCTTAAAATGTTCGTCATTTTCCTCGTCGGTATTAGATTCTTCATAGTCAAGTTTGAACAGTAGGTTAATGTAATGCTCTAATGCTGTGCACAACCCAGAAAGTTCTGGTAGTAGCTTGTCAATATTGGCAGTTCTTTTTTCTTTAATGAAAAACGCATTTGCTGTGCGAAGTAAAAATGCAAGCTCTGGCGTAAGATTATACCACTGTTCCTCTGTCAGCTTTATGGAGTTTGCAATTTCAGGCTTGTTCGCCAGGATGACATTAATGGTGGTTTCGCCAACTTCAACGCTGTTTATGATATCGATACGTTCTAAAATTTCAAGAACATTGTTGTCAACATTGGTAAGCCACTGCTCTAAGAGCATCTTTGTTGCAGCCTTGCGCACACTAACATCGCGATCCTTGAGACCCCATTTGAGCAGTTTCTCACGATGCTTAATCCTAATAAACCGGAAATCGCCAATAGCATTCATAACGCGAGAATAAACGACACGTCGATTCACAAGATTAGTGTCCAGTGCACGCTCTAACATTTTAGGCATCGTAAAACTAGTTGGATCAAGATTCACCAAAACAGCACGACGAACTTCAGCGCTTGGATCATGGCGAAGAACTTGGATCAAGTGACTTGTAACTGAAAATGTATCATCAGCAACTTCTTTTGGGTCATCCTGTAATCTAACCATAGTAAGAGCTGCACACATACGCACGTAGGGTTGTTGATCATAAAGCTGCAGATCCATCTTGTGTTTGAGTTCTTCACAAAGTTCTTCAGACATGTCGGTCAAAACATTTGTGATACTATAAATAAACTGACAGCACCGGTACCGGACCACGCTGTTTTTAGCATCAATACCTTTTAAAAAGTGTCGGATGATGAATTCAATAAATCGAACACCAATATTGGTACCGTCTTCGTCTTCTTCCTCTGCATCTAGATGGAGTTAGAATAAGTAACAAACAGTATTGGTTACATACACCTCGCTTGAACCTTGCTGGAAAAAGACTGTGTAAGCCTAACTAATAAATCGGCCGAAGTTTCATTCTTTTTGACGACAAGAGCACGATTCATGAGCAATGCGTATGTCTTATTAAAATTATCTTCCATGCCATGAGCAGCAGCTTGTTCCTGAATGTTTATAAGTGATGCTGTAATCTTACGGTGACCTGCGGCTGAATTTTGGGCATTCATAAACTCTTGAGCCATAAGATTCCTCAGCTGTCTGAGGTTTTCCTCTGATGGTTCTTCCATTTTGCTTATATCTATCTGGATTTGAATATTCAAAAAGATTGGATTACTTTTTTTTTTTGGTGGGGCTGTCATTTTCGCGTTTCTAATTTTTATTTTTGTGTGTGTAAACGTGCGGCTGATGTTTACTTTTGAAAGTATTAAATCACATGATTATCCCTTGCCTTAAAGAGTAACGGGTTAGGGTATTTTATTTTTTTTTTTTTTTCAAAATGAAATTTTTTTTTTTTTTTTTGATGATGGTAAATTTGATGAAAATTCTCCGATAACCAAGAGAACAGTTTTACAAGCTCTTGAGGAAATTAGAAACCCAAAAAGAAAAAAAAAAACATTTCTGCATACCGAGCAGATTCAGCATATAGATATACCCGAAATATGGCTTTAGATATTCACCGGTGTCGGTTTGTAGACTACAAGCCTCATGCCATTACAGCTCTGGCATTTACGAGCTGCATTTCAACTAAGAGCACCTCTGCAGCTGTGCGACTAGCTGTGGGCAGATCTAACGGCAGCATTGAAATATGGAATCCTCGATATGGTTGGATTCACGAGTTGGTATGTTAATTTTTTTGCTAGCTGGAGTTTCAAGTAAATTACTAACATTGTCATAGACTCTGCAAGGTGGTAGAGAGCGGTCTGTTGAAGGTGTGGCCTGGATCGTGTCTGACGACGAGCCGCCCCGCCTTTTTTCCATTGGTGGCTCGACTAGTGTAACTGAATGGGATCTCAAGACATGCTTACCTATAAGCAATTATCAAGCGAATGCCGGTGTAATTTGGTCATTGGCTGCGAGTCCGGACAATAAGAAGCTGGCAGTTGGGTGCGAAGACGGATCCGTTATTCTGTTAGACGTGTCTGGCGGACCTGGAGTTATTGAGCAAGAACGCATTTTGCAGCGCCAGAGCTCACGCATACTGTGTCTGGCTTGGAATGGTAATGACAAGCTTGTGGGAGGTCTTGCTGATGCACGTATCAGTGTGTGGTCCACAAAGCGTGAAACCAACGGACGCATATTGGCTACTGTTAAGGTAGACAAGTCTAAGCAGCGCGAGTCAACGCTTGTGTGGTCCATCAAAATGGTAAATGAGCGCGTTATGGTTTCAGGTGACTCTACTGGTTCAGTCAAGTTCTGGGATGCACAAAAGTTTACTCTGCTGCAGTCTTTTTCTGCGCAACACGCTGCCGACGTGTTGTGTTTGGCGGTTGATACTTCTGGCCGCACAGTTTACTCTGCAGGTGTGGATCGCAAGATTATGTGCTATCAAGTGGTTAATAGAAATTCCGGTCGCTGGTCGGCCATGGGCAGCTCCATGGTTCATGGTCACGATGTTCGTGCCTTGGCTTTACACGAGGCAGCAACAGCCAATTTCCTGGTTTCTGGTGGTGTGGAGCGCACCCTTGTCATCAATGATCTTAATGACTTTATGTTTGGCAGCTGTCGCAAACTTCCTATTACGCCGCAACGAACATGCGTTGCTGCGGTCCCCCGTGCCCGTTTACTTGTTATGTGGAACGCGCAAACTGTCAAGCTGTGGTATGTGGGCGAGCTTGCTCATGTAGGCGATGGTGGAAGCGACGATTCTACAACCACAACTTCAGTTGCTGTTCCTGTACAGGGTAAGAAGCTTGTGTGCCGAATGACTCTTACAAGTGACGAAAACATTACAGATGCTGCAATTTCAGCAGATGGCTCACTTCTTGCTGTTTCGACCATTGTTGAGACAAAGTTGTTTGCCTTGTCAAAGGTTGGCGTCGACAGTGTGACTGGAATTCCAACTGCTTACAAAGTGCACAAGCTGGCTGCCCATGATTTGGAAGATCAGGGTGCACAGTTTTTGCGGGTTGTGGAGCGCAATGGAGCTCTCAAGCTCCTTGTTGTTTCCCCTGAATCAGATGTGATTTTGTACGACGTTGATGCTACCAAGGGTGTTGATCTTGATTCTGATCCCATTGAACTCAATGTGACTCACCCTCAGACCAAAAAGGCTGTAAACGCTCTGAATTATAGTGACAGTGTTTCGCATGTCGAGGTGTCTCCAGATGGCCATTGGGTTGCTCTGTCGCGATACTCTGGTATTGTCGATTTATTTGATATCTCCAAGGCATTTGATGAGCCTTTGGTTCTTAAGAATGAAGATGAAGACGCCGTTGTTGTTGAAGGCTCTGTTCTTGGGCGTTTCCCTGGTCTTCCAACTGCACTTTCGTTTACAACACGCGCAACACTTGTTATTGTGACAGCAGAAGTGCGTGTATTTGAGTACAGCATTCAGCGCGGGGAAGAGCCTGCTCTGACAGCATGGTCGCGCGCCAACTCGGAGCTGTTGCCACAAGAACTTTCTGATGCTCGTGACAAGTGCCGTGGCGTATTTTACGACCCAGAAAAGGCACAACGCCTGTGGCTGTGGGCTGGTACATGGCTTGCATTCCTTGACACTAGCGTAGATATTCCTGTTAAGCGAGTACCAAAACGACTGGCAAACGGTGGGGGAAAGAGACACGAGGCGCTGGGGCTTGTTGCAGACGAGGATGATGACGAGATCCGGGGGTCTGTTGCTGCTACTACGGATGCCGATGGAGATGTGAACATGGACAGTGACAAGAATAAGAAAAAGCAGCCAGAGATTGATGATGCCGTGAGTGTTTTGGGTCGTCGGGCATTTTGGATCACATACAAGTACCGGCCCATTTTATATGCAGGAACATTTGGGTCTAAGGAAATGGTTGTTGTTGAGCGGCCGCTCATGGATCTCAAGCTGCCACCAGCTTTCTGGTCCAACCACAAAATTTCATTTTAAACAAGGAAGAAGAAAAAAAAAAAAAAAAAAAAAACCAATATATATTATAGAAAAAGAAAAAAATTTAACAATAAGAACAAAAACTTTTTTTTAATTACTCTAAAGGGATGCTTGAAGGTGGAAATTTAGAAACACTTTTTAATATTCCGTGAAAACACGAGAAAGTGCATGGACACGGTTAATTTGGATAAGCAATCGCTCTTCCGCTTGTCTGAGTTGTGCAATTTCTTGTTTTTCCTGTGCTGTGAGATATAAATCTTCATTTTGTTTAACGTCTTCACGGCGGAGTTTAGCAAGAAGCACAGGATGGTTTTGGCGTTCTGCTTGGATGCGTTCCATGAGACGAGTGAGTGTTTTTAGAATATATTCAGCGACCAGGCCATAAGCTCTGGAGGGGGTATGACACCACATGAAGATTGTTTTTGAAGGAGCACGGTCTGCAGATCGAGGGACTTCCTGAAGATCAAGGGCACCAAATTCGTGAAGTTGGGTGCACAGTTTGGAGATTGTGTCGGCGCGAAGAAGAGCGACGCGGGCCAAAAGCTCGTCATTTGCCATTCCCTTTTCGCGAATGATGCGGAGAATGCGGATTGCCGATGTACCAAACTTGTTGCGGATGATTTCGTCGTAGCGCAGACGTTTCATAGTGGTGCGCAATTCGTCAAAGGGCACAAACCATTCACCACCACCACGATTTCCAGCCTTGACAAGAAGGCTGAGGGGAGAAGCTGCGAGAAGCTCGAGATGCTTGTTGACATCCATGGCAGTGAACTTTTTGGTGGAACCGTAGCCATTGCCAGTGTGTGAATTTGAACCATTTGGGAAATCTGTGCTTTGAGCAGCATCATCCTCAAAATCTTGAGGCTCGTCGTCAGTGATGAAGGGGACCGATTCTGAGCGGGGTCGTTTCGAGGTGTTTCCGTATTCGTCTTCATCTTCATTTTCAAGTTCATCTTGAGGCCGTTTCAGTCCGTTTCTATTTACGGTTGGGTTAACGATTGAGTTTACGAGATCAATGTTTGGGTCTAATGCATTGATGACGGTGGTAGTGGTGATGTAGAATGAGCCTTCAGAAATGACTTTTTGAGAGCAGCGAAGAAGCTTTGTTTCGTAGCAGCGAAGCAAACTGCGGTAGACCTGGCCGGAGATTTTGCCAATAGTTCGCGACGCAATTGCTGCGAGTTCGTCATTACGGAACATGAGAAGGAACTTGTCGTAATTAACTGCAAGGACTGTTTCTGGATTGACTACGAGACGAGGACCAGAAAGTGTGTTTGCAGCAGCCACGTTGCGACGTACACGACGAGAAGCGGCGGCGGCAGCAGCTGCAGCTGCAGCACCCGAGGAAGTTCCAGCAGAAGAGCCATTGGAAGTTTTAGCACGCAGAGTTTCTTCTGTAATAAGGCCTGCGTTGGCAGCGTCTCGTTGGGCCAGAAGTTCGTTCATTTCAGCGTTGGCAGCATCTGTGGCTGCGACCTTGCGGGAGGTTTCTGACTGAGAGCGGGGGAGTTTGCCGTAATGAGTTTTGTACATGAGGTCGTACATATCATCTCGTGGATGGAAGTCAAAGGCAAAAAGTGGAGAAAGGAATTTTTTTGTGAGCAGGTCCGTCATTGTTTTATTGATTTCTGTGCGCGCCCGGTCGAGATGGTATTCGTGGTCAGCCGCAGTTTGCACTGAGCCTCCTTCTTGTAGCTCGAGCTCTGCAGCCAGTTGAGAAGCAGAGCCTTCAATATAGTCTGAGGCTCGAATGTGGCCGTATGCAAAGATGTTTTTAAGAATTTCTGGAGCTTTTGAAGTCACAGAGTTGGGTTTATCTGGGTACTTGTCAGCCACCACAGCAAGGATTTGGGGTATTGCGAGAAGACGTATAACTTCTGCTGGGTTTGCATAATAGTGGCATATTTTCGGAGAGTCTGGGTGAATCCAATAGAGGACAAATTTGTTTTGAATTAGTGGGACAAGAGCTCTGCGGATGGCAGGGGTAGGGATATTTGTATATTTTGAGAGTTGGGATGCAGTGAGACGACCATAGTCGAGCAGACAGCCGACGACCTTTTCGGCTAGGTCGCCGTAAATGTCTTTTAAGATGGTTCTGGAAAGATCTGATGTATATTGTGACGCCATTGAGGGTATTTATGTTGTGGTATATATATATATATATATATATATATTTATCTATATATATATTAATATGTGAAAGGCCTTTCTTTGATGGTGATGCTTTGAAACCCTCCCTATAAAGGCTGGTTTTGCTGGTTTGTTTTTGTGCCCTTTTGGAGGTTGAAAAATTTTTGCCAAAAATGACAAAAAAATTAAAAAAAAAAACTAAAAAAAAATAAAAAATAAAAATAAAAATAAAAATTATGTAATCAACCCTAAACCATGTATCACATGATTATCATGTTATCTTAAAATTATCACCTGAATTTCACATGATAATCACATGATATTTCTAGTTTATTTTTTTTTAATGACCTTATTTTTTTTTTTTTCCTGACCAATCACCTACATTGCAACCCCCCGTGTAGACCTTCCTAGCCAATGAAAGCACCTCCGTTGCAAACCCTTTGAGCCGCACATTTTGTTACATGTTCAAACTGTAATGTAATAACATACAGCCGTTCACTTTAACTACCGGCCACTCACAGCTGCACTTTTGCAAAGACCCTCATTAAATACCCTAACCCTCTCATTAAAAAAATGACCAGCAAATCCCTGCTCCCCTCCAGTCAGCGCACCACCATATTAAATCCAAGCAAAATCTAGCCACCACCACCACCTACTAGGCAAAAAAAAAAAAAAAAAAAGAACCTTCTCTCCCATCATCACCACATCACCACATCACCACATCATCACCACCACCACCACCACCACCACCACTCACCCTCCCCACACCATCACCACACCCACAACCTCCAGCTAATCACAATGCTCTCCCGGTCTTTTGCTTCTTCCCGAACCGCTGCTGTTGCCCGATCGGCTGCTGCCCGCAGAGCTTTCTCCACTTCAGAGGTCTCTGGCGTCTCCGTCGCTGTCCGTGAAGACCTGCGTCCCGTTTCTAAGGTCTCCGTTGTCGTCAAGGCCGGCTCTCGTTATGGCTCCACCCCTGGTGTTGCTCACCTTCTTGAAAAGTTCGCCTTCAAGAACACCGCCAACCGCTCTGCCCTCCGTCTTGTTCGCGAGTCTGAACTCCTCGGCGGCGAGCTTTCCTCCTCCATTTCCCGTGAGAACATTGTTCTGACATCCTCCTTCCTCAGAGAAGACCTCCCCTACTTTGTCGAGGCTCTTGCTGACACCACCCAAAACGGCCTCTTCAAGAAGTACGAGCTCATTGAGGACGTCGCCCCCATTGCCTTTGCTGAGGCTGCTAAGGCTGCCTCCAGCCCGGCCTTGGCCTCCGAGCAAGCTGCTTATGAGATTGCTTTCCGATCTGGCCTCGGTGAGTCCATCTACGTCGAGCCTTACTCCCCTGTCTCCATTGAGCAGGTCGCTGATTATGCCAAGGAGGCTTACACCAAGGCCAACATCTCTATCGCTGCCACCAACGTTGTTGAGGCCGACCTCAAGGCTCTTGTCGAGGAGCACTTTGCCGGTCTCTCTGTTGGCGAAGCCATTGCCACTGCTCCCTCCAAGGTCTTTGGTGGTGAGTCCCGTGTCAAGGCCGCCGGCTCCTCTGCCTTGACCCTCGTTTTCCCCTCCACATCTACCTCCGCCGCTTCCGCCGTCCTCGCCTCTCTGCTCGGCGGTGTTTCCACTATCAAGTGGTCCACCGGCTCTTCACTCCTTGGCGTCGCCTCGACCAAGTCCGGCGCTTCCGTCAAGGCCTCTTACACCCCTTACTCCGACGCTTCTGTCCTCGCCATCACCATTGCTGCCGACGACGCCGCTGCCGTTGCTGAGGCTGCTAAGCTTGTTGCTGCCGACCTTAAGGCCGTCGCCGCTGGCACCGCTGCCGAGGCTGTCCCCAAGGCTGTTGCCCAGACCAAGTTTGCCCAGGCTCTGGCCTCTGAGGGCTCTCTCCCCGTTTCCGTCTTGGACGCTTCTGCTGTCACGGCTGAAGCTGTCGCTGAGGCTGCCGCTACTCTCCTTAAGGGCCCCATTGCTCTGGGTGCTGTTGGCAAGGTTCACAGCCTGCCTTACCTCGACGAGCTTTTCTAAGCCACCTACATTACCCATTCATTCCTCAATCCATTGTCTCTAAATCACTTCATCTTGTCTCTCTCTCTCTGTTCTCCTTCTCATGTCCATATAAAGAACTTGTTGCTTTAAAAAAAAAATTGAAAAAAATGAAAAAAGTTATATTTTAAAAAAATTTAAAAGAAAAAAAAGGTTCAAAAAATATTTACAAATTGCCTTTCTTTTTTTTTTCTCCCCGTTACTGCTACCTAATAATCCTTAATTCATAAATATATATATCATATCAATATATATTAAAAGTTCATTTGATTCATCAAGGCATGGTTCAATCGCCAGTTTTGTTGTTTTCTCCTGAAATATTTTGGTCTATTGAAGCTGACCAATAACGTCCCATGTTTTGAAATTTTTTTTTTCCCCTTCTCTCTCCTTTTTTATGCTTTAGCGCGTATTATTATAGTCGCCAACTCTATTTGCCAGTTTTTTGTTTTTTTTTTCGTTTGTTTGTTTGTAACAATTAAATATTGACTATGTACATCACAAGAAATCTTTAACACATTTCTACTATTACACCCGTTCAAATACAAGCCCAGGGAACCATGGATTGCAATCTTCAAAGCTCACACTCACATTGTACTTCTTGCGCCCAGAAAACCCTCCAGAACTCTTCAAATGCTTTTCCAATTGCTCAGCTCCAGCAGCTATCTTGCCTGCCGAATTGCGCAGGTTGCTTAGGTCTGCAACTGCTGAAGATGCCAGTCCAGATTGCGACGACGATGACGAGTGTTTGTGCTGCTGTTGCTGCTGTTGCTGCAACAATGGCCGCAACATTTCTCCCAGCGTCCGCTGCAATTGCGAGCCCTTAAGCTTCGCATACATTAGCCGCTTGTTAACCCTCGTTGGTGTTGCTGGCATGTCCTTTCCTGGAATTTGCTCATCAGGAGCCGCCCGGAATGGCTCGGTCGCTGCTCGACTGAAATCAAGGTCTGGTGGTGCAGGATACCCAATCGACGAAAATGGCTTCATCCGCAGCCCATATTGTAGCTGTAGTGTCGTAAACTTGGAGCTCACAGGTAATGGTACGTACCCCAAAAGCACGCCAGCTTCCACCAGCCGCCGTTGTGACGCGCATAGCTCTTTGATAATCTCTTGTTCATAAATTAGCCCTTGAATATATGCCAATGCTCCATCTGCGTCCGCGTAGAACGACGCAGGGTCACCCTTGTACAACGGCTTTCTTGAGTTTTGAGATCCCAGTACTGCCAATTTACGGAACTCTTTGGCATCTGAAACGTAGGAAACGGATTCATTCAAGTACCCAAGCAAAGCCAGAGTCACCTCTTCTGCGTAGTCGTACATAAATGCGTACTCCCATGGTCGATAAATATCAAGTTCAAAGCCCATCAAAATTACCCACTCTATAATCAGCATCCGCCGAATGCCGGCCCAAAAAATTAACGGGAACGCCCGCTGGGTAGACATGCCCGATTCATTTGTTTCACCATTTTGCACAGTGTACTGCTCCAAAGGTTCTCCAATATCAACAAGCATAGGTGTCACTGCATTCTCCAACTCTTGTCCAGCAACCTCCAATGAGTCCCACAGAATGATGGCGTGTGACAACATCTGTCGTTGTCTAGCACGGTTGCACACAAATGCATATAGCAATTGCACATAGCAGTACTGTGCATTTTCCAAAAACAAGTCAATATTTGGGCGCAGTTCGTCCAGTGCATCTAGACCGCCAATCTCAATTGGGCTATCACTGCTGCGCATTATGCTATTGTTAAGTAAAACACGCATGTAAGGTGCACAGCTAATTTCCTTCATGTCTCTCAGTACCCATTCCAGCACGGGCTCTCCAAGAATCTCGCTCTTGTCCAGATCCAGAGTCAAGTTGTGTAGTGCAGCACGGGCAATTGGCAACGACTGTGTTGGTTTCCCGGCATCTACACCGCTTGAAATTGGCAATGTCGGCTTGCTGCTTCCAAATGCCACAAAAAACGAACGCAAGCTTCCCGATGTTTTCGGGGCGGCATTCGGGGCCCCTCGTGCCATATCAAGAAGTGGCCGAAATGAGCTGATGGTTTTTAAAATCGATTTAAAAGTTGTATATCCGTCCTGTACAGAAAGAGAGCTGAGCTCACGCACAGGGTTAAAGTTGTTGCATCGGCTTTGCATACCCTTGGAAAAAATCTTTTCAAACTTGCTCTTCTTTTTGCTGGACGGCAAGCTCAACAATATTTCGTCAACCGTAGAGAGACCCTGCGTGAATGTAGCTTCAGATTCAAGTTGGGGGAGATACGTGAGAATCTGCAAAAAGGTTGCACAAAGAGTAAACCGGGAAGATGTGTTTTTAATGTCTGTAGAAGTTGTCGAGAAATTAATCTTGGTTGACTTGGTCTGGGATTGTTGTTGCGGCTGCTGCTGCTGCTTATTTCCCTTGCTACCCTTACCACCTTTACCCTTAGATTTGGGTTTAGGAGCTTGTTTTTTTACAGGAGTAACGTCACTGTTAATAAGTTCAAATTCTTCCTTTTCCAAAGCAATTTTCTGTTCGTTTGCCAAAAGAGTTTGTGCAGCTGCAAGCACACCCATGACCTCGGCGGGTTCGGTATTATGAAACAGGGTTAAATCAAAAATGGTGAGTCCAATGTCTTCTTCTCCGTAAACAAATGTAGCTGCTCGCGAATACTGGTCCAAACACAAGTCTGCAGTTTTGATGGCACCCAGGAAATATGCAAGAGCTAAAAGATAGTATGTAGAAGCAGTTCCAAAAAACGATTCAAGCTCGTTCTTGTAATTAGGAATACGTTCTGGTGTGTTGACAAACTGGGAGATGGGTGCGACTATCTTTGGTAAAACATTGGTTTGTTTTTCTTCGGGTAACAATGTGCTAGGGGTAGTAGTATTGGTTGTCGTTGAGGCAGTGATGGCACGAGAAAGAAGTTCTTGTTTCAGAGCAGCAGCAAAGAGTGAGCCTTGGGGATCTCGCGACATGCAACAAATAGAGGTAAGCATATCTTCAACATAAAGACAGCTTAAAAAGGTTTGGATCGGGTGGCTTCCAGTGTGCCATGCAGCCTCTCTAGCCACGTACAAGTCGATAACCTCGTTCAAGTCGCTTGCGCTGGAAATTGGTGGCATCTTAGAAACTTCATCTGCAAGAGGAGTATAGAATCGGCCAGTATCCATGCGATCATGGGTCATCTAATTTATGTTAATATATAAGTTGGAACTGATTTTACATCTGTTTAGATCAAAACATACTTCTAGAGATTGGACGCCTGAAAAAAGGTTAAAGCCAGGAGTTGTGACCAACTCACCAACTTCCAGTGACTTGGCAGCTTCTGTAAACTCTTGAGTGATTTCAGGCCACTTGGCCACGTCCTTGAACAACTCTTCCATGGCGATTTATATTTTCTTGCAAAGCCCCTCGCTTATTACCGTAAATAGTGGTGGTTCACTTGGTGGTGGTGAAGAAAAAAAAAATAAAATAAAAAATAAAATAAAATAAAATAAAATAAAAATAAAAATAAAAATAAAAATAAAAATAAAAATATAAATATAAAAGATCTCAGGTGGTAACTCATCTCTTTAAGAAATCAAACAATTTATTTTTAAAAAAAAAAATTACAACTAATTTACAACTTAGCCTTAGTCGAGCTCTCGACAATTTGACCTTCTTTATAAAGACCATCAATCGTATCCTTATATAAAACAGCAGCTTCTTTACGCTTGACCTTGAGAGTAGGTGTCAGAGTGCCGTTATCTGCATTCATGGGCTCAAGGAATAAGGCCAAGTTCTTAACCAACTCAAAGCCCTTAAGGCCAGCACGCTTAGCATCCTTATTAATTTCCTCATTAATGGCCCTACGGATGTCCAGCCGCTTAAATGTTTCAGTCATGGCAGCAGTGTCTGTGGGATCAATGTGGAGCCCAAAGTGGTGCTTCAAAAAGGCCACATAAGCTTCAGGCAAAACACCCACAATGGCAATGAGAAAGACCTCAAGCGAGTTACCCTCGACAAAGATTTGAGCAATCAGCGACGAGCTTGACTGGTAAATGGATTCAATACGCTCGGGACCAACGTATTCGCCTTGGGCCAGCTTGAACATATTCTTGACACGGTCAATAATGTAGATTCTGCCGAGATCATCAATCATGCCCACATCGCCTGTGTGGAACCAACCGTCCTCGTCAATTGCCTTTTTGGTTTCCTCCTCATTTTTAAAGTATCCCCAAAACATTTGTGGGCCTCTCAGTAAAATCTCGCCGCGGGGATAAGGCTTGTCTGTGCTGAGGTAGTTCATATCTGGGAGCTCTCTGAGGCGAATCTCAGTAGTAGGCGCCACAGGGCCAACTGAACCAGCACCAATATCGCCCATCATGCAGACGGAAACACCACTTAAACTCTCAGTAAGACCGTAGCCCTGAAGCAAATCGATAGCAAGAGCAGCCTTAAGAAGCTCAATGTTTTCTCCTGCCAGTGGGGCAGAGCCAGAAATAAAGGCCTTTGTAGAGCCCAGGCCCAACTTTGTTCTAATCTTGTTAGACCAAAGACGGTCCCAGAGAGCGTGTGTGTAGACACCAGTCTCACGGAGACGAGTCACCTTGGTGTTGAATGCCTTACGAGAAAGCACACCTGCAAAGCCATCTGCTTCGATTGTGGAAGCTTTAATAGCTGCAGCCATTCTATTCCAAACACGCGGTACACCTGCAAGCAGGGTAGGCTGTAGCACCTGAATGTCATCAAAGAGCTCAGTGACTTCTCCGTGGAAAAAGCCCACCTTGGAGTTGTTTGCCAGCAGCGAGTATATATCGACCCGCTCGTAAATATGGGCAAGGGGGAGGAAAGAAAGGTACGTCACTTGGCCAACGGCAGTCTCAAATGCTTCCTGGTACTTGGAGACACAGACTCCAGCAACGACGGCAGAAGCGGAAATAATAACACCCTTTGGTAAGCCAGTTGTGCCAGAAGTGAAGCAGAGAGATTGAATATCCTCAGGAACTAATTTTCTGAGTTTGCGGGGGGACTTTTGTCCAATAGCTTCGACTTCAGACATGGAATAAACAGTGACACCAACTGAGGCTGCCCATTTGGTGACTAGATCGCGTTTACCATAGCCAGGTTGTTCATAAAACTCTGGAGACTCAAATTCGTTCAATGAAACAAGAGTCTTGAGCAGGGGGAGTTTATCCTTAATTGAGAGTAGATATGGAATGTGAGCTAACGAAGCAAAAATGATGGGCATCTCGGTGAGGTTTATAATGTATTGAGTGGACTCCGGGCCCAGGGTGTCATAAAGAGGGACGCTGGTCAAGGCGGTGTAAGCACATGCCAAGTCAGCAACAACCCAATTGCGGGTGTTTGGGCCATAGAGACCAACCACGTATTGTTTTTTGTTTGGCTCTATTGAATTGGCCTTTTCGACGATATTAATTATGCCAGATGCAGTGTCAATGGCACGCTGCTTGACTTGGGCATATGTTTCGTAAGTGAAAGGACCCCATGACTTTGATTCTTGATTGAAAGATCGCTGGCCCATGCAAGGTTGGTTAGGGCCGTGTGCGACTGAAGCTTCAAAAAGATCGATTACAGTTGCGACTTTAGGATGTGATGAAGAAATGAGTCTATCTGGGGTGTGGATGTTACGGTAGATAGCTGAGTACCCGGACTCTTGGGATCCAGGAATTGGGGCGGCCTGGACTCTGTTTTTTCCGAGCTTGATGGTTGCGATTTTCTCGACAAAGGGGTTTGATTTTGGGTTAATCTGAGGGTCTGTGGTGATTGCATACTTTTTGATGCGCTGCTGGACTTCAGGAGAAAAGGTTGTGCCTTCAAGAACCATTGTTGAGGGTTGTTATTGGAATGCTTATTATAGGAATTGAAAGATGAATGTTATGGTTTTAAAAGAGAAGATTAAATATATATATATATATATATAAAAAAAAAAAAAAAAGGGAAACTCTAATTTAAAAATGGGAATATCGTATCAATGAATATAATAAAAATAACAATAATAAAAAAAAAAAAAAAAAAACAATTGCTATTTAGGAAAACTGAGGATTATTGTTGATTTTATATGTTTTTTTTTTATTACCTTCAGTGGGCCTTTCATTTCTTTTTATATCACTACACTAAATTTGGATGCTCCCCTCAAATGTGGGGCATATGTTACATTTTTATTACACACATGTGTGCACACTTACATACATGCATACAAAACGCTGCTGCCCTGACAATCCCACAAGCCTCGGCTTTATTTTGGGGGTGAAAACTTCATACTTATAAGTGGTCCTTAATGGAAATTTGGATGGATATGATCATCATGATGGAAAATAATAATAATTCAATAAATTTCAATAAAAAAATAAAAATAAAATTCCATCGTGAAGACTAAAATTCTTACTGGGAAATAATTTTTTTTTTTGAAAAAAATCCTTTAATAACTCTATCTAACGGTTGTTTCCAATAGACAAAAAGGACCATTTTAGTTTAATTAATTATATGTAGATGATAATTATCCATTGAAGTATATTCTGAAACGAATCATTTAGTTCATACCATACTAAAGTCGACAAGTTAAGCTTAGTCTGAACACACTATCCCATCAAAAGTAGCTTGTTTACTTCATCAGATACAAATATTTCAGGAAAAACTTTCGGTTACACTCGGCTCATTCATTCTATTTTTTTTTTTTTTTTGAAAAAAAAAATTAAAATTAAAATTGGGATTACGGGATCACAAACCTATGAGAGAAATTGCTCCCCACTTATCACGTAAAATAAAACTTACTCGTATAAACTCTAAGGGATATTTTTTTTATTATAATTACCCTCATCCGAACCTGGCAAATGAAATTTCTTCAATCTTTTAAAAAAAATAAAAAAAATAAAAAAAATAAATAAATAATCAAATTCTTCCACTCGTATACCTTGAAAGAAATGTCATAAAAGACCGGGTTTATGTGAACCCCGAAGGTTGCTGCTTCTAAAATATAAAGGCTTCTTACAACGTTAAAGCGACTATCTCACCATCGTTAATATTACCCCGCCAACTCCTGTCACAAGGTAATAAAAAAAAACATTTTTGTATTTTTTTTTTTTTAAACCACTCTGCGCGATCATACTTAACTGACATCACTAAATTTTCATTAATTTTGGATATTTGATAGAGGCTACATTTCTTATCTGGTAATAATTATTAATGTAATAAATCGTCATAGAAGTACACAGCTTAAGGTAAAGATTGGTTGCTGAATGTTTGTGTATATGATGGTTATGTACGGGTGTTAATATATATATATATGCGGAGTAAACAGCAATCATATGAAAACAACCTCCTTCTCATAGAGCTTTGGCCCCTCATTTCCTAGCCACAATCCCCCTCAGTCCCCGCAAAGGAGCAGCCGGATGGCTAACGTTAAGATTGTTACCGGAGAGTCTTTTTAATGATATTGTTAACAATGAGAATGAGTATATATAGCTTATTAATAATAAAGTCCGAGATCCCATCACTACTACCACAAATCTATTTGAAATTAATCCGAAACAAAAAATATAAGCCACTAATCTGGGATTTTAGAAAAAAATTTTATTGAGTCTTTTTTCTTTTCATGGTAAAATCTATTCAGGAGTTAGGTACGCAAACAATAGTACGATTTTCGCATTTCACCGTTAGGCAACCAGGTCAAAAAAAAAATAAAAAAATAAATAAAAGTGTATTTATAGGTTTAGCAAAAAACATATTATATTGACATAGCAGAGATAATGGAGATTTGTAGATATAGAAAAAGAAATATTACAATTGTTTTAAACCATTGAAAAATATAATCTGTAGATAGTTTTTTTCATTATTGAAAAAGCTTGTTTATACTAATTATTATTCAAAAGTTGAATATAAAATGAAATTTCAATTAAGTTTCAACTGCTATGAATTCATTCTCCATTTTTTTTCTCATTGGTGATTAAAATCTCTTCTCTCACCGTCTCTCGAAGATCCTGCCCCCCACATTTTTTTTTTTTTTTTTTTCATTTCGTTTTTATTTTGGTTCGGACCAAATTCTTTTTATTTTTGTTTTTTTTCAGATTTTCTCAAACTTGTGGCAATGTTTTATTTTTATTTTTTTTAGTGGGAATTAATTTTTTTTGTAACAACTGTGACCTTTATATCCCAAAAAGGAAATGTATTCTGAAATATATGTCATTCCAAAGTATACACTTGTTACAAATTCATATTCTAAAAATGCCATATAATTAACACAATATTTTTCATTACAATCAGGGCTAGGGTAAATATTGTAACATCTTGCTAATCTTTCTCCTACTCAGGTGTGTATCGAAGTGCGGCTCATTACTGCCCAAAAGAGGGAAAGATTTCAAGGCCAAAAGAAGACCATAACGTCTAGGTGACTGTGGGCACGCACGCACACACACACACACACACACACACATACGCTGGTGGGCTCTCACACACTCAGAAAATTTCTCTTTTTCTCTTTTATAATTTTTTTTTTCCCCCTCCCCTCCCTCGTCAGACTCAAGAACTACCAACTACATCGCCAAAATGGGTAACGGAAAGCCAAGAGGACTCAACGCTGCTAGAAAGCTCCGCATCTCTCGCAGAGACAAGTATGTTCTTTCACGATGATGCGCAAAACAATTTGAGAAAGAGAAGGAAGAACTGGTTGTGATGGAGTCGTGTGCTGCTGGACATGAAGTTTGTTATTCACAAAGATACCCTTTTAAAAATTTTCAATCAAAGTTTTGAATAATAATACCACTGCCATATCTTCTATTCTCTTTTTCAATATATCATGTATATTATCAACCATACTAACATGTCTTTTTTTTCATAGCCGATGGGCTGACGCCTCTTACAAGAAGAGACTTCTTGGTACTGCCTTCAAGTTCTCTCCCTTCGGTGGTTCTTCCCACGCTAAGGGTATTGTTTTGGAAAAGATTGGTGTCGAGGCCAAGCAGCCCAACTCTGCCATCAGAAAGTGTGTCCGTGTCCAGCTCATCAAGAACGGTAAGAGAGTCACTGCTTTCGTCCCCAATGATGGTTGCTTGAACTTCGTTGACGAGAACGACGAAGTCCTCATTGCTGGTTTTGGCCGCAAGGGTAAGGCTAAGGGTGATATTCCCGGTGTCCGTTTCAAGGTTGTCAAGGTCTCCGGTGTCTCCCTCATTGCTCTCTGGAAGGAGAAGAAGGAGAAGCCCAGATCTTAAATGTTCTTGCTTTTTCTATACAACAAAAAAATTCAAGACTACGACCCCCTACCTCTACGACAAGCACGGAAAAAAAATACAAAAAATTGTCATGTACTTATACATATCATGAATTTACAAAAAAAATAAAAAAAAATTGAAAAAGTTTGGTCGAAAGACTTGACTTTTGTTTTCGTCTTGTCAACCGAGTGTTGATGTTTTTGTAGTATAGATTGGACTTGATACCGTCTTATTATATAACATAAATTTGTGTTGACTAAATTTTTTTCCAAAATCTTTGAAATTTTTTTTTTCTTTCACCAACGTACCCACCAATTTTATTTTATTTTTTTATTTTTTTTTAAAAGCCCCCTCGCCTGTACCCAGCATGGAAAATGATTCGTGACGTTAAGGTGGAGCGTCTCAGCATCTCTTCACTTCATAGCTCATTTGCATGGTCCGAAGATGGTCTTTTTGCCATTACAAATACTGAAAATGTTATAATAATTGTATGTTTTTAATCATGTTGACGCGTCAAAGTTCATTCTATTCTAATACGCGTTTTCTTCTTCTTCCTTTTTTTTTTTTTTTTTTTTTTTCTTTTATTAGAAACCACAAAATCATACCGTTGAAGCTGCTACTACTACAGCAGGGACTTCTTCGTCTAATACCAAACTCGATGAAAAATACGAAATTCAAGCCTCTCAACCTCTCGACTCTTGGAGACCTCTGGGTGAGGCTCCCGTAACCTCCTTCAATATTGAAACATACTGCTCCGACGAATATTCCGTCGACATTGCTTGGTCTCCCTCAGGAACAAGTTCCTCGCGAACATGTCTTCTTAGCGTTCTAACCAACCAAGGCAACATTGTTATTTACGACTACAAAGTCAAGGCCATTTCTTCCACATGGGTCCCTATAGTATCTTGCATAACTTGTCTCAAAAAAACCTTGGAAAATGACCCAGACTATGTGGTTCCAGCTGAAAAAACAAAAGATTATATCTTCAATTCTATGGCCTGGTCCCCCAGATTCCCTTCAAATGTAATTGAGGACGATAAATGGGGGTCGGTGTTTTTTGCTGCAGGAACAAAGTCTGGCAAAATCGTCATTTTTATACCAGTACACTCTTACAACCAACAAACTAGAAAATATGATACCATTATGGATGGCATTCATGTAGTTGACTTTAACAATGAATCAGACGGCAAATATACATCATTAATCAAGCTCAAATGGACATCTTGGGTGAAAGGACCTTTGAATAAATGTAAGTCGAGTGTTTTCAAAAAAAAAAAAAAAACCAATAAAACCCAATAAAAACTAACAACCCTAGACTATTCTCTATTAATTGGCGTCGACTCGTCAAACCAAATTTTAGCCAAACTCATCACCTATGATTCGGAAACTAAATCTCTCGACATCTCTGCTTTCTTTTCTACCATCCAAACTCCCTCTAGATTTCTTGTTACTTCTCTTTGGATCCATTTCCACAAAGAAACAAACCAGTTTCTTCTCGCTGTAACCCAAACGGTGGGCATTTCAGTCTACACCTTCAAAGACATTGACAAGCCCTTAATCCCACAACACCTGTTTTACAAAACCCCCAGTGGAAAACAGCCAATAACTATGGTTTCATTGATGGCTCGCGATAAATCCCGTGTTTGGGTCATTGGATTTGCCGACTGGATAGATTCGTTTATAGGCACTATCGACCTTGCATCTCCTAAAAAATCCATTGAGCAAGGCTTCCCCAGTGATTCGCCCGTAAGCAACCCTCTTGATGCCTTTTTCGAGAGACGTATCAATGCCATGAATGATGCAGGGAATCATATTGGAACTATTGGCGAGGCCACGTCGACGTTCCAGTTTCGGTTCTATGGTGTGGTTCCGCACCCTCATGGCGGTGGGTACTTTGCATTCCTAAATACACTTGTGACCGAAACCCAGCTGCGATACGTTCTAACTTCTTCAACTCGGTTCCAAATCTCGTTCCAACCAATGTGCATTGAGGAATACGGAAGCAAGGGGAAGCAACGTATGGGACCCCCGGAACCAGCACTTTTTGTGGATACTTTACCTGATGCTACTCAGGGATCTGCAGAAAGTATTTGGTGGAAAGTTAAGGCATTGTCCAATAGTGTCAAATCCCCCAAACAGCGGCCGATTTACATCAAAAATATGATTGAGGAGCTTGAGAATTATGCCTCTGATCACCACAGGGAAGCACTCTTCAATCCCAAACATGTTAAACTTTTTCCAAGTAATATGGGTGTGGAATCATTTGCAAAAGCTTTACATGCGGATATCACAAGAACTTTTTTCCTTTCCAAATTTTATAATGTGTTGCGACTACTGATTCACCTCAAGAGTCTAGCACTGCTAATGCAACAGGCGCATATCCAAATGCACGAAAAGGAGCTTGCCAACATTGCCGAGAATTCCTACACGGCGGGCTCGAGCCGCGACGAAGAATGGGAGGAACACATATTTGGAGAAGACATTTCGCGGTTTGAATCCGACGTTGAGAAGCACACCCAGGCGATTATGAACGAATTATGTTTTGTGGTACTATACTATTGCACCAAAAGAAATTCTGAACTTAAAAAAATGGAGCGTGTGATTGTTGAGAGCTATCTGGGGCAACTGAATGAGGATTTGGAAAAACAGAGGAAGGATGGGTTGGACAGTCTTGAGACGGAAAATAATCGATTCAATTACGATGATGCAAGTTACACGGTTCTTGGGTGTGAAATGCTTGTGAAACGAAATCGGCGAGATGATAAGATGGTGTCGGTGCCTGGCGACGGATTTACCGAAGACTTTTATTTCGCTGATGCCAGGAATAGGTTTCATATCTTTTCGAAGAGAGGGTATCCATGGAGTGAGTAAAAATGAAAAAAAAAAAAAAAAAAAAAAAGAAATCATGGTTATAGAGATACTAACTTTTTTTTTTTAATTTAGAACGATGTGCAATTTCTCTGATGCCATTAACATTCTTTAACTCCAAAGTATGTGGAGGATGCGGTCGTCAATACGCTGTGTTATCGAACTATGTAGAAGATAAAGACTCGCCATTACTCCAAGTTCTTTTAGGAGAAAATACTTTTGACATTTGTATCTTCTGTGGATGCCGTTATTCGCAACTCTAAGCATGAATATTATTTTCAAAATTTCTTTAATAATTTTTTTTTAATTAAAAATTTTTTTTAAATAGAGATGACTCTAGATTTCCTTTATAAATTTATGATTTTATTTTTTTTCATTTACTGATAAAACCCTCGTTTCATTTCATTCCCGCAATATGACTCTGAAGACATTTTACACCCACTCTTGCACGACGGCCGCTTTTTTTTCCGACACGCAGTGGGACCTGGAGAACAGCAATTACTTCGCAATGACGACGACGACGACCTTGACGATGGCCGACACATGCCAGGTGATTGTGCACATTCGCTATACGGCGTTGGAGGTCGGGGCGGACAGAAAGTGGAGCATGTAGACCCTGGACGGGCGAGTCCACAGGATGCTGTTGTGAGTTGTTGTTGTTGTTGTTGTTGTTGTTGTTGCTGCTGATGCTGATGTTGATCATAGTATGCGTAGAAATTGTTATTGCTAGCCATTGGAAGAGGAGCGGAAGCTGGAGGCTGGAACTGTTGCGGGTACGTTGGCATGGGACAGTACGACGGCTGGGGTTGGATGTTGATGGAACATTGAGCCTGAGGAGCCACAGGTTGTGTAACCATTTGAGGAAGTTGAACCATGGGGTTATAGTAATAGGTTTGCTGTTGTTGTTGCTGCACAGGGAAAGCTCCTGGGGGGACAGTACACACTTGGGGTGCGGTACATGCGCTACCACGATAAGATTGCGGGATAGGTGGCGCGGGGCATTTAGGGACACCACATGAGGAGGCAGCAGTTATAGGCCGCGAGCACGAAGGACCAGTGTTTGGGCATGCTGATGGTCGAGGGATTGGGAGACATGAAGGGACACAGTTGGGCATACAAGCGAGAGGTTTTTCACATATTTTTTTGGCACAGACTAGAGCGGGCTTAGTTGGTTTTTTACACTTTTTTGTTTTAAAAGTCGGGTCCCCAGATGGGTTTTCAGAGGTCGGGGCAACCTTCCCTCCCATAAACTTATAGGCCATACTTTTTGCACATGCTACCTTTTCGAGTCCCATGGATGTCTTCATATCTGTTGTTTGGCAGCCCTTGTTAAGGATGCGTTTTGCCTTGACCATGGCCTTATATTTGGCCATTTTGATTTTGGCCTTTTTTGCTGAAACACAGCACCCGCCCTTGCCACCTTTACCGGACCCAACACTGACTGATTTTTTCATCTTGGCCCATTGGGTCATTATCGACACAAAGGCTGTTGCCACAAGAAGCTCGCGGTCAATCAGACATGCATCGTAAACTACCTCGTAGTCAACAATGGTAAAGGACTGACACTTTTGCAAGCATTTCTTTATGGGAGACTTGCATTGCAAAAAACTTAACTTGCGTGCAATGGCAACCCTCTGGCGGTACATGCGACAAGAATTGGAACTTAAAGATGGAGATACTTTATCAAGAGTCATAGTGCGTTGGTACCATCTGAACCGGGCTTTTTCGTCGCTGCGGTACTTGAACTGTTCAAACTTTTTCTTACAACTACCCAAGGATTTGATTAGTCTAAACTGGAGGTCACCCTTGTTGCAAAACTCGACCCAAGCTTTACCCTTTTTGAATCCAACTGCTCCAATGACTTGTCTATGATTTGCTGTGATCATATCCCAGGGCACAAACTTTTCGCCCTTGATGCCACAAAACTTGCCCTTACCATTGCGTTCAAATGAGTACACTCGAGACTTGTTTTCATCCAGAACATTGATGATATTTTTAGGGTTGTATGTATCACGAACAAAGTATACTACCCTTGTATTGTCGTCCGAAAGCGGGACAACTTTGCTGGATCCGCCAGCATCGCCAAACTTTGCTTCCTTGAGCTTTTTGAGCCCGGAAGCTTTGTTACATGCGGTTGTTGCTAGAGTGTTGCATGCACACATGACTGCGTTACAGAGGAGAGCAGTTGCGGGCATATTTTGAAAGGGGAAATGAGATAAGGAAAAAAAAAAATAAAAAAAGCGATGTAAGGTTGAAGATTGAATAAGAAAGACAAATTTGAGAAGTTGAGATCTGCTTAACTGTGGATGCAACAACATGGCAAAGGAAACGGACGAGCAAAAAATGGGGGAGGATTGGGAGTGAGCCGCACCGAATTATTAGGGTGAAAAGAGGAAAAGTGAATATAGGGTTAGGGGTTTTGAAATGGTGGAGAGGTGTTTTGGTTGTGGTTAATACGACAGCGCAAAGCCACCTTAGATTTTCACCAAGAATATCCAACCTACACTCTGCACACACTCTTTTTATTATTTCTCTCTGCAAGAACAGAGGATATATTTATATTTGAACAAACTAAAGAAACAGTTACTATGTTGGTACTAGTTATTGGCGATTTACACATTCCAGACCGAGCAATTGTAAGTGGGAAATTGAAGATTTTACTTAATATAATATAAGTACATACATACATACATACAAACAAGCAAAAAAAAAAAAAAAAAAAAAAACTAACAAGTTTAATAGGAAATTCCAGCTAAGGTAAGAGCGATAAGAACATATAGACTTATAGCTTGGAGATATTATCTAACAAATGCCAAATTACAATAGTTTCGCAAGCTGCTTGTGCCTGGGAAAATAGAAAAGGTACTATGTTTAGGAAACATTACTGACCGCGAAACCTTACATTATTTGCAAAGCCTGTCGCGTGAATTTCTAGCAGTGAAGGGAGAGTTTGATGACCCTGTAATTTACCAACACGTCAAGACTGAGGACTCGAATGGATTCCGACAACAGCAGCAACAATCTCTGCAGGATATTGGGGTTGGAAGTTTGAGCGGCAGTACAAGTATAGGCGGCGGGTTTGCAGCAGTATCTGGGGCCAACAGCAATGGGGTTCCTGGCGGAGTTCCCAAGTCTTCAGCTGCTTACATGTCGAATGCTCCAGATGGAGCCAGTCTCAACACATATGCGAGTGTATCTAGTGGTGGCAGCAATGATGGGTTGGCTGTTAAGGTAGTTCAGAAACCAGCGACAACTGCAAAAACGACGGTGATGAGTGTTTCTTTACCGTTGTCTCGGGTGGTAACTTTGGGAGAGTTACGGATTGGGTTTAATAGTGGCCACACGATTGTTCCTAACAGTGATCCAGACGCGTTGCTTATTGCGGCGCGACAGCTGGACGTGGACATTTTCATTTGGGGTGGAACGCACCGGGTGGAGGCGTACAAGCTAGAGGGCAAGTTTTTTGTGAACCCTGGTAGTGCGACGGGTGCATTTTACACTGGATGGCCTGATCCTGAGGAAGAAGATGATGAGGAAGAGGATGAAGAAGGAGAAAGAGAAGGAGAAAGAGAAGAAGAGGACAATAAAGAAGAAGAAAAAGAAGAAAAAGATGAGGGCAAGGAAGATGATGATAAGGCTAAGGAGGGAGAAGAGGAAGGTAAGAGCAATGATGAGAAGAAATCAAAGGATGGAGAGGAGAAACAAAGTGTTAAGGTTGTGGAACCCAAGGACCCGATTCCATCTTTTTGCTTGTTGGACATTCAAGGGACAGTTTGTATTGTTTACATTTACCGGTACATTGACGGAGAGGTGAAAGTTGACAAGATCAATTACCGTCGGGATGAGTAGAGGTGATTTAATATATAAATGAAGGAGTATTTTTAATAATAATAATAATAAAGATTAAGTATAATATAGAAGTGAGAAGGAGAGGAATATGTTAATAATGGAAGTGGAAATAGAAGCAAGGTACGCGTTGGAAGGGTTTTATTTTTTTTTTTATTTTTTTATTTTTTTATTTTTTTATTTTTTTATTTTTTTATTTTTTTATTTTTTTATTTTTTTATTTTTTGGTGATTCCAAGATAGATTATATAGGTGATAAAGAAGGATTTGAAGGCTTTATGACAGGAGGTATCTCTTTTAAATATATATATAGTTTAAAACGCAATGAAAGTTTGTGATGATGGACTTTTAAAAAATAAAAAATAAAGCATTTTATTTTATTTTATTTTATTTTTACGCGTGTGCACATATCACCTCCTTTGTAAAGTCTGAATAATAGTAGTGACAGCCAGGCGTTGGTAAGTAATCTAGGAGATGGACAAGAAGGAGTATAAAAAAGGGTCTTAAGGGTATTAAGGCTGATGATGATGATGATAATAATAAAGAAGAAGATGACAATGATAATGACAATGATAATAATGATAATAATGATAATAATGATAATAATGATAATAATGATAATAATGATAATAATGATAATAATGATAATAATGATAATAATGATAATAATGATAATAATGATAATAAATGATAATAAATGATAATAAATGATAATAAATGATAATAATGATAATAAATGATAAATTTGATAGGAAGGGATTGGAATGAAGGCAGTTTTTTATTTTTTTTATTTTTTATATAAAAACCGATGAGCCCAGGGGAAAAAGTTTTCTTTTTTTTTTTTTTTTATATAGTGATATATAGATAGATGATTCTAACTCTAAATTTTTTTTTTTTTTTTTCAAGTAAAAAATGAAATGAAAAAAATAGTTGAGGTGGCTTTAATGGGAATTTTCGTCATAATCCTAAACGTTACCAGCAAATGTTTTCGTCAGTCATCGTCGTCGTCGTCGTCGTTGTCGTCGTTGTCGTCGTCGTTGTCAGTCGTAGGACAGTGCAACGCCATGCACTGCAGGTCTTTTTTTTTTTTTTTTTTTTCAGAAACGACAATTTTTTTTTTTACCTTAATATTGTTTCAAAGTGTTTATATCTAAATATCTAAATATTGAAGATTAAAATGGGATTATTTTTTTTTTAAAACAATCTTTTTCTATAAAAATATATATATATATATATATATATTTACACCCCCCATTAATCTGTGACAAAAAAAAAAAAAATAGAATCCCTTAATTAACAAATTTATATATTTAAACATTTACATTTACATTTACCGGTCTGTCCTGTTGTCAAACCGCGTGCGCACCTTATCCACGTAGTCTTTGTGGGGGGGAAAAAAAATACTGCCGCAGACTTCTTGAATAGGAAATTAACAAGAAATTAAAAATTTTTTTTTAGACTATTGATTGATTCTATATAATTTTTTTATATTTTATATTTTATATTTTATATTTTATATTTTATATTTTATTTTTATTTTTTTAAAAAAAAAATTACTTGTATTTATTACTTGAAAAATAAAAAAAAAGAACCTCCTTTCTATATAGATTTTATAAAACCTTCAAGTTTTAAATTGTTTTCATATATTTTTCTTCTTTCCTTCTATATATATATTTTTTTTTCTTTCAAATATAAATCTATTCTTATAATATAAATCTTTCTTCTATTCTCTTCATTTATTCACTCGTTTTCTTTTTTTTTTTTTTTTTTTTTTTTTTTTTTTTTTTTGCTCTCTTTAAATAAAATTACTAAATATCCCAAGAAAAGATTAATATAATAACCATCATTCCCATCATAATCACCATCACTCTTTCAAATGTTTGCAAGTAGTGGAGGTGTTCAGGATAACTTCCTTCCTCACCAAAACAAAAATGTAAATCCTCCATCTTCCTCTTCTTTGCAACCTTTGTATCGCCGACTTTTCCATTTTACAACTACCCCAAGCCATCTTGCCAAACCTTTCCCCTCGGCCTCTCCCAACGGTCCCGCCATCTATACCAGTCAAGACTGTTTGCGAGATCGACGACTTAAACTAAATCATACAAAAAATAAAGATTTACTCTTACAACAGCAGATACTGACTCTAAAACCAACAAAAAGTCCATTCAATGACTCTGTTAGTCCCATTACTCGGCCCCAACAAGCACATATGCGACCTGATACAAGTCCTGTCCGTGAGGAAACCTTACACCTAAGCGAGGAAGAAAAAGAATACAAGCAAAGTACTTCTGCTTCTGCCGATGCTGAAAATGAAAAGACATTTGTCTCTGAGGAAGAAGAAGAAGAAGAAGAAGAAGAAAAAATAAAGGGAAATAACCAAATTGAATCACAACAAAAACTGGTTATGCCAGCATCACCAGCTAAAGCAGTAGTTCTGGATTCTCCAAGAAGCCCCTTAACATTATCTGATAGTACCGGCTCTCTAAGTGGAATCTTGATAGCTAATTCTCTCGAGACTTCTCCTGTGAGTAGTACCAGTAGCTCGGTGAGCAACGCTTTAGTGAACACTACAACAAGTCACATTTCAGGAGGTAATAATAATGACAATTCTCTTAGTAGCATTGATCGAGGGTCTCCGAAACAGCGCAAGAAGCGAGACACTGATATTTCAACAGTTTCATCCTCTTTACCTACAACAAATTTTTTCAAGAGATTGTCAATGCCACAAATGAGTCCATTTTCTATTGGGTTTGAAATGGATAAAGAGGAAGAAGGAAAGAGAAAAACAAGCGATGCGACAAAATCAGAACTCGAAACTAGTCTACTACTACCAAAACTAGGTTGGACCGCAAGTAGAGAAAAAGAAAGAAAAAAAAAAAAAGGAGAAGGTGCAACAGTTGTAGAAGAAACAACTGCGGCTCCATTAAAGTTACGGGAAGAAACCTCTGCGCAGATCTTTGCGCCAGAACCTGTTTCAGATTCAGTACCAGAGTCAGTTCGAGGGTCGGTTCCAGAGTCGGTTCCAGAATCTGTTCCAGAGTTTGTTGATGAGCATAATAATAATAATAATGAGGACCTTGTTGAAGAATCCAAGAATGCTAAGATTCTTTGGAATGAAGAAATTCCTCAACAGTCCACCACCCAGCAAACCACGCTAGCAAAACTGGCTGTGGAGACACTGCCAAAGATAGTTAGCGCTCAGAGCCCGGAGTCACTACTAGTTCCGTTGAATGTGTCCCAGCAACAAGACCAGCAGCAACAAGAATGTCAACATAAACAACATCAACAACAAAAACAACAACAACAACAAAAGACAGAATCTTTTTTAATTTTACAGAAACCTGCGCCAACCGTCAAGTCTCAAGTTAATCAAACACCATCTGTGACGGATTGTCCATCCGCCTCATCTGTGCAGACAAAAATCTCAACAACACCTGCAACAGCTACTTTGACAAATATTTCACCTACAATTAACAACTCTACCATCATCAACAATACCACACCTTCAAAAGCAATGTCATCTGAACCAAAGAAAAAACCTCGACGTAATTTGGGATTACTGTCGCGTCTATTATCATCATCTTCATCAAACAGCCACAACAATGGAGGCAACTCGCGATCTGTGCATAAAACATCTTCTTTATCATCACTCAAGTCTGCAATGTCCATTCCACTGACAGTCACGAAATCTTCACCTCTCAATTTTTTTTCAAATAAAAAACAACAAAACACTGGTGCCACAACTCCACCATCACCTACACCAAGCTCTCTGAGTGCAGAAAGTAGTATCAGTGGTGGGAGTTCCAAGAGCTTAGGAAGTGCGCGTAGTTCTCGCAGTGGGAACAGCAGCAGTAGTCTAAGCACGCTTTTCAGTGCGTCGTCATCTGGAAGCACAGGAGCGTCATCTCTTGGATCAGGGGGAAGTGGTGGTCTTCGTCGAGCTAGTAGCTTGAGCAAACGGAAACAAGCCAATGGAGCATTGGGACTGAGAGCAGGCGGCAAAGATTCCGATGGTGGAGGTTCTCCTAAAATGGTAACAATGGGGACTATGTATGCGGACCGGATGGATGCGTTGCGGCGAGAACGGGAAAGACAACAGCAAGTGAACCGGCAGATTGCGATGCAAAGCCGGGCACGGATGGTAATTCAGCAGCGGCAACAAAATTTCCAGCAGCAGCAGCAGTATAGTTGTTCCCAACAATATCCTCAGCAAATGTTTCGAAGCCCATCAATGTTACAGTTAGAAGCTGGGCGGCAGTCGATGTATGGTAGTAGCTATTACCGAGGTAATTCAGGAGTTCCTAAACTGCGCAACTTGACTGGATGTGGAAGTAGTGGTAGTGGCAGTGGTAGTAGTAGTTGTGGTAGCAGCATACGAGATGGGGGTCGTGGTGAAAAATTGGCTGGGGGGAATGGAGCGAGTGTTGGGACACGGATGTCTTCATTGTCGATGTTTGAGTTTGATTCCATTAAAGAGGAAGATGAGATTGATGAGCTGCGTAAGAGTTGGAAAGGAGGACTTAATAATGTTTGTGGATCAGCAGGTTTGTGTGCTGGTGGTGAAGAAGAAGATGGAGATGAATATAATGGAGCTTTGGATTACTATGTTTTAGGGTCTATGGGTGCTGGTAATGGTAATGGTAATAAAAAGCCAGCCGCGCCAGATGTATCAGCCGCATATAAATTACAGCTTCATATGACGGGTGGTAACAAATCGAGTGATTCTTTAAGCAGTGATGATGATGATGATGATGACTTTGATGATTCGGTATTTGTGGATGCTTTAACTGGGATTCCCGGAGAATGTTGACAGGAAAAAAAAAAAAAAACAACAACAACAACAACAAAAAAAAGGAGAGGAAAATGAGGGAATAGTTAATTGCATGATAACTAACTCTTTTTCTTTCTTTTTATTTTTTATTTTTTTTTTTGCGCCCGGGAAAACCCCTGTAAAGGTTAGTATCCATTAAATACCATTACGATTTGAGCATGATTGCTTTTTGTTTTTTTATTTTTTTCTAAAAAAAAAAAAAACGTCAGTCTATTATCAGTAAATGAGCACCAGAACAAGTTGCATCATTAAAAAAAAAAAGAGAAGATGAAAGAAGCTGCACGAATGATATTTATTAATATTATTATTCCAGTGACTGCTTTTAATCATTAATGTTTACTCTTTAGACCTTTTTTTTTTCTTTTTTGAAAGACGATTGTTTTGTGAGCCATTGACGACGTTATTATTGGGTTTTTATTTTATTTTATTTTATTTTATTTTGGAGATATTATAAGGATATATTTTTTTATTTAAAATTATTTGCATACTAATTTTATATATATATATATATTTTTTTTCTTATGGATAATTTCATTTATTTATATTTATTTGTATGGATCAAAAAAAAAAAAAAAAAAAAAAACTCAAAGATATTTTTGACTTGAACTATAGTAATTAAGATGTTATTTAGCGTGTATATTAAGATTTCTTTTTAAATAAAGATCTATAAAGATTTATTAAGGGTTAGGTGATTAGCCCTACACACGTGACAATTTGATTGGTTAGGGCGAATAATTACCCTACTTTTAAATATAAATAATTTTTTTTTCCTCTCTCCCCTCCCCTCCATCTTTATATAAAAAGACGCCCCTTTTTCAATTAGGTCTTCTTTTAAATTTTTTTTTTTTTCAAATGTTTCAAAATAAAATCAGAATTATCTTCGAGATCTTTTTTTTTCTCAGTAGTTACCAGAAATGGTTAAATACTGAGAAATAAACACATTTTTACACACAAAACAAAGGTAAGTTTTTTTTATTTTAAAATTATTTTATTTTATTATTATTATCAATCTCTCAAGTATTGGCATTTTTTTTTCGGAATGTTAATTCATTCTCTCCGAGACTCTATAATACCTTTTTATTTTTTTTTAAAGAAATTTTTATTTTTAAATGATGACTAGAGTGCATTTGGCTCGATACGGCCTTGTCCACGTTCTTGTGGGCTTGTGCTGTTGATGTGGAAAAAACCACGCTACCTTAAAATCTTTGGCTGACAAGAAATAAAAAAAAATTGTCTTGGAGTTAAAAGATTTAATGCTAAAAATATTTGAGAGAATAGTAATAATGCTAATTGTTTTTTTAATATTTTATTTATACTAACTTTGGGATTGTTTTTTTAGTGCGATTGTAGTCTTTAAAAATTGATTTAATCCATGCGTAGTTTATGTTTTTTTTTAAAAATAAACATAATATATATAGTCCTTTTAATGTATTTTTTAAAATATAAATATAAAGAAAATGCCCAACAAAAAATTTAAATATTTCACAAGATAAGAATTTATCATTATTATAATAAAAAATTATTTAAAAAGAAGATCCTTATCAAACAATTTGTCTTTACATATAAAAACCCTTTTAAATTCCTCGATTATCCTTTCTAAAATTTTTTTTTTTTCTTTCTTTTTTATTTTTTTTTTTCCCAACCATCTTCAATTCAATTGAATTCAATATATTTTTATATTTATATATATTGATATCATAAAAAAATGTCTACTGAAAAGCCTTCTTCTTCTTCTTCTTCTTCAGATAAAAAAACTTGCAGTAATACAAGCATTTCTTCTCTCAATCAAAATATCTTCTCTTCTTCCTCTTCTTCTTCCTCCTCCTCTCTAACAGACACGTCTTCTTTATCTTCATCACCAAATTCAAAAATGCCATCAAACCAACAACAATCTTCAAACATTTCTCAAAAACAAACATTTCTCTCGGATCAAATCAATTCTTCTTCTTCTTCATCATCTTCTTTATCTTCCCTCTCATCAACTTCATCTACAGACTCTCCAGATCTACATGCTACAGCCCCTGGACAATCCTTATCACCAGTATTTAACAGATGGCCAGCCTCAGACACTCCAGAAGGCTCCCATGTATCGTCTCCTCGCGACTTTAGTCTCGCTGGCCAAAACTACTACTCTTTTGGAGGATCCGGGTCTGAATCCCTGAATACAACCCCTCCAGGTGGTTCTGTTACTGGAACCTCATGTCTTTCTTCAGTACCTCACCTAGCCATTGGCTCAATCTACTCACCTACTGCTGCTGCTGCTTCTTCTTCTTCATCTTCTTCATCTTCTCCCAATTCCACGCCTTCTCAAGGACCTCTGTCGTCCGATCTGCATGGCTTCCCCACTCGTTCAGCAACTAACCTTGCGTGCCCCCCGCACCACCGTAGCACCCTTGCAAGTCTTTCTCCCATGACTTCAGCGGTATCGCCTGCTGGTACTCCTGTTCTTTCCGCAGTCTCTGCAGCCCCCTCTCCTTCTACAATTCCTAGTAGTGAAACTTCTACTTCCAAAGTTCCAACCATTGAAGAAGAAGTTGCTTCTGATTTTGGTACTGTTCCAAAATCCACTACAACTACAACAACAACAACAACGAAAACAACAACTAAAGTAGCACCAGTAGTAGCAACTTCCCAACAAGCTCAAAACAATCAACAACAACAACAACAACAACAATTTCCTACTTCAACTGTCCCCCATCGTAGAGCAACAACCCTCGATGTGCCCGGTCTCACCCGCTCCCGCGTTTCCCCTAATGGCTACATTTCTCAACGCGATGTGGGATCCAAGCTTGTAATTGTAATGGTTGGTCTTCCAGCCCGTGGCAAATCCTACGTCACAAATAAGCTTTGCCGTTATCTCAATTGGCAACAACATAATACCCGCATCTTCAATGTCGGCAATACTCGCCGTAAAGCAAATAAAGCGGCAGGCCCTGCATCTGTCCCCCTCCCAGATAGTGGGCCCCATACAAAAGTCTGGTCCCAACCTCCCAGTAACCACCATTTGAGCGAAAACGAGGCCACGGCTGCAAATCTTGTGCTGCTCAGGGGCCCCGGAGGTTACAAGAATGAAGCAGCCAAACATGAATATGAACTTAAACAGGAGCTGTACAATAATGGAAATGGCAATGGCGTGGTTGAGGGAAGCACAACTATAGTTAATAGTAGTGGTGATGACGACACTATTGCTGGTGCTGCTACTACTGCTACTACTGCTACTACTACTGCTGCTGGTGCTGCTGCTGTCTCTACTGGCCCTACTGATAGTAACCATGGTAACCAACCGCCTGCTAACCCCCCCACTTCTAGCCCAGATTCTTCTTTAAAATCCGGACCTGATTCGGACACGACAAAGAAACACAATACGGAACAAACCGCAGACTTTTTTTCTGCAGATAATCCAGAATCCTTTGCGCTCCGTGAAAAATGGGCAATGGACACTCTTGACGACTTGCTGGACTATGTTGTCGAGGGCCCTGGTTCAGTGGGAATCTTGGATGCTACAAATACTACCATTGCTCGCCGTCATAAGGTCTTGAACCGCATCAAGGAGCGCTCAAATGGCCAACTAAAGGTCTTGTATCTCGAGTCAATTTGCTCCGACTACTCCATCATTGAGCGCAATATCAGACTCAAACTTTCGGGCCCTGATTATAAGGATTGCGATACTGAAGTGGCCCTCAAGGATTTTGTTGACCGTATGCGCAACTATGAAAAGGTTTACCAGCCAATCACTGAAGACGAGGACAATTCTGGTGACGACTTTCAGTACATTAAAATGATTGACGTGGGTAAAAAGGTTGTCTGCTATAACATTAAGGGCTTTTTGGCTGGCCAAGTGGTTTTCTTCCTACTCAACTTTAACCTCGCAGAGCGCCAGATTTGGATCACCCGTCACGGCGAGTCACTCGACAATGCTGCCGGCCGCATTGGTGGTGATTCGCCTCTGACGCCGCGCGGCCAAAAGTTTGCCAAGGCCCTTGCACGGTTTATGGACTATCAAAAGTCGCAATTCCGCAAAAATCAGCTCAAGCAGTTTGAAAACACGGACCACTTTTTGGAAACTACAACGCCACCTCTCCCGCGACCCAAAGTCCCGGAAGAACCAAACTTTTGTGTATGGACCTCTATGCTTAAACGCGCAATCGATACCGCAGGGTACTTTGACGAAGATGTGTATGATGTTAAGGAAATGCGCATGCTTAATGAACTCGGCGCTGGTATTTGCGACGGCATGACATACCCGGAAATTAAGCAGACTTATCCTCAGGAGTACCAGGCCCGCATGGCCAACAAGATTAGCTATAGGTACCCTGGCCCTGGTGGCGAGTCATACCTTGACGTGATTAACCGTCTACGCCCTGTCATTGTGGAGGTTGAGCGTATGACGGACAATGCGCTCATCATTGCGCATCGCGTCGTGTGCCGCATTTTGCTTGCTTACTTTATGAATCTTAGCCAGGACTCGATTGGCGACTTGGATGTGCCACTCCACACACTTTATTGTCTTGAGCCCAAACCCTATGGTGTATCATGGGAGGCTTATGAGTATGACGACAAGACGGACTGGTTTTATCGGGTACCCAAGGAAACCATGCTTGAACGGAACCGACGGCCGTCCATTGCTCCCCCCCTCTCTGGAAGATCCCGACAATACTCGGTCATGCCTACAACAACTGTCGAAGTTGTTCCGCCAGTCTATTCAGCAGCTGCAAGCCATGTCACTCCTCTTCACCACCATCACCAACACCACCAACACCAACAACACCACAACCATAACCACATTCAAAACCGCCAAATCTCAACAGCAACTACCTTTTTGGCTGGCCCGGGATCTGCCCCAGGAAGTGTCCCCATTGCTATCCCAGTCGCAGCTAATAGAGGAGGCGCTGGAAGCAATAGTAGCTCCGCTTCATCGTCTTATACTGGCCATCACAACCACTCGGCATCTTCTTCAACCTCCACCATTGCTGCTCCCGTACCCACTGCGCTTTCCTCGGCCTTACCCACTGTTAGTGAATTATCTGCTCGTCTCAATTCTCTTCGTCATTAAAAAAAAAGTTTTTTATTTTTTTAATTTTAAATATATCTTGCTTAATAGTCTTTCTTTAAATTAAATTTTTTTTTTTTTTTTTTTTTTTGCCATTTCAAGCTTCAAAAAGCTGTAAAAGCTCTCCAAGACTCAACTTATTGCCAGCCATTTGAGCTGCCGCAGCTTTACGACTGCTTCCTTCAACCACAGCATTAGCCAGCTGTCGTTTCTTTTCTTGCAGTGCCAGAATCCGGTCTTCCACGCTTTTGCCCATCACCAGCTCGTACACGTCCACATCCCGTTGCTGCCCGATCCGATGCACACGATCAATGGCCTGCTCCATAATCATTGGGTTCCACCACGGGTCCAGCAAAACCACCTGAGAAGCACACGTCAAGTTTAGCCCAACAGCTCCGGCCTTGAGCGAACATAACAATACACTCACCTCAGGCCCACCATTTTCTCCGCGCAAATCGCTCAACGCTCGCTCTCGCTCTCTCGGACTCATTGCACCGTCGTACCGTACATAGGCAATTCCGCGCCGACGAAGCGCGGGCCCAACCAAATCAAGAAACGAAGTAAACTGGCTAAACACAATTGTCTTGCGCTCTCTGTCACTCCCTAAAATCCTGAAAAGCTCAAGCATCTTGCTACTCGAATCCCCACGCAACGTCCCGCCTTTGCCTTCATCCTCTTCCTGCGTTGTCCGTGGCCGGCCCTCAAGAGTAAGCTGCTCCAGCACCCGTGATACATCATCCGAGTCATCAAAAGTCTCTTCCCCAGACATTCTGCTCAATTCTTCGTCCAAGTCTATTTCCTCCAGAGCCTTGGTGGCAAGCCATGCGTGGCAACAAATCTGTCGCAACCGTAGCAGTAATACCATTGCCCGCATGTACCCGACATTTTGTTCTTCCTCGCCCCACTGTTGCAACTTTTTCTTAGCCGACTCTTCAAATTTCCGGTATACTTTGCGCTCCTGCTCAGAAAAATCAAGCGCCACCTGGTGCACTCGTCGTGCTGGCAGCTCATCCCGTAGCCCTTCCACCAGCTCCTTTTTCCGTCGCAACATGCACCCACGCAGCACCATTTGCAGGCGCAACAGCGCTGTTTCTGGTCTTGACTTCATCACAGTTCCAATCTGCTCCCCCCACACATTGTAGTTGTCATAAGGCGGGAGATGAGCAAACGCAAGCAGCGACTGCACTTCGTCCACTCCATTTTGCAGCGGTGTCCCCGTCATGGCCCACCGTCTGGGTGCTTCCAAGGCATACGCTGCAATTGCGCTTTTCGTCCGCCGGTTCTTGATGTTGTGTGCTTCGTCAAGCACAATTCGCCAAAACCCAACTTTAAACAACGGGCCCGATCTTTGGCCGTCCGCAAACTCTGATGCAACAATGCTATAAGTCGTTACCACAATATCGTAATTCGCAAGCTCTGATGCTTTTTTTGTTCGGCCGGGTCCGTGATGGACGTAGCAAGTCAGTGAAGGTGCCTTGTCGCGCACCTCTGCCGCCCATTGTTGCAACAGTGCCAATGGAGCAACCACCAGGGTGGTTTTGATTTGTGGGAGAGAACCGTCATCTGCTGACTCCTTTGCTTTCAATTCATCATTTATTTGTCGAGTCAAAATCAACGACAGCATCTGTACTGTTTTGCCCAGACCCATATCATCGCAGAGCAATCCACCCTTGTCTTCCACATCAGGCCGTTCTCTGCGCCAAAGAAACTTGACGCCGTCAACTTGATGTGCTTTGAGCGGAACCTTAAGTCCTTCCACGTTACAATTCTTCACTGTCAGGGCAATTTCGTCTGGCTCCCCTTTGCCGTCATCTTCCACCACGTTCAGCGAATCGAATAGACTTTTTACAGATTTGGTCACGTCTGCTGATGTAGGTGCAGTTCCCAAACCATCAGATACTTGCCTAGCTTCAGCTCTAGATTCTTGTGCTAAAGCAGGATCAGTCCATGTCATGTTTTTAAATGCAGCCACATCCACGGGTCCTGCCGACTTCCAGTCCTTGGGATTTATTGCAAACATTTCAGCAGAGGTATTGTTTTCCTGCTTTAACAAGGGCTCTGCTTGTTTTACTGTTTCATTTTTAGTAACCGTGGATTTCATGCTAACGTTTTTCGATTTCAACAAGAATTTGGGCAGGCCTTTATTAGGCTGAAGCTTCTGAAACCTCTCAGGTTGATTTGCAAGGAATTTTGGTTTCAACTCAGGGTCTTCTTTCTTAAAAATAAAATCATTGGAATATTCCTCTTTCTTTTTAGCAAAAAACCCAGTAGCTTTTTCCAAAGACTCCAAAGATGATTTCTTTTTTAATGAACCATCACCATCAGTCAAATCAAATGGCGAAGACATACCAAATGATAACCGCCGGCGTGGTGTTTCTTCTTCTTCTTCCTCTTCCTCTTCCTCCTCTTCCTCTTCCTCTTCCTCTTCCTCCTCTTCTTCCTCCTCTTCTTCCTCCTCCTCTTCCTCTTCCTCATACTCATACTCTTCTTTGCCTACCTCAGTATAACTAACATCGTTTCTATCACTTTCCCCTTTAATAGATGGAGAAAAAGACTGGAAAGACAACTCTTCATTAAAAAGACCAGTTCTATAGCTTGTGCCATCACTAAATCCTTTAGGCGTACTGGAATCAGAAGATGATTTAAATAAACTATTATTAGTATTGGATTTTTCTGAATCATGAAAACCAAACACAGGCTGTGATCCTGCAAAAGAGGCTGAAGCTGATCCACCAAACAACGGCTTGTCTTTTGAAATAGGATTGAAACCATCTGAAAACTTAGCTGGGCCAAATGCAGGCTTTCTGTCTGAAAATGGGGTAGATTGATTATCTGGCTTAGATTGAGAAAATGGGGTGGAGGATGACCCAAATAAAGACTTTGGTGTCGCTTGAAAAGGATTTGTTACATCGATATTTCCAAACAATGGCTTTTTTTCTAAATTAGGATTAAAACCAACTGGGGTATCAGTGTTATCGGATGCAAATCTACTACTTGAGAACATATTCGATTGATTGGTGGTAGTAAACTGGGGCCATGATTCCTTGAAATCCTTAAAGTTTGGTTTTGATACTGGGAAAGGCGAATGTGTGTTTTGGGAATCATCTGAGAACCCAACACTGAACTTTTTCTCTGAGAAATCAGATTTAGATTCATTAGAATCCTCAGTCTTGCTAAACATAGGGTTGTTGCCAGAAAAAAGTTTGAAGGAATTGGTAGACTTTGATTGAGAAAATTGACTTGTTGAAGACTTTGATGCATCTCCAAAAGCTGTTGTTACATCAGTATTTTCAAACAATGGCTTTTTTTCTAAATTAGGATTAAAACCAACTGGGGTATCAGTGTTATCGGATGCAAATCTACTACTTGAGAACATATTCGATTGATTGGTGGTAGTAAACTGGGGCCATGATTCCTTGAAATCCTTAACGTTTGGTTTTGATACTGGGAAAGGCGAAGGTGTGTTTTGGGAATCATCTGAGAACCCAACACTGAACTTTTTCTCTGAGAAATCAGATTTAGATTCATTGGAATCCTCAGTCTTACTAAAAATAGGGGTACTTCCGGAAAAAAGGTTGGAATTGCCTTTAAACTTTGGTTGGGCGAATGAACTTGTTGAGGACCCAAACGTAGACTTTTGTTCCCCAAAAGGAGTTCGGGTAGCTTCAGTAGGAGTACCAAATAGTGACTTTTTTGAAAAATCATCAGATACGGAATCTTCAGTGTCATCATTCTTACTAAACATGGGATTTTTTCCTGAAAAAAGGTTAGCAGAATTTTGTCCAAAACCAACAAATGAAGATGAAGATGAAGCAAACTTTGGGAGATTGCTTGGTTCAGTTTTTACTTGGCCAGCAGTTTGAAAAGTAAAAGTAGGCGATGATACATTCAAAGCCTTTGACCGCATAAAAGAGTCTTCTTCAACCTTCATAAACTGACGAAGCTTGCCATTTTCTCCTTTGGCATTATCTGAAAACCCAGAAGATGAACCTTTCTGGGTCGTAAATGGGGTGCTTGCAGCTGCCGGGGTACCCAAGAAAGATTTTGAATCTTCAGAAGTAGCACGCTGGCTACCAAAAAGCGTAGATCCATTAGTGTTGTTTTGGGAAGTTGAAAAACGAGCATTAGAAGCAGGCGTAGCAAAAGTATTATTTTCAAATAATTGACCAGAACTAATCTTGGGAGGAGGACTATCCATGGTTACTGAGGGCTGAGAACCTGCGGAATCTACAGACCTTGAGCTTTGCCTGTTACGCTCAAGACGCTGAGCAAATGTCATGCTTTTTGAACCCGGTCGTGATGATCCATTGATGCTATCAATGCTCATACTATCAAAGCTTTTTTCAAGCCCATCCATATTGATGATTAATTTTTGATGTTTTTTAAGGGGGTGTTGGTTGGTTTGTTGTTGTTGTTGTTGTTGTCCCAACTTTTGAGTATAATTACCAAAAAAAAAAAATAGTGGGGGGTTGCAGTTTCTGCTTAAAAAATGTTTAAAGAAGAATTGTCACATTTTGATTGTAAGAAATGTTTTGGGCATTATATACAGAGAGAGAAATAAGAGATTGTGTGAAATCAAAGGGGAATTTTTTATACAAATAAACAAACAAAAAAAAAAAATGAAGAAAGAGGAAGAAAAAAAAAGTCGTTACAAGCCATCATCTCCACCGCCCTCCAAAGGCCTTCTATGCGAAATTGAGAATTTAGTTGGCAGGAGCAGCGGCAGTGGAAGCAGCCTCGGCAGGCTTCTCAGCACCAGTACCAGCAGCAGCCTTCTTGGCCTCGTAAGCCTCTTTCTCGGTCTGCTGGAACTCCAGGTAGTGGTCGTAGCCAAGCTGTCTGAGAGCAGAATAGCTGTCTCTGGGGTTAAATGCTGGCAGTTCTTCGTGAGTGATTGAAGTTTTCCAGAATTCGTCCTGGCCCTTTCTCCAGACACCATCCCAGAGGACCTTAGTCTCGACATCAAAGGCATTGAGAACCGAGGCCAAGTCGGCAACAGCCTCCTGAGAGTACGTGGGTCTGTACTGGCCTGAGTACCATATGTTACCATCGTCGTTACGTTTCCGCCAGCCGTTGGCCTCTTTCTTAAAGAGCTTGTCACGGTAATGCCGCAGCGTCACAAGCGACTCGTAAAGCTCGACAGCCAAGGGATAAGAGGGCAGTTGTGCCATGGCCATGGGTCGCCAGATATCGCGGCGGATGTCGGGCAGTCGGTTTTGCCAGTTGGGATTCTGGAACTGCGTCTTGATGTTGTAAGCTTGAGGGAAGGGAAGCTGAGTGTACATCACTTGGCCCGATTCAAGGTTGCGGAACAAAAACACATCGGGACCAAAGCCGTGGCGACGCAAAAACGCGGGATGGCGAAATCGACCACCAAAGTGGTTGCCAAAGATCTTGAGGGCTCTATGGTTGACGCCAGACATTTCTTAGGATTGATGATGAAGGTGGTGGTGGAGGTGTTGGGTGGTATGTGAGAAAAGGGAGAGAACCTGAAAAATTTTGTGGTGGTGAAATTTTTTTTACTACTACAAAAAAAAAAAAACCTCCTATGGCCAATCAAGTCAGGGTAAATGTCACATGACCAGGTCTTTGATATTGGCGGATCAAAAAAACCAAAAAACCAAAAAACCAAAAATCAAAAAATCAAAAAATCAAAAAATCAAAAAATTGTAAGTAAAATAATTAAGTCTTCAAACAAAATAATTTCATTTCTTTAAAAATTCATTTTATTTATCAACTTTTTTTTTATATATCTTTATATACTATATCTACAGTCTCAAATTCAGGCCTTGTGGCTTTCTGCGACGGGAAAGACCCCGGGTCGTACCCTTGGACCCATCAACGGTTGTCAGATCACGACCGAGATTGTCCAGGTCCTTGACCTTGTACAGGCGCACTAGCCAATTCTCCGAGGTGAAGACCTCTTCGAGAGTGTCAAGACGCACAGGCTCTTCAATGTTCTGTCCACGCACACGGTCGACAGTTGCGCCGTGACCCTGGATGTCGCTGAAGCGGTAGAAGGACATCTTGTACATAAGCGAGTCCTTCATGGTCTGCGTGGCTCCAGAGTCCACGCGATATTCACCCTTTGACGTGAAATAATTGCGTTCACGGATTTCCTCAGGCCAGATACCCTCGGCAATACGAATCATCCACAAGAACTTGTTGATGTCGTCACCCGAGTATCCAATGACACCGCCGAAAATAACGAGAATGTAGTCCACATCGTGTTGGCGCAGGATGGGGTATGCCTTTTCCTCTGACGATGCCATGGCGCGACCGACAGTGGCAATGTGAGTATTGTTCCACGTATTGTTATCAACAAGAGTGGTGCGGTCGGCCATGCCACCAATCTGGTAACCGTAATCCCACCACGACATGATCTTGGCGTCGTCAGCAGTGTTCATACGGAGCCAGTAGTAGGCCTCACGGAAATCGTCAATCAGGTACATGGAGCCATCAGCCTGACGCGAAGCAAGCACGACGGATGGAGAAGAGTAAGCGTTTGAGGTGACCCAAGTGCAGTGGAAAACAAACAAAACGAGGTATCCGAGGAATGAGAGAAGAACAACAGCTTTGGCAAAGAAAGGCTTAACAAGACCAAAGTGGGTGTAAATAAATGAAAAAATGGGCTCGTCAGTCAAGCCTTGTTTGGCAGTGATAGTGACATTGGCTTTCTCAGGAGCAGAAGAATTGACATCAGATTCCTCTTCACTGCTAGGATCCTGGGTCTTTGTGATTTTGACAATGTCAGTAAAGTCGCCATAAACGTCAAGGATTGTGGAAACAGCAAGGGCAGCAGAAACGCAAATAACTGGGGTGAGGGTAAGCATAAGACGGACCATGACACCAGCGAAATAGGAGCCAAGAATACCGTAAATGATGATGAAGACGTGCTCATCGCGCAGGTCCTTAATGGCAAAGTAAAGACCTGCGGGGAAAAGCCAAATCAGGAAATAAGTGTCGAAGAAAAAGGAGGGCCAAGCAGTAGGCTGGTGCTCAGAAACAGATGCAATGATGGGGATGTGGATTTTGGCATAGCCAGTATCCCAAAGAGAGTAAAAGCGACCAGTCCAAGGAGCAATGACACCGGACAAGGTCAAGCCAACCAAAACAACAAGGGCAGCAAGTACAATGACAATGGAAGAGATGATGACGAGACGCTTAAAGTGCTTGGAGGGGAGCTGGGCACGAATGTGCTCGCCAAAAGCCACGAGCTGGAGCAGACCGAAAACACCCAGGGCGGCCATGTGCTCACTGGAACGGATAGGCAAGAACCCGACAAAGGGAATCTGCATAGAGGCAAGAGTTCCGAGAGTGTACCAGGAGGAGTAAGCGACGTAAAGTCTATTAGTGTAGCGGCCCATGAGAAGAAGGACAAAAACATGGAGAGGGATGAGATTGGTGATGAAGACATAACCACCCCAAGCAGAGACCATGTAGAAGTAAAAGACGGCGGTAAGGGCACCCCAGAACATGGAGCCAAGCTTGACAGCCTTGATCCAAAGGTAGAAGGTAAACATGAGAAGGAAGATGGCGATTGCTTCGTTGTCGTACGAGCCAGCGACGGAACGAGAAATATAGCCGGGAGCAATACCCATAAACGCGGCGGCCAACAGACCTGCGGTTTCATTCTTCATTTCAGTGGTAAAAAGGTATGTGACCAAAGCGGTAAGGGCGGAAAAGGCAGGAGCGAGAAGAACGCAAATGTTGCGGATGTCGACGGGGAGGGCGAGAAGCTCAAGGATCTTATGAATGACACCGGATGTGACCATGAGGCCTGGGTAGAGGGTGCCACCTGTAACGCGGCCGAGGGGGTACCAAGTTCTGTCGTCGAACCAATTGAGGAAAGAGTAGAAGCCATGGCTGACGAGATACTTTGTAGCGCGGAAATTGAACCAAGGGTCGAACTCGTGGATGATGGACTCGAAACGGATGACGGAGAAGAGTCGCGACGAGATGGCAGCGCCAGCAATTGCAATGAAGATGACGACCTTGAGCAGCAGTCGAATGTTTTCGACAGTGCGGGAGCTCAGGTGGACTGTGTCGGCCTCAATTGGGTCTACCGGAGCAGGCTTGGTTTGTTTGCTGGAGGTTCCACTCATGATTTAAGGGGAGGAGGGGAGGAGGGGGTGGTGATGATGATGGTGGAGATGGTGGTTGTGGATGATTTTAGGATACGAATGGATGATATTTTTTTTTTATATATATAAAAGGGCTCAGGTGTAGGAGTGGATATGTGGCAAGAAAAGTTCAGGGTTAGGGTTGAAGAGAAGTTATAAAAACAGCCACTGCACAACGTAAACAGAGCATACGCAATACACAATTCAGTTTTAATCAGTCTAATCAATAATCAACAACCAAAAACCAAAAATCAAAAATCAACTATGGATTTCCTGGGACCAGATTACCTCGAGGCGCTGTCACTACTGGCAGAGTTTAAAGATGATTACCCAGGCCTCCTGAAGGAATTGAGGCTATGCGAGCCTCGGGCTGCAATTGCGCTATACCCGGAGTCTAATGGCAATAATTACATAGGAAGCAGTAACAACAGTAGAGGAAGCAGCAGCGGCAGCGGCAGCGGCAGCAGCAGCGGTAGTAGTAGTAGTAGTAGTAGCAAGGGAAAGACTATTTCTGAGACCAGCTACACAAAACGAATGGAGGATGTTGACATGGACAGCGTGCCGGACACGTTAGAGGAAGCTGATCAGAAGAATAAAAAAAAACTAGAAGAAGGCAAGGCTGCAACGTCGTCCAAATTACCAAACGGTGGTGTTTCAACTCTTGATGAGTTGCTAGCCAAGTTCCCCGCACCAGTACGGACACCACCACGCCACCCGGAGCTAGATCTTTATTTTGCACTCTACATTTGGGTGTATTTAGCCCTAGGGGAGTATCTGAATGCGGTTTCTATTGTGAAACGGTACGGGCTGGATGCGCCGCTGTTTGTGGCGTCACCGTTAGTGGTGGCCTCTGCTCGAGCAGCTCGGTTGTTTGATCCACAAACATATGCACACACTCTGGCACAGCAAAAGGAGCATCGCAATCTGGAAACAACTTTATTAGATGACAAAAAGGCGGACATAAAGGCCAAGTTTGATGAGACGAAACGTGTGGCTGCTTTATGGGATTATTCCAAGATTTATGCGCTGCGCGAGGCCTACGCTTGGGATGAAGATATCAAGGAAGATAAGACAGAGGATACTAATGCCAATGGAAATGGAGCGGTGACTGTAGGTAAGCTGGTTGATGAAGCTCTTGCCAAGTTTCGACGAACAGTTCATGGGCGAATAGTTTCAAGTTTTGGGACGATACGCCCGGCCACGGTGGTGACATATTTGGGGTTGAGAGATGTTGGTGATGAGAGTGGGGAGGCTGTACTTGCAGCTTTGAAACGAGAGCTTGGGGATGAGGCCAAGGGATGGACTATGAAGAGTACCGAGGGATCTTATGGGGTCACAGAGCTGCTGGTTCCACCGGTCCAGATTCCCAGACCACAACAAAATGCGCGTACTACAGCAGAGAAACGGGCCCAGATGCAGGAACTGATTTCAGCAGCTACACATTTGGAGCAACGGCTGGGGGTTTAAATGTAAGAAGTATATATATTTTTTCATTTAGTAATAGTATAAAAAGGTCTATGGAAGAAGAACAAGACGAAGCAAACAAAAGAAAATAACAGTTTTTTTTTTTTTTTTTTTTTTTTTTTCAATTTATACTAGAAACATTGGTTTCTGAAGAATTTAGTGTTTCCAAAAGACTTTCTTCGTCATAGGGCGAATAATCAGTGTGTGCAGTGGTTAATCCTGCTCCATAGCGTTCCAAAATGATGATACCACCAATGGTCATCAGGACAATGACGGCAAAGATGAATTCAAATAGATATTCGACAAAAATTGTATCGAGGGGAGCGCCGAGAGCTCTTGTAATGGTAGATGACAGTTCTTGAGGCAAGTTTGAGCGAAGGAGCAAGGATGAAGAGATGATGTAGACTCCTAGGACTTGAGAAATGACGAGCAAGGCGAAACTTGGGTAGTCAAAGTAAGCGGCAAGAGGTGAAGGGTTGCGAAGGGATTGGACGCGAGGGAGAGAGCGAGAAGAAGTAGCATGGGAGGCAGGAGAGGATTGTTTGGGGAAAAGGTTACTTCTATGGATAGAGTTTGATCTGTGGCGGATACCTGAGGAGACTCCAGAAACGGAGGGGGTTGGGCTTGGGTAAGTATCTTCATTTTCAGGCTCTTCATCAGTGAAAAGTAGGTGGGGCTCTAGTCTGAGTAGGGGGAAAGTGGAAGTAAGAGAATGAAATGTAGTGATTGCAGCAGAGATAGAACCTGCAAAGAGAAAGCCAGACAAAATGAAGCTGACTTGACGTGTCCAAGCGTCAGCATCTAGGGATGATTTTGGGGCTAGCCGCAGAACAATATGGGCAATTGTTGTTGCGAGGGCGTCTTGTTGGGATGCCGGGGTAGAGGGAGATCCTCCGGAGAAGTATTCCAAGAGGACGCGAGCGCGGGCAATTGGGTTTCGAAGAAAGAGGACAGAAACTAATCTGTAGACACAGTAGATGGCAAAGATATTGTAAGATCGTTTAATAACTTTGCCGAATGGTGTTTTTTCATAAACTTGTTCGGCTTGGGTTGTTGTTAGAATGCGAAGGTCGTGCCGCAGGGCTCTACGGGCACGTGAAAGAGCTTCAATTTCACGTTCCAAGGCAGATGAGGGAGAAGAAGATGCAGATGAAGATAAGTTATGGGTAGAACCTGTTGCGGCTGCACGTAAGGATTTGATGAGTTCTTTGAGACTTGCTGATGATATATTTTTAGGGAGAATGATTGAAGAGGTAGAAGATTTAGAGGCAGCGGTGTCAGCAGCATCAGCAGCGGCAGCAGCGGCAGCATGACCTTCTGGGGAAGCCTTGTAGAGGCGAGTTTTGGTAGTAAGTAGACGGGTAGTAGTTTCAAGGGAATTTTTCATTCTATTGATGTCATTATCAGTGATTTGGCGTGGGGTAGGTGCAAAGACGAGGGTGTATGGGGTAGAAACTGCAGCAAAGCCTGAGAGCATGGCCATTGCGCAGACGCCAATGATGACTATACGGGAGAGGGTTTCTTCATAGAGGGTACGGGTATTTGCAGCATAGTAGGAGTAATAGTAAGAAGCAAGGGATTGGGTAGAATCTGAGAGTGAAGGTTGTGTTTGATGTGAGACGAGGGGTATTAGGTTCCCGACAGCTTGGAAGATGAGAAGCCAGAGGATATATAGAAGGAGGGTGAGGGGGTACTTGAGACGACGAAGAATAGGGATAGGAGAGGAGTAAAGGAGAGCAAAGAGTTCGAGGAGGGGGATTGCTCCTACAAGCATTGCAATAAGAATGGTAGTTGTTAATTTCCAAACAATGACACGAGCATCTGGGGCCGGCCAGTTTATAATTTCGCATAGGACAAGTTCAGCGGTGAGGACAGCTGATGTGAGGGTAGTATAGATGGTTGCATTTAGAAGGAATTGGTAGAGTGCAAGTTTTTGGGCAAAGGAAAGTGAAGAGAAAGCAGGGAGGGATATAGAGTCGAGGAAGGCGATGATGGGGTGTTTTGCGTAGGGGTCATCTTGTGGGACAGTATGGTGTGGGGGGTCGACGAGAGTGAGGCTTTTGAAGGGTGGAAGGATACGGTGGGCTAGAGCCAGAACAACAAGGGCTGAAAGGGAAAAGGGGGCAGTATTGAGGATAAAGCTGAAGATCATGGCATTGGATGGGTGTGAAGTAGAGTGGAGTGGATATGATGATAGGTGGTGGTGGTGGTGGTTGAGTTTGGGTTTAAGTGTTTAGTTTTTTCAGTTGAGGTGGCATTTTGGGAGGGGTGGGTGGCCTTTTGGTGGGGCATCGCGATGTTAATTTTTGGAGGTTTTAATTAACAAAACAAAGTAAGTTAATGAAAAGATTGTCATGTAAAAGTCATGTGAAAGTCATGTGATATTCATGTGATTTGAAGATATTATTTTTAGTTTTATACTTTTTTTTTTTTTTTCTTTTTGGTTGTTATTATTAGGTAAAGTTATAAATAATGCTGAGTAAGGCGATATTTTTGTGATTTTATTGAAATGATTTGTATGGCAAAAGATATACACACGCCTGGCAAACAGCGGCGGTGGTAGCAGCAACAACAGTAGCAACAACAGTAGCAGCAACAGTAAAAAAAATAGCAGAAGGTACGTACCAGCATTACTACGATTTGGATAACAAACATGCAGCAGGTCTTCTTGCAGATTAAGACAAAGTTGGCAGGCAGACAAGCAGTAATTGGCCAGAGTAGGAGGATTTGACTGTCTATCTATCTCATGTTTATTTTTTATTTTTAAAATTTAAAATTTAAAATTTTAATTTTAATTTTTTTTGATATATATATATATATATATATATATATATATATATATTTCATTGAAGTGTACCAAAAACAGTAATGACAGCGGCAAAGTATCCGTTTGATTAATTGATTTATGACGGGAGACATGACAAAAAAAATAATACAAACAATGATATGAGGGAATACTTGAAATAGAAATATAAATTAGTGGGCTTATTTGAGAACTAATTATTATATACAAAAAATTAAAATATAAAAAAAAAAAAAAAAAAAAAAAGAAGAAATATTTGAAAAAAATTTTTTTTTTTTTTTTTTTAAATTAAATTATAGAAATAACGGCGGGAAGCTACCAAAAGATTTACTTTTTAAATTTTTTTTAAATTTTTTTTAAATTTTTTTTAAATTTTTTATAATAAAATATATTTTATATGAAATAAAATAAAATAAAATATAAAATAAAATAATAGATGCACATCACGTTAAAAACACGAAACCCCCGCGTGTTACGCGTCGACGTTTAATGCCAAATGCAGGGCCAAAAAAATATAAGCATATATATATAATAATAGTTTGTAAGTGTGTAATAACCATATTTTTTTTTTTTTTTTTAAATGCATATATACCAGTCTAAAATCTTTATGTACTATGAAAAAAAAAAGGAGAAAAATTGAATATTAAAAGGATGTTTTTCATTGAGTTTTTATTTTTTTTTTTTATTTAATTGAAATACAATGTTGAGATAAGACTTTCAAAATTCAATGTTTTTAAGTTACCTAGTAAGACTTGTAATTGAAAAGTTTGTTACCCCCCCCTACTACTTCAACTTCAACTACAAATTGAACTACAAATATATATATATATATACAACTATATAAGTACTAAGAGTTAATTTGAGGTTATCGCCTATTAAAGCGCGAAAAAAAAAACAAAAAAAAAATGTTTGAGCCTTTTAACGACTTTTTAAAATATCAATTTTAAAATATCAATTTTATTTATTTAATAAAAATTAATAAATATTAATAAAAATTAATAAAAATGGCATTTTTATAAATACTGGCTCACACTATTTATTATTATTAAATTATATTATTTTATAGCACTATTATTACTACTATTACTACTACTATTTTCACACCCCTCCTCCCCCCTTTTTTTAAAAAAATTATCACCACCACATATAAAAATAATAAACCCTTTTCTTTCCTTTTTTTTTTTCCTTACCAACCAACCAACCAACCAACCCCCTTTTTTTTTTTTATTTTTTTATAATTTTTTTTATAAATAAAATCCTTTTTTTTTTTTTTTCTTTCTTTTCTTTCTTCTTATATTTTTTTTTTTATTTTAGATAAATAAATTCAAATATATTGAATATTTTTTTTTTTCATATATATAAAATTAAAATAATTAAAAAATAACAATGTCCATGACGGAGCAATTCTATTCGGCTCCACAAACTGCCACCACTCCAGGCTCACAAGCCTTTTCTTCAAATAACCCATTCCGCCGTGGCTCTTCACCTCTAGCAGGTCAATCATCTTCTAATCCTACAAATCCTGGAAACTTTCAAGGAAATATCGCAAACTATTCTTCTGGTATTTCATCATCATCAAATCGTCATAGCCCACCAATTGAAGGCCCTATCCCTGCTACCCATTACGCTAGAATTCCCTCAGGCACAACTTCAACTTCTGCTATTCCTCCAGCAGTTACCCCAAGAAGACCCTCATACCCTAAAACTCTCCCTATAACTGCTCCTCAAAGACCAGCTTCTACATCAGGAATTAACGACTCTTTTGATTTTGAAGATAACGTTCCACGCCAAAGCCCACCAAATTATTCCCAACGTCAAGCTTCTTCAAGCTCATCAAAATCTTTCCCCACTTCTCGCAAGGGTAGTGTCAGTAGCAACCCAGACGGTCTTGTACCTTTGTCTTCCATCCCCCCTCATAATAATAATAACAATTTCACTGGAAGACGCCCGGTTTCTTCTGTTTACGGCAACCCCCGTTTTTCAACCTCAGACCAATCTCTTTTCCGCTCTCATTATGATGGCCCAGAATTATTGACTGGACCTCTTGGAATTCATCCTGCAATTCATGGAGGTGCTTACCGAGACTCTGGTTATGATCTTGTGGACCCAAAATCTCCTTCTGACCCATCAATTAATGGTGGTGGTTCGTCATCATCAGCTGCTGCTGCTGCTGCTGCTGCTGCTACTTCCAATGGGAGTGGCTCTTACGATGATTATTACCATGGCCCAAGATACCACCAATATGATCCACGGTACGACCCACGGTACGATTCTCGGTACGACCCAAGATATGACCCTCGTTATGATACACGTTATAATCCTCGCTACGATCCTCGCTATGATCCAAGATACGACCCACGATATGACCCAAGATATGAGCATCGTTATGACCAGCGTTATGATCCACGTTATGATCCAAGATATGATCCACGTTATGATTCTGGTCCTCATCATCACCCTAGTGCTGCATTTCCTGGACATCCTCCTCCAAGATACGACTCACGTTTGGAGCTTCCTACTAAATACCCTCTTCGTCGCACCAGTGAATCAAGCAATAATCAATCTCGTTCGCGTACCCCTTCCGATGCTGCAACAGTTATTCCAAAGTATGTTTATTTTTTATTTATTTTTTTTCATTTTTTTTATTTTTTTTTTTAAAAAACAGGTTCAAAACTTTAACTTTCCGGGAAAAGAAAGTTTTGCACTGTTTGGAAAATCAAAAAAAAAAAAAAAAAAACTTTAAAAACTTTAAAAAAATTTAATACTAACTAATGAACCCTTAGACGTCAAGTAACAAATCCCTTTTTGGATTCTGAAGATAATGAAGAACCTTCAAAGCCTTCATCTTCATCTTCATCTTCATCTTCATCTTCTAAACCTTCTGGAGTACCTTCTGTTACACCGCGTGCAGCTGCTTCTTCTGCAAGTCCCTCAAATGGAATCCCCCCAGCTTTTACTCGTAAGCATGGACCACCGGCATTTGCAAGACCAAATAGTACATCTTCTTCAGTTCCCCCTCGTTCCCGTAGCCGTCCTGTGACTATGTTTTTTGAGAGTGATTATGATGATTATGATAGTATTATTGGTGGATATGAAGATGATTCTGGGTCTAATCATAGTGGCCATGACAGAAACAGTGGTTATGGAGGAGGTGGTGGCCCTGGTGGTCATTATCCTCATAACCCTCGTCGGTCTAATTTTTATGGTACAGCAGCAAACTTATCTCCAATGGGACCTCCAAATTCTTCTTCTTCTTCTTCTAAATTCGGAGGAGGCAATAGAAATCCTCCTCCTTATATCCCGTTTGATGGTCCAAGTCATGGATCTCCAGGACCTGGTTCAAGGGTGCTGCGCAGAACAAACTCTAACGACTCCATTTTTGCCTCCTTCCACCCACCACTACCACCTTCTACCCTAAATAAGCAACAACAACACCCAAAACAGCAGCCACCTACAATGAAGCGCCCTTTACCTGCCCCTGTCTCTGCTATTACTACTACTACTACTACTACTACTACAAATAACACAACTACTAACACTAACACTAACACTAACAAAATCACCCCCTCTGTTGTTGTTGTTGCTGCTGCCCCTACCACCACCACCACCACCACTACAAATCCATCCACAACCACCACAAAAACTTCTTCTTCTTCTTCCCAACCACCTGTTCCTTCCTCTTCTAATATTAATACTACTACTACTACCAACAACAACAACAACAGCAACAACAATACATCTACAACAACAAATCAATCATCATCATCCTTTTCTTCTTCTACTTCTTCTACACTTCCACCTCTTAAAAAACAACCTCCTCCTCTTCCTCCACCATTGGCTTATCAAGAAAACGCTCGTAAATCTCTTCTTCTTGACTTTGGACAACCAAAACCAGCCTTTAGTCGCCCTCGCCACCTTCGCTCAAACTCAGACTCTTCTTTAATGGAACCTGCTCAATTTCGTCAACAACCCCCTCACTCTGGGTCTTCTTCACGCTCGTCTAGACCCCACGAGTACTCATCGACCTCTTCATCTTCTCGTCGTCGTGAAAGTGATGACTACAAGCCATCCGAAGAAGGACGTTCATCTCGTGATCGTGAACATCGTTCCAAGTATAAGGAATCCTCTTCTTCTTCTTCCTCTAAAAACCCCAAGAGTAAAGAATCTTCATCTTCTCGCCACCGTTCATCAAAGGATAAAAAACCTTCTCGCAAGGGCCCTCCCTTGGATACTATTGACCGTATGGATGTGACTGGCTTTTTCGGACCCGGATCGTTTCATCACGATGGACCCTTTGATGCTTGCACTCCTCACCGCAATAAAAATAACAAGAAGGCTCCAGTTGCTGCTTTCCCTATTAATGGCGCAAACAACTCTCTTGCTCTTGATCCCAACCGTGATCGCTTTTCTACAGAAAATAATATTTTGATGCAAGGTGACAATCCCGCATATCAGGATTATAGTAGCGCTGGCACTTCAAACATTCCACTCTTACGTCCTGGTGCTAATAAGAGCGAAACCTCTGTTACTTTTGACCCAACCCTTAAGGCTTCACAAGTCCATGGCAATACCACCATGGGTCTTGGGTCTTCTACTTTTTTGGAGGGTGCTCCTGCTCCCCGAGCTGCTGTGGATTCTGCAGCAGCAGCAGCTTCTTCTTCTTCTGGTCTTTCTCGCAAAAAGTCTCTTGTTCAAAAGATTCGAGGCACAGCATCTAGTAGCCCTGCCCCTCCTAGACCTCCTCGTGCTAGCTTTGATTCTTCAGGGCACCACCACACGTCATCAGAGTCAGGCATTGTTACGTATACCTCTGGCAATGGCAACACTTTTGTGTCCAGTGGTAATAATGGTCATGCAGGGGTTGATGGAGATGACGGTCCTACTCAAGATATTGAAAAGGGTATGGCAAGCATCAAGGTGTCATCACCCGACGTGGTGAGCTGGGATCACCACCACCACCATACACGTACTAATAGTAATGGAGGCAGTCCATCTCCTGCTGGACCTTCTTCTTCTACATCTCCTCCTCACCAAACTGGAACTAGTGATGCTCATAAGGGTAATGGTTTACTTCGCAGAGTTCGCAGTTTGAAGACTCCTGGTCGCCGTTCCGGTTAAAGATTGAAAAGAGGGGGTTCTTTCTTTCTTTTTTTTTTTTTTTTAAAAAAACAAAAAAGTGGAGAGATTTGAGATTTTGAGTAAGTTTAGTAGTTGGAGTAGGAGTCTCCAACGAACTTATAAAACCCACCATACAAGAACAAACAAACAAACAAACAAAAAAAAAAATAAAGAACAAGGAATTTTAAGGAATTTGAAGAATATTGGAATGAGAGAAAGATTTTTAGGGATTTTATTTTTTTTTTATGATTTATTTTTAATATATTTAGACTGGACTTTTAATTTTTTTTTTTTTTTTTTGAGAATTGATATAAAGAAAAAAAAACAATACCCATTGATCATCATCATCATCATTATGAATGAAGAAGAAGAATAATAATATGATGATGATTATTGCATGGAATTTTTTTTATTTATTTATTTTAATGATTTTATATTTTTATTTAATAATAACACTGGTACATGATCAATCATTTATGTCTGAGTCTTTTTATATTATTTATTTTATTTTATTTTATTTTATATGATTTTATTATTATTATTATCATTCAATTTTACAATTATTTATAATAAAAGTCTTACTACAAGTCTTATACAATGTTACTTGAAATCGCCGATCTTTAACAAGATGGAAATAAAAAAAGTAAAGTAAAGTAAAGCGTAATTGCGGGGTTTTCAACACAAACAAACAAACAAACCAACAAAACAGACAAAAGAAAGAAATAAAGAAATAAAGAAATAAAGATTGAAGTCCAAAGGAAATACCAAATACAATAATATCAATTACAACAATAACAAGGGGCGTGCGGGCTTTTATAATTTATTTTAAACTTCATTTTAGAACCGTCCTTTTATTTATTTATTTATTTATTTATTTATTTTTTTTTTTTTGTATTTCCGGCATGAGCGTATTTGCTGAGGTATGAAAGGAGGCATTTAGTAACAAGGGGTTATTGTTGTTGTTGTTGCCTGCTAACTAAAAAAAAAAAAGTGCAGTAACAACAATAATAACAGCAGCCTTCAAGGAGCAACAAAAAATAAAATAAAAATGAAAAAAAATGTTGTAACATAATAAGTAACAAATATATCACATGATTAATAAAATCACATGATATACACATGACTAAAGGGCAAAGGGTTTTATTTCTATCACACAGCTTTGCCCATCCGCCAACCACCCACTGCCCTGAAAAATTTTTCGCACTATCAACCATCTGAAAAAAATCAAAAAAACATCAAAAAAAAAAAAAAAACATCACCACCACCACCACCTATTCTAACCTACCAACCAACCAATCAATCAACCAACCAAATTGGTCTTTACCATCATCACCAATGATTCGTACACACTCGGTTCTGCGGACAACTTCGGCCGCTGCTTCCAGACTCCAAGCTGCATCATCTGCCCGACGCACATACTACGCGGTTCCTACTCTTTCAAACATTGACATCTCGCATGGAATCCCCGGACTCTACAGTGCAGAGCAGCTTGACGTGGCATGGACACAAACCCAAAAACATGCTGCAGATCAACTCAAGACCCGACTTGCTGGTGTGGTAGACCGCAGTTCTGGGAATCCAGAACTTCAACAACAGGCTGAAATTCTTGCCGAACAATCTTTGGATGATTTGGTGACACTTTCTAAAAACACACCCGATATGGATAAGGCTGTATCATACTATGCTGGACTCATATACAATAATGAGTTTTTTTTCCGTAGTTTACGCTCTCAATCTGTAGTTGCTACTACTGAAAGTGATGCTACTACTGCTGCTGATACCTCCATTGTTCGTGCTAAACGGTCCGATCTTTACAACCACATTGATATCTCGTCTTCAGTTGAAACAAACCCTATCCCATTGTTTGAAGAAGACTCTAAAAAAACTGCACCTGATGGTTCCTTAATCACTTCCTCCTATGCCAATCTTTACGGAACCGCAAACTCTATGAATAACCTCCAGCGTGTCGTCATCCATTCGTTTGGTTCAGTTCTCGCATTTAAGGAAAACTTTCTGGCGCATGCTGAAGCCATGTTTGGCGACGGTTACACATGGCTTGTTCGATCACCTTCTCGCAATACTCTTAACATTCTTAACACATATGGTGCCGGCACCCCTCACATTGCCTCTTTCTCTTCTCCTCCTCCTCCTCCTTCTTCTTCTTCTCTGTCTTCTCCATCTTCTCCATCTTCTCCCTATGGTGGTACAAAGCTTCCAGGTAATGTCGTCACCCAGGTTGTCCCCCTGCTTTGCATTAATAGCTCCCAACGAGCTTACCTCCACGACTATGGTGTCTTTGGTAAGCGTACTTATCTTGAAAATCTTTGGAATACAATTGACTGGCAAATTGTCAATGCTCGTTTTAAGGAGTCCATGACTTCTTACAAGTCTAATATGTCGCACAAGAATGGAAAAGTTTTATTTGAATATTAAAATTAAAAACAAGAAAAAAAAATATTGTACAAACCCAATCTCTTTGTAAATAATGTATAAAAAACAAAACAACCAAAAAAAAAAAAAAAAAAAAAAAAAACTATATCTACTATTCTTTTAAACATTTAATTTTTAATTTTTAATTTGCTTTTGTTGAAGCTCGTAGTATGCGGCCGCAATGGCTGCAGCTCCTTGGGGATCGACCCCAGATGCAGATGATCTTCTTCCTCGTCTCGAGTCCCGCTCGTAAAACGTTACTGCACGTAGGTATCCGAACCCAAAGTTAATTACATACACCGTTGCTATCACCATCAGAATAATTGCAGCCAGACTTTTCAGTGTCACAGGTTCGAAAAACGCGTTTGCAATATCTGCCAGGGTTTCTGCCAGCGCAGGGAAGTAAGCCATATCACCTGCATTTTCTTCTTCTATCATCATTAACTTCCCATTGTTCAAAAGTATCCCAGAAACCTCAGAAGGTGTCTCCTGAGAAGTACCCAAAAATGGTAGTGCTTGATCCATACAATGCTCCCAAGCTCTGCACGCGTCGTCAAGCGCAGGCACACGGACATCTGGGCGACATTCGTTGCGCACATACTCGACAGCACAGCGTTGGGCAGCCGACAACAGTGCAGCTCGTTTGGAAGCCATTTTGGATAGCACGTCACGACGCAAAGCACGACCGGCACCAGCTAATGCAATACCTGCAAACACAACAATGGCGGCGTTGGCAAAGAGTTGTAAATACGACGAAACCACATACGGAGTTAGAGCTGCCCGTTGTAATGCGTGATGACGGTCCAAGTGCGCAGCCATTGCTGCGATCCATGCGGGTGTTGGGGTAGGCAAAGCAGGTGACTGGTCTTGTGGGGGGTAAGCAACGGCGTGTTGATGTTGATTTTGTTGATTTTGTTGTGGTTGTTGTTGATGATGTTTTTGATCAAATGTACTTGTACTTGTAAATGTCTCATTAATGCTAAGATTGTCAAGGGCTGGTGATAAACTTGGTTCTGGAGGATGTTGGTAAAGTGCCAGATGAGCCCCGGCAAGGGTTGGTGAAAATAGTAAAGAGGCCGTGCTTTGTGCGGTACTCGAATGATCCGGGACCTGAGTTTCTTGGTTTTGTTCCCGCGCCACCATTACAGGTTGTTTAGACCTTCGTAACTGGTACTCTTCTACCAATGGTTCTTCTTGTGTTTGGGCCCGGTTCCGAAGACCTGTTAATGATGGCGGAGGCGCGTCCTCCATATCAATTTCAGGGACACCTGGATCTGCCATCATCATGGGCATTACCTCCATATCCACGTCAGTATCTGAGTTTGGTATTATTTCATGTAGTGTATCGAGTGAATGCCGGATGCTGGCTAGTGATAGTGGGGCCGAAGAATGATTTTCATTGTTGCTATCATTTTCAGTTGTTGTTGCTGTTGCTGTTGCAGCAAGTGAATCTGGTAATGAGAACCCTAATGTTGATAAAGATTCGAGGCTTGAGCTTGAATGGTAGGCTGAATGTCTATTGTAAGGTATGGACATTTTGTGATAATAGTTTTATTTTTTTTTATTTATTAATTGTTTATTTATATAATTATTGTAAGATAAGATAATGTTGAAACTTTTTTTTTTTTTTTGGGGGGGGGGTGATGGTTGGTTGGGTTAATGTTGTTGATATTGGAAATCAATGGTAAAAAAAAAAAACAGGCGGCTTTGGAAGTTAAAGTTAATTTCCTATTTGGGTAAAATTTGGGTGAATTTTTTTAATAAAATTTCTAACTAATTAATTAATGAATTAATTAATTTTTTTTTTTTTGACGTTTCTTCACAAAAACAAAATATTAGCTGACTCAGCACACGTGACCTTAACAATCACAACATAAACAAACGTTGGTGCGGCGAATTTTTTTTTTTCTTGGTGGCAGCAGATCCCACGTGTTACAATATTTGTTACAATCTGGCCAACAACAGGTACCTTTAAAGGGTGTTTATTTATTTACAGTACAAAAAAAAAATAAAAAATTCTTTTTTTTTTTTTTTGTATACAAAAACAAAACCTTTTACATTCACCATCACTACCACCATTAAAATCATCATAAAAATCTCAATCTACATCTTTTGGAATCAATAACTTAGATCAACTAACTCTCTTTCAAAGATCAACAACAACAACAACATCAACTCTTCAGCCTAACCAACTTTGACTCCCCTCCCTTTTTTTTTTTTAAAAAAACTCACCACTTAACCAGGCGTCCTTCCCTTTGGTTGGTGCCGTTTATTCTCACATTCCGGAACAGATTGTAAACATGTTTTCTATCGTCCCGAAGGTATGCTTTTTTTTTTTTTAATAAATCTTTAAATCTATATATTCCCACATTTCCCAAAAAAAAAAAAATCAAAAATCAAAACTCTCCATTCTTAAACCTAACAATCTACCTAGAGCTTTCTTTTCTTTCTGCCATTATCTCTTGGCGCTGATATCGTCATATGTGCCGGTATTCTTAATAAAGCCAGCGGCTTCTATGGCCTGCTGTCTCTACTGACAGGTCACCCCTTGAGCGTTGTATCATGGATCCTCCACATCATGTCCCTCGTTTCTCTCCCCATTTACCTCTACGCCTTTATCGCCCTCAAAAACCGCAACGCCCTTTACATTCTTCTTTTTGCATATCTTTATCTCATAGACACTGGCATCGACATTGGTTTCACAATTGTCTTTTGCATCAAATGGTTTGCAGAAGCTCGCCACGCTTCTAAAGACGCCATCGATAGTGTTGTTTCTGCAGTAGGAGCTGCTGCTAATGAAGCTTCTGCTTCTTCATCAAACTCATCTTCTATCCCTACTCAAATCGCATCGTTAACAGAAGCAGCAGCAACAACAGCAACTACAACAATAGCACAAAATGCAGGATTCTCTATAGCCACCGCTCCACCACAACCACCACCATTATTCAAGCGCATGACCGAAGCCTTGGCCGAAGCTGCAGCTCTTGCAGAACCCGCTGTAGCGGCATCTGCATCATCCACAGACAACACCGCTAACCAATCAACTTCAGTCGCTCGTGAATCTGTTGTCACAATCATTCTCACAGTAGTCATCTTGCTTATGCGCATCTACGCAACCTTCATCATCATTGCCTACGCTCGTAAACTTGTGCGTCAGGAAAACCTTCGCAAGTACAATGGAACGCCTAAAAAATCGGCACGCGCTCGTCTCCAGTGCATCCTTCTTACTCCCTTCGAGTCCTTCTGGACGGGCTTTTCGTCTCGTTCTTCCACATACTCGCCTCTTAACGGTGACGGCAGTGCCCTCGCCCTCGCAAAGACTTCAAGTGGAAGCCGGCGGCACAATGCCGGGTCATCCTCGATTGCCTCGGATGCAGGCTTGCTTGCTAGTCCATACCAAATTAGTGACGATGAAGATGAAGATGACAGTGATAATGCGGCAGATAACCATGACTTTGTCATCAAATCTTCTCTTAACTTGGATCATCCAGATGAACCTGCCTTAAACACTTCTGCTGCCGGTTCAAGCTCACCTAATACAGATATAGATTTGGAGCGCTTGGGAGCTGATGACCCATTTTCTCCAAAAACACCGCGATCATAAGGGAATTTTTTTTTTCTTTTTAAACAAAATAATATACTGAGTCATGGCTAAATCATAACACTGACACTAATCATAATAATAATAATAATAATAATAATAATTAACCCAATAATAATTTTTGAATGTAAACATTCTTTGGTAACTTAAAATAAAATATTAAATATTATAAGCGTAAAACTGTAGAAATTCCCGCGCACATTTCATCCAAAATAGGAATCTTAAAAATTTATCTTTTTTTTTTTTTGATCGGGTTATTTGATTTATTTATTTGAAGGGTAAAGAAAAAAAAAAAGAAAAAAAAAGAAAAATCCTAGAAAAAGTTCTGAATTTGTAAAATATCATTGTGCGGCTCAAATTTCTTTTCGACAACACTCTTGGTGTTATGAAGTAAAAAAAAAAAAAGAAAATCTTTGAATAAACCTCCATTAATAACCACCCCACTTGATTAATTTTTAACATCATCATTATACCAGCTTTTTTTATTTTTTTTATTATATTTTTTTTCAATAATCATTGCTTAAATTAAAACAGCTTTATTATTTGCTTAAAATGCTTAGCTTAAACACTTTTCATTTGCATGAAACACCTTTGGTCGAGGATCTCATAAAAGATCGTTACTCCTTTAAGCTTTCTAAAACCCAATTCCAACTAACTGAAAATGCTGTTGCCGAAGTTAAACCAGTTAAATCAAAACCCAGCGAAACAAGACAACATAAATTTATTAAAATGTTTTTACGCCGTGGATCACACACACTTTCCTTTAAACAACATAACGATATTATAATTAAAGAATACTTAAATTCAGGAAACCCAACTGACTGGCGTTGTAATACCACAAAAGCATGGGCCGGAAAACAAAATGATTATTTTCAGGTACTCCAAAACACTCACCATTTGCTTTCCAATGGAGATTCACTCCGCGCAATAGATATACTATACTGCTCCCAAGTCGTAGCATCACAATTCCAATCTCTTATTAAAGCTGAAGGCCGTAGAACTCAAGTGTCTATAAATTTAAGTTGCCCCTGTAGCAAATGCCGCCGTGGCTTTCAGTTTTATGGTGCTATTGGTAAGGTCCAAGTTTTGTTATGTCTGGACGATGTGTTTTTAAAATTTTTCCGCAAGGCTAAGCTCAATCTTGAAACAAGTCTATATGAAGTTCGCACCATAGCTAATATTGTGGGGGTATATAGTGATAACATGGAAAATGCATTATCTCTTTTAGACAAGGAATACATGGTTAAATTTGCATGGAACCAGAAAGATTTTGAAAAATTGATGGCAGAAATTGATATTTTCCAATTGAAAACAATAAAAAAGGAAATGAAAATGCAAATTTTATTATCAAATTTAAAAAAAATACGCGCAACAAATTCTCTTCAACAGCGGTCTCTTCAAAAAAGTCATTCATTTTCAGATTTGAAAAGCTTGAAAAATTTGACTAATTCTTATTCTGACCAAAATTTCTTTTATTCTTTTAAATCATTAACATATCAGGATGAAGATAACCCAGAACCACGAAACCAAAAACGGAAATACAAAAACGATGAAGTTAGGTTTAACACTGAAATAAAACTACGGAAAGCAGCAGATTTGGTAATAAATTGTTTTGCAAAATATAATTTAGACAAGTCAGCATTCAACCAAAAACTAGTGATTATTTCAGATTTAAATATGTGGAAAACAAACCCCTCTGGGCAATTTACCTTGTGGACTGCTAACCTTGTACTCAAAACAAATAACTTGACACATTTTTGGGATCTAGGCACATGGATGGACTTGTTCATGTCATCTGGAAATGTACTAAGCAAAGGAAAATATCGTATGAAAAGTCTAACAAGGCTTTATACAAACCTTGAAAAAGTTGCCAAAAACTCTGAAACAAAAAAGAAAACCCGTTTATTCAAGCCTAAAAATAAAACAATTTCTTTTAAAATCCCCAAACCTCGTTCCTTTATATCTAAACAAGAGTTTGAAGAGTTTCTAACTGATTTAAATTCAGCATTTACTAAAAGAGATTTTTGGGATGAACGCTTAAAAACTGTCTGCATTTGCCAACTACTTCGAGTCATTACTAACTTTCAAGCTTTTCTTACAATCCACAGTGCTGACTTTATCAAAATGATTACCAACCCCAATAGAAGAAATATCAATATTTATTTGATAATTCAAGGTTTTGTAATCTTATTGGATATCATGGGGGTGCATGTTCGTGGACCGAAATTTGCAGATTTTGACTACGTCATGAAGCTAAGCGAAGACAATTATATGTTTTTTTTCTCAAATCTTATGGATGTCTTTTGCAGTTTTATTTATTTTTTTTCTCCTAAACTTACAAGCTTTGATAGAGGTCCTGAAGTTTACATCACTTTTAAGTATTTGGCCATGGGTGGGCTTTCAAACCATCTTTTGAAGCCAAAAAATTCAATAATTGATTACAAAACTGGGTTTAAAGATAAAATCAATTTTAATACATTTTTACAAGATTTATACACAATAGGGCATATGAAGTTTGAATTAGAAGATCTCTTTTACAGAGATTTGACTACAATATCGGTACAGGGTCACGTTTATGACCCAGATAGAAGTCGGTTACAGTTTATGAATGATATACCTTTGAAGTTTTTTCTGGCCCCAGATAAATCTATTTGTTCTTTAGATTACAAATCTAACTGGCTTCAAACCCATCGTCATATTTTACTATGCTGTTGCAGGTTTGGTCTCTGTAACTGCAAGCGCAAAGTGTTTTACACTTGTACTTGCAAAGAATATTCAAGAGCCACTTGTAATTGTTATCCACGAAGCATCACCAGTCCGGATTTCAATTTATGTAAATGTGGCGCACGCAACTTTGATGAATGTAAATGCGGCGCCACAATTCACGCCTATGGTTTGGCATTTGCAGAAAAACCATTCAAGCCATTAAAGCAAGGGGTTTGGACTCATTTTCCAAATATTTCTGTGGTGCTTAAGGATATCCAAAAAATGCTTGATACTTATCATTTTTACAATACATTGTGGACAAGTGAAGAAAATCTTAGTGATTACTTTTTCGAGATTTTCAACTGTATTTATAACCAAAACTCAAAATGGATTCGCTTCATTGAGCGCAAACTACCCCGCATTTTTGCCAAACGCCAAAACCAACCGTCGAGCACACTAATTGACCACCCACATTTCTACCTGCGGTACAAGCCCACGCGCATGGCAGTTTTCCGTGAGATTTGGAATTTGAAAAAGGCAATGGAAACCAAGAGTATTAAAAGTGATCCGCGGATATTTTATTCTTATTGGGGGTACAAGTTTTTAGAAATTGCTATACCTGGAATCATGAAGCTAAAATTTATGCGTCCTGCAATTATGACCTTGACGCAGTTTTGTGCCATTGCTTTATTTTCACTATGTAATGGAACAAACCCAAAAGAAGTTCGAGATAGCATGCGACTTTGTATTACAAATGTAAGAGAAAAGGTTACCGATTTTATGAAGTGGACTGAAAGAATAATGGAGCTAAACAATGAAGCCCAGATTAGTAGCTACGACTCTATTTCTAAAACATTTTGCGCTAAAACTCAAGAAGAGTATTATAAATTGATACCATTGGGATTGGCATTGCGAGATGAGGGCGATATTAACAATGATGGAGATAAAGATGATGGCAAGAAACATTTCAAAGATAAGACCAAGACTTGGAATAATGGGAAATCAGCTTCTAAAAAAAATAAAAAGAAGAGAAAGCGAATCAACAAGTATGTCGCTTATGATGATGATGATAATGAAGAGGAGGAAGTGGAAAGTAATTTGGAAAAGAAGGAAAATGGTGGTGTAGAAGAGACTCAAATTGATACTGATGAGTCAAAAGTCGAGACCAAGGTTGATGAGAGATTAGTGACTGGATCATCAAAGGAAGATAAAACAGTAAAGGAGAAGAAATCAGAAAAGAAAATTAAGAGAACAAAAAATGAGGGAAAAGATAAAGAAAAGGAAAAGGAAAAGGAAAAGGAAATCAAGGAGAGAAAAGTACTCCAAAAAGATAAATCAGTAACTACTAAACCCACTATTAAAACTGGAAACAAAGCCAAACCCAAAGAGACAATTAGTTTCCCGTTGGTTAAAATAGTGAATCCAATGGTTGCCAAAAAAGATTTAGTGCCTCCACCAGAAGAAGAAAAAAGGTCATTTTTGGAAGATATTTGTCTTGATTCAGAAGATAGTCTAAGTTTCATTGAAGAAGATATTATTGAAGGAGACGAGAATGTTTTAGTAGATGCAGAACTGGATTTGAAGATGAAGCCTGTTTTTGCGAATACAAAACCTGAGCCTAAAAACAAACTGGATTCTTTGGATGAAGATCCAAATCTAAAAGAAAAGCTTAGTTTGGAGCAAGTGGAATTAAAACAGGAAGAAGAGCCAAGTGTTGTGAATGCAGTTTCAGTACAGACAGATGAGCCAACCTCAGCCCAAAATATACTGGAGCTGAAAAAGAAGCTAAAAGTTGCAAAAGAAAGTTATGAGCAAAAAGGAAAAACTAGTTTTAATTTTGCACAACTTGAAACAAAAGCGGATCCTGTGCATTTTAATGAAGATTTGGTACCAAAAGACAAAAGTTCAGTACCAACTGACATGTTGGTCTTTTCCAATGAAGGTCACAGTACCGAAATCAAGTCCAGTTTGGTGGAAGAAGCTTTAGTTTCAGAAACTAGTTTTGTTCCACAAAAACTAGTTTTGATTGATTCTCAAAATTCTTTTGAAAAAAATTTAAGGCTAGAAGAAAACTTAAGTTTGATGATTGACAAAGAACCACCAACTTTAGACGGCCAGCCGTCCTCAATTGACAGAAAACCTGAGCCAGAAGCAGACAATATTGTGGAAAGTACAACAAAGGAAAGTGTTGATAATTGTACTAGTAAACCGACTAGTTCTAAGAAAAAGTCAAGGAAAAATTCATGGGTCACAATTCCTTGGGGAGGTGTGATTAATTGTGATGAACCTGTTCAAGCTCCAGTTTTATCTTTTGGCAGTTCTGATGATGAAGAAAGCAGTGTGGAAAGTGCAGATTTAAACAAAAATAAACATTTCCCTTTATTTTCACCAGTTTCTAAGTCTTTTGAAGTACCTTTAGAAAAATTAAAATCACCACATTTATTGGATCAATTGACACCGGAGCTTTTATCAACAGATGAAGAACAGAATTGTGAATGGTCTATTAATAATCCGCTGGCGTGCAAACTTTTTGGATCCAAGCCAATAGAGGATGTTTTGGATTGCTTGGAAAATGAATCAAAAGTCATAAAAAATGAAGATGAAGGCATTTCCTTTGACAATGTATCTAACGTACAACAGTTTTTAGATGCTGAGAAGTTACAAGTGATTGCAGATAGTTATGGTGAAAAATTGAAAGAGGTTAAGGGAAAGGTTTCTACTTTGAATAAAAAAGATATGCCTAATGAAACAGTTTTAAAGTCACTAGCATTTTCTTCTATGACAACAAAAAAAAAGGAGTTATTTAAAAAAGTTTTTGATATTTTAGGGGTGCCAGGGACTTTTGAAGACAATGCTTGTGACCTTTCCAAGGCCTTTTCTGTGATCAATGATGCCATGTTGCTAAAACGTTTTTTGGGCATAACTGACAGTATTGTTTCTGATAAAGACTTAGCACTTCAAATTTACCAAAACAAAAACTGGATGGAAAGTTTTAATAAAAACGTTTTGGTGTTTCAGAGCGAAATTGATTGTTGTGTTTCGGAAAATGGGCCGAAACAGGCAGGTGGCGATAAGCTTAAACAAGGTGGGGATGAGGAGGAACAAGAACCCCAAAAGAAAAAAGAGAAAGAGAAAGATAAAGTTGAAGAAGTAAATGAAAGACCAGCTAGCCAGTCTTCAGAAGAGTCTCTTGTTGATCTTTCAGAACTCCCAGAATCCTTTAACTATCATTCTCTTTGTGATGCAGTTTTACCACGTACTCGAGATTATTTTGGTGCTGCTGAGCGGGTACTTTCGGTGACACCCCCACAAAACATTTCGAGACTAGCAGATTTTAAAAAATCTACAGCAGATCAACAACAACAACAGCAACCCCTTGAGGTTTTTAATAATTATTATAACCCACCACTACCACCACCATCACAACGGCATCTAGCCAAGAAACGCTATGCGTGGGAATATTTCTCCACAATTAAGAATTGCAATCCAGCAACCGAGCAGCAGCAGCAGACGCAACAGCAACAGCAGAGATCTTCTTCCTTTTTGGGCTTTCTTAATAAAAACCCAAAACCGGTGAATCCTCCTTTGGAACCAGTCTTGAAGTGGTTCGAGTCTAACTCTAATGAAACGCCAACCGCAGTGTCACACGCGTTTAATATACGTCTGCCTCCTGTGCATGTCGCTGCCGTGACATTAAATAATTATAATTTTAACTGTGGACTTGCTCAAAATGGTGGTCAGCCTAATCCTGTTTTGGAGCCTGAAACTAATCAATTTGAAGAACAACAACAACAACAACAACAAGCCTTGAACAATGCCACATTAACTAGCCAAGAGAGTTTATCTATTTATCAGCAGCAACAGTCAAATTTTACTATTAGTATGCCATCTACGGCTGCTGCTGCTGCAATTCCTCCTTCTTCTTCTTCTTCTTCTTCTTCTTCTTCTTCTTCTTCTTCTTCTTCTTCTATAATTTCGACATCTCAGCAATATCATAGCCAACCTTCTACTGCTTCTTCTCAAATGCCCTTAGTTTCTTCTGGTCAATATTTAGGATTTACTTCTGCAATCCCACAAAACCCATATGCAACTATGCTTCATTCAAATTCTCAGTTTCAAGATGCCCATCTGTATCCTTACAACACTTACTCTTCTTATCATCAGCGTTTAAACAATTTAAACTCACCAAACCCTCCTCCGGTGTTTTCGCAGTTTTTAGATGACAGAGAATTAATTGCTGATAACACGCCTTCAGTTACCCAGAATTACCAAACATCACATCAATTTCCAAATCGGCCGATCCAAGAACCTTCACAGCAACGATACCCGTTTCATCAACCCCAATCGCTGCAGCTTCAACAAGCACAGTCTCAACTACCTGAACAAGGTTTATCGCAGCAGCCAATACAATCAGGCCAACTATTACTTCAACAACCATTTGATCCTCCATGCCTTGTTCCAGATGTTTTACCTCCCATGCAGATGCAATATGGAAATGCTCTTTATTCAACGTTTACACCTTATCCTAATGACAGAAACAATTCTGCTAATAGGCGACCTGATTCTCAAAGCAATCCAAACCAACCATCAATGCCAAGCACAAATATTATAACAAGTAGAAACAACATGACTCAATCTGGCATCACCACCACCACTACTACTACTACTGTACCAGCTGCTCCAGTTTCACCAATGCAAAATTATGTGGTGAATAATATTTTGACACCTTCCTTAGGACCAGCAAGTATTAATCCTCAATTACTAGTAAATCAACAAGTACATCCTGTTAATCAAGATTCAATGTGGTCACGACATCAGCAATCTTATAATGGCAATTATGATTATAATGGAAATTTTATCCAAACCTCTTACCCTTCACAACCACCAATACCAGCTTCGGCACAGATGTTGACTCCTGAAAGAAGTAGTACAAATACACCACAAGGAATGGTGAGCACATCTATAATACCCTCAATGAATTTAAATAACCAAAATATCTATGGAGTTAACCAAACAACAACCCAAGAAATCAATGAAAATAACCTGAATGAAATCAACACATTTTTACAGGGTCCCGGGCCCTATAGTCGAGAATACAAGGATACCTTTTCTAATCAAGGATTATATTTCAAAGGCTGGAATAACGGAAAATGATGATGATCATGATGATTAAAAGTTTGTGTTGATTAATAGAACTATGTGTATTTTTGTAACGATAATAATGATGATTTTTTTTTCTTTTTTTAAAGTTGCTCTTTTTTAAGTTGCTTTATAAAACTTTGTTATTTTGATCTTTGTTTGTTTTTAGAACACTGTTCTATTTTTGGACATGTTTTTCTGTTTTGGGAATATTTGAAAATTTAAGAATTGTATCCTTTTTTTAAATTAATATATTGAAAAACAAATTTTTTTAAAAAATTTCATACATTAAATCAACAAAAAAAACTTGTATACACTTGTTTGTTTGTATTTATTCAAGGGTTATAGAATTATATAACATCAGCAACTTGTATACACTTTTATTTTTTTTACTGTTTTTGATCATTCATCTTTTAATTAAAAATAATTTTAAACTTTTAAATTACTTGGGCGTCTGGTGTAGTTGGCTATCACGTTCGCTTAGCATGCGAAAGGTCCCCGGTTCAACTCCGGTGTCGTCCATTACCTTTTTGTTTCACTTTTTACTAACCAAACACAGTTCATGTTAGTTTCTTTTATTCTTAATTTTGTTTTTCATTTAAAAGATCTCCTTTATTCTCACCAATTTTTTCTTCTTTTTCAAAATTACTGCTTGCTATTTTTTTTTTTTTTTGCAGGAAAAAAAACGACAAATCTATTATTTTTGCTTTTTTGTGCTAATAAAATTACCTTGCTATGAACTTAATAAAACCAATAATTGATGTCAACAATGACGACAATAACGACAATGACGATCCCCCAAGTGAAAACTTCTTTAGCGTCGATAATGAAATTTGCGAACGTGCAAAAAGATTAATTATTCCTCCCCGAATTGAAAACCTTGTCACCAGACATTATCGCCCTCCTTTCCCAGATAAATATGCCAAATTATATGCTGGGGCTGTAATAGGTGTCCCTTTTTTAAAGGAAGAGATTGCCGATAGACCCAAAAAGTCTGAAAAGCAAACAGGAACAATTGAACTAGACATGTCTGTTATTGATTTAAATAGCGACCCTAACTGGTTTATTGGATATCTGATTCAAAATAAAAGCAGCTATGAAAAAATGGTTAATCTAGTTTCATCCAGTTATCGCATATGTGAGAGTACGGAATGCCCTGAAATTTCATTTGCAGAGTTTTTGATTCTTGCTCAAAATGTCACGGAAATTACCAGATTTTCAATGTTTTATGACTCAAAATCAAAATCAGTTTCTTTTAATTATAATTCACCAGATTCTGATGACCAAAATGGGTTCAACAAAGTATATTTAGATCGAATAATTTCGGGTCCAGAAGAAATTAAACATATGAATGACATGTTATCTAAAATTCATGAAGTTCCATATGAGTTTGTCACATTATCAACTACTAAAAAACTTAAAAAAGACAATATCACCAGTACAAAAAAAAAGCCCTATTTGTACTTAAAAGAAAAAAATCAGGATTTTGCAAACGCTGCGTTTTTCGACGCTCAAGGATTTCACCAGGCATTCATGGGACGATGGGATTTAGTTGCCGAAAGATTATACGACACTTTTAAAAATCATGACGGTAATATCAATGGTACCATTAATAAGGATGACCTAGACGGGTTATTTAAAACTATAGACAAAGCATCAAGAGAGTATGTGGGTAAAATGGAAGAGGAAACAAATGGTGTCAAGATTCAACATTATTATACCAAAATTAGAGATGGGAAATTTCTTGCCAAAAGGTTCTCCGAAATGACTAATGATTTAAAAAATAATGAAACATCCATTTTATCAGCTTATTTAAAGTGTCCATGTGATTATTGTAAAAATGGCCTGCTTCTTCATGGGAATCTTAGTATGATTCTTCCTGATACTCCATATCCATTTGGACCTCTAGAAGCCTCTATGCCATTGAAAGTCGAAGCTGGCTATACCATCTCCGAAAGCAGTCTTCGAGATTCTTTTCTCACACAATGTTTTATTGATATTCAAAATGAAGAAGAGTTTTACAGTTTTGTAATTGCACAAGTGACTGAATTGCATATACCTTATAATGATTCCAATGATCCAAATTTTTATGGAGATTTTAAGCTAGAGCATATTTTAAGTCAACTGGGAAGTTATCGCATTGTGCCGTTTAAATGGAGTTTTTTTCATTATATGAAATCCGTTTCTTGGCTTGTAAAGAGATTTGATGAAAGGGAAAGGATGGAAACAAAAAGAATCAACTTTCTTAACCGACTGAGAAAGCTTAGGGTACCAAAAAATTTAAAAAGACCAGAATTACGTCGAACTCAGTCATTTTCTGATTTACGGTCTTTACATCATTATGGAAACGAAAAAAAGACAGATGATTTTATTTACGATATGGCAACAAAGTACTACAGCAGCGAGCAAGATTTAGACAATATAACAGATATTCACCTAAAGACATTTTCCACCAACAATTTCAATTTAAGCTATATTCAAAATAATTGGAATTCTTATGGAAGAGAATTACCGACGGAAAAGAAATTACGGGAATGTGCCGTCTATATTAAAACCTGTTTTGATCGTTACTTTTTGAACGTTCCTAAAAAGTACCAATTGCTAATAGCAGAAGATGAGTTATGGAGAGCAAAGGAAAGCAAATCATTGTGGACGGCTTCTATTTTAAAAGATTCTCCAAATTTAAAAAGATTTTTTGAACTTGGTGTTGCTTTTGATACACTCATGATTACTCAAAAAGAATTAGAGACTGAGAAATTGTTTGAAATTCCCTTTAATCTATTAAAGCTATTGTCAAATCCTGAAGCTGCAAAGGCACGGTTGAAAAGAGGGTCGGATGTTCGCTTGTTTCCTAAGTTTACCTCTGGTCCTTGTGTTGTACTTCCCATAATTGATATGCCCCAATTCTTTATCTCGTTTAAAGACTTGGAAAGGTTTTACAAAGAGTTTGAAAACACATTTCAAAGAATTAAAGCTACACATGATCCCAAAATGGAGCTATGCTCGGAAATGCGCATGAAAGGACTGAAAAAACCTTTGATAAATGTTGTTTACCTATATGCTGGGGTAGCTGGCGTTTTAAATGAAATGAAAAAAGATTTATTCCATTCTGTTTCTACAAACGACAATTCGGAGCATAGTAGAAATGTTGGTGTTTTTTTACTTATTCATGTTGCCGCCTATATTCTCCGATTAGTTAACATTCATTTATGGGTCCCTAAAGATGTGGACTTGCTCTATGTTTTAAATTTGAATCCATCTGCAATGAATCTGTTTATCCGAATTTTTAATAAAATGTGCAAAAATGTTTTTACAACAGCCAAAGACCATTTTGATTTAGAAAAACCTTGCAATGCTTTTGGAAGAATTCTTTACTCCATAAATAAAGCCATGCTTTTTAAAGATAGAGATATGAAAAATGACGTTACAATGAATCCTGAAAAATGGTTGGCAAATGATTTAATTGCTTGGAACTTGCTCAGATATGCAGATGTCGAAGAATTTCGGACTGCTGAAAATGATGAAATCATGGCCTGGAATACATTGAGAAGACTAAAAAATGCTTTTATTGGTATTGAGTCAGCTGAAGAGTTTAATAACCGCCCTCATGTTAATATTTTTGAGCAGAAACCTGCCTATGTAGAAAGATCGAGAGCAGCTTTATTTTCCCTACATATGGACAAGGAAGTCGTGGTTCCACTAAATCGGAAATATTTTGCTTATAATCCTAATTATCCTTATCATGATGAAAGATTTCTTGGGATAAAAGATTACACGGATTCCAATGGCAAGAAATTTCGCTACATTTTGATTTGTTTGTGCAAGTTTGGCCTGTGTACATGCAAATACCAAATATTTTTCATTTGCTCTTGCGAATTTTTTTCATACACTGATTGCAAATGCTACCCCAAAAGCATTAACGACTCTGACTTTCATCTTTGTGAATGCAGCATCAGCAATTTTGAAGAGTGTATATGTGGAGCAAATGTTTATGTTTTTGGCATGGAATTTGAACCTGATGGAAGTTTTAAATCTCGACCAACAAGGGATTTGCCATGGGCGCAACCGCGCAATAAAAAAAATCTTTTAAACTACACTGACTTAGCTCTTCACAAATTTGACTACCATTGCCAAAATATTTTTGATATTACACTTTCATGGATTAATGGATTGAACTGGAAAAAATCACTATTTTTGTTGGATTTGGTTCTTGATAAGAACTGTAAATGGGAAAAGTTTATTGGTGGCTGGTTTTCTAAATTTATTTCCAAAGTCAATGAGCGTTTTGATAAGTTTGAAAAGACTGATGACTATCGTAGGTTGGACAAGTATGGAGCTAGTTTAATTCGTCATCGACGTTTTTCGCTTGGGTACAGTAGTTTAAATGCTGATTTATGCCAACTGTTTCAAGAAATGAATGATACGTTAATTAAAGCAAAGATGCACGAAAAAAACAATGACAAAAATTTGGTTAGTCTTTGCCAAGAGATGACTGGTCATATACTTTTAGGAACAGGGCTTCCTTATCAAACAATTCACTTGATTATGTCTAACGTTTTCCGCCTAAAACAGTTATTCTGTATCATGATTTTCGTTTGGTGTTCTCTTGAAGGAATTGATGAAGATGGGAGATCTGGGGTGTTTGAAAGCATCAAACCTATTGTAAAATATTTGGATAACCCAGAAAATAAGACCTCAAGAAATCACTATTCATGGGATCTTAGAAGTATTTTTAATGTCTGTAGTGGATCGTACTTGGTGAGCACTTTTGAATTTTGTTCTGAGAGTAAGGAGATTTACAAAAGTATGAGATATGAACAAATGAAAAAAACCGTTTCAAACTGGGATAATGAACTCATTATTGAGTATTTGTCTTGGTCAATTTCACCTGATAAAGTTGAAGAAAGGGTTGAATTAGTGGATGATTATATTCGTTTGGGTGCAAGCGTTGCGGAAGTGAACCAAAAAATACAAATGCTGGAGTTAATGGATGCGGAAAAGGAATTTTTAAAAAAGAAAAATAAGAAAAAATCTAAAAAGGGGAATGCAATTGAATCATTTGCTAATTTGGATACGACGAATAAAGACGCTGAAAGGTGGGTTGAATCAAAGGAAACTTTGAATTACAGAAAAGTCAATGTTCACAAAGCTAAACATGATGATAAAAAACAAAAATCCAAAGAAACAAATAATATGGTAATGGGGAGCAAAGATATTAAAGAGATAATTGAATCAAAGAAATCTCTGAATGGTGGGATAACTAATGTTTCCAAAATTAAAAATAATCATCAAAAACAAAATGCTAAGGAAACAGATAATAATTTTGTTAAATCTTTTCAGTTAAAAGGAAATCGTGATACCAAATCCTTTAGTGATAATCAGAATATCGTAACTGAAAATCAAACTAAAAATATACCTAATATCAATAAAAAGAAGAAGAAAGAAAAGAAGAAATTTTCAATTAGTTCGGCTTTTGATACACCTTTAACCAAAAGTAACAAAAATACCCGGCCATCCTCAAAGCAGAGTTTTCAAGATTCTGCAAATACAATGAATGTTGAAGAAGTTAAAAAAGAGGTGGAAAGGGTTAAAATATTTAAAGATGAAAAAATTAAGTCAATCCAGGGGGAAGCAAAAAATGAAGTCAAGAAGAAAATAACAAATGGAGTCAAGAAAGAAGAGGCAATGATTAAATCATCCACAGTTAAAGCACTTAAGGTTGAATTTTCAGTAAATGAAAAATCGGTTCCAAATGAGAATGAAAAGATCTCTAGTAGTTTGTCTTCTTCTTTGGCTATATTTAAGGAGGATATCAATGAAGGATTACCGAAAATTGAATCCAGTAATCTTAATTTACCCAAAGAAATTAAAAACTTCAAACAGAATACCAAAAAATTATTAAACGAACCATTAAAACTGAATTTGAGTGACGAACCAAAGAGATCCCCTATCCAATCCCCTATGCAAGGAAACGTGAATGTACCTATTGCACCTAAATCCTTGTTAAAGGCCTTTTCCAAGGAAAATTTTGAAAGTCCAAAATATCCTAAAACTCCGCAGTTTAAACGCTTTGAAACTCCATTTAATGATACTCCACGCTTTTTGTCTGAAGAAATTTCAAATTTTTCAAAGGTGAAACAAGCACCGGAAAATGTGATTGCAGCTAATATTCAAGATAAGATAAATGCGGAGATGGCTAAATTTTCTCAGCCTTTAATTCTTTCAAAAAATTATCAATCTACCAATCCTATCAGCCATAAAACTTCACAGGCAGTTGTAAAATCTGCTATAGCATTTGATGATTATGAAAATCCTCATGAAATAGCTCAAAATGTATCGTTTAGACCTTCAGCTAAAGAAAAATGGGAGCCTTTGGGAAATTTAACAGAAAGGTCCAGTAAACTTCTTGAAGAACATATCAAAACCAATGAATTGATATTCCATAAATTGGATCAAAAGGTCGAATCAAAAAAAGTTATATTTAATAAAATGTGGATGAAGCCAGGGTATCATCTTAGAAAAAGTTCTTATCGTCGTCCAAAAACACCTAATTCATATGATGAGCTAAAACTTTTTGCTAAAATGCCTTTTAATAATCAAGATATTTGCAACTTTAACAGGTTTTGGAATGTCGACGACTTTTTTATTGAAAAGGAATACATGGTTGAACAAGAATACGAGGAAATGAAAAATAATAGTTCCAATAACAGAGATATCATAGATCCAAGAAATTCAGCCGAGTATGCATTCTTTAACTCTGGTTCTAAGTTTTTGGAAATGTCTGAAAACAAGAGAAAGATTCTCGATGGTGGATTAGAAAATAGATTGGACTCTGAGAGTGATTGTGAAGTTGACAAGATGGCTATGGATGCACCAGATACTGAAATAGTTGATATTACAGCTCATTTTAAATTTGGTTTTGACACTAATAGCATTTGGAAAAGTTTCAAAGAAAATAGTCAAAGGAAATCTAGATTTTTTGAAAAAAATCCTAAGAATGGAGCAAAAAACATTGGTGTTGCAAGTGATGGTTTAGCTTATCGTGAAAAAACTATGGGAAACTCTGCCGCACAGCCAGGCAAAGTTATTACAGTTCAAGATAACAAATATGGTGGTTTGAAAGGTGGTGAAAAAAGGTTTAGTTTTATAAGTGTTAATCCTAAACTTTTTGTTAAAAGAAATTTAGCAATACCAGCCAGCTTAGTACCACGTTATGTTTTAGGGCAAAGAGTGCCAGAGGTAGAGTATTTGAAAAAAATGAACAATTTTTCGGAGGCTGCATTTAAAAGAGCAGTATTAAATGTGTGGCCACCTAAAGATTCTGAAGAATTTAAGCACGGGATTGAAGAATATTGGTTGAGACATAATCGTATGCTGAAGGCTGTTAAGCCTGTTAATAGTATTAGTGTTTTTCGACAGCCCAAAACAACTAACGAGAAAAATGAACCCAAACCATCCCTTTACATTCCTCCGAACCGTCGTAAAACCCAAAATGGGCAACATCCAGAACCCAATGTTGCAGTTAAACCGGAATTTAGCCGGCAGAGTGAGGGGTCTATTCAAACTCGCAAGTTTCGCAATCAATTTTTCAGTCAACTGAGTACTGTAGGAAAGTTACAATAAAAATGAAAATGAAAAAAAAAAAAAGCATAGTCTTTAGTTTGAGAAAATATATATTTTATTAAACGTAAATGTATAGAAAAAAAGCTAATGTCCAACAGAACCATATTTGTTTGCAGTTTGTTCTGCAGTACCAGGGTCAATGGTCTCGTTTGCGTGAAGAAGAGCTTCGACTTCTTGTTCAACTGCTGAATGATCATGTGGTTCGCTAGATAATAATGGAGCTGAAGATTGGTTTGGTTCGTAGCAAAGATCTGTGAAAATATTGTGGTCCTTTGGCAGACTACCATAGTTCTCCCATACTACAGTAATAACCATTAATACTGACGCAACGAGTAAAGTATTTGAAGTGTCGAGTTTAGCAAATGGTAGCAGAGCAAAGATGATTACATCAATAAGTCTGAATAAGAGACGAATCTGTTTAGGCCAGACCAATTCATCGCGAGCTAAGGTGCATTGAGCCATGATCCAAAGAGAAAACGTACCAATGGCAAGACCATAACAAAAAAACCATTCAAGGTTATAGTTTTCCAAGATGTCGTACTTGACAAACTCGGCGGCAATGTCACCAGACAACACAAGAGCAGCACAAAGAGGTTCGTGAATGATAAACCATCCAATGGCAGTTAAAGCAGATCTTCGTAAAGCGTGGGTATTTTTGACAGAGCCATCATTATGTACATAGAGCCAATTGAGCGAAAAGGCAATAATCAAAACCATGACAGCACGGCCGGCCGCAATGTCAAGACCCAAGATAATAGAAGCATCTGAAATCAAACTGTTTAAAAATTCACCCAAGACGATGATATAAAGGGCAGTCATACGATCTGACTCGTGCTCAATATTGACTGCAGTAGAAAACTCAGTGTATTCCTTTGTTTGGAACCATGGAGAATAAATATAGACCCAAAATCCGCGTTCAATTGCTAAAGCAAGAAGTGCAATAATAATGCGAAAAGTCCAAGAAGTATGAGGGATAAGGAGTAATGAACGTAAAAGGAATGTAAAAATATTGATACAGCCCATGACACGCATACGGACCAAGTGTTCTGGAATAAAAAGGGAATAAAAAAACCAATTTGCAATTAGAATAAAATGAACAACCTGGAAACTGATGACGGCGGAAAGGTATGCTACTTCACTTCTCTTGTGTCCAAAACCAATGTAAGCAGCATTATTTGCAAAAATAGCCATACCAATCATAACAGACAAGACAATGCCACGCTGTAAAATATCATCTGTGTAATAATTGTCAAAAGTTTCACGTAAATCTTGCCAAATTTGGTATGAGTGGAAAAAAATAACAAGATATTTTAAAAGATGGGGCCAGTCAGGGTGTTCTGCAACATCTGAAGAAAAGAGAGCAATCATGGCGACATACAAAAGGTCGAGGAAGAGTTCAAAAACACCAGAGGCACGTTCACCAGTAACTTTGTAAAGTTTCCCATTGTAGAAGAATTGAAGAGCTTCTGGGCGTTGGAATAGATGATGTTCCTCTGCTTCTTCGTTAGGAAGCGAGTAAAACTTGAACCCTCCTTCTTCAACTGGAGTTGAGCGACTAATTCTGTCAAGAGCACGTTGGCGTTCCTTTTCTGGTGTTCCCAAAATAGGGCTAAGAAGTTTAAGAAGCCAAGGCATTTTGGATATATTTGTTTTTTTTTTTTTGGTGGTAGTAAAGTAAAAAATATATATAAGTATTTAAATAATACTGAAGTGTTTAAAAAAAAAAAAGGAAAGAAAGAAAGAAAGAAAGAAAGAAAGAAAGAAAGAAAGAAAGAAAGAAGGAGCAGCAGCAGCAGCAAAGAGTCTTTTTATGTACACTTTGCTGCTTTGTGTTAGCCCCACCACACTGTGTTCTAAATGTATGTTCCAGAAAATGCATGGCCTTAAGTCCATTTTTGACGGATTACTCCATCTTTCGGACTTTACAAACGACAAACGACAAACAAACAAACAAACAAATAAACTTGCTTGCAGTTATTTCAAAGGCCTCGACATATTCTAGAGAATTTTCTTTTTTTCTTTTTTTCTTTTTTTGATATATTTGATATATATTTTTAATATACAATCTTTTTTTAAAATTTCTATCTCCGACTTATAGTCGGATCTTCAGTCAGTACAGGTGAAGTGTTTCTGGTACCAGCATGACTAGAATCCCACAAGGAATCAGTGTCCATCACAGACTCATCCATAAACTGTCTCCCCTGAAGGTGAGGTCCAGCCTCTTCGTGATCATCATCATCGACATCAACATCGTCCTTGCGACGACGCTCGAAATCGCGTGCGTGTGCGGACCGCAGGGTTTTACCGACAGTTTCAAGAACAGGTTCCATAAAGCGGAATAAACGTTTTCCAAAAGGAAGTGAGCCTGAAGGTTTGCGCAAAAGAAGAGGAGTGGTACCTCCGGTAGCTTCTTCGTCATTGGGATGAGTGGTAGGAGAAAGCAACCACTGGCGATCAGCATTTGCAGCAGAGGAACTGACAATTGTTGATTTCTTTCGTGTGATAGTTGCATAAGGCAAGGTAATGTCTCTAGAAGCCTTTGAGCGAGTGACGTTACAGCAGTGTTCGTTTTCTACACGGAAAAAGACCCAAACAACACGACGGAGGGCTTCGGAAAGAGCAATGAAAAAGGAGATTTTGGCTGATTGCTGAAGCTGGTTTTCATAAATGATGTAAAAAAACCAGTTGCAACGCAGTACAGTGTCCAGCACCATTGCCGCATAGTAAGGTGAAGTAAACTTAAAGGCTAGCTCGTCTCTCAACAAAAAGTTGTGCGAGCCAACCTGCATCAACGACCAGTCCATAAAGATATCCCAAAAAGTGCTCACAACTGTGTTGAGCGATGCAAAAACAATGTACCAGGTACGCAGAGTATGAGAATCAAGTTTGATGCGGTAAGCGCTTAAAAATGCATTAGTACAAATGAGCAAAGAATATTTGCACATGTTGGCCAAGTGTGGGAAAATATCGCCAGTGTCGAGATATCTGCGGCCACACTGCAGAAAACGCCAAATACAAGGAACTGTGGAAATGAACCCCATCCATCGGGAATGGTTTGATCCACAATAAGAGCCCGATGGGTCTCCTGGAAGTAAGCCACTCCAGTGTGTGGAGTACAAACAAAAGAAGAAGGCAGCGTTACTAATAGAGTAAGTCATTGAGCAGCAAATATTACCCAAAACAAGATCACGGAATTCAACTGGATAGATTCCTGAAAACAAGAGTCGCCAAAATGCAATGCAGAGCCATTTTCTAGCGCTTAATTGAAGGATATCAAATGGCAAAAATAAAACAATCAAAGAAAAGGCAAGGAAAATTGGTGGGTAATAAATTTTTCTAAAAGTGCCAGCCCAAAAATCTTCAAAGCAGCACCAACTAAGCACACTCATAACAAGTAGCAAAAAGGCAGGCAGAGTACCGATTTGCTTTGGGTTGAGGTGAGAAAGTGGATCAAACTCAAATACAAAAGAGTAGTTAATTTTGTTTTTCGTCCAAACAATGCAACTGAGTGCAAAGAGGCAAAAGAACATAATGACAAGAAAGAACCCACCCCAGATTTGGAAAAGGAAAAGGGTGTCAGGATCACCACGGTCAAGATGCTGGAGACCCATCCAAATAGCTCGAGCCATGAATGGCACAGAAAGACCCAAGAAAACACCAGTGGCAAAGTTTTCCAAGTAGTGTTCTTCATTTTCTGGGCTTGCGTGGAGCTTTTCAAAAGCCAATTTTCTGTTACCATTTTCAAAGTAAACGGTGAACATGTCTCCAGCTTTGGCAATAAGCGTATCAAGAGTGTCAGTCTTGCTAAGGTAGTTATTGCTCATTTTGGCCATATACCCGGGCAAGGATGTATGGCCAGAAGCCTTGTCAAACTTTTTGACAATCTTGCGGACAGCAGTTAGATTAAGCAAGCGGAAAGATTTTAGCATTTCCAATTCCCGGTACAATTCCACAACTGCAAGTTTGAGTTGTTGGCGTGCAGTTGAATAGGAAATACGGTCGTCGCGAACCTTGCGCACATAATCTCGGCTTTTGCTTCGAGATGTACTTCTTTCAGTGGCACGTGAGGAAGAGGAAGTTGCAGGAGCATTTGTTTCTGTGACTGTTTCTGTTTCTGTATGCTCGGTACTTTTCCCACGTTTGTGACGTCGTCCAAGAGGTGTGAAAATAACATTGTGGGAAAGGTGGAGAGGGAGTGGGTGGTGATCATTATGATGATGGCTACTTTTAGGTCTTAAGGAATCGGTACGTAAGGAATTTCTATGCTTTTGTTTTATCAAGGCAGTTGTACCATGTTGCTCACGTAAATTAAAGAGCTGATCTTGTAAAAGTAAGTATCGTTCAATGCATTCGGACTTTTTAGTCTTGTAAAAATCTTCAACACGTGCGACTTCTGCATCTAACCAATCCATAAAGTCTTGCTCAGCATGGGTATAAGTTTCTTCTCGTGGAATGAATGGGGGCGTAATTATAATATGATCATTATTATTACGTTGGAAGTCAACAGTTCCATATGACGGGTGTTGGTTTTGGTTCTGGTCAGAGGAATTTCGAATGTAAGCCAGTGAAGATAGGGAAGAAGAAGAAGGTCGTGTTGGAAGAGAAGAAGAAGCCGGGAAAAAGGGGTCATGTGTTGTAGTGGAAGAAGGTTTACGTGGAATAGTAATTTGAGAAAGTGGCTGAGGATTTAAAGTCGATGATTGAAGAGAAGGTTCGTATATGCTGTTTGATGCTATGGAAGACTGGTAAGTGAAGTTTGGAAGTTCATCATTGACATTGTCGCCAAGAGAGTAAATTGCAGAGGTAGTGGAGTCTTTGTGGATGGTTGAGATTGGACTTGTTGGACTATTTCCATCTTCGTCTGTTCTAATTTTGCGAATGAACCGCTTGCCAGTCTATATATATATATATCAAATGGTTAGTTTTTTTATTATTTTATATTTTATTTTAATTATGAATATAATTTTGAAACGTACCTTGTAATCCAGATATTGGGTTTTCCATTCTGGGATCTAGAAAAAAAAAAAAAAAAAAAAAAAAAAGTGGGTCAGTATTAGGTATGATGATGATGATGATGATGACGATGGGACCAAAGTGACATACTAAACTGTCATTTAACAGGCTAGTTTTAAAAAGTTAGAACTTGATGAGATGAGAAATAAAGAATTTTATGATAATTAATATTTATATATATCATACCGTTCAAATTTCATTTTTTTTTTCTTTTTTTAAAAAAAAAAAAAAAAAAGAATAAAAAATATATATATATATATGTTTCACGAAAAAAAAAAAAAAGTTTTTTTATTTAATCTATTATTTTAATAACAGAAAACGGTTCACATATATAGGAAAAAGGAATTTTTTTTTTTTTTTTTAATACTAAATGTGAGTCTTTTTTTTTTTTTTTTCTCCAGGTTTGCCATTTTAGGAAACTTAAATCGCCTATGTTGTCCCAGCCGCCCACTCGTCCATCCTCATTTTCATCTTCATCTTCATTTTTCTTCATCATTTTCATCTTCATTTTCATCTCTTTTCCCCTCCCCCTCAATGCCTCCATCCATCCACTCATCCACTCATCCCATTAATTATTTCTACTACTGGTCACAAACTGCCGCTACCGCAGTGTTACATAATCCATACAATTTTTTTTTTTTTTTTTTTTTTCTTTCCAAATAAACCCATCCCATTTTGGCTCTTTTGGACAAATTTGGAAACTTTTTGATGTCACTATAATTTATACAAAATTTTTATAATTTTTAATAATTTTTATAAAATTTTATAATTTTTCATATAAATTTTATATTTTATATTTTATAATTTTCATTTAAATAATAAAATAATAAAATTAACGGCCCGATTGGTTGTTCCTAGTATATATATTCTAAAAAGAAAGAAAGAAAGAAAGAAAGAAAGAAAGAAAGAAAAGAAAGAAAGAAATAATGTTAATGAAATAATCTCAATGATTACCGCGGAACATTGGTCCTGTGACATCCCTTTCATTTTTTTACAAATTTTTTTACAAATTTGTTTTTTTTTTTTTTTTTTTTTGGTTTCAAAAGTTGCCATAATGTCCCATTTTGACCATCCGGGACATAAACATATATATATATATATAGATAGATGGATAGATATTCGGGTAATCTAACCGGAGCACATTGAGCTACTACTATTAATATTACTATTACTATTACTACTGATAATGACGAATATCCTTTCTTTCATCAGTCATAATGATGATAGTTTATCAATTTAAATATTTAAATACATAATTAAACAAAAAATATGAATGCTCATTTTAACTTTGACATTTCTAAACGACAAAGTCTACAACATTGCCTGGAATTTGTTTCTTTTCTTTTCTCTTTTATTTATTAATTTAAATAAATAAAAAAACTAAGCAAATAAAACATTAATAATAATAATAATAATAATAATAATAATAATAATATAAATAATAATAATAGACAATATAATGCAAAAGGATTTCTTTTGAAATTTTTTTTTCTTTTTTTCTTTTTTTCTTTCTTTCAATTCTTTCTCTTTCTGTCAAGAAAAAAAAAAAAAAAAAAATTTCACCATTTTACAAAAACTTGTCACGCCAATCACGAGCTGATTCGGACTCCATTTGAGATTGGTTCCGAAGACTAGAAACACTATTGTGTTGACTATTGTGGTGGCTCGACCCACCACCACCACTGCCTGCACTGCCTGTACTGCCTATACTACCAGCGTGACGGCGCTGGCGCCGACGAGCCGCTAACCTCGGCGACTGGAGACGACTAGTCCCGTGAGCATCTGATTGTGAAGCTAAACCACCATCACTATCAATAAGTTCTTCCAAATATTGTTCTTCTGCAAACTCAATATCCTCGTCTTCCTCTTCTTCGTCATCCGTATCTCCGGGGCTTCCAGATCCTTCTTCACCATTTTTGGGTTTATCTTTGCGGCGTTCAAAGTCTCGCACGTGCGCAGTTTGTAGTGTTTTACCAATCGTCTCAAGCAATGGCTCCATGAAACGATACAACCGCTGACCAAACGTTGCCTTGCGTTGTAGTGCTTCTGTAAGCTCTTGTTGCGTTGGTGCCTGTTCGTGTTGCTGGGACTGTTGCTGGTCAGGTGTTGTTTGGGCAGCACCAGAAACGGAAGAACCAGCACCAGCACCAGCACCAGCACCATCACCAGCCCCAGCCCCAGCATCGGCACTGGTGCCAACCATACTTTCCTCGTCATCAGGACGAACACCGCCAAGCAATGATTCTTGCTCTTGTTTGGTGCCAGGTTGGCCTTTAATGAGTGGTGACTCTTTGCGTTTGACAATGGTGTATGGCAAAGTAATGTCTCTTGAAGCTCTAAAGCGCGTAACGTTGGAGCAATGTTCATTTTCCACACGGAAAAAAACCCAAATGAATCTTCTTAAAGCTTCTGAAAGAGCAACAAAAAATGATACTTTGGCAGATTGTTGGACTTGATTAGCATAGATGATGTAAAAAATCCAATTGCATCGCAAAATAGGGTCTACAACCATGGCCAAATAGTAAGGCAAAGTTGACTTAAAGGCCAATTCATCTCGTAGCAAAAAGTTTGCGGAACCAATTTGCATCAAAGACCAATCCATAAACAAGTCCCAAAAGGAGCTCATTAGAGTGTTTAAACTAGCAAACACTATGTAAGACGTGCGAAGAGAACTGGAGTTTAGGCGGATACGGTAGGCGCTTAAAAAGGCATTGGTACAAATGAGTAAAGTGTACTTGCCCATGTTTGCCAAGTGCGGGAAAGCATCTCCAGAGTCAAGGTATCGCCTGCCGCATTGTAGGAAACGCCAAATACCCGGTAGGGCAGACAAAAAGCCCATCCAACGGGAATGGCTTGAGCCGCACAAGGAACCAGAGGTATTCCCAGAAACCAAGCCGCTCCAGTGGGTAGCATAGAGACAGAAAAAAAAGGCAGCGTTACTGATAGAGTAAGTGAGAGAGCAGCAAATATCTCCAACAATGAGATCTCGGAATTCAACTGGGTAAAAGCCCGAAAAGAAAACACGCCAAAATGCAATTGAAAGCCACTTACGAGCATTAAGGTGGAAAACTCCAAAGGGCCAAAGTAAAATGACAACGGAGAAAACCAAAAAAATTGGAGGGAAATAAATTTGGCGAAAATCCTTTTCCCAGAAATCTTCAAAACAAAGCCAACCAAGGATGCTCATGATGAAGAGCAAAAATGACGGCACAGAACCAATTTGATTAGAACTTAGATGATGCAATGGATTAAATTCAAACACAAACGGGTAATTAATTTTGTAAAAAGTCCAGACAATGCAATTTACAGCGAAAAGACAAAGCATCATAATGATGAGGAAAAACCCGCCCCAGATTTGGAAAAGAAATAAAGCGTCGGGATCTCCTTCATGAAGACTCTTAAGACCCATCCAAGTGGCACGAATGATGAATGGAATTGAAAGACCAATGAAAAGACCAGTAAGAAAGGTTTCCGTATAATGTTCTTCATGAACTGCATTTGCACGGAGTTTTTCAACAGCCATTTTGTGATTACCATTTTCAAAGTAGATGGCAAACATATCCTCAGTTTTCGCAATCAAATCGTCCAAAATTTCAGTCTTGTTTAAGTAGCTCTGGGTGACTTTTGCCATGTACCCTGGAAGCGAGTGATGACCGCTGGTTTTGTCAAACTTTTTCAAAATCTTGCGCATACCTGTGAGATTAAGTGAGCGGTAAGACTTGAGCATTTCAAGTTCACGGTAGAGTTCAACAACGGCCATTTTAAGTTGACGACGAGCCACAGAGTAGGAAATTTTCTGATCACGAACACGACGTGTATAATCTCTAGTGTGACCAGTCATAGGGTTTATCACTTCTTCTTGTTCATCATCATTTTCATGGGAAATAATGTGTCTGCGTTGACGAGCATTTGCAGCTTGGTTACCCTCTGCACCTGTGGTGTGAACTGATCCATAGCTAGAAGTGGGTCGTATAGAAGCTCTACGGGAAGCAGCTTCCAATCTATCGGGGGTATTTGTGAGACTTTCTTTATCAATTCTGTTTTTGGTAGAGCGATAAAAGTCTTCTCGCAATTCCTCTTCATCGTGGTCTTGTATTGGGGTAAAGAAAAGATTATGGAGAGAAGTTGGAAGAGATGGGAGATCAAACTTGCGCGTGATTTTATGTTTAATTTCCTTTGAAATTTTTTGAGATGACGCAAGAGTAGGATAATTTGAAGAAACTAACCGAGCAGTTTTCTTTTCTTGCTTTGCCTTTTGATTATAACGTTGCTCACGCAAATTAAAAAGTTGGTCTTGAAGAATTAAATACCGTTCAACGCCTTCATCTTCCTTTTTTTTGTAAAATGTTTGGATTTTTAAAAATTCGCTGTCAAGCCAATCCATAAAGTCTTGTTCTTCCAAAGTATACATTTCATCAAAACGAATAGCCATTGAGGATTGTTGGGATCCATTACCTAAGGCCTTGATTTGTGCAGGTATCTTGTCAACAAGATTTTTAAAAGTCACGTTTTTTTTAATTGTAGAAGTAATTCCTGGTTCAGGGCCTACTTGTTGGACTGGTCGTGGATTGTATCTATTGTGTGAAGGATCAAGCAAAGGCGATTGATCTGTGACAATGTTGGTATCTTGAGTAGGAAGCTTTGACATGCCTGCTGGTGGGACTAAGGGAGTCAGAGGATCTGTTTCTGCAATGGTTCCATACTGAGTATTCGGTTTGTTTAGCGAAGAAAACGGAGTAGCGGGTGTATGGAAAGAAGTCGTAGCATCTTGAGTGGAGATTTCCTGTTGAGGGAGCTCTGAAGAAGAGGAAGTAGCAGCTGGGGGTCCTAAAGAGAAGCCTTCTAAGACAGCTTTATGGTCGACATTTGGAGCTGTGGTGGGTGGAGGAGCATTGTCATCGCTAGAATGCTCTGCGGCTGGAGCAGGTACCTTAGCTGGGGTAGGTCTTGAAATAACATCAGCTTGTTCTCTGGCACCAGCTGAGAAGCTTTGCAAAGAGGAAGATTCTTGAACAAGAGGAGGATTTGAAATATTTTTCCCAATTTTCTTGAGACGTTTTTTTCCAGCCTAAAGGAGGGGGATTGATTTTGTTAAAATTTTTTGCATTTTTGCATTTTTGCATTTTTGATTTTTTAAACCCATTATTTCTAGTCTTTGTTTAGTACAAAGTTTATATACATACCTTGTAATCGAGGTACTGGGCTCGCCATTCAGGGACCTAATTTTGAGAAATATATATTATTAGTTTAAAATAATTGATAAAAAATTTATTTTTTGAGATTTTTATTGATCAAGATCTTGGGTGTTTATTTATTGATGAGATTTGGTTTTTTTTTTTTTTTTGTTGTTTTTGAAAAAGGTATTCGAATTTCACGTGTGACAATAAAAGAATGTAAGAGGATGAGGGGAGAGTAGAAAAATGGTCATACCAGACTTTCACTCAGTAGACTAAAGGAAAAAGAAGAAGAAGAAAAAAATTTTTTTTTGAAATATATTAGTTTTTTTTTTTAATTTTGTTATATGATATTTATATAAAATTACTTACAGAGCGAATTTCATTTGAGCGAAGAATAAATTGGAGGGGGGGGAGAAGAGGAATTAAAATGGATTTGAAATGGAGGATTTTTTTTTTTTTTTTTGGGGTAAATGGGTAAGAAGAATAATTTGTGTGAAGAAAAAAAAAAAAAAAAAAAAAGCCAAGATTGATAATTTTTTTTTTTTTTACTTTTTTCTTTTTTTTTCCACCACCAAATCTTTTTTTTTTTTTTTTTACCATATAATAAATATATATATATATAACACCACCATCTTTTTTTGGTCTCTCTAAAAGCTTCTGGAAGGCAGCAATCTGCAATGTTGTTTGCTTCTTTTTTATTTATTTATATTTATATGAATAATTAATAAAAAAAAATTAAAAATCGTTATTTTGACAAAAAATAAAATAAAACAAAATAAATAAATAAAAAACTAGGCTATTCATCTATTATATTAAAAATAAAAATAAATAAATGGGTATAATGGATAATAACTAAAATGATTTATTTTTATTTTTAATATCACCCATTATTATTATCATGATGATACACCGTACTAATATACAATAAAGATAAAATAAAATATTAACGTAATTCTTTGGAAAATCCATTGGTCCAAAGATCATGGGTGTCGCTCAAGAGATACGTTAGCGTAGCTTTAGAAAAGCCTTCTGGTCCTAGATGACGTAGTTGTTCAATTACAGAATCCAAGAAAATAGAGCGACCAAAATCATTTTGCTGTAGTTGGACATGAGTGACATGGATATGGAAGTGATAATAAGAAGGTTGATCTAAAATAATTAATTTTCAAAGTTTAAAAAAAATAAAAAAATAAAAAAAATAAACTTACAATGAACGTAAATCTTCAATTGAGATGGCTCAAGACCATATTTTTCATAAACTGTAGCATATATTTTGTCACGAATAGATTCCAACATGGGTATATGAGCCTCAGTGAGATCTCGAATGGAAGCAATATCCTTTATAGAGATTGCAATAAGATAAAGTGTTTCTAAAGTTTTGCGGTCCCACTTAAGGTCAGGTAAAAGAACAAAAGTACCATTGCGGCCTGAGGGATCTTCATCTACTCTAGTTAAAACACGCTCGGCCTCTGTGCCTTTAAACAGAATCTGATGGACCCACTTGATTCGATCCCCCCGCATAGACTCAACATATGGGGCAACATATTTCTGGTACAATTCAGGGGTCTCGACAATGTAGCGAGGTTTTGATTCTTGGTATTTTTTAATATGGGTATCAGAGGCCGGGTAGATAACGTTAACTTTTGCAGCTGGATTGGAATCAATGTTTTGAATGAGGGTAGCCATATTCCAAGAATAGACGTCATTAATGTCGAGCAGACGGAGCTGGTCAATTCCAAGGGATTTATAATCTGAAAGAGACTTGGGGTCCAAATCGAAAGCTACTTTTTCAATTGCCACTATAGCATTTTGGGAATCGATAGTACCTAATAGGTAGATTTTTTTTGAATCGGTACCTGTTGGAAGAGTGATTTGAAGCAAGAATTAGAGGATTAAATGTCCATGGAAAGTCCTTGTAAAATTAAGGGAGAGAGAGAGAGAAAAAAAAGAAAAAAAGAAAAAAAGAAAAAAAGAAAAAAAAGAGAAAAAGAAAAAAAAGAGAAAAAGAGAAAGAATAAAAGTATAAAGGACATACTGTTGGACAGAATTCTAGAAAACTGAAAATTTTTAACTAGATCCATTGGTTGTTGCTGTATAAATGATGATAAGAAAACAATGCAGGTTGTGTTGGTTGAAGATAGTATTTTTTTTTGGTGGTTGTGATTGTAGTTGTGAAGAATACTATGAAATGCAATGACAAAAACAAAAAAATTATTTGTTTATTTACAATTTTTTTTTTTTAATGCGGGAAGTTTCGATCTGTACGTCTCCGGTAGCCGGGAATAAAGACCCTAATACCAGTTTTTTATTATTATAATTATAATTATAATTATAATTTTAATATAAAAGAAACAGAGAAACCCCCAGTTTGTTGGTCTCAAACAAATCTACAAGACTTATCTTCCCATTTATCTTCACGGACTCCTGTATATTTCTTAAACCCTTATTTTGCCAGAGATTTTGCCCATAAATAAATAAATTAATAAGACTGCAAGTCACCAAAATTAGATGACAGTTTGATTTTGATTTTGATTTTGATTCTTATTTCATTCTTTTTGTTTATTATTAACCATAATAATAACCCTTGAATATAAAAAAAAAAAAAATAAAAAAAAAATAAAAGAAACAAAGAAACAAAGAAACAAAATAGTATAGTCACGTGGTTTTTTTTAACAAAACCAAGCTTTACGGCACGTGTATTTGTCTGTATGGGGAAGATGTTAGAAAAAAAAAAACGAAGTTTGTGCGCGTCAGGGCCGCGTATAGGGTTAGGGTTTTTATAAAAATAGACTCCATGGAGGGGAATGGAGGATGGGAGCTAATAATTATATAATTAGTTACATTCCATGATCTAAAGACCATTAACATCCAATATTATTGCTATTCAATGTGTCAGTTCTACATAATATTATAATATTATAAATAAAATACCCCTTACCCTTACCCTTACCCTTGCCTTTATTTTTTTGTTTTTGTTTTTTAAAAAATAAAATTTATGGTTGATAGCCGTATTTATTATGTATATAAATGTAACATAAATGTAACATAAATGTAACTATTATGTCCCAACTAAGGTAAATCACCAGCCAAAAAGAGATACAACACGAAAACGCATGAGAATTTAAAATAACAACAACAACAACAAATCTAATTATAGAAACTTTTTTTTATTTTTATTTTTATTTTTTTCGTTTGTTATTACGAGTAGTAAAGCGTGCCTGTCTGTCTGTCTGTCTGTCTGTCTTTCTGTCTGTTTTTTTTTTTTTTTTTTTTTTTTAGTTTCCAGGGTGGCAGACTAAAAAAAATTTTAAAAGAAATCGAGTGTGATTGGCAGAAAAAACTTTTATTTATTTATTTATTTTTGAAAAAGCGCGTGTAAGTTTTGTTCGGTGGAACCTTTAAAAAGGTTAAGTGGTATATTGTTATTTTTTTAAAAAAAAAAAAAAAATTTCCTCAAATTCAACGTTTTACTAAATAACTAAAACTAAGACCCTCGTTATTATCTTCATATATATGTATATATATATATATATATATATTCAAAAGGGCTTTGTGTTAAGCCGTAATATCTGGCAGCAGCTGCCAAACTAGCGGGGTTTTATTTTAATTTGTCGTCATCATCATTATCATTGTCATACGTATGTTCTGTAGATAAAAATGGGCAATCTTAGAAGTAGTTGGACTTCTTTAAAGTGCCACTCCCGTTGTCTCTACCTTCTTCCACAATCACAATCACTATCATTGCCATTGCTGCTTCCACTGCTGCTTCTACTGCTGCTTCTACTGTTGCTTCTACTGTTGCTTCTACTATTACCGCTGGTGTTATGTTTGTACCCAAAATAAAAATAAAAATAAAATAAAAATAAAATCAAAAATGAATCCGTTTTTATTCACGTGACTAAAACAATACAGATTTTGGAATAGGTGATGTAATGATAAAAAAAAAAAAATAAAAATAAATATCACTATTATAAAGAAAAAGTTATTCCCAATCAAACCATTTTCAAATTCATTTAATTGTTTAATAAATATATATTCAAAAAGTGATGTCTCCATCTTAAACGCGTATTGTTGGTGTTGTATAGATTTTCAAAAGGCTCCATTTAAATGTTGATCCCGTGCAAAAAGAAATTCATAAATATTTCAAAAATATATTTTTTTTTTTTTGGAATAGAAAAAAAAAGAAAGAAAGAAAGAAAATAAAGGGATTGGAACGTGCTTGAAAAAGAAGAATAATAATAATAATAAAAAGACTAATTGTATATATAAACTATATATTCATAAAGGGAATGAGTAAATGCAGGTATTTCTTTTTGTTTATTTTTTTTTTTTAGTTAATTCCTGATAATCTTAAACTTTGAGATCTTTGTAAGATCAAAAATGGCAAGTACAGAATGTTCAATGTGCCTCTTATTATCTACTTTTAACTTTTAAATTCTTGAACTTTCTTGACTTTTTTTTTTTTTACAAGACCTTTTAATAAAAAAAAAATCAAATAATAAATAAATCCATAAACATTATTTTTTTTTTTTTTTAAAAAATAAAATAAAATAAAGTCTCCTTAATATATTCAAAATCACCGCATAACCCGGTCAATTGCCTTGAAGTTTCCGACTTTTTTTTTTTTGGTTTGTTCAGGAGGTTTTTGGTGAACTTTGTCTCTGCTGTCTTTTTTTTTGTGTGAGTGTGTGTGTGTGTAGTGTCACTTTTTTTTTTTTTTTTTTTTTTTTTTTTTTTTTTTTAGGTCCGCACCATTTTTATGTTTCTTCATCCCCTCCTCTCTCCCTTTCTTTCTTTTTTCCTTTTTCTCTTTATTTATTTTAGAAAAATAACCGGTCCATTTTATTATTATTATTATTATTTACTATTACTATTTGTTGTTATTTTCTTCTTCTTTTTCTTCTTCTTTCCTTTACTTCTTTCCTTACCTTAAACCATTTTTTTTTTCTTTTTTAAAATAAAAAAAAAAAAAAGAGATTTTGTTTTAATATTCATCTTTTTTGTTGAGAAAATACTTGGAAACTCCCCAGTATCCATAATCATCCTTTTTCTCTAGTTTCGCTTATTTGTATGTCTTAAAGGGTCAGTCGATCCTTCCTGGAGAACGATCTATTTTAAACCTGTGGATTCTTTCTCTTACATACATTATAAACATATTAAAAGCGAAAAACTTTGATTTCAATTTTTCATCCTTCATTTTTTTTTTTTTTTTATTTTTATCCCCTTTTAAATCATCGCTTTTTCATCTCTTTTTTCTTCAGCATTAATCTCGCTTGTGGCACCGTTGTAATGCTTTCTGGATACGACGTTGGCTTTATCAATGATGCTGTTAACCCCAGCTGCACTTCTGGAATCCTTAGTGGGAGAAGTGGTAACACAGGTGCTAATAATAATAATAATAATAATAATAATAATAATAAAAATAACAGCAAAAATATTAATAAAACCAACAACAACACAACCACTGCCGCTAACGCCGCCTCCTCTATTAATTCTACTCCTACTGCATTCTCTGAAAATAACAAAGATGAACCTCCAGTCCATTCTTCAAAATCATCTTCTACACAATCATCATCTTCACCTCAAATTCCTCTTTCAACCAATTCATCAAACCAACCTACTACATTGCCAGCAGAATCTATCCAAAATCAACCATCCAATATCACCTCAACTACCCCGACAACAGATACTTGTTCACAATCATCATCTTCAGATATTGAAGAGGCAAGATTCCGTAAATTCCAACAAGATCTTCTTGTTTCACTATCAAGCACCCTTCTCTACCAATTTGATACTCTTCTCAGCCATACAAATCTCGGCATTGGTGGCCTCAAGCACACGGCAAATCTCCTCCGGCCTCCAACCATTGACCAAGACGAACCAGAAAAGGATGAATCTACTTTAGAATTCCCTTCCAATCCTTCTATTGTTCAGCAAATCCAAAGCTATAAACAAGTGGTAACCAATCTCGAAAACAAGGTTGGTGAGTTTGAAGGTTTTTTGCAGTCCCGCTTTGTCAACATCCGCAAAGGTTTAAATGACAGCAAAAGAATTCTCGAATCGTCTGGCTTTAACCGTGATTCTATTCAACCCATTTCCAAAAAAGATTCTTCTCCTACTGATGCTTCTTTTAATGATAAACAGTTATATGGCAAAAAGTTTGAAGAAGAAACAGATCATCATGAAGATGATAACGACTCTCTTGAGCTTATTTCACCCAAAGACGAGACATGCGTTGAAAATGAAAGAGCCAAGTACCAACAAAGTTTTTCATCCACTTATCATCAAAGACAAACTCTTGTAGAAGAAGAAGAAGAAGAAGATGATGATGATGATGATGATGACGATGACGAAGATAATAACGAAGATGATGAGGATGATGATGACGAAGCTACTCAAGTTCAAAAGGAACAATCATCTTTTTCATTTTCAGGTGAAGCATTTTTCCCTAGCTCTATTTCTTCTACTTCTTCAGCAACAACAGCTGTCATAAGTGAAGAAGAAATTCCATCCAAACATGCAGATGAAATTGAAATCATTGGCTTGGAAGGTTCAGAACCTCGTCCCTCAGCATTTTCTTCTAGCAAGATATCTTCAGCACCATCACATCAAGGTACCAAGGAAAAACGGGATCGTAGTAGTAGTACTGCAGATAGCACTGCGGCAGAAAGCATTGCAGCAGATAGCATTATTGATGGTGTTGCAGATAGCACTACTACTGGACTTTCTCCTGACAAGAAGCTACGCAATAATAGTAAGCTTTGGTGGACAGAGGAGTTGCAATACCTTAAGCATGAAGTTACACTTTCCAGGGGTCTTGTTCGATTATTTGGAGATGATGAGTCAAAGCAGCGAGCAAAGGACACAATCAATCATTATCACCGAGCCATTCGAGACCGCAAAAATGAATTTTTTAATGAGTTGGGAGAGAATGGTGGTGGTGGTAATGAGGGATCTAAACTTCATGCTAGTGGGAGCGGTAAATCCATTCCTTCAACCCCACACAATCTGAGCAGGAGCAGTAGCATCAATAGCACAGGTGTGATTCTACATCACTTGTTGCAAAACCCACTGGCTCAGTCCCCGAGTTGGTTGCTGCAATCTGTGCCATGCTCGCCAGTGCAGCCGGACTGTTATCCACTAGGCATCAATGGTCATTATCAGCCAAAGCAGCAACCACAACAATCACAAAAACCACAACAATTTCAACATTCACAAAAATCACAACAACAACAACAACAACAACAACAACAACAACAACATCAGCATACTAAGCATCAACCTAACAATCAAAATACCAACAATCAATACCAAACACAACGGCCGCGGTTTAACAATAATAATAACAGTATTAATTATAAAGTGAGAAATAACTCACAAAATAACCGAGATGGTTCTTCCAAACCCAATAACAATAATAAAAATAATAATAACGGTAATAATAACGGCAATAATAATAATAATAAGGGCTTCAGAAATTACAAAAATAAAGGGATTAGACAATTTTCACCACAGCATTATCAGTACCATTCTCAACCAAATCAGCACTTGCCACAACATTATCATCACAATTTCTACAATGCACAATACGCCAACTATGCTGGTTATAGCGGGCTGATGCCTATTGGCACTCCAGTAGTTCATGCAGCAGCGACTGCCGCGACTGCAGTAGCTGCATCTCTGGCTACATCATCATCTACTGGTGCATCTTCTGGTGTTACTACTGCCAGCTCAACAACAGCAGCGATTCCAGTATCACCCATGAGTCCAGGAGGATACTATGATCCGCATGTTCAAGTGCATTTGCAGCAGCTTCAAATTCAGATTCAGCAAAACCAGCATCAACAAGAAGTTTATCAGAACCTGTTGAGTTATTACAGCACACTTCAAGAGAAAATTGAGCATGATCGGTATGAAGAGAGTTTAGCGGCAAAAGTTTTAGCAAAACAAAAGATTGAAAATAAGGTTTTGGTGTCTGAAAAGGAAAAAGATGATGAAGATGATGAAGCTGATGAAGCTGATGTTGAAGCTGTTAATAATGATAAAGTTTTGGTAACTGAGACTAAGGTTGAAGTGTTGGTGGCTGAAACCAAGGTTGAATCAATTTCCACGGCTTAATTTTTTTTTCTTTTTCTTTCTTTCTTTCATGAACCTTTACTTTTTCATTTTTTTTTTTAATATTGCTTTTAAAAATGTTGATTATTATCTTTTTTTTGTTTTTTTTTGGGGGGAGGGCACTTTTTATTGTATAATTCTTCTTCTTCTTCTTCTTCTCTCTTACTTTTGACTTTTATATGAAAATGGGCATATTGTCTTTTTCTTTTGTCTTCATCTGTTATATATATATATATATATATATATATATATATATATATATGTATACAAAACGCACACAATACTTTGGAACATAAAAAAAAAAAAATTAAATTAAAATAAAATAAAATTAAAATTAAAATTAAATTAAAATTGTTATTAATACTGAGAATGAAATCTTGATTGAAAAGAACTGGAATGTTATGACAACCAACCATGAAAAAGTTATTATAATTAATTAATCAATTCAATTATTATTTTTTTTTTTCTTTCTTTCTTTTTATCTAATGTAATGTATTGACCCACCATGTTGAAAAGTGTACTTGCATTTTCAAGACAAATTAAAATTCCCGAAATGTAACATGGAAAAAATATATATATATATATATATTTTTTTATTATTATTATTATTCTTATTATTATTATATATTTGAATATGGTGGAGCCGCAGCAGCTTCATATATATATAAATAAATAAAATACAAGTTGGCTGGCTGCTTCCATGACTGCTTCTTTTCTTCAATGGTGGGATATTTAACCTCATGGCTGCTTTTACTCTTTTTTTTATTTACAATCCCTATATATATATAAAATAAATTAAAATAAATTAAAATAAAATAAATTAAATTAAATTAAATTAAATTAAAATAAATTAAATTGTGCACTAATTAATATAAATAGTTAATTAGCTGGCAAGTTTGGAGATAGAATGTTTCCATGAGAGTAGGTAATAATTGATTGTTGACTACATTTTGAAATGGTCTCTTCTTCTTCTTCTTCTTCTTTTTTTTTTTCCATAGCACACACCCCCTTTTTTCAAAAAAAAAAAAAAAATACAAAGGGGTGAAGAGGGAAATACAATCTTGAAAAAAAAAAAAAAAAGGGAATTTGTTAAATGTAAATTTTATAATAAATGTATATCAAATAAAAAAAAAAATAAAAAAAAAAAAACTGAATTGTATTTGAATGAATGTTTTCAAAAAAAAAAAAAAAAAAGTTTCTTAATTTTTTTTTTTAGTGATCTCCCCCCCGTAGCAAATATAAATCTATAAATATTTAAATATATTTTTGTTACAATAATATTATATTACAACATTTTGTTACAATAAAATATTTTATTTTTTTTTTTTTCTCCAGCAAAAAAATTTTTTTTTATTTATTTATTTTATTTTTTTTTTACAGCCAGAGAGTCTTTAATTAACACCCACAAGAATATCCACCACCACCACAAACTGCCAGCAGCTCTTCTAAATCATCCATCACCATTTTTATCACCAACACATTTACCACCATCATCATCATCATCAACCACCACCACCACCACCACCATCACATAACCTTATAAAAAAACAACACGTTAATCAACTCTTAGACGTTTTTTTTTTATTTCTTTATTTCTTCTTCTTCTTTTTTTTTTTTATTAATAGAAAAGAAGAAAGAAAAAAAAAATTAATAAAAAAATAAAAAGAAAATCATTGATAAACCTTCCCCGTTTAGTCAGCCTTACAGTTTGGTCTTTTCAGTTTGTTCCCTTCACTTTTCATTCTGTGCCTTTTTAATCATCTTCATTATCATCATAAACTTTAGTTTTTGATACTCTATTTATTCTCCAATTCTTTTCATCCTTTTTTTTTCCTGCTTTTTTTTTTTGTTGTTGTTGTTTGTTTGTTTGGTTTAATCAAATCCTTTCATTGTTCTGTTGTTCTCTTTTGATCTAGACTTTATTTTTTTTTTTTTGGCCGGTGTATACAAAAATTTTTTTTTTTTATTATTATTATTATTATTATTATTATTATTATTATTATTATTAGGACCTCCTAGTTAATATTTGAACCATCAGCCCCAAAAATTCAAACCCAAACTACTTCTTCTTCCCTTTTAAAAACAACTAAACAACCTTTTTTTACACAACCATGTCTCTTTTACCACAAGAAACTAAGCTGGCCCTTACTGCTATGCTCAATAACCTCATGTCTCCGGACAACGAGGTCAGATCACAAGCCGAGGTTCTTCTCAACGAACACTGGATAGCTGGAGGCGAAAACCAACTTTCTCAACTTCTCGTTGGTCTTGCTGAAGCTTCTCTTTCTGATGATAACGGAACTGTATGTTTTCTTTTTTATCTTCTTTTTATTTTATTTTTTTTTACATGTTCTAATAAAATACCCAGATTCGAGCCTTTTCTGCAGTCATTTTCAGACGTGTTGCCAGCAAACAACCTGAAAACACAACCGACGTTACCCTTAGAACCATTGACGTTATCCCTGCAGAGGTTAATACAAAACTAAAGTCTCTTCTTCTCGAAGGCCTGATAAATTCCCAGCAAACTCCAGAGGTCAGACACAAAATTGCAGATGCCGTGGCAGGTTTGGCAAAACCAGGCTCTTCTTCAAACTTTTCTACCTCTGCCACTTGGCCCCAACTTATCCCTGCCCTGATCCACGGCACAAATCAGTCTGACAATACCATCCGTGAGTGCTGCTTCCGTATCTTTGCCTCTGTCCCGGAAGTCATTGATAACTCTATTGCAAGTCAAATTGCTCCCATCTTTGAACAAGCTCTTGCTGATCCCTCAGATGAGGTCAAAATTGCTGCTCTCCGCGCCTTCACCGCTTACTTTCGCCAACTTTCCAAGAACCAATGGCCTTCTCTCCACCATCTTTTGCCTTCCATCCTCAATCTTCTTTCGCATTTCCAGGATGGTTCCAAGGAACATGAGCTCGCTGCCACTTTTGAGTCCATCATAGAGCTTGCTGAGCTTGCCCCGAAAATGTTCAAACCTACACTTCAAACCATTCTTGAATTTTGCATCTCCATTGCTAAAAATAAAGAGATTGATACCAATGCTCGTCTTTCCGCTCTTGAGCTGCTCTCAACTCTTGCCGATGAGGCACCCAATATGTGCAGAAACGAACCTAACTTTGCCCCAAAAGTTGTCCAACTTTGTCTTGAACTCATGACAGAGGTTGGCGAAGATGATGATGACCAAGCCAGCGAGTGGATTGAAGAGAATGACATCAACCAAAGTGAAAACAATGACGAGGTTTACTCTGCTGCCAAACACAGCTTGGATCGTCTTGCTCTTAAACTTGGCGGTGAAGTTATCCTCCCAAGCTTTTCTCTCTGGGTCCCACAACTCCTTGAATCTTCCAACTGGAAGGACCGTCACGCTGCCCTCATGGCCTTTTCTAACGTTGCCGAAGGTTGCGCCGAAATCATGATTACTCAAATCTCCCGTATTCTCGACATGGTCTTGCCCCTAATTGATGACCCACACCCCCGTGTCCAATGGGCAGCTGTTAATGCTTTGGGCCAAATGTCAACCGATTTTGCTGACGACATGCAGCTCAACTATGCCGATAGAGTCGTCCCGGCCCTTATTTCCAAAATGGGTCCTAACTCGGTCTCCAGAGTCCAGGTCCACGCCGCCGCAGCTATGGTTAACTTTGCTGAAAATGCCACCAAGGAGATTCTCGAACATTACCTTGACTCGCTTCTTTCAAACCTCCTTACTCTGCTCCAAAGCCCTAAGACATATGTCATTGAGCAAGTCATCACCACTATTTCTATTGTTGCCGATGCTGCCCAAACCAAGTTTATGAAGTACTACGACACTCTCATGCCCATGCTCTTCCAATTTATGAAGTCTGACACCGACGCCGAGCTTCGTACCTTAAAGGCTAAGTCTATTGAGTGCTCTACCTTGATTGTCGTGGCAGTTGGCAAGGAAAAGGCCCACCCTCAGTTTCAAGAAATGGTCCAAATCTTTGCCGCAATTCAAAGCTCGTGCGTTGACGACGATGATCCTTGTCTCTCATACCTTGGTCAAGCATGGGGCCGTCTCTGCCAGGTCTTTGGCAAGGAGTTTTTGCCCTATCTCGGTGGAGTCATGCCTCCTCTTCTTGCAACTGCAAAGGCACGTGCTGATCTCCAGCTCATTGAAGATGAAAAGGAAATGGAACAACTCGAGCATACTGAGGGTTGGGAGATTTTACCTCTCCAGGGAAAGTTCATTGGTCTTCACACTGCTGTGCTTGATGAAAAGGCTCAGGCCATTGACATTATTAATATTTACGCTGGAGTTCTTGGAGAAGATTTTTACTCCTATGTTCCTGAAATTGTCAAGGATATTGTTCTCCCTGGCCTTCACTTCTTTTATAATGACAGTGTTCGATACTCCACTCTCTTTGTCATTCCAAGTTTGCTTCTCAGCGCCCAAAAGGCTGTTATGAGCGGAAAGAATGTTTCGCTTGACGTTGCCAAGCGTGATGCATCTGTTTATGAAATTTGGCACCCCATTTTTGAAAAGCTTGTTGACCTTCTCTCCGTTGAACCTTTGATGGAGGTTCTTGTTGCAGCTTATACTTGCCTTCATATTATCATTGACAAGATGTACCCTGGCATTTTGACTGAAAAGCAACTGGAAATGCTTGGATCCAAGATTCGCGATACCATGACTAAGTACAGCGAGCGTGCCGTTTTACGTCAGGAGGAGGATAACATTTACACTGAAGACATTGACGAGGATGATTCCGAGGAAGTCGATAATGAATTGATTGGTGAAGTCAATAAGGCTCTCCACTCCATCTTTAAGTCCTCTGGCGTTGCATTCCTGCCGGTTTTCCAAACAGAAATTGCCCCCCTGGTTCAAACCTTTTTGGGTGGCACTCTTGACCAGCGTGATTGGGCCCTGAATGCCGTTGACGATCTTATAGAGTTTACCGGTCCTGCCTCATGGGCACTCAAGGACCTTTTTGTCAACCACTTTGCCGATGCACTTGTCAATGGCTCTTCATCAATCCGCCTGGCGGCTGCTTACGGTATTGGTGTTGCTGCACAATTCGGTGGTGACTCGTATGCAGATATGTGTCTGCAAAACTTACAGAGCTTGTTTGACATTGCAAATGCTCCGGACGCTCGATCTGAAGAAAATGTTGAGGCTGCTGAGAATGCATGTGCTTCAATTGCCAAAATTCTTCGCAAGTACGGTGGCTCGCGGATTACTGGTGCTGATTTGAATCAGGCCCTTGTTGAATGGGTTAAGACATTGCCTGTTTACAATGACGAGGAGGCTGCTCCTTTTGCTTACATGTTTCTGTGCGACTTGGTCGAGCAGGGCCACGACTCTGTGATGGGCCAGATCCCCAAAGTGCTTGAGAGCGTGGGGTTGGCTCTGCAACACGATGCAATTGCCAGTCGCACTCGCCAACGTGTGATTGATGTATTCAAGACGTTTATGGCTAAGCTTCCGCAGGACCAGCTGATTTCACTTGTCCAAGCGTTCCCCCAGGATACGCAGAAGGCTTTACATGAGGCGTTCCAGTGATGAAAGAAGAAGAAGAAAAAAAAAAGTTTTATATATAAAGAAAAAAGTAATAAAAAGATAAAAAAAAAATTGATAAAGTATGTTATTTTTATTTATATGGCAAAGAGATTGTTGTGGTGGTTCAAGCCCATCCCTCCCCTCCCCTTCCCTCCCAAGTATAAATATCCCCGATATTTCCTTTTCTTTAAGCAACCAACCACTTTTCATTTTCAATAATGTCCTTCAAACCGCTCTGCCGCCCTGCCATCTATACTGTTCCTGTCGACGCCAGCGACCCGTTTTCGGTTCCTATTGCGACGACAGAACCGCCCTCGAAATTTGAGCGTGTGACACATCCGCTCACCCCACCAGACGGATGGTCAGTATCTTCATCCCCCATCTCAACCAATAAGTTTTATGCAAACCTACTTCTGGGGGACCGCACGCAAACCATGTACGTGCACCCGTACAGCATATGGTGGTCGTGCACAGACCAGTTTGGGTTTGCAGTGAATGCAACTAAGCCAGCACAATACACGTATGGTCCTGATGCAAATGCGTCGACGGCACAATACTTTTTCGCGCCGGTGGGGATCAAGTCACTGGTGGTGGGAGCTACTGAGTTTACCGACGGCAGCTCGACGATGAAACTGTTTGCACAGAACTTTAAGGATTTTAGCGTTCAAGCATACCTGTACAATTCCACGGGACAGGTGTGGTTTCCAATTGTCCAAGGAATGGGGTTTTTGACTGCGGTTTATTCGAACCTGACGCCGCAGATTTCTTCGGCAGTTGGGTTTACATCAATTGAAGAGGTCCAAGCCCCACAGTCGACTATGCGCAAGTATGCATTATACTTGAATAATGGGGTAAGATGGTATTTGTATATTTCATTGGAATCAGGAACCATTCCGTCGTTTTCACTTTCCGCAGACAAGTCCAAGGTGATTGCTTCTAGCTCGGTCAATGGGGCCGTTGTTCAAGTGACTGAGGCTACAGTAGGGTATGGCAATTACTATGATAAATGTGCGGGTCGTTATCAAACAGATGCATACCTAACAGGCTCAGTTTCTGGGAACCAAGCCCACTATAAGATTCAGTACGTGGCTGAGGGGAAAAGTACCATAGGGATGCCGCTGGTGTATGCGGCGCCCCACCACCGACAGATGCTGTACAATATGGGCGGAGTGAAGGTCACACCGCTAGAAATGTACTCTCCGACGCTGGGGTTGATGAAGGGGTATGTGAGCACGGTTTTGGAGTTTTTGGATACTATTCCCACAACGATTGGATTTTTGCCCTATAATCAGTTGACGAGTCCAGTAAAGTACACAGAGAGTGAGTTAGAGGTTGAGTGTGGGGTGGATGTGAAACAGCAAGAAGATGATGAGTTTTACATGCTGCGGAAGTGCTCGGCCATGAGCTCGCCATATGTTTCTGATGCAGTGGCGACCAAGCTGACGACAATTGCTACAGCAGAGCTTCAGGAGGATATTATAGCCCAGACCAATTTGGATTCCATGTACTTTAGCGGTAAGGGATTGGACAAGTTTGCCAATGTACTGATGACTGTCATGTATATTGTGAATAACCGGACATTGGCGGCTCAAGGATTGGCTTTGTTGAAGACTGCGTTTGCGCGATTTGCAAATAACGCGCAGATCAACCCGTTGGTTTATGATACCACATGGAAGGGACTTGTTTCCAATGCTGGATTGACGAATCCTGATGCTGATTTTGGCAATACCTATTACAACGACCATCATTTCCATTATGGATACTTTATACATGCGGCGGCTGTGATTGGGCTTGTGGACCGGGATCTTGGAATCAATACATGGGTGGCACAGAATAAAGATTTTGTGAATAACTTGGTGCGGGACGTGGCAAATCCGTCATGCACAGACCCCTACTATCCGCGGTGGAGGTCGTTTGACTGGTTTGTGGGTCACTCATGGGCCAAGGGCTTGTTTTTGAGCTCTGACGGAAAGGACGAGGAGTCGTCATCTGAAGATGTGCACTTTGCATACGGGATGAAGCTATGGGGCCGAGTTGTTGGAGATGATGCAATGCAAGCGCGTGGTAACATTATGCTTTCAGTGTTGCGGCGGTCGCTGAATTGCTACATGTTGTATGCAAACAATAACACGGTGATGCCAGCAAAAATTGTGGGCAATAAGGTGAGCGGGATCTTGTTTGAAAACAAGGTAGACTATACGACATACTTTGGGACCAATGTCGAGTACAAGCACGGGATCCATATGATTCCTGTGACGTCGGTGTCGTCGTACATTCGTAAACCTGGGTTTTGTCAGGAAGAGTGGGACAACAAACTGGCCACACTTGCGCCGACCCTGACGTCTGGGTGGAAGGGAATTCTCTACCAAAACAAGGCGCTGTATGACAATGCAACAGCATACGGGGTTTTCAATGACGATTCGACATTTTCAGCGGCGTATCTAGACGGCGGCATGTCGCGGACATGGGCGCTGGGTTATTGTGCATATGTGGGCAAGTATTGAAGTTACTTTTAAGGTAACTTTGTAGTAATTATAAATAAGGTGTAATCATCCCCTAACCCTGAATATCAAGATTGATTTTGATTTTGATTTTGATTTTAATTTTAATTTTAATTTTTTTTAAAATGTAGAATTTCTTGTCAAAATTAAAAAATCAAGATTAAACAAGAAACCATGTTGACGCGCAAACTCGTGCCTGATTTTGGGATTTTTGAACAGCATGGTGGCGGAAACGGACTAGTTTTGCAACAAGCACCAGAAGACTCTTCAAACAATCATTCCCTGGTGTTGGTGACTGCTGGCGATGGCACTGAGGCCGTGTGGCTCGACGCGCTAGTAGCCAGTGCCGCACAGAATACACACACCCGGATTGTGATTGTAGACTGTTGTGGCTCGGGTACTGATCACGATGCACGTGTGCTCCAGCGACTTGGTGTACCTTCTTCTTATGTGGTTCGGGTTTCTCTTTCCCAAGTCTTACTAGGAGCTAACCGTGAGGAAGACGTGTACGCAAGTGCATTAAAAGAAATCAGCACGGTCGCTAAGGGGGCTGTTTTGGTGCTCCGAAACGCCGACTTTTTAATCCCGATGGCAGTAACACAGAACTCTGGCCCAGATGTTGCGCGGTTTCTATGGTTTGTGCGCAAAGTCGGGGTTCTTGCGCACACCGTGTACGTTCACATGCGGGCACCTTTGTCAAGTGGGATAAGCCCAGAGACTGGACACGACCGGTACGCAGTAGCAGCGAAATGTGCAGCTACTGGAGTGGCGCATGTGGCACAGGCTGTGGTCAGCGTGCGTGCGCTTGGTACAGGCCGGGCGGCAGATGTGACCGGGACGGTGACGATTGGTCGTGGGGGTGGCAGCGGAGTAAAAGTTGCAACCGGGACATACCAATATTTGGTGACACACGACGGGGTCAAGATATTCTATCTGTGAGAAGTTTGATTAGATAAAAAGATAAAAAAAAAAAATTTACTTTTTGCAGGCCATGGCATACAAATCATCCAGGACAAATTCTATTGCACATCGTGCCCAGATGATTTGGAGTTCTGGCCAGACAGCCTTTTCTCCCACTTTGATTGTTTCTTTTGCCTTTTCTTCCTTCCTTGGATCAAATGCATTAATTACGGCGGCAACCAACCCGTGCTCACCTGGTGCGTCTGCTGCAATCGTAAGCGCAAGCCCTGTGCATCCTCCGGCACGCGAGTCCGGAGGCGCAGGGTCAGGGAACAATGCAGCGCGGAGACCAGGCGACATGCCAGCAACGCGAGCGACAGCACGAAGACGGTGGAGACAAATAATTCTGGCAGCACGCACGACTCTTGGTGGAACGATGGAATATTTGTTAGGGAAGGCAAGAGTAGTAGAAGATGACGACACGTTTCTTGGGCGGGACCTGCGATGGGGGTCTGCGGTACCTGGGAGGGTAAAGTGGGGTGGGGCAATGGATACAAGCAGGTTATTGACATTGAAAAGTTCAGTCATGCGAGTGTAGGGTGAGTCCCTAGAGCGTGAAGGTACGGACCATGAGTCGTTGTCGTCATCCTCGGTGAGTGATGCACGGGTATAAGTGGGTTTTGGGGCATCTTTTGGAAGAAACAGGGCGGCATATTCTGTTATATTACCTGCATGATCTTTGCAGTAGAGGTGAGGTGGGGAGTCAGGAGTTGCGAGAGGGCCGGAAGGTCCGAGAGATGCTGCAACGGCTGAGGCAACGGTGACAGTTGGTGCTGAGAGATAGTTTAGAAGCCTTGGTACTGCATGGGTCGAAGGTGCAAGGGCAATGTTAAGGGCTCTTCCTGAACGGGCGTGTGCTTCTTCGAAAGTAGTTTGGCCAAGCATGGTGCAGACTTGATGGGCAAAGGCCACCATTTGTCCAGAGTATGGGAAGGCTGAGTTATAGTTTGATTTAACAGATGCGACAGAGTCTATTGTGGAAAGCAGGTCAACGTCTGGGACTGCGCAGAGAAATGCAGCTGCTAGGGCGGATGCGCCTGCACCTGCGACAATTTTAGGAAGCAAGCCATGGAGGAGTAAGGATCGGGCGACACCTATATGGACGAGTCCAAAGATTGATCCACCACGCAGAACAAGAGCTGTTCTTCCAAATGCTTGGCGAGTGTTTCTGAAAAAGTCTCTTTTAAGCTGGCTTGAAGCCAACATTGAATTTGCAGCCAATGGAACGTCCTGGGCTTTGGGGATAGGCCGTGCATTGAGATGTTCGAGGCCGCGGATAACTTCAGCAATATAGGCCTCAATTAGAAGTTTAGTTCCTGCGTGTGCACGGGTGTAAAGTGCGGGAGCAGCGATAGAGCCAATGTTGCGGAGAAGACCAGCACGGAGGGCTGTTGCGAGATCGTTGGGCCGACCAGACAAACGGGCTGCTGCAAGATGGGCTTTACGGGCTGCTATAAGGTTATGATCATAGAGAGAAGATTCTGGAGCGTTTCTCCAGCGGTCATTACCGAGAGCTGCGTCAAGGGCGTAAGCGGTAGCTTCCCAATGAGCGTAGGAGGGTGCATTTTTGAGGGCAAGTTGGAGAGCTGCAGTAGAGAAAGTTTTTGGGGAGGAGAACCGGTGGTAAAAAGAGCTAAGAAAGGAAGTAAGAGCGAGGTAGTAAGAAAGAAGAGTGGAAAGAAAAGTGAAAAAGATAAGAAGAGAAATAGTTGAAGGCGAGGATGTTGAGGGTGGGGTCATTTGGGATGAGTTTGGTGATGATAAATTAATGAATGGAGATTTGGTAAGATAAAAGTCTGGGGTAAAAATAAATAAATAGGCGGGACAAAAAGGGGAGGGGGGGGGGGAAGAGAAGTGATAGATTTGAATTTGCATGTGAAGGTAAAATAATACTTAGTATTTAACGTTTAAAATTTAAAACTTAAAACTTTATAATATTAAAAGTTAAGTATTAAGTACTATATATTTCAACTATCGCCACCAAGGTTCTTTTTTTATATCTCTCCCTCTCTCTCTCTCTCTCTCTCAACAATAGCTATTAGACTATCCTTCAAGGTCCTCTTGACCAAAAAAAAAAAAGAACCCTGACGGTTCTAGTTAAGAACTAGCCGCATATCTCACCGTTAAAACGAACGAGAGAACCTTGGAGGTTTTTTATTTTTATTTTTATTTATTTTTTTCTCGATTCGAATATTTATTGCCTTTTCAAGCAATTTATCTATGACGATATCTGTCTGCTTGCCCGCTTTTTTTTTTTTTTTTTTTTAAAAAAAAATTTTTCTTTTCTGAAATAAAATCAAGTTCCTTACAAGCAAAAAAATTTTTTTTTCTTGTTCTTTGAATGTCTGGCTCTCTCGAAATGATATAATTAAACGTCCAATGATTGTCTTTTAAATAAATCATTATACTTGTTCCGATTGTCGGAGCTCTTTTTTTTTTTCTTCTAAATTGTAAAAACCAATTAAAAAAAACAACTATTTGTTGAAATTAGTTATCCGCCGGAATATTACCGTCTGCGGACATTTGATAAAAGTTTTCATTAGAGGAAATTAAATATTGAGAAATAGAGTATAAATTACATTTATTTATATTTATTTTATTACTATTATATTTATTTATTATTGTTATTAGGGTTATTATTAAAAATACATTTAGAAACACTCAAGAATGAGTGGCTCAAATCAAACTAGTACTACTGTGGTTGGCTTGTAATCCACCCGTTGGCTTGTTGCCCTGGAGCACACAAGTCGGCGTTGTGTCACCGCTGCTATTGGCCCCAGTATGGTGGTGGTGCTCCGAGTTTGCAGCCGTCACCGACAATGCGTGAAGACCGCCAGTGGATACCTCGCCGGCATGGGAGTAACTACAAATGGAGTTTGCCTTGCTCTTGCTAATAAACTCAGGTTGAATGGTGGTGGACGCAATACCGTGTCCGCGCATGCAGGTGCGAATACGCTGGGCCAGTTTCATAAACTCTTCTGGAGTAATGGAAACAGACACATGCAGTGTGGCAACGTTAAGATCTTCGCGAAGAATCCAAATGTGGAGCTCGTGAATGTCAAGTACTCCAGGAAGGGACACAATATCTTCCTTGACTTCATTTGCATTGACTGTTTGAGGAACACCTTGAAGAAGGATTGCAGAGGTTCTGCGACAGAGGGGCATTGCAGAGGAGAAAATGATTGCAGTGATAACGAGAGAGATGATTGGGTCCATGTAGTATTTCCATGAGTAGTCAGTTTTCCAAATAAGCAAGGCGGTAATCATGACACCAATATTGCCCATAGCATCGCCAAGAACGTGAAGAAAGACACCTTCCATGTTGAGAGATTTAGACTTTGTAGTTGTGACTTTTGGTTTTGCATGGAAATGGTTGGAGTGAGTGAGTGAGAGAGACCGTGGGCGAGGTTCATGGATGTGGACTTCTTCGTCGGAATGGTCATGTTCAGGTTGTGTAGCTCCATAAGTTTCGTCTGAAGACGAAGTTGAAGGTTGTTGAGATGGACGCAAGAGGGGAGAGTTTTCAGAAAGACGAGAAACGATGGAAGAGGGGAGAGCCTCAGAGATTGGGCGCGAGTCATCAGCCAGGGCTTTACGGAAGTCTTCAGCTTCGGATTTTTTAGAGGCGTTGAAACCGAGAACGTCAGCTTCTGTAATGTCACCGTGGGCATGAGAGTGCGAATGAGAGTGCGAATGAGAGTGCGAATGAGAGTGAGAATGCGAGTGGGAATGTTCGTGCTCATGTTCATGTTCGTGCTCGTGTTCGTGCTCGTCGATAGCTGCTTCTTCGTCAAAGGAGCCTCCATGGGAGTGACCGCTGCCACCATGAGAGTGACCGTGTTCGTGGAATAAAAACAAGCCAATAATATTTGAAGCAAGACCGGCTGTACCGACAATAAGAATGAGCTGGGGGTTTGTAATTACGGGGACCTCAATGAGACGCTGGATTGCTTCGAGGAAGATGGTCATACAAAGGGCAATAAGAAAGACGGCGTTAATGAGGGCACCAAGAATTTCAGCACGCTGCCAGCCATAAGTATATTTTGAATCGACACCGCGTGATTTAGCAACACGGACTGCCCATAGGGCAACTAAAAGAGAGAAAATGTCATTGAGCTTGTTGGGGAGGGGAGGGAAAGAGGAGGAAGGTTAGAAGAGTGAAAAGGATGAAGTTGATAAAGAGAGAGAGGAGAGACATACCATGTGGAATGCATCTGCAACAAGAGCAAGAGAGTGGACGGCATATCCGATGATAATTTCAAGAAAGAAAAAGGCCGTATCTAATGTTAGTAGGGCAATAATGCGGACCTCTTTGGACTGCATTGTTTGTGATGTTTATTTGTAAGATGTTGTTGTTATTGTTGTTGTTGTGGTGGTAAGTAATGAAGATAGTTTTTTTTTTTTTTGGAGGTTTTAAAAAAAAAAAAAAATAAGAAAAAAAAAAGGGTTAGGGAGGAAGGACTTTTTATAGCTGCACGTTAGATGCGTCTTGTGGTTGGAGGCACCCCCAAAGCAGCCAACATTTTGGCAGCAATGACCAAAAGAAGAAATTGGTGGTTGTGACGAGATGAAAAGGCAACCATTTTTGGCATCTTTCATGAAATTTTTCAAAATTATTGAAATTCAACTGATTTGGATTCAATTCTTTTAAGATCTTTTTTTTTAAATCTCTTTCAAGATCTTTTTTTTTTTTCAAATCTCTTTCAAATCATCCCTTTTCTTTTCTATCTATTCATCCCCCTCGCCGTCGTAATCGGAGCCTCCTACTACCTCCAGCCTCATCCACCGCGTCTTCCGAAACAGGACCGGTCGCTTCTGCACCCAAACCAAGAAGTAGACCTCCGCTTAGACTACTGCTGCGTAGCCGTTTGGGAACCGACACTGGATCTGCTCGCTCCACAACCGCACTAGCGCTTTGACGACGTTGTTGCTGTTGAGCTCTCCTGGGGGTAGTATTAGTAGTACTTTCACAAGATTTGGTCTCATCAACTTTTTCCAAATCCATCTTCTTCTTCTTATCTTCAACTGGCTTTTCTTCTTCACCTTCATCTTCTTCACCTTCATCTTCCTCATCTTCTTCATCTTCTTCATCTTCTCTTTCTTCATCTCCTTCTTCCTCTTCTGCTCCTCTTTCTTCAACAACAACAACAACAACCCCTTCATCTGTCTTCTCATGCTTAACTTCTTCTTTAATGTCATCCTCTTCCTTCTTCATTTCCTTCTCCTCTTTCTCCTTCTCTTGCTGCCGCTGCCGCTGCCGCCGTTGTTCCTTTTGCGCCTGTTTCCGCATCCGCTCAAGCTCATGCCACCGCCGTCGCATCGCCCACAATGCACCAGCAGCCTGTAAACTCAGCGATTGCCATGTACTATCTTGACCCAGACTCTGAGCAAACATCTCTTCAATGGCTTCTGCCACCACAGCTGCAGGACCAATCACTGAAGTGGTCTTTTCATCTTGTTCTTGTTCTTGTTCTTGTTTTTGTTCATTTACTTGTTCTTTTTGTTCAACATTATCTTCTTCTTCACCCTTGTTGCTCAATTTAGCCCCCCACCATCCAGCATTGTTGCGCCACCGACCCTGGACCAGCCATTGGTACTCTTCGCTCTTGGATTGCTCCTCATACCGAACCCGTTCATAATCAGGTTCCTCCTCACATGCTAATCTATTCTGTTCTTCATTTTCTTCAGGAACTGGTGTGTTTGCAGCTGTTCCTGTTGCTGTTCCTGACGTTGCATTGGCTGCCACAATTGAATTTTTTGATCCAGGCTTGCGGCCCTTGCGTTTTTTAGTGGGCCGGCCCTTTTTACCTGTAGTAGTAGGTGGGACTTGTACCACTATTGTTGTAGCTTGGGAACCACTGGGCTCTGGTGTTTGTGAAGAAGGAGTTGGGGCTGCTGTTTGAAGTTGGCTTTCTTCTTGTATTTCTTCTTCCTCACTAGGAGGAATCTGTATTGTACTTATTCTTCCAGAATGTTTGGTGTTAGCGTTATCATTGTCTTCGGTCCAAGACCCATCAGCCGGACCAGCCAATTCTGCAGTTCTTCGTCTACGCTTGGGTCTTTCTGAAGGTGGAGGTGGAGAAGAAGCAGGTGAAACTGAGGCAGAGATGATGACTGTAGCACTATTGCGCTTGCGTTTAGAGCGGAACTGTGTGGTAGGGGCCGTGTTTGTTGTTGTTGTTTGGTTGTGGGGGTCGTGTTCAGTGCCCCGGTACTTTAAGACGACGTGGCCTGGGGTTGAATTTGAAGGCATGGGATAAATAAGGAGATTGAATGAAAAGGGTATTTTTTTTTTATTGAAAGAGTAATTTTTTTTAAAAAAAAAAGTTTTATTGGTTTGAATTATCAGAAAAAAGCCATTTGATGAATTTTGATGGATTTGATGGGTTTGAAGGTTTTGAAGGGTTTGAAGGTTTTTTAAAATCAGGCAGGTAAAAAAAAAAAAAAAATTTTAAAGGAGAAAAAAATAAAAAAAAAAAAAAAAAAAGGCTGGACAAAAATAAAAATTAAAAAAAAATTAAAAAAAAATTAAAATTAAAATTAAATATTTATAAAATAACAATTAAATATTTATAAAAACAGATATATAAAAATAAATAAATGAATGAATGAATGAATGAATGAATGAATAAAAAAAATTTAAATAAAAAAAAAAAAATTGGATTTCTAAAAAAGATTTTAAGAATTTCAATTCCCTCAATAGATTTTTTTAATTACAAGAACCCCTCTCATACCGTTTTTTTTTTTTTTTTTTGACAAACAAAAGCATTTTGCACAGACCCCTAAACAGTAATTTTTTTAAGGCTTTAAATATATATTTGTTTTAAAATATACATATATAATATATAAAATTCATATATTTATTCATATATTTTAATATTTCTATTCCTCGATACTTGTTTCTTTATTTCTTTTTTATTAAAAAAGCCGCACACTACTGTTTATAAGTTTCACGTGATTTATTATTACACATATATATTACACATTTATTTACCCTAATCCTAATATTAATATTAACCCTAACCTCTTTTAACTCCACCTTCCCCTCCCCTCCCCTCCACACACACACACACACACACACACATACATACACACACATACGCACACACACTCAAAACCTCCAAACTTTTGTCAAATTTCATCATCACCAACTCCCAAAAAAAAAAACAAAAAAAAAATTAAAAAAAATTCTTATAAAAATGGCCAGAAAATCTTCAAGAAAACTCGTCTACACTCTGGCCTCTCATTCAACACCTCTTCAAGGACATTCTTTAGGAGTCAATGCCCTTGCAGTTGATCCAAATCCTCCTCCTTCATCTTCTCTTCTCTTACAACACCCCTCCAACTCCTACATATCCCCCCACAATGACTTAGACCCATCATCAATCTCAGGAACCCTCTACTCAGCTGGAAGAGATGGAACCATCGTTGCATGGCAACTTCACAATATGGATCTCCATTCGACTGACTACCGTAAACTTTCTTCTGATCCTCCAGATACTCAAATCTCATCAACCCTACTTCCAATAAACTCCTCCACAAACACTATCGACTCTTCAGACCCTTCCTCAAGAGCCCTTAGACCTTCTCTAGCAGCTTACCTCGCAGCTAACAAATCCATTCCCATACCTTCCCCACCACCACCACAATCACAATCACCACCACCAACAACAACAATAACAACTTCCTCTTCTTCTTCTTCTCCCTCATCAACACAACCCCCATCTACTTCCTACGCAACAGCAGGACAAATCCATACAAACTGGGTCAATGATATTCTACTTGTCAACAACAACCAGTCCGTTCTTTCATGTTCCTCAGACCTAACTGTCAAGCTTTGGACACCACACACAGACTCACAAACCTCCATTGGCCAACATCGAGATTACGTCAAGTGTCTTGCCGCCCCAGCATCCATACCAAACCCAACTACCGTCTACTCCGCAGGCCTCGACCGTACAATCGCCTGCTGGGACCTCAATCGGGCCCAACAAGTCTTTTCCTTAAACGTTGGTAATAATGATAAGGGATCCGTATATTCTCTCGCTGCAAGTCAATCCTCCATCATTGCGGCTGGAGGCCCCGATGCCATTGTACGTCTTTGGGATGCCAGAACTGCCTCTTCTTCTTCCTCTCAACCATTTGCCTCCTTCTCTGGCCATACCGATAATATCCGCTCCCTACTCGTCTCAGACTATGGCGACTGGGTCCTTTCCGCTTCTTCAGACTCTACCATCCGTCTCTGGTCTGTAACTGCAGGCCGAGTTCTCCACACTTTTGATATGCACCAGGATTCGGTTTGGTCTCTCTTTTCAACTCACCCCTCTCTCCAGGTCTTTTACTCCTCAGACCGCTCCGGCGTTATTGCCAAAACTGACGTCCGCAACGTCGCCTCAGATATTGACGAAGAAGCCGTCTGTACCATTGTTGCAAATGAGCACAGCGGTGTCTCAAAAGTCGTCCAGGCTGGTTCCTATCTCTGGGCTGCAACTTCAAATTCTTGCATCCATCGTTGGAACGACTTTGATACAACCCCCTATGCTTTTAACTCAAAGTTTTTCCAGGACCCACCAAAATCTTCATCTTCTTCAACCTCTTCATCATCTTCTATAATAACACATTTTGTCAGTACCGATGGAGCGCCCACCCTCCGTTTCAACAAACTCGATACCCCGCCAGATTTCTCCATCTCTCTCGAGCCCGTCTTTATTAACCCAGCTGAAACCCTGCAGGGCAAAATCGGTCTCATTAAACACCAAATGCTTTCTGATCGTAGAAGAGTCCTCACCATCGACACAGCTGGTGAAATCGTTCTCTGGGACTTGCTTCGGTGTATGAGCATCCAGTCCTTTGGCACAGGACTCGATCTGGACTCAGTCGCAGACCATCTCAATAATGCCCCTCCCCACAATGGTTCCACATCTACTTCTAACTGGTGCCAAGTCACCACCCGCTCCGGCGAGCTCTTTGTAGCCCTCGACGAGAATTCGTGTTTTGACGCAGAAGTCTACGCTGACGAACTTTGGCCAGATTTTGGAGGCGATGCAGCCCTTCACCAGCACTCTGAAATCAATCCTACTTTGGCTCAACTTCCTTCAAATCACCTCTTTAACCTCGGTCTTGTGGTCCTGCGCAACCTACTGGCACCTCTAATCGACGCGGAAATCGCCGCCGATCAAGACTACCGCCAAAATCTTCAGGATCACGTGCACGAGCGTAAAAATTCAAATGTTGGAGTGCCCATTGCACAGCTCACAACAAACTCCTCCACAGTCACAACCACTAACTCAAGTAGTGCCATTTACACAACTGCAACAAACTCATCAAAGTCAGGCAGCAAGCACCCAGGGCTCATGGGGAGACTGCGTTCTTCTTTTGGAAAAAATAAAAAGGATAAGAAGGATGAGGATGAGGAAGAAGAAACTCAATCAGCCCAACAAGTGACATCTGCATCGGCCTCTGCACCACCACCACAACCTGCTGAACCCGAAGAGGAGATTGTACTTAAGGACGTTCTTGAAGAAATCCATCAAAAGTATCTTGAGCAAATCCCTCCAGCGCTTGAATCAAATAACCCGTTTTTGGATGTCGAGCCCACTCCGCCACCACCTTCTCTTATTACCCCACCTCCACCTACGGAAACACCCATTCTACGCATTCCAGGAGCCTCCAAGATTATGATTTCCCAACTCATGCCAGGATCCGAAGGCCTCGTCGATCTTTACCGTGGATGCGTCCAATCTACTGCTGCAGATATTTCCAAGCTTGAGGCCGTGCTGCCCAAGTGGATTGCCGACGCGGTTCTGCGCAACACCATTGTGCGCCGCTCTGCAGTCAAGGTAGGTTTAGTTCTGGTGCCATGTTCTCAAGATGAACAGGTTGCACCTGGAATTGAACCACTACCTCGCGTCTCATGCACAGACCCACCAAACGGCAATTACTACTATGCCAATGGTGGGCGGCCCACCACAGCAGTCAATGGAGGCGGTGCTCCGAACCAGACTCAACCACCAACAGGTTCAGAAAAACTAAATGCATACCACATGTTCCGGCCACATAAAATTGCTGAGTACGTGGCGACCCGGTTTCAAGTGGAGCGGCTGGCTGTGCGCGAAACGGAGCTTGAAGCGCCGGCAGATACGTGGATCGAGCTACTGTGTCAAGGTCAGGTGATTCCACCGGCAATGACACTTGGCACGGTACGCACACGCATTTGGAGAAGCGGCGGTGACATGGTTATCAAGTACCGTCGGAGGGAACAGCAGCAGCATCAGCAGCAGCTACAAAGTGCGTAAATTCCATACTGCGTAAATTCCATACCATGAAATTTTTCACATCACAACCAAGTTTTTTTTTTTTTTTTTTTTTTTTTTTTAAAATTTTTCCCCTTGTACCTTTTCTTGAACCATCTTCAACAACAACAACAACAACAACAACACCCAACCCCACCTTCACCTCCACTCCTACCTCTTCAGCATATCCCTTTACCAATGGAAGACCCTGAACGCGTAGCATCCCGGCTGTGGCGCGTGTACCGGACCACTAAGGAAATGGTGCGAGACCGCGGGTACCTGATTTTACAGAAAGAAATCGACATTACACTGGACGAGTTTCGAGCACAGTTCTGCGACTCGATGGGCAACGTGACGCGCAAAATGATGTCGTACCAAGCCACTCCTACAGATGAAACTCTTGCCAAGTTTCCGACCCTGGGCACATTATGGGTCGAGTTTTGTGATGAGGCCACAGTTGGCGTGCGTACCATGGACAATCTGTGCTTGCATGTGCTGGAAAAAAACTTCCAAACCGCCATCTTTGTCTATCAAACGTCACTGTCGCCAGGTGCTGTCCGCAAAATCTCATCGGTCGAACCGGCCTCCATTGATACCTTTCAGGAAAATGACCTGGTTGTTAATATTACCCACCATGTCTTGGTCCCTAAACACCTTGTCCTTTCAGCCGACGAGAAAAAGGAGCTCCTCACGCGCTATAAGCTCAAGGAGTCGCAGCTCCCGCGCGTTCAGCGTGAAGACCCCATTGCTCGTTACTTAGGCCTCAAGCGTGGCCAGGTCGTCAAAATTATCCGTCTCAGTCCTACAGCCGGTCGTTATGCCAGTTACCGTATTTGTTTATAATGTGTTTTAATGCTATGCTATGTACAATTTATTATTATTTTTTCTTCTTTTTTTCTTCTTTTCCTTTTTCCACTGTTTTTAATTGGAAGCCTGGCGCATCAGCTCCCGTTTAATAGTGTCGAGACTATTAACAAACGAAAGCCCCCAAGATCGTAGAGCTACAATTGGCGCCGCGTCAAAGCTGTAAAGCTTGTGCAACTTGTCCACAACCCCAAGCTTCAAGTGGTTAGCAAAGTACCGTTCTGACCAGTACGGCTCAATCGCAAGCAAAGATCCAATATCGAGTCCGCGGCGTGTTGCAGTTTCCAGTGCCCCAACAAGACTTTCAACATCTTGTTGTCCCATGTTGAGACCCTGCCCGGCCAGCGGGTGCGTTGTGTGAGCCGCGTCTCCTACAAGTGCAACCCTTTCGGCAACATAGGTATCTGCATGCTTCATTTTAAGAGGGAATGATGCCCGTGACTTGGGTAAAACGTCCACAATCTGGATCGGTAGGTTGTTATCTTCGTCTACAAGTTCCACATTTTCCAAGCGCCATTCCAATTCATCTTGCACCCATTCAGAAACATCGGGTTTACCAGCAGCAACTTGCTCAGCTGCTGTGGTTAGAATGTATTCAATATCGACAGGGCCCAGGCGGAATCCAGCATTGACCATTGAGCAGAATGCAGCGGGGGGGAGTGATTTGAGTTGAGCAGCCATTTTAGGTGTACATGACCATACAAGTGATGCAAATCCATCTGGAAGAGGTAATAAAGCAATAGGTCCAGTTTTCAAAAATCTCTGGAATGCAACTGACCGGAAATCTTCCCATTCAAGCTTTACGCTGGCAACAAGCCCATGACGGTTATAATCCCAACCACGAGCCTCAATCTGTGCAAAGGCACGTGCGGGGGAATTGCCTCCATCAGCGCCCACAAGTAGTCGAGCAGAAAATGTTTCACCGGATTCGAGTTCCACCACAGGCCACTCTGCTCCACGCACAATTGATTTGACGCGAGCCTTGTCTTTAATGATTGTTTTGTTTTCGTCCTGGGAATTGAGTTCTGCCAATCGCGACAGCAGACCATGTTGCAAATTAAAGTTTTCAATCATATAAGCGATATCCACATTCTGGCCCAAAATGTCAGGTGAAAACTCGATTCTTGCTGAATCATCGAGCCCATCCCACACCTTCATTTCGTCGTATGCCTTGACACGGTCTTGAGTGATGTGTCCGTCCCAAGCCCCGAGACGCTTCAAGAAAGCGGCAGATCGTGGTGTCAAACTGCTAACTCTATTTTCGTAGTGATCTGGACCAGGAGCCCAATTCTCGATATGTGCAAGACTCCCACCTTCCACCAAAAGGGTTTTGAGTCGGCGAGTATAGGGAGAGTTTTTGAGTGCGGTTGCAAGGGTCAATCCAGCAGGTCCACCGCCAATGATGACAACATCGTAAGGTTCTGGAGAAGAAGAAGATGAGTAATAGCGGAAAAGAGAGTAAGCATTACGAGCTGTGGCCCTGCGGCGTACGCAAAGGGAGATGTTGTTGAAGTTCATTGTTGGGTGTTTTGCAAGTGGTTGAAGTTTGTTTGTGGAGGTGTGAGGTTGTGTAAAAGGTTATTTTGAGCAGAAAAAAAAAAAAAAATAAAATAAAATAAAATAAAAAAAATGGCCTGTCATGCGTTTAATGATATAATTAGTAAGTTATGACTAATATATACGTAATATATTTATATGCTCATAAACAAAAAAAAAAAAAAAATCATCTGCCCTGCCAATTCTCTGTTTTTTTTTTTTTTTTTTTTTTCCAAAAAAAATCAACTTCAAAATCAACTTCAAAATCAACTTCAAAATCAACTTCAAAATCAACTTCAAACATCCCCAATGGGCGGCGTTCTTTCAATTCCATTCATGGCCCTCCCGTCGGTGTCTATCATCGGCTCATGGATTGCCTCGTGTTGCGGTGCAGCCTTATGCTCTGCCTTGTGTTCCGCGTGCGGCAAGTGCTCCTCCTCTATCGCCACGCGTGTTGGCTACACCATTCTCTTTTGTATAAACTCCATTCTCTCATGGGTCATGCTCACTGACTGGGCCGTCAAAAAACTCGAGCATCTAACTTTTGACTATGTCCATCTGCGCTGCGGGTCCAGCGAAGACTCCCAGTGTTATGGCTTTGCTGCTGTTCATCGTATTAACTTTGCTCTAGGACTTTTCCACCTTATCCTCGCCCTGCTTCTTATTGGCGTCCACTCTACTCGTAACCCGCGTGCAAAAATCCAAAATGGATTCTGGGGGCTTAAGATCCTGGCATGGATGGCCCTTATTGTCATTTCCTTTTGTATCCCAGATTCCTTTTTCGTCATTTGGGGGAACTACTTTGCCACTTTTGGCGCCATGCTCTTTATCTTTATCGGTCTTGTACTGCTGGTCGACTTTGCTCACTCATGGGCTGAAACTTGTCTCGAACACATTGAAGATTCAGAGTCCCGTGTTTGGAAAGTCGTCCTTGTCGGATCCACTCTTAGCATGTATATTGGTGCTTTGGCCTTGACCATTCTCATGTACATTTTCTTTGCCTCCTCTGGGTGCTCCATGAACCAGGCTGCAATCTCTATCAACATGGTCTTTGCCATCATTGTTTCCCTATTTTCCGTCAACCCCAAAGTCCAAGAAGCAAACCCGCAGGCTGGTCTTGCCCAAGCTTCAATGGTCGCCGTATATTGCACATACCTTACAATGAGTGCTGTTGCCTCTGAACCTGACGACAAGTCTTGCAACCCTCTTATTAGGTCCAAGGGCACTCGCACAGCCAGCATTGTCCTTGGTGCCATATTCACCTTTTTGGCCATTGCATATACCACCACACGTGCGGCCTACCAGACCTCCACGTCCACATCTCCTGGTGGTCGTAATTATAGTGGCTACGAACCTATTCAGTCAGAGCACGGCTTGGTCACAACCCAGCCCTCGCGTCGCGAAATGCGGATCCAGGCCATTCGTGCAGCTGTCGAGAGTGGATCGCTCCCACCATCTGCTCTTGACGAGCAGTGGTCCGAAGATAGCGATAGTGAAAGTGAAGGTCCCGGCGGAGCTTATGGTGACGATGAACGTGGAGCCACCAAGTACAATTACGTTTTTTTCCATTTAATTTTCCTGCTGGCTACTCAGTGGACTGCCACCCTACTGACCACAAATGTCCAGAAGGACGATCTGGGTGACTTTGCACCTGTGGGTAGAACATACTTTTCGTCCTGGGTCAAGATTGTCTCTGCATGGATCTGCTATGCACTTTATACTTGGACATTGCTGGCGCCAGTGCTACTACCTGACCGGTTCTGATGTAGTTTTTGTTCTATTTATTTATGTATCTATTTATTTAAAGTAGAAAAAAAAAAAAAAATTTTTTTTGGCTTTACACTTTCTCTTCCTAAAAAATTCCCCTCTAAAAAAAAAAAAAAAAAAGTAAAATAAAAATAAAAATAAAAATAAAAAACCCTTCTTCTTCTTCTAAAAGTTTCAACATTCGCAAAAGTGTCGTTCGCTACTCTTTTCCGTCGCTCTTCCCTCCGTGCCTTGTCACTACCTCGAACCTCTGGTCCTATTCGCATGATGTCATCTTCTTTAGCTCCTCGCCCGGCAACTACTGGCTCCATTCAACAGCCCTCAGTGGCCATTCTGACAGCTGAGCAGACCCCAGATCTTGTTTTTGTGCGGGATCTTTCCGTCAAAGCGTTGACCGGTGTCGATGCCTGGCACCGGCCGGAACCTCAGCCTGTGACCATTTCTGTGTGGCTACGCACCTCGGTCGCACAGGCTGGGTCTACAGACCATCTCACGTACTCGCTCAACTATGCAGTCATTACACGCAAAGTCACCAAAATGGTTGAAACCTCACGCTTCAAATCGCTCGAAGATATTGCCGAGCGTGTTGCATCTACTGTTCTTTCAGATTCAGTCGGTGGTCAATGGGCCAAAATCCAGGTCCGAAAGCCCCGTGCACTACTCCGTGCTGATGCTTCGGAAATTGTCATTACCCGTATGCGTTTGGATCAGAAATCAAAGCTCGATATTCCTCCCTCCAAGTTCAAGACGGTCTCAGATGCACGTCAGAACCTTCTGGGGATTGATCATGAGACTTCCTCTGTCAAGTCTCCTGCAGAAACTTTTGATGTGGTCAAAGTGCCCGGGTCCATTGACACGGTGCGGATCCATAATTTACGTCTGGTCACCATCATTGGAGTCAATACAATTGAACGTATGCATAAGCAAAACGTCATTTTGGATCTGACACTATACAAGACAAACAAGTCCTTTGGAATTGCCCCTGGGCTTTTCGATAAGGCATATGATTTCCGTAAGGTCGTCCAAGTGGTTACAGACCATGTTGAAGACTCTAGTTACAAAACTGTCGAAGCCTTTGTCACGTCTGTGGCCCAGGTCATTTGCCAGGCTGGTGTGGCCAAGGTCACAGTACGTGCAGAAAAACCCAGCGCATTGACTTTTGCTGATGCGGCCGGAGTTGAAGTCACTCGTACAAAGGAATACTTTGATGATGAAGAGAAAGGCGCCGTTACCGTTGTTTCTGTAAATGAGTCTGCCGAAAAGCCATTGTTCCCAGACTCAGTCAATGATGACGACGGTGTCGAACACATTGTCTTTATTGCATTTGGATCCAATGTTGGAAACTCACTCAGTGTTATCAAGGCCGCCATTGATCAACTCAAGGCCCGTGACATTGCAGTACTGGAAACTTCAGCCATTTACGAAAGCGATCCAATGTATGTCACGGACCAACCAAAGTTCTATAATGGCGTCTTTAAAGCTCGCACCTCGCTGGCGCCCTTAAAACTGTTGCAAACTCTCAAGGAACTCGAGTACGGTGACTTTGGGAAACGTGTGAAAATCCAGGATAATGGCCCACGTTCCTTGGATCTCGACATTTTACTCTACGACGATTGGGCAATCAATCTTCCACCTACCCTCACTATCCCCCATCTCCGAATGCTGGAGCGCAACTTTGTGCTCCGTCCACTTAAGGACCTTGTCGGGCCCGATCAAGTCCACCCGCTTACCGCCGAGCCTTACCATTCCCATCTCGAACAACTTCTAGCTACGGCACCAGACACTACTGTCCAAGCATCTTCTGTATTGCGATCAGTCGTGCCTCTACCTGCACTTAAGGATTCTCCTGAACGTGACCGTAGCATTATTTTTGACCCAGACACTCATAGAGTGGCCACCCATGTCATGGCGATTCTCAACACGACTCCAGATTCATTTTCTGATGGCGGTCGGTTTGTTGAAAGTGATGGAATCAATGTCGACAAGATTGTCCAAGCAGCTGTCGAAGCTGTAGATGCAGGAGCAACCATTTTGGATATTGGCGGCATGTCCACTCGCCCAGGCACCTCTGAGGATGACGTCACTGTAGACGAGGAAATTGCCCGTGTCGTGGGCCCCATTGCAGCCATCCGCGCACGGTTTGCCGGAATTCCAAAGTACCAGGACGTTGTTATTTCGATCGATACGTACCGGGCCGCTGTGGCACGGGCCGCCGTTGAGGCTGGCGCAGATATGATTAACGATATTGGAGCTGGCAGTTTGGATCCAGACATGTTTGCAACTGCACGCGATCTTTCTGTGCCCATTATTTTAAATCATACCCGAGGTACTCCAGCCACAATGGCCTCTCTTGCTCGCTACGAGTATGTTGACGCGGAGTCTGGTGCTGTTGAGGTGGATACTGCTCGGGCGGTTGTGGAGAGTGTAGCAGAAGAGTTGGAAGACCGAGTCGCGTGCGCTTTGGAAAGTGGACTTTGTAGATGGCAAATTATTCTAGACCCTGGAATTGGGTTTGCCAAAACTTTGCGCCATAACGTGCTGCTGTTGCGCAAATTTGATGCTCTCAGAAAGGCCCGTGGAGGTGTGTTAGCCGGGTACCCGTGGCTGGTGGGCACTAGCCGTAAACGTTTTATTTCAAAGCTGACGGGCGACGATGAGTCTGCACGGGTGTTTGGGACTGCAGCAACAGTCAGTGCTGCCATTGAACAAGGAGCAGATATTGTTCGTGTACACGATGTGGCTGCCATGGTTGGAGTTGCGCGTGTTTCAGATGCTATTTATCGGGATGTTTACTAGAAGAGATTATTTTTTTTTTATTTATATTTATTTATTTAATTATTTAATTATATTTAATTATTTAATTAATTATTTAAGCTACGTCGGTGATACCGCCGTCTCCAATAATATAAGTGCACTCGTTTTCTGGCATATCGGGGGAATCCTGGAGCTTTGCAACTCGCTCCTCGCCACGGCCCTTGCGTAGCAAAATGCGGGTAGCTGAAGCGTGTGCCAAAACATGACCGCCAACAGGTTTACGGCCATCTGCAGAGGCAAAGAGTGCGGAAGCTCCAGGATCCGATTGGACTTGGTTTGTAAGAAACACTGCAACGTTATATTCCTCTGCAAGTCGTGTGAGTCTCCCCAACATTTGGTTAAGTTTCTGTTGACGTTCGTTGAGTTCACCACGACCCGAGTAGTCGACTCGGAAGAGAGCCATGATGGAATCAATAACAAGTAAGCGGTAAGAGCCATCGGCAAAGTTAGCTCCGATTTCTTCAATAAGTTCCATTTGGTGCTCGCTATTAAGAGCACGAGCATAGGAAATGTTATCGAGACAAATACCTGGATCAACACCAAACCTTTCAGCAATCTTGCCAATCCGGTCTGGCCGGAACGTTCCCTCGGTATCGATGTATGCCGCTTTACCCTCAGCACCTCCCATAGATCGTGGTAATTGAGCACAGACGCAGAGAGTGTGTGCAAGTTGAGTTTTACCGCACCGGAACTCGCCAAACACTTCGGTGAGTGACATTGTTTGGACTCCGCCGCCAAGCATACCATCTAGGGCTTTGGAACCGGTCGAGAGCCAAAGTACCTTTTTCCTCAACTGGGCTTGTTCAGTGCCTGTTACAAATCCTACAGAAATGATTTTGGCAGCTGCTTCTTTGACCTTTTCAACCTTGATTTCACTAAACCCTTTGATTTTGGCGAGATTGCGCCGGGTAGTAGATAAGACCGTCTATTTGGTTAGAATAAAATAAAATAAATTAAATTAAATTAAATTAAATTAAATTAAATTAAATTAAATTAATTAATTAATTAAATTGTAAGGAGTTTACCGAGATGGAGTGGATGCCAGCTGCTCGGAGCTTTTGAATATCGGCAACATTGACTCCATAGTTTTGGAGCTCTTCAATTCCAATTATTTCAATTGTCAAGTCAATTCCGGTATCATCACCAGAGTCTCCATCGAGAGATTCAGTTGGATTTGTAGAATTAGTAGTTCTTTTAGGAGCCATTTGGAATGAAGATAGAAAAAAATAAATAAACGAATGAATAAAAATAAAATAAAAATAAGTATAAAGAGTGCGGATTTCAATCTTTATTTATACAAGTCCCGAACATGAGTATTTGATTTTTAACCTGATTGATTTTTTAACTAGTTTTTTTTTTTTTTTTTTTTTTTTTTTTTTTGTATATATATTTATATTTGTTTTAATTATACCATATTCTACGCCTTCTTTTCAAGTCCCGCCGATTCATCATTATCACTGGTCACGGGTGTTAAGCTGGGCACTGCGTACCCAGCCGGGCCCAGAGGAGTGGTTGAAGCTTGTAGTTGCGGCGGGTAATAGTCCATGAGCGGAGCATGTGCGTACCCGCCATTAGCATGATCTTTTGCTCTTTCGTAACAGAATCGGTACTAGAAAGTGTCAATAGCGAGTTTTAAAGAAAAAATAAAAAATAAAATAAAAGACATACCAAATGGCCCTGACGATTACAATAAGTGCACCGGTAAGGCTGCTTAAAGTTCTGGTAGTGGTGGTTCCCTGGAACATAGGGGACTGTTGGACATGTTCGGTTCTATTAAATTTAGTCAAGTGTCAATGTTAGTTGGTTAATTAGTTAATTAGTTGTTTTGTAGACTTACCGTATGGCCAGGTTCGCCACAAGAAAAACATTTACGCGGGACATTTTCGGAAGGACGTCCACGGCCTAGGAGTGAAGCAGAAGTTGGGACAGGAGACCCGGCAAGTGACCCGGTACGGGAGGATGATGTTGATGGCGTGGGTTGAGGAATGTATCCATGAGGAGGGTTAAAGAAAGGAAGGCCACCTGTGCCACCTGTACCGCCTGTGCCACCACCACTACCACTATTACCACCACCAGGATAATAGTAATAGTATGGGCCATATGCATTGGGTAATGAAGGATAATACCCGGCGGTACTAGCTGGAGGAGGTGAAGTTCCGCCATCTGGAGGACGGGGACGACGGGCAGATTCAACGACAACAATGCGTTTGGTGGATGGTGGTGGTAGTGATTGCTTATCAGGAAAGGTGGTGGAGGACGGTGATAGACGGCTGGCTGAAGGGTCCTTATCAGGGTCAGCCAGTTCTTGGTTAGAATCCAGTCCAAGAGGTTCATCTGCAGATACTTGAGTGGAGGGTCTTGGAGTTGTTGCAGTAGGAGTACTTGGGGATGTCAATTCCGATGCTATTTCTTCTCCTTTATCTTCTTCTTTATCTTTATCTTCATCATCATCTTCTTTTTCTTCTTCTTCTTCTTCTTCTTGAACCTCGTCGCCTTGTTGGAAAAAAATATGTTCAGGTGGGGTGGTTGCCGCCAAGTAAGGAAATGGTGCATAGTAAGAAGGGTCTCCTGGAACAAACAAAGGAGAAGAGTATTGTTGAGTTTGACGGGGTAGCATATATTGTGGGTACGAGAATCCGTATGGATTAAAGTAAGCTGGAGCATAAGAGCCTTGTTGTTGTTGTTGTTGTTGTAGCAGCTGCTGTTGGGATGGAGGAAGGTGTTGTGATATGGATGGATCATAAAGAGCTGCTGATGATACTGATGGTGATGTAAGGGCTGATACAGGTTCAGCCAGAGTAGAAGATGATGATGATGAGGATGAAGATGATGATGATGAAGAAGATGAAGATGATGATGATGGTGAAGAGGATGGAATGAATGGTGCTGGAGATGCTGGAGATGCTGAAGAAGAAGAAGAAGAAGAAGAAGAAGAAGAAGGAGCTCCAAGATATGGTCTAAATGGTTGGTATGGAGTTGTTCTAATTGGAGCAGTGCATTGGGCTGCGATATGGCCGGCGTGGCCACAAGTATAGCAAAGGGTTTGTGCGGGACAATCAGCTTGGAAATGACCCATTTTTAGGCATCGATAGCACTGTTTAGATGAGACCACCTTTTGTTCAGATGATGATTGTGCAGGCATTCTTTTAGAAGAAGATGATGATGATGATAATGAAAGCTTTGGTTCGGAAGACATTAAAAAAAGAAGAAGAGAGTCTTTTTTTTTTTTTTTGGATTTTTATAGTGAGAATATATGTTGAAAATTATAAAGATGATAAAGTTGATGAAGATTTAATGATGGTTGGTAGAAAGAAAGAAAATAAAAATTATTAAAAATTATTAAAAATTATTAAAAAAAAATTAAAAAAAATTATTATTAAAATTATTATTAAAATAAAATAAAATAAAATAAAATAAAATAAAATAAAAAAAGTGCTGCTGCTACTTTCTATTGTTACTGCCGCTGTTGTTGTTGCTGCTGCGTGTCTTGTGTGTTTTGAGATAAGAAAATATAAAAAAAACTGTCACAGCATACTTCCCCATTTGGTCTGTTGATATCTACGAGAATATCTATGATAATATCTATGAATATCTATGAATATCTTATATAGATACGGAATATATATTATATCAATATTTATAAATGTCTGTCAATATCTATAAATTTCCAACATCCTACTAAACCATTCTGCACTGCTACTCTAAACCAAAAATCTTCCAGATTCAACAAACTCTCTCGTCCAAATGTTCTGTCGTCACTTCACTACTCTATCACGTATTGACCTCTTAAACATTTATAAATATTTAAAATGTAAATAAATTTATTTATATATTAAATCTCATAAATAAATAAATAAATAAATTAAAATTAAAATTAAAATTAAATAAAAAAAAAATTTTTTGAAAAAATTGAAAAAAAAAAAAAAAAAAAAAAAAAAAACTAATATCATCTTATCCCATTCCGGACTTTCACCCGGTACGCGGCTCCATTCGTTTCACAACCCCCTCGCAAAGTGCAAGTACCCGTTGATTACTTTCAAAAGATTGCCGTACCATCTCCTGGATTTGCACATCCTTCGCCCGATTTTGCTTCCCAAAATCTTCAACAAGCTGCTGAATACATCGGTTCGCCTCTCGACTGCTCCGACTCCACTGCCGCTGCGCAGCCGCAGAGTCCCGCTGCGTCCGTGAAAGCGTATGCTGTAGATCCCCCATCAACTGTCTCAAAAGCCCATACATCTCCGGCTTCCCATGTGCTGAAAATAACTGCCTCTCCTGTTCTCCTGGTTGTAACGAAGACGTCGACGACCACAACGGACTCGACAACCCGTACCGAGCTCGCTTCACTCTGTTCCTGTGTATTTCTTCCTCAGAACTCTCAGATTCCTCAGTGCTACTCTCGCGTCTATGCCGCCGTTTCTGAATGGCCTTGGCCTTGGCCTCTGCTTTTGCCTTTGCCTTTGCCTTTGCCTTTGTCTTTACTTTGACTTTTACCTTTCGTTCACTTGGACTCTTCTTTCTCCTCGTTTTCCTTGTCCTGCTTTCTAATACTTCATCATACATCTCTTCTCCTTCAGAACTCTCTTCTTCCATAACAGATTCATCACCACTTACCTCTTCACCTTCATCATCATCTTCTTCTTCTTCTTCTTCTTCTTCTCCGTCATCATCATCTTCTTCTTCTTCTTCTTCTTCTTCTTCTTCTTCTTCTTCTTCTTCTTCTTCTTCTTCTTCTTCTTCATCTTCAACTTTACCCCCAATATCACCCTCCTTCTTAATATAACCAGAGTCGCTCTGTGGCTCTCCCTTAATGTTGACCTCTGAAACATGTTCATCTATCGGCCCCTCCTCATTTTCTCCCTCCTCATTTTCTTCCTCTTCATCCTCTTCATCCTCCTCCTCCTCCTCCTCCTCCTCCTCCGGTCCCTCACTCAGTGATTCCTCTTTAATTAAAACATCCTCAGATGCCTCAGAGTCGCTCACCATCTCATTATCTGATACTTGTCTAGATCCCATCTTCTCATCACTATGCTGGTACTGTGACGGCTCATCAAATGGAATCTCAAGACTCTTTTCGCGTAAATAAACAGACCCCTTCGTACTATCATACTCCTCCTCCGAATCACTGATCCGGTTCTCATATGATGGAGTCGGAGAAACTCGTAACGTAGAAACAGGTGCTGCAATCGCCTTATGATTTGCATCATAACTATCACCATCATCCCTTTTGGCTCGTGTCATGCTCTCCAAAGACCCACGGGTAGCCGCGCGCCGGAATAAATCATAGTCCGTGTCAATTGTTTCATGCTGCACTGTGCTATCCAAAATACCATTGGCTTCAGGTGCTATTGGCTTGCGCTCATCCTCACTATATCTCGACTGCCGCTGACGCTTCATCATCATTAACATCGACTTGGCTGAACTACTACCCTTGCGGAAATCGTCCGCCGTCGGAGTGGGTAGCTGCGTGCCCTCCCGGCTTTCCGGTAAACAGGTATTAATGGTAGGAGGAGGAGTCGGGTTCCGGAATAGTGGCACACTGAACTTGGGTGGACTAATCGATTGTTGTCTCTTGGGCGGCGATGGAGTCCCCTCCCTGAAAACTGCTGAAGATTTTGGAGGGGGGGAAGGTGATAGAGATAAAGAGGGCTGTCGTGCCTTGTGCTCAGGCAATGATTCTTGTTTAAAAGAAGGAGTCAAGGCTTTGATTTTTGCACGCGACTTTGAAAAAAAATTGGTCAGTTTAGGACTTGTCGTGGATTTGGACAATGGCTGGTTTGCAGATTCTAATACTGGTGATTTAGTTAAAAGATCTAGGGGGGATTGCTTGTTTTCCAAGCCAGCTGGTTTTGGTGGGCTTTCCAAGCTTTTATGAGGCAAGTCAACTTGCGTAAATTCAGCTTCATCAGATTGTGCATTTTCTTCAGGCTTTCCATGGCTACAAGCTGGACTATCATGGCGACTAGAAACCCCCTGGTTACTGCCAGACTCATCTGGACTTGCTGAACTTGCTGGACTTTGACGACGGCCGGCAATAGATTTCAATTCACCAGGACTCGCAACAAAGGCGCTTACAGGTGATCCATGGTTACTATCTGAGTCTCTCCGACTAAAATCCTGAAGTGCTTCTTGGTAATCTCTGCGAGCTACTTCGTAGTTTCGGCGCGCAATCTCAAAACTATTATTATTATTATTATCATCATCATCATCATCAACAGTTTTGTAGTTTTGTGAAACAACCACAGACCCCTTTTCATAGTCAAACTGCAAAGAAGATGTAGGTTCCATATTGTATGAAACAGCCTCAGGCTGTGGACTCAACTCCAAGCAAACGTCTTGATTCTCTTCTTCTTTCAAAAAGGGGGATGCTGGTTGACTGTTAAAATCTTCTTCCTTTTGTTGAGGCAAAAGGCCATCATCTTCAAATGACTTTTTCTTGCGTTTCTAAAAATGAAATGTTAGTTTTTTTTTTTTTTTTTTTTTTTTTTTTCAAAAACTTACCAGATTGTAAACTTTTTCAATATACCCGACTGTCAGACGCGTATAATTCATTGGCAAAGTATCGACCAGATCCTCACCATTCTTCTCAACCATTCTTTTGTAGTTTTCAAACTCGCGAAAAACATGGTTAACATGAGAAATTAAAAGATGCTCGTCAGGGAATTGTCGATCAGTAGACATGTAGTTGTATGCCCACCAGGAATACATGCGCTGCACAGTCTTCCAGTTTGCATTATTAAAAGGATCATACTCAAGAATTAATTTCATAAGCACTCGAACACTTTGTTCTGTAAAAACATGACGTTGGGTAGATATATCCCCTAAAAAGGTCTGGCGCTGAGGTGGATCTTCTAGCTCTAACTTTTCACGGTTCAAGGCCTTTAATTGATCTTCTTCAGTTTCCTCTTCGTCAAGGTAATAAATGTCATCATGTGTTTCCTCCAAGTCTGCCTCAGGAGGCCCTGTAGGACCTGGAAGCTTGGGCTCGGCCTCGTAAATGGAATCAGCATAATCTGACTCAGATTCACTTTCATACTGAGGGGCATCATCTCGAGATTTAAATTTGGACCAATACTTGTTTTTCCTTGGTGGTGGCGCATTAGCTTCCCAGTAAGGCTCATCATCTTCACCATAGATCCGTGACGCGAGCTTTTTATCAGCCTTCTTTTTGCTTTGATCTGAAAAACTTTTTCGTGGAGACTTTTTGGTGGTTTGCTCTGTATCCTCATCGGCAGAGCTAAAGTCGAAAAGAGGGGTTGCTGGTTCTTCTAGTCGAAATAACGGCAGAGCATGAACTCGAGACGACCCCAAAGAGGGTAATCGCGTCGTTTTGTCCTCATTAACTTCACTGGTAGAATTTTTAGCCTTGGGCTCGTCCTCAGTTTCCTTAGGTTCGTTGCTTTGTTGTCGCCGAGGGAATGAATTCTTGGTATCATTTTCTGCAAATGTATTGTATTCGTTTCTTCGTTTCCATTTATTTTTCGAAAATTGAGAATTTGGCCGTTGAGGGAACTGTCCAGAAGATGCACCACCATCCGAGTTTTTATTTTTATAAAATGGCCGCTTCCTGTTGAAATCATTGCCATTATTATTGTTATTGGTGTTGTTATAATATGGCCGAGAATCATTAAAGTGGCTATTCCCCCCGTCATTAAAGCTCGGTCTCCGGCCACCACCACGACGGTTATTGTTTCCATGGAATCCACCCCGCCAAGTGCCGTGATGCTTTGACTGAAAATTGTTGGACTTGTGACCTTGAAAATTGTTATCACGGCCAGGTTTGTTGGTAGTATGAAGCCGGTCGCTTTCGTGGCTGGCACTTTGGGGAAAATTGGTATTGGAGTTGAACTTGTTTGAGGTATATGAATTTGACTTTGTATTTGTGTTTGAGGAAAAATCGTTATCTATCTGAGAAGAATGATGATCGGCGTCTTTCTTATGATTATTGTATGATGATTTGTTTTTATTGTAACGGCCCGTAGATTGAAATCCTTGTCGAGAGTATTCGCCATTAGACCATTTTTGTTCGTCCATTGTTGAAAAAAAAAAAAAAAAAAAAAATTAAAAAAATTAAAAAAATTAAAAAAATTAAAAAAGTTCGCGGTAGATTATAATAGGGGTGAATCCCCTTATTTCCTGCTAAAAATGACGCGTAATTTTCTCCATCAGGAGGTAGAAGGAAAGAGAAAAAAAAAATTTTAAAGTCCCAAAGTTGGACGATTTGAATTAAAGGCAAGTCAGTTTTGATGGTTGAAAAAAATAAAAAAATTAAAAATTAAAAAAATTAAAAATTAAAAATTAAAAATTAAAAAATAAAAACAAAAATCAACTGTCGTGGCTGGTATGCAACCATTCGGCTAATGTAGGGTAACTAATATTTCTTCGGATTATTTGTAACAAATGGCTATGTAACACCTTTGTTACAATAACAAAAGCTTTGACTAATGAAGATTTATTTAATCCGATATGTTATTGTGATTACAATGTACAATTTAAAATTCTTATATAAATCCTCAATCACTAAAACTATTATGTGGGCTAAATTTTTAAAGATGGAATTAATTTAAATAAGAAATTTCTTTTTTTTTTTTTTTTTTTAATATTATACTAACAATATTGTTATTATTGAAAATGTGTTGTGTAGTAATAATACCTTCAAAGCTTTAATTAGGTGATCTACCCCATAACACTCATTAATCTTCTGTTAATTACCTTAAGGTAATAAAAAACTTATTATAATAAGTTTGTTTTATTATGGGGAATATTCACCACATTAATGTTAAAAAAAAACAATTAAGTTAAAATTTTTTAGATTATAAAAGATATATTTCAACTAGATATCAATCATAATATTTGAATATCTCCACAAGAACAAATATTAGTAATGCCATGTGATCTTATTATTTCAAAAAAATAAATAAATAAATAAAAATTAAAAAAAAGTGAGGTTTTTCATTGTTCCAGTCAAATAATTAAATATTATAAGGGCAAAAAATACTATCATGTTCTTGATTATTTAAAACAAATCCAAATAGAAAGCCATTAAAGTATTTAATCAAAGCAGAAACAAAAAATGACTCTTATTAAAGATAAATTTAAAATTTTATTTGTTTTTATTTTTTTTTTTTGCTTCAAGTGTATTTTATGGTGGTGGCTTTATCAAACGTTTGAGGTCTCACAGAGTTACTTAATTAAAGTGATGAGATTTTTAACAAGATGAGATTTTTGACAAACTCTTATATTTAAGAAAAAAATTCTAACAAGTATAAATTCTAACCAATTTCTCCTTTTTTTTCCTTTCTTTCTTTCCCTCTCTGTCTATTTTTCTTTTTTATTTTTTTTTTCATCTAAATCCTGTTTGCTATTTTTTTTCTTTCTTAACCAAGTTTAAAATGTACGACATCCCGACTGGACTCATTGTTGACCACAATAATGATACTGCATTCTGCAAAGGGTGCCGTTGCAATAAAGATCTTTGCGAATTCGAAATCGCTCCTAAAAAGATCCGATTGGCTTTGAAATGTAAAGAGTGTCGAGATGTTGAGGCGGAAAGAAATAGGAAACACAGATTAAACAAAACTTTGGGTAACACAAAACCTCGATTGAAAAGAACAGGAGAGGAAAGAGCACCTAAGATTGATTTGGATTCTAGGAAGTTACCTCCTAATTTTAAAATGTCGGACTACTCATCTAAAGACCACTCATCTAAAGAATTAGAATACGATGGGAAGCTAATCAAATATTGTCAATCGTGCACAGCTTTCCATGAGTTGTGCCATTTTATCGATCCAAAATCAAATGTCGAGTACGCCCAGTGTAACCTACAGCGGAATTCCCATGCCACCAGAGGTAAGGCTAATTACCACAACAATATTGAGGAAATCAGCGAAAGACGCAGAGAAAGGTATGCAGAAAACCCGGTTGAAGCAAATGAAAGGAACAAGAAGTACCGCACCCCGGAAAGGCTCCAGCAGTATAATGCTAATCGAAGAAGGAAGCATGCAGAAAATCCAGAGCATAACCGTGCCTTGCACCAAAAGTATCGCCAAAGAGTTAAGGAGCGTGAAAATGCTCAGGGAAAAAATAACTAGACTGCTATGGAGATTACACGATTGATGGCACCGTGTCTTGCTTAATAAAATATTACTCGTTTAAAATGTTTTTGAATTTTAAATATGTGTTTCCTGTGACTATGAAACTTTTTCATATCACGGCAGAAAAAATGTTTTTAGCTTATTAAATAAATGACAAAAAAAAAAAAGTTATAAGTATGATATAAGATATATATAGTTGAAAAAGAAAAAAATAAAAATAAAACCTTGCTTATTATGAAAAACTTGTCATTGACACAATCATACTTAATTGAAAACCTTTGAAGATATCAACAAGATACAATAAAAAAAAAACATCCATTCTGATATGAAGTTGAATTATTTGAATATGTTAATATGAATAGTACGTTTAATATAGTCTTGTACTGACACTGAGCAAATTTCACATGTTTAAGATAAATTCAGAGTAAAGAAAAAAAAATTGAGTATAAAAGTATTTAGAAAGAAAAAAAGTGAGGTGTATCATTGTTCCAGTCAAATAATTAAAGATTGTAAGGGCAAAAAATACTATCATGTTCTTGATTATTTTAACAAAGTCCAAATAGAAAGCCATTAAAGTATTTAATCAAAGCAGAAACAAAAAAATGACTCTTATTAAAGATAAATTAAATTTTTATTTGTTTTTATTTTTTTTGGCTTCAAGTGTATTTTATGGTGGTGGCTTTATCAAAGGTTTGACTTAATAAAAGTGATGAGATTTTTAACAAGATGAGATTTTTGACAAACTCTTATATTTAAGAAAAAAATTCTAACAAGTATAAATTCTAACCAATTTCTCCTTTTTTTCCTTTCTTTCTTTCCCTCTCTGTCTATTTTTCTTTTTTATTTTTTTTTTCATCTAAATCCTGTTTGCTATCTTTTTTTTTCTTAGCCAAGTTTAAAATGTACGACATCCCAACTGGCCTCATTGTTGACCACAATAATGATACTGCCTTTTGCAAAGGGTGCCGTTGCAATAAAGATCTTTGCGAATTCGAAATCGCTCCTAAAAAGATCCGATTGGCTTTGAAATGTAAAGAGTGTCGAGATGTTGAGGCGGAAAGAAATAGGAAACACAGATTAAACAAAACTTTGGGTAACACAAAACCTCAATTGAAAAGAACAGGAGAGGAAAGAGCACCTAAGATTGATTTGGATTCTAGGAAGTTACCTCCTAATTTTAAAATGTCGGACTACTCATCTAAAGACCACCCATCTAAAGAATTAGAATACGATGGGAAGCTAATCAAATATTGTCAATCATGCAAAGCTTTCCATGAGTTGTGCCATTTTATCGATCCAAAATCAAATGTCGAAAACACCCAGTGTAACCTACAGAGGGAAGCAAAGGCTATCAGAAATAAGACTAGCTACCACAACAATATTGAGGAAATCAACGAAAGACGCAGAGAAAGGTATGCAGAAAACCCGGTTGAAGCAAATGAAAGGAACAAGAAGTACCGCACCCCGGAAAGGCTCCAGCAGTATAATGCTAATCGAAGAAGGAAGCATGCAGAAAATCCAGAGCATAACCGTGACTTACGAAGAGAGTATCACCAAAACAATAAGGAACGAATCAATGTTAGGGATAGGGAATACTACCGAGTTAATAAGGATCGCATTAGAGGAAATGACACAAGAAGAAGGAAAACCCAACCAAAGACTAGATACGCCATGATTGTCAATAATGCCAAAGCACGGGATCTGGATTTTGATCTCACTTTAGAAGCAGCAACAGTATTGATGGAGTCACCTTGCTTTTATTGTAATTACAAGGTAGACGAGGAGTTGATTTCGATAGATAGACTGGATAGTCACAAAGGTTACAATGTTGATAACGTGGTGGCTTGTTGTACAAAATGCAATACTATGAAAAGGTCATTGGATCCTAAAACCTTTTTGTTAAGATTAAAGGGTATCCTTGAGCCACTTGATAAAGATGTTTGCAGGAACGTGTATCGGAACACAACGGGTTCAAAATACACTGATTGCAAGTCCAACGCCAAAGACCGCAAACTGGATTTTGAGTTGACCTATATCCAGCATACCTCAATCGTGGCTCTTCAGTGCTATTATTGTAACCGAAATAATACAAGGCTACACAAAAATGGAATTGATCGTTTAGACTCCAAGATTGGTTATGTTGCTGGGAATTGCGTTGCTTGCTGTACTGACTGCAATCTCTTGAAGGGGACTTTAACTGAAAATGAGCTTTATAAACAGGCTTCTGCTATATTGGAAAACACCGAAGACCGAGACCTCCACATGATTGATCATATTCCTAAAGAACTCAATCCAATGGCTCCTATTCGTTAAGTTTAAAGCTGAAAAAAAAAAAATGTGAAATTGCTTTTATTGTCACTTGCTTATACCACAAAATTAAAAAAAAAAAATTTGAAAAATTAAAAAAAAATTGAAAAATTAAAAAATTGAAAAAAAAAAATTTATTGCTTATATCTTTATCACTTGCTTATACCACAAAATTAAAAAAAAAAATTTGAAAAATTAAAAAAATCCAAAAAAATAAATTATTGCTTATATCTTTATTACTAGCTTATACAAAAAAAATAAATAAATAAATAAAAAGAATTTGCTTATTATTATATAAAGAAAATATTATGTAAAAAATTAATAAAAAATAACCTTGCTTTAATTATACAAAGTTACATGTAACCCTTGCTACTGCTATTGGCAATTAAGTGTTTTGTTAATCTCAATGTTGTTGCCAATTATGTGTATCACAGTGGAGGGGTGGGGACAAAATTAACATCTCACATCCACATCACCAAAAATTTTCGTTTTTCACCACATTACTTTCAAGACGGTTTTTTTTTTACCAAATTTAATTCAATTCGTATGTAATTAGAGATATATATACTTCTCTAGTATTTTGTATACCAGCCGTTTGCATCTACTGCAGCTTGAAGTCTTTGGGGCATTGATAAGACTAGCTTCACTGACCCTGGTGACACTCCTTCTTCAAATGCGATACGCCGCTGGGAAATTTCCATTTGGTACTTCAAATAAATTCCAGTCCTCTTAGCAGGACTATATTCAACTCTGGAAGTCACTGGAGCCATTGTTGTTGAGAAACTAGGAATTCAAGATGAAGTGGTTGTTGCGTTGAAAGTAAAAAATATGATGTAGCAAAAGTGGTGATTTTAATCCACACTTTTGGTTACCCCCCTGTAGATATGGGTGACCACGAGGTTAATTTAAAATTAGAAAAAATATACATTCCCAAATGTTTCAACGTTTAAATATTGTTCTTTAAAAAAAAATTCCATTTAAAAATATAGCTGAAAAAAAAAAAAAAAAAACATTTTGGGCTAGTAACCTTTTGTAGAAAAAGACCAAAAAATGATTTTGAAAAGGATATCTTCTTAAAATGGACACTTCAACAATATGTTGTATTACTATTATATTTATACAAGTCGATTACCCGTGCTACTATATAATTTGCAATTAAGTGTTACTACTATTTGTAATTAAATATTACTGCTATTTGCAATTAAGTGTTACTGCTATCTACCCGTGCTACTGTTATTCATAACTGCTATTCGTAACTGCTATTCGCAATTTGGTATTACTGCTATTCGTAATTGTATACAAAAAAAAGAAAGCTAAGATAAGGAGGAATTAAAGTCATCAAAGTTATTTAAGAATGATGTTAGTATTGGTGTTGACATTTTTTGAAAAAAATGTACAGTTTATATTCAGTTGAAAAAGAGAAAAAAAAAGGTGATTAGTCATCTTTCAGTCAGAAACTATTTTTTTTTTTGTGTGAAATGTAAAGAAGAAGAAAATTTACGCGGGCTCTAAATGGAATTCTGTGTTAGCTAATAGTCGATTAGAGTAAACAACAGTAAAAGGGAACAACCAATTTAATAACAATATTGTTAAGGAAATTTTTCACTATATTTTTAGTGTACTATTCCAAACCCTAACCTGTTATTTCTGTATAAAAATAAATTGATTAGTCAGAAAACCAAAAGTTAGTTATAGTGTATTTGAGTTTTAGTAGTAGTACAATAAAAAATAAACCCAAAATTAGATTACGTAATTTTCAAAATAAAAAATTTTATAACTTTAAATTCACATTTAATCAAACATTGAACTACTCAAATGACTATGAAAAAACTAAATTTACTTCTTAGCAGCCTTAGCAGCAGACTTGGTGACCTTACCAGTGCCATCAACCTTCTCCACACTTTTTATAATTCCAACAGCGACTGTTTGCCTCATATCGCGGACAGCAAATCTTCCAAGAGGGGGGTATTCTTGGTAAGCTTCAACACACATAGGCTTAGAGGGAACAAGCTTGACAATGGCAGCGTCACCAGACTTGACAAACTTGGGGTTCTCTTCGAGGACCTTACCGTTACGCTTGTCAATCTTTTGGAGAATGGTGTCGAACTTGCAGGCAATGTGGGCAGTGTGGCAGTCAAGAACTGGGGCGTAACCGTTAGAGATCTGGCCGGGGTGGTTAAGGACAATAACCTGAGCATTGAAAGAAGCGCAGCCCTTGGGGGGGTCATTCTTAGAGTCACCGGCGACGTTACCACGTCTGATATCCTTGACGGAGACGTTCTTAACGTTGAAGCCGACATTGTCACCGGGGAGACCCTCAGCGAGCTGTTCGTGGTGCATTTCGACAGACTTGACTTCGGTGGTGACGTTAGCGGGGGCAAAGGTAACAACCATACCGGGCTTGATGACACCAGTCTCGACACGGCCAACGGGCACGGTACCGATACCGCCAATCTTGTAGACGTCCTGGAGAGGGAGACGGAGGGGCTTGTCGGTGGGTCTGGTAGGGGGCTCAATAGCGTCAATGGCCTCGAGGAGGGTCTTACCAGTGACCTCACCGGCCTTGGTCTTCTTGGTCCAGCCCTTGTACCAGGGGGCGTTGGCGGTAGGCTCAATCATGTTGTCACCGTTCCAGCCAGAAATGGGGATGAAAGGAACAGAGTCGGGGTTGTAACCGACCTTCTTGGTGAACTTTCTAGCCTCGGAGACAATGTCGTTGAAACGAGACTGGTCCCACTTGATGGAGTCCATCTTGTTAACGGCAACAATGAGCTGTCTAACACCGAGGGTGAAGGCAAGAAGAACGTGCTCCTTGGTCTGACCATCCTTGGAGATACCAGCCTCGAACTCACCAACACCGGCAGCAATGATGAGAATGGCGCAGTCAGCCTGGGAGGTACCAGTAATCATGTTCTTGATGAAATCACGGTGGCCGGGGGCATCAATGACGGTAACATAGTACTTAGGAGTCTCAAACTTCCAGAGAGCAATGTCAATGGTGATACCACGTTCACGCTCAGCTTTAAGCTTGTCAAGAACCCAAGCGTACTTGAAGGAACCCTTACCGAGCTCGGCAGCCTCCTTCTCAAACTTCTCAATGGTTCTCTTGTCGATACCACCGCACTTGAAGATAAGGTGACCAGTGGTGGTAGACTTGCCGGAATCGACGTGGCCGATAACAACGAGGTTGACGTGAAGTTTTTCCTTGCCCTATAGAGAGTTAGTTAATGGGTGGGGAAAAAAAAAAAAAAAAAAAAAATTTTTTTTGACAAGACAATGATAATAATAATAACGCACCATTTTGACTATTTATTTAATTACTCAGATAGAAATGCTTTAATTTCAGGTGTGAGGTGACGAGGAGAAGAAGAAAAAAAATTCTAGTCTGACGGATATCTTCCTTTTTATATCTATATTTCTTGGTGCAAATTTTTTGCTAAAATTTTTTTTTTTTTTTCAGCTATTTGTTGATATGAAGTTACCCTCCATATAACTTAATCTTTAATACGGAAGGATTTAGAAATTGGCATTACCCGGCCTCTACAATTTCCGTTTTGAGTGGTTTTCATGGTATTATGAGTCACGATGAATAACTCAGCATTGGTACCCTAATAGTTTCTTCTACTCAGAATCAGTCATGATTTTTTTTTTGTTAGGAGAACAGTTAGTGTTACGTGTCTGTCTGACTGAATCCATAGTAACCTATTTTTTTTTTTTTTTTCTTTTTTTTTTTAGCGTTATTGCCACCTTGGTGTTCTCTAGAATCACTATCAATCGCTTTTCTAGACTACATGAGAATATTCTTCAATTAACCTGATCTAGTCATTATTATTGACTAGATGAACCAAATATAATGTGTTATCCTTAGTATATTTTAGAAATTTTAATAATGGATTCTTTTTGATTTATTTAATTTTTTTTTTTTTTTTTTTGACTCATTACTCTTGATAATAGATAAATTCTTTTAGGTCACTTTTGACTTTGTTTAGCCTTAGTGCTCTTGGTGAAAAAAAAATTTTTTCATTTTTTTGATTTTTTTGATTTTTTTGATTTTTTTGATTATGTAATTTTTATTTATTAAGTGGTGCATGGTTATTTCAAGTTACAAGGGTTAACCGCCACGTTTTTAAAGCTGACTTTTTTATGGTGGCCTATGAAATAAGCATATTATAATTATTGTTAGTGGCTAATCACTGTTTATAATTCTTATAATATAACTTTTACATTAAATCCAAGTCAAACATAGCAATTTATTCAAGCTCAATTATATATATATATATTTTCACTTTGAATTAAGCTTGAAAGTATTTCTTCGTAACTTAAGCTTATATGTTTAAGAAATTCATGTTGAACCTTCGTATCGAACAATTTAGCTACAGTCTCTGAAAGGGTCAAGTATTTGAAAGTTGAAGGTAGAGTTCATATTGATGCCGAAAGGTTGTTCCAATTCTGTTTTTTTTTTTTTTTTTTTTTTTTATGTTATTATATGTTTAAATTTCATTTATTCATTAAATTTACCGTGCTACTCTCCTAGTTATTTCATTTAAGTATGTAGACTGTCAAGGTTATGGCGTCTTTCTTTTCATGGGCATTTCGACTCATAGTTTTTTATTCATTCAATATGTTCCACAAGCTTTTATTGGAAGGATAATGTTGACATGTTTGATGAAAACCCCAACCGAGATTAAGGTAGATCAGAAGTTACCTACCGAAACTTGTTGTGGCTTGTCTTATTGCCACTGGGAATCGAATCCATAACCTTATTAGTAACTAATTAGTTCGCTACAATTGCTCTTTTTTTTTGTAATGAACTACATATAGTTGCTTTTTAGATGACATACTCACTTCTTTGATACATCCTGATATTATCACCATTTCTAACAATACCATGACTTATTCCTAACCCTCAATTTAATTTATTATTAAATTGATCTCTCTTGTAAAAGCAAAGTTTTGACAGCTTATGTTTTTTTACTATGCATTGAAAAAAAAAAAAAAAAAAAAAAATATATAGTTAATCTAAAAAATAAATAAAAATTTCCATTTTGCAAATTTTTAAACGGCTTTTGATACTACAAAATCTGGAAAGTTTATCAATTTCTTATAGAAGGATCAAAAGGGATAGCTTTGATGAACCCACAAACTGAACTTTTTAACACTCTTTCCCAGCTAAATTTCCCATACTAAATTTTTTGTACTAGGTATAAAAATAATATGACTTGGCAATAGTATTCATACAAAGGTTTAAATTTGAAAGTGCTCATATTTTGGGTGAGGTAAAGTTATGTTGGAAGTCCCAAACTCAGAGAGTCGGAAGGTCCTCGTAGTCAATAAATATAATAGCTTTTGTTCCTTAAATATAGATGTGTATAAAATATGGATTTAAATTTAAAATTATAGATTAATTTATTTTTTATTTTTGTTGGTTATTAATTGGAAATACAAGGACCCTGGTTATCTTGAAACACACTAATTCGAAAATGTGTGAATTCCTGTGATTCATGTCGGTGAATTGTAAAAAGTAAAACATTGAAAACATTGAAAACATTGAAAACATTGAAAACATTGAAAACATTGAAAACATTGAAAACATTGAAAACATTGAAAAAGTTTTTAAGGGTTCAAATTTAGTGACACACAGTAAACAAAAAAACGAGCTGGCTCTACCTTTTTCTTCCGGTTTTGGTGTTTTTATGACAGAAACCCCTCTCGTTTTAGGTTTTATAATTTTAAACAAATACATATTTTGGTGGATGACATTAATAATCAGAAAATAACATTAAAGTATATGACTTTCTGAATTTTTAGAAAACATTCCACCCATCACTGCTTTCTTAACTAAAAGAAAGCAGTGATGGGTGGAATGTTTTCATATTAAATAAAGCCAAAACAAGGTTAAAGCCCAATTAATAATTTTACTCTTTTCTCAACGTTTAAAAAAACGTCCATTTCAAATATTTCAAATATTTAAGAAAGTACTAAATATCTCTTCAGCTTTTTGATATCAACTAAACAAGTCTCCTTAATATTTTTTAAAAATTGGGAAAACGTAATTTAATTCTCCACTTCACAAATTCAATAAAACGGTTTCTTAGAAGACTTTCTTTTCCTTTAGAAACCCCCACACAGACATTTCAAAATAGTAAATAAAATTTATAAATAATTTCAAGTATAAAATTTATAAATAATTTCAAGTATAAAATTTATACCAATTAAATATTCATATACTGCTTACAATCATGATTGAAATCCTCCTCATCATCATATTCTTTAATTCTGGCTATCGTACCATCGCTTCTCTTGTATTCTTCCAAAAATGATGGATCTACAAATGTCAATAGCTCTCCGTCATTAATGGTCCAAACTGGGCATATAACATCTCTAAATTTGATAACACGAGAGAGTGATGAAAAATTTTTTAAAGGCTCACGAACAAAGCCTTTATTGTCAATATAATAACCAACAATCGAATAGCCACTACCATCAGTGCTTCCAAAAAATTGCAGTTTGTAATTGCGAGGCATCACAACACCAATTTGAAATTCCTTTACCACAGCAAACTTGTAGAGAATTCCTAGACCCAAAGAGTCAATTTCAACAATATCTTCAATCATTACATGACTAAAAGAGTTTTTTTTATTTTGATCCATTCATTCATACTTATTGATGTACGCAGAAAGGTCTCTTTAAAAAAAATCATATTGTAAAACTTAGCCTTAATATTATGGGATCCATTACAAGCTGCTAGAGTTTGCTCATCTTTTTCAAGATATTCCATGATCATTTCAATCACTTTAATTTGCCTTGTTGTTTATAGCTCAGTTTGTGGCTTAGCTTTGAGGTTCCTAGGCAACTTGGCACCTATTGAAAAATTCACATACTGATCCGGAAAGACTGTTAAGTATTGATTGATAAATGTAACAATTGGAAAGAGTAAGATGAGCAGCTCTCCCGTATTTTATTTGAGTTCTCAATATACTGCAAGATCTTTCAGTTGCGAAACACCATGTCGCTCTAACTGGACCAACTTCTTGAATCACCTGGGCCATATGCCGCAATGTGTGCAAAGGCAATGTGTGCAAAGGGTATATTTTCAATATCTTTTAAATAACGATTCTCAAAAAAAAAATTAAGAAAAGGATCAATTCCAAGTTCTAACATTTTCAGTAGATTTGCTGAAAATCTTGGCAAGGAAAGTAATCTCAAAAGATGGGCCATTTTTGTGACAAGAACCAGGTATTCAAGACACTCAATTTCATATTGAGACTTTATAACAATTCCAAACAAAATAGAAAGAAGTTGTTTGACTTGCTTTGCTTTAAACTTTACAGAATTTAAAGTTTTAAATCCTCCTTTTATAGCCTTTATATCAAACTATCTTTGAAGGAATGAGTAGTCTAATGTATTTAGACTTTCTATAAACTTGACCATAGAATCCTCTGTTTTTGATTTAAACTTATAAGAGCCGTCTTTACCATAAATAATAGTATTTATAATTTTACTTCCAACGTTTGCATACGATAAATGCATGAAATCATCAGGAGGGAATGACATATCAGGTACCATTGACCCTAAAAATAATATAGCTGAAATTCGGCTTAAACCCTGTTTAGTGAATTTGTTGCGATCTGGGGCAGTTTTTGCTTCTTCATTTAAGATTTCTTTATAAATCTTATTATACCAGTTAATATCACGAGGTTCACAAATATAAATAATGGTTTTTGAAAAATGAATTTCATCATAACCAAAAACATGCTACTCATTTAATTTAATTTAATCAATTACTACACTGTTAAAAAATTACCATACTAAATTTGTTAGTAAAATAAATTTATCACCCAAAATGCGGGAAAAATTTTGGACCTTCCACCCAAACTTTTTTCTGCTACAGTGGATTACATAATCAAAACACCATATATGGTGTTTTTCTCGCCTTCATGATGGCCTGATCAGGCTTTGAGAATGAATTTGGAAAATCTTCATTTATATAAATGAAGATTTTCAATCAACATTTTCAAGCATTAAATGAACTAAAAGATGTACAATTTACAAACAACAAATTTCTTAGAATATTTTAAAAAATACCAAATGATATAATTTTTTATATAGATATGTGCAATATGATTATTGAAATCACCTTTCTCAATGTAAACATTAACAGGTTTATTCAAAGGATACTTCTAATGATTCAATATTAATGCAATATTGTTGTTTAAAAGATAAAAATTGCAATTGAAACCTTTTTGAATGTAGCTTTTGACGGGAAAAATTTTCATGAAGCTGATTTTCGACTAAACAATTTCCAATAGTTAAATCCTCTGCAATTCTATTGAACTGGTACCAAGAGAGTTGCTTACTTTTAAAAGCAAAAATAGATTATGAAAAGAGTATTTGTACATTCCAAAAACAAAACAGAGTTATATTTCATAGAGTCTCTTTGGGGGCTTAGCTTCTTGTACTTTAAATACTTGATTTTGGTGTCCTTATAAAAATCCTTAACAGAGACAACTACCCATTCACTTTTGGTAATATAACCTGCATCACAGGATTCAAGTTTTGTAAATTTAAAAAATCTAATTAATTATTTTGAAAAAGTTGTAAATAAACTTAAAATCAAAAGTCAAATCGAAAGCTTGGTCCCTCAACATTTAACCAAGCTGATAGCGAGCAACATTTTTCTGAGCGCTCAAAAAATGATTACTGTTACATTGAATATTACTTTCAAGTCATTTGTGAACTCAATTTTGATCATAGTTTCAAAATATTTAAAAAATGTCCTGTTTTTTATACCATCAATAATGGGATATAACAAATGAAATTTGAGGTTTGTTTTTTTTGCAAGCTGAAAATTATGGTCTATATTTACAGGTTCAAAAAGTCAAAGCGAAATACAAGCCATTTTTTAAAAAAAAATTAATTGATTTTTTTAAGAAGATAATCTTATAAGATTATCTTTTTTAATTTCAGTGGATATTAAAACATTTTGGTGATGTTACTGTGACTTACTTAGGGGTAATTGTACTCGTGATATAATCAGGTATTAGTATGGTAATGGACCGAACTCTTATCCATATATTCCAACAAAATAAAACTTGCAATCAAAAAATATGGTATGTCTAATATCTTATAATTTTTATTAAAAATTTTTAATGATTTCTAACATTTTTTTCAAATTTTTTCAAATTTTTTAAAAATTTTCAAAAATTTTCAGTCTATTTCCCCCCCATTTTGTTCAGGTGTTGTGGGTCTCTCAAGTGTGTTTAGTAGAATTTTGGATTCTCCATTCTACTAAACACACAGAAACTATTACGTAATACATAATTAATCTAATTATCTTCTTCCTAAAAGGGAACCGATCAAAAAATTGTCAGAATTTTAATAAGTAACTTAAAGTAGCATATATATGCATTTCTACAAAATGTTTTCTAATATAAAAAATAACGGTTAGAAAAATAGTTTTCTCAAAGAAAAGATCCTTGTTAAATTTCAGTAATTGTCAGTGATTTTGTAACCTTTGTAACTCGCCAAATCCTGAGAAGTTAAGCAAAATACTTTGCTGTCTATGTTAAAATGAGTATAGAAGTCTCTATAACTACTTTCATCCTTAACTATTAACATTATGGTTGTTATTTTTCATGAAAGACCAAACATCATCATGAAACTTGGTGTCTCCTAAAAAAACGCAAACCCTTTTCTTTAATAAAAGAAAACTCTTTCATGGATGGCTTTAAAAAATGTTACAACCCTTATTACATCATGGCTTAATATTAACTTACAAAACCTACGCTAATTTCCAATTTTTTGTTTTCCGTGACACACCAGAGTGTGACACACATTTGACTATGAGGGAAAAACAGAACATGATAAGTTAAGACCAAGTTCATTATTAAAAGATTGGCCTTGGGATTTATTGATAGTCCAGACAAAGAACACACAAACAGGAAACTGTATACAATAGAAAAAATAGGTAGCGACTTTTCAGACTGTATTAATTTTAAAGATTGACCATGATTTGCCTTTGTGCTCGCCGTTTGGATTTTGGGCTAAAATGGGGTTTCTGTTGACTATGCAAGCAATAAATTTTGTGCAGTTACAAAGACTACTTTTAATGCTGTATATATTTTCGTATATATGAATATCACAAAATTTCAAATTAGTGTGTTTCAAGATGAACAGTGTGGTACTAAGTATAAAATAGGATAATTCAGTAACAATCTTAATTTATTATTTAGGATATTTTTTGGGAAATAAATAAAATAAAAGAGTGTTTAGCTTGCAAATACATATCAAAATGTTGAGACAAAAATGATATTCTTGTAAATAATGATACAGTGGGTCCCCATAAAGTAACAATGTGCAAACCCCACTTTTGTTACAACATCATATTTTTTTACTTTCAAAGCGACAACCACTTCATCTTGAATTCCTATTTTCTCAACACCAATGACTCCAGTGACTTCCAGGATTGAATATAGTGCTCTTAAGAGAGCCAAAATTCATATGAAGTACGAAATGAGAATTTCCCAGTGGCATATCGCATTTGAGGAGGGAGTGTCACTAGGCTCTGTTTCTGTCATCATTCGATGCTACCCTAACCAACAAAATACCTCCAGTTGTGCTAGGTGAGGACGACCACAAAAGCTTTCCAATAGGGATAAAAGGGCCATTTTCTTAGTCGTTAGAAAATATCCTTTCATTAAGACACAAGATCATATTGTTGCCGTTGGTTTAAATGTCTCTGAACATACTATTTTACAATGGCTCAAGCATGAAGGCATCCATCATCAATGCGCCCTCCGACAGCCATTACTAACTCCACAGATAGCGGAAAAACGCCTCAAATTTGGGAGAATGTATAAAGATGAGCCAGAAAGCTTTTGGAAGCGTTGGATTTTAAGTGATGAGTCTACAATTGCTCATGGTGATAATGAAAAGCAGGAGTGGGGGTTTTGCCCCAAAGTATGTTTTATTTACATTACTATTCTCAGATGTTCTGGGGTGCTATATCCTTTTCTTCTCAATCGTCTTTATGGCCGCCTAATTCACCTGATCTTTATCCAATTGAGAATATATGGAAACTGCTTAAGGAAAAGATCTGTAAAAGATTTCCGCAACTATCACTATTACCAAAAAATAATCAGTCATTAAATAAGTTATGTGAAGCAGCTGTGGAAGTCTGGGAGGATTTCCATCAGGACCTCATAAATAAGCTAGTCTTATCAAAGCCCCGAAGACTTCAAGCTGTAGTAGATGCAAACGGCTGGTATACAAGATATTAATTAAGTATATATATATATATATATATATATATATATCTAAAGAATAAGGAACCTATACCTCAAGTTACCTACTAATTGAATTAAATTTGATAAAAAAATCTGTCTTGAAAGTAATGTGGTAAAAATCTTTTTGGTAATGTGGGTGTGTATTAACACTATTTTACAAATCTAAATTAATTGTAGAAGATTTAATAATGATGGATAATGATTTGAGATGTTCGGGAAACTATCAATGATGCATTGTTATATTTATTCTTCAATAGTTGATATAATTGAAATAATATCTTTAGCCAAATGATAATAGTATTAGATCATTATCGCGGTAATAGTGTTGCTTAACTTATTTGTTGGTTCGCCTGATGTTTTTGATTAGAATATGATGGGTGCTGAAATTCCTTTCTCTCATTGATTGATGATGGCGCGCCAAGCAGTACAATTCTTGTGGCCACTGTACCTTAAATATACCCGTTTCTGTCGTAGAATCAAATAAGGGAGCAAATCTTTTTTTTATTAATAAATAAGGTTGAGTTTAAGCAGGTAAAAGGATTAATGAAATCAGTTTAACAAGAAAAGAGTCCATCCACACTTGAAGAAATATTTCTTAAGTTTAGAATAATAGAGAATCCTTGTTACAAGTGATTCTTTTCAAAATGTTGGGTAGATTTAAAATTTATAGGTATCAAGGACAACAAAAGACATCGTTGACTTTGAAGCAAATGAATATGTTCTTACTCGCTAAATTTTTTTTTTAAAAAAATAATAAAATTTAAAATAAACTGGATATCGTGGTAAATCCAATTTTTTTAAATTTTCGTGTTATTTTGTGGATATTGTAATGTCCACCAGAGGGATGAAAGGTGAAAGTACGTTTTGGACGTCACCTCTTCTTTACGTAAAAATGTAGTCGAAATCTCTTTAATCTTAATGTTGAGATGAAAGAAAAAAGTTTGGAAAAAATTTAAAGTCACAAAACGTCGAAATCTCTTTCATGACATTTTTCAAAACAACGACAAATTTCCATTGTGTTAAAAAATTAGGAAAAACAACAACATCAAAAAAATTTCTCAGCTTTCTTAAAGTTAACAAAATTGATTAAAATCTTTTTTTTTTTTCCTTAAAATTTAAAACAACGACCAAATTTAACTTTATTATCATCAACACAACAGCAACACCACCTTTTTTATCACTTTAGTTAAATCAACAAAACGTCGAAAATTACTTTTTTTTTTTTTTCAACATTGACAACCATCAAGAAATCTCACTTTTTATTTCGTCAACAAAATAACCTCAACACTCTTTTATGAGTAATGTCAAGGTTATCAGTGATACCACACCAATATATGGTTTCTCAACTTAAAAAATCTACTTCTATTTTACGCTTTGTCAGTGCTCAGAAAAACCATTTGCAACTCCAAATGAATTTCCCATCTATCTAAAAGGACTTTTATTATCTGATAAAAATTATTATTAAATTAAATTTTTTTTTTTTTTCATTACATTTGGTTGTGACTCCAATACAGCCAGAAGATCCACCAGATATTAATTTAAAGCTCTTCTTTTCAATGACAAGTTTAATGATTTTTTAGCTGACTTAGTACGTCTGCTTTTCTCATCCTCAGACTTTGGGTTGCTCAATAGCGTCTACATCTTCCTCAAACCCACTGACCAAGGGATACTTTTTATGGACAATGATATTAAAAAAAGGAGTCTTTCCTGGATTTATTTTGAATATTAATAAATGGCAAGCCCGTTCAGTAGCAAAGCACCATATCGCTATAAGTGAACCTACTTCTCAAATGTCATTAACCATATGATGCAGTGAATGTATTGCTAAAGTTATAAACAATAGGTTTTTAGTATCCTTTAAATAAACTTCCTCAAAATAAGTTCAAAATCTAGCATTTCTTCTCAAGTATTTCCAATAGATTTTTCTGAAAATTTAGGTAGAGAGAGCAACTCGAGAAGTTGCACAAGTTAAGTAATAAGACATAAATAATCAAAATCATTATATTTATAACTTGACTTGATAACATTATCAAAATAAAATGGAAATGATCTTTTTTGTTTAGCGTGCCCTGAGCTTAACTGGTGTAGAAGTTCGTCAATCCGCAAAAATGAAAATGATGTTTTTGGAAGAATATTGAAATGATATCATTTCATTCATGAATGAATGAATAAAATATAAAATATAAAATATTAAATATTTAATTATATATAATTAATAATAATATATTATTATAATAAATTAAAACAATTCTTTATCCTTATATTTTTTTAGAAAATTCCTACCCAAAATGGTATACTAAGCTCCACGTCCAGCACACTTCTAACAGCAACATCTAGTCTTCTAACTAAATGATCTTTTTTTTCCCTTAAGAATTTGAATTTTTTTATGCAACTTGATGTTTTTCAAATAGTTTTTTTCATTAAATATTCCCCTAGAAACATTTGCAATTAACTTTTTTAATTGACACATGATCAGTTCTTTCTAAAAAATTCTAAGAAAAGTTTTTGTCTGGAACATATTTGATACAATGATCATAAATGACCAGATATTTATCTTTAGTGGAATTGATCATCAAAATTACAAAATAACTGCAAAGAAAAAATAGGGCGCTCCTTAATTTCAATTTCTCTTTTTTTTTTATTTCCCTTCTTGAATGGTATTGAAAATATTTGAATAAAGCTCGAAGTAGTCAAAATTAATTAATGTTGTTTGAAACTTGAACCTGTCAAACAGACAAAAAATAGAATTATTAGTAGCCAATATGTCAATATGAATAAGATTAATAACATGTTAGGGTTAATTTATATTATGATCCAATCTATCAAAATATATTAAAACATTTCTCTACAAAAATTATGTACCAGAATTTCCATTATAAGCAGTTAAAAGGTTTGGAATTGAAAAGGATAGTTACAAATGCAAATTTGGAGAACTGGAAACAGTTCGTCAGATTTTGGTTGGGTCTCCTTTGCTAGAAGAAGAAAGAAAAGGATTGAAATGGATATTTCCAGAGATGGACATGTCGACTCTCTTAAACAGTTTAATAGGCTTGCAAGAAATTGTAAGCTTCATCTTTGTTTGGAGGACTTAAGGAATACAATTATAGCGTTGACAAAAACTAGTGGAGATAAGTTGGGAAGGTTTGGTTTTTTTTTTGCCTCCTGTTCCTCGTAAGCTGGCATCAGGACTTATTTTCGGGCTGTTGAAGATGCAATGTCGAAGCCAGAATTAAAAGATTATTATAAAAATGAAAAGATATAGAGTATGGGCAAGAAGGATAGTACATATTCTAATGTTATATAATTCTATAACCCTTGAATAAAAGCAAGCAAAAAAACAAACAAACATTATAAGTTGTAATAAAATAAAATTTAAATTCAATGGTTAACAGTAATTTACTCAAATAATCAATAAAAGTAGTATTCATATTTTCTTTTTCCGGAATAGCCTAAAAGGAGAAACGTCCTTTATCTAGTAAAACATCAAATTGATAATTAATTGTCACCATAGGAGTGTTTACTTTGTAGCCAATTTAATAACAATATATTGTTACCTTTGATAAAATTTTCTAATATGCCTATTTCATTGTAAATTGTCTTAAAACGTTGTAAAAGGCTAGAAACTAAAATATTATCTTATCTTTTATTTCCAGTTTAACAATCGATTTAATTTTTTTATATATATTCATCTTAATACTGATAAAAGATATACTCTGTAATACACTCCAATCAACATGTAAAACTACAATCACTTCTTTATCTTCTAGCAATAATTCCACGAAATTTATTTAGTACGTTAATTAAAACTTTTTACTTTGAAAATTCAGTGGTTAGAATTACTCAAAAAATGGGTTTCACCTTTAGACATAACAGTAGAAAACATCGTTTCAATCAAAACCATTGTAGAAACAGAACATTTCAAAGTTTGAATAGGAAACAAATATTGTGTTTCTGACCACTTGAAGATATTTTTTTTATCAATAATGGGCTCTTTTTTTGGTTAAATTTTGGCATAAATAGACTCTTATGTCGTTTTTTTTTTTTTTTTTTTTTTTTTTTAAATCAGAAAATATAACAGCGGTAGAAGGTTATTTTCACTACTAGATTCTTATATTTGAAGCGTAAATAACGATTATCATTCAGTGAAGGATATAGATAGAGATGGTGTGATATGAATGAAGCATTCTTTATAGAACTATAATTTGTATCAGCTGAATAGCGTTGCTCATTCCTTAGATAACACTGGCGTAGAGTCCTCATACTTCAAATCCATATGCAATGATTGATATCATACAGGCGCTATCCAATAGCTTGAAAGCAAAACTGGTGAGTTCCATTTTTGTATCACCCGTTATTAGGATTTCGTATAAATTCTACGTTGTCGTTATGCCCGTTTTTTTTTTACTAATCAGACTGAGTATTTATTGCTTTTGACAGATATTTTTACTCATTGCTTTATTAATTATGTTACGAAAATAGTTTGATTTGCCCTAACATATCTGTATTTTAATAAATTTGAATAATACCACAAATAATCGCAATTAAACTCATGAAATCTTTAATAGTCTGTCATCTAAATTACCATTTAAATCCTTACTGGTATTTTAATAATAGGAATCCTGGTACAAGCCAATTGATTATTTGGTTTTGTAATTAATTTTTTTAAGTGTTAAAGGTTTTTTATGAAAAAAAAAAAATTCAAATTCAAATTCAACGCTGTGTTAATTATTCCACTATCTTGCTTTATCATGTTCAACAGGAATGTAATTCTAGCAATACATGTAACTTCTTTGTTTTTTTCTTCTATTAATTAAATTTTGTCCTGTAATAACTACATATTAATCAGTATCAATAAAATCAAGTATAGTGGGCACAATGCAACAACAATGTCGCACGCTAGTACATCTTAAATTTGGAGCTACCAGGAAGATTGAAATTATTTTTTATGAGAGAACATCATATGAACTTAAAGTTTAGGCTAGTTGTAGCTGAGTAGTTCAATTATCACTATTCTCCCTATCCTCCACATCATCCGTAGCAACAGCCTCACTGGTTCCTCAAAGTGCTGCAGGCAGGTCTGTATCGTTTCTTGCAAAAAAGAATTAAGGAGGACACATTCTCAATTAGGATTTGAAGTGCGCTTTCAAGTCCTTGTTGATGCCGCTCTTAAATGCTTAATTCAATTTTTCAGCCGGGAATTCTTGAGGCAGTAAATAACCAGCTTCGCTTTAGCCTCAGCAGCTGCTCTATAAATAACTTTTGGATGCTCGAGCGCCGCTGGGTTCTTGAGGTTCCTCAATGTAAAATTGAGAGACATGGTGATCTATGACATTATGGCAAGACTTTGAAGTACTCTTCACTTCGTCATCGACTCGATTTGCAATGCTATCTTCACTAGCAACCGGAGCTTCTGTTGACAAGTTCATAGTACCTCGATAAACAGCTAGAAGAATTGAACTATCTCAAGGAAAAAGGTCTGCCTTGCTCCATACTTGCGAATTATCAGGGGATTAATTCCTGCAGACCGAGTCTCCAAGTAATCCTTCATGAGGTGCCGCTTGTGGGGTGGGATTGGAGAATCCAAGATTTTGTTTGGATTCCCCACTCAAACACACATGAGAGCAACCCATGACACCTGAACAAAACGGAAAAAATACAGAAATCAATTAAAAAAAATTGAAAAAAATGTTAGAAATTATAAAAAAAAAATTGATGAAAATCACAGAATATCAGGCATACCATATTATTTTTAATTTCTAGTTTTACTTTAGCAAATTCTGATTTAAAAACGCAAAATGCGACTCCAAATTAAGGTCGCCCCGTAGCTCAAAGGTATCTCGTATTACCCGAGCCACCACCTGTATCAGCATGTATTGTCCCTTGATTTCAATGTGTTGGATATTTCAACAAATATTTTGTCTTCGCTTGGTTCAGATAGTAAGGACTTGCTTGTTGAAAAAGAAAGTATCCGGGTACTTCAACAAACACTAACAAAATGAACATGGATTCAGAATCATTTACTACACTTTATGCCGCCAAATCAGACACTTTTTTTTGGTTTTTTGAAACATCTTGAAAAGAATTGTTAGATGAATTTGTCAATTTAACATTTTTCAGCACAACTTTACCTTATAACATGTCTTCCCATAAGTTTGTTTGAAGACCGTTGTAATCTCATATTTTCCAAACATGTAGAAGCCAATTGATATTTTGCTAAGGGCCTCAGTTTACAAAGAGTTAAGAGTTACTGAAATAAACAAGAATAATCTTGACCTCTTTTATAAAATGGCTTATAAAATGGCTTTAAGCTTTTGAGTCGGTGATTATTGACCTCAAATTTCAGCTTTCAAAAGAGATGAACCTCAAATTTTATTCGCTGTATCACATTATCGATAGTATCAAAAAGACAAGCTTTTATCAGATATTTTAAAGCCTTATTTAAGACCGAGCTTATAATGACTAATAAGTGATATTAAATGTGGCCGAAATCAAATTTAGATCACCCAGCGAAATGCTGCTTTCTATCAACTTGGTCAAATGTGGAGAGAGGCCCAGTATTCGATATGACTTTTGGTTTTCATCTTACAAAAAAACAAAAGGAATTTCTAAACTGACAAGGCTTGAATATACTTTTGCACTTTAAGTTATTAAAAATAAAATACTATATGCCACTGTTAAAAATTCTCTTGCCTTTGAAGATGAAACTCTCAGTCTATCCTATCCAACGCATCTCCCATGAGGGATTCCCTGTCAAAGGCTACACCCGAAAAAGTGGCAATTACAATGTTTATCTCATATATATAGCAATTTTATTTTTTTTTCTCGGTAATGAAAGGAACTTTTTAGATAAACCAGTCAATGTTTACAATAAGGAGATTTTCAATAAACATATTGTAATGATTCACAGAGGTACGGATGGCGGTGTGAATCATTTGAAATCGTAATTCTTCTAAATATATAATTAATTATATCATTTTGTTTTTTTGAGAAATTCTAAAAAAAAAAAAATTTTGTATGCCCGTAATACACCTTTTGATACATTCAAGGCTTGAAAATAAGAGTTGAAAATCTTTCTTCAAGGCCTTTTTTCTCGGATTCAAGTTTTGAGATTGTTCGTGATTATGTAATACACAGTAGAAAAATTAATTTTTAAAAAATTTGGGTAGGAGGGGAAAAAAAACGTCCGGATGTTAGCTAATTTTTTTTACTAACAAATTTAGTATGGTTAAATTTTAACAGTGTAATTATTTAACTGCAACTATGAAAAACCTCACTTTTTTTTTTTTTAACATTAATGTGGTGAATATTTTCCATAATAAAAAACTTAATATATTAAGTTTTTTATATAAGTCATTTACCCCATAACGCTCATTAGTCATCAGTTAATATGATATTGTTATAATAAACAATTAATTTTTGCTATAAATTCGGTTTTCCAGCCATTCAGGACAGTTTGTATATTTGAAAATCACCAAATTGTTTTTGTGTTTATATTTCTCAAATTTATATGTATTTATTTTGGTATCTACCTTCATCTCCTTTAAATAATTAACTTTGGTTTATTTTTTTTTTATTATTATCAACCATCTTTAACAGGGAAATCCAACTTTTTATTTTTGAAAACTTAACCTACAACGGTGGAATGAATTTTTGTAGTTATTAGGAAACCCACTCAAATTATAAGATTATGCTGAGATAGTTAGTAATACTGGTAATTATCAATATACATTTTTACTTTTGGGGGTAACGTTTTGTATTTTTTAAATCAATAGCTTCTAAATATCAACTAGCAATCAAATAATAGTTTGTTTTAATCTTTTTAAATTTTTTTTTTATATCTTTCAGTTTGTTAAGGTGTCGTCGGTCTCTCATGTTTGCTTGAATAGAAAATTTAACATTTTGTCAAGATCATTCATTCCAATATATATATATATATATAATAGTAATACAACATATTGTTGAAATGTCCATTTTAAGAAGATATCCTTTTCAAAATAATTTTTGGTCTTTTTCCACAAAAGGTTACTAACCCAAAATGTTTTTTTTTTTTTTTTCAGCTATATTTTTCAATGGATTTTTTTTTAAAGGACAGTATTTAAACGTTGAAACATTTGGGAATTTATGTTTTTTCTAATTTTAAATTAACCTCGCGGTCACCCATATCTATCTGTTTTGCCAGTATTGAGAAATCTTACAAAAAGCCATTTTTATATTGTGTCAATAATACAAAACTTTATTGATCCTACTACCCCACCGATGCCAACAAAATCTCTAGCAGTCATTTTTATTTATTTTCATTTCTTCATTCTGACCACTATCAGTTACAAAAGATAAGTAGATTAATTTATTTGATGAAATGATTGTAAAATCGGTTCTAGTAAAAAAAAAAAAATAATATCAGTCTCTTTTTATTTTTCCTTTTTTTTTTTCTAAAATAAAACTCCAAATGATATGAGATTTCAAAGTGTATGAATCATTGAAATTTGACTTTTTAAAAAAAAATTTGAAGATTATTTTTTTATAATTGCGTCATATCACGTGACTATAATAAATGAAGGTTTTTTTTTTTTTTTTTTTTTTTTTTTTATCAAAGAAAAAATTTACGTGTAAAACTCTGCCCAACGTGATTTGTCTTTTCCTTTCCATTCCATTCCACTACTTAAATCGTTGTCACAGCACGTTTTTATTATTATTGTTATTAATTATCCTTATGGTAACTTATCAGGTGTTAATCTATTCAATGCCCATGTAAATTGTCTATTTTGGCGGGGGAGGGGGGTTGGAGGTTAAATGATTTTAGGTGGGTTGACTTTATACATTATTTCTTCCCCATATTCTTTTTTATTTTTTTTTATTTTTTGAACCTATATTTATATATATATATATATATATATTCATTTATATATCTCTTTATTAATAATTAATCATTCATTTATGAAAATATTTTCAAATGGACGAAATCTTTTTATACTTTCAAAAAAAAATAAAAAAAAAAAGACCATTTTGTAAATCCATTTAAACGATTCTTAGTAATTAGATTTTTTAGCAACAAACCTCACAAATCCTCAAAAAAAAAAAAAAAAAAAAAAAAAAATTATTTTTTATTTTTTATTTTTTATTTTTTATTTTTTATTTTTTATTTTTTATTTTTTATTAAATAATTATTTTCAACGTCTTGGCAGAGGCACAGCAGTGCTTGTCGTGGCGTCTCACGACCTCGGATTAGCCTTTGTTGCCCCAGCAACATAATTACATCATCCCATTAAAGTCCAATTTAAACTCAAAGATTACATAAGTGGGTTACTAACAAAGCAAGTTGGCCGGACTTGTGCGCAGATGTTCTCAGAATTACGCATATTCAAACACTCCTCCGTCTGATCCCGGGCTTGGCACTCCTCCTTTTGGTTGAAACCACCAAGACTTTTTTTTTTTTTTTTTTTTTTTTTTTTTTTTTTTTTTTTATTTATCAATATTTAAATATATTTAAATATATCAATATCAATATAAATATAAATATATATATATATATATAAGAACAACTTCTTTCCATCTACTTGCTTTTTTTTTTTTTTTTTTTTTCTTATTTATTAAAAAAAGAACAATATACCTTAACAGCAACTCAAAATGTCTACCTATACCAACTATTTGCCTCCTACAGACTCTCACAAGTTTCAACACTCCAAACAAGAAATGTCTCACCAAGTTCCTTACGCAGATACATTTTATTCTACAAAATTTATCCCTCAAGAACAAAAGTACCAACAGCACCAGCAACAGCAACAGCACCAGCACCAGCACCAGCACCAGCACCAGCACCAGCAACGATACAACTATCCTTTAAATAACTCATTACCACAAACATCTCTCCCCATAGATTCCACAGGGTTAATGCCTTCTCCTACAGGCCCTTTGGATGAAATGCCTCCTTCTCCTAAACAAATTTCCTTTTCACATACTTTAAACTCCATTCTTGGACCTGACCCATGCGCTCCAGTCATCTCCCCTCCATCTTCAGCTGCTACTACCCCTAACGAAACTTCTATGGACTCTTCCCGTGCTTCCCCACTGGAATCATCTCCTTGCTCCACTTCTGGGATGTCGGCTGTTAGCCCAGCATCTTCTACTGACTCGGCTCTTTCTCCCAAGTCTATAATGTCTTCAAATTCTCCTACTCTTAATTCTGTCTCCAATGTTCAAAACTGCCTTTACTCTCAAAAGCCCCAACAAATCCCGCCCACAGTATTGTTGCCCTCAGTTTCCTCTGTTGTAAACTCTATTCCCAGAGTACCAGAGTCTAAGCCTATCAAAAAGGCCGAACCAAAGTCCAAGGCTAAATCTTCAAAGTCTGATGACCAACAAGATAAGCCCTTGGTATGCAAATGGCTCAACTGCTCACTTGAGTTTCAAACTCCTGAAGAGATTTATTCGCATCTTTGCGAGGTCCATGTTGGACGCAAAAGTACCAATAATCTCTCTTTGATTTGCAGATGGGATGGTTGTAACACAAGCACTGTCAAACGCGACCACATTACCTCCCACATTCGTGTTCACGTCCCCCTCAAACCTTATAGCTGCCATTCTTGCGAAAAGCGATTTAAACGACGCCAAGACTTGAAGAAACACGTAAAAACGCACACTGACGATTCTGGTCAAGCCTTCCACACTAATTCCAATATGCCTTACATGGCTCATAATATGCGATCCTCTATGGCTCCTGGGTACTTTGACCATTACCCCATGCCTCACCAAGGATTCCCTGTGGACTATGCTTACACTACACCTCAATATGCTCAGCAACACAGAAACCACTCTTACTCACAACCTCCTCCTCCTCCTCCTCCTGACTACTCGAACCAAGGATTTTTATTTTCCAACTATTCCAAACCTGTCCATCAACAACCGTCCTCCCATCATCGTTTGTCTAGTGGAAATGATGGTGGTCTTTTGTCCCACATCATTTCAGAAGCTCCTGCTCCTGCCCCTGTTGAAAATAATAACCGCAAAAGAGCTTTCGAGGCTACTAATGATTTGTTTGAGGATATCAAGCGTTGCAGAGTTGCCCCCGTATACAATTCGGAAATGGCTTCTCGCCTTTCTGCCGTTGAGCAATTTGTTTCAGGGCCTTACAGCAACTCTTCTGCTGCTGCTGCTTTTGCTGCCCAGACACAACTTCCTTCTCAAGCACCACCACCTCAAGATTTCAGAACACTTCCACCATTTAAGTCACAACAAGATCTTCTTGAAGCTGATCAGTTTTTGTCAAGCCTTTCTTCCAACATTGCCTCCCAGCCATCCGGCACCAGATCAGAGTCTGTTTCTGGTCTTACTCTACCATCAAATGGTTACTCCTCTTCCAACTCTTCAGCCAACGCTTCTCTTGGTGCTCCTCTCAATCTCCCTGTTACTCCTCCAGAGGCTTCCCAAACTCTGGCTTCGTCTTCTGTTGGATTGTACCCATCATTCCATCAAACAACTCCAACAAGTACCGTGGCTTCTTCTACAAACGATTCCTTTGGTTCTCAATATACTAACCCATTGTACTCTGGTACTTTGGCTGGCAACAATGCACCTGTATCTACCGGATCAAGCTACCCTCAGCTTGGCTCTCGATACGAGCGCGACAATGGCCGTCGCTTCTCTGTTGGTGTCTTGCAACGCTCTTCTAAGCGTACTGCAGAGGCTTCTGCAGAAAAACAGGAAACCAAGGAACAACCTGACGTCGATGCACTTATTGCTGGGCTTGGAGATCTCAAGGTTTCTAAGAATGAGAAAGAAGAAGAAGAAGAAGACGAAGAAGAACAGCGTGAACGTCACATTCATGTTATTGCTACCATGCGTGAGATGATTGCATCGTTGCTTAAATCGTATCAAGAACCAGAACAAGAAAAGCCTGGTCGCCAGTCCCTTTATCCCACAATTGCTGCTTTTTAACTTTTTAAATAAGAATTTGTAATTTTTTTTTTTTTTTTTTTTTTAAAATTAATATTTTTTTTAAACTATATACATCGTGAACCTATTTATTTCTTTCCCTTTTTCGCGTGCTTCTTGGTCTGCTGCTTCTTGGTAGGCTTGTCGTCGCTGCCATTGATGTAGCGCACCAAGTCGTCCAGCGTCAAGTTATCGCTCGAGGGTGCAGCCACAGGGGTAGCAGCAGCCTTGGCAGCCTTCTTCTTGTTCTTGCCATCAACCACGCTGGCCGTACCGTGGTGCGCACCAGCACCCACAGCCTTGGTTGTACGGTTAGTGCTTGCACGCAGCGCTGCAGAAATGAACTTTCTAGTCTCATTGTCTAACGCAACACCTTTACCAGCTTCACCCTCAGCAGTGGTTGCAGCGGCAGCAACAGCAGCATTCTCCTTAAGAGTGTCTGCATTCTTAAGTGTCAACTCAAGGTTATCAGCCCAGGACTTGCACTCAATAGTGTCTGGGTCCTCGGGGCCCTTAAGCTCGTCGAAAATGGAATGTGCCAATTTCATAGACTCAAGAGCCTTCTTGATATCAGATGTCAAAAGTTCAAACTGAGAAATCTGAAAGTGAGCAGCAGCTGCATGGGCAGAACGTTCACCAAAGAATTTCTTAGTCATTTCGAGACCCTGGCGGAGAAGGTGGAGCGAGTCATCACGGAGACCATAGGGTTGCAGCATGGTCACAAGGTTGTTAATAATAGTGATGGAGTCGGGTTGCTCAGCGCTCCACAGACCATTCATGTACTTGAAGACATGTCTGAAAAGGGCAAAGGCTGCTGCAGTGTTGCCATTGCTGTGCTCAATAATGGCAAGGTTCTGGTAGACATGGAGAGTCTCTGCAGAATCAACACCAGCGCAACGCTCAAACAGAATGACAGCCTTACGGGCGTGCTCACGAGCAATCTTGGGCTCACCAATTTCTTGGTAAATGAGAGCAAGCTGAGAGTAAGCACGAGCAACCTCAATGTGGATAGGACCATAAACCTGCTCGTAGATACCAACAGCCTCATTGAGAAGGGTCAAACTAGACTGCTTGGCCTCCTTCTCAGTCTCCTTCAAGTATCCAATGCGACCAGCCTCAAAAGCATCCTCGGCACAGGAGCTCTTGTAGGTAGAGTGCTTAACAACAGGGACAAGGTTAAGAACATCAGTGTGGTGGAAAAGAGTGGGGAGAAGGAAGGGCTCAGGAGCCTTAAGAACATTCTCAGAGTCGTCAGAAACGACAGCTGTCTTCTTGCCCTTCTTCTTCTTGCCACCAGTCTTTTGAGGGGCAGCAGCAACATTCTCAGTATGAACATTGGGAGGAGCATCAAAGACAGAAGTAAGGCTGTAGTAGGGCTCAGTAGCAGTAAAGTTGTAGTCTCTGCCCTTCCACTGAAGACCAACCTTGAGAGAAATCTCTCTAAAGAGAGAACGGAGGTTAATATCCTCAATCCAGTTCTCAGAAAGCTGGTATCTGAATCTTCTGTTGGCTTCCAAAGCAATCTGCTCACGGATCTTCTCAATAGTAATGGTGTTGATGGCTTCAAAGTCCTCAGTAGAGTAAAGAGCCTCAAGACCCTTGGGGATCTCAGTCTTGGGAGAAGCATTCAACTTGAAGCCCAAAATAGCATTAAAGATTTGAGCAACAACGTAAGGAAGAACCTCTCTTTGGTGCTTGGCAAGGTAGCCGTTAATGACATGCTTGGCAGAACGAGACACAATCTCAACAATAATAAGATCGTGGACAGTCTTCAAAAAGTCGCCAGCCTCGGAGACATGCTTAGCAACCTCACCCAGATAGCGCATGTTGATACCACGCTTGTGCAGAGTGGAAGTGAGCTGAGCACCATCAAAGGGAAGAGTAATGTAGTTGTGCTTGAGCTCCTCAATGTATCTGGGGATGATCTTCTCAACAATAAGAGTGGAAATGGAACGGATTTCGGCGGCATCCTTTTCGTACTGCTCTCTGTGAGGACCTTCAGGAATGGTAGAAATATCAATGGGAACGTCAGGGTTAAGAGTAAAGATCTCCATAGCCTTGCGGCTAATTTCAACTCTTTCCTCAATAGTCAAAGGCTCTTCTTCTTCTTCTTCCTCTTCCTCGACCTCCTTCTTTTCCTCACCCTCCTTCTTTTCCTCGCCTTCCTTTTCTTCACTTTCCTTCTTTTCTTCTTTAGCAGGCTTGTTCTTTTCCTTCTCAGCCTTCTTGGCAGCAGCCTTCTCATCAACCAAAACCTGGGCCTTCTGTCTCCACCAGGCTTCAATAGCCTCAGGTCTCAACAGAGGAACAAGGTGGACATAGGGGTTCTCAGTATCGTTGGCAACCTTGTCAAGGAAACCCAAATCAAGAGGAGTGAGACGCTGGAGATCCAAAATATACTTTCTGCTGTCGGTACCAACAACACCAGTGAGAGTGCTGGGGGTAACAACTTCGTAATCCTTACCCGAGTTGTCAAAGGCAACGTGCTTCTTCAAGTGGTAAGCCTCAGCAACAAGAGAAAGAGGATCAACAAAGGACTCATCGGTGCCAATAGTGACATTGTTGTCAATGGTACCATACTTGACCTGGGTCTCGCCCTCAGGGAGTTGTCTGAAAATACCTGGAACAGGAGCCTGAGCAATGACTCTATGGCCAGCATAATCAACAATAGTGGTGAGAACAGTGTAAAGACCCTGAACTTCAATTCTGTTGATAAAGTTGTGGTTTTGGAGATCCTTGCGAACAGAGTAACGAGCAGCAAGCTCACCACCTTCCTCGGCATAGACACCAATGGGGTCAGCAGCAAAAGAGTAAAAAATGCCTTCGTGCAGGTAAATCTTGCCCTCGGGGTTCTCAAGGGGATTCAAAGGCTGGACGCTGCCTTCAATGATGCTAAGAATGCCGTGGGTAGCGGCCTGAGCAAACTCAAAAGAGATCTTGTTGAGAAGACGCTCACGGAGAAGACGGTTGGGGAAAGTGTCCTTTTCAAGCTCACGGGCAGATTGGAACTCATCATTCCAGTCACGACCAGCGGGGAGAAGATCAGAAGGTCTGACAAGGCTTTCTTGAGTTCTGGCCAAATCAGCCTTAGGAGTAGGCTCATTGGTCAACCAAGGACTGTGAAGGAAAGAAGTGGTGGGACCAACATAGGCTTGAGGAATAATGTTGGCAAAAGTAGCCTGGTTATTCTCAAGAGTCTTGGTAACGTGGTGAGAAAGTCTCTTTAACAGGGTGAAAAGAGAGTGCTCGTGGTAAACCTCACCATCAATGATTTTAGGAGAAGGATCAAACCAATGAGCAGTGGAGTTGGAGACGTAAAAGCCGGATGTGTGAGCAACAATGTGGTGAATCTGACCATCCAGAGTAGCGGCCTGGAGGTAAGAAATGTGGCCCTTGTTGATCAGATGAGGTGCGGGAGGATTCCATTGCGAGTAGTGGAGAGTATGAACAGCCTTGGACTTTTCAGGCAGAGGAGTGGGGATAAGCTCGCTTGTCTTAACGTTGAGCGAAAAGTCTTCAGCGGTGAGAGGAGCTTCCTTAAGAGCAGAAGCCTGAACCTTATTGTCGGAATCAACATCGAGGCCCTCAATGTCATAGTAAGCAGTTTCACCGGCACGAATAGAGGCGAAAGAGTTGGTACCATTGGTATCATTGTCGTTAGGGAAAGCAAGGAGATCACGGACCTTGGTAATGTGACGGTTGACCTCAATCTCAGTGTAAGGTTCAAGAACGGTTTCCAAAACGGCATTGTCAATGTCACCGAGCTCGTAAAGCTGACCGTAAGAAGGCAGGATCTGGTCGTTGATCTTGATGCTGAAGCAAGTCTCAGTGTCCTCGTACTTGTAGTCGCTAATGTATTGCTTAATCTCTTGGAAAGCTTCGGTTTTCGAGACCTGAATTATTAGCAAAAAAAAAAAAAAAAGGCCATCAAAGATTTAACAAACTTACTCTAATGGTGAAGGGCTTTCCTTCGGAATCAATGCCCACCTGAAGGCTAACGACAGAGTCTAAAATTTGTTAGAAAAGAATTAAACGATTTTTTTTTAAAAAAAAAATTTTCATACCGTCTTCAACAGGAGCAGCTTCCTCAACAACAGGCGATTCAACAGGCGATTCAGCAGCCTTTTGTTCTTCGACTTGCGACATTATGGAATTGTGCTGTGGGGGGGGGTATATATGGATTTAGGATGCGGATTTCAGCGCAAAATCGCAGTCAAAAAAAAAAAAGAATGAATGGATGAATTAAGATAAAACAGGGACGATACACAGTCAGCCGACGGGTCTACAAAAGGACTTGAGATCAGACTGAAAGATGGATTGGTTGTCCTAGTGGGGCAAAATGGTGGTGGAAGAGGAAAGAAAAGAAGGTAGTAAGAAAAGTTGAAAAAGCGGGAAAAAAAAAAAAAAAAAAAAAAAAAAAAAAATGACACAAAAAGGCGGAGGTGCACCAAAATTTTTCTTCATTACACGGAGGTCACTGACAACCCTATTGGTGAGAATATTTCACCACCACATTATGTCTACAAGCAAAAGTTTCCTTGGACTGGAAAATAAACAAAATTCTCATTCTCCCCGCCCTCCCAACGCCACTTGATCTAAATGGATCCGGTCTCGGGAACAGCCAAGACGGCAGTTTTCTCGGGATGGTTTGTTACTGGGTCCGAAATCAAATGAGTTTTTTCTCATTTGGTTTTCTTGTTGTTGTTGTTGTTTTTTTTTCCCCCCCTGCTCTACGGGTCTTCAATGGCCCGGCTAGATCCCAGTTAGTCATTTGCGCGGTTTACCACAATCTACTACAATAACTATTGTAAAAGCCGCGAAACGGATCTTCTTTCCAAAGAATCAGATTTAAAAATCTATTGCACAGCATTTAACATTGAAAAAAACAAAAAACCAATTGCAAATCTATAAGTTTTTTTTTTAATTTTTTTTATTTTTTTCAAGAAAATCATTCATTACATGGTACATAGGCAAGAGAAAAGTCGTTGATGTCTGTTTAGTGGGCAGCACGTCTGGACTCAGCAATGACCTGGTTCATCTTCTCAACCTTAGCCTTAGCACGGCCGTGAGTACCAAGTTTCTTCTTGGCGAGCTTGCGAGCACGCTTCTCCTGGGAGTTACGGAGGAGCTCGATAACACGTCTCTCGTAGGGAGAGAGGCCAGCAACCTCAGAGATAATGTCGCGAACAAAGGCAGTCTTAGTAGAGACCTGAGCCTTTCTGTTGAAGCGAGCAGAAGGGGTTCTGGGGGTAACCTTGTAGCCCTTGTTGGCACCAATGGCAATTCCTTTAAAAAAAAAAAAGTTAGACTAATATTCCATTTATACAGTCGTTTAAGCCTCCGTCAAAATGGGTATATTCAAATGGATATCAAAGCAATGAGCATGAGTATAAGCATTCTGGGCAAACAATGTAAATTCGTATCGTAGACATGTCGACGTACCTGACTTTTGAGCGGCCATTTTCTCTGTATTATGTGTAGTTGGATGGTGTGGTCGAGTCCGATCTCTCAAAGGGTAACAGAGGAAAGTTTCCAAAAAAAATTTTGCGACAGGGTGGGAAAAATTTTGGTTTTGCCTGGTACACAATAGTGTTACACAATATACCAGGGCTAGGGCAAAATAATTGTAATAGCTATATGTCTTACAATAAGATACAGCCCCACGAAAACCATTCAATAACCCACTCAGACTGAAATATACATAATAAATGTATTTCTTTAATAATTAATAATATATATCAGTCTGATTAGAATATTTCAGTGATGTTATAGCCGCATACATGACCTATTTAATATTTTGTGACTGCTTTTACACGTGATATAATTCTTTTCTTAAGTCTTAAGTTAATTTAATTTAATTTAATTTAGTTTAATTAACAGACTAACAAAATCATGATTTGGTTTATTTACAATTAACACGGGCTATATACAGTTATTAGCACCCTAGTATCCAACATATTTTAAGCAGAAGAGATTTTCGAAAAGTCGTAGTTGTGGGATTCCAGAGTAGCAAAAATCTCTTCCACGGGCTTGCCAGCGTACTCCTTGACAAACTCACGGTGAGATTCGGCAATCTGCTTCCCCTTAAGCACAGTAAACAGCTCCTTCAGAATTTTCCGCTTGCCAACAGTAATCTTAATCTCGGCACCGCCCTTTGAAGCGTGCTTGAAAAAAACAGGAACACTAGCCTCAGCGCCAGCCTCTTGAATAGTTTCAATGATCTTGGGAGCAGTCTTCTCCCGGGCTTCATTCTTGGTCAAAATACGGTATCGCAGCTTCCAGCCAGTGGGTCCCAGCTGCTTTATCCGAGCAGACTTGTCTTTGGTCAGATAACGGTCAAGACCACCCTCCTTTGTAATGGTGCGAAGAACGCGTGCAGTTGTTTTAATGTTGATGTTGCGCTTGAGAGATTCGCTCCATAAAGAATGGCGCGAAATGTTGGGCAGCCATGATCGTCGGCTCTTGTTGCGGAACTCGGAGATTTGGTTACCAAATTGAATAGTAGCACCGCCGTAAAGACCCTTATTGGATTGCTTGAACCAGTGCGAATTGCCATAAGGATATGCAGGAAATTCAGGCTTTTCCTTGGGCAGAAATCTGGCAGGAATGCCGGGTGTCAGAATTTTCTGCTTCTTTTGTTGACGGCTCACAACATGTGCGTACTCCTTTGCGCAAGAAGGAGAGGTCGAAAACCCGCGAGTGCTGGATACGCGAGCAGAAGCTCCTAATGATCTAAAACTGGCAAGCATTTATTTAAGAGTTATTGAAGAGAATAGTAGAACAAGGCCTTCCTGGTGTCGAAAAACCGGTGGTTGTGTTTACAATTACTGAAAACTTTTTTTTTTTACGGTGGTGAGGAACTTTTTTTTTTCCAGTGTCAAAATACTATTGGAGGATATTCCCCTAACCCACACAAACCAGTAACATCTACATCAAATAGATTTCCAATATCCAGGGAAAAAACTGTACTTTCGAGAGGAAAAAAAAATAAAGATTAACAAGTTAATTCCATTATCAATTAATAAAATCTTAAATAAAAAGCTCCATTTTAACAGTTAAAGTATATCAAGTTTTTGTGAATCGGGATTTGAGAATTCACGTGACTTTTGAAAGTTTTCAAGTGAAGACTTTTTTTTTTTTTTTTTAAAACAAAAAAAAAAAAACTTGCAACCAACATTTTTTCAAAAAAAATAATTTTGGTCTCCGCCAAAGTTCCAAAATTACCGACCTTATCTTCATATTCATAAAAGACCATCAATCTTTAACCACGCGTTATTCTAGCTAGACATGTCTTTTAGACTACGCGTCATTATGGCGTACCCTGGCGAGGTACTCGGAGACTCGGGGACCTCCAATGCATCGCGCTCTCTTAAAAAACCAGCTGGCATACCCGATATCTTTTCAGACACTGACTTACGCGAATACAAGCGGTTTCTTCACGTCACAAACCCATCAGCTTCGCTCCAGCAAGTATGTTCTGGAATCGTGGACCAATACATTCGACTATATCCTAATGATGGGTAAGTTTTAGTGGAATGAAAAAAAAAATTTTTTTAAACCAATGAGTTTCATTAACGCGTCTTAATTTTAGTGACGTTGAAATTGAAAAACTTCAAGATAGCTTCAACTGCGACTTGGATCCAGATTATGTCGCCAGTGAAGCATTTAATAATGGTGATGTTGTGGTTGCTGTTTTATCTGGACCTCCTCACTCTACAGAACATGTTCAACAATCCAATCCCCGGAAAAGAGCCCAACCTTCAAACGTTTCCTTTGGAGCCATTGAAAACGGGCATGCAAATAAACGTGCTCGTCGCAGTTCCATTTGGCTGAATACTAGTACCTTAGTTGCTCGCGATGAGTCTGTTTTGGGGCAAAGCTTCAAGCCCCATGAAAATGTGAGCGTCCGCAAGCGCCGTTCAAAAGCTGCTCACGAAGATGAAGACATTGGTAACTCCAGTGTCATTTCGCTTCCTCCCCCATCTTCAGCAGAAAAAAAGATTCCTGATCCACACAAGTCTTCTCCAGGCGGACATGAAGCCCATAATACCAGTTTGCAAGATATCTCAAAGGCTTTTGATGGCACTGTCCGATTTTCTCCGCCTCCACCACCGCAACCTTTACTACAGTCTACTCCTCATCCTTCGCCGGTAGCCAATCCAAAGAGCACATCTGCAAAGAAGACAACAACCAAACCTACTGAAATTTCAAGTCCAACGACTTCTAAAGCAATAAGCGCTAATAATGGAAAGGTTCATTCTGAATTAGAAAAGGGGGGTACCACAAACACAAAACAAATAGAAAAAGATCATTCTCTGAAGCAGACCCCTAAAAAATCTGCAAAAGCTCAGGCAGAGAAACCTGGCCAGAAGGTGGATACTACTCCAAAAGCTTCTTCAGATAGTGTAGTTGAGAGTTCACAGGGAAAGGTTGTAGAGCCTAAGTCAAAGAAACTTACAAAGGCTCAAGCCGTAAAGTTGGCTGCGGCTGAAAAGAAAACTTTGGAAAAGACAGTGGAGCTTAATTCTGAAACCCCGCTAGAAAAGGTTGCGGAGCCCAAACCTAAAAAACTCACCAAAGCTCAAGCTGCAAAGCTAGCTGCTACCGAAAAGGCTTCTGCCGAAAATGCCACCACTGAAAAGACCGATAAAGGCGAAGAATCATCTAAAAGTCATGCTGGTCCTTCTACTGAGGTGATTACTAAGGGATCTAATAAAAAGCCTGCTGAAAAATCCACTGAAAAGCCTATCGAAAAGTCTATTGAAAAACCTGTCGAGAAGTCTACTAAAAAACCTGTCGAGGAGCCTGCCGAAAAGCCTGTCCAACAGGTTACTGAAAAGCCTTCTGAAAAGCCTTCTGAAAAGCCTGTACCTAAGAAGCCTACTAAAGCACAGACTGCAAAATTAGCAGCTTTGGAAAAGAAACAGGAAGGTTCTCAAGATAATGCTACGGAATCTGTTGCTGCTAAGCCCAAGAAACTAACTAAGGCCCAAGCTGCGAAATTAGCTGCGGCGGAAAAAGCTGTATGGGATAAAACTGCTACTGAGAAAACTGCTGCTGAGAAAACTGCTGCTGAGAAAACTGCTGCTGAGAAAACTGCTGCTGAGAAAACTGCTGCTGAGAAAACTGCTACTGAGAAAACTGCTACTGAGAAAACTGCTGCTGAAACTAACACACCTAAAAGTTCCCAAGATAAGCAGCCCGCTGAGTCCGTTGCAAAGCCCAAGAAACTTACCAAGGCTCAAGCTGCAAAATTAGCTGCTGCTGAAGCGAAAACTGCTGCTGAAGCGAAAACTGCTGCTGAGAAAGTTATTACTGAAAAAGCAGCTGAGGAAAATACTTCCGCAAGTTCTCAAAATAAGCAGTCCACGGAACCTTCTACAAAGCCTAAGAAACTTACCAAGGCTCAGGCTGCAAAATTGGCAGCTTCTGAAGCAAAAGTTACAGCGACTGCTTCTACTTCTACTTCTACAACCGCTACCACTTCTGAAAAGGTCCCTGAGAATTCCCAAGCAAAACCTGCTGAACCTGCTAAACCTGCTGAACCTGCTAAACCAAAAAAGCTCACCAAAGCACAAGCCGCTAAACAAGCTGCTGAGGCTAAGGCCGAATCTAATGCCTCTGCAAATTTACCCGAGGCTGTAAAGGAAAAACCAGTTGAACCCATTGCTAAGCCTAAAAAGCTCACAAAAGCACAGGTAGCTAAGCAAGCAGCTGCCGAAGCCAAGGCTGCTGAGATCAAGGCTGCTGAGATCAAGGCTGCTGAGATCAAGGCTGCTGAAGCCAAAACTGCTGGATCTTCTGAAACTCTTAAAGCCACAGAAGCTCCCATTACTAGCTCTCAAATTCTTGCTTTGGAAGCTTCTCAGGGAGAATCTGAAATTACACCTACTAGTACACCTTCGGCACCTCCCAAACCTTCAGGATCTTCAACTAAACCAGCAACTACCAACCCTGCTGCAAACAATCATCTTTCTGGGAAAGGATCACCCAAGTCTGTAAAAGACAGTGAGTTGACGGTGGATGAGAAGGAAGCACTGCGCCGAGCAAAGTTATTTGAAAAGCCCAAGATCCCTAACTTGTTTGGGCAGACTCATAAGGCCGAAGTGTTAAAGGAAATCCACGAAAAGATGCGTCTTGCAGAAGAAAAAAAGACAAAGGAACGGGCATTAAAGAAGCATTCAGATATTGATGCCACGGATGACAGTAACGATGACGACACAATTTTTAGCAGCAAGAAAACTGGGCATGCTAATGGAAGTACCAAAGCCAAGTCTTCCAAGTTGCTTATTGGAGGAAAGATTCCAGACCTTACACCAAAGGAATCGGGAGTAATTGATCCCTCTGTCACAGGAATGGCCATTAGACTACCATCTTTGAAAGCTTTTGAAAAAAATGCAGTTGAGCCTAAGAAAACAGAGTCCAAAGAGTCAGCCAAAAGTCTTGTTTCCCATGAGCCCAAGGACCTGATTGCCAAGTTAAACAAGCGGGCAGTTTCCGAAGCTGCAGACAGCGACATTGAGGTTGTTTCTATTGAGAAGCTTCCTGTTAATACTCCTCACAAAACTCCTTTAGAGACCTCAGAAGATGTTGAAATGCCAGATGCTAAGGATATAGAAACCAAGAGCTCAGAAGAAGAGACAAACGGAGACGATGAAGGTACTGATTCTACGGACGACGAAAGTAGTGACGATAGTAGTGACTCTGAGAGCGAGGACGAAAGCTTGCCTCTGCCATCGACTCAGCTTATTGATGCCGGTGACCCCATGGATGTTGATGATGACAGTAGCAGTTCTTCTTCTAGCAGCAGCAGCAGCGAGGATGAGAATAGCGCTCCAACTTCTGCGCAATCGCAAAAATCATCATCGTCGAGCTCTCTGTCGAACCACAACCAACCTGAAGAGACTGTCCCAGAAAAGGGTGAGGTGAGATTGCCAGGAATTTCAACCACGTTGTCGTCACTCGCTGCAAACGCTCCACGTAATGTGCATGAAGTGTCGGCAGCACAGCTTGCGCTAACAAGCCTGCGGAAACCCAATGCTGTGGCTTCGACTGAACCCAAAGATGAAGATGATGAGAGTGAAGAGAGCGGAGAAAGTAGTAGTGGGAGTGAAAGCAGTAGCGGGTCTGAAGATGAAGTTGAAGCTGAGGCTGAGGCTGGGAAAAAAACAAAAAAAGGTAACCAGCAACGGGGACAGGCACCCAAGCCTGGGACCAAGAATGGGAAAAACATGGCGCCAGTGCCTGGATCAAAGAGTACCAACATGTCTGGCGGAGTTCAAAAGACTGCGACCTATGCGAAAAAGAAACAAGCAGCTGCTAGACGTTTCCTGAGTTTGTTTTCGTAACTTTGTAAAAAGAATTAATAAAGAATAATAAAGAAAAAAAAAATTTAATAATAACAATAACAATAATTCTATCAATTAATTAATCAGATAATTACATATTCAAGGACGTTGCTGGCCTTCCACAAAAGTAAGGGCATCATCCTGGGTAATGGATGCGATTGACGACATTTTGTTTTGGAAACTGACACCGTAGAACTGATCTGCAACATGGATCATTTCCGTACGGAACGTTGTGCAGATAAATTGTGCAGAGCGGGCTTGTTCACGAATCATGGCGGCCACGGCTGTCCGGTACTGTGTATCGAGGTTTGCATCGATTTCATCAAAAAGATAAAAGGGAGCAGGGTCACTCATTTGAATAGCAAAAATAAGAGTAAGAGCACATAACGATTTCTGACCACCACTCAGCTGCTCAATCCGTTGTTGGTCATCTTCCTTACTGTTGAATGAAACGCTAATACCAATACCAACATAACTCTCAATTGAGAAAATGCGTGATCCGTCGGTCACTGCTGTATTGTCCATGTCCACATCTCCGTCTTCGTCTTCTTCGTCTTCTTCTTCTTCTTCTTCTTCTTCGTTAGCGGCATCGTCACTGTGGCGGCCACGGCCACGGCCACGGCCACGGCCTTTAGTGGCGTCGCGTTTGCGGTGCATGACGAGTTCACCTTTACCAGCAGGAACTAATTTTTCAAAAATCTCCGAAAAGCACTTGGATACTTGTCTAAAAGTTCGGTCGATAGCTTCATCTTTACGCATATCGAGTGTTTTGATTAGTCTTTCAATTGATTTCCGTGATTGCTCCAGTTCCGCTTTACGGTGCTCCAAGCCTTCCTCATTTTTAGTGAATTCATTATACTGTTCCACTGCCTTTTTGTTGACGTGACCGTACCGTTTCAAGTCATTGGAAACTCGATGGAATTTTTTCAGTAGTGTGTCTGCATCCACAGACTCGTAGCGGGTGAATGCATCAGGCGGGAGAACACCCAATTCTCTGATTTTGCTAACAACCTCGTCACGGCGCTGAACAAGAACAGAACGTTTAGAAATATGTTTTTCAGCTTGTTTGTTGAGGTTTTCAATACTACGTGCAAGTTTGATTCTCGAATCTTTGAGTTGCTGTAGTTCTCCTTCATTTGCAGTAATTTCTTTAATATTTTCATCGGTTTTTTCTGCCAGCTTAGTGAGTTCTGTTTTTGTAGCTTTGATTTCCTTTTTGAGTTGTTCCAAAATGCGTTTAGATTCAGAAATAGACGCAGATGCAGCAGCGGCCGAGTCGTCTCCCTTATTGAGAAGAGATGATAGTTTACTCACAAGACGGTCCAATCGGGATTGAAGGTTTTGGGTAATTTCAATTTCCAGTTCAGTTTTGGATTGTTCGACTTGTGTACGTTCAAAGGAAATTTCTTGAAGTTTCTTTTGTTGTGGGGGGAGAATAGAACTAAGGTTCTTAAGAGTTTGGATTTCTTCTGACGACAGAACCTGGTTAAAGGGTGAATTAAGTTCAGTTGTGAGAGAGGCTTGATTATTTGTAAGAGCTTCAATAGAGCTGGCAGTAGATTGAAGGGTTTTTTTCTTTTCTGAAATGAGCTCCTTAATTTGTCCTTCTTCAACAACCTTGGAGTGCAAAAGACTGTCAAGAGGTGAAAGAGACGACATGAGTTTTTGATGGCTTGCACGGTATGAGTTGATGTCGTTATTTATTTTATTAATTTCCTGACTTTTTGTTTCATTTTGATCCTTGAGGTCGTTCAAGTGTTGGACTTGTTTTTCGAGCTCTTCCCTAATACGCTGGTACTCAATGAATGCAGCCAGTCTGGACTTGCGAGTGTCATAAAATCCACCAGTAATGGTACCCTTGTTACTAACACGATCACCACTCATGGTGATGGCGTTAAGGTCGTTCCCTTGGGAGATTTGAAGACCGAGATCAAGGTTCATTGTGACAACAGTTTTGCCAAAGACTTGTCTGACAGCACTATCAATTTCCTCAGCATAGGTAATGTTGCTAATCAATGGCAAGACATGTTCATGTTCTGGGTAATTGATACGTTTAGGATGAAGTCGGTTGAGGGGCATAAAAGTAGCACGGCCACTATTTTCACGGTAAAGCTCTTGCATAATTGTAGTTGCAGTATCTTCATTATCCACAACAATATGGAACAAACTATTACCAGCGGTGACTTCGGCAGCCACTTCAAATTGGGGGGTTACTGAGATGAGTTCAGCTAAAGGACCATAAACACCAGTTAGGTTAAGTTTTTTGACAATTCTATTGACAGCGTTTAGGCCTTCCTTTTGTGCATGGGAAAGAGTGCTAAAGGCATTAGACTGGGCGGTGTTACAAGCTTTTTGGAGTTTTTCCACCTCAGCTTCTTGGGCGCGAATGTCTCTCCAAAGAACTTTGCGCTCGTCTTTTAATTTTTCACACTGGGCGACGGTGTCATCGATTAGTTTTACGCTTTGTTGAGTGCTTTCCGTTGAGCGCATGACGGTATCACGAGATTGTTGGATAATTTCGTGTGTTTCGTTTAGTTTCTGTTCAAGTTCATCCAAGTCAGCTTGTAAAGTGGATTGGATTTCATGACTGGTGGTGATACTTTGACCAATGCCTTGGATTTCATTATTGAGCCAATTGTCACGCTCTTTTTTAGAGGTGAAGCGATGGTTACGGCCTTGTTTTGAGTGCAAAAAAGTTTGGTTTGATTCCAAGCGTTGAACTTGTTGGCGGAGGTCATTTTCTTGTTGGAGAAGGGATTCTAATTGTGGGGAGATTTGATTGAGTTGGGCTGTTTTCCCAGAGATTGTTTTGCGTAGAGATTTGATTTCAGATTGGAGAGAGGATGATTGTTTTTTGTATTGTTCACCAGACTCTGTGATTTGACTGTATTCAAGTTCTCTCTGAGCCTTTGTTTTAATTTTATCGCTGAGGTCTGATGTAAGTTGGTCTTTTTCGGATAGTAGGAGTTGGTTTTGGTTTTTGAGGTTAAAGATGAATTCTTCTAGCTCTGCGATACGTTCATCATAAGCTGTGAATTCTTCTAAGCTTTGTACATTTTGGTCATTACTTCTAAATCTTGCTTCTTCTAAGCGCTCAATAGTTGCAGTGATGTCTTTAAGTTCACGGTCTAGGATAATGTATTCTAAAGAGCGTTTTTCGCGGTCCTTTTCATGGTAATCTCTAAGTTCTTCCTTTTCAGTTTCAAGTTCTGCTAAGCGTTCACGGATGAGGGTAAGAGAATCATTGATTCGTTTACGTTGGCCTTCAGTTTCTTCTAAGACTTTTAAGGATTCCTGACGTTTTTGGTCATAAACTTGTGTTCCAGCGACTTCTTTGAGAAGATTAAGACGTTGTTCATCTTTGGCATTTGTGAGAGAGGTGATACGACCTTGAGGGACAATGTAGTAAGGGTTTGCACGGGAAAAGCCTCCACTTTCAAGGAGATCCATGACTTCATTTTTAGTTGCACTTTTGTGGTCGATGGAATATTCGTCCTTTTTGAGGCCAATTGTTCTTCTGATGACGACTTCATCTGAGCTGATTGGGAGTCTTCTATCTGAGTTGTCAAAGCAGATTTCCACAAAGGCACTCATTACAGCTGTACCTGAGCCTTCCTTTTGAAAATTTTTATTTTTTGTTGTGTTAGTTGGTATTAATTTAAAGGGATGGGTGGTTTGTATATATATTTACTTACATGAAGAAGACTTTGGCGTTCTTCACGGCTAAGTTTAGTGTAAGCATCACTGAGGACGAATCTGATTGCCGCGAAAAAGTTACTTTTGCCTGAGCCATTACGTCCGACTTTATTTTTTTTATTCAAAGTTAGATTTTTTTTTTCAATGTTTGATATTTGATATTTGATATTTGATGGTGGCACTTACCTACGACGTTGTGATGTGGGCTAAACTCATCAGTTACTGTATGATTTTTGTAGGATTTGAAGCCTTGGATAGTAATCTGGAAAAGTTAGTATTTAGTATTAAGGATTATATATATATATATATATATATGAGAGTAAGTTATCATACCGTTTTGATATGCATTTGAGCGGTATCTTGTTTTGTAGGGCTTTGATGGTGATGAAGATAGTTTTTTGATATATTTTAATGTTTTGATTAATGTTTTTATTTATTTTTTTTTTTTTTTTCTGGATGGGCCATTTCAATTTCAAAACAAAACAAAACACGACGCGTTTAAACGCGTTTTGTCATATAATACCCTAACCTTGTATGTATATATATTCATTTGTTTATTTGTAACATATCATGTGATTTAATGACCCCTCATTTAATATGTGATTTGTTACATTTTCTTATGTTGTAACAATTTTTTTTCAGTGCTTTAATTTAACGTCATAAAAATTAAAAAAAAAAATCCCGGGCAGCCCCAATGCATAAAAAAAAATAAAAATAAATTTAAAAATAAATTTAAAAATAAATTTAAAAATAAATTTTGTTAGTGAGGGGTGAAAATGAATTAAGACTTGAGGATTTAAAAGATAACAACAAAAATAGTTGAATTGATTTAAATTAAATTAAAATAAATTAAATTGAAGTGGGGGGGAGAAAAGGGAGGGGGAATATTTAATTAATAATTAATAAAAAAAATTTAACTGTATTCTAGTAATGGAATTCTGTTAAACAAAAAAATTTAAATTTAAAATTTAAAATTAAAATTAAAATAACTATTTTTTTTAAATTTTTTTAGAGTCATCAAATGTCTACTTTTTAATTTTTTTTTTTTTGTTAGTGTTTTCCCGTTGTAACCCCCGAAGTCCCCGCTTATATTTTGTTAATTATGTTTTTTTTTATTGTTTGGAAGAACTTTGAAAGACTCTGAAAGACTCTAAAAGACTCTAAAAGAACTTTGAAAGAACTTTGAGAGATTGGTTAGTCGACCCGAGTTCATATAAAAAGTTTATCCCCCTCTTCTTCTTCATTTTTTTTTTTTTTTTTAAAAAAACAAAAAAAAAAAAAAAAAAACCCAACCACAACCACACCCCCCGTGCTAGGATCCGAGGCGGCACGGTTTTTGTCCCGCCGTGCCCCCCAACAAAGCCAGAAATATTTTCCCTTTACTTGTAATTTTTAAATGATTGAATCAATGAATCAATTAATCAACCAATATGAAATAAATGAATCAAAATGAAATAAAATAAATAAAAATAAATAAAAATAAATAAAAATAAATAAAAATAAATGAAAATAAATGAAATAAAAATAAAAAATAAACTGCCGTGACTTGCACGGAAGGTTTTTACTTTTGCTGATTTCAACTGGTTTCCGTTCAAAGCCAGTTATCTAGTCAGCAAAAAATCTATCAAAATTTGCCCATTGATACCATCATCATCAACACTTCAAAGTTGAGAATTTCTCAATTCCACCAAAAAAAAAAAATTATTTTTATTTATTTATTTATTTTGTTTTTTTTTTTTTTTTTAGCCCCTCCTCCTGCCCCTCATTTTATTTTAACTATTTTTTTATATTTTTATATTTTTTGTTACAACTTTTTATGTAATTACAAAAACTCGGGACTCCTCCGCCACCTTCCTCCACTCTTATCGATTAACGAGGCTATAAAAACATGGCCTTATTCCCTGATTTTCATCAAACTTCTCTTTTCTTTCTTTCTTTCTTTCTTTTTAACTAATCCAATTCTCTAATCCATCCATCTTATTATTATTATATTATATATTATATTATTAATTAATTAATTTAAAACACTTATTTATAATATAAATATATATCCATTAATATATCAACAATAAACCTTCTTTCCAAATGTCTGCTAAATCTATACACGAAGCCGACGGTAAAGCCCTCCTCTCTTACTTCCTCCCTAGATCCCCCGTCTGGTGCGACGCAGAACCTATCACTACCTTCCAAGCTGCAACCCCAAAGCTTGCTTCCCTTACCTTCCCCGATGAAGACTCAATTGATGCCGTCTTTGCCCAGGTAGAAGCTACCTACCCTTGGCTGCTCATCCCAGACTCTAGATTTGTCGCTAAACCCGACCAGCTCATCAAGCGTCGTGGCAAGTCAGGCCTCCTGGCTCTCAATAAAACTTGGCCAGAGGCAAAAGCATGGATCGCAGAACGTGCAACAAAACCAATCACCGTAGAAGGCATTGACGGTGTCCTCCGTACCTTCCTCGTCGAACCCTTTGTCCCTCACGAACAAAAAACTGAGTACTACATCAATATCAACTCAGTCCGTGAAGGTGACTGGATCCTCTTTTACCACGAGGGAGGTGTCGATGTCGGTGACGTTGACTCTAAAGCCTCAAAACTTCTGATCCCTGTCGACATTGAAAACGAGTACCCCTCAAATCAAACTATCATTGCCGAACTCCTCAAACATGTCCCCGAATCCCAGCACCAGATCCTTGTCGACTTTATCAATAGACTCTATGCCGTCTACGTCGACCTCCAATTCACCTATCTCGAAATTAACCCCCTGGTCGTCATCCCTACCGAGGCTGGCGTCGAAGTCCACTACCTCGATCTTGCTGGCAAGCTCGACCAGACTGCTGAGTTTGAGTGTGGCCCCAAGTGGGCAGTCGCTCGCTCCCCTGCAGCCCTCGGCCAATTTGTCGACGCCGCCTCCAGCGGTAAAGTCAACATTGATGCTGGCCCACCAATGGTTTTCCCTGCCCCCTTTGGCCGTGAACTGACCCCAGAGGAGGCCTACATTGCCGAGCTGGACTCCAAAACTGGCGCCTCTCTTAAGCTTACCATTCTTAACCCCAAGGGCCGCATCTGGACCCTGGTTGCCGGTGGTGGTGCCTCTGTCGTCTACGCTGATGCAATTGCCTCGGCTGGCTATGCCGACGAACTCGCCAACTATGGTGAGTACTCTGGTGCCCCCAATGAGGTCCAAACTTACGAATATGCCAAAACTGTTCTTGATCTCATGACTCGTGGAGACCCTTGCAAGGAAGGCAAGATTCTGTTTATTGGTGGTGGCATTGCCAACTTTACCCAAGTCGGCTCCACCTTTAAGGGTATCATTCGGGCCTTTAGAGACTTTAAGGCCCAGCTACACAGACACAAGGTTAAGATTTACATTCGTCGTGGTGGCCCCAACTGGCAGGAAGGTCTGCGTCTGATTAAGAATGCTGGTGAGGAACTTGACCTGCCTATGGAGATTTTCGGTCCTGACATGCACGTTTCGGGTATTGTTCCCTTGGCTCTTGTTGGCAAGAGACCTAAGAATGTTTTGCCCTTTGGTGCTCCCTCGTCGACTACCCCATCGACTCCTCTTCAGTTTTAATTAATTGGTGTATAATTTAGTTTTTTGTTGTTTTTTTTTATTATTGTTTATCTTTTTTTTTTTATAAAAAAAAATATAGTATATGTGGTTAATGTATTTTGTTAATTTTCTAATCATGTTGATTTTCTCATTAATTAATGAAGGTTTTAATTTTCAATTGTTAAAAATTCCCCTTCTTCTTCTTCTTAATCAAAAAATGATCCGAAATTTGCACTTTGAAGTTGCTCTGTTAAATGACGGGTCTTGGACTACCTATGAACAAGCCAAAATTGCATTAACAAACTACCTGAACGACCACTACGATGCCATCAAGCATATTCCAGGAGAACTTTTGTACGTAAACCCTAAACAAGTATCAGCAGTGTCAGCAGTGTCAGCAGTGTCAGTAGTATCATCCTTGTCAATTGATACTAATGTGGCCCACATTCGGATCTGTGAGCTTCAGGAAGAATTCCTGGGTCAAAGTGATGATGATGATGATGGTGATGGCGACAATGAACGGACGTTTACCGCAAAAGAAGATTTAAATGGAAATAAATCTGTTCAAGAGTTATTCGGAATCCAAGAGTCACCGATTGTGCGACTAGATCAAGTAGCGCTAATATTTCATATTTACCGCTATGCAACTACCAGCCCACCACTTGGTACACATTCTACGTTGTAAGTTTTAAGAAAGAAAAAAAAAAGAAAAAAAGAGGGGAGAACAATTGAGAATATTGGTGAAAATTGTGAAAAATCATGAACATTGGGAATTACAAGGCATATCCAAGCGAAAATTGTTGAAAAGGAAAATATCCAAGCCGAGAAAACACATATACACACACACATACAAAAAAGGCGGGGTTAATGTACACACAAAACTAACAAACAAACAAACAAACACCCGAGCCATTTTTGAAGCCGAGATTTTTGAAAAACCCCCAATTTTTTTTTTTTTCATTTTCTTGATTCAAAAATCTCTTTTCCTGCTTGTGGAAATATTTGATTTGATTTTTTTTTTTTAATTTTTAATTGTTCTATTATTATTTTTTTTATTCTTATATAAAACTTATCATGACTAACTGTAGCAACACCTTTTTTTTTTTTTTTTTTTTTATTTTAGACGTAATGCCGCCGCGGGACTCACTCGGGAGTCACCCCACAAGCGAGCGCGACACAATCCTCCGTCACAACAAAAAATAATAATGTCTGACGACAAGACAAGTACAGAACTGCCCACGGCCCGCCAGTTTGTTGGGGCCGAACACAACAACAACAACAACAGCAACAGCAACAGCAACAGCAACAGCAACAGCAACAGCAACAGCAACAGCAACAGCAACAGCAACAGCAACAGCAACAGCAGCAGCAGCAGCAGCAGCAGTAGTAACAGTAGTTGCCAACGTTCAATTCTTCGCACCCGCTCATCAGTGGGCTCGGCTGTGATGGTGATGGCCGCACGTAATGGTGACGCCATTGTGGACCAGTGCAGTATGTTGGAAAATGAACTTTGTGGGGCCGAAGAAGGTGTGGCCAACGCGGCCAAAGTCACAGCATTGCCATGTGCCGAGCTTGATGGTTTATGGGATCAGTAAGTCATTTCATTCCATTATCTTCACATGAAAAATTACTAAAAAAAAAACCCCCTACTCTTTTTTTTTTATCTCTCTCTCTCTCTTTCTATATGTTAGACTTGTGTTTGACAATTGTAGTGTCAAAAAAAAACTGGTGCAATACGCAGAAACAATTAGACTCTTTGCTAGCAAAAATGTTTCTCCACACATCATCTCCTGGCATGGCCTCATTCTACTCTCAGGCCCTCCTGGCACAGGGAAAACAAGTATAGTTAAAGCCTTTGCACAAAAGCTGGCAGTGCGGTGGTTAGCTGGTGGTAATGGGTTTTCGTTTAATTTGAAAGCCACATCCAGTTCCCAGTACTCTTCGTGTGCACTTGTGGAAATTAACTGTGGAGCACTTTTTACCAAATGGTTTGGAGAAAGTGCAAAATTAGTCGCCACGCTTATGGGTGGTTTACATCGTGCTGTGATTGGGGACCCTGCAAGACTTGTGTGTGTGTTGATTGACGAGGTAGAATCATTGACCATGTCGCGTGCAGGAGCTGTCAGTGGAGCAGAGCCATCGGATTATTTGCGTGTAGTTAATACGATTTTGACTCATTTGGATATGCTAAAGTCGTTACCTGTAATAGTTTCAGAGGTGAAAAAGTTCATGGTTAATTATTGTGACTAACTCTTCATTTTTTTTTTTTTTTTTTTGAATTCTTTAGAACGTACTTATTTTTTGTACTTCTAATTTGGAATCAACACTGGACGAGGTTAGTATAGCTGGTATTGAATTTTTGTTTAATTTTTTTTTTATTCAATAGACAGACTAACGTTAAAAAAAAAAAAAAAAAAAAAAGGCGTTTCGAGATAGAATTGATTTCACCATACAGTTGACATACCCTACAGCTCGTACTGTTTATACAATTCTAACATCGACCATTGAAGAACTTTTACGCACGGGGCTTGTTGTAAATGGAGAACCAGCAGAAAATGATTTTGAATGTGATTATGAAGATGAAGATGAAGATGAAGACAAAGAGGTGAGTTTAAGATGAAAAAAAAAAAAAAAAATTTTCAAGAAAGGGAGGGGTATGGTGGGGCTGTCATAAACCAGTCTTAACGACCTTTGTGGAGACAACAATAGAAGCGTCCATCATCATCATCATTATTATTATTATTATTATTATTATTATTATCAGCCTTGCCAGTCATTTTTTTAAAATGACTAAAAAAAACAAGCTTAAAATAAGAAATCATGGGCAGTGAGAGAGAGAGAGAGAGAGAGAGAGAGAGAAAAAAAAAATAAAAGATTTGACGGTTTTTTTTTTTTTTTTTTTTTTCGATTGTTGACAAAATTGTCTGTCTGGAGTGGCTTCTATTTATGTGTTTGAATGATCAGGTCTGCGTTGGAGATGCCAGTCCTCGGACAAATGGAGGTTTCTTGTTTTGGAAAAGGAATAGTGATACGCAAGGCTGCTGTTAAATCACCTTAAATACAATAATAATAATAACAACAACAACAACAACAACTCAATACATGCTACAGCTTTACCACTCCCAAAACTCTTAAAAAAATCATTTCTTTTCAAGACCTAATATCTAGCCAACTTTTTTTTTTCATTTTTCATTTTTTTAATTTTTCAATTTTTTCTTTAGAATGCCCCATTAGAACCTGTCTCTGAAACTTCAACAGTCACAACAACTCATGCCCATCGTACACTTCTTCAGACCCCCCTCTACGCTACACGCATTTACGCGCTAGCTCAAAAGTGTAGTGGTTCTAATACCACCACATTGTCACAACCTCTTGTACCACTTAAGCGTGTAGGAGGTCGACACTTGCGACGGCTCGCACTTTTGGCATTTGCCCAAGGACGTAGTCATTGTCAAACAAAACAACAGAAGAATGTAATAGGTGGATATACTTTGGAAGAATTTCTCTGTGCACTTGATACAGAAATTGAATCACTGGTAAATTAAATGAAGAAAGTTAAAAAAAAAAAAAAAAAAAAAAAAAAAAAACTTGAAACTGAGATGGATTTAGAATCTTGTGACTGGGATAGTTGCAAATCTATTTTTTTTTACTTCTTTTTTTATTTAAAATTTGAATATATATAATCAACTAAAATGTGCTTTTAAAATGATAATTGAATAATTTTATTTTATTTTTTTTATTTTTTTTTATTTTATTTTTTTTTATTTTATTTTATTTTATTTTATTTTTGGGAGGTTATAATTAACAATGCAATTGAGATTCTGGATAGTTGCTGTGACCACCGCTAATGCCCTTGTGATTGAAATCGATAGCAGATATGCTACTTTGGATGGGAACCGAATCGTTGATCCTCGGCCTCGCATTGTAAAAGTACATGACGACGACACATCTATAAACTCACCTTCTTCTTCTTCTTCTTCGCCTCCCAATGCTCATATTCTTGAACGCCGTGCGTCCCAAGAACTCTACACGGTAACTCTAAGTTCAGTTAATGGGAAAAGTAACGTCTATGCTGGGACTTTTATGACAACAACAACAACAGAACCTTCAAGTAGCAGCAGCAACTCAGCAACGCTACAAACTGAAACATCTACGGTATCTTCAATTGACACTTCCCAAAAGGAGCTGGATGTTGCAATGGCTCTTGGTGCTATAATTGTAGTCAAAGCCGGACTTGATCAAGTACTTGATGGGGGTTTCAAGCTCTCTCCATACTTATCAATAGAATCCACCACAAGTCCATTTTCAACAGAACCTACAGTTGCCACCATTACTACTTCATCATCACAACGGAGTACCATCACACGTACTCTCACATCCACCATTCTTAAAACAATTAGCACAAGTGGGGACATTGTCTCCTCACAAGATACCTTGACAAGCTATGCAAATCCTGTAAGCCATGCAAGCGGAGTGGTCAAGCTTGCAATAATGGCAGAAGTTTCATCAATGACATCAACATTGATGCAATCTGAAACATTAGCGACATTAGAATCGAGTGGTGGAACTGTGAAAGTGCAAGGTTCAGTTATGTTTGCTTTGATTACGACAATCACTGTAATTTTTGTTGTACTATTGAGCGGCTAGGAATTTGTTTTCTATTTTTTTTAATTGTTTTTTTATTTTTTAGTTGATGACATTAGAATAAACTCTTTTTTTTTTTAATAGATTAGATAGTAGCAACCTTTTATATCTTTTATCTCGTTTGAAGTTGCTTGGAGTGGGGGGTGGGTGTGGGAGGCAAAACCATGTGTGTTGCGACAATTACATTTTGAAAGGAGAGAGTTAGAGCTGGAATGGGAAGAGGAAGGGAAAAAAAAAAAAAAAAAAAAAGTTTAAACTGACGAAAGGCAGCAATCCAAAACAGAATTTCAGGGTTGTGGGTTTCTTCTTTAGGAGGTTTCAAGGCGGAGTGCGCAGATAAAAAACAAAAATAATTAATATATTGCGAGTATAAATACGCTCGGATTTGGCCATTATTATTATTATTTTTATTTTTATTTTATTACTTCTTCTTCTTCTTCTTCTTTTTTACATATTTATATTTATATTTATCTTATTATATATATATATATATTTTTTTTTTCTTATACTTCAATTAAACTTCAATTTTTTACTACCAATAAAGTCACAATCTCTCAATTTTATTACTCAATTCATTTCCAAATCCAAAATGTCCGACAAAGCTCAACAAGAATTTAAGGCAACAGTTATGCCCAAAGTAGAGCAAGTTCAAAGTAGCCAGGGGCTCCCAGGTCTTCATATCCCCAAGAATGCTGCAGACATTAAGGAGTTTTCGGAAATTCGCAATGTCGATGCCAAACAACTCAATGCCCAAATTAAGGCTGAAGCTGAAAAGAAGATTGTTCAAGACAAAGTTTCTGATTTTGTTGGCAAATAATTTTTTTTTTTTTTAATTATTATTATTTTATTATTATTTATTTTATTTAAATTTTTTTATTTTTTTTTATATATATAAAATGAATTGCAGGTCTTATTTTGTTTTTTTTTTTTTTTTTTTTTTTGGGGGGAGGATATAAATCTGGGGTAACTTGGGGAAAATGAAAATCGAGTTTGTTTTTTTGAACTGGAAAGCTCAGGATGTTTTTTTTTTTTTTTTTATAACAATTGTGTAAAAGTTTTGTTATGGAAGTTATTTGGTTAACGTATGTCTAGCAAAAAAAAAAGGCCGGGTAAGCAGGGGTTTTTATGAAAACTTTGCCCTAACGGTTTGTTGAGATTTTTTTTTTTTTTTTTTTAGTTTCCTAGTCAACAACAACCCACACAGAGACAAAATTATCACAGACAATTAAAAAAAATTTTTTTTTTTTTTTTTTATTTCTTCAAAAAATTTTTTTTTTCTATAATAATCTTTTTAACTGAAACTACCCATCAAGCAGCAGAAAGAAAGAAAGAAAGAAAGAAAGACTTTCCCCTTTTATTGATCTGTGATAATAATTCCTTCTTAAAACTTCAATTAATTATCATTATGATTTAATCTCTATTTCTTTTAGTACTCTGAAAGAGGACTGTAAAAACTTAAAGTATGTTTTTCTCTTATCATTTCCTTAAACAAAATTATCACTCAAGCCGTCATTCAATATACAGTTCTATTCCCTTTTCTGGGTCTTCTTCTGTATTAAAAATAAAAAAAAAAACAAATCCAATATAATGATGATATATTTTCTTATTACCTACTTTATCTGTATGAGCAGTGGAGAAAAACCTTTCTATCAATTTTTAATCTGATTTTTTTGGTCAAAGGCGCTTAAAAAAAGAGTCCAATATTTTTTATTTATAAAAGAAAAACCTCCAAAAGAAATTTTTTTTTTATTTTTTTTTTCTAATCTAACCATTGTCTTAATAGCTCTTAAATAATTGTCTACATCACGATGACTTTATATTAAAAAGATGCCGGAGATCTGAGACCATTCCATGTATTTTAATGGCTCTTCTTGAATCTTAATTCCAATGTGTACTAATACTACCATTAGAGACTGAGCATTATCTCTCATCAACTCTTTCTATTCCATCATGCAAATTAACACTTGTGTTTCAGTTTTTTATTTTTAAATTACCTTTTAATCTTGCACTGGTTCTTGAACTTAAAATCAAAAGTCAAAGGTCAAAAATTCAAAAGTCAAAATATGTCACTTGCGTGTTTATTATTGTTGTTGTTGTTGTTGTTGTTGTTGTTGTTGAGCTACTAGTAGTTGCTTCTTAGTTGTTATTTACAACTACTACTACTACTACTACTACTACCACCACCACTACCAAACCCAATTGGGCGGTTGGTGCGCTGGTCTTTTTTTTTTTATTTTTATTTTTTGTCATCTCCGCCTTTATATTTTCTTTCTGCCACACTGCCACCCCTTTCTTTTCTCCTCTCCCAAAAACTTTTCATAATTAATATAAACCCATCATTTTCCTTTTATCCATCAATCAATCAATCAATCAATCAATCCTTTTCTTAATCTATTTCTAGTCTATTTCTAGTATATTCTTAATCTATTCTTAAATCATATCTTTTCTTCCATTCTCTTTCCAAAAAACAAAAACAAAAACAAAAACAAAAATGCCCCGCCTTAGACTTTCCTCCGGATCATCTAATAAACCCCTGCTTGCCGACCGCCTGCGTCTCTACGATGAGCACGAGGCCCGCGTCCAACAGGCCCTAGAGCTTGTTCGTTCGGGATCCTCGGTCGCTTCAGCCGAGCGCAGGGTTGGCACCAGTAGTAAGACCATTTCAATGCGTCTCAGCAGCCGTCGCAACAGTATTCGCTCTGCTCTAGAACTCCAAAGAGCCAACAAAACGCGTGTTACTAAAACTACCAAATCATCAACATCATCTACCTCTTCTTCTTCAACAAGGAAAAGACGTGCCTCTTCAATGGATGACTCGTATAAAACTTTCTTGTTGACTACAAGTGACCCCACAAAACTCCACTTGACGTTTGACGAGGAACTGTGCATTGCACACCACATGCGCTTGATGATTGATCGCAATGGGCCTTTCCCCTATCAGCTCATCTCGGAGATTTTACGTTACTATGTACGTCTCCGTGATGCCTTTCAACATTTGTTACTTGTCGAAGAAGCTGAAGAAGCTGTTTTAGATGATGACGATGATGATGATGACGACAATGGTGATGATGACTTGCAAATCATTTCATCCTCTTGTGAGCGATCTCCTCCATTTGCCACGCCTTCCCCATCCACGCCCGTCAAACGTGTAAATAACCATGTGGCTCTCCCCCCTTCTCCTCAAGCCCCACCTTCCCCCCCAATCTCATCTGTCCCAATGCTTTCCCCAGCTTCTTCTGCAAGGGCTTCCCCTGCACTTCCTCCCTCGCCTTCGCGTCGCTACTCCATTTTGTTTTCTTCGCATGAACCCTCTGATGTGAAAGACTTGCATGATTCGGCTATCCCTGATGGTTCTACAAGTAAGCCTTCCATCATTTCAATCACACCTTCCTACTTGACCAATTTTTGCAAGCGCAATGGAATCCAGTCACGCACTCTGGCCGCCTTGTGTAAGGAAACAAATTTCCATGACCAGTTTTGCATCTCGAAGGAAACTTTTATCCGCAGCAAAATTGGCGTGTACTCGAAGCTGAGGCAGCACCTTGTCAAGTTTGAATTTGTACAGCAGCAGCAGCACTTGACAGCCCCACCAAACAGTGAGCTTGCACGTCTTTGGGATGCAGACCCGCAGCTTTATGACCAAATGCTTAACAATATCAGCACGGGTCGTGTACTAAGACTGTGCTTTTTGGATCCCGCGTTTTCGCCAGAAACTGGCAGCGGTGGTAACAGCAACAGCAATAGCAATAACCTTCTGAATGACAAGGATCGGCCACGTGCCCACCAAAACAAACCCAAAACACATGGCTTTGAGGACGCGGGCGCCTTCAAGCTTTCTGTTCTCTCGAGGATCCTTGACCATTTGGACGGACATCCTGTTCGTGCTAATGGCAATTCTGTTCCAATGAGCATTTTTTCAACTCCAGATCTCATTTCAGTAATGTTTGATCATTTATCCCAGCATTTGTAAAACCCCCCCCTTTTTTTTTTTTATTTTTTTTTATTTTTTTTTTAGAAATACACAATGCCTAAAGTTTTTTATTTACTGATTTACTTTTTATGTTGAAGCTTAATGTCGCCGGCAATGTCGACTACATGGAAACATGCACGTAGAGGGGTAACACTAATGTGACCCTGATCGACAGCCCATCCATCATTACCCTCTTTACTACCTTTGACAGAGTCACGGACAGCCTGGTAATCAGGCTTCCATCGGAACTGCCGCCGGGCCTTGTTGCGGTTGGCTGTACCGTTAGTTTGGTGAGTGAGCTGGTTGCTGTCACCGTCCTCAATCAAACTCGGCACAGGAACACCGATATGCAGTTCCTCCTCCTCGGCCACAGCCTTGGGGTCAGCATCACGACGACGCTCAAAGTCTTCCCAAGGTTCAAACACAGGACCCCACTGGTTTTGAAGAATGTGTGCATACAAAACGCGTGTAGAATCACCGAGACCCTCGACAAGAGGGATGTTGACTGAGTATAACTGGACTCCGTCCTTGGTGTCCCAGTTGGTATACAAATGTTCCACAAGTTCGACTGCAAGACGTGAAGCAGTGTCGATAAGATTGTGGTCATGAGTCTTAGTCTCGTAAGCATATGAAATACCAATGGCGCGGACACCACACAAAGCAGCCTCCATGGCGGCACCCACGGTTCCTGAAGACATAATGTACAACGCAGTTGAGTTACGACCAAAGTTTGGACCGGAAATGACGAGATCAACAGGAGATTTATGGTTGAACATGTGGTGGATACCAATATTTGCGCACGACGCCGGCGTCGCGTCGAGAAGCACCCATTCATCCTTGTGAGCCTTATCTTGCTGCGGCACATCATATGGGCCTTGATAATCGTAGTATCCTTCATCAGAAGAGGTTGGATCGTTTGGGTAAATGTAGCTTGCGGTTACGTCTTGGCCAATCATGTGTGCCTTGCCGATCCACGAGCGCTGAGTGTTTGGAATTGCTACAGAAACTTCCCAGTCTGTATACTTTTTGAGCGCTCGGTAGAGCGACAAAACGTAAGGTGAGGCCTCTTCACTTGGAGGACCGTCATCGTTGGTAATCTATTGTACGAGAAAGATATAGAGACAAGGTTAGACAGAGAGAGAGAGAGGGTGAAACAAAGATGTTGATCATTGTTATTTCTACTGACCAAAACGTGCATGATGGATATGTAGTGTCTAGTTAGAATCCAAACAAATTGGTATGTGGACAAAAGTGTATGTTAAGTACCGGGCAGTATTTATTTTTTTAAAAAAAAAAAAAATTAAAACAATTAAAACAATTAAAAGTATTTTTTTTTAAAAAAAAAAAACATAAAAAGCTCAAAGCACATGAAAGCCGCTCTTTCACACGCCACCTTACGCGCATCTCCGAGCACCGACCAGAGTGGGGGAAATATTCTTGTTATTTTTTAAAAATGAGCAATAACACGTCTTACAAGGCTGAAATTGCGGCTCAACTGCAATTTCAACTTTAAATGACGAAATTTCCAAATCAAGCAATTAAAAAAAAATCAAAATTAAATTAAACTACGAAAAAAATTAAAAAAATAAACTACAATCTTTATATAGTCACTTGTCAGACTGCCATGCACACCCACCCAATACAACCTCTCCGAAGAGATCCATGTAAAGGGTCGAGATCATCGCCACCACGTCCTCACAAAATTGTTCAAAAAAGAACCATCAAGTGTAAACAGACAGGTTTGTAAAAATAGACAAAAAAACGTCAAGGTCGTGGCACAAGTCCAAACCGATCCAAAACAAAATTTGCAAAATTCTCACTCTAGGGTGTGCAGGTATCTTCCTCATCAACCAAGTTGGATAAAGTGGCTCATTATCTGAGCGTAATGAGGACGTGACCTATAGAAATGATCCTATAGAGTACGTCGACATGAAGAAAAAAAGAAGAAAAAAAGTCCAAAAGGGAGCGGGGATTTAGAGATATTTATACACTTTGATCTTTTTTGTAAGTTTTTGGGAATTTTTTTTTTTTGGAAAAATTGTCAATATTGACTTGAGTCACGGGATTATAAATATATTTAGGGCATTAGGGCTTGCTTGAAACAGTCACGTCCCAAAAAAGAAACTGTAAGGTCACATTTTTTGTATTACAATTATTTAGGTAAGTAAACATAAGTTTGTCACACAAAAAATATTAACGTGCGGCGTATATCTTCTCCCTTTACTTGTCACTACAGCACCAACTTGTTACAATTACAACTTTTGGAAAAATTTTCTTGCTATCTCTCTTGTTGGCAGTGAGGCTCTGCCATAAAAAACAAAAAAAAAAGGAACAAAATATAAAAAAAAAATAAAAAAAATAAATACAAAATGTGTGACAAATACCCGGCAGTGGCCTACCGCTTTGTCAGCGACGCGCACACTCAGGCGGGAAAAGAGAAAAAATTCTTGGAATTTCATAGTACTCCTCTTTCCATCTTCTTGAGCGACAGTTCGGCACTATCGACACTCGACATATAACACATTTCGACATCAAAATGACCGAGAGACGTATGTGATATATATATACATATCCACTATGATGACCTCTCTATATATATATAATACCTGCTGTTGATGAAATACCTTTTACCTTGTTGATGGAACTTGTCATGAGTCTTTATACCCATGAATGTCCAAACCTCCCTTCTCATCAGCTTTTTTTTTTTTTTTGCATTCAGAGGTTCATTTGTTATTTTTTTTAATTAAACAATCATACTAACTTCTCTTATAGTCTACGTTAAGGGAAAGCACGTTTCCTACCAACGCAGCAAGCATGTCACACACCCTAACACCTCTTTGATCAAGCTTGAGGGTGTTTCTTCTACCAAGGATGCCCAGTTCTACCTTGGCAAGAGAGTCGCTTATGTCTACCGTGCCAGCAAGGAGGTCAACGGTTCCAAGGTCAGAGTTATGTGGGGCAAGATTACCAGATCTCACGGTAACAATGGCGTCGTCAGAGCCAAGTTCAGCAAGAACCTCCCCCCTAACTCCTTGGGCTCCACCATCCGTGTCTTCCTCTACCCCTCCAACATTTAAATATAAAGAAAAAAAATGTCACGAATTCACCTCTTGCTCCATTTTGTCTATTGATGTCCCCCCCACCTCCTTTTCTATGTCTTATTCATTTTGTAAAGAAAAATAATGAGTTGTATGTCCCCCTACAAATGATATTTGACTAAAGGGAGTTGTCTTGTTTTTACTTGTACTCAACACTTTCCCAATGTTGTATATTTCTACAATAGGAAAGCGGCTCGTAGTTTGTAAATTTTGTTTTAAAACCTTGATACCTCAATCTTTGATTGTAGTTTAACAATGATGCAAAATATCCCATTTCAAGCTTGTTCTAAGCGCTCTATTCTTAATCATCTCTCTCGTTTTTCTGACCTCAAGTTGGACCCTGAAACAACTGTAGGACTTGAATCCATTGTTTTGTCTTTTGTTGATTATGATTATGACGAAACAACTGGCCATTACTCTCCCAATGTGACTTTTGAAGAATACTGGATCGATCCAACTAAATCCAGAATGTATATCGATACACCAGCTGACAAGGAACCTCGACTATTCCCAACTCATCCTGTTCGATTTGTTGAGCGCCGCGACGATCCTGCATCTTCATGGCAAGCCATTGCCAGAGCCCAAGGTGTTGCTGTGTGTCTCCCACGCTCAACATGCATCTCATCCTTCAAACTTGTGGGCGGCCAAAGTCTTATTGTGGGGCACCCTCTCAACCGTTCTGCCATACTTATTGAGTACTTGACTGGGTCATCCAAAGCAAAAATTCGTGATCGAGAAATAATTGAACCCGTCAAGTATTGGGCTGAAAGAGGGTTTATTAAAGAAGCATTAATTGTGGAAAAGTTCATTGCGGCAGCTGCACTAAATATCCCACCAACTTCATTAAGCAAAACTATTGTGGTGTCGCGGATCGCAAAACAACAAACACCACAGGGAATGCTCAAAGGCACCATTTTTCAGTAGCTTTAAATATCATTAAATTTATCCATTATTATTATTATTATTATTATTATTATTATTATTATTATTATTATTATTATTATTTTATTTTTTTATAAATACACTATTACTATTATTTCTTTCGAGTCACCTTGACACGTTTATTACTCTTCTTTGCATCCTCTGCTGCCTTTTTCCGCTTGTTTGCACTCTTAAGGTCCTTGCCGCTCTGCGGCGCTGACTTGATTTTGAAAAAATCCTCTAATCGGCCCTGCATTGCTCCAGTATTCTCCTTGGTCAGCTTCTCGGCTCCCTTGCGTACGCGTGCCTCCGAAAACCCCTTTTCTTTAACAAGGAAATCAACTAGACCCTCCACATCTGGCTGTGTCCACTTGATCTCCAGCTTGGAAGCTTCTTGAACGTCTGGGTGTTTAAACAGTTCACGTGCAGCTTCATACGGCCAATCCTCAGGCACTTTATACTTACTCTTTGGATTGCTTTTAATGTGCTCTATTATTTTCTCCAAAGATTTGTATTCCTTGATGAGCTTAAAAGCTGTCACGGGCCCCACACCTCGAATCGACTCACAGTAATCACACCCAAGCAAAATACACAAATCAATAAATTGGTCTTGGTCAAGCTCTAACGATCGCAAAACCGTATCTAATGTAATCTCTGTAATGGGTATTCCTTTAGATTCCACCGCAGTCAAGTACCGCAGTACTACAGGCGCTCCAAACGTCAGTGTATCCATATCTTCACTTGCTGCAGCATATACTTTTTTAGCTCTTGCTAGTGCTGCACATTGGGCTTCGGCCTCACCAGGAGCTTCAATATAAGGAATGCCCATAAGTTTGAGCAGCCGCTTAGATTCATCATTTTGTTGACGAGTGACTTTGACTGTGCGTCGTTCAAACTTTGAGATTTGTTCTGCAGTTCCTGTTTCTTTCAGTTCCTCGGCTGCCTTTTGCGCCTTTTCACGTTGTTCCAGACGCTTGGCAAGTTCACCACCTTTGAGATCTGGAGGTTTGCCATCAAAAACATATACTGGCTTAATTCCATTCTCAACAATGCGTAAAGTACGGTAAAACATGCCCACCAAATGACTGGTTGTTTCACCAGAGCTGTCTGTCAATTGTTGACCATCACCTTGACGCACTGCAATAAGAAATTGATAGAGTGACATGGATGCATCCTGAATGTTTTAGCAAATGGAGTTTAAATCAAATCAAATCAAATCAAATCTTTTAGAACTTACAATGGCTACTTTTCTGCCAACAAGGTTTTTAAATTCGCGAGTCGTGATTGCCGTTGCGGCATTATCAGACATGAGTTTGAACAGACCTGGGAAGTTAACATTTGAAATAAACTAACTAATTGAAGTATATACGAACCGTGAATTCCCATTTTTTAATTGGTATTGTGAGTATATAAAAATATCTGGAGAAGAAGTTTTGAAGGTGAAAATTTATTTCTTTATTTATTTAAAATGGGAAAAATAATAATAATAATAATAATAAGAAACCAACAAAATAAACATGTTTTTAAAAAAAAAAAAAGTAAACAAATGCGAAAAGCGCGCGCTTTGACGCGTCTTCCGCAACACCAACATTGCCACCCACTTTACCAACAACACCATTTTTCATCTTTCGATAATTCAAAATTTACTAATAATTCTATTTCCTCTTATCTTATCTTCTAATATGATTTTTTTTTAAATGTCCCAGCTGACCCTTTTACTCTTTATTTAGTAACTGTTAAGCCTCTATAAAAACCCTTAACCCATACATCAGGTGACAGGTGACAAAATTCTGAGTCATCACATATACAACCCCCTGTGGCAATATATAACTCGCCCTTTCACCCATTACTACTACTACTACAAAAAAAAAAAAAAAAAAAACCCACCTACCCAACCAACCACTACCAACACAACCATCACACACGCAAATTTTTTTATTAGCGTTCGTTACCTGCCCTTTTTTTTTTTTTTTTTTTTTCAGGGCCATTTCATTACTACTATTACTACTACTCTTATAAAAACCTCCGTTATCCCATCACTACCCATAAGGGAACGTCACATATTTGACTTAGGGATTTGCAATTGCATAAAACTGCTCTAATCCAAACAAAAAACTTTACATAATGTTTGGCTTCGGCTCAAATAATAACAACGCCAACAACGGGTCGCTCTTTGGCGGCAATAACAACAATACTGGTGGGTCTGCCTTTGGCGGATCTGCTTTTGGTCAACCCGCTGGAAACACTGGCAACGCTTTTGGTGCTCCCAATAACAATACTAACTCATCACCATTTGGAACTTCTACCGGTGGTGCTTTTGGTGCTCCCAACACTACAGGTTCGTCCTTTGGCTCAAACAATACAAACACTGGCGGCAATGCTTTTGGCTCTTTCCGTTCACCAACTACCGGTGGCTTTGGCGGATCAAATACTGGTGGAAACTCCATGTTTGGCAACAACTCTGCCCCTAAGCCTGCATTTGGATTTGGCTCTAATACTACCAGCAATACTAATACTGGTGGATTTGGCTCCAATACTACTAGCAATACCAACACTGGTGGATTTGGCGCTCCTTCAGCTTTTGGAGGATCCCCCTCGGGCCTAGGCATCAACAATAACTCTGCTCCTCCTTTTGAACCTTATGTCGAGAAGGACAGCAATTTAGGTACTTTTTCCTACCAAACCATCACAGCTATGCCTGCTTACAAAAATATGTCAACCGAAGAGTTGAGATTTGAGGATTACAAGAATGGACGCAAGGGTCCTTCTGGGAACCCTCCAGGCAATGCCTTTAACGCTAATACCAACTCGCCTTTTGGAACAAACACCGCTAACAATACAACAAACACTTCCAGCCCTTTTGGAGGCAACAGTGCTTTTGGCGGTAATAATGCTTTTGGAGGAAATAATAACAATAACAATAACCCTTCAACTTCTGCATTCAATCGACCCTTTGGACAGAACACCACAACTAGCCCCTTTGGTGGTGGTGGCAACAACACCACATCTGGGTTTGGAGGATCTGTCTTTGGTGGAAACTCTGGTTCTACGCCTTTTGGTGGAAATACCAATAATAATAACAACAACACCTCAGGGTTTGGCGGCCCAAACAACACGGGTAATGCATTTGGAGGATTTTCTTCAAACACCAATAACACTTCTTCTCCTTTCGGTCCCAACACAAACACCGGTTCTTCGTTTGGAGGTGGAATTGGTGGAGGATTTGGTGGAAACAATAATAATACCAACAACAATGGCATGTCATTGTTTCCAAACAACAACAACACCACCAACAACACCTCATCTCCATTTGGTGGCAACACCAATACCAATGCCGGTCTTGGATTTGGAGCTAATGGCTCTACTTTTGGAGGCAATACAAATAACGGCTCTACTCTTTTTGGTGGCGGAAACACCAATAACACAAACAATGCCGGCTCTCTCTTTGGAAAGCCCCCTACTACTGGCTTTGGCGGCCCCAGTAATGCCGGTAACTCCATGTTTTCTAATAACGCTACAAACACGGCTTCTCCCTTTGGAGGAAACAAACCTGGAGGTCTTTTTGGCGGAGGTGCTACAACAACTAACACAGGCTCATCTCTCTTTGGTGGAATTGGCACAAACAATGCAAGCAATGCAAGCAATGCAAGCAATGCTAACCCCTTATTCAAGCCCAATGCCTCTACTTCTGGCGGTAATGGTCTTTTTGGCGGAAACACTACTGGCGCTAGTCCATTTGGTGGCAATACCAACGCTGCCCAGCCTGCCGCTGGCGGTCTTTTTGGGGGCAATACCACTGGCCAAAATACTTTGAACCCGCTTAATGCTAGTACAAACAATAATAATGCACCTGGCGGTCTTTTCGGAGGTGGTAACACTACAAATACTGGTGCAACAGGTGGTGGTCTTTTTGGAGGTCTCAATACCAGCACCCAGAATAAGCCCCTCTTTGGTGGTGGTGCTACTACTACAACTCCTGCTGCTACTAACACTTCCGGTGCTTTTGGCGGTGGGTTTGGAGGATCAATTAATAAACCTCTTTTTGGCGGTAATACCACCGCTTCAACTTCCACAGGCACTGGCGGATTCTCCTTCAATAATAACACTGCAACTAACACAGCCGGTAAATCTCTATTTGGACCTCCTGCTACTGGCCTTGGACAGAATAATACATTGTTTGGGAAACCCCCCTTGGCTGCTAATCAGTCCTTGTTTGGCCCCAATACTGCCCAAAACACATTTGCTCCAAACCAGCAAGTTATGCAACAGCCACGGTTTGCAACAGTCGACCAGAACCCTTACGGCACCAACCCCTTGTTTTCTACTGCTGTGACAACAACAGGTCCTCAGTCGGCACCAATCGGACCTTTGGCTACTCCAATTTCTAGTACCGAGCGCACCGTCAAGCATAATACCATTTCGGCTTTCAAACTTACACCCAAGCCTCTCTTTTCTATGGTTAAGAGCACTGGTCTTTCACGCAGCAGCAGCACCGGTAGCTCTGTTGGCAGTATGGGAAGCAGCAACCGTTCTATTACATCTGGCTCTTCAGACAAGCTCACTACTGCTGGTCCTCTGGCCACTACAAATGATTTGGAGAGTGTCAAGCGCTCAGATTCTTTCAACAGCAGCACTAGCAGCACAGGAAGCAATGGCTCTACATCTCCAGTTCACACTTCTAGTTCACCAAGCAATGGTTCATTATTTGGCCCTCGTGCCGACGAGGTCCTTTTGTCAGCTAATGCCTTTTCTCCTCGTAAGAGCATTCGTCGCTTGATTATTCAGCGCTCGCACAAATCTCAAGAAAATGAAGCTGACAACAGCCTCTACATTGAGGATGGGTCTGCTGGTGATAACAGTTCTGATTCCAAGACAGAAGAGCCCTCTGAATCGGTTTTGAACGGCAATGGTACCGCGGCTGTGCCCATCCCCACAGTGTCCAACCATTCTAAGCTTGATTTCTCCCCCATTACTCCATACACACCTACCCCAGCTAATGGAACTAAGACGGCAGCCAGCAACTTGTCGCCTTCCAAGCACCATAATGAGTCTACTCTCAGTAGTGGGTCTGTGTTTAAGACGGCTGAGCCAACTGAGGAGCCCAAGGTTTCCTTGTTTGGCAAACCTGCTGAGCCCGAACCTTTGAAGGAGGAGGAGAAAAGAACTGCTGATGAAGAAGAATCAGCCCAAGAAAGTAAAGAAGAACACGTTGAAAGTGCAGCTCCTGAACCTGAAATTCAAAATCCTGAACTTCTTATTCCTGATGATGAAATTGTTGATGATAAGGGCTACTGGATTTCGCCAAGCAACGCTAAATTATCCCAGTATTCGTTGAATGATCTCCGTGCCGTCAAAAACTTCGTTGTTGGGCGCAAGGGCATGGGTACTGTTTCATTTTTGGAACCTGTTGATTTGACAAGATTTGCTCGCAACCCTCAGCAGGAGATTTGTGACAAGGCTGTTGTATTTGTATCTAAGTCTGCTGCCGTCTATCCACCAGAGTATCTGTCTACTATTTCTAGTTCACGTCCACCTGCAAAAGGCACAGAGCTTAATGTGCGTACGCGTGTTACTCTAGAAAAGGTCTGGGTACTTTCTCGCGACAAGAAAGAGCCCATCAAGGATCCCAACCACCCGCTTTACCAGCGCCACCTCCATCGGTTACAGAAAATGGAAGGCACTAGATTTATTTCATTTGATAGCGATACAGGCTCCTGGGTATTTGAAAGCGATGCCCTCTAAAGGTCGTATAATAATTCTTTATAATTGATGTAGTTTACTCATGTAGGTTTGAAAAGAAATAAAAAAAAAAATCAAGTTAATTTGAAAATTTCCACACGTGTATACCATGGACCAATGCGTAGTTATGGGACCGATTACATAACGCCTGTCTGCAGCCATTATGAGAGGAGCTGGCAGCCACAGAGTATATGCATAATGGTCGGGCATAACAGTAGCAACAGGCAGACCAAGTGGCCTAAAGACAAGAAACTTGCCAGAATCTGGTCAAGTTTCAATATGCTTAGCATTGAGTCTTAATCAGAAACAACCAAGGCATGAATTTAACGACAATGGCTTGCATACTTGGGATATTTATGCGGGCGGATTTTGCAAGTTGTGTTGTGAGTGGATGGCGCAGACATTTAAATGTTTAGCTGTGTGCAGCCAAAAAAGCAGCCAGGCAAAAAAACATAAAAAAAAAAAATACTCCAGTATCTAACTATCACCACCCAAAAAAATATATATATATATATATTCAGTGACCGCACTACCACCACCACCACAAAACACACAAACCATCTGACATAAATTTCCCCAAAGACGACCCTCGAGAGACTCTGCTGAAGCTTACACAATGACTGTGCCTGTGGCCCCTATTACAGTAAGCTTAAAAAAAAGTGTTTAAAGCAATGTGACACGTAACTAACGAACCAACAGTACATTTCCAGCGACTTTTTAGACGAGATTCAGAAAAACATTCTGGTCCGGCCCATTCCTTGGGATGGTTACGTTCGCGCCGCCCTTTTGTCTAACGAAGATGCTACGCTTCTCAAGTCTATTGAAAAGCAACCCCAGGTTGTTGAAAAGGTATGAGGGAATGGGTTTTTTTTTTGTGATTTTCACTACTTTGGTCTCAAAGCTAACTGCTAACTGCTAACTGCTAACTGCTAACTCTTTATAGAAACTTGAACATGTTGCGCAGACTTTTGCTACTCTGCTTCACACTATCAGCCGTGAAGATGTTGTCAAATACCTTCTTGCTCTTACCGTGACTCTTCTCGAGAGTATGTTTTTTATTTCTCTTCTTCAATTCTTATTTTAACTAACGTTGATTAGCTGTCCCGCAATTCCCCGGCGCTCTTTTGGCACTCTCTGAAAAGGATGCTTCGTTGCCCTACGAGCCTTTTATCAAGTTCCTTGACAAGAGCCAGGACATTCACCTTCTTGCAGTCAAGAACCTCGTCATTTTGTTTTCTCTCAAGGAAGCTCCCTCACCCTATGTCAACACAACCCTCACATTCATCACCAGCAAGCTTGCAACTCCAGCCGATACTAATCTTCAGGACATTGCCGTCCAGTCCCTCGGTCTTCTTCTCCAGTCTAAGTGGTACCGCGGCCTGTTTTGGACTGCTGCTGCTGAGCGTATTCCTCCCTTGCTCACCATTTTGTCCGGCTCCAAGACCAACATTCAACTCCAGTATCACACCCTGCTTACCCTCTGGCTCCTCTCGTTTGAGCGTCTTCCAGCAAAGGATCTCGTCACTAAGTTTGACATTGTGCCCGTGTACTTTGACATTATCAAAAACTCTGTCAAGGAAAAGACAATCCGTCTTGCCGTCGCTCTGCTTGTTAATGCCGTCACCTTGGCTCCCAAGGAAACCATTTCCTCGCTTTTGGTCAATCAGGGCCTCACTTTTGTTGGTACACTGAGCGAGCGCAAGTGGGCTGATGAGGAGCTTGTTGCAGATTTGCAAACTCTCAAGGACACTTTACAGACTGCTTTCGACTCAATGACTACTTTTGACGAGTACAAGAACGAGCTCGAGTCCAAGAAACTGAGCTGGAGTCCGCCCCACCGCTCCGAAGGCTTTTGGCGCGAAAATGCAGAAGAGTTTAAGGCTCATGACTGGAAGGTTCTTAAGGCTCTCGTTGATATTATCAAGTCTGGTCCTACCGACCCCGTCGTTGCTGCCGTTGCCGCCTCTGATATTAACCGTATCTTTAGCATTTTCCCCGAGGCCGTCAAGGTCGTTGAGCGTATTGGCGGCAAAGTCGCCATTATGGAGCTTATGAACCACCCCTCCGATGAGGTCCGATACGAGGCCCTTAAAGCTACCCAGACGCTCATTTCCAACACACTCTAAATAATCTTTTAATACCTTTTTTTTTTCTTCCGTTTCCGTCATTTGTATTCATTTTTTTCACTTAATTTACATGTAATCTAAATCAAACTGTCATCACCAAACGACGATTGTAGCTGTGTGTTATTGCTTCCAGAAATACCTCCAGGCTTAGATGCACTAAGCGGAGTTAGTGAGAATCCCAATGGCGAATTCATTGGCTTCATGGGTTGTAATGACTGTATGCCAAATCCACCATTGTTTTGTGCAGGCGCTGGAGTTGCGTGAAACTCTCCAAACGAGTCATTATTGGTACTACTTTGCCGGTTTTGCGGGGTCATAGGCGTTATCATATTGATACTAGGCTTGGGCTTTACGGCACGACTCCAATCAATTCCTGAAGACGTAGTTGTAGATGATGGGGATAGTGTTGGTGCAGTAACAGGTGTTGGAACCGTTGCAGGAGCCGGAGAAATTGTAGGCACAGTTGTTGTGCGACCCCAATCAATGCTAGATCCAGAGGGAGATAATGTACCGTTATTTCTAGAACTGCTCTGAGAGGTTGTAGAAAGAGGAGTCATAGGAGAAAATCCGCCAGCACCAGTTGATCCAAATCCACCAACAGAAGGTGGTTTGATTGTGGAAGGGGTATTCCAGCTAATAGAAGATGAAGGAGTATTGCTAGATAGTGATGCATGTTTTGCTGGTGGAGAAATTGGCGGTGGAGAAAGCTTGCGTACTGGTGCAAACGATGGTTCAGGCCGGGGAGAGGGAACATATGGTTTTGAAGCTGATGGTTCAAGCTTCAGGGCACCAAATGACGACGTAGGGACTGTGCTCGACGAAGTCAATCCCAAAGGTTTGTTGGAACTCGTTACAGGTAACGCCTTCTCCAATACTGGAGTTGATTGTGTACTTTCGGTTTTTTTGTTTTTACCATAGACTAAATCTTCAAAGTTAAGCGGCCCATTTCCTTCACCATCAGCTCCGTTACTGTCATCTAACCTATTAGACCCTCCAATAGACCCATTGGTATTGACTTGAACCTGAGACAAGCGTTTTCCATGTTCCTTTTCAACGCGGTCAAGAACCTTGTGAATTTCTTCCATAAAGGAACGGAATTGATTATGATTCAACATTGACTCCATACTCATGTTGAGTAGCTGAGGAATCACTTGACGCGCAAGAATTTCAACTTCAATAACAGGTACAATTTTGGAATATACACGCAGCGCACCCATCATAACCGTAGGCTCTCGAGTCTTCATGCTGCTGAGTAGAGGAAGTAGCTTTTCAGTAACTGCATATTTATCAAGACCACTCTTGACAAGGTGCTCAAATGCCTCAAGTGCTTCGATCTTGACTGCCAAACTAGTAGTTTTAGCAAATACGGATCCAATAACAGGGAAAACTTCATTTTTCAATGTCAAAAAGTCAAGCTTTTCAATAAAGATAGGGACTTTGGCAAGAGCAACTTCTTGAATTTCTGGTGGTGCATTTTCCACCGTATCGAGCAAAATAGGCAAAATATCATCACGGAAATTATCACCCTTAACGCGAGAAGTAAGCACTTCGACATTATTTAAAATTGTCACCTTGGCACCCAAATTATCTTTAACTTTGCGAATGGCAGGCAAAATTTTTTCTGAAAATCCCAGTTGACTCATATCTTTGCCAATAATAAAGATATTTGCAAGAATAGGACTAGTAAGGGTCTCTTCTTTGCCAAGCTCCTCCAGAAATGCAGGCAAAATCTTCTTCTGTAAAACGGACTTAGGGAATTGGTCAATAAGCTTGGAAAACCCAGTCATAAACGCCTGCTGTTCGGCAGGCAACTTTGCTGGGAAGTCATCCAGAAAGTTAATGGTTCTAATTAATATATTATCAAAGAGCGGCGAGCTTTTAAGCTCATTCAAGGTTATGCGGTTGGTCGGGTATCGGGCAAGCATCTGAGGTAGTATATCGTGAAGGTATGAAGGGATTCGGGAATCATTCAGCAAACGGTTGACATTTTGAAATTCTTGTTTGTATATGCTTGGATTATTGTCTGTGCGCATAGGTGCTCGATGCAAGAAAAGTGCAATAAGCAGACATCCAAGAGAAAAGATATCATTTGCTGGGTCAAGTTTGCGATCCAAAACAAGTTCTGGGGCAGCATAATCGTAGTTTACTTGAATGTAAGAAGGTAAACGCGGATCAAACCGTGGGGTAAAGTACTCATTGTTGGCATCCTTTGTATAAGTTTCGACAAAGCCAAGACCAAAAAGTTTCCAGTCACCTTTGCTATTGATGAGAACTGATGATGGTTGAATATCAAGATGCACAGAATTTGCAGTATTGTGCAAAAAGTCAAGAGCCTCGGAGACTTGCAGGAGTCCCTTTTGAATAGCAAGCTCATCCAGTTCAAACCCTTCAATGGCGGAGGAACCAACACTAGAAGAGTTTAGCTCAATCATGTGCAAAAGATTAGAAAATAAGGGTTCAGTGACAAATCGCATAGAGTTTTTGGACTCCTCAAGAGGCTGTATAAGCTTTAGCAGATAAGGATGTCGTAGCTTGGTCAGAGATGCCACCTCACGGCGAAGTCTGTCATAAACATCACTAGCGCTGCTTTTGGAGCCACCTTTGGAAAGTGAAGATTCAAGTTTTTTTTTATCAAAATAAAATACTGAAACCTAAAATAAAAAAAGAATTAGAACAGTATTTTGATATTATGACTCAACTTACTTCTTCGTTGGTGGCCTTTGACCGGGCAGGATAGACAAACCATGGACCAGCGACAAATGAATGATTAGGAGAAATGGTGTATTGGGAAGTAATGGAGTTTCCCGACACTGTTCAAAGATATTAGAAAAAGGCAAAATATATTTTAATATAGTTAAACATACGGGCTTTAAGAGCACCAGAGAACATTGTTGTCTATAAGCTTGGTAATCAAAACAAGGAACGGAATGAATAATGCAAAAAAGAAACCAAAAAAATAGTGAAAATGATAAAGATGAAGGCAACTTAAAAAAAGTTCCTTTAATAACCAAGACTTGAGTAGCTGAACTAAATAGACCGGCTCCGTAGATAGTCGGTCACCTTTTCGAAAAAAAAAAAAAAAAAAAAGAACAAGCAGTCGTAGATGCCTTGGTGGTGATGCTACACTAGCCGGGGAATGGCGGTTGTAGGCAGCATTCGCTGGCTAGTAATGATCGTGTTGTGATCACGTGAATATATTATTTGTCATCAATGTATTTATCTTGTAATTATAGTAACTTTAACTTATTTATTTATTGAGAACATTTAACAGTAACTTTAATTAATTTTTTCAGTTATAATTTTCCTGGGTAAGTATAATATATATTACATTAATTGCACTAGTATAATTTGGTTACCGTGGCAAGCGGTGCATTCTTCGACCCCATCAGCCTGAAGCATTCTTCCTCCACCATGATATGCACAACACATCAACGGTATACTACCATTAAACAACAAAAAGACCCTTTGATAATATCGTAACCAAACGTCCCACTAAAAAGAAATAAAAAAAAAAAGAAATAAAAACATAAAACACGTTCATCGATGCTCCATTTTGTCAATTTTGCGCGAGAGCGTCATAACTCTTCGTCTTCAGCTGATGAGCCACCAGAGATTAAGGAGCTGAAGGAGCTGCAAGATTTGGAAGAGTCCGCAGAATCAGCCCGATATTTTGATTCCATCTCGGCACCAGTCCCATCGTCCCCCCGCTCGTTTCGACTCGTTAGCAACCGAAAACGTGTGAATCGCCACTCGTCAGTACATTCAAATGAATCCAGTGGCTCTGAATCTAGGGCATCGATAAGGTCGGTGTCGCCAATGGCACTTAGCTCTGGTTGTGAAGTTTGTCAGGCGAGTACAACCTGTGAACAGTGTGCTAAGGGGCACGAGACTTGTCTACAGCACCTGCACCACCACCACCGCCACACTAATAATATCGATAACAAGCCCAAACTTGATAATTTAAAAAACAAAAATATTAGCAATCGTGCCAAAACAAATTCTTTACAACCACCACCTTCTACAATCTCAAGACATCAGAGAGATCATAGCCCACTAAGGACCGCTCAGAGCTCATCAGAACAGCCTGGTCCATCAAATTCTTGCACAGACACCTTAGATATGCAACACCAAACCCAAGATGAACTTGAGTACTTTTTCACAAAGGAAATTGAATGGTTCGAACTCTCATCGCTTCGCAAAACCAAAGTCAACATTTTACTTCAAAATGCAAATGGGCCGTGCCCACTTGTGTCTCTTATCAATACTTTGGTTTTGACACGTGCTGAAACCGCTCGGTACACAACAGATAAGAAGCAGATATCTGTAAAGGGACTGCTCGAGTATCTCGGCTCTCTTGTCATTGACAAAACTGTTAATTCATCGACTCATCTTCCTATAAATTTCGATAATGATGTTCAACTTTCCAATGATATTAGTAAAGTCCTGGGTTTGCTTCCAAAACTGGTTTCTGGTTTGCATATTGACCCTTGCTTTGACGGCACTTTTAGTGACTCGCCAGAAATGGCACTTTTTAGACTTTACGACGTCAACATTGTTCACGGTTGGATTGCCGATCCAGAGTCAGATGTTTATAATTATGCGGACCTTAAAGCTGCACAATCATATGAAAATGCTCAAATTTTATTTATAGAAGCTTCCGAAATACGCTCGCATAAAACCCATCTTGAGCAACAACAACAACAACAGCAGCAGCAGCAGCAGCCTGTCGAAGTACAGCAAGATACGCCTGGTAATACATCTCATGAAAATTCAACCTTTGAAGAAGATGCGAGTTCGCCACCACCACCTTATACAGTTACTGACGAAATATCTCGCCACAATTCCACTCAGCTCATTGATGAAACAATTGAAACTCCTACTGTCACTGCCACCCCGTCAGAAGCTGCAAGCTCTACCCGTGCAAGCATTTCATCGAGCCGCCGGCCTTCAACATTGGTTTCGCGCACCCAGAGCCGTCAAGCTATTACTACCGCCACTACCTCTTCAGTTCTCACTGAGGCGCAGCAAGAAACCTTACATCATGCTGAAACCACGGAGCTGTTTTTGGAACACTATCCATCTCAGCTGACTGAGTACGGTATACGCTTTTTGAACAATGTTCTTCATCCTGGTGCTGTAGCAATTCTCTTTCGCAATGATCACTTTTCCACTATCTTCCGGCCACTTTTTTCAACCCTTCCGCTTGGTCCTGATGGGAAATCACCTACCGAGTCACCATTGCTATCTCTTGTGACTGATCTTGGTTTAGGAAAGCAACGCGAGATTGTGTGGCAGTCGCTTTCGAGCATTTCAGGAGCCGACGATGTTTTCCTCGACGGCAGTTTCCGTATCCCCAGAGGTATTACTGAAGACGGTAGTGGTAACCGATGCACGGCTGATGGCAGTCCAAGTAACAATAGTAACGCCAGTAGCTCTGGGGAAACACACCAACTTCGACATGAGTCGGAACAATCTGATTATGAAATGGCACGCCAAATGCAACTGGAAGAAGACGAACAGCTGGCAGTTCGGATGCATAAGGAAAACGAGCGCGAAGCTCACGAACAACAACGACGCGCTCAAGCTGCTGCTCGTCAACAACAACAACAACAACAACAACAACAACAACAGCAGCAGCAACAGCAACAACAACAGCAGCAAAAACTTGTACGACAGCAACAGCCTCTCCGGCCACCACCTTCACGACAGCAGCCAACCCGAGCAAGTGTAGCAAGTAATGCACAGCTTTCACGTCGTCAATCAACTTCTACCACCTCTGCAAAAGGTGATAAAAGTTGTATTATTATGTAATTTGACTATTTTTTAGGAACCTATTGAGTACTTTTTTACGAATCTTTTATATAAACTTTTTTTTTCTTATTTTTTTGTTAAATTTACATTTTTTTATCATTTTATCAAGTTTTTATATATACTAAAAAAAAATTAAATTAAAAAAGGATTGGGAAAAAAAATTAATCGCGTTAATATCCAGGGCTCCCGTCTTTGTTGAGTCTCTGTCGCTTCAGTGGTGGACCTTCAAGCTCCAGTTCGTCCAGCAAGTTTGCTGGGCCACCCATATCCTCTGTGTTTTCCACGTTAACTGTACCACTTTGCGTCGAGTCATCAAGAAGATCTGCCCCTGTGCTCAAAAAGTCATCCACGTTAAACGCATCGCTACCATTGCTGGAACTCACAAGGTTACTTCCGGTGCTTCCATTACTGCCGTTTGTATTTGTGCCAACAGACATTGGCATCTGAGGAATCATGCCACCGCCAGGTGTAGATGTAGAAACTGGGGTTGAGCCTAGCACATTGCCAGTAGTTCCAGTGGTAGAGTTAGGCAAAGAATTGACGTAGTCCATTTCGTACGAAGGATCAATCTTCTGTACCCAATCTTGCACAAGTTGTAAAGATTGGCCTTGAAGGTCCAAATTCCGCGAAATAGAGTCCAAGTCTGTCGTAGTTCCTAGTAAACGAGACTCCATTGGCGATAAGCCACCAACTGAAGTTGGGCCACTGCTAATTCCATTAGGGGTCTGTGCGGATGCCAACGATGGAGCCGGCGAAACTCCACTGGTATTGGATAAGTTATAAGGACTAGGGGCGGAAAGAGTTGGAGTAGTCCTTAAAGACGGGGGTAGTGTCATTAATGAACTTGTCGAAGAAGGCTGTGGAATTCCCAAATTACTTAGGTTGTTGTTATTCGATGATGAAAGTAGGTTTGTTGGAGCCTGCATAGGGTACTGTGCTGTTGGCAAAGCCACTTGATTATTTGAAGCAATTTGGGAATGAGCCGGTAAAAATTCTGATAGGACATTGTCAGCTTGGATGGAGTTGGGTGATATTGGTGAGCCAGCCCCTGTAGCTGATATGACGGATTCAATGCTAGGGCTCCCCAGACTATTATTGTTATTACTATTGTTATTTTTATTATTTTTATTATTGTTGCTAACACTACTCGTGCTAAGTTTTTTAATGCCATAAGTAGACGGTTCTATAGAAGCCGCATTTTGTGGGGAAGAAATGCTTGATATGCTATTTGGCGTGTCGGCCTCTGTAATAATTGGTCTAGATTCGTCAATAGATCCAATACTAGAAATGCGATGATGGCTTGGTGTGAAATTGGATCCCGGGTTGATGTCCTTATCGTTATTACCAGAAGAAATTAATTCTTCGATGGCTGATAGTGTCGCATTGTTAGTTTCAGTATTTGTTGTATCATTTGGTGAAAGCTCAGAAAGCTTGGGCAAGAGCAACAACGGCTGCTTGTGTCCACCAGGAACATTTGAAGCGTCATTGACAAACTTGCCCTGGTTTGTTGTGTAGAGTGAGGCTAAGAAACGCAAAATCTTTTCAAAAGTCTCAGTGTGTGCCTTGTGTCGTTCACGCGATTCGTAGCACTCGCGCCAGAGTAATTCATTATCCTTGCGAATCCGGCTTAAATCATCTGCAATAGCCACCTGGTTGGATTTGATAAACTCAAGTTCATCCAGGAGTTTGTTGAACTCGCCCTCTTCCTCATCATCACTTCCCTTTGAACCTTTGTTGCGCACGATATTGTCCAAGAGGTCTTCACGACCCCGAACAAAGTTAGGTGACTTGAACTGCCACGTTTCGTCAGAAGATTGCATTGCGCCAGAGGTAACATCTTGAACCTTATGCCAGCCATACATGTTGAGTTGTCGTACAAAAGACGAAAAATTGCTATGTTTGAAATACTTGGGGAGAACAATCTTTTCAAATTGTTCGCGACTCAAGACCTGGAAACTCTCGCCATCTGGAGTCCATTGAATATATGCTTCGTTTCCCTTGTCATTAACCATATTCCATAGCTTGAGCACAAATGCAGGCCGGTTTTTCGGACCAGTTCCTGCACCGCGTCGAGACTTTCCAGTAGTAAGACGTTTTGAAGCCGAGCGTTTATGGCCAGAGGCTGCATTGTGATGTGTAAGGTCAGAGCTAATCATTGTTGGAACAGTTACGCTTTTAATATCTGGGGATGGTTGTTGCTGCGGCTGTTGCTGTGGTTGCTGTGAAATGCCATTGCTCTTGGCTGAGTATATGTTATTTGTATACATGCTATTATCAATAGAATTGTCGTTTTGGCTGGGGTTAGATATCGGTCGCGGTATTAACGAAACAGGTAGAGTAGATGTGTTTGGGGCAGTGGACTTTAAGCCGGCGGTGGGAGCAAAAATTTTCCAGTCTTTAGACCAATCGTAATCTTGAACAAGGTCAGAAAGGCGTCGATGAACAGTAGTGTCGCTAAGGGTGTTATTATTGTTAGTTAGCTGAGAGTTGTTATTGTTATTGTCGTTGTTGTTGTTGTTTGATGGCGTGAGACTGTTTTCGGGCAGGTCTTGGTTGTCAATAAAAGAGATGCGATTGCTTGGAGGAATTTCTCCAGGGAATGTGTTTTGAGGGAAATTGAACTTGGACGAGTTCTCGGAGTTCATGGGCTATCTTTAGGATATGGAGAGACGAGTGTAAAAAGAGAAAAGAAGAAAGGATAAAAATAAGATAATAAAGACTTTTGAGATTTTTTTTTTTTGAGAGGGTATTTCTTTTAGGTACTACTATAAAGAATGGTGATATTAAATTCTAATATGACCTGCTTTGAAATATAGTTTTTGTACGATTGTGAAGTAGGCCGTACGCTAATTACGCTGGTCAAGTTCTTTGTCCTCAGAAAAAAATTAAAATTAATAAAGTAGCTTTTGAAAATAGACAAGTACTGATTTAAAAGTCAAGCTGGAAAAAACGATATCGAATAGGAGAAATATGTTGCAGTGAGTATTAAACGTTAGTCGTTACAGAGGGTTTCAGAATCAAATGTTTGAAGTCGTGATGTTGCTTTTTTTTATTTCTTTTTTTTTCGCTAAAGATATTTTTTTTTCTCTTTTTGGTCGTAAATGGATACTTGAAGGTACGGTTATATAAGAGAATCCACAAACCAAGACTGATGCGAAATAACAAGAATGGTGATAGTAAGAATGGAGGTTTTTTATTAGTTTTAAAATAACGCTTGAGGTTTTTATACAGATTCCACCCTTTTTAATGAACTAAGTCGTAGTTACTGACAAAAAAAAAGGGAGGTAAAAAAATGAAGATAACAGTCTGTTTTTTTAGACTTAAAAACAGTTGCACGCTTGTTCCTTTCTCAAATGACTTGAGATGTAGATTGAGGGCTTGTGAGCTTGTATTGATTGCTAAGTTTGGGTTGATAGAGAAGAGAAGGATGATGTTACTATGCCATAATTTTTGGTGGTGGTGCTAGCAGTTTTTGGTGGTGGTGCTAGCAGTTTTTGGTGGTTTGGCTTTTTTTTTAAACTTTCAGAAAATTTTTATGTTCAAACCACCTAAGTTACAACAACTGAATAGGCCGAGCAACGGCACAGGCGTCTCCTTTTGAGTAGTTGCGATTTCGCTTTATCGGCAACGGATAAGACGCGGGAAATAAATCTACAAAGTGCCGGAGCGTGGAAGAATCATTTAGGTAGGGAAGCAATCAGTATTTCTACAATGAAATGAGTGAGCCACTTGCACTTAAAAGCAAACGAATGTGAAAACTCAAAACTCAATTCCTCTGCATTCTTAGGAAAGTCCAGACCAATGTAAAATCGGTCACATTTATTTCCGGGCAACGCAGAGCTTGTCTAGGGTTAGTACTAATGCCTATCGTACTAAAAGCCAAATTCAAGTTATCAATAACATGATCATGTAAGTGTAGCTTACTATAAATATGTTGAACTGAATTAAAGCAAAAAAAAAAAAAATTGACATTTAAGACTTAACACTTATGCAATTAAAATTAAAAATATAAATGCAAAAAAAAACGTGCACATCTTTATAAGGCTAACGTAATAATGACCAATGTTAAATACGTTACACTATTTTTTTTGTAAAATAAATAAATGTAACAAATTTAAGGGCTTAACCCTAAATAAATTTTGTGTATGTTGAGGAATTTTAGTTTGGAAACATAAATAAAAAAATTTTCCCGTCCTGCCAGCAACTCAAATGTGACTGTTTGTTTACGCAAGTCGTAGCCACCTTCCCTTTTGAGAAGTAAAAATTTTTTTTGGCTGCCGCCCAAACCCTACACCCGCAGGCCCAGGTTGGATATTGGTGATGGCACCCTTCAGTCCATCTTTTTTCCTTCCTTTCCGTCGTCTCCTTTATACCTTGAGCAACCTCTTCGACAACCCAGGTTACTGTTCGACACCTCAACAATGACTACGTAAGTAGCGACTAGCTATGATAGTTATTAACATCACCATGAAGAGCAGTTATGTTGGAATTTCATTAGCAATATATACCCGTTTGTAAAGACTGTTGACGGCGATGTGGTCTTTTTAATGTTTATTTTGGCGGCTTGTTCGAAAATTTTTCACTTGATTAATAGAATCCTTTTGAACACAATTTGATGATAGTTTATTAATTCTTGATGATAAATTAGATATCCTTATTGATGAAATATATCATATAACTGCTTGGTGATTTATGTTGTTTATACTGTTATTAACCATGTTGAAATAGTATCATTACTCCCGAATCGCTTCAAAAGCTTTACAAGAGAGAGCAGAAGCAGTCCCTTCAAAAGGCTGCTCAGCTTGCTGCTGACGAGAAGGTGTGTAGAAGAATATTTGATTTTCCTCTTGAGTGCATTTCCACTACTTGAAAAATTCTGATGATGATACCTTTACCAACACGATGTAACTAGCTTCGGCAATGCTGTTATTCATTATACCATCTTTCGGGACTGATTTCTATGTTTTGGACAAGTAGTGGTTTTGGCTTGAAGTGAAATATTTTTAATGCTCGCAAAAACTAACTGAAATTATTAGGCTCTTGAGGCTAAGAACAAGGTCATCTACGAGCGTGCTGCTGCTTACGAGAAGGAGTATGAGGAGGCCAAGCGTGAGATCATTGAGAAGAAGCGTGCCGCCAGAGCTGACGGTTCCTTCTACCTTGCTGCTCAGCCCAAGCTTGTCTACGTTGTCAGAATCAAGGGTATCAACAAGATTCCTCCTAAACCCCGCAAGGTTCTCCAACTTTTGAGACTTCTCCAGATCAACAACGGTACCTTTGTTCGTGTCACCAAGGCCACCGAGGAGCTTCTCCGTCTCGTCGAGCCCTACGTTGCTTACGGTTACCCCAACCTTGCCACTGTTAGAAAGCTCGTCTACAAGCGTGGTTACGGCAAGCTCAACAACCAGCGCATCAAGCTGGACAACTCTACCATCGAGGCTGCTCTTGGTCAGTACGGCATCATCTCCATTGAGGACCTTGTCCACGAGATCTACACTGTTGGCCCCAACTTCAAGCAGGCTAACAACTTCCTCTGGCCTTTCCACCTTTCTAACCCCTCCGGTGGCTGGGGTGTCCCAAGAAAGTTCATTCACTACATTGAGGGTGGTGCTACTGGCAACCGCGAAGAGAACATCAACGCTCTCGTTGAGGCCATGAACTAAATTAATGGTTTTGTGTTAAAATATATACATTTCCTTTTAAAAAAATATTAAAAAAAAGTTGAAGTTGTTTTTTCCGTTGTAATTTAATCATTGTTATTTTAATGAATCTCTTGCTTAAATTTTGGTTTGATTTTCAGTAGTTAAGTTAATGTGGTTAAGAGTTAACGTTAACCACTGTAAATCCCATGTATTAAAAATTAAGGTCTGACATGTGTATTTAAAATAGCTCTCATAAAATAAACGAAACTGCTTTGTTTAACGAGATTTTTTTTTTTTTTTTTTTTTTTAATAGTTAGATAACAATAATTAATAGAGCCCGTAATTTTCTGGGGGGTATCATTGAAATCATTTGTATTACGATAAACCAAAATGAAAAACAAGAGCACATTTTAAAAAATTTAAATAACAAAAATAACAGAAATAACTTAATTAAGGATAATTATTTTAATTTCCTCAAGTTCCGTCGTCGTCGTCATCATCGTGTCTAAGCTCATCGAGTTCCGGTCGGGATTTGGGCTTATGATGTACCATTTTAGGTTAAATCCCTAACCACCTCACTAAATTTCCATCTTTTATCATCAGATAATTTTTTTTTAATAATGAAATTCCCTCTTCCACCTCTCTTTCTATTCTTTTTTTTTTCTTCAAAGTAGAATTTCTTTTTGAATTCTGTTTTACAAACTGTCTTTTTTCATTTTTATCTTTCTGAGATTAATTTTCGAATTTTTTTTATATCGATTTACGTCATTTGGCGTGCTATCTAAGCTTACGACATTACTCACACCTTAGTTTTCAGCGTGTAACCCACAAACTAAAAATCACAAGGTCCCAATTTAACTTACTATGAGCGACTCCACTTTTGAGAAACTTCCGTTGGTGGAAGAAAAGATTGAAGGGGAAATTGTCCCTGAAAATTCCAGCAATGAATCACAAAAGCAACCTAAACCTTCTAAAAAGTCCAAAAAATTTGCGTATCCTTCAGGCGCACGAGCTCTTATTTATTTCTTTGTCTTTATTTCCTTAATTGGCTTTGTTGGTATGTCTAGTATCACTGTTTTTTTTTTTTTTTTTTTTTAATCCTTCTAACAATTGTTTAGCTCGCGTTTGCTTCATTTTCCATGAAGAATTTAACTCCAAAACTAATACAAATGAAGTTAACGTGTCCAAGAGCGATTCCGACAGCATTTCAATTTGGGATATTCTTAGAGGAAAGTGTCCTGGCCGTGATGGAATGAACGAGATGCAAAAGCCAGTCAAGCGGAATGTTATTCTGATGATTTCCGATGGCTTGGGTATGGGCTCTTTGGAAATGATTCACCGTGCTGGTGAGAACAACAATCTTGCTCTTGAGTCACATCTTCTTGGTTTTAGCGCTCCAAAATCTACCAAAACTTCTCACGGCCCTATGGACGACACCGCTATTGCTTGTGGTGTAGATGCCAACAATGGCGAATCTGTTGGTTTGTATGCTAGTGGTCTTCCTAGTGCTTCGCTTATTGAAGCTGCTAAGCAGGCTGGTTATCGTACTGGTGTTGTTGTCACATCCCGCATTACTGATGATACCCCAGCCGCATTTACTTCACATGTTCGTAGCGTTTTGGATCCTTCTTTGATTGCCCAGCACCAGCTTGGTATGTACCCTCTTGGCCGCAATGTCGATCTTCTTATTGGTGGTGGACGATGTGCATTCCTCCCTAATTCTACAAAAGAAAGCTGCAGAGTTGATACCAAGGATCTTTGGAATTATGCTGAAACCAATGGTTGGACCGTTGTTAAGAACATGCAGCAGTACATTGGACTTAACCATGGAACTAATGTTTCTCTTCCTCTCATTTCTCTTCTATCTGAGACTGATTTCCCCTTTGAGGTTGACCGTGACCAGACCAAATACCCTTCTCTTGATTCCACTACACTTACTGCTCTCCGTTCTTTGGCTGAGGCTTCTAAGGATTCTGATCGCGGGTTCTTTTTGGTTATTGAAGGAAGCAAGATTGACAATGCTGCCCACGATAATGATCCTGTTGCACAATACCACGAAGTTATGGCTTATGATCGTGCATTCCAGACAGTTCTTGATTTTGCCAAGGACTCAAGTGTCGAAACTGTTGTTCTTTCTATTTCAAACCATGATACCGGCAACTTGAAGGTTCTTAAAAGCGAGAATGCTGTTCCTAACAGATTTTCTAGTGCTTCAAAATCATGTAGTTACATTGTTGATACTCTTGCTGAGAATAGTATTTGTGCCAATTCTCCCGATGCTTCTGTTCGTGTTTCCAAAATGTTTGAAGAGTTTCTTGGAATTACTGATCTGACTGAGGAGGAACTTAATACTATTGTTAGTGCGCTTGATTCAACACCAGGTACTCGTACTAAAGCCATTTCTCGTATTGTTTCTTCACGCTCCGGACTTGTTTGGTCGTCTGAGGATCACACTGTTGAGTCTACTCCTGTGTTTGGTTATAGCACTAACGAAAGGGTTTCTCGATTTTTATCGCACTTCTTCAGAACATATGCTAAGTCACCTTCTCAGATTTCCCGTGTTCTTGAGCGTTTGATGCATATTGATCTTGCTGGTGTTACCAAGCAACTTAATAAGGCTAGCAAGGAGCCCAAATATAAAGGATTTTCTAGGGATAATGAACCTGAGTCTGACTGGATGGGTTTCAATATGGCTGGCTATCGTTCCATGATGGACCGTCCTTGCTCTGGCTACAGAAAATAAGTTGAACCATTTAAGTTAAAGACAAGTATAGTAGTTTTAGTTGAATTTTTAATAAATTAATATTTTATAAAAAGTGTATGGAAGTGTATTTGAATTCAAGTATAATTTGATATATATATGACTCAATGAACTTTTTTTTTTAGAAAATGATTACAAAATTGCTTTTAGTATGGTTTTAGTTTTTTTTTTATCTATCAATATTGAGCAATATTATATTATGTTTTACAGGGGATAAAGTATAGGAGAATATTATAATTGCTCAGAGCATTTTTCTTTTTTAAAAATTTTAAAAGTATCATTATTGGAGAAAATTGGGAAATTAGAATCAAAACTGGACCACACAACACACCAACCAACCAACCAACCAACCGGCCAACAACAACAACAACAACAACAGCAACCATTCGGCCCAGTTTAAAAATTTGAGGGATATTATGAACTTATTTTAAATAGTTAAATTGAAAATAAAAAAATGGCTCTTTTGTTTAGTTTCATTTTTCATTTTTTATTTTACGATTTTCTTGTATTTTTTTATTTTTTGTGTTTTGTGTTTTTTGTTGTAACTGTTGGTGGGACAAGAGTATCGATATGGGTATCCCATAATTTAGTACCTAATTGATGGCTATAATTTATTAAAGGTATATATCTTTTAATATACCTTCCATACAGAACTTCTTTAGTACAACAAATAAAACGGTTGTTGTTGAGGGTGAAGAGTAATTTAAATGTTGATAGAGAGTAGAGGGTACAATATTAAGTATATTTTAGTTGAGGGGGGGTGAAGCAGAAACAAATTGTATAATTTACATCGTTAAAGAAGAAAAATTTCAAAAATCAATTCCAAGATATTAGTTTTTCATTTTTTTTTATATATTTTGTATATTTTTAGGATTAAAATGCTAGAATTACGAAAGGAGCTATTTGCTGCTTTAAAAAAGTATTTTTGGAGGTCATCACCACAACTCACCCCAATCACCCTTTTAAGCCGCAATCTCCTCACGCTTCCAGCCGGTAGGCTTAGGGCATGAGAGATCAACAGTTGGCTGAGGAGTATGTTCATGATCATCAATTCTCAGAGCATAAGGATTTCTATCATGAGTTTGGTCCAGGTTGCCAAAAGTATGGTTCACTTCTCTGTGCTTAGACTCATCAGCGCGGACGTACAAAATGAGATCGTACATGGTGGCAGAGTCAGACATATGCCAGTATTCCTTGGCAATCTTGGGGACAGGAAGGTTCTTCCACTCATTGAGACGGCCAGCCTCAATGTCCTCAATGCAACGTGTGTATGTGACAATGGCCTCTTCCTCGAGGTAGCCAACAAAGCGGTGGCAAATGCGGGGCATGATAAGATAGGCAATAAAGAAGAGGTTGTAGAAAACACCCTGGGCGCCAATGAGCATGAGACGCATGAAGAAGCCAGGCTTATAAAGCTTCATAAAGGTAAGAAGATGCATGCGCTCATTGTAGGCCTCATCAAGAAGGGTTTCAATCCAGGCCTTATCGCGGCGCATGAGACGAAGTGAGTGAAGATGACGAAGAGTTCCGCCAACCATACCGGGGACACCGGCCACAGATTCAAGGAAGATAAATCGCATGAGCCATCTGCGAGGAGTCATAAGGTATTTGGAGTCATTTTCCTTGCCAGGAGGAGGGTGGGCATAGCCAGTAAAGAGATCAAAAGTTGAACGAATTGTCAATAGAGTTCTGCGAGCAATTCTATCAGCCAAGTTTTCAGGAACATGATGAGCAACACCGACTTTCAGGAGTTGTTCTTTAGTTGCACCTGGATGTTCAAAGGTGACACAAAAGCGGTCTTCTTTGCTTTGCTGGGTGACATTAGCATTGTTTTCATATTCATTGAGATCAGCCAGAGACTTTTTCCAGTCAGAATGAACAGTTTTTTGAAATGCATAAGTAGAAGGGGTAGAAGAAAATGCACGAGCACAAAGGAGAGTAGAAGTTCCAAGTCTGTAAGAAACAGGCTTGGACATTCTTAAAGACATTGAAAACATTGTTGTGATTGATTAATTGATGGGGATGATTAGAAAGGTGAAGATGGATGTAAAGGATGAATGATAGAAGGAAGGGAGAAAAAATAAAAAAATTTGAAACCATGATTATTTAAAGGCTTTTATATATGATTGAATTGTTTAAGGAACTAAGATTCGTGTGTGTGTGTGTGTGTGTGTGTGTGAATGGGTAGAGACAACGGGAACATTTGGGGGTGTATTTTTTTTTACTCATTCAATTCCGTATTTAGAAAATTAGATTTTGAATATTTGGGGTTCCGAGAAAAGAAGTTACATTTTGGGAGGGGGGAGGAAGGGATTTAGTTATTAGAAACTGTGTGTGTGTATTACGGGAATAGTTATTTGTTACTAGCTTAGAAGATTAAACAGAATATTGAAAAGAAGAAGAAGAAGAAGAGATAGAAACAGAATAAATAAAAGAGCACTTTTTTTGGTAATTTTTGGTAACTTTGGTACCGAAGGGGACCCGGAACGTGGGAAAAACTCAGATAGTTTTTGTGTAATGAAGTGAGAAATAAACGGATCCTGAAGAAGAACGGAAAAATACTCTTTTTATTTTTTTTTTATTTTTAATATGTTGTAATGATGATGATGATGATGATTATGGAGAAAAAAATAAAATATAATTCAAGAATATTTCAAAAAAACAAAAAAAAAAAATGGCATTTGCATCAAAGCCCTAATTTTCACCAATAGAAGAAATAATAAATGGAATTAAAAATAAAAAAAATAAAATAAAAAAACGGTTTTTCCGGGTGGTTGAGAAATAAATTTCAGGTGCGGCTTTGGATTGAGGCAGTTCCACAGTCACCAATTAATACATGCTTATGTAACACATACACACACATAGAGACACCGGAAAAACTTCAGCCGCAAGACAGGAGTTTTTTCAATTTCAAAACAACAAAATAAAATAAAACAAAAATTTTGGTTATTTTTTATCAAGAATTTCGTCAGGAACAAAAATCCTAGGCCGCGGGAAAAAAAAATTATTACTATCGATTTATTGTTGTTAATATAGAAGTAGTAGATTGTGTATATATCAATGGTCAGTGTTGTTGTTGTTACGGAAACTTTAGATACATAGACAATCCAGGGACTAAAGACATAAATAAATACATTTGTGTGCGGGAACACAAAAAATCCTTCAAGTTTTGTTGTAGCTACTAGAGAATTTATTATTATTATGTCATGTGTGGGAAAAAAAATTAAATTAAATTAAAATAAAAATAAAAATAAAAACACCAGGCACATACAGGAACACGCGGTTGACCATTCCGGCTTTGGTGATACGCTGGACAACCCGCTCGGGAAATACGTTTGCAGGTTGAGGGCCAGATGTGCGATGAGGTTGGTTTGAATTAATTTTTTTTTTTTTTTTTTTTTTCATTTAGATATCGAGGAAGAAAAAAAAGAAGTTTAAAAAAAAATTATATGTTTGTGTACATTCACCCACACAGAATGTGCGATGAGGGTGTTAACTAAGTAAGCTGATGTAGAATATTAGAGAGATTCGGTCCGAATATTGCCAAACTGGTTAAAGAAAAAAAAAAAGGAAGAAAGAAAGAAAGAAAGAAAGAAAGAAAGAAAGAAAGAAAGAAAGAAGATGAAGAAAAAAGAAAAAAAAATCAGATGTTGTAATTTTTGAAAGAAACAAAAAAAAAAATTAAAAAACAGAGATAACAAATAGATGAAATAATAATATTTAAAATTATGTCTGGGTAATTTAACTTGTTGTTGTTTCTTCATGAAAAAAAAAAAAAATTCAAATCTATTTAGTTTAAGAAATAATTTTTTTTTTTGAGTTTAATTCAATAAAAAAAAAAGACTTTTTCCCTTAATTTTATTTTTCTGCTTAGTTGAGAAAATTGGATACCTAATTGGGGGGAAAAAAGAGAGAAGAAAATTTCCTACAAATGGGTGAAAAAATAATAACAATAATGATAATAAAAATATTAAAGAGATTGAGTTAAATGACATAAAATAAAAAGATTTTAAATTTAATTTTAAGAAATATGATTAAAGAGAAATTAAACAAAATAAAAAATAAAAAAATAAAAAGTATATCTTGACGAGCAATTTATCAATAAAACGTGGGTAATTGAGCAAGATATTGAGAAAGATAAAGTATAGTCAAAAAAAAAAAAAATAAAAAAAAAAAACAGTTTTCATAATGACCACGAGAAGTGACAAAGACCGTTATTAGTATTAAAGAATTCTCAAAATTTAAGACTGGGGTAGTTTTTTTTTAAAAAAAAAAATTCAAATCACAACAAGTCTTGGGTTCGGGATGGTCATTCTTAGTTTTTTTTTTTTTTTTGAAGTTTCTTGATTTAAGAAAATTTTTTTGATTTTTTTTTTCTCAAGAGCATCCTATGAGCATATTTCATTTCCACTCGGGACCGTTGGTTATAGAACGTTTTTTTACGGAGATTGATTTGAAAAAGGATAACGACGTTAAATGGGAATAAGAATTAAAAAAAAAAAAAAAAAAAGAGAAAAAAAAACATTTGTGTAAGAATCCTAAAAAATATAAGAAGAAAATTGATTACAATCATATATTGAATTTGTGTAGGGAATCGGAGATGTAGTTTAAACCTTTAAAGATTGGCTGGATAATTAATTGCAAGGCTTGATTAATGTCACCAACTAAGTCTTTGACCGTTTTATCGGCCCTAAACGAAGAAAATAACAATCAAGAAAAGGGGTCTGTGTGAATTTTAAAAATCAATTTCAATATAAATAGTGAATGGAAAGTCATAAGTTTAAAAAAGTTTTCAATATATATATATATATTTTTTTTATATCTAGTTTATAAAAAAGTTTTTTTTTTACATTACATTAACAGAAAATCATAAAATCATAAAGGCATCAAACAAATATTAAAAGGGGAAAAATAAAAAAAAAATTGTGAGTTAAAATGAATGAAGAAAAAATGACAAAGATAAAATGTTTTAAGCAGCAATTTCATTGCGCTTCCAGCCAGTAGGCTTGGGTGCACTCAAGTCAGCTGTTGGTTGAGGAGTGTGATGATCTTCAATCTTAAGAGCATAAGGATTTCTGTCGTGGGTTTGGATAAGATTTCCAAAAGTGTGGTTGACTTCTCTGTGCTTGGATTCATCAGCACGAACATAAAGAATCAAGTCATAAATAGTGGAATTCTCAGGCATATTCCAGTACTGCTTGGCAATATCAGGAGCAGGAGCAGTGCGCCACTCATTGAGACGACCAGCCTCAATGTCCTCAATGCAACGGGTGTATGTGACAATGGCCTCTTCCTCAAGGTAGCCAACAAAGCGGTGGCAAATGCGGGGCATGATAAGATAGGCAATAAAGAAGAGGTTGAAGAAAACACCTTGGGCACCAAGAAGCATGGCACGCATAAAGATACCAGGGTTGTAAAGTTTCATAAAGGTAAGAAGATGCATGCGCTCATTGTAAGCTTCCTCGAGAAGAGTTTCAATCCAGGCCTTATCGCGGCGCATGAGACGAAGTGAGTGGAGATGGCGGACCATACCACCAACCATACCTGGAACACCAGCAACGGATTCAAGGAAAACAAAGCGCATGAGCCATCTGCGAGGAGTCATGAGGTATTTGGGGTCATTTTCCTTACCTGGAGGAGGATGTGCGTAACCAGTAAAGATGTCAAAAGTAGAACGAATTGTTAACAAAGTTCTTCTGGCAATGCTATCTGCAATGTTTTCAGGAACATGGTGAGCAACACCAACCTTCTTAAGTTGGTCAATGGTTGCATCTGGGTGGTCCCAGGTGATGACAAAGCGTTCATCCTTTTTGCCGCCAATAATTTTGTTTTCATTCTTATCGTACTTTTCATCAGCCAAGGTCTTTTTCCAAGAATCACACTCGAGGACTTTTTGGGAACTTAGAGTGCAAGGTGAGGAAGACAAGTAGCGAGTAGAGATGGCAGAGGAAGAGCGAAGGAATTGATTACCCAAGATAGTCTTGATACCAACTCTTGAAGTAGATAGCAAGATTGGGGAAGATGTTGAAAGACTTAACATTGTTAATGTGTAAGTTTGTAGTGGATGTTAATTGTTAATTGATGATTGTTATTTGTGTTTGTGTTTGTGTGAGTGTGTGTGTGATGAAGAGAAAGAGAGAGGGAAATAAAAAAAAACATGTTCAAGGAGGTTTAATGAGTTCCTTTTATATAAAAATTTAAATCAAATCAATAAATTACTATCAAGGTTTTGTGAGCAATTTTTATTTTTTATTTTTATTTTTTTTAGTTTCCAAAGCAGGACTTTCAATTCCGCTTAGGGTTCTGCTTCAATTCCCATAATAGTGTATATAAGATATATATTTGTTTGGAGAATTTTCGAAAAAAAAAAATAATTTTTAAATAAAATAAAAAATAAAAATAAAAAAAACGTGCGGCTTGTGTGTTTAGCCATGCGACTAACGCACATGTCCCAGAACGGTTAAAGTATTTAGTAATTGTAAGCACAGGCATTTGCCAAAGCCCAAGGGTGCGGCTGTAGTTCCTTAGGTAAGCCCCCCAGATTTTAGCTAATCTGTGACACTAAGCAGCGAAAAAAAGCAGGGAATTCCAGACGGGTTCATACGGGGACTTTCGGGTATAGAAGAAAAAGAAGAACAACAACAAGTAGAAGAAATTGTGAATATTCATAAACATAATCATTATAGTCATCACAAGATCGGTCAGCGGTTCAGCTGCAAATAGTAGCTATTAGAATATATAGAGAAAGAGAGTGAAAGAGAGAGTGAGAGAAAGAAGTTAATCAATCAGCATGTCTTTAAAACGTCATTGTTGCTAATGATGGGTTTTTTTAACGGCCTTCCCACAAAGGATGGTAGATTTATTACAATTTTTGCGGTTAAAAAAGGTTATAATAATAGCAGAAAGGAGTAAATATTATTATTATTATTATTATTATGATTATGATTATGGATAGAATGAATATCTTCTTCTTTTTCTTCTTCTTATTTTATCACTACATTATTCAAACTTGAATGGTCATAATGAAAATCAAAGAAATAAAGGTTATTTTAATTTTAATATATAATATATATAAATATATGTGGATAAAATAAAATAAAATAAAATAAAAAAAGGAAGAAAGAAAGAATGTAAAGTCATCTATAGTTAGTAACTTAAGAGAAGTTCTTTATGTTTTTTAGTTAAATGAGTAAAACGTATTCGTCTGAGTCAGAAGAAAGAAAGAAAAAGGACATCTTGGCCAATTAATTATTATTATTATTATAATAATAATATTATTAAATTGATAGATAAATAAATTATTACAAAATAAATATGAATTGAAAAGACTTTGAGACTTTGATTATAAAAAAAAACAATTTTATTATATTTATGAATGAATGAATGAATGAATGAATCGAAATGTAATTTATTTAATTCATCTGACCTACACGATAAGTTCCATAGTCAACTGTAATTTTATTTAGTTATTAAGCTCGGCCGGCTTGCTTAGTAAACAAATTTGTGAATTTTTTTTTTTTAATTATCATTACAAGTAATTTTACAAAGAAACATTTTGGTCTTTTATTTTAATTTTTTTTTTTTTATTCCCTCTTTTTTTTTTTTTTTCTTTCTCTTTTGCTTTTGTTTTTGTTTTTTTTTTGTAGATTAATTCAATTATTATCTCAATGCTGGGTTTTAATAAAATAAAATAAAATAAAATGCTGAATTTACTATCTAGAAAAAATACAACTTAACTTGTAGGATTAGGTACCCCGCTCATGGGGTTAGCCAAAACCCGAAGATTGATTTTAACTTTGTTTGCTTCAACAACAACAAAAAGCGGGTTTTTTTTTTTTATGTTAAACACAACAATAATGGAGAAACACAAAAAAAAAAAAAAAAAAAAATTCTAATCTACAATCTTAAACAAGGGAAATAAAGGGAAGGGGTAGTTGGAAGAAATAATTTTAAGCCTAGTTTAATAATAATGGCAACTAATGAATAATACCTTAATTATCATTGCTCAAAGATAATAATAATAATAATAATAATAATAATAAATTTCAATTGTTTATTTTTATTTTTATTTTGAGATATATATATTTCATTCTCGAGGAAGACCTTTCAAAAAAAAAAAAAAAAATTTGAAAATTTGAAAATTTGAAAATTTGAAAAATAAAATAAATTTTAAAAATAAATGTTAAAAAGTTAAATTGTTTCTTTAATTATTGTATTTTTTTTTTTTTGTTATAAAAAGAAAATCCTTCAAAAAGTTTTCATGTTTTATAGTACCCGAAAAAAGTTTCCCGTTGACGGGACTTGAAATTCCCCTGAAAAAGAAAAAATAAAGATACAGATACAGGTTTTTTTTTTTTTTTTTTTCAATTCATTCAAAGTCATGATCGTGATCTTTGAAACATCTACAAAAGTTCATAACATTGAGAAAAAAAAATAAAAAAGGTGATATCTTAAATGAAAAAATAAAAAAAACAAAATACATTTTAAGCGGGAATCAAAAGTCCCGTTAAAGGAATCATTTAATTCCCGAAAGAAGAAAGTTGAGGAATAACAAAAAAAAATTAAAAATTAAAAAGGGAGTCATATAATGTTACATTTATTACCCACGTTTTTTTTTTTTTTTTTTTTAAATTATTTTTTAAAAAAAACAATTGAAGAAAAATGATTCTGTTTAATCCTAACGGAACTTTGTAAATCCCGTGGGGGGACTGATACCAAACCCGAAGATGAACCGAAGGCTTTATAGACATTTTTTTTTTAAAAGTTCAAACTTTTTTTTTTTTTTTTTTTTTTTCAAGTTAACTTTGTTACATTATCTTGTAACAAAACAAAACTTATAAATATAACTTACGACTTAAATTTTATTACATATGTTTGTTCATTTACCCTAACCTTTTAATATACCACGTTTTTAATTTAGACCCCATAAGAAAATTAAAAAAAATTCATTTTTATGGGTGCATCTTCTTCTTTTTTCATATTCACATGCAGGGTGACGTAATCATATAAAAAATCCAACGACAAAAAAGGTGGCTGATTGTTTTTTTTTTTTATTTTTGTCTTCAACGCCGTACGTTGTCAGATTACAAGGCAATTGCCGTTTTTACATATATATATATATACCCACACCAAAAAAAAAAAATAAAAAATAAAAGGCATTGCAGAAATAAAGTTAAATGGAAATAGAAGCAGAAGAAGAAGAAGAAGCAGATGCTGAAGCAGATGCTGAAGCAGATGCTGATGAAAAAAAATCTTAATAGACTTAAGTCAGATTGGCCGGCGGTGGCGGAGTGGACCGACGCATGAATATATATCTTGTTTTAGGTGTCGGAAAGAAAGAAATAACAATTAATACATCATCATCTGGAACAGAGTATATTTTTAGAAAAAAAATAAAAATAAAAAAAAAAGCAATATTCATTTAATGGCTTAGAAGTTGTAAGAATAGGAATAAGAAGAATAATAAGAAGAAGAATTGTCTAGTATATACCTGATGATTGTTGTTGTTGTTGATAGAACAAAACAATACCGTTATTTTTTCAATCAAATTAAATCAAATCAGATCAAATCAGATCAAATTAAATTAAATTAAATTAAATTAAATTAAGTTAAATTAAACCAGCAACAGTAATGTCAGATTTGTCATTGCTGCCAAAATGAAAAAAATTCTTATTCTTATTCTTGTTCTTGTTGTTCTTGTTGTTCTTGTTGTTCTTGTTGTTCTTGTTGTTCTTGTTGTTCTTGTTGTTCTTGTTGTTCTTGTTGTTCTTGTTGTTCTTGTTGTTCTTGTTGTTCTTGTTGTTCTTGTTGTTCTTGTTGTTCTTGTTGTTCTTGTTGTTCTTGTTGTTCTTGTTGTTCTTGTTGTTCTTGTTGTTCTTGTTGTTCTTGTTGTTCTTGTTGTTCTACTAATAGTAGTATTAGTAGTTGTTACTAATACTAGTAGTAACAGAAAAGAAAATAAGTTCCTTGTGATTTTGAACTCATGTGGCAGGCGGCCCTCATAATAACCCTAAAATCAACTACATACAAACTAAGTTCCAATTTGTACATTAATATGATATCAAATTCCTATGAGACCCTTAAATAGAAAGAAACTAAAAAAAAAAAAGAAGAATAATCAATCTATATATTATCATCGAAACTAATATCCGATGACATCTACTGATTGACCCCAAGTATTGCCTGCCTTGTTTATTTGTAAATGATGACTTCAACATTGGAGGAGAGAGAGAAAAAAAAAAAAAAAAAACAAAATAGTGGTGGGCGTATACCAAACCACCGCTTAGAATGGCTGTGCAGCCTTCACAACAATAACAACAACAACACCAAGACATTCCCATAAACAAATAAATACGGCAACAACTGGCTTTTTTTTTTTTTTTTTTTTTTTTTATATTTTTTACAACCTCCCCTTTTTTTTTTTTTTTTTTTTCATTTATTTATTTTGTTTATTTATATTTAATTTCTTTTCTCTTTCCAACTATTCTTGAAAAAAAATAAAATAAACAAATCCAACAAACTTTTAATCTTTTAATATACCCACACACATACACACTCTCATCAATCCATCCATCCATACCATCTGCATTCAAAAATGTCTGGCTACGTATGTTAATCATAATCATAATAAATAACATTCAATCATTTCACAATAAAACCTCATCTTTCTCTCTTTCTAGTATCTAACTTTGGTTATATAGTACGGTCCTCAACAACCTCAACAAGCTTACAATGGTGGCTACCAGTCTCAGGGAGGCTATCCTCCTCAAGGTGGTTATCCTCCTCAAGGTGGCTATCCTCCTCAAGGTGGCTACCAGCAATCTGCTCCTCAGCCTATTTACATTCAACAGCAACAACCCCAGAAAAATGACAGTGACTGCTGCTGTGGTCTTTGCGCCGGTCTCGCGTGCTGCTTATGTCTTGACTGCTTGTTTTAAACAGGATGAATAAACAAGAAAAAAAAAAACTTTTCCCCCCCTATTCTAACGCGTGTTTAATTAATTGAATTCTTTTGTTTATTATCATTATAATATTCATTGGGAATATGAAAATGAAAAAAAAAAAAAAAAAAGATGATGAATGAAGACAATTGTTTTTTTTTTATTTTTTTTTTATTTTGCCTTTTGCCTTTTGCCTTTTGCCTTTTGCTTTTTGAATTTTTATTAATTTATTTTCTAAGAACACTACGATGATGATTTGGACCCGTGTCGATTACTGAATCAATCATAATTATAATAATAATAATGACTTGACACACACGGCGATTCATTTCATTTTTTATTTTTTTTTTTCCCTTCCTAATAGATCAACAACTAAACATTTACATGTTTAATTTTATATTTGTTTCGGTTTCATTTTATTTTTTTTTATGTATTTTTAGAGTTAAAAAAAAAAAAGACTTTTTTTTTCAATAATTTATTATTAACATTATATTATCATAATGAATTGCAAATTGTAATTTGCACTGGTAGATGTTGTTGTACCATACAAAAAATTTATCCAAAATAATGATTTGAAGAATAAGAAAAAGAAGAAGAAGCTGCTATTTTACCAAGAGAGGCAATCTGCCATGAAACTTAAAGGCCAAGATTTTTTTCATAATTTTTTTTTTATTTTTTTTTATTTTTTTTTATTTTTTTCACGTAGCAGCAGCCCACAGATTAATGAACCAATACTCTAACAAGATGATTGCACACACACACACATACATATATATTAACTATAGTTATAATAAAATAGTTACTATAATCAAATAACCTAACCATTACTACAGTATTTTTTTTTTAATACACTCAAGAACTATACCCAAAACCATAAAAAAACTTGTTTGAAATATTCGTCTGCTTGTAAAATATACATGCATTTTATTTAAAATAAACATCTTCTACTGTCGCCCAGCGATTCTCCAGCAAGTCTATTCAGTGGTACTTTTTATATATATATATATATATGTATATCACAAGTTTTATATTGTTTCATCGTAAATTTATTATTTTTTTTTTCATTTTTTTTCATTTTTTTTTTTGTTTCTTTCATCATAATTACATCTTCGTCATAATCTTTTCGTCTCCTTGGAGCAGGTTCTTCTTCTTTTCCCCGTTTTATTAGTAGTAGAATAGTATATTTCATATTGTATCGTGAACCCTTTCCAAATGAAAAAAAAAAACAACAACCTCTTAGGCCTTGACGGTTCTCACGCCAGCCTTGGTGTCCCGGAAAATGGCATCACCCTCAGCGTAACCTCTGCCAGCGCCGAAACCGACACCAAGCCAGACGGGCCATGCTCTTCGTCGGAAAAACAGAACAGATGCAACAACGCCAAAGCCAAAGCCTAGACCGGTTTTGACCAGAGTGTTGGAGATAACGACGTCCCACTAAAATAAAAAAATAAAAAAAAAAAAATTTGAACCTTAAGGTTAGTTCATTTGTTGATAAAAGAAGACAAAAAAAATAAAAAAAAAGTCAATTACGTGTAGGTTTCCACACACTAACACGTCAATTGAATGAACCCACCTTGTCATTGAGAAGAGACTCGGAGGATGGTGTAACGGCGACTTGCTTCTGTTCGACAGCAGACATTTTTGATGTATTTGGATGATGTTAGAAGGGATGGGGGTTTGTGGTGAGGGAGAAGGATTGGCGTATGTGGATTGTTTAAAATCACAAAGTGTGTGGTTGGTGCGAGGGGTTTTTTTAGTGGTGGAACGCAGAAATATAATAAAGAAAATACAAAAGAAAAAAAAAAAAAAAAAAAAAAATCAGCACAGCCGGTTGGGCTAAGAGGAGGCCATCCATTGGCCCATGGAAATTTCACATCAATATGTAACATAAATGTAATTAATCACATGATAATTTTATAAAATTTATATTACATTTAAACACGTAAAATTGTAACAAATATTTTTTTATTTTTTTAATTATTTTTAATTTAATTTAATTTATCCATTTTTATTTTATTTATTTTTTTTAGAATTTCCAGTCAGTGCCTCCTTTAAAAAAAAAAAATTAAAAATAAAAAAAAAATACTCCATTTAAATTTTTTTTTTTTTAGGCTCACAACAAATTCCCTCTTTTTTTTTTTTTTTTTAGAATTTTCAATCACGATTCTTCCTATTTCAGGAATTCTCTTCACATTGTGGAATAAAAATACCCTTTAACCATTCCATTTATTTTTATTTATTATTATTATTATTGATTATCAATTATAAATAAATAAATACCTAAACAATGGCTGCTACTGTCGTGGATACCACCTACTACGAACTCCTCGGAGTCGCGCCAGACGCCACTGAGCTCGAAATCAAAAAGGGCTATCGTAAAATGGCTATCAAATATCATCCTGATAAGAACCTCGATGATCCTAACGCCGATGAAAAGTTCCAAGAGGTATGTTTTTTTTTTTTTTTTTTTCTTCTATCTCTCTCTCTCTCTATTTCCACAAAATCATTATCCACCCACTTGCACCCCCATTTAACTAACTCGATATTCTCATAGATTAGTGAAGCCTATCAAGGTATGCTCACTTACCTTATTCTTTCTTTTTCTTTCCTAACAACTTTTACTTCATCTTAGTCCTCAGCGATAAGGACCTCAGAAAACGCTACAACCAGTTTGGTAAGGACCAAGCTGTTCCTGAAGCCGGTTTCGAAGATCCCTCAGAACTCATCAGCAGTATCTTTGGTGGCGAAGCCTTTTTTGACTTGTATGTGAACCATGAATATTATTATTATTATTATTATTATTATTATTATTATTATTATTATTATTATTATTATTATTATCAACATGCATTCATCACCAAACAAATTTTTTTTTATTTTAACCCTGATATTACATACTACCATCCAATACTAACCCCTTAATTTTTTTTTTCTTCTTCTTCTTCTTTTTTATTTTTTTTTATTTTTTTTTATTTTTTGTTTTTATTTTTACAGAATTGGAGAAATCTCGCTTATTCGTGACATTACGCGATCCATGCAAATTGCTACAGAAGAAGAGGAAGAAGACGAAGAATTTAAACCAGCTGCCACTGCCACAACTTCTTCCACTGATGACCTAGCCACCAAAACTGGCCAACTCGCCATTACAGACGGTTCCACCATAGATGCTACTCCCACTCCTACTCCTTCTTCTACAACAACAACACCTTTGGCTGAAAGCTCCGCATCACACTCCTCACCTTCCGGCCTGCCACACCAGTCCTCCTCATCTTCACCCCCACCACAAAGTGATGTTGATTCCATAGCTTCCTCTGCTACCGATGCCAAGTCTAAGAATAAAGACAAGAAGAAGAAGGGTATTCTTTCCGAAAAACAAAAACAAGAAATTAAAAAGCTCCATGATGAGCGTGATACAGCTCACCAAGAACGCGTTGACAAGCTTGTTGAAAAACTCGTCGAAAGACTTTCCGTCTACACTGAAAGCGACAAGAAACCCGCCGTCACAGAATTCTTCCGAAAACAACAAGCTGATCTTGCCGCAGAGCTCAAAATGGAGTCTTTCGGTCTTGAGCTTCTGCACGCCATTGGCCACACATACTACACCAAGGGTTCCAACTTCCTCAAGTCACAAAAAATGTTGGGCATGGGTGGTGTCTTTGGAAAATTTAAGGAAAAGTACACAGTTGTTAAAGATACCTGGAACACGATATCTAGCGCCATTGATGCGCAGTACACTCTTCAGGACATTGCTAAACTAGAAGAAAAGGGTGACGAACTCACAGACATTGAAAAGGCAGAGCTTGAGCGCCACGCAATGGGCAAGATTCTAGCTGCTGCATGGAACGGTTCGCGTTTCGAGATTCAAAGCGTTCTCCGCGAGGTCTGTGACCGTGTTCTTTCTGATAAATCTGTCCCTGCAACTACACGTATTGACCGTGCCCGAGGCCTTATGATTGTGGGTGACGTGTTCCGTCGTATTGTGCGCTCTCCTGAAGAGGAAGAGGAGGTACGTGTTTTTGAAGACCTTGTACAGGAAGCTGCTGCATCTAAGAAGAAGAAGAAAGAGCACAAGGAAAAGGGAGGATTTTTCCACAAGGAAAAGGGAGAGGAGACTAGTTCTACACCAGTCTCTGGAACTCATTAAGTAAGAAGGATATTTTTGAAGCAAAAGAAAAGGAAAAGAAAAGTACAAAAAAAAAATGTTTTTTTTTTTTAATGTTGACAGATGTTATCAATGATAGGTTTTTTTTTTATTGCAGACCATTGATTTCATCTTTAAATAATGTATGGAATAGAGTAGTCACAAAAAATAATTATGAATTTTTTTTTCTTTTGATATTAGAAATGATCTAATCTTGATGAAAATAAATGAAGAATCAAGAAATGTTATGATTTTTGTTTCTTTTTTAATAAACCGTTATTAGCATGAAGCATTTTCTCTCTTTCATTTTTTTTTTCCCCTTCGACATACCACCACCAAACTTTAACTCTTATGTTCAACAACCCAACACAACACAATATTTCTCACTTACCCTCCAATTTGAATTTTTTTTTTTTTAACAATATGATAAAAAATGAATTCAACTATAAACAAAAAAAAAAAAGAACAAAGTAAAGAAAAAAAAGATTTTATTTCTCCGACACGGGGAATCGAACCCCGATTTCCACGGTGAGAGCGTGAGGTGATAACCATTACACTATATCGGAGTCACGTGGTTAGAAAAAGTATTCTTTAGAACGTACTGTTATTAAAATTATAATTATGCATTATTTCAAAAAATAAAAATTTATAGTTTAATTGTAAGGGGAAAGGGCTGGATGGTGTAAAGGGTAACACATTCGCTCGAAAGCGGAAGATACTGGGTTCGATTCCCAGAATACCCCCTTTTCCTGAGGATGTGTACGGGAGTATACACCTAGACTGAAAAACCATAGGCTACCCTGGTTACAGGAATGCCGACTCTTCCGTACAGTCTAAATAGCCTGCAGGTGATTGCGGGCCGTATCTCTGACGGAAGAGATTAAGAAATACATGGGCGTCCGTGAAGATAAGTGGAAATGGGTTGGGAAGGTTTTGGGACCGACAGACTGGTTCTCCCTGTTCCTCGTAAGCTGGCATCAGGGCCCATCTTCCGGGCTACCGGAGACGCACAGAACAGAAACCACCAGTACTAAAAAGGTACAAATGAAAACCGGCAAGTCACATAGTCAGACAATAAAAGGATAGCGCAGATGCTGATGTTATATAGTTCTATAACCCTTGAATAAAAACAAACAAACAAACATAGTTTAATTGTAAATATTTTTATAAATTTATATGAATAATTGTTATTTGTTTATTTTAAAATTTAATTTTTTTTTAAAATCAAAAAAAAATTTCAAGAAAAAATAACAATGGTTGCCATATTAAGTAATTTAAAAATGTTGCAATTAACATAAAAAAAAATCAAACTTTGTTATTTAAATCTAGTCCTTCCTATAAAAAAATTTCTTTTCTCTCTCTCTCTCTCTCTTTTTTTTTTTTATATATTTAAAATCGACAATTGATCAATTGAAATACAACCTAAATTTTTTTCTTTATGAAAAAAACCTCTTTACAGACCGGCACGACGGTGTTTCTGTGCCTGACCAGCCGGTACTCCTTGCTTAATATCCTCAGCAACAAGCTCGTCAGCACGCACACGAGGTGGAATTGCTTCCAAAACCTTTTTCACAAACTCTTCGTCGGCTGCCGGCAGCACAACAACGCCATTCTCATCGGCAACAATGTAATCACCCGGGTTAATCACTCGCTCCTCATCGGGCGCACCAGCATCTGTCGACTGTGAAGCCACTTTGACCACAAGAGGAGCATCAACTGCAACAACCTTAACAACCTTAGTGGGTGCACAAATCCCAAGACCGTAAGCAAAAACAGGATACCCAAGTGCATTGTGCTCACGTACATCGCGAATCTTACCAAGTACTACAGATCCAACAGCCCCACGGTACTGTGCACGAGTGCTCATCAAACCACCATACAACGCATTCGAAATGCGAGTATATGGGGCAACTGGAATTTGCACAGATGCAGAAGTTCCCAGAACCACAACGCCACCAGCAGGAGCAGTGTCAATGTACCCGCCCTTGACTGCAGGACGCGGGTCGTCGAGCGGCGCATACTCCACGGTATATGCACGGCCGGCCACAGAGCCTGTAGCATCTAGGGTTTTGGAATATTGAACAAGATGAGGAATATAACCGCCATGGGGGATACCATACTTGACGAGAGCATCGGCCACGTCGCAGGGTGTGTACTGGGCCAGGGTCTGGCTGACAGGGTCCTGGGTAGAAGCAGAGGATGAGGAGGAGGACATTTTTCGTAGAGTGCCAATTGTGTAATTAAAGGTTCGAGAGGATAAAGGGATGAGTCTATGGACAGTTTTTTTCATCAAATAAAAGAAATGATCAAGGAGTTATAGTTGGGAACTCTGCTAGATGGGGGGAAAAAGTTTGGAGGGGATTAAGATAGCAGGTACTAAATGGTGGTTTATACGACCAGTTTATGAGAGCTTTTCCCCAGATATCGCCAATTACGTAACCTGGTGTTACAATCTTAAGCCAAAATGACAACTTTGTACTAAAAAAAAAAAAAAAAAAAGTCAGATATGACACTTTATGCGCGGCTTTAGCTGGGGGGTTTATTTCAAGTCCTTTTTAAAGGAAAAGATGTTAAATGGTTTAGTTCTTTTATTCTCAATCATTTTATTCTATTAAGAAATCAATTTTTTTTCTTTTTTAGTTTTACATAGCTTCTATTCTATTAAAAAAAACAAAGTATTTTCTAATTTTTTTCATATTCTATTCTTTAGGTTTCTTTTTAGCTTTAAATTGACGTAAAGCTGGTCGGTTAGTGGGCCGGCCACATTCAATGGCCACCAACCTGGCAAAATCCCTTGTGTCCCAATAAGCTCCATGAGCTTTAAGCATTGACAGGTACTGGTTTTCCAAAGTCCCCACTAAAGGAATGATAAAGTCAATTTGTCCATTATCATTCATTTCCGCCATCTTCCGCTCAGAGTAACTCAAGGGAGGGGGTTCATCTCCAGTAACGTTCTCATTACCTTGCAAGGTATCATCATCATCATCATCATCATCATCATCATCAGACTCGTCGTCATCTTCATCGTCTCCATCAACATCTTCACTATCAAATGTGTTAGAACTACCACCGCTGCTACGATAGATTTCTGGTGGAATTGACTGACTGCGAGTCCCAGAGTCTGGCGTAGATGGTGTTAATAAGTCTCCAAACATTTTTTCTCGCTTGGTGCGCTTTGCAAGAGAAGCAGAAGAATTAGATCTGGTAATCATTGCTCCATTAGTTGCATTTAAATTAGTGCTGTTGACTCCATATTTAGGCATAAGGAGTTGCTTTCTAAGAGAAATATTTTCTGTTTCACCAGCTTCAGATTCAGATTCGGAAACTGCAACGCTTTCAGAATTCAGTGATGTAACGCGGCTCATTCTTTGAGAGGATGTCAGAGTAGTTGTGGATGTAGTTTCAGATTCAATATTTTGGGAATTCGATGTAATAACAACGCTTTTAGTACTGCGGGTAGAGTCAACTGAGCTGATTGATGATACAGAATCTGAGCGTCCACGAGATTCACGAGAACGTAATATCTTGCTCATAAACGAACGACCACTCCAGGTTCGAGTTTCTTCAACTACTGGAGAAGCCAAGGGGCCCTGCTCATCTGAGCTTGTCCCAGTCTCTGCCGACTTGACAGCCAAAGTATCCTTGTTTGGCGATGTAGTCAATGTCAAATCCAAAGATTCCTGTCTTTTGGCCCGTGGTGAAGCAGTTGGAGAAGAAGAAAATAGTTCTGGAAGTTTAACTTTCCATGTTTCGAAAAAACTCCCTGTTCTAGCATTTTTTGTGGAAGACTTATCTCCACGCTTGTGATGAGCCTTCTTCAAAGGAAACTCCTTTTCTGTTGGCAAGACTGCTTGTTCAATACTTTCAGCAAGTTCAGGGTCCACAGTTGGGTTCAAACAATAGGATATGGGGTCTGAATAATGCATAACATTGTAAAGTCGCTGAATGCTCATGCAACCATATGGATATTTTGGAGGAAATAAATTTGAAGCAGATGCATTTAATGACGGATTTTGAAAAATAGACTTAGAGTTACCAGAACCCTGATCAGCAATATCTTCTTCTTGATGATCGGTATCAATAGTTTCCTTTGTGGGATCCGAGAGAATAAGTTTTTCATTGTAAAGTTCCATTGTAGACTTTGAGCGCAGGTATCTTTCAAAGCGTTCTTTCTTGACTTCTTCTTCATAAAGTTTTCGAGGAACAAGACTTGAATTTTCCAACAAAAGGAAAAATCCGACAGGACTCCCTGCAAAAAACAAGTTTGTAGTGTCGAAGCAAAACTGGGACTTTGGCATAGTAGAAGGGTCAGAAAGAGCAGCTGCTTTATTTACCTTATTAGGTTGGTACGATAAAATATCAAGAGCCAAAACACTCCCTAAAGAGTGTCCAATAATGTGAACTTTTCCTTTTTCCTCAAAACCAGGATTGTTTTTAACCAACAATCGGTAAATTCTATTAGCTTCCCCAGCTGTTGCTTCAATCAAAAGATTTTTATAATGCGACATGTAGTAGGGAATGTCAAGCATGACGTCGGAAATAATATTGCGGATGGCAGGGATAGATCTCAACGTGATTTGACTAAGTGTGAAGAGAACCTTTCCAGTATCTTGATCTTGACTCACATTCTTAATTGCATCAAAATCCAAAGTTTTCCGCCAATTAATGGGAAGAGCAATGATTGTAGTATTTTCTTCAATATACTGCTTAACATTTGGCGATTCTAATTGCTCAGCAATCAAAATATTGAAACGATTAATGGCATAAGTAAAGTTAAAACTTTCCAAGCGTTCAGACAATTTTTGGCCAATACCATGAATGACAAAGATAACATCTGTTATAGGAGGTGGGACAAACCCAAGATTATCAGACCCACGATCAGGAAGGTTGCGAACCTTTTTCCAGTCTGACCAGTCAAAATGACGTTGAAGAATGGCCAAAGTTCCTACTGGAGTTTTACCAGAAAGCAAACAGGAAACTAGTTGGTAATTTGTAGGTGAAATTAAATAAGATAGAGGGTTCATAGAAGTAGTGCCGAGCTGTGGTCCAAATATGTAAGCCACTGGATATTCTTTAGGTGTACATACAATTGTATGCTTAGGCTTAGGTTCAAGCTCAGGTTCTGACTTAGACTCAGGTTTAGATTCTGATTCAGGAGCGGGATCTGATGTTTCTTCAGTTGTTTCATTAGTAAATAGAGGATCCACTGGTTCATCTGGAGTCACTGGTGGTGTATCTTCCTTAGCAGCGTTACAAGGTGCAAAAACAACAAATGCGTTATAAGTGACTGCAGGCTGTTCAGGCTTTTCTGGGGTCAATGTATAAGTAATAGGAATTTTAATTTTCGAGGCTGATTCTGGGACTTGAATAGCAGTTTGTAGTTCGGAGACATATTCATTAGTCCATGGTCTGACTTGATAGAATGCCTTTACTACAGCTGCTTCAAGAGAAGGTTCGACTGGTGTCAGAGTAGATGAAAAGTACCATTCGGAACGCATAACATGAGAAATGTCACGTATAGGTTTCCAATAAACAGGCTTCATGGTTTCCTTTCTAACATTGACGCAAAAAAGACGTCGAATACCTACCAGGACTTCATTTTCTTCGTCGTTTTCTTCATTATCCTCATCTTCTGCATCTTCTTCATCGTCTGTACAGTCACAGTCATTCTTTTGATTTTTTTCTTGCTCCTTGGAAGTGTCACCATTTACTCTTTTGTGATAATTTTGGTAAGCTACCTCAAGCTCTTGATTATTGTTTGGATTAAATGCAGACCACGCCGCAGAGGTGGGTACCAGCGCACCTGAAAAGGAAACCGTTGCATAAACTGGGGGATCCAAAGAAACCGAACATCTTTTTTTTGGTGGCGGAGATTTTGCAGTTGTGTCTGTGTCAGTATCAATGGTAGCGTTGTGATGATGATGATGATGATGATGATGCGAGTTTTTGTCTTTTTCATGGTGAGTTTTCTCTTCTTCTTCAAGTTCTTTGAGAATCTTTTCTGCATTATCTTTGGCTTCTTCCCAGGAACTGAAACCTTTGGGTCCTGAATTTGGTCCTGGTGTTGGTATTCGAGAATTATTATTAGAAGAGGAAGAAGAGGAAGAGGAAGAGGAAGAAGAACTTGTAGCAGCCGCAGCAGCCGCAGCGGCGGTGGCAGCAGCATTTGCAACTACACTTGAGGAGTTGGTTGCAGCAGCAGCGGCGGCAGCAGCGGCAGCAGCGGCAGCAGCGGCAGCAGCAGTAGCCACAGGAGGACCAGCAAGTGATGGTCTATTTGGGTTGTTTGAAAGCGAGCCAAAAGCTTCTGAAGTCAATGCTCCTGCAGCAGTTGTGGGGCCTGCTGGGCTTGGGAGAGTAAAGGCAGGATCATCGATCTGGGAAGCTGAGTTATAGAAGAACCAAGGCACAGCCGGTGGAGGTGGAATAGTCGAGTCATGGACTGATATTTTAACAAAAGGCATATTAAAGGATTTATTTATAATTTTTTATAAGAGAGAATAAAAAAAAATAATGAAGTATATAGAAAGATGGTTAATGTTAGAGACAAGAGTTTAAAATAAAAGGGTTTTTGTCTGCGGTATATTGAAAATCTCTCTCCACTCTTTTCTTTCCAAAACTTTTTACGTGTGCCCTTATTCCAGAATTGTCTTTCTCTTGAAGACAAGAAGCAATAATTTTCAAGCAACTCAATTACAAGGTCTTTATATAAAAAAAAAAAAAGTCTCACAAGCAATCTTGATTATCGGCATAGTAGGACCGAATTGAGTGTTCTCGGCCAACCAGCTGCCAAAGTGTCTTTCACATGCGCAAGGAAACCTTTCCCAGCCGTGGGGGAGAAGTCTATCTGATGTCACAACCTAAAAAAAAAAGAAGACGGCCGGCGGAATATTATTCTGAGTCCGTCAAACCGATTGAAACTTGCAAAAAAAAAAAATTATTTATTTATTTAGAAAACGTTACTCTTTTTTTTTTTTTTTCATTTTAACATAGATTTTAATGTTAATGTCCCGGTGTTCCTTTGCATGTCCCGACCTCGATCTGTGGGTTTTATTCAAACCCTAACCCATATAAACATGCCAGCTCGCATCCTTTTTTGGAAATTTCAACCCACCTCAAGATCACTAAACATTGATTGATTGATATCACCTAAGCTTTCCAAAGAATACCCAAATGCCAGGTGGTGGTGCTTTTTAAACTTCTGAACAGAATTTAAATACATCACAATGGCAAGTTTTCATTATAAATGGCTGAAGCGCATGGACTTCTATGGCAAAGTCTCGCCAAAGTACATGCGTCGCAAAACAAACTACCCGTTATGGCTACAAATGATTATTATCATTTTCCTCGTATTTGTACTCTGGGGCCTGGTCCTGGATCACCTCGAGGCAGATGAGCTCTACAGCTTCCGTGTGGATGGTGGTGACTCAGTTGAAACTTCTCTTCAAATCAATGTCGATATTACAGTTGCTACACCATGCTCGGCACTTATTGTCAATGTCCTTGACAAATCAAACGATCGCATGTTTGCATCTGAAGTCTTACATCTTGACGATGTCCAATTCCAAGCACCTGTAGAGGACGTGAATGCAGCCGGATATGCTGGTAGCAGTTTTAACTCTGCTGATGATCCGTTAGCCAATACCCCTAATGGCAAGCACATTCTAGGGTTGCTTGAGCAACTTGCTCCACCGGCAGAAATTTCTGCCCCAGAACTCGAGTCGCGTTCGCAATCGCTTCTCTCAGTACTGCGCTCAGCAAAACAATCAACAAAATATCGCCGATCTACTCCTCTTCCAGCTCAAATTAAACACGACTTGGCTGCAGATTCTCCTGATGCTTCCCCGCCGAGCGAGTACACAGATGGGTCTGTGGGCTGCCGCGTATATGGAAGTTTCCCTGTTACCAAAGTTCAGGGAACTCTTCACATTATTTCTAAAGCTGTGTTTCTTAGCGGCGGCCGGATTTCAAGTGCTGAAAGACGATTACTTACTTCGCAGGCAGCACGCGATGACATGTGGCTCAAGCACCGTAATAGGTTCCCTCCCTCACACTATATTTTCACCCAAATCAACTTCACCCACTACATTGATGAGCTTTCGTTTGGCGCATACTACCCCAAAGTTATCAATCCGCTTGATGGCACACGTTCACACTGGCCTGTGCGCGCTCTGCGCCATCGCGTTGCTACATTTTTTCGATCAACCAAGTCCACGGATTCTGACATGAAGTCGGCATCTCCAGCACTTACAAAGAAAATCCATAATTTGATGAGTGAGTTTCGTGCGCGTGCCTCAGCAATCTCCGCTTACAATTACTTTTTGTCAATTGTTCCAACAACATATAAATCTTCACGCACTGGCAAAAGTGTGGCTACAAGTCAATATGCCGTTACAGAACAGGTCCGCGATTTATCGTGGGATTATGTGTTTGATAACGGCAATTTTGGTCCGGAATTTGTGGAGGACTTACCTAATGAGGATGAACGTTTACAACTGGATGCTTTTAAAAAGGCCGTGCTGGAAACTCACGGTGATGAAGAACGCATCAAGAATAATGCCTTTTCAACATCCTCAATGCAACCTCCAGGAATTTACTTTCAGTACGACTTGGATCCTCTTCTATTAGAGATTACGGAAACAAGAACATCATTTTTATTGTTCTTAGTTCGTCTAGTGAATATCCTTGCTGGTATTTATGTCCTCTCTATTGCTTTTGTGACCTTTGTGATTGATCGCCGCGGTGGTACGGGTTCAAAGGGTGTTTCTTCTGCAAGTGAAAAGGAAGGATTACTTGATGATAAGACGTTCTTAGAGAATGTTGCATATGCGCCAAATTAAAAGAAAAAAAAAAGAAAAAAAAAGAGCGAAAAAACTCCAAATTCTATTCTATAGATTAAAGCCATATATAAATAAATAAATAAATTAAAGAGAGACAAGAAAACAAAGAAAACCAGATATATCATAAAAAGGGAATGTAGTATTAGTTGGAATGTGTGTGTGCGGATGTGAATTTGTATCTAATTAAGAAATGGATATCAAGTATTCAATTTGAATACCCAAAATGCGAGATAAACTTTTCGTTAAAAAAAAAAGGGATAAGAGACGAGAATAAGATGTGGGGGTATAAGAGCCGAAAAAAAAAACATAAAAGAAAGAGGCAAAACTTTATCAATGCAAAAATAGAAAAAAAAATCTCTTCCCAAAACAAAACCTCTTTCTTTCATGCTCTAATTTTTTTTCCCTTATACCATGCAAAATGAAAAAAGAGAAAGAGAGAGATAGAGAAAAAAAAAAGTTAAAGCAGCCATTGTTGTGTTGTGTGTGTATTTGAAATAAAGAATAACCCAGAATAAAATAGCAATTACAACCGATATCTTAGACCAAAAAGCTAGTCCCCACAAGCCCTGCAATAATAGCGACATACGTAACAGCAAGCGCCAAAGCCCCGGTAGAGTGGTGCCCATGGAAAGTCAAAGGTCCAGCAGTGGGTACAGCCACCATTCTGGCCGCTGCATTTTCACTGGTTTGAAGTGATCCTGCAGAGACAGACGCTTGAGTGGCTGTGTGGGATGGTGTACGTGTTACCAGCACGTAAGTGACCTGGGTAATGGTACGTGCATGGCCTGACGACTCAAAGGTCGAAATAACAGTGAACAGGGAGGATGTCACTACAGGAACTTCTGTAGTTGTAGGAGATGTGGTAGTAGCAGAAGATGATTCAGAAGAGGAGACTATACTGGTGGTTGTTTCCGAAGAAGAAGAAGAAGAAGAAGAGGAGGAGGATGAAGATGAAGTTGTCGTAGTAGTGGTGGTTTCTGAGGAGGATGAAGATGTGGACTCATTAGAGGTCGTTGTGGCCGAAGAATTATCTGAAGAACTCGAAGTATCCGTTGATGTAGATGTAGATTCAGTTGTGGTGTCTGTAGATGTTGATGAAGAAACAGTAGAAGTTTCTGACGAGTCACTTGAGGTAGAATCAGTGGAAGTTGAAGAAGACGATGATACACTACTTTCAGTTTCTGTTGTTGTGGTATCTGTGGATGTAGTATCGGTTGAAGAGGAAGCTGAAGAAGTATCAATTGAGGAAGATGCTGATGACTGCTCAGAGCTCGAGGTATCTGTGGTTGTTGTAATTGTTGCTGCTACACTGTTTGAAGAAGTAATTGGGGAAGTAGACGGTCTGGTTTCCGTGGCAGAAGCGGAAGCAGAATCAGTAGTGGTTGTAGTAACCTCTGAAGAAGAACTTTCAACAGAGCTACTGCTACCAGAACTTTGTGAGGTACTGATGCTTGTACTTTGCTGAGAGTCCGAACTTCCGGAACTTCCTGATTCTGAACTCGAAGGAGAGGTTGTGGCAGCCACAGATGTTTCTGTAGACGTCTCTGAGGACGTAATTGTTGAAGAACTTCCAGAAGTAACATCGCTAGACACAGAATTGGTTGATGTGCTGGCAATGGTACTTTCACTGCTGGAAGAAGCTTCACTAGTGGTTTCTGTTATAGAACTAGTACCTATAGAACTGCTTGATATATCGCTTGATGAGGCAGTTTCAGTAGCGCTCGATGATAATGTTGTGTTAAAGATACCGCCATCACCACCTTGTTGTCTCTTGACTCTAATACGTTCTTCGTGTGATACAGGTTTATTACTGTCCTCCTGCTTTTTATTTTCATCGTCATTAGGATTTTCCTTTTGTTCAATCTCTTTCAGACTATCATCTTCCTTGTTTTTTGTATCTTCCTTTGTTTCTTCAGCCTTGTTCTTTTCAAAGTCAAACTCTTCTAGCACCAGTTCAATGTCTTTGCTTTTACCATAATGTAACTGCAGATGTAAGTGTGTAGGCAACAATAGTGCTTGGAGCGGTGACAGCCATGGATGATAATCACGACACAATGTGTCTGTTATTACGACTGATGGTGATGGTGATTCTGTGGCCTCTGAAGCGGTCTTTTCAACATCAGAAGTACTGGAAGATTTGACGGGTGAGGCCAGTAGTGGGGCTGCAGCCATTGCTGTAGCAGTCAGCAATTGAATGAAACGCATAGAAAATATATAAATAAATATTAATAAATAAAAATAAAACAAAGAGGGTTGGTTGTGTGCTTTTTTTTTTTATTGTTTTTTGATAGGGTTATTTTTTGGAATAAAAGATTAAAAGGAAAAGACTTTAGTTAGATAAGAAATGGCTTTAGAATAGAATAGAATGGTGTTAGATGGTTGTTAAAGAAAAGAGAATAAGATGGATGGAGTTTTTTTTTTTTTTTTTTTACACGATAAAAAATTATATATAATTTTTTTTTTTTTTTTTTTTCCCTCAGGCGGTTCCAAATGGAACTTCAAGTTGTCGTTTACAGTGTGTGTTTGTGTGTAAAGTTGACCGTCCTCACAGCAACACACAAACACACAAAGTGCCGTGGATAAAAAAAAAAAAAAAAAAAAAAAGGCTCGGCTGCACACATGACGTCAAGGCCCAGCCAACCTTCCCTAAATAGGAAATTAGTTAAAAGATATTGTTACGTACCAGACCAAATATAATAATAATAATAATATAATAATTATTAAAAGAGAGAAGTAAAAAAAAAGAAAAAATTACTAAAGAAGCTGGTAATAATAATAACCACCACGTTTTTTTTTTTTTTTTTTTTTTGTTGTTGTTAAATTTTTTCAATTTTAATTAATTATTATTCTAAAATGAAAATGTCCGACATTTATGAATCATTTTTTTTTGTTTCAAACATCAAGTTTCCATTTTAAAAATAGGTAAAAGAAGCCTGAAACAATTGTATTGCAAGTGCTATGGGGGGGAAAAAAAAAAAAAAAATTAAAAAAAAATTAAAAAAAAAATTAAAAAAAATTCAACCCTAACCCCTTGTTAATTAAAACTTTTGAAATAAACATTTTAAATTTGATTTCAAATATTATTACTTTAAAATTAAAAATCATAATATTTAAAATATATATAAAGTTTCTAATATTTAAACCATTTCAATCACAAAAATTTCAACCTAACCCTAAAGTATACCTCAATTTAAAAACATGTCTCCTATATCTTATTTTAAAATATAAGTCTTTTAATTTCAAAAGTAACATTTTTAAAAATGCACAAAATGAACTGTGAACACAAAAAATTAACCCCCCCCTCATGTAATTTGTTTTTTTTTTTTTTTTTTTTTGGTACATACATTATTCCTTTTATATAATACGACCAACAAAAAATAAAAAAAAATTTAGAAAGTTTTCAAAACATTTATAAAAAATACATCAATATATATATATATATATATATTAAGTACAATAACTTTTTTTTTTTAAAAAAAATAATAATTAGAATATACAAAAAATAAGAATAGAAAGAAAAAAAAAAGCATAGGAATAGCTAAAATTTGCAAAAATAAATTTTTTAATACATGTTGAAATCCAGGTTGTCCATCCAACCTAGTAAATCATCACCTTTAGAATCCATCCAATCAATACCCTGCATCAATGTATCAAGATGCAACGGGTCTGATGACGATCCTGTAGTTCCATAAAAAGGCGTCACAGGTGTTGCAGGAGTTTGTACATTTCCCATCCCTGACTGCTGTTGTTGCTGCTGCTGCTGTAGTTGTTGTTGCTGTTGTTGATGTTGTTGATGTTGTTGATGTTGTGACTGTTGCGGCTGTTGCGGTTGCTGAGATGACGAACTTTGTGTCAACTGCTGCGTCAGCTGCTGCGTAATTTGCTGAGTAGAAAATGTCTGTTGCTGCGCAGAAGCTTGTCCCCGCGATGTCATAGGTTGTGCAAAAGACGTTCCCGAAATATTATTTGAAGATGCCGACGATTGTAATGATTGCTGCTGCGATATTCCTGTAATTTGAGAAAACTGCGCCTCATGTGATGACGATGATGACTGGATTGGATTTTCCAGTTGCTGCTGAAACTGCTGAAGCAACTGCTGCTGCTGCTGCTGCTGCTGTTGATGTTGTTGTTTCTGATGCATAAGAGATACCTGTGAAGAAACAGAATTCTGGCGCACATTCCGTTGATTTAAATTTTGAGTCCCTGCTTGCGAAGTTTGCTGTTGATTCCTCGATCCACCAGAAATGTTAAATCTTTGCGGAACAACCGATGACTGACCAGGAACAGGGAACATCTGGCGGTTCATAACATTACTTCCATTTGTTCCTCGAGATCCTACAATACCAGAACCTGCATTGGCTCCAGCACTGCCCGCATTACCACCATTTTCACCTTCACTGGGTATCACCATGGATCCGGCAACATCAGGCCCAGCCTTGGTCAGCATTGTAGACGGATTTCCAAGCCCTGCCAAAGGCGTTGTATTGACAGGTTTACCATCTGGCCCAAGTTCTAAAGTGATTGCTGCATTGTTATTATTGCCGTTGTTATTGGCACCATTGTAAGCCAAATTAGTATTTGTTGGCACTAATGTTGTAACTGTAGTTCCATTCGGGGTCGTTGTAGTTGTCGTTGTAAAATCGTCTTTTGTAATTTGATTGTAAAACGGTAATGGCGGGACCGAATCAACATGGCTTCCTGGAATTGAGTTGATGGAATTAAATGAAAGGTGTGGGATAAGAATATTGTTTGCACTGGCAGCAGCACCATTATTGGCAGCAACAGCAGCGGCAGCCGCTGCAACAAATGCAGCCGTATGAGTAGATGAAGACCCAAGCCCACCGCGGCGACGAGCCTCATGGATTGCCCAAATGAGCTCGTAGAAAAGTGAGGCTGTGAGATGCGAGCGCATGCGTGTAACAATACCTGGCGCCTTTGTGAACAACTCTGGATGGGTAATGATTACAAAATTTAGTTTTTCTAAAACCTTGGCCGTGCGCGAAATGTCATTTTGCACATCTTTCCAAGCGGTAAGCATGTTACGGAAAAGTCTGTGCACTGTGACAACAGATTGGCGCGCACTCTCCACGTATTGAGGAAGCAATAATGGTGACAGATGCAGGCGAAAGAGAATGAAACCAGCAAGTGAAACTGGATGGCGAATGTAAATAGGGTACTCAATGATACGACGCTTTTCAGCGAGTCCGCTAAAGAGAGTAACAACTCGTGTTGCAGCGTGGTAGGCCTTTATGATATAAATGGTTTGGTCTTGAATAGGTGTTTCCGGAAGAAAAGAAAAAACACAAATCATCATCTTGAGATAAAGGGAATAAATCTCCACAAACACATCGTCATCAGTCCCAAGTTCGCCAACAAGGCGATCAAGCTCTTGCTCTAAAATACCCAAGGTGGAAAACCGGTTTTTGGGTTCAAGAGTACCATCTGGAGATGTGACTGAAGATCCCATCAGGTTCACAAGCTTTGAGCAAAACATGGCCAGACATGCGAGTGAGCGGAAAGATTTTGGGAGACTTGTATCAGTGCGAGAAACTTCGAGAAGATAATCCATAGGCATGTTTGGCGGGAGCCCCAAGTTGGCGCACCAGACTTGCTCCATGAAAAAAATGGCAATCCATGTACGCGTGCGCCACTTTTCGGCATCTGGAAGACTGACTTGTGTGCGAGAAAACTCATAGATAAACTTGCCACGATGCAAGCCAAGTTGCATGGCGAGTGATTTGGCCAGTGTGATGAAACGGTAAGAACAGTCGTCAAGAACCTTTTCATTAGGAAGGGGCCAGTTACCAAGAATAAGCAAAGCCTGGACAATGTGAGTAGAGCGTGGAGTTTGGATCCAACATGTTTCAATAGCAAGTTGTTTGATGAGCGAGCAAAGGCTATTGTAAAGAGTCGGCGTAAGCTCGGATAGTGAAGCTGTAAGACAAACAGTCCAAAAAAGCAGTTGAGACTGGCGATAAAGTTCTGCGGCTGAATTAGATTGAATGATGGGGAGAAATGGAAGATACTGAGTCATGAAACGCTGGTGGAGCTCTTCGGCCTGGTCATAGGAGAGTCGTACGTCACCAACGACATAGTCAGGGTGTTCATTGACTATGGAGGAGGCCACAGAGACAGAGGTTTGGCGCGAGTAGGATGATGAGTTATCGTCAAGATCGCCGGAGTTTCTCTTATCGGGTAGAGAAGAAGAAGAAGGCATGGCAGGCGAGGTGGATGCTGCCGCTGAAATGGGGACTGAAGACGTTGAGTTATGGGGTTTAGAGCCGTTTCGGCCATTAGACGAGTTTGGATGATGGAGATGAAGATTATGATGAAGAGTCCGTGAGGACGATGATAAGGAAGCAGAAGAAGATTCTTGTTGATCTTGAACAGATGAGTGGCTGCGTCGATGGCGGGTCGATGAATTTAAGGGGTCTGCCAGGTCCGAAGGGTCGGGTTTGTCAGTTGTTGATGTTGAGGGTTTAGGAGCAGCTGACGAGGTTGACGAAGAAGGGTGGGAAGAAGAAGAAGAAGAAGGGGCGGTAGCGGAGACGCATGTCGGTTGGGTTGCCTGGGCAGCGGATGTCGGTAAGCTAGAAAGGAAAGACCCAGAAGTAGATGGTGCTGAAGTTAAAATGGGTAAGGGTTTTTGGCTGGCTGAGGATGAAGAAGAGGAAGAGGAGGAGGAGGAGGAGGAAGCCATTGTAGACTGAACACCTTGAGCCCGATGCTCGTCATCAGTTTTTGTTGAAAAGAGGGGTTTTGAGGGTGGCGAAGAGGAGGAGGATGTGCTAAGATCGGCGCTATCATCCACATCTTCATTTTCTTCATGTGTAGCACCGGAGGCCGAAAGTTGTGGTGATACTGAAAAATCTTCCCTGTGTTGTTGTAGATGTTGATGTTGCTGTTGCTGCTGCTGCTGCTGCTGCTGTTTTTGTTGTTGTTGTTGTTGTTGTTGCTGCTGCTGCTGCTGTTGCTGAAGATTAAGCACAACAGCAGCATCTGGATTAGTTTCTTTTAGTACCGAGGCAAGCATAGACTCGCGGTGTTGAAGAGCTGCAAGTTGCTGCTTGAGGTTTGAAATATCATCACGAAGACTTTGGACCTGGCCACCTTTGTGAGGCTTGAAGAGGGGGTCAACTACACACTTACGGTCAGCCTTGGCACAACGAGAGCAGGGAGCAGGGAAGACCTCAAGAGCGTTGCACTTTATTTTCTGTTGGCGACAGTGGGTGCAAGATCGAATCGGCCGGGGTCTCGGAGAGGAATGTGATCCGTGATGGGTTGAAGTAGCAGTAGACGATGAAGCGGCAGCAGCTGCAACAGTGGAGGGTGATGAATGGAGAGGACCTAAGGGAGGCGACATGGAAAGAGCCATGGCTGGACCCATTGTAGGAGAAATGGAGGGGGCCATTGTAGGCGAGATGGAGGCCGCCCGCGGGTCCATGCTAGTGGTATTGGAAGAAGAAGAGGAGGAAGAGGAGGCTTGGGTATTTGAAGGGTTGATTAGACGAGACTTAATTGCTAGGCGCTTTGTAGGAAGATCTGGAGGTTTAGGAGAAATGGATGAAGTCTTTGTTTCTAGAAAAGAAAGCTTTGAATCATGAGCCGCATGTGCAGAGGCAATAGGAAGGTCTATGGAGTTTGACTTGTTAAATGAAGCCAAGTAAGACTTGAGGGTATTTGTCTTGGGGTCATTTGCAGGGAGAACTGTAGTGGATGAAGATGGCGAAGAAGATGATATAGATTGATTGGTTATTTCTGCTACTTGGCGTTTATTTTGATGAGGGCCTTGATGATCATCTAGAGAAGTTTTTGAAAAAGTTCTCTTTTTTGTACTAGAATATAATTGTTGTTGTTGCTGTTGCTGTTGCTGCTGCTGTTGCTGCTGTTGCTGCTGTTGCTGATGCTGATGCTGATGCTGATGCTGATGTTGCTTTGAATGAGATGGTTTCGGCAAAAGTGGTTTAACAATCATAGAAGCAGGATTTGAAGCAGAGCCATTTGAAGAAACCATGGAATTATTTTGTGAACCTGTTTGGAGAAAAGAGTTAGGATTGTTATGAAGATTAGAGGGGTCATTTTGGTTATTGTTTAATAACGAGAGTGAAGCTGATGATGCTTGAGGAGCGGCTGATGTAGCCTGCTGGATGGATGAATCCGAAGAAGAAGAAGAAGTAGAAGTAGATGAAGTAGAAGTAGAAGAAGAATGATTAGATGTAGATGATGAATTAGAAGGCGCCGGACGGGCTGGCGGGAATATCTTTGTGGAGTTCATTGTAGGGGTGCCATGATGGCAGAAATACGTAAAAGTGGTGGTGGTTATAAAAAAAAAAAAAAAAAAAAGTCTTTCAACATACAGGAGAGGGGAAAAGACAGCCTTGGCCCTGTGCGGGCTGTGATAAAATTTTTGGACGAGCAAAAAGTGGTGGTGGTGGTGGTGGGGCTGAGATACAAATCTTTGTCAGCAGATTTGTTTTGATTACGTGATACTTGACGTTTAGAAACAAAAGATAGATGAGACTTGTGACTTGGACCTGCAGTTGCTGGTGCTGGTGCAGGCAGGATGAGAACGGGTTTCATTTGAGGAGTTGAATAATTTGGGAATTTGAAATTTTGATTTTGGGAAATTTGGGAATTTTGTAAATTATTATTATTGTTATTATTTTTTTTTTTTTTTTTTTTTTTTTTTTTTTTTTTTGGTTAATAATTGATAAATTAAAAATGAATAAAGTAATTGAAAAAGAAAAAAGAAGGAAAAATTTAAAAAATGAAAAATGAAAAATGAAAAAATAAAGAAGACTGAAGAGATGAAAAAAAAAAAGAATCAAATAAAGATTTCAAAGATTATTTATTCTGAATTAACTCAAATCCCATTGGAAAGTCACAGAAAATATTGCTCAGGGGAAACCCGTTGAAGGGTTTGAAACTAGCTCATCCCGAGATACACAAGGGACTGAGCATTTTAAGTCTTCTAGAAAAGAGATTGTATTAACTCTTAGTTTAGTTTAGATATGATTCAGATGGAAAGCAACGATCCGAATAATGTATCCTGGGCTTTGGAGTAGAATATAAAATAAACGGGTGAGAGAATGGCAATCCATTTTAATCAAAGGACCTTAAATGAAATATGTGCGTAGATAAAAAAAAAAAATAAAAAAAAAAAAAAACTAATTTTAAGAGATGATGTCTATTTTTTTTTTTTTTTATTATTATCCTAAAAGATTTGTGTCTAGCAGATATATTTAATGGTGTTGCAAACCCCAGAAAGGAATTTGAACATAAATGTAGGTTCCGTCGAGGGGATAACTAGTCTAAAAAAAGTAATTGAAAAATTTAATTAATTATTTTTATTTTTATTTTTAAAGTCCCAAGTCTTAAGGTTTAATAAGTTATATATATCCACGTGCGTGACACAAATGTTCACGTGAACATTTATTTCATTTTATTTTATTTTATTTCATTTCATTTTATTTCCCTTTGAAAACGTTTTTTTTTTTTTTTGTGAAAAAAAAAAAAATCATACAAAAATTCAAATAATTGAATCTAATCCAACAATTTAATTGAAGGGGGGAAAAAAAAACATATGGAAAAGTTTATTTTCTCATATTAGACATGATGAATCAAAAAAAAAAAAAAGTAGATTTATATATATCGCGCTACATGAAATGAAAATAAATAAATATTTATAAAAGCACATCTAAGGTTTTCACTTTTCTATTGGTTCAGATATTTTTTATTATTGAAAATAAATTTCAGTTGTTATTTTTTTTTATCCAACCAAAGCGCATAGTTTGATTATTTTTATATGGCATTTAGTAGAATTTATCCAATGCTACAAGCTTAATAAACTTATCATGTTCCTATTTATGTCGTCATAAATATCCTCAAAGGTCCTTTTATTATCTAATATCTAATATCTAATATCTAATGTCACTATCAAATATCAACTAAACATTGAATTTTATGTATTAATTCCTATTAAAAAGTTCTAATAGTATCAATTTCAGATTCAAATTATTATTAAACTCATCAATATTTTATACAAATCTGATGGTAGTTTTTTTTTTTTTTTTTTTTTTTAAATTTCAATGTAAATCAATTAATTTACCATTTCAAAAATGGTCCAAGCATATATATGAACAGTAAAAAAAAATATTCCATTTTTGCAACTTTTGTAATGGAATATTTTATGGTTGGACATTTAAATCTTCGATATATTCAACTTTCTGATACTTTTTTTCAACCCTAATTCTTACATATATATAAAAAAAAAAGTCCTAAGATTAGATGTTTAAGAAAAACGTTTTAATTTTTGCTGTAGGCAACAATTTTTTTTTTGTTTTTTGTTTTTTAAATTTAAATTTTAAATTCCACAGATTTTGGAATTTTTGCTAACCTACTGCTTCCCTGCATTCCCACTAAATATCACAAAGCCATCTATCTATCTTACCAATGTCTAAATAGTTCTCCATATAAAAACACATTCCTAAGGAAAAATAACAAACAAAATTATTAATTTCTATCCGCCTTTGTTCTCGGCATTTTCTTTTTTTTTTTTAATTTCAAAATGGAATTGATTTAAAGATATTTAAAGGTTTCTCGATATACGTTAAAAAGAAGTCAAAAAGAGAGAGAGAGAGAGAGAAAGAGAAAAAAGGTTTAATTTTAAAATCTTAAAAAAAAAACAAAAAAGGTTCCTTCAAAAGATTTCAGGTATCATGTACTTTTTATGCCCCTTTAAAGAATAAAAAAAAATAATTTACAATCTTACATTTTTTTTTCAAAGGCATTTCTCAAACATTAAATCTTAAAAAGAAAGTATGGAGAACAAGGCTCCATAAGCTTAATTTTATCAGAATTATGCTTCATATTATTTTGTTTTTCATCTCCATTTTCTGAAACAATTTCAATATAAATAAATAAATAAAATATCTTCGATTCCTGACATGATCTTTGATTATCATTAATTGATTGATTAATTATTTGTTTTTTTTGTTTGTACGCTTACATTTCCCTTCATGCATCTCCACATCTTTAACAAAAAAAAAAGAAAACGGTTTATTTGTTTGTTTGTTTGTTTATATCTGGACTGCATGTTTGTTTATTTTATTTTATTTTTTTTTCATTCAGATCAAAAACTAGCACATATCCACTCTAGTAATTATGTTTATATTTATTTTTTTATTTTTTATTTATTTTTTTTATCTTAAAATAATATTTTTGTTTTTCTTCTTCTTCTTCTTCTTCTTATTTTATCCCAGAATATCTCATTGTCAAAAACAAATCCGGATTTTGAATCCAAACGTTGGCTAAACAACCAATTCCTTTGGCAGTAGTAAACATTTATCTTTCTCATTCAGGTAAAAACTTGAACTCAAAAAAACAAACAAACAAGACAAGACAAGACAAGAAAAAATTCCCTGAAAAGAAAAAAAAAAAAAAAGTAAACAAGGAAAAATTCAATTCAACGGTTCTTGTTTAGTTCATTCCAAATGATCCAAGCAATTTGAAAATTTTTATAAAAAAAAAAAAAAGTCATTTCATTATCATTATACTATATTAAGCTATATTATTACTATAAGTTTTTTTTTTTTTTTAAATGTTATATGAAAAAGAAAAAGAGAATAATAATCCAGAGCAAGAAAAATAATTAAAGGTAAAAAAAAATGACATCAAATGTTTCCAATTGATTAAAATGAGAAGCGAAAAATATTAATAAAAGAGTCAATAATGAATAAAAGTCCGTTTGAAAGAGCTTCCTTTCTTTCTTTAGAAAAGGTCCGGGAGTCGTCCGTATTAATGAATGAATAATCTCCTTTTTCCTTGCCCTGTAAAAAAACAAAAAAAAAAAAAAACCTAGCAGCATAGTAACCATTGCTCAATTTTGCAAGGGAAAATATATACCACTAATATACTCCGACTCACCTTCCCCTTAAAAAAAATCACTCAGCAATAGACGCAGGAGGAGACATGCTATTCACAGAAACAACTGATACTGGCCGTGTAGGGGTCGGTGAAGCTCCTGAACTGCCTCCTCCAAAACGGTAATGGCTGGCCAACCCCAGTTTGGAGTGTTGTTGCTGCTGTTGTGGCTGTTGGAATTGTAATCCCAGACCTTGTGCCGTCATTGAGACTCCAGCAAGACTGGTTCCTGTCATGGCTGCAGCCACAGCAGTTCCAGAGGGTGCAGTGGGCATTGAGGGAACCGCAGTCAATGATAAAGTTGATCGCTGTGTTTGTAACAGGTCTTTGGGAGTATGATCCAGAGCACACAAATAAGCTTCTGCGCTTTCGAGTAGAGTTGGATACACGTATTCAGTTTTGCTAAAAAAAACAAAAAAACAAAGTTAGAGTTACCATATAATCAAGGAAAGAAAAAGAAATATTTACCTTTGAGTTTGAATGCCAAAGATAGCATCGGCCTGTTGTTTCAGCATCTCGTCGGTTTCTTCCGTGACCCCTAGATACAACTCATCCAAACAGACTCCTTGAATCTTTTTAAGATTGTTGTTGTTAGGAATGTCATGAACATTGCGCGGAATGAGGTGCGCAGCAACACGCGCCGAAGAATTAGCGGCAGCTGTGGTGGCCACAGCAGGACTCAAAAGACTAGTTGCAGTTGTGCTTGCAGTTGTTGTGCTGCTGAGGGCTGGAGAGCTCAAGTTACTAGACGAAGAAGAAGAAACGGAATCGGATCGTTCATGGGTATTGTCTGCAGAAACTGATAGATTTTCAAGGTTAACATTCAGGGATGCAGCAAACGAGTCTTCCGAGAGCCCAGCTGATGAAGGCTGGTTATTATTAGAATGATTATTGTTACTGGACGCCTGCTTCAAGTACTCCTGGTACACAAGAACTCTGTCCATAACCACACGCAGCCAATAGAGCCGCCATTGGCGTAGAGAATGGTTGCGTGGGTACCAAAAGAGGCGTTGCGACACGCGCAAATTCTCAAAAAAGGTCTTTGTAAATTTAGGAGTCAATCGGACGTGGGCCAAAAGATACCCAACGGCTTGACCGAGGATGAGATTCAAGCTTGTTGAAGAGGTTAGTGCGCTTGTTGTAGTCACGAGAGTTGCAAAGTATCCCAGAACGTGAGTGCACAGGTCATCATTAATGTGCTCCACATCCTTTTTGCTCAGCAACCGGCTACTGCTACTGCGATTATTCTGTACAGAAACGTTATTGTTGCTTTGTTCCTCCTTACCAGTAACAGTCCCCGCACTACTGCTACTTGAACAAGTACTTGGGCTGTGACCCGCGACAGCCGACTTGTCATAATCGCTCCGAGCCTCCAGGGGCTTGCACATATTGCAGGCCAAAAGACTCATTGTGGTCAGAATGTATGCGCAAGGACACTTGTCGAGTAGATTAATTTCCAGCACTTTATAAATTTCAGCCAAAGCACGGAATGTTTCGAGGGCCCACCCCCATTGCGTCGCATTTTCCGCGAGCTTTAAAGTGTGCTCACCCACAACCTCGCAGTAGGGGTAAAGTGCAGTTGTGCGGTGAGCATTAAGAATGCCATTAAGCGACGCAGCTGCAGAAGGATCAACCCCAGAAAGGACTGAGGATCGACTTTGGGATCGAGAGTGATGTCGCTTTGGCGATTGGGGCGATTGTTGAAGCCCTGCAAGCCCGAGTCCTGAAAGTGGTCGTGGCCTGTTGCGCATGCTTGGCGAGCGGCCTACTTGTGTTGTATTTGATGCTGAAGAGTTTGAATTATTTGTACATGAGTTATTATTATTGGAATTATTGTTAGAGTTGGTAGCAAGAGTGTCTGAGGGTAGTTTGTCGACTTCTTCTACAATCATTGTTTTGAGCTGTTCAATGAGATCACCGAGAACTGTGAGTTCCATGGCTGAGGGGAATACTTCATCTTCGTCATCGTGGGCCATACGTTTAGCTGTGGTGTATTTAGAAAATAGAGGCTGTGAATGTTTTGGGAAAAGCTCTGGCTGTGAAGGAAGTTGTTGATGAGATTGTTGTTTTTGTTGTTTTTGTTCATTTTGGTGATCTTGATTATTATTTTGCTTGGACTGATCGTCGGATTCCTTTGGCTTAGGTTTAAAGGAGTTCCAAAACGGCGAACTTGAAGAAGTCAGCGAAGCCAGCATGATTTAAAGAAGAAAAAAAAGACAAGGCTGATTAGAAAAAAAAAAAAAAAAAGAAGAATAAGATAAATGATAGTAAAAGAAAGGTTTTTAAATATTTTGTTCTTAAAAAAATTCTGGGTTTAAAAAAAAAAATAAAATAAAATAAAAAAATTTTGATTTTATGGAAATTTTGGTCACAAATTGGCGGCGGATTGGCAGTTTATAAGAGAAAAAAAAAAAAAAAAAAAAAATTAAAATTTGAATACCCACCAAAGTAGTAAACACACCAAAACTGTTTTACTCGCTGGGAAGAATTTCCGCTGGCTGCTTTACTTTCACAAGTGCGCACACAACCTAATTGGGTTTGGCGCAGGTCACTAACATAATAATGTAATAATTCTCTTCTATTAAACTTTATATCAACCAAATGCAGCCCACTCAACACTGAACCCATGGAACGTTGGTGGCGGAGCTCGGGACTTGTTGGCCATCGTCGTAGTGGTTTGGTCTTCGGTGCTTAACTCGGTTTCCTTTAGATCATCATCAGAAACTACTGGCTCACATTCATCAAGACCACCAATAAACCATGTCTTCTTTACTGCTGTTCCTAGACGACCACCTCCTATAATGTCCATGATTTTGAACTTTTCATCATACCCAACTCCAGTCACAATATGATGTGAATGATACCGCAGTGGATCTCCAGGATACGCAACAAACTGCCCGCCAAACCGTAAACCTGGCGACAAGTAGTACCCGACGCTTTCACCAGGAGAAGGGGTTTCGCTATTCCCATATGGAACCTGTTGCTGGAAATACTTGTAGATGGCATAAGCTGCAGGATCAGGTTCCATCACATGCGGGGAGTCCATTGTAGCTTTAACAACATCCCCACAAAGACTTTCGTCTTCACTATCATCCTCACTATCATCCTTACCGTCATCTTTATCCTCATTATTATTTTCCTCTTTCAAATTAACCCCTTCAGATGACCCTTTAACCCCGGTTTCAGAGACCTCCTTTACTTCAGTTTCACCTTCCTCCTCCTTTTCATCCTGGTCCCTCGCTATACTGGCCGCCTCGCGCGCAGCTTCCCTCGAAGCCTTCCGTGCAGCTTGGCGCACTGCTCGCTCTCGGTCGTAACGCTCTCGTGTCCCGTACATGGACCGGTACATCTTGTACGCAGGCAGCTGTTCCGGCCTCTCGTTAGTAGCCGTCGCAATCGCATGAAACTGTACCCCAGAAGCCCCAGCTGCTTCTCCAGCTGCCTCCATTTTTTCCACAATTTTGACCTCTTCTGCCGTCAAAGCCATGTCCCGGTACATTACCAAAGATTCATCTGCATTTTGAGTAATCCCTCGCTTCCTTAACGCTTCTCGACGGTTCTTGATACTCTGAACTGTATGGGCCCATACCTGCTCTCTTCTTAAAACATTCTCCTTCTCTTGAAGTACTTGCTCATCTCTCTCGTCAAACGTCCACAGAGCCAGATCATGCACTCGCCCATCATCAACAAGATACGCACCATCTACTTCTTCCACTAAGTACTTGACCTCTTCAGGCATCAACTCCAATGGCAAGCCCATAAACACGTTTTGCTGCGGGAACTGTGGTAGCACACCGGTCAGTGTTCCACATATGTGATACTGTGCTCTCAGTCGGGCCACGTCCCGCACATCAAACACAAGCCCCCGTCCATTCACTACCGCAATCGGTATTTTATCTTTATTTTTTTTCTGTATCTCGCGTTTCATTTATGTTTTGACTCCTTTAATATTAAATCACTAATATTATAATATTAATATAATAATATTATTTTTTTATTAAAATCTCATTTCAATGTTAAATGTCTTGAGTATATATATTTGTCTGATGAAAGTGATGTAACAGATCTAACAAAAATTAAAATTTCCAAAAAAAAAAAAAAAAAAAATTGACACTTCTTAAAACCCTAACCTGGTAACATCCACACCACATACTTGGCCCACCGAGGTTCAACAAGAAGCGCTTCGCCTTCAACAAGAACCCGGTTCTCAGGTCCCGTCACCTTATCACCATCGTATTCAGGCAGCGCTGACAATACACCTTTTGAAACCACCCGGCGACCCTTTACGCTTTCAACCTTACCCCTTAGCATCACGTATGAGTTGGCAGGCGTAGGTGCTCGGTAGTTGAGCTCCAAAGTTCCTGTCACTCCGTACTTGTTAGGCAACAATGGGAACCCGCATCGTGTTAGTGCCTCATCCATCAAAGTCGCCAAAAACCCGCCATGAACTATCCCATCATGCCCATCAAGCTTGTTGCCCACATGATAAAACACAACAATTTCACCTGCAGTTTTGTCCTGGAACATGATCGGCTCAACAGTCAAGTACCCAGGGCCTCGCAGTAACCCAGAAGTCAGCATGTGCCCTCGGTGCAACAATGGCACCGCGTCGTAGTACCGGCTCTCTTTCCACCGCCCAGTCTCGGCCTGCTCCGCCCTCAGTGCCTTCACATACGGGTGCCCGTGAATGTACTTGTATTCTGGCTCTTTATCTAGCTCGGCATCAATGTCTGCCTGCGAGCGTTTCGGTCCAAAATGATCAAAATTCCATGCTCCTACTCCGTATCCGACACCCAGAAACCCCACTGCCAACGCCCACTTACGCCAGCCTCGAGTCCATGGAGACCCGGCTTTTGTAGTAGACGACGATGATGATGATGATGATGATGATGATGAATAGCATCTAGCCACTCTTACCACCGTAACTCCTCTAGCAATCCCTCGTCTGCTGGTAATTCCAATTGTCGGTCGAAACATTTTTTTTTTCTTCTTTGTATGAGTGTGTTCGATGATGGCGTTCTTTTTGGTTTCAACTGCTTTTCATTCATTCCCCCGCCATATAAAAAAAAAAAAAAATGAAATTCCTCGGACCCAAAAGTCAAAACGGCCGGGTAACCTTTCCTAAAACCTTCAACCAACCACCATCACCACCCATTTTTTGGAGTGAAATTTTTTTTGTCCTGCCCGTACAGCTGCTGTCAATACCACCACCACCAGCATCTTTCCCATCAAGCCATGTTCTCTCTTAGACCACTTGCTGCTCGCCAGACAGCTTCTCTTTCTCTTTCCAGCAGAGTTCTTGCCCGATTTGCCAGTGGTCCTGTCGGAACTCCTCCCTTTTCTTTATCCTCGTCATCTTCTAACAAAACCTCGAACATCTTTGAAACAGCCAAGTCACTTGAGAAGAACAAGCCTAGCTCTTTTTCTAATACCCGCAATCCCTCGCTGCGCACCTCCAACAAGTATGGAAACAGTGCTCCTGCTCCTCCACCAGAACCTGAAGATGGCAAGCAGCGTGTCGGTTACGTTCTACACTGCAAGTTCACTCCCAATAACACAATCCTGACCCTTACCTCCCAGTACGTTCGTGTTGGTAAGCGCTACGTAAAGCTCACCAAGGAAGAGCGTTACATGGATCTCGTCAGACCTCTTGAGGATGTCCGCATTAATCTCACAGCCGGTATCCTTGGTTTCCGTCACACAAAGCAGGGCGAATACGAAGCTGGTTTCCAAACAGCTGCCCGTATGTTTGCCCTCATGTCTGAACGCGAGTTCCTCGACCACCCGCTCGAAATCATCCTTTCCAACTTTGGCAAGGGCAGAGAGGCCTTCCTCAATGCTCTCAATGGTGCTGAAGGTAACCTCGTTCGCCCACTGGTCACCAGAGTCACTGACGGCACCAAGATTAGAATCGGTGGTGTTAGACCCCCTCGTGCCAGACGTGTTTAAACTTTTTCTTTTCATCTTCATCTTTTGTCCTATTTTTTGTATATATTAGTGGAAAAAAAAAATTAAATATAAATTACCCTTTTGTGTTTTTATAAAAAAAAACCCTCTATAATGTATTTGGATCTTTTTTCTCCTTTTTGTTTTTACATGTTCTTTCTAAATACTCGCGAACTTGGCCGTTTTAAAGGCGGTGATGGATTTAGCCTACTACTGCTCCCATCACCTTCCTCAGCTGCATCAAACTTGGGACTTAAAAACCCAGTGTGCAGCGGCACCTGCGGAGTCACTGATCCTGTCCGGAGCATATTGGGTGCGGGACCCCCCACCGGAGGTGGAACAACAGCGTTCGGCCCATTTCCACCCAAAAGGGTAGGAAGAGCACTATTGTTAGTCCCTGTTTGCCCGTTCCAATGGCTCACGGAATTGAATAAGCTCACGCGGCTGCTAGGTCGTGAAGGAGGTCGCAGGTTTTGGTACTGCGATAAATCAACCATACTAGATGATCGACCAGTAGGCAGTTGCGGTGCAAATGGAGATTGCAGCGCCGGCAGCTGTTCATTGTTGTAATGCACAAACCCGTCGGGATTTTCACCAAACGAGTCTCGGAAATTTGGTGGTGAGCTGTGCAGTGAGCTCGTCCCGCTATGACTAACTGGAGTGCTCCGACCTGTCTCCGTCAAAAGCGCACCTCCTTCCTCAAGCATTCTTTGATACGACATTGATCCATCACCAAATATAGCGTGTTTAACTGCACCAACATACCGACTAATCACTTTAGGCACAGACACAATGTTGCGCTTTGTCATGACCAGGTTGAAATATCGCGTGTGCTTCAACACTTGGAACACGTACAAAATCAAGTACCCCAATACTGCCAGCAGCATAACCGATCCAAGCGCTTGAAAGCCACCGCTTAACCATGACGATGACGACAACTTTGACGATGATTCTTGAGATACCGGGCTAGGTGTGAATTGAGCAAATCCCTCAAGCTCACCACCATCAACAAAATGTTTAGATGAAACATCTGCAGGAAGGAACCCTACATCCGAAACTGATGAAGAGCTCGATGGTACTTGGCTTGACGCGTACAAAACTGCACGGCCAAGCATCCAAGTTAATTCTGTACTTTTAACAGACGACACGCTGGTAAATGGCGAAATAGCACTGTTATCCCTTCGCTGATAGGTAAGCTTCCCGTTGCTGTCCAAACTCAGCACGGTTCCAGACTCATCAATGGGTAGCTGGAACCCAGAATGCAAAATATTGATAACCCATGTCGCCTTAAAGCACGCAGCTTCAAGCTTATCCTCGGGTATCTCATGAAATCGTCCACCAGGATTAGTTTCTTTCTTAATATCATCCCAGCCCATGCTACAGTATTGCGCCACATGACTGCTGAACGTTTCAAAGTCGTACTTCCCGCCAAGTTTAAAGATATCATTAGCAGTGTACCAATACTCGCTAACACCAACAAACTTTTCAGTGCCAAAATCAATTGCTGGGGCATGAACTCCATTGAATAAGCACGGATCATCTGCACATGGCTGGTCTTTCCGTAAAAGAGGTTGCATACTTTGCAGACAAGTTGTAAAGTTTCCATTGCCTTCAAATGACATTGTCGTATTTACATTGATTTTCATATCATGTTTCAGCCCCCGAGGATAACAGGGATCAAGGGGAAGTTTCTGAGGGTAACTGTTTGTCTCAAAATGCTCCTCTTCAATCAAATGCTGTGCATAGCGCCGTCTGGCTTCATTGGCACCAAATCCTAACCAAGACGAAACAAATACCTTCCACTCCTGGTTATTACCATTCAGGTTGCGCAATCGCACATTGTATAAATCATTCAGGTGACGCTCCGTTTCCGTAGAGTTGGGGGAAAATGCAATTTGAATAGACGCACCACCCATGTCCATGAACCCAAATGACTTAGATTCCACGTTGCTGTGTATCTCGTTTTCTTGTGAGTTAAAAGAATCCATTAAATAGTTTAAGGATATCCAGCCATAAAGCGCTTCAGTTTCACCATCGATAATCGATACATGTTGTTGGCACTCTGGTAAATAAAAATCAGTTTTCATTTGAAGTTCTTCGCAAGTTTTTTTCAAAATCTCTTCCTGGTCAGCTTCTGGGAGTAGTCGCATTCCTGCAGTAGCCAATACAAAGATCGGTGTATGAGGTCGGTCATTTTCAGGAACTCCACTTTCTGCTGCTTCTATGAGTTGTAAAAGATGTTCTTTCCATAAAGATTTGGTATTTCCAGCAAACGAAGATATCCCTGGAGAAATCTTTTTATTGAACTGAGCGTCTTGCGTGATGGCCGGAACAGAGTTTAAAATTTCTTCTCTGCTGCTTTCTTGGTTATTGAGCAGTGAAGACTGAAGTCCTGCGGGATCTTTCCATGAAAACACTTGGACTCGAGAACCACTGGAACCAGCATCGACTATGACAGCATATCTAGTAGCAACATCATGGTCCGGTATGGGTGTTCGTTTTTGAAACACAAATGATGAGCTGGTGTTGTTTGGCATTAAAAGTGTGGAGATTAAAGAACGAGCGGTATAATTTTGATTTGGTAAATGAACCGGCTGAATGGTTAATTAGGGGAAAGATTTAAGAGAGAGAAATAAAAAGAAGGTTTATTTTTTTTAAAAAAAAAGGTGATAATTTTAATATTTGTTCTCTAACTCGCCGATTGAATATCGCAAGGCTGTTCGATTAACAAGTCGACCTTGTATCCGCAATGTCTGATATTTATTTAGAACCTAAGAAAATGCTTAAAATAACTATTTAAAAATAGGCCTTTTAGTAGCACAGACTTCTTGTGTAGATGTATGCGTTTATAAACTAATTAGTTAAAAGAATAGTAGTAGTAGCCTTGAAGAGCCAAAAATAATATAACGAGTGACAGTGTGGCTGATTAACGAATGACTGAAGAAGAGGAAACACTCTTCTGTTATAATGATCAAAGACTATTTTATTTATTTTTTTAGGGAAAAAAAAAAAAAAAACTAAGTAGAAACAAAGAAAGCTGTCGCCATTTCTTGACAAGACTCAGTTTCTTAAAAATAATAATTAAAAGAAAAAGTATCTAAAGAATGGAGGAGCAAAAATAAAAAAAAAAAAATTGATATCGCCAGACAAGGCTGTTTGCTACGTATGTGATATGTGTGTGATAGTTTAGATAATTATGTCATAAATTACAAATTTATTTTCTTTATTCTAAGTTCTATGTTACCCGGACAAAAAAATCCTAAACAAGTTATTTTAAATAACTATGCAAAGCTACACTCTTCAAGTCTGGTGTCTGTAACAAAAACACCCGAATCGCAACCTTCTTACCCTCAAGACTATTAATTACTTCTTTAATCTTCTTAGGACGGTTTTTTAAACTATTTAAGTTAGTTCTGATTAATACCTTGATTCTGAAAACATACTCATCGCATGATGTTTGGAAAAAATGTTCCGCATCTTTTCCTGAAATACACACATCGATACCATTGCCGGTATTGTCTTTGAGACGCATACTGAAATTCAGATAATATTTGCCATGGCTAAAAAATTCAAAATTAATGTTAGATGTCTGTAGATCAGAATCAGAGCAACGTAAGAATATTATTTACCCAATTGCAAACCAAGAGTTTAAATCATCAACTGACGATGATGTTATTTTATCAAAATTGCCTTTGATCCAAAAAATTCTACCAACAAACCTACTACTTAATCGTGGAGTTTTAAATATATCAAATCGTAATATATAGTTTTTCTCTTCTGGTGCATGTTTATTATTTTTAGAACCACCAATTATAACAAGTTCTTCTTTTCTATTTGAGGGCGTTTCCCGGGAATCACTACTTTTTTGAGAAGAGTTTGGGCATTGATTGCTAAAATACTTTGATTTTTCTATTCTAATTTTGGTACTCTCTGTATCTGTATTCAGATTGATTCTTTCTGTTAGATTGATCCTTTTTTTAGCATTGAAAATTTCTGTAACTTCTGTTTCGCTAGCCATCTGGGTATCATTTCTTTCACATTGATCATTAATATCACAATCAGAGGGTTCTGTTTTAATTTTGAAACCAATAGAATCATCGTTGTAGTCATCTTCTGACATTATTTGGTTTGTGTAATCTTCAGAATGAGGGTTAAAATGTTGTGAGACCCTTTCATCTGGAATATCATTAGGGTTTTTTAGTTCTTGTTGAACTTCACCGTGTAATCTATGTCCTGGTTCAATGTTTTCTAGGTTATTGTTGAAATCAGTTAGATCAATATTTGAATCGTCATTTTCCCGCTTAATTTCAGGGCTAGTTATACCAAATTCCTCGTGCCGTGGTTTTTTACTTCTACTGCTATTTTCACTCTCTTTTTCAACAGGTCGTTTTGTTTTCAATCGTTCATTGACACATGCTACGTGTACCAATTGTCTCTCATTATTGATTTTGCATTTTATCGACTTGCTCGAATGACCAAATTTGTTTAGATATTGTTTTCGGCGCATCAAAAAAGCAACATAATTTCCATCTTTTTCATCAATTTCGGGAATAAACTGTTCACTTTTTCTTTCGCTGATAGATGCTTCTAACAAATCATTTTCTCCAAAGTAAGGCTTGAAAGTTAAAGCGTCAAAATACAAAATTGACCCTTGTTTAAAACGTGCCAAAAAACTGGCCATATTCCTTTTACCCCAAATTGAAATAGAAAGAGCAGCACTAGTAAATGGTACATTGTTGTATTGTGTTGTCAATTCAAAAGCCCCAAATAAAGGATTTTCACTGTAGTCAGTTACGATAATAGTTAAAGGCTCACTATTTTCTGCACAAGGACGGGAACCAAGAAATTCAGCAAGAATTCGAAATTTTGGTTTCTCCCTATAACCTGAATTGATTGTGTCATTCAGATCAATCATATCAAGTGTAGTAAACACACTCTTGTGACCAGAAGTATTAGGCAACACTTCATTTTCTTCGCCATAAACTGGATGTAGTAATTTAAATGTTTCTGTGAACAAATTATAAAAGACAGAAAAATTGTATTTGGTATCCTTCAAGTTTGCTGTGTAAAGCTTTACGTGACTGCTATTGTTCTTAAGAACTTCATTGCTGACAGGGTGCGACACAAATAGTACACTTGTATCGAATGTTGAAAATCCTGCCCAGTTGTTTTGATTTTTATTGACTTTTTCAGCATACTATTTCAGTTAGAATAATAACGATTACATTTTTTTTATATGGTCTGTTTTACTTACTTTGACATCTATATTAGTAAATATTATTAAATCGTTTAGTTTTACGGACGTTGCTATACCATTTATTTTTTCTTTTCCAAAATCTTTTTCGTAGCAATGGACAACAAAATTTCCATATCCAGCATTATGTCCTTGAATCCCCTCAAGATTAATAGCCAGGGAGATCGAATCATACTTTTTCCAGAACCTTAAGAGTCGACCTATAACGTTCACGTTAAATTTTTTGCATGGTAAAGAAGTAGGTTTATTATTGGGCTGAAGGTCTCCTAGTGGAACAAAATTCTCAGGAAGAAGTAATGGAGAATCATGTGTTGCCTGATTTTTAAACATTTTGGGGGCTTGATGATATCTAAGCTTGTTTGGTAAATGGGATAAGTGGGATGAAATTGTGAATCAAGAACTGTTTACAATTTTTTAAAACAAGTAAATAAACGCGATGAGGCGCGTATTCCTGCAATTGCACTATTTAAAATATTTCTGTAATAGCACACAAATACGCGATATAAAGTCATTATGTCTAACATAGATGTTGCTTATATAAGCATACTAAAATATATTTAATTTTGTTGATTTAAAGATAAAGCCGATAATTAAACTGAGACACGAAACAAAAATTGATTTAGCGTGTCATCCCAATGTAAACCCAGATTTTTCAATATTTATCAGTCTCTACTATAAACTATTCATAATTATGAATAGTTAACTATTAATTATGAATAGTTATAACTAATACTCCTTTGTTTTTAACACTCAGAATTGACTTTTTTTATTGCAAATATTATTTGAGTACTGCTTATAAACAAAATAATCCATATTTCTACATGTCCAAAGATGACAATTAGAAATAATTGGTTAAGCATATTTCATTGATATTGTATAAATATTATTTGGTTGTTACCCCATTAAGGGAAATTAAATTTTATGATATAAATATTTGCATTTATTAAAAAAAGATTATTATTCTATGGTCTATAATTGTAATATATGTGGTGCTATTTCATTCAGCCACTCCATTTGAATAGGGCTGACTTGTCTAGCATACGCTCGTTGAGTAAAAACAAGTTCAATATACATGATGGCCTCACGCTTTTGGCCAAACATCATCGAACTAGGGTGAATGCTTAAATATTGTCCATTAAATGTGCTTCGATAGCGTCCATCAGGAAGACCAATAGCTGTAGATCCAACGTATCCGTGCAAGAAGCATTTAATGAGCGCTTGGAAATCAAACTGGCCATCGGTTCTTGTGTTAAGTTCATCAATATCCTCCTCATCATCACTGCTGTCCTCTTGCTTGGACTTTTTATTTTTCTTAGACTTTTTCTGGCCAGAAGGTTTAATTCCAAGAAGAGTTTCCATATAACCCTTAATTTGACGTCGCACCTTGACTACGTTTGTCATGCCCTTGTAATTAATGCAAACTTCTTTACACCAAAGCTTGCGTTCAGAAACATCGGGGATTTGTAAAAATATGTCATACATTTCTTTCAGCATGATTAAGTCACCCCATTCAATGGCACCTGAAAACAACTTGTTTCGGCGCTCATTAACTTCATCACGAATTTCAGGGTGTGGATTCATAACTAATCCCTCAACAGAAAGGCATGCTGTAACATCAATAACCGTAGATAAAAGCTGTAGACCTCCAATATTTGAAGCTTGCAACAGAACCGCAGCAAGTTGTGGAGAAACCGGAAGAAGGGCCATTTTTTGACCCAGTTCGGTAATATTACCCGACTCATCAAGAGCTTTTAATCCGTAAAGTTTAAGCAATGCTGCCTTAATCGCTTTTTTACCCGGCGATTCAAGCCAATCAAATCCTAAGACATCATTGATCCCTGCACGTTTGAGAAGGAGTACTGCACTAGAAACATCAGTTCTGGTGATTTCGGCTTCTGTCTGCTTAGGAAGGTCTTCTGTGTATGTTTTTTCTGTGAAAAGTCGATAGCATTTTCCAGCAGCTTCACGACCGGCACGACCCATTCTTTGATTAGCTGCAGCTTGAGAGATGGGTACGGTAAGCAAGGTATCCATGCCCAAATTGGGCCTAAAAACTTTGACCTTTCTAAGGCCACTATCAATGACATAGCGAACTCCAGGAAGTGTAAGAGATGTTTCTGCAATGTTTGTAGCACAAATTACTTTTCTTCTATTTTTAGGAAGAGGCTCAAATGCTTTTTGCTGGGCAGCACTTGGCAACGATGCATACAGAGGTAATGCGACTATCAAGGGTGCTTCTTTGGGTAAACTTTTAGCAATTTCATTGAGACGCTGGACAACTTTTTCAATTTCGTCCTGACCGGGCAAAAATGTAAGGATATCACCTGTTGGTTCTGAAAGATTAACTTGACAAACAGTTTGAATCATAGAGTCAACAATGTCGTCAATCGGAGTTGTCAAATAGTATCTCTGAACGGGATACATTTTACCCTCAACAAATAAGATATCGGAATCGTTAAAAAATGAACTGAATCTTTCTGCATCAAGAGTGGCAGACATGACAATTATTTTAAGAGGATTTTTGGTACCTCGGCGTTTAACTTGAATTGATTTTAAAATACCCATTGATAAGTCGGTTAAGAGAGTTCTTTCGTGTGCTTCATCTAAAATGACAAAGTGGTATTGGCTTAACTCCGGGTCAAGCATAAGTTCTCTTAAAAGCATACCATCAGTCAAATATTTGATTTGAGTTTTAGCTGGATCCGACTTATTATCGAAACGAACTGAGTAACCAACTTTTCCTCCGAGCTCAATACCCATTTCCTGGCTCACACGAGTTGCAAGATTGATAGCTGCAACACGACGAGGTTGTGTACATGCAATTTTAAAATTCTTTGTTTTATTATCTTTTTGAAGGTGATCATATATTAACTGGGGTAGTTGTGTAGATTTACCGGAACCAGTCTCACCTAAAAGAACAGTAACTTCATTATCAAATATGCGTTCAATCACTTCATCTTTAGCTTGGTACATTGGCAAAATTTTCCGCACTTTGGCAAGAGATTCTTTAACTTCAATTCTCTTTAGCTTAAGCTTATGTTTGTGCTTTTGATGGGAGTTACCAGATTCATCATCTGAACTAGCTATTAAGTCTTCTTCGTCTTCCGAGTCAAAAAATCGAACATCTTTTCCCTTTCGCAAGTTTTGTTTATTAGACTTTTTCACAGTGGATCCATTTGATTTAGGTGTGACTATTGCTTTTTTTGCTACTGGCTTATTAGTAGCTTGAGTATGTGCTGTTCCATTCTGTTTTGGTTTCTTGAAATGCTTTTGGGAACTAGCATCCGAATCTATTGATCTCTTAGATTTTGCAGATTTTCCATTTGTATGATTAATAGGTTCAGGTTTAGAAGGTTCAGGAAGTTTTGAGACTGTGTCTCCTTCGTCGGTGAAAACAATATGCTTTTTAGGTGGCATATTAAACCAGAGCCATAAGAATAGATCACAGAAAAAGTTGGTGATAAAGTTGTGTAAAAGAACTCGTTGAAATTTTTAGAAAAAAAAAAAAAAAAAAGGTTACCCTGCTTTTGGAATTTTTTTTTGTGATAAGGCTGTAAAATAGAAATTTGAGCTTAAGACTTGAGACTTAAAATGCAACTGTAACTGTAAAAAAAATTGTCAACCTTTTTCAGTCCGGATTCGCAGCATTTTTTTTTTTCCCCAAGCATTTTCATAAAAACCTTCCAAATAGCATTCTTTTTTACACCAACTAAGCTTTTCCCCCCTCCATTTTCATGAGAATTTGATTTCGATCATAGATTTGCATTCATAAGTAGCACTATTTCTAGTGCTTTTACTTTTTTTTTTGCTTAAATACCTCTCTGAAAGTGCGGTATTTATTTATTAATTTTTTTTTTCATTTTTTCACCTTCCATGTATTTTTCTTTTAAAGGAAATACTTGGCCTTTTCATGAACCCACCACCAACCATTATTGTTATCACCTCACGTATTTTTATCGTACAACGCTTTGGCCTGAAAGCTTAAAAAAAAAATTTTTTTTTCTTCATTTCTCTTTTACCGACATTTGTTCCGACAGCCGCAATGCCATTATCGACAAGTGAGCTTTTAGCCAAAGCTTTCAATGAATCACCTGCACAGTCATCTCGAATAGTTTTAAACATTAAGAAAAAAGCCAATACTTCAGACGCATCCGATTCTAATAAAAAAGATGCATCTTGGATTGATTTAGCTAAAGAACTAGAAGAATCAGGTATGAATTTTAATTAATTAAAAACCTCCGTTTAGTAAATTTGGCAGCTCACTCTATTTTTAACTAGACAAAAAATTACAAGCATCTCTCAAATCGATTTCCGACGATCCTTTGACAAATCCTCAAGTGCTTCCTCATCCACCACATCACCATCCAGCAGCCCCAATTATTTCTTATGAAGATCGATCAGTTTTAAATTCAACGTCAATCTTACACTCTAGCATCAACTACAGACTATGCCCATATTGCTCACGGCCATTATGGGTGTCTGCACTACAATATCATATTGAATCGTCCTGCCCCAAGGCGCCCCCATTACCAAAACTTGCAAAGGATCCTAGCATCTTTGTCGAGTCAGTTTCGTCCAATCAGCAAAATGGGACGAAAAAGAAAAAGAGGCAATCAATATCTTCAAACTCTGCTCAACAACCGGCTAACAATACATTCACATCGTCACCTCTTAAAAAGAGAAAGCTCGATAATAGCAACAACAATAACAATAACAATAGCCATAACAATAGCAATAGCAATAGCAATAGCAATAGCAATAGCAATAGCAATAACATTAACAATAATAATAATAATAATAATAATAATAATAATAATAATAATAATAATAATAACAATAATAATAATAATAATAACAATAATGACAACAACAACAACAACAATGGAAAAGCATCGGACTCAGGTTCTACATTAGTTAATTCAGACCCACCTGAGAATGATGGAGTGAATGGAACAGCATCTTTAGCAACAACATCAAATTCTACTACAGAGAAGGAAGGAGACGCTGAGGAGCCTGACCCAGCATCTCAAAAGAAAAAGGTGCGAAAGTTTAATATGACTAAACAAAGAAAAATGGCACTTGCTGCTGCGCAGGCAGAAGCGATTGCGCGAGGCGAAAAGCCACCGACTATTGATCAATTAGATTTAGCGAAGATTACCAAGAAGCCTGGGAAGAAGCCACGCAAATCCAAGGAAAAAGAAAAGGAAAAAGAGAAGGAAAAGGCTGCTAAGGCTAAAGCTCCAGTCGATGTGGAAAAACAGTGTGGTGTACCACTGCCAAATGGGGGGCTGTGTGCGCGTTCGTTAACATGCAAAACACATTCTATGAGTGCAAAGCGAGCGGTTAGAGGTCGCTCAGCACCATACGATGTGCTACTTGCAAATTACCAAAAAATGAACCAAGTTAAGATGGCATCCATGTCTACTGTGCAACAACTTGCCGATGAAAACGAAGCATTAGGCGGGTCCGAAGTTGACCCAGAAGAAGAGGTGAGGCAAGTGATGGAGGGTGTTCACCGGTCGAATCCGATTCCAATGGAACAAAAGATTTTGATTCCAACACGAATGAAGACGAATTTTATCAAGATGCGAGAAATGTTTGCAGGAGCACTGTTGCCACGAGGTGTTCGCCCGTTGGGTGGATTTTTGGGTCGGTCATTGGCCATCAATCCAAACAACTCTGCCGATATACATTATATTCGACCACCTAATCAGGTTCTTAAACAACAAAAACTGATGCAAATACATCAGGCTCAAGCTCAGGCACGTCAGTTGGCGATACAGCAACAACTGGCGCAACAGCAATCTCAGCAACAGCAACCTCAACAGCAGCAACAGTCTCAACAGACTGGATTGACGCCACAGCAGATTGCTTTACAGCAACAACAACAGCAACAGATGCTACATCTAGCTCAGCAGAACTTGGCTCGACATCAGTTGGCACGACAGCAGGCTGGACATCCACCGTTGACACCACAACAACAGCAGCAGTTTTTGCATCTTGCACAGCAAAATATTGCGCGACACCAGTTGGCAAGACAGCAACAAGCGGCAGCAGCAGCTGTAGCTCAAGCTCAGGCTCAGGCTCAAGCTCAGGCTCAAGCTCAGGCTCAGGCTCAGGCTCAGGCTCAAGCTCAAGCCCAAGCCCAAGCCCAAGCCTAGGCTCAGAAGCAGCAAGGTTAATAGAATTTCATAAACCACATGTACACTTTCCTGTATTTTTATGCATTTTTTCATCGTTTAGTTCAAACAAATTAAAAAGTGATATTTCTAAAGGAATGGGTTCGAACCCTTTTTTTTTTTTTTTTTTTGGTCATAAACAAGACTTGGGCCATAGGTGTATCTTGAATTGTTAATGTCACACACATTGTAACAAAACAGCATACAGCTTCAATATTTATGAAGACAGCCGATATGTATAATCGTCATTGATCTGACAGTATTTTTATCAATGAATAATAAAGTGCCAAAGAATATGTTTTGTAGTCACCCTTAACACTTTGAACAAAAAGATATACAATTACAGACAATTATAGATTGAGAAATGCCTTTTTTTTCATATCATTACCATTAATTTTTTTTTTCTTTCTACCAGAAATTTATTTGTAGATACTGATACACAACGTTGAAGAATTTGGTCTTATTATAATCTGACTTCTAAATTTATTTTAAACTGATTGAAAAGATTATATACAAAGAGCTTCGTTTTATGAGGCAAAAACTGATTTCAATGCTTTTTACATTCTTGAGAAAAATTAATGTTGAAATTTTTTATATTAAATTATTCAGCAAGTCTAAACAAAATGATTGAATTTGAATTGAGTTTAACGGGGGAGAAGGAAAAATTGCAAACAAATATAATTGAAATATATATATATATATATATATATATATTTATGAAACCAAATCTAACTTAACCCTTTAATAAAATAAACAATCCGAATAAGATAATCATGCCGATAACAATGAGAATGCCTTCGAGAGTTTTGAAAGAGTAGCTGTCATCGCGTTTTGAGGAGAATGCAATCTGACAATACTTTTCAAACTCGAGGGCCATTTCAGTTTCAGAAAATTTGGAAAGCACAAGAACCCTGCAGTTATGGGCATATGTGTCACGCTGCTCTTGGGTCATTCCAAAAAGAGCAAACTGCAAAATAGGAGCCCATTTTTCAGGGTCCGGGGGTTCATGCCAGCCCGTGGCTTGGGTAACTGTTTCAAGGGGCCCACCCGAGTTAGTTGCAAGAACAGGAGTTCCTGCAAGCATGGCTTCTAGCGGGACAATACCAAAGTGCTCGTTGGAGGGTGTGTATGCGAGAATAGCAGCATCGGCAAGGAGTTGTTTTTTGACCGAGTCTGGGATGGAGGGAATAAAAATGACTGTTTTAGAGTGCACGTCGCGGGTGTGGTAAGCCGAGGGCCCATCGGTGGGCCAAATAGTGGCATAGGAGAGGCCCAGACGACTGCAAAGGGTTTGGAGCTCTGCTAGATAAAGGGTATTTTCTTTGACTTTGAAGTCGTAACCGCCAGCAAGGATTAGTTTTGCAGGAGTTGTTGCGTGGTCTTTAGTTGCAATACTAAACGCATTAATTGCGAGTTCAATGTTTTTCTTTTTTTCAAAACGGTTAATGGAAAGGACAAAGGACTTTGCTGGGAATGGAGAAGGTGTGTACTTGAGGTAGTCGGTGGTGTTGACACAAGGGTACAGGACATCTAGATGGCTTTTAATTCTGGGGAAAGCTTCACGGAATACTGTTTTTGTAAAGTTTGAGTTGACGACGATAACGTCGGAGAGTCCAGTGGACCATTCTTCAAGGGCGTCAAAGGGGAGTCTATAGATTTTTTTAATGATGGAGGTATGGTCAGACAAAAGTTTGTCTGGGAAGTGGCCGTAGAAGAGGATTTTGGCACTGGGGAAATACTCGCGAATAAGCGGAATGCAAATGGAAAGTTGGTCGACAATAAAGACGTCATATATCTGGCCTTCCTTTGTGTTAATGAGGTTGACTACCAGGTGAAGCTGGCGCAGCATAGCGCAAAGAATCGAGAGTCTTCCGCCAAAGTTGCGAGGGATAATTCCATCTCCACGCACACGCACGTCGAGAGTACCATCTGTGGTTTCTGTAAAGGCATGGGAACGGTCGAATCTACTAGTATAGATTACGACTTGGTGGTCTCTGGACTTAAGTCCGACTGCGGCATCCACAATCAAGCGTTCTGCGCCTCCTGTATAAAGTAGGGAGAGAGGGGGAAAGAAAAAAAAAAAAGTTAGAATGAGGAAGAAATGGATAATGATATGGACATACCAATTCCGAGATCAGGGTGAATAAAGGCAATCTTCATGGTAGTATTGTATTGATGGTGATAATGGTGGGTTGGTTTGTGTTTGTGAGGATTATGGTTGCTTTTAAAGCACTTGAACACATGTAGGGTTTTTTTTTTTTTTTTCCTCTTTTAGCGAGATGGAAGGTAAGAATCGGTGATGCCCTGCGGACGGGCAAGTCCATTAGGGGAGTTGGTTGGTTGTAGGGTTAGGGGTTTTTAAGTATTTGTTCTCATGATGGTTAATTATGGAGATGTCCGTCAAAGAACAGTTTACCAAAAAGTTTATAAGAGCTATCATAATTTAGATATTGAAAAGATTATTTAAGAAATATATAAAGAAAGAGAAAAATATAAATATAAATATATAAATATAAAGACTTTTTTTTAAAAATTGTTCAATTTTTTTTTTAATTTTTTTTTTTTAGACTTTTCAAAGAAATGATTAATTTTTATGTTTTTATGAAGAGGAAATTGGATTAACACCCTATCAATGAGATTCAAGAGCAAAGCCAAGCACAAAGGATTTCAAGAAACTTGGCAAAGAGTTTCTTGATTAAAGAGAGAGTTTTTAAAAGTATTGGAGTTTTGTTTTTTTTTTTTTTTTATTCACAAAAGTTTCAAAAGCTTAGAAGTGTATATAATGATAAGAGAGAATGATGGGAAATGATTTAAGCTTATTTGAAGATTAATCTTGGATGGGGTCTTGGGAATTCAAATAGCTTTAGAGCAAGTTTTCAACAGGTTTTAATTCAAGGATTGATTGATGGGATTAACTAGAAACTAGAAACTAGAAATATAAATATAAATATGTGCCCTGAGTTGTTTCCAAGCAGTTTGTAGACCAAAGTTAGATTTGATTGTTATCAATTATATAATTAATTATTCAGTATGAGTAGCAATATTGTTGTTGACATATTATTTGAAAAAATACATATCTGTTATGTAGTATAGTTAAGTTTAAAAGGCTTTGCATTAAGTATATACTTATCATATATGATAAACCTAAATTTAATTTCAATCAATATTGCTATTTACACATTTTAAAAGCAAAAAAATTATAAACAAATAAATATAATTCAAGTCTTTAGATGGAATTACCAAAATGAAACATTTCTGATAAATGACGACATTATCAAAACTGACAACAAAAAAAAAATCTCTTTTTTTTTTTTTTTTGCTTTGATTTTTTTTTTTTACTGGTCTCCAACTGGAAAAAAGCCCAGCTTGTCTTTCAAAAAAGTGAATTTTCAAAAGCCCCCCAGAATCTTTCAACAAGAGGGTGTCTAAATCTCAAGGGTTAGGGTTTAAATTTGCTGCTAGAATTGTTGTATAGGTTAGAAATGAGCTTAAAAAAGTGGATTGTCAACATTTCTTGGCAAGAATCTCATTTTCCAGAGCAATTTTAAGAATTTTATATTTAAATATTTGATGTTGATATATATATATATATATATAAAAGGATTTGAATCATTTTATTTTTTTTATTTCTTTTTTATTTCTTTTTAAATAAATTTATGAAATATCTGAAATCACCCGGCGGAGATTCCGGGACTTGTAATATTATTATTCCAACGTTATTAATAAGCGTATTTCAAAATACGTTTTTATAGAGAGATCTTTTTGAAGGTGAAAAATATGGGCCGGTAAAAGCTCGTTAATATTATTTTTTTTTTTTTTTTTTTTTTTTTTCAAGTGAAGAAAAAAAAATACCCAGCACCTGTAATAGGAGAAAGAAAGTGGTAGAGTCAGTATCCACTTTTTTATATTATAAAATATTACATTGAAAAAAAACAATGGGATAAAATTCAATTGCATTTCATCTGCAAGGAAGTAGCAAAAACAAAACAAGTTCTATAAAATCTTTAAGTTTAATTTTTAATCAATTTGATTAGTTTGATTAAATTGATTAATTTAATTAAAAAAACTTTGTTAGTTTTTTTTTTTTTTTTGTGAGTGTGTGTGTTTGGATAAGATAAGAAATGAAAATAGGCCTGCGTATGAGAGAAATGACGTAAGCGGCCCAGTAAATTAGATGACAAAAAAAAAAAAATAAAATAAAACCACGCCAGAATTTCATGTTAAAATAAACAAATAATAAAAACAAATATAAACAAAAAAAAAAAAACAAACCGTATAGGCCTTTAAATGTCAATTCAAGAAATTAAAAAAAAAAAAAAAAAAAAAACCCCCGAAAACCTAAAAATCTCTTTAAACTTGGCTATATCAAACCTATCGGGCCTTTTCTAAAAAAACCAAAAAAAAAAAACCCTCCCCGAAATTAAAATGTCTTTGTCGGGTTCAATTGACATCCTCCGACCTCTTTTTTTTTTTTTTTTTTTTTTTCTTTCGTTCTTGCCTTGTTCGGACCACAGCGGGTCTTGTCTATGGGCCGCCTTCCGTAGCAACTAGTAGATAAGCCTCACTATGAACCTTGTTGTTAGTGCTTGACCGCTAAAGAAACGGCCACTCAAACACACACACACACACACAGAGCCTTTGTGCTGCTACTACTACTACTATTACTATTACTACTGCTACTACTACTACTACTGCTACTGCTGCTGTTGGCACCCAAAAAACCTCACACTTTTTTTTTTTTTTTTTTCCCTCCTTTTCACTACCACCACTAAAACAATCAAACACCACCACCACCACCACCACCACTATTACCACCATCGCCACTGAGCACATCTCTGCTCTAATAAAACCTCCTTTTTTCAATTTTTTTTTTATTATTTCTATTCTCATCCCTTAAATCTATTCTTTTTCTTCTTCTGTTTTTTATTCTTTTTTTTTTTTTTCTTTTTTTCTTTCACCGCATCTTCTTCTTATCTTTCACATGTCTGGCACGGCCACTATCACCTACGACGACGGCTCAAAACACGAGTCGGTCGAAGTTGCTGGCGAGTTCAACGAATGGAACCCTGTCGGTCTCGACTACAAGTCTGGCACCCTTTACTCAATTGTCATTTCAGACCTTACTCCTGGTGCTAGTTACATGTACAAGTTCATTGTCGATAGCACCTGGCTTTTGGCCATTGATGGCCGTCCAATTTGTAAGTATCTCTTTTTTTTTTCTCTCTTTCTCTCTCTCTTTGTTTTTTTTTTTTTTTTTTTGTTTTCTTAAATGATAGTTTAATGAGCACTTTTATGTTTAAGCAAAATAGCAAGCAACATTCATTTGAAAAACATTAATTTTTTTTTTTATAAAATAAAACTTGATTCATATAAACTTATCACACAGATTTTTCTTTTTTTTCTGCAGAAAGATAAAGAAATTGATATATCAGTTTTGGTTGTCTAACATGTTTTTTTTTCTTAGCAAACGACCCAAGTGGAAACGCAAACCACATTCTGACGGCATCCCAACCGGACCCCGTCGTACCTACCGTTGTGGTCCAAGAAGAATCCCACTACAAAAAAGACCCTTCTTCTGCTCCTTCATTTCAATCCAAAGATATTGACGACCCCGTTCTTGTTGACCCTCCTACTAAAAAACAGGAAGAAGAAGGCCCCTCTGCTCCTTCATCTACTACCCCTTCAACCACACAAGCCCCCCTATCTTCCTTAGCTGATGAGACCTCGGAGTCTTCTCCAGAAACCCTTCATGAAGAAGTTCCCTCTGGAGTGTCCACAAATGCCATTGGGGGAACAAAAAACTCTAAGAACCTTGACACCCGTGACTTAGCCGAGCTCGATGAAGATAGCGAGGATGAGCTTGACAAGTTCCATGAAGATGAGGAAGATGACTATGACAATGGTGATGAAGATTCGGACATTGGGACATCTTCTCACACAGGTTCGCACGCTAGAAATGCCCGCAACAGTGATGAAGACGAGACAAACAGAGATGTGTCCCAGCAATCCCAGCAAAACAGTGTGTGGATTGTGCGATTCTTTAGTCTTATCTTTGGTAGCATTGGTTCATTCTTTTCTAAGTTGTTTAAGATTTTTGAGTTTAAACGTGATGCGTCCGAGCAGCAGCAGTAAAAGTAAAAGTAAAAGTATAGGGAAAAGGGGTTATATATATGCCAGCGATGATGGTGTCAAATATAAGAAAGTGATGGAATCAATATATATATATATTAATAATAATGATGATAATAGTGCTTTATAGGTTTATTTCTTTGAATTGTAATAATTTTTTTTTTTTTTTTTTTTTTTTTTTTGGAATCTTTTAAAACTGGCCCTGTTTCTTGTTCCTGAACGTAGCATGTGTTTGGTACATTGGTATTTTAGATGTCAGTTGAGCACCTTAAAACATGGATTGTCCCCTTGACTATTGTGATCATCTTAAGACTTAAATATAAAAGGCTTTCAAGATCAAGATCTTGTCAATCAGTTTATTTATTTATTTTTTTTATTTTTTTTTATTTTTTTTATTTTTTTTTTTTTGCAATTTACTCAATTTACTTAAATATCTCCAAAACGTCCAAAATCTCCAAAATTCCCATCACTACCACTACCACTACCACAACAGCTGGCTTCGATGTGCAGGTTAACCTGATAGCCCAGGAAAATGCGCTTTCCGAGATGCTGCCACTTCCCCAATCTGGTAATATTTCCACCACAATCACCACTATCACCACCACTACCATATCATTTTTGTTTCTACTCCAGCCGCTCTTCCATTAGCCGTACAAACACTCACACACAAACCAAACCTGGTCCTTCATCAAATAACCTACGCTTTACTGTACAGTGTTTCTACCTCAACCCCCTATCACACGGCTATCCCACCTCACAACACCAAACAACACCAAACAACTATTACAACCACAAATAACCAACCGGCTTTGGACTTTCAGCCTTGCTGGTCCTCGTCCTTCTACCCATTGCCAACCGCTACTTTTTGCCCGGCCTCCTGGCATCTCTACTGCCGCTCAGTGCCTGCTTTCAGACCCCCTTCGCCATGCCATGAGCAAAACCATGGGCAATCCCCCCTTTCTTTGGTAAACAAACTGCTCCGGCTTCATTCCAAAAACTTTTACTCCTGTTTTTTTTTCTTTTTTTTGGCCTTAATTCACTTGGAAGCCGTTGACGCAGCTCCCTCTCAAGCTTGGACACTATTCTTGCATTGCAGGCTGTTGCACTCACACTATGCTCATGACCATGTTCACCCAAAGTCTGCCAACATCACTAAAGACCATCATAGTTTTGAATCTGTTCTAATAAAAAGAGACACCATCCAGTTCAATTTCTGAAAGTTAACCTGGCCATACACATAAGTTGATCCCAAAGAGCCCTTTATGGTTCCAATTGGTACTAATACACCTGTAGATTCCTTTAAAGGTAAACAACACCCGCTGAGTCTCCCTGCTATTCTCAAAACATGTTATATACTCTAATTGGCTTCTTGGTGAGTAAACCCAGCTTGCATATGCAGCTATCTATGTTCTTCAAATAAATGCAAGATCTGCAGCAAGTTTAACCATGGCTTGCTGTAAACATTGCTAACTCAAGAAGCATCATTAAAGGCCTACTTTCAAACACAAACTCAGAAATTTATTTTTATGCTACTTCAAGGAGCTGCTCTCCATTGTTCTAGGTGCAACCTAGTTTACAAACTCAGACACCGAACTCCATTTTAAAAGACCAGAAACTATGGCCGTCCAAGTCTATCTTTTCTACCCAGTGTCTGCAGGAAGCTTATGGATCACTATTATCCAAAGAATAGGCTTTCTTCACAGGCATTTATGAAAACCTAACTTCAAGAATAACCTTTGTGGTCGGAATTACCAATTTCACCAAAAGTCGTCCTACACAGCTTCATGCAAATATTACTTCAACATGGTTTCGGTGGGCTCACATGTATGTCTATCTGACGTTACCAACACCTGTTTCGACAATCCCGAGACTCATGCTTTTGGATGACTACTCCACTTTCTCATGTAGATCTAGGGACTGCACAAGTGACATCTGTACAGCTGTAGACCCAGGATCTGGTGAGACTGGTCGGCTTATTGGCCAATAAGCTCGAATTCCACGATACTATGCCGATGGATATTGGTGTACTGAAATAACGAGATTGGTCAAAGAGGCGCAAAAAACGTGCGGTACCTGTACAGCCGCTAAATAGTACCTAAGAGTGAGCCAAGTCTATCTTGAGATCAAAGATAAGATATATCTGGTAATGATTGCAAAGCTCATATATCAAGGAAATTCCATAATGGTGTCCATGCAAAAAGATGTCATTTTGCTATATTTACTTGCAGATATATGTCAACCATCACACAGCTGTTAGATATATCATGTTTTGGCGCAGCTAAACAAGCGTTTCGTCATCAAAATGTTACTGATTTTGCTAAGGGAATGTCAGCCTCAAAGAGAATATATATATATATATATATATATTTTTTTTTTTTTTTTTTTTTTTTTTTTAAATCATATATGAAAGTAAGAAAGTAGGCATATAACCAAAACATTATTTAAGAAGGATGGCGACGCTCTGGGATTTACCCATGTAGCTTCATAACTGCAATAAATACTTTCAGACAGCAAATGAATCTCCCTATTCTAGAAAGTACTTCTGAATTATCAATCAAAGTTCAATGTTTGTAAATTAATATAAATAAATTTTTCTATAAGTTCGACCAATTGATTTAGCTCTTTTAAGAATCCTCTGTATTTGTTGATTTAACAAATTTTTAATTCTATAGCCTATTTTGGAAGTTAGATATAAAAGTTGAAAAAAAAAAAGAAAAAAAAAAAAGTTTTTTTTTTGTTTAAAATTTCTAGAGTCGTCACAGTTGATGGTTCATCAGGCTTAGGGTGCCGAACCTATATATATGTTTATAAAAGGATTTTTCAGGAGAGGAGGACGAGAAGAAGTTTTTAGAGAAGTGTTTAGATAATGGGATATCGTGCACTCTGAAAATGTATATCTTATAGTGCATATGTAGGAGAGTTTTGATTTAGAGTATTTATGTGAATAGTCCAAATGTGGATGAAATAAACTGTTTGAATAATTTTTTATTTTTTTTATTTTTTTTTTTTTAAAAAAATAAAAAAGGGGGGGGCCTCTTCTTTCTTTTCTTCTTAATTATTTTTCTAATTCCTAATATTTTTTTTTAAAAAAAAAAAAAAAAAACAATAGGTTTTCACCAATTGATATTTTAACAAATGGGATTTCCTACAAAAAGAGCCAAAAGCCAACAGTTACGGAGGATGCGGGAGCGATCACAAAGAGAGCAGCAACAGAATCTTTATGAGGAAGAAGAAGAAGAAAAAGAAGATTCTCCCAGACGCAAAACCAAAAGTGTTTCATCATTGTCTTTTATTACTAGTAATAGTAATAGTAAGGCTAAACCGCCTATAGCAATGGCTAAAAGTTCAAATGTTCCAGACACTAAAGAGGTGGTAGAAATGAAGGAGGTGGGGAAATATTTAAAGAAAGAAGAAGAGGTGGAGAAAGATCAATTATTAGAGAAACTTGGGTGTTTTGAGACATCAATTGAGAACAAATGAAGTTGGAAAAAATGAGAAAAAAAAAAGGATGAAAAAAGGATGAAAAGATAGAATGAAACAAAAAAAAAAAAAAAAAAAAAAAAAATAGAGATTCAAAATGAGTCCTTTTTTTTTTTTTTTTTTTTTTTCTTTGCACCTGGAAATAAATTGTTTAAAGAAAAAAAAAAACAATTTAAATTTTTTTATCAAATTTATCAGAGTGGTTTAAAATAAAAATAAAAAGGAAATAAATAAAAAATTTGAATATTAATCCAGTTAAGATTTTTTTAAAAAGTGTGAGACATTTTAATGTTAAGAATCCCAGTTGGGCAATATGAATGAGCATTTATTATGAAAACAGTACGAATTAAGTTTTTTTTTTTTAATAACTAAATGAAAAAAAAATAAAATGAAATAAAATAAAATAAAATAAAATAAAATAAAATAAAATAAAATAAAATAAAATAAAATAAAATTTCACTAATAAATGTAAAACTAAATACATGAAGAATAGTTATTAATTTTATACTAATGAATTAACTTAAATGATTTTTTTCTAAACTAACAACTTTTGTTTATTCTTCTTAAAAAAAAAAAAAAAAAAAAAAAAAAAAAAAAAAGATAATTGATTTAATTTTAATTTTTTTTTTTTTCAAGTTAGAATTTAATATTAAATTCTGTACAACGGTACGAAATGAATAATTCTTTTATGGTTTCCTATGTTGTCTTAACTGGTTATATATATATATATATATATATTTATCTGTTTTATTTAATAAAGTATGTTTCATGAACCGTTATTTATATTTTTATTTTTTTTAATATCAAAAAAAAAATAATTCTTAGATTACTAAAGGGTCTATTTTAGCCCAGTTATTTTTAATGTGTATGTGAGAGCCGCACTATTTATTTTTTTACTAAAAAGGGGAAGTTTACCAATATTAAGCCATATAGATATAAATATATATATATATAAATATACATTCATGATACACTAAATATTAAATACTTAATACTAAACACTATTGATTTTGTTTTAATAAAGGTTAGTTGTAAATTTGTAAATAATTGAGAGAAAATAACCAACAACAAAAGAAAAAAACATTAAATATATATAGATGTTAATTTAAAATTAAAGTACAAAGTATGAAGAAATTAACTTTAAATGTTTTGTTTGTTTTTTTTTTTTAAAAAAAAATTAATATCTGACAAAATCATGGAGAAATTACAAGTCAAAATACTTTGATATATGAATGTCACGAGAGCATAAACCTATTCTGGTTATTATTATTAAAAAAAAAAAAAAAAAAAAAAGAAATATAAATAAATAAATAAATAAATAAAATAAAATATCAAAAAAAAAAAAAATTTTTTTTAATGTATTGAAAAGTTTTCTTTAAAACAATTTATTTTAAAAATCCTTTTTTTTTCTTTTATTTATTATTTCTAGGCGTTGCCACTATTGCTAAAACCTAGGTTTTGTCTCTCTCTCTCTCTCTCATAAAAGTGTTGCATCATCTAATGCCAACTATAATTTTATGTGTCGTTTTTTTTTTTTTTTTTTTTCTTTTCAAAAGGAGAAAGAAAATGGTATATTGAAGTTAGTAAGGTAAACCAATGAATAAAAGAAATCTGAAAGAAACTTATTTTAATGAAAATAAAATAAAATAAAATAAAAATAAAATAAAAATAAAAATAAAAATAAAATATAAAAAATCAGATGGAATTAAGCTTAACGTCAAGTTCATGAAATAAGTGGACTGACGAACTTGATTTCATGAACTAACTTATATATATATATATATATATAATGTGGGTTTTTTTTTTGTTATAACATATTAATTAATAATTTTATTTTCTAAATAATTAAAAAAAAAAAAAAACCATACTTTTTCTCCATAGTTTTGGAGACTTGAATATATATATATGTTATTAGTAGTATCACCACCATTATTATGATTCTTTATTTTATTTTTTTTTAATTTCCTTGTTCTCTTTATTAAAGTCCGCATAATGACCTGATCTATATACAAAATGACTTTTTTTTTTTTTATCTGGTTATCTAAAAAAAAAAAAAGAAAAAATAAACCTCTGTGGGCGTATTACGTGTATAAATGTGTGTGTGTGTGTGTGTGGGGGGGGGGTAGAAGAAGAAAAGAAGAAATATATATCTTGTTATAAAATCTATTACATAAATCATTAGTAAGTTATAATCTTGTGATAAACTGACTAAAGATTACTCATCATTTAGACTTTTTTTTATTATTATTTTATTATTATTTTATTATTATTTTATTTATTTTATTTTATTTTATTTATTTTCTGGTTGCCACGCCGTACGGCGGTATTTTTTTTTTTTTTTTTTTTTTTTTATGTGATGAGTGCGTTTTTTATTTTTTTATTTTTTTATTTTTTTATTTTTTTATTTTTTTATTTTTTTTATTTTCTTCTTCTTCTTCTTCTTCTTCTTTCTTAGTACTACTGCCTTATACGGGGAGGGGGAAATCTTGGTAGAGTAGTAAAAAGTAGTAGTCTATCTATTACCTTATACACACTTAAATTCTTACTCTCACCCAAAAAAGGCAACGCCTTGTGACCCAAAGCGGCCACAATTGCGACGTCATTTTTTTTTTTTTTTTTTTTTTTTTCTAGTTTGGGTAGTGAGAGTAAAAAAATGAAAATGAAAGTAAAAGTAAAAAGAAATTTAATAATAAAATATATATATATATATATTTTATTTCAATTTGTTTTGATCTTATTCTTCATTTTTTTTTTGTTATTAAAAAGATGAAGTTGAAGTTGAAGAATATCAATAATAAGAATAAGAAAGTATGGGACTAAATGTGTGCGGGGATTACTGACTTTAAAAAAAAAAAAAAAAAAAAAAAAAAAGCAATTGAAGAAGTTTACAAACGTGTTTAAAAAAAAAACCAAAAAAAGTTTAGTTTGAAAATTACACAAAGAAACTTTTTTTTTTTTTTTTTCCCGACTTTTATTTTATTTTATTTTATTTATATATATATAAATATATATATATATATATTTTTTTTATAAAAGAGGAAGAAGAACAAATGATGATTCTCGTATAGAAAAAAAAAAAAAATCAAGACATGATATATATATAAAAAGTTTATATAAAGATTGACAATGGTGGAGACAGTGTGTAAATATATAAAATAGCAAAATAACAAAATAGCAAGACATTTGTTTTTTTTTTCTTAATTATTAAATAACCAAATTTAAACGAATTATTTATATAAAACAATTTGAATTTTTTGATTTTATGTTATATATCAAAGCCAATTGACTTCAATTGATATCAATTCAATTGAGATTTGCTTGTTATATAAGTTGTTATAAATATATATATATATATAAATATATATCATCAGCAGATAACCAGCAGACAAAAGTCCAAATAGTGTATATATATGTGTATGTGATGTGCGTGTTGTAGTAGTGGTGGTTGTTAGTCTTAGTTGTCAGGGCAACGCATCCCCCAATCCATCCATTGTTTACTTGCAAGTAACGCCATACATTCCATCCACAAATCCACAAAATAATACACAGTGTTGCTTCTTTTGTTGTTTTAAAAAAAAAGTTCCGGTTTTCATATTAAAAAAAATTAAAATTATTAAGGTAGTACAAAAGATATCTAGACTAAATACAGATAAAAAAAAAATTAAATTTTTTTTTTTCATAAAAAAAAAAAAAAAAAAAAGAAGAGAAGAAGAAGAAGAAGAAGAAGAAAAAAAAAGAGGTGTGTAGGAGGATGATTGAAAAAAAAAAAAAAGGTGGAATTAGGTAGGTCGAGATGGATAGTAATTGAACAATTGATAATGGGCAAGACACATTTAAGTCAAAACAATTGTTCCTTTCTTTTTTTTTTTTTTTTTTTTTTTTATTTATTTAGACCTGAGACATGGTGGGAAGACCAGTTCTAGGAGGCGATGATCTCTTACGCGAGGGTTGGCTAAAGGGACCAGATTGAAGCATGGTAATGATTGAGAGAGCAAGCTGACCAGCGGCAACAGCCATTGAGAAAAACAAAAAGGCAGTAGTAGCTTGAGCCTTTCTGCATCTATCAGTAGAACCTTGGACAATACGGTTATTGTCAAGGTATTCATGGTTTGTGCAAGAGTGAACACGAATGCCATGAGCAAGAGCAGCACCACCAGAAAGGCAAAAGACAAAGTCGCAAAAGTCGATAAAGGCAAGAATAATGGGGAAAGCCAAAAATTCAACAAAGCCAGCCAACAAACCATAAAAGGCGCCAAATAGCATACCAAACGCACTGACGAAAATGGCAAAATTGACCTGAGGGTTTTGCCATGCAGAGCCGTTAATCAAAGAGCCGGTAAGACCCATAATGATAGTCATAAAGACAAAAAGCACAATGCGCAGTGAGGGATCGACAAAAGCATTAACCATTGTTGTTATTGTTGTTATTACTGTTGTATATTATATGTTGTTTGAAAAAAAAAAATTAATTTGTATTATTCTTTATTTTACTGGGGAGGGGAAGAAGAGGTAGATATATAAAGGTTTGATATATGATTATATTACTGGTAAGAATTTGTGTTGAATATAATATATATATGAATTAGATTAGGACGAGGATTATATTGATGATAGAAAGTGTAAAAAGGAAAAGAAGGAAGGAAAGAAAAAGAGAGAAAAAAAAAAAAGAAGAGAAGAAAGAAAGAAAAAAAAAAAAGTGGGAAAAAAAGTGGGAAAATCAAGGGTTTTATAATCGCCGAGTTCTTTTTTTTTTTTTTTTTTAATATTCATATATTTATTATAAATATATATATACACTGTATATATTATTTATTATAAGTATATTGGGTACTGCCAAAAAAAAAAAAAAAAAAAAAAAAATCTCAACTGTAGACATATAAATTACAAACAAATAAATAAATAAACAAACAAACAAACAAACAACTACTACTACAACAACAACAAACAACAAACAACAATAACAAGTTAAGAACGCGGCTATAAGCAAGTAAGTAAGTGAGAGTATTATGAATTGCTTTTACCAGATGATGTTGGTGATGAATATATATATATATATATATATATATATTTACTTTTCAGTATTCCTTCCTTTAGAAATTTTTTTTTTCTTCTTCTTCTTTTGGACTTGAAACAAAGTTTACGCGTATTGTTAGCTTTTTTTTTTTTGCTATAATTCTTCAAAAGAATATATATATATATATAAATGACAAGCTTTAGATAGCAACAATAGTGGGTGTTAAAAGGTTGTTGTTGCGCGCAATGAAACCAAAAAAAAAAAAAAAAAAAAAAATTGAAAGAGAAAAATATCTATCATATAGATATTAAACTTATTGATTTTTAAAAAAGTTGGTCATTTGAATATATATATTTTTTTTTTCTGGAGAAATAATGATATGTATATTCTTATTAGTATAATAGTTATTTTACAATTCCCGACGGAAAGAAACAACGGATATTTTTTTTTTTTTTTTTTTTCAATGGGGAAACTACAGTTATTTTTTTTTTTTTTTTTTTTTTTTATTTTATTTTATTTTAATTTTTTTTTTTTTTTTTCAAGATGGGAGGGAACTTGACAGTAATATAGAAGAATTAATTATTCTAATAGAAAAATAAAAAAAATAAAATAAAATAAAATAAAAAAAAAGAAATAAAAAAAGAAATAAAAAAAGCCCGCCAGACGGAACATTGCCAGATCCGGCAAGGATATTTCAAAGGTTCTTCGAAATTGAAAAAAAAAAAAAAAAAAAAAAAAATAAAAAATAAAAAATAAAAAATAAAATAAAAAATAAAAAATAAAATAAAAAATAAAAAATAAAATAAAAAATAAAAATATATATGAATATATTTATGTCTGTCTTTATTATTATTATTGTTGATTGATAGTTATGCTTAATATTTGGTTTATTTTTGAAAATATTGGTACATTCATGCATTAACACAATCATACATCATACAAATAAATAAAAAAAACAAAATTCTCCCCCCCCCCCAACTTACCTTTCCTTTCCTTTCTCTTTTTTTTTTTTTTTTTTTTTTTTTTAATTTACTTTGAACGCGTGCCTCAATGCTCAATGAATTCCTTTTTTTTCAAAAATTAATTTTTTTTTTTTTTTTTTTTTTTTTTTTTTTTGAAAAATTTAAAATGAAGATCTAGTTTAAAAAAAAATTTTGTTTTTTTTTTGCTTTTTTTATATATTAAATGACTAATTGATAAACTGGTTGTTGCTACTGCTGATGCCTTTTTTTTTTTTTGGGTCAATCATATGATGAGGGAATTTATTTATTTTTTTTTTATTTATTTCGCTCTTTGAAAAAAAAAAAAAATTTAAAATATAAGTCTTAAGGCTTTTTTTTATTTTATTTTATTATATTTTATTTTCTCTATTATTATTATTATTATTATCTTCTTCTTTTTTAAAAAAATTAAAAAAAAGACCTCGATATCTTTTATTTCCATATACTTTAACTCATTATCAATTGATCTTTCTATCTTTCAATTAACTCAAAAGTCTTAAATCTTGCGGCTGGCTGGCTGGCTGGCTGGCTGGCTGGCTTGTTACTTACATACTTATAAGTAAATAAATTTTTTTTTTGGTATCTTCTTCTTCTTCTTCCAATTTTTAATATATATATATCTCTCTTACTAAGCAAACACAGCCGTTCCATTTAATGTCATGTGATGCGTCTAAATTTCTTTCTTAAATAATTGTTTGTTTTTTTTTTTCATCATTCATTTTTTGAAAAAAAAACAAAAAAAATAAAAATTTCATAATTTATTTAATAAAAAACAAACAAACAAACAACTAAAATTTTTATAAACTTTTAGTACTTCAAGTTTTTTTATTTTTATTTTTATTTTTTATCCATCTATTCTTCCTCATTCTTTATTTTTTCATTCCATATTTATATGTTTATATTTTTTTGTATTTTTATATTTTTGTATTTTTGTATTTTTCAAGCCATTTTACATTCTTCAAAATTTTCTTTTAATTTTTTCATTTCATTTTAGTAATAGAATTTTAATAATAATAATAATAATAAAATCGTTGCCTGATGGGACATGAATTATCAAACTTCAAAAAATAAAATAAAATAAAAATAAATAAATAAATGAAAAAAATGCTCCTCTTATTATCTCATTAATCACAAGCCATATTGATACAAAAAAAAAAAAAAAATATAATATAATAAAATAAAAAAAAAATTTGAAAAAGGAAGTTCCAATGGCCGGATCACTTTTTTTTTTCTTTTCCTTTTAGTATTAAATATTATTAAATATCCTCATCATCATCATCATCATCATCATCATTATCTTACTAGCCTCGTGGCCCTGATCCCCATGATTGTCTTTTAAAAAAAATAAAAAAAAAATAAAAAAAAAATAAAAAAAAAAAAAAAGAACCTGATTTTCTTACTGGTGGATCTTTTTAGAACTTTTCTTAATTTATTTAATTTTTTTTTATATTAATAAAAAAGAAAAAAAAAAAAAAGAAACCCCGCGAAATTTTTTTTTTTTTTTTATTTTGTTAAATGTCCCGCGTGTGGCAGATCATCATCACATGACTTTGGTGATGTAATGCTTCAACCGAGTTCCCGCCGGCTGGTCTTCAGCCGGACACTTTCACTAGCCGCACTATTATATCTTAAAAAAAAAAAATTATTTTATTTATTTATTTTTTTTTTTTTTCAAATAATTATTCTTCGTCATAATTTCAAACAAAACATCTTCTGACGACATATCCTTGTTACAATTTATGTTACAACTTTAATTACATTGCTAGTTACAACATTCAAATAACATTGTAATATAATAATAATAAATATCACAAATCTACAAACCCACAAAATAAAAAAAATAAAAATTAAAAAAATAAAATACTCCATTTAGAAAAAAAAAATCCCCAATTAAAACATCTACAATCACCACACACACACACACAAATCACATATACAATAACAATGGCTAGCAGAACAGTCTTACAGTTCTCAAACGTCCTAAACTCTAAAGTCGCACAGGCCAACTCTGCTCTGGCTTCAAATCTTCCCTCACAATCTTCTGACCTTACAACATCCTCTCAACCTTCTCTAATCTTACCTGCTGCTCTCCTTTCAATCTTCTCTCTTCTCTCATCAACTCACCACCCCATCTCGGTAACAACATCCATTCCAACCTTCTCTTCAACTCTACAAAATCATCATCCATTGTCAAAGGATTCCCCTTTGTCTCCATCATCTCCTAACCCATCTAGTTACCCCCAAGAATCTCCTCAATCTGCAATCCCATCCTCTTCCTCTTCCTCTTCCTCCTCCTCATCTTCATCCTCAAATACTCCCTCATCAACATTCCCCTCCTTTGATGCAATCTCAGCTTCCTTAGAACAATTCGTCACCCTCATTGATGCTTATCTAGCACAACAAGAAGCACAGCTTTCAGCATCAGACCAACTCACACGTGCAGCTTCTTTTACTGGCCCAACCCCTTATGATCAGGCTCTCGATGACCTCCAATGGGCAATCATTGGTTACGCCTCTCTTGCCATTTATGCCCATCTAGTTGATGACCTTTGCACACAAACTCTCCCACTCTCAAAAGACTTGCTCTATTGGGACTCCATCCTCAATTCTTCTCACAACTCTTGGGCAACTCTTATCTATTCTATTCAAACTGCTCCCATTAAAATTTACTCAAAATTCTCCTCAATTTCTTTACAAAACTTGCCAATAGGAATCACCACATCACGTGTTAACCTCCAAACACTTTCCTCATCATCATCATCATCATCATCATCATCATCATCATTCATTCCACTACAATCCCTCAATGCTTGGTTGACAGCTTTCCAAGAAGCCTTTTCCAGAGCACAATCAGTTGCTAAACAACTCTTTTCCCTTCCATCCCCAAATACACCTTCCTCTCTATTTTCATCCATCTCTGTTTTTTTCCTTCTTTATTCTCCACTCAACCCAGCCCGTAAGGAAATCGCAGCCCATAGATCACACCTCATTCGACTCCGCAATAAAACTGCAAAGTCTCTTGGATACCTTGTTGGAGAATCTTTCCAAATGCTTAAAAAACACCAGCATGACACCAACTACCGTCGCCTCATGAACCAAGCTGAGGAAGATACAATTGCCCCCCGTGACCACTGGAAACTTGAAATCCAAACTGCTGCTAATACCCTTGCCAAGGTCCTTCAAAGTGATCCTGCCAGATTAAATACCAATGCTGATATTACACAATATGATGATGAATATGACTTTAGATTACGTCACGGATTCCCCGTTGATTTAATGCCTCCTGTTGCTGTTGCTTCCAAACTTCTCAATATCCTTAATAAGGATCTAAAAGTCCATACCCAAGAGTACACACGCAAGAGTCTTGCCCATGGGAAACCCCGCTGGCTTGTGCGCAACTGGCCAATGCTTGTAGGACTTACCTACGGCGGTCTCTACACTGCTCGACAAGTACTTGGCAATTGGCCCGCAATTGTACAATGGTTCCAAACAAGTGTTGTTGATACCCTCACTGCATTTTGGCATAACTGGATTGTGGGGCCCCTGACCCAGATTTATAATACAATAAGACACGACCAGCACGATGCAGATATGGCTCTTATTACCAGACAAAGTCTCCAAGCAGATGTTGAATCACTGGAACGTATGGTTGTCCAGTTTGCCCGTGATCATGGAGAACTCACAGCTGCAACTGAAGAAGCCACTGCAGCCATGGAAGCATCATTGGCTGCACGCGTACGTAATGGTGATATTTCTTCAGTCTTACGTCCATACGAATCTCAAATTCAGACTCCACTTCGGTCTCTTGTTGGTGGTGATTTAGTTCGAGCACTTTTAATTCAAGTCCAGAAAACTAAGGTTGATGTCGAAACTGCAGTTTCCGGAATTGATAGACTTTTACAATCACAACAATTAGTTTTTGGAGTTGTGGCAGCATTACCTTCCTTTGCAGCAGCTTATTGGATTGTCCTTAAACCAACCGCTTCCGCACTCACTGGTAATGTCCGAAGATCGCGAGCTCAAGCTGGCCGTAGAGATGCACTGGCCACAATTTTGGGTCGTGTGGATCGTCTTTTGGGTGCCCTTGCTGGGTTAGCTGCTGCATCAGCTGCAGATGCTTCAGATCATAGTAGCAACGCACTAAATACAGATGATGCTGCTGACTCATCTGTAACTTCTGTGGCTGTTACAGGGGGTCCAGAATCTGAAGATCCATCTTCTGTTAGCCAGTATCATATGTTGGTTGGTCTTTTTCTTTGTGAAACCTATCTTTTGCGTGACCAGGGCCACGCTGTATTACCACGCTCTCGAATTGTTGATTGGGAACAAGATGTTTCTGATCTCGAAGATCTTGTCAAGGGTCCTGAATTCC